CTGAATATCTAAATATCTAAATAGCTGAATATCTGAATATCTAAATATCTAAATATCTAAATAGCTGAGTATCTAAATAGCTGAATATCTGAATATCTAAATATCTAAATAGCTGAATATCTAAATAGCTGAATATCTAAATATCTAAATATCTAAATATCTAAACATCTAAACATCTAAATAGCTAAATATCTAAATATCTAAATAGCTGAATATCTAAACATCTAAACATCTAAATATCTAAATAGCTAAATATCTAAATAGCTGAATATCTAAATATCTAAATATCTAAATATCTAAATATCTAAACATCTAAACATCCAAATAGCTAAATATCTAAATAGCTGAATATCTAAACATCTAAATATCTAAACATCTAAGTATCTGAATATCTAAATATCTAAACATCTAAATATCAAATTGAAACCTAATCTGCTAAAGTTTTAATTGAGAGATTTAACTTTGGATTCAAAATTTATATGTCGCTAAGATACGAGAAAACGACTGAGATCTTTGTGTGATCGAATCAGCTGAGTGAATGGCACAAATACGAATCGAAAAAAACATTTTCGATCACACAAATTAGTGTGATCACACAAATGGGGAAAATTTGATGAAAATAGTCGCAAGAGAAAAGGAAACGAGAAATGCCAAAGAGATTTCTTTCTTTTTTCTTTCTTTTTGGAGAATGGAATTCGAACGCATTCCCTCCAACAGCCACAATGTCTAGGCTTTTCGATGAGAACACTGGCAATTTGATCAAATTCTTGGGGAGAAATTTGAGCCATTTGAAAAGAAATCTAGCTGGCAAGTAGCGAGGAAATGAATCGAATGAATTGCTGATTTTCTGCAATTGATTATTTCGATTTCAAGCCAAGATCTTCTTTTTGGTACCATCTAAAAAGTAAAAGAAAGAATAACTGTTTAATATTATCGCTAATATTATTAATAACATCGCTAATATTATTAATAACATCTCTAAACAGTTATTGAGATTCTCACCCGTTGACAGGCCAAAAGAAAGCGCCAATGAAAGATGAGATGGGGAAGAAAATTAAAAAACGAGTTTTAAGGTCCATAAGTTCTTGTAGTTCTTATAGTTCTTAAATTTTTGATTTCTTAAAAACCAGGCAACATTTTCATCTGAATTTTCTACGGAATAATCTATAAGTACAGTCGCAATTCGATACAACGAATTTGAAGTCCTAAAACGTGCCCCAAAATTTCTACGTAGCTGCTCCAGCCAAATGCAATAAGTGACCATTTCTGCGTAGCTGCCCCAACCAAATGCAATCAACCACCATTTGTGTGTAGCTGTCCCAACCAAATGCAATCAACCACCATTTCTGCGTAGCTGCCCCAGCCAAATGCAATCAACCACCATTTGTGTGTAGCTGTCCCAACCAAATGCAATCAACCACCATTTGTGTGTAGCTGTCCCAACCAAATGCAATCAACCACCATTTCTGCGTAGCTGCCCCAGCCAAATGCAATCAACCACCATTTCTGCGTAGCTGTCCCAACCAAATGCAATCAACCACCATTTCTGCGTAGCTGTCCCAACCAAATGCAATCAACCACCATTTCTGCGTAGCTGCCCCAGCCAAATGCAATCAACCACCATTTCTGCATAGCTGTCCCAACCAAATGCAATCAATCGCCATTTCTGCGTAGCTGTCCTAACCAAATGCAATCAACCACCATTTCTGCGCAGCTGCCCCAGCCAAATGCAATAAGTGCGTAGCTGCCCCAGCCAAATGCAATCAACCACCATTTCCGCGTAGCTGCCCCAGCCAAATGTAATCAATCAGCGGCCGTCCAAGGAAAATTTGAGGCATCTTTTAGGTTTGTTATATCGAAGTTTTTGGTCTCGAGTGATTTGTTATATCGAATTTCGACTGTGCTAGTAGACAGAATTTGATGACGATTGCTTGGTTCAATCGAGAGAATAATTATGGGCCTGGGGTGCTTTAGCTGCGACCACTTCATGACACCTGTTGTTATTTTATATCTTTTGCTTTTTTCATGTTTATCTTGTTATTTGATAGAATTTCTAAGATTATATAGTGTTTTTTTTAGAGATCAAGTGTTCATCGGAACTCGATCATAGCGTTGGATCGACAGAGACTTTTGACACGTGCAACTTTCTTTCTACGCGGGAGTTTCTACGCGGCTCGCGAACAAAACGATTCAAGGAATTGGGAACAAATGCTGATAAAGCTGGTCGAGAAAAACTGATCTGTGATTCAGTCCAAAAAGTGCGAGAGAGTTTGCGTAACCAGGAACGATCAATCCGACTCATGTCACGCCAAATTTCTGAGGCTAGAAGCTAAGGCGTGTGCTAAGCTACAATTGTGCGTAATTGTGCGGCGTGAACTCAAGATGAAAGCGGATGAAAGCTTTCAAAAAGAACAAATCGCTCAGCCAAGGCTCATCGAAGCTGCTAAGAGAAGAACTATGTGAGGACCTTCTCAAGCGATTCAACCAACTGTCGTGAGATTTTGTTAGATGAAAAATTATTTAACGTTAAAGTGCTAAACAAGCAGAATGACCGAATTTATGCCAATCCACACAAATCGATCTTCGTTCAGCTTCAGTCATGGATGGACAGGGATCAGGACAGGGAAGCGCCAATGGAAAGGCTCCAATTGTCTTTGCGCCATCAGCATTCAAGCTCAACAGTCAAGCATATTTGAACATGCGACAAGACGTTTTGCCCTGAGCTCAATATCATTTTGGACAAGCTGGGTATTTTAGCAAGATGGAGTATCGACTCGTATTACATGGATGGAGTACTACAAATCTCGAATGGTCCAGGATTCGTGTGAGCAGAACCTACAAGATTTCATCACATTCAACGAGTGACCTCCAAGCTCACCGGATCATAATCCGCTTGATTTTTCAGTCTGTTTAAAGATCTGCTCAAAGACGTGTACTAAACAACATCGAACAATTGACTCGTTAAAGAAAGCGCTCCTTAAAGCATGGTGAGCTTGATGTACTACTTGCTACTTGCTACTTGCATGTCTGTTTCCTTGCTACTTGCTTGCATGTTTCCTTGCTACTTGCTTGCATGTTTCCTTGCTACTTGCGCCTGTTTCCTTGCTCTTGCTGCCTCGCTGCCGTCCCTACTGCTTGCAGTTCCTTGCTACTTGCATGCCTGTTTCCTTGCTACTTGCTGCCATGTTTCCTTGCTACTTGCATGCCTGTTTCCTTGCTACTTGCATGCCTGTTTCCTTGCTACTTGCATGCCTGTTTCCTTGCTACTTGCTTGCATGTTTCCCTGTACATTACTTCTACATGATAGCTTGTCAAAAGCTACATTTATAGCCGTTTGCCAAGAGCTCTGTTCCTGGAACAAAGCCGATATTGATTGTAAATCATCGACATCGATATTTGAAACTTGCCAGAAAGCTACCTACTTTAGTTGTTCAGAAACAATGTTATACAATATTTTCTGAACTATAGCCTTGGTTTTCCGATCGAAAATTGTTTCCCCAACTCGCAGAACCTCCCTTGTTTACTCAAATCTATTTTTTTTTGAAAAGAAAATGTGCTCGTTTATTTTTCTGTTATCCCGATTACTCACCAGCAATTTCTCTCCCATTTCATCGATTACGCATTTCGCATTTCGTTTTTTTTGTAAATTTGATTGATGGACTTGAACCGTTTCTCTATTTGAACCGATACTTGAACCGTTTCTCTATTTATTTATCAATTCTTGGACAAGTTTTCATTCATCTTTTTTGGAAATTTCAATTATGCGAGATTTCGTTTTATTCTTTTTCATTGCTTTGATTGGATTGGCGAATGGAGATGAAGAAAATGGTTGGTTAGAATGTTTAGAAAAGTTTAGAAAATGGTCAAGCTTTCCAGGTTTTTTTTTTCAGCTATTACCGTATTTCTTCGAATAGAAGACCGGGTAAAGAGTATCATCGCGCACTCCTGCGTAGCAGCCCTTTTTAAAATTTCTTTTCTGCATAAAAGCTTTCAATTAAGTGCTATAGAGCTGGAAAATGGCTCAAAAATCTGTTAGCTCATGTCGTATTTTTGAGTCATTTTCCAGCCCTATAGCACTTCATTGAAAGCTTTTATGCAGAAAAGAAATTTTAAAAAGGGCTGCTACGCAGGAGTACGCGATCATACTCTTTACCCGGTCTTCTATTCGAAGAAATACGGTATATACAAAACGTAAACTCAATTCGATTCTTTTTCACATCTATATGTCGTAGCCGAAATTCAGCCGCTAACGAATGAAATTTTTCGCTAGTTGTTTACGAAATTCAGCTAACGAATGATTCGTTAGCGGTTAGCCGTTTCCTTAGCGGTTAGCCGTTTCGTTAGCGGTTAGTCGTTTCCTTAGCGGTTAGCCGTTTCGTTAGCGGTTAGCCGTTTCGTTAGCGGTTAGTCGTTTCGTTAGCGGTTAGTCGTTTCGTTAGCGGTTAGCCGTTTCCTTAGCGGTTAGCCGTTTCGTTAGCGGTTAGTCGTTTCGTTAGCGGTTAGCCGTTTCCTTAGCGGTTAGCCGTTTCGTTAGCGGTTAGTCGTTTCGTTAGCGGTTAGTCGTTTCGTTAGCGGTTAGTCGTTTCGTTAGCGGTTAGCCGTTTCCTTAGCGGTTAGCCGTTTCGTTAGCGGTTAGTCGTTTCGTTAGCGGTTAGTCGTTTCGTTAGCGGTTAGCCGTTTCCTTAGCGGTTAGCCGTTTCGTTAGCGGTTAGCCGTTTCCTTAGCGGTTAGCCGTTTCGTTGCGGTTGCCGTTTCGTTAGCGGTTGTCGTTTCGTTAGCGGTTAGTCGTTTCGTTAGCGGTTAGCCGTTTCCTTAGCGGTTGCCGTTTCGTTAGCGGTTAGTCGTTTCGTTAACGGTTAGTCGTTTCGTTAGCGGTTAGTCGTTTCGTTAGCGGTTAGCCATTTCGTTAGCGACTAGCCATTTCGTTAGCGACTAGCTGTTTCCTTAGCGGCTAGCCGTTAACGAATCATTCGTTAGCTGAATTTCATAAACGGCCACGACATACATTCTAAAACTTCAAGCTGTTGAACAACTTTTTGCTAAGTCAATGTAGAAAAAATGCTGGATTGCAAAAATACAGCAAATACAGAAATTTGGGGATCTTGTCATTCCGGATCAATCCAGATTTTGTCATTCCGGGTTTCTGAGTCAATTTTGTCATTCCGGGTTTCTGAGAAGAACCAGATTTCCTAAAAAGTGTCTCCTTTCTACCTTTCTTATCTCAATTCTCTATCAATCCCTTATAAATCTAATAGTAAATAAAAGTCATTTAATTTAATGCTGCTTTATCTTTACCTTAAAAGCTTATTAGACAATTAAAGTTTATTATTTTTATTAAAGTTTATTAAATATTAAAGTCTATTAAACGTTTTCTAGCAATAATATAGTCATTTTCTAGCAACCTAAAAGCTTAAATGAGTTAGTTGAATAAAAAAACTGATACTAAATTTAATAAAAGATTCTTTAAATGTTTATTTACCTTTTCAGAAATTCTAGAAAAGTTGGAATTTCAATTCGAGAAGCATCCACAACCATTTATCGTGAAAAAAGATCTGAAATTGTTGAACGAGAACAATGGAAGTATTCAATTGACATTCAGAGCAAATGAGGGTTACAATGAGGATCTTGTAAGTAAAGCGTTTTCTAAAACCTGTCCCATTACCGTAATCTTCTCTCTTTTTTTATCTAATCTATCGACTTTTTGTCTGCTTCTGTGAATTCACAAAGAATATCGAAAGATATAAAAGTAGGATTGAATAAAAGTAGCAAGTAGTAGGAAGGAGTAAAAAAAGTAGGGAAACTATGAAACCAGATGAACACTGCCATCTAGATCCTAGAAAAGCTATGGAAAACTAGCTAGCTAATTACTGCACTATAATAATCATAAAGAAGTGTTTTTCCTAAGTTTTCGAAAAAAGTAGAGAACTCGACGCCAAGCGGAATCGAACCCGCGAGCAGAGAGGGCATTCGTTTTAGAGTCTAGCGCACTATACCCCTAGACCGCCACTGCTTTTCAAAACCCCCGTCGTGGAGCCCTCTTATAGGTGAGGCGCCAGATGGAGAGCTATTTTGCGAAAAAGAAACCTGGCAGCAAGCGGAATCGAACCCGTGAGCATAACCGGCATTCGTTTTAGAGTCTGGCACACTATCCCCTAGACCACCCCTGCTTTTCATACCTCCCATCGTAGAACCCTCTTATAGATGAGGTCACCAATCGTCGTCCCGTTGGTAAACGGTTCCCTAGTTAGACAAGATTACGGTAGTTGAGAAAGTGAGACACGTTTTAGAAAGCACTCTTACAAGCTATCCAGCTTCAGAAATAAAGTAGCTTAATGTTTTTTTAGGGTGAATACATCAACAAGGCTTTAAGAGTGAAGCTGGAGATCGAAAAAGAGCAATCCGGGAAAATCTATAGAGATTTAGCGTTCACTGACTGGTCGGAAACGCGACAATTTGAGTGAGTTTACAGTGAGTTTTGTGGGGTACTTTGTGCTCAAAATCTGTAAACGCAAGCCGTCTAGTGCACTGAATTCTTTATTTTTGTGGTATCTAGTCGAAAAAACAAGAATTCCGTGCATTAGGTGTTCAATGCAAAGGTGTTTACAATTTGTTGAGCACAAAGTACACTTAGAATTATTTTAGAATTATTGGCAACTCGTCGGGAAAAGCGCACGAGTTTTTCTACAACTCTGGCATCCTCTATTTCAGGTTTTCTTTACGAATTTCAATAAAGAATCGAAAAGAATTCAATTCTTTGAATTCAATTCAATTTTTAGATATAATGAAACGGCTCCAAATTTCACGTTGACTGTCACAGAGATACCGTTTCTTCATGGTAAACATACAGTAACGTTTCTAAAGCGTTTCTAAAGCGTTTGGGATCATTTCTTTTGCCGTATTTGATGAATTGCGCATCTTATTAAACCAAATATTAGTGAGAATTGTTAAAAAAGAAAACCTAACCTATTCAAATCTAATGAAAACAAATGCAAAATTCGACAGCGGACTCGAACCCAACAACCCCCGCCTTGTATTCAAACGTACTACCAATCGGCCGCCCCGACACATTTGCAGCCCTAGGGAATCTACTTATGAACTCGCGACTTGATTTTTTAAATCGAAATTTGAAATTTTTTGAAATTTTTCTTTGAGCGCTTATAACTTTTGACTCAGCACTTCATAATAGAAACGGAAAGCAGATTCGGAATCAGCGTGAAATTCTGCGTTAAATATTATATACTCATATCATTTGACCAAAAAACCGTTGACATTCCCTTGAGAGAAAAGTGGGACTCGAGCGTCTGGCCTTCTGATTTTCTTAGGACAAAAATAGAGATAAGATTACGGTAGTCGAGAAGTTGAGACATTTTAGTACACTTCAATTTTGCAGGTTGTGAATGCAGCGGTTTCTCGTACGAATACCCGGATGGAATCCGAAATCCGACACAATTCCCAGGCGCCATTTTGACTCTTGACATTCCAAAGGCAGGCAAAAGATAATTGCTTATATTTAGATTTCTTTTATTTCTGTTATAGATAGTATTTCTGTTATTTCTGTATTACGGTAGTATTTATCTACCGTAATCCACTTTATCTCATTGTTTCAGAATTGTACAATGATCAAGTGTGGATGGGCTTCGGAAAGCGATATGAGAATGGGGCAAGAGATCGATTTCTCATTCCTTGGCGCTTACGACAAAAATGATCGTTTCTATATTCGAAACTCGAATGGGACGACTAGGTTTGTGGATACTGTAAGCAGCAGATACTATTAGGTGTGTGAAAAAGTAATCCACGTTTTTAACGTTTATGCGGTATCCATTTGTCCAACTTTTTGATAAAATTCATGGCATTCAAGCGTTTCCTTACGGTTGACCCATCACAATTTAATGTAAGGCCTATTTCTGAAGAGGTTGAACGAGGGTTCTCGAGAAGACAGCGTCTTATTTGATCATCAGAACAGGTCTCAGGGCGACCGCCACGTGGTTCATCCTTCTAGGCTTTCATTACCACCTTTCGTCGGAAAGAATCATCGGAAACAAAAGCTAGCGGTATCATCAATAACGGCGTCTTCGCCAAACGCATTCCGAATTCGACGTGCAGCCTCCGCAGCTTTCAACCCATTTTTGAACTCATAAAGCAAATTTGACCGAATAACGATACTTGTGTATACTATTTTCAAACTAAAATCAAGGTAGTTTATTGTCGTCCTTTTAACAAAATGAATATATCATTCGAAAGAGGAAAAAATAAGCTTTTAAACGATATATATATCGTTAACAAAAAATTAAAAATTGTTTAGATATATTTATTTAAACAAAATAAAAATAAAAAACGTGGATTACTTTTTCACACATAAGCAGCAGATACTGTAAACAGAAGAGCAAATTACCGTAACAATCGTTTATGTTACCGCTTTCATTTCAGTTTGTTGCCCGAATCGGGAAGCTTCAAACGTTTCAAGATGATGATCAATGAGCCATTCGAAATCTATTTCATTAGCGGACCGAATCCAAGCCGAGATCGACACATGAATTTCCAGTTCGGCTATGAGGCTAAACAATAAAGATTTCAAGAGAATAATCCGTTTATATTCATACATTACAAATTATACAATTACAGAAGCTTTCTATCAATAACAGCTTTCTTTCACAGTACAAAAACTGCACACCAAACAGCTTTTATATATATTGCTTTCCGCGTGAAAAAGATATTCAGTTACTTCGTTGTAAATCTTTAAATTGAATTAAAGTTATTTAAGACAAAAGTAGAAGCGACATTTGATAACCAAGCATTTATTGGGGGTGGGACAAATGCGACCTTTTTTTTGCTGGAAAAGGCCTTAGGAAAAGTCGTAGAGCTTCAAAAACGTTTTCATAGAAGGGAATCGTATGCGTAGATTCAGAATTTTGACAAATCAGACCTCGCTGACACGTCAAATTTGGGCTAAAAGGGCAAAAACTACGCAATTAACGCTTTTCCGCAGTTTTTGCCTTTTAGCCCAAATTTGACGTGTCAGCGAGGTCTGATTTGTCGAAATTCGGAATCTACGCATACGATTCCCTTCTATGAAAACGTTTTTGAAGCTCTACGACCTTTCCTAAGGCCTTTTTCCAACAAAAAAAAGGTGCGCAAATGTCCAGGTGCGCAAAAAAAAGGTCGCATTTGTCCCACCCCATTTATTTAGCTCTAAAAACTCAATGCACTAATGTCGGTTATCAAATTTCTGGTAATCTTTTTTTGCGCACCTTTTTTCACGTTTTAAAAAAGCTCTAAAAAGCTGCCTTAATACCTGTAATAGTAGCGCTCCCCCGTACATTCGCGTAGTCTAACTTCTTTTTAAAAAATCATTTTTTTCTCAGCCCCTAGATTTTTCCCAACTACACTTTTTTCCAAAAAATACTAGATTTCAAGGGCTATCATTTGAGACCCAAGCGCACACTGTAGCATAAAGCAGCGCGAAGAACGGAGCGTGTAAAGTTAGACTACGCGGCAATAGCCGGTCATTATAGGAAGGTGCTACTATTACAGTTATTACGATCATGTTAACCAATTTCTATTCCAAAAGTTGTTTTTCTGGGTAATTTTAGGCACCCAGCCCATTAGCGCACCTTTTTTCGCGTTATAAAAAGTTCTAAAAAGCTAATATTAGCCAATTTCTATTCCAAAAGTTGTTTTTTTGGGTAATCTCAGGGTGTAGAATCGAAATTTTGACATATCAAAGCTTGTGGAAGCAAACTGACGAGGTTATACATAGGGGAAAATCGACAATTTTCTGTAATTTGACCTACCCGTTTTAAATTTCGAATTGCTTTCACGAGCACTGATCTGTCAAAATTTTGATTCTACACCCTGAGATTACCCAAAAAACAACTTTTAGAATAGAAATTGGTTAATATTAGCTTTTTAGAACTTTTGATAACGCGAAAAAAGGTGCGCTAGTGGGCTGGGTGCGCAAAAAAAGGTAGCATTTATCCCACTCTCGTCATTTTTATTTTCCTCCTCGTTATCGACCTCATTGTGCTCTAATTTTAGAATTGACGCAAATTTCTTGCAATTCTTTTCTGTGCGCTAACTTCTCTTGAAAGGCAAACTCCGCATCTCTAACCCGAACGGGAATATAGTCTTTTTTTGAAGCTCAATCTTGTCTTTTTGGAGGCAAAAAGGGAAAGACGTGCAATCGTTCCTCGCATGTGAAGGCTGAAAAAGAAAGGGGAGGGGTAGGCTGGCGGCCACTTTTTACGCGCTCTTCTCTGGGGGTGGTGGGGGTATTGGGGGTTCTCTCTGAGGGTGGGGGCCCTTTTTTCTGCCTCCTCTGCGTCTCTGTTCCCAGTTTTTCTCTTGACTCTCCCCCAAAGTGCACCTTTTTGCAGCGTTTTTTCAGGCCTTTCTCGTTTGGGGGAGAAAATCGGCCGCCACGGGTCTCCATCAACTTTTTTTTCTCATTCTTTTTCACTTTCTTTGCGCCATAGATAGTTCGAGTTTAATATTAATCTTTGGATGTTTTCAGGGTTGGATTCGGATACGGGTAGAAGTTCCAGTCCCACTTGGAAACTAGACTAGAAGTCGAAGGATCGGAAGGTAGAGTTTTGGAAACTTTGTTGGGGCTGTTTAATAGGTTATTTTTTCACTTGATCTTGTTTGGTTAGACCATTTCAAAACGTACATTTGATTGTAAACTAATTTGAAAACGATACATTTGTGCACAGAGCAAAAAACTAACTACTAAGTGAAGTGCTGGGAATATAGGCTCCAACCGTTATACTATCGATTATTTTCTAGGTTAACAGCGTAAACATTAAGTTTTTGAATCACTCGATGTTTTAGTTTGATGGTTTAAATGATATTTTCTGTTTTTTTAGAATGGATCAACGGATGATATTGGGAAATGGATCGGGTCACGACACACATAATTCGCTTGACGGTGTGCTCGAGAGCCGAGAGCTGCATTATCTACAAAGCCAGATGCAAAACGCTCCTTTCAAGTTGCCAACTTCGAACATGGATTCGGCGATCAGCTCGCAAGCGAGCCTCGCTGGATATCAGGTATGGTAGCAAGGGCTTGGCTTTGACTTCGCAAAGCATTGTTGTTAAGCTATGTAATAAGGTATAACCGGATAGTACCCCTTTATGGTTCTTTAATAACTGAAAGAATATGAATCTTAAAACGTTACCATATTCAAATGTTTATATTTAGAATCCGATATTTGACACGCCACCATCGCTTTACAATTCTCCACAATTCAACTCGGTGTTGAATACTCCAATAGGTGTGTTTATTCTAAAATCCTTTGCAACATTTTACTTTAGTGACTTCACTCCAGTCAAACATTGCTGTCGCTTGTTGCGTTTGTAGTACCGAATGTGGACGTGGACACGGATTTCAGCTTAGTACTTGCAATCATATGTGGGTGAAACTTAATAATTTTATATTGCTTTTCATTTAGTTATTGTAACAATTGCATCTCGCTTACGATTGGAAAACACGGACGATATTGCACTCTCTGTTTTGCCACCAATATGGCTCTTGAATCGGCTTACATGCGGCAGCTTCCCACTCATGGTGAAATAATTATGCATACCTATGTAAGTGTCTTTTAGGTGGTACAGAAGATTTGACTTCGTTGTTCTCTTCGCGGCTTCCGTTGAATGATGTATTGATGAGCAAGCCATCTTCTGCTCTTCTTGAAACCACTTTGGCTAATCATGCTCCATTCTCGCAGCGCTTTGATTCATTGAATAAGGAAATCTCAAATCATCATCTCTTTGATGTTGATGTTTGTTTTGCTTTGCTTTTAAAAAACGTTTCTTTTAGCCTGAGCCAATTCGTGCTCCGGTATTCTCGCCATCAAAAACCGCTCAAAAATCGCGCGTTTGTGCTGGATGTCATGAAGGTTTATCGGCTAAAATGTTCATAAATGCTTTTTTTTCTTAGGAGCTGCTCAATATTGCGAAAATTGTCAAGAATCGCTCTGTGACGACTGTGTTTCTGCGCATCAAAGGGTCCGCTTCACTCGAGACCATCATATTGTCCGTTTGCCCGAGCGTCGCGAGTGCATTAAGGAGGTTTTGATTTTCGAGCATAAAATTTTGATGCGTGTATTTTATTTAGACAGCTGAGGAATCGCAGCCACAATTTATTGCCGTCAAGCTTATTCAACCTGATGGTTCTCCACTCGATCTTGCAATCACGTTAGTTTTCTTGAACCTATTAAGATTCAGATTGCTTTAGTGAACGATCGGTGGGCGGCGTCTCACTTAACTTTGTCCCTAAACTGAAGGGAGTTCATAATCTTTATATTCAACTTCAAGGATCCAACACCAAGTGAAAGCCGTTTGCCATTCTTTACTCAGAAAGTTTAGGGGAGCTCCCATTCAATTCGAAGTGCTTCGTGGAAGAAACTACAAAGAAGTTGCGGACCGTGGAGAACTGTTTCATTTTGGCAAAGAAGGTACCCATAAGAATGTAATTTCAAGCAAAGTTTAAGATGGCGAAGACAAAAAAGTATTGCTTGTTTTAGGCAGCGAGGATGGAGAGCTTTGTCGCCCATGGGGAATTTGTTGTGATCAAAAGGGTCGCATCATTGTCGCTGACCGAAGCAATAATCGCATTCAAGTATAGATTTTTACCATGCAACTTTAATCTCAACTTTTTCAGATCTTTGACCCAGAAGGAAAGTTCTTACAAAAATTCGGAATGGGTGGAAATCGGTTTGTGTTTTCTTTGTTTTCATATATCATATTTTTGCAGGCCAGGGCAGTTTGATCGCCCTGCTGGTGTTTGCGTTAATACTCACAACCAGATTATTGTTGCCGACAAGGATAATCATCGTGTACAAGTAAGGAATACTCGAAACGCTTTGATTTGAAGATAACCCTTTGAGTTACTCAAGTAAAAATTTCAATTTGGTACTCTTTTTGATGTAAAGAGGCTGGGCGCGGGTGTGCAAAAATGTGGCAAACGTAGCGTCAGCAAAGTAAAAATTTTAAGAATTCAAGAATAGTTGAGATTCATTTATTTTCTTCATTCAGGTCTTTGACAATGATGGAAATTTCGTCTTCAAGTTTGGTGAACGTGGCCGCTCGCAAGGAATGTTCAATTACCCATGGGGAGTCGCTACAAACAATCTCAATGAGATAGCTGTGTCGGACACTCGCAATCATCGTGTTCAGGTTTTGATTCTTTCACCTTTTGCAGCTCAAGAATGTTTTAGATCTTTTCATCACATGGAGAGTTTCTTCTTAAATGCGGCTTTGACACTGCTTACTTCTACAAGCACTTGGACTCCCCGCGTGGTGTTTGCTACTTGCCAAATGGACAACTGCTAATTACGTTAGTGCTTCGGATTTTGAGGATAATCAAGTTGGTTTAGCGATTTCAACAACCATAGAGTTGTCTTGATGGGTCCAAAGGGCGGACCTGACATGAAATGCTATGGAAGCGAAGGAGATCAAGTAATGAATATTCCGTGGCACTTAATCGATCATTTTTTAGGAAGGCTTATTCTTACGTCCTCAAGGCATTGCTATTGACATGGAAGGACATATACTGGTCTGTGATTCACGCAACAATCGTGTTCAGGTCAGATTATATCATTTTGTGTCTCTAAGAATAGTTTAGGTATTTGCAAGTGACGATATGCGTTGTGTTACCGTGTTTGGAGGAGCCAAGTTGGCCCTATCACCTACTACAAGCCATGCTACTAAATCACCAACGCAGGTAAAGTTTTATTGCTAGTTTCTTTAGCCTCTTTGAATTCAGGATATCAACTTGCTTGCTATGCCTATGCCACCAGTTACGTCAATGCAAGGAACACCGTTGTCGCTTGATTTCACCTCTCCTCCGCCAACGAATCCATCGAAGGGCAAACCACCAATGATGCAATTTGGCTCGAATACTACGCAAAGTGAGACAGCTGTTGGATCGGTGAGTTTATGGTTCAGTGTATAAACAAAATGAGTTCGTTTTAGTCGCTTGCTCTTCTTGATCGTCCGACCGACTTGGTTCGTTGTTTTTAGGATAGGTTTTAATCAATGAATTTTAGTGCATTGGACTTGATGGACGAATCTATGTTGTCGACTTCGGAAACAACTGCGTCCGTGTCTTCTAGAGGGGATTCCTTTACAGAGTGCGCGAACATAATATGTCAACTTTAATCTGTCTATGTATGTTAGTGTTTTTTTTGTTGTTTTCAATATTTATATGTCCCAACTGTATCTCTCTTTGTTTACGGTGCAAACCACCGGTGTACCTAGTCTAAACCGGTGATTTTTCCCAATTTGGTTGCCCGATCAACTTTGTTTCATGTTCTAGATTCCCGATATCTACCTCACTCTTTCTTTGTTATTGAAACAATTTTGTTTTCGGCTGACGTTGGTTACATTATTATCATCTACCTCTTCATTTTTTAGCTTCTAGTTTTCTTGGCTCCCATTGTTCAAACCTCGACAACCCGTACAAAAGTTCGGCTTTCAACAATTACCTCAAAATTTTTGTTTTGCCACACGAGTTTCTCTCTCTCAAGAACACGTCCATCAACAAATGTTCCTCTAGGGATCATCACATTCAATGTAGTCATCGGCGAGAAACTCGTGGGCTCTAAAAATTTCTGTGTGCAATTTTTTTGGTTAATCTTTGTCATAATTTGTTTCTTTTTGTCCTCTGTGATTCATTTGTACCCCAATGCCCGGGAGGCCAGGACTCCCCACAAAAATAAGTGAGTGATAATCACCCCAGAAGAGTTTTACTCTACTCTCCCACCTCTCGGTGGTGCAAAAAGTGAAAGACGCCCAGATCCGCCCAGCGTGAAAACATTGTCTCTTCATGTTTACCAGTGTTACACTTTTCTTTTCCCAGTGTTTTGACGTCTCGATTATTTCTTGTTTAATAATTGATCGATGTCATTTACTCTATCATTTTTGCCAGCAAAAGGTGGTGTTTAATCTGTAGGCTGATTTGAAGTGTCATTTGATGTCCTCATTCCAGTTTAACTCTTTTTCAAAATCCCCCGAGGCCGCTCTCTTTGGTATCAAATTTTGCTTTTGCACATGTTTTTGTTGTTTCAAGTCAAAATTTCCCACCATCAATAGAGTTCTGAATATTCGCCCCACAAAATTCTGCTTTTATTTTTCTTTTGTCTATCTGTGCTTAAAAATCCCGGTTCAAGCTGTTCTGTGTGATTAAGTTTTTGGTTTTTTTTCCACAAGTTAAAGTCAGTTGATTTGTAAAGAAATAAAAAATTTACAATACAGCGTTTTACAGCATAAAGAACTTGAAAGTTTGATATATAGAGGAGGTTAAAACTCGTAGACACAATTTGTAGTTTGTTTTTTGGTGATATGCTTGAATGAAATGATATTTTCGTGTTTAGATAAACGCAAATCGCTTATGTCAGAAGCAGGACGTTCCGGTCTGTATTCTGACACCTTGGCATCTTTGGAACGTTGTGTAGCACTGTCAGGCGGGAAAGAAAAGGTTTTTTTTGTAGAATAGATCATTGTCTTGAATTAAGAGAAATCCAGTTTTTTCTCAATCCCACAAATGTTGTCCATTTAGGCTGAGATGGCTTCGCAATTTTCATCGAGTCAAAAGCATACTCCTTTGGACAGCCCGTCCGTATCAAACTCGCTCGATCAACCCACCGGCACTTCTAAAGCTGAGCCCAGCAAAATCGACAAAAGGTTGGCATTAATTGAAGGCTTTAAACATGATATCTAGAGCTCAATCGGCTCATAATGCACAAGATATCGAGTTCATTGGATACAAGGTAAGGGTTGTTTTTCCTCTAACTTTTAGTTTCATTTTAGGACGAAACTCAAATTGCGGAGATTATGGCCCTGATCACAAAGGATCTGAGTGAGCCATATTCAATCTACACCTACCGTTACTTCATCCATGGATGGCCCGAATTGTGTATATTGGTAATTTTTTTTAAAAAAAAGCAATAAAATGTTTAGCAAAAGTCACTGATTTGATTTGAATTGAATTTTTTAGGCACGAGATTTATTATCCGGAAAAATTGTCGGCACTATTGTTTGCAAGCTCGAAGACGTTATAAAGCAGGCCAGTCGCCGGAAAGGATACATTGCTATGTTGGCTGTCGATTCGGATTACAGAAATATGGGAATAGGTTTGTGACTACTTTTAAAAATAACTTGTGCTAATCTGTTGTGTACATTAAATTGAGTTGAGTTGAGTGTACAGTTGAGTTGAGTTGAGTGTACAGTTGAGTTGAGTTGAGTGTACATTAAATTTTACGCAATACAAATATCGAAATTAAGTATATAAACAATGAAAACTATCAAATTTTATCTCTTTACGATATTAGTATTTAGTATGTTTCATTTTAAGGTACAAAGTTGGTTCAAACTGCCATTCAAAGAATGCGACACATTGGTTGCGATGAAGTTGTGCTGGAAACAGAGGTAAATTTGTTTAATAACTTTAGGAAAGACTAGGAACTTTTTTTAAAAATTCATTCTAATAAAAATTTACTTTAGGTCACCAACAAAGATGCATCTAAACTCTACGGAAAATTGGGCTTTATTCGCGAGAAGCGACTTTTCAGGTTCACTTTTGTTTTGTGAAAGTCTAAAATTTTATTTGCAGGTATTACTTGAATGGTGGAGATGCATTTCGACTCAAATTGTACTTCGCGCCTCCTTTGAGTTATCACGCTCTACCACAGCAGCAATTTCAGTCAACATCTCCATCGCCACAACCGTCATTTGTTTAGTACTTCACGATTTTTAGCATTTTTAGGATTGAAACCTGTTTGCACTCTTGTAGCCCTAAAAGTTTGTTTTTGTCTTTTCTCAATGTCTGGCTTTTAATTTAATACGTGCATTTTGTTCTCATTCTCATTGAAAAAGTTCTATATTTTGTCTGTTTAAAAGTGTTTTTTTTTATCTATATCTTTAATTCACGCATCATATCCAAATTGGAGGTGTTGTTATGGATTTTCCTGGTGTGTTGAAATTTTTGTTGTAAATTTTAGGCGTTCAATGGTTGGGTATTAAAATAGAAGTTATATATGCATAATTTTATAACATTAGAATTTTTTTTTGTATCTATTTTCAGGTGCCTTTACGTTCTAGAATATCGATCAAATGAGCGGTTAGAGTGCTTAATCGGACTAAACGATTTGTCAAGTCGGAAGGAATTTCGTGTGGGTCTTCCGCAAATCCGAGCGAGTGTTTCCGGAGCAACTCGCAAAAGGGAGGATTATCTCTTTGATTCACGAATCGTATCCAAATTGGAGGTGTTGTTATGGATTTTTCGAAATTAAACACTCATGATATTATTTTTGTAAAGACGAGCCATCTAATCGTATCTTCTATTGAACGGTTACGGTAAAATCGAAGATTTAACTTTTGATGATGTAATGGCTTAATCGAATTAGAAAATCGCTTTTTCTCAGTGTACAGGCAATGTTGATGATTGCCCGAGTGAGCTTTGATGAGTGAAGAGGGATTTTGTCGAGAGCTTTATCACCAATCTTTTCTCTCGAATCACTTCAAAACTCCAGAGAAAAGCGCCGCCAATACCATCGTCATGTGTGCTATTCTTTTTTCGCGCACAAATCACTCGAGAAAACTTTTTTTCTTGTCGTTGATTACGTCGATTACATGTGTCTATGCTTGATCGTTAGGTCTCTTTTTTGTCTCTTTTTGATTTGTTTTTATGAGATACGGTAATATTGCAGTGAATCCACTTTAAAGCTGAATTCTAGCCTGAAATTGTCTGCCTTTACAAAGGGTGCTTTCTAAAAAGTGCGAAAAAGCTACCGTACCCTGTGTAGAGTGGGTAACTTTTGAATGAAAGACGTTTTCTAAAAAGTATCTTCTAAAAGCTACCGTAATGTGATAGGATTACGGTAGAATTTCATGGATTACTGTATCTAGTGTATCATTGAGCACCAGCTATTGAGATTACGGTAGGCTACTGTAGCCTGGACACTAGTAAGCTACAAAAACTGCTTTCTAAAAAGTGCGCAAAAGCTACCAGTAGGCTGGTGACCAGGCTACAGTAATTTTGGAAATTCTAGCGTAATCCTCGATTGAACAGCAGATACAGCAGATACAGCAGAAAACTTGTTTCTGTCGAGATTACGGTAGTCGAGGATACGTTTTAGAAAACAGATCAAGGAAAACATTCGATTCTTGACTGTGGGAAAAGGAATTGGAAAAGGGAAAAGGAATTGGAGAAGGGGAAAGATTCCCCGAAGATGCCCTACATATCCTGATGCATTTTCGATGAATTTCTTCTCTTTTTCCCCATCTTTTCTTTTCGTTTCTTTTCGATGGGGGATAAATAAGATATGCACGAGATACCAAAATGGGGGCTCATCTCTCTTTTTCTTTTCCACATTTCTTTCACTTTTCTTCTCTTCTTCACTTTCGACTGTCTCTTCTCCAAGAATTGCAAAACACTTTCTTCTCTTTAACCTCGAGAAATCTCGGGTGTCAAACGAGAATTTATTTGTACTTTTTCTTTTGAATCGACTAGGCTTTTGAATCAAGTTTAGACTCTTTTGATTTAAATTTTCTGCTAGTTCTGTTAGTTCAGGCTTACTTTTCAGTTCAGCTTTATGTTCAGGCTTAGCTTTTTAATACGATAATAGTTTCAATCAAGTAAAATTCTTGTATTTATCGATAGACCAAGCTCAGCGTTTAGATTTGTCTATGGATTAGATCTGTCTATGGATCCCAGCCTTATTGAGCATTCTCTTGTGAAATTTACATGGTAACTACCCTTTCTTTGTAGCTACACATCCTTTCTGGTGCACCAATGCTTGCGTTTTAAATGAGGAATTGAAGAATAAAGAAGAGAATCAAGAGTTCAGTGCACCAGAAATCGTTTGTTTATGAGGGAAAGCACAAAGAGCGATATCGTTATCGTATCACTGAAAGAAATAATAGAAATGCTTTCAGAAAGCTCACGCCGAAACAAAACGAGGCGTAAGGAAGAAAGAAATCCATCTATATAGGAAAAAGAAGCCGACGAAAGCTAGAAAAAGCTAGATTAGCTGCCGGGATTGAACCCTGGACCTCTCGACTATGATACAAGAACTCCAATCGGCTATGACGCTATGACTATAACGCTATGACTATCGCTATGACTATAACGCTATGACTATGACTGTCAAACAGCTATGAGGGCTTTATGAGGGTTGATCGGTCTCTCAACCACAAAGCCTATCAAAACAAATGAAAAACTCTCTGAAAATCACACCTTTTTTCTCCAAAAAATACCTAATTGATTCACTGGGAAACTCGTTTTTTTTAAACCTTAAAACCTAGATTTTCCCCTAAGAAAGCAGTAGATAAGAATCTAATTTAAATTATCCAATCTTTCAGTTCTAAAGCTTTGCTTTACTTTGCAGCGTTTCCTATTTAAGCTCTAGAGTGCTCTTTGTGCCCTGACAATGAGACATTTCTATTTCTTTCATTCCCAATTCTTTCATTTTCATTTCTTATAGTACGACAGTTGATCCTTTTTCTGGGACTGGGAATCTAAAAGATTGCCGGCCCCGGGATTCGGACCCCCACCTGCCGATTGCCTCTCACTTCCCGCTCGAAAGCTCTACCAATGAGCTACACCCACACAGATCCCATTGTCATCAGGTGCTACCTTATGCCTTACTTCTTGTCTAACCAACCTGGCTCCTACCTGGCCTTGCCTGACAAATGCATTGCTCTAACAACCGCTTATCACGAAAAACGTCCCCGTGCCTTTTTAGCTGCAATTTCGCCCCGCCGTCAACGTGCCGCCATAGCTCAGTCGGTTAGAGCGTGGGTCTAATATTCGTCTAGATAGCCCAAGGTCGCAGGTTCGACCCCTGCTGGCGGCAAATCGTTTTGCCATTTCACAAAAAAACGACCCAGACCCCTTTTCTTTGTAATTTCCCCCCTCGCGACCCTGCCGCCATAGCTCAGTCGGTTAGAGCGTGGGTCTAATACTCGTCTAGATAGCCCAAGGTCGCAGGTTCGACCCCTGCTGGCGGCAAATTCTTTTGCCTTTACTTAGGTTGTCCAGAAAGTCTTGGTTAATTCGTGCATTTGTTGAATGAAGAACGAAAAAGCTCTTTCTTTTAAGGTAAAGCTTACAGTAACCCAGGCGTTAGCTTGAACTGGATTACGGTAATTTTCTATTTCATTAGGATTTTGAGAAGAAAATTTTCTTTATAAATTGATTCTCTAACGATAAGATTTGTAAAAGTTGTACGCTGAAGTCTTTACTCGATCTCTTGCAGATGAGACATTTCATTCTCGGTTTATAGGAGTCTCCTTTCTGTCAAAACTCTCAACAAACTCCCCCGAAAGTGCCATTCAGCCAATCGGACACATGTGTGCTTGGGAACAAAAAGGATCAAGGACTTTAGAAGAAATAAATGCATTTCTGTCAACATTTTCGAATCGATATCGACCATTCGACAGTGCTAAACGCACCCTTTCTAGCACACAGAATAAGGGAAAACCATTGTGACGAAATGTTCTTTGTACGCGCGCGCAATCGCTCTCCATCTAGCACACAGAATAAGGGAAAACCATTGTGGCGAAATGTTCTTTGTACGCGCGCCTAATCGTTCTCCATCTGGCACACAGAACAAGGCAAAAACCATTGTGGCGAAACGTTCTTTGTACGCGCGTTCTTTGTATGCGCGCGCAATCGCTTTCCATCTGGCATCTGGCCTGAGCTAGGGGTTGCCGTTCGATGGGCGGGTTCGAAAAGGGAAGACCCTTAGGCCGACTCCGTATGCCAGAAGGAGAACGATTGTGCACCCACAGAAAGAACATCTCTCCAGTTGGTTTTTCTTTTGTTCTGTAAATGATTTCTAAATGAGATTTAATATAATTTTTAATATTATTTAATATAAATGTTTTTAATATTATTTAATATTTTTGAGTGCCCAAGGATTTTCAGCATCCTAGAACTCATTGGCTAGTTTATTTTAACCATTTGTCTAAAGAAGAGAAGCAGAAGAAGTACGTTTGTAGCTTACTGTCTTGTCCTCTGCGCTCAAAAATGTAAACCCATCCCTTCTGGTATAGTCAAAAGCTTTAGAGACCTGTAAATTACTTGATCAATCGACTGAAAATCTCGTTTTAGTAGGGAAACTTTTTCTAGATTTAAAAATCTATACGTTTTTTTCTTGTTTCCTTTTCATTTTACAACTTATTTTATCAATTTCAGTGATTTAAAATGAAATTAATGAAGTGTATCGAATGGAAAATTTATTCAAAATCATTGAATGATAAAAGAGAAATCACATTTCAGCTTACAGTAGATGGATTTGAAAGATTCCATAAGCTTTTCTTTTCATTTCTTTTCATTTCTTTTCGTTTCTTTTCATTTCTTTTCTTTCTTTTTCTTTCTTTTCATTTCTTTTCATTTCTTTTCGTTTCTTTTTCTTTCTTTTCATTTCTTTTCATTTCTTTCCATTTCTTTTTCTTTCTTCTCTTTCCTTTCCTTTTTCTAGTTCTAGTGTTCGCCTTTACTTTTACCAATAAATAGAATGAGTTATCTCAAAATTCTCAGTAGTGGATCTTGTTTAAAACAAATTCATATCAATATTGATGAAACTGACATGAATGAAACAATATTCTTTGGCTTATGTTGCTTTGGCTTGCTTTGGCTTGCTTTAGTCTTGCTTTGGCTTGCTTTGGCTTGCTTTAGGCTTGCTTTGGCTTGCTTTGGCTTGCTTTGGCTTGCTTTAGTCTTGATTTGGCTTGCTTTGGCTTGCTTTGGCTTGCTTTAGTCTTGCTTTAGTCTTGCTTTGGCTTGCTTTGCCTAAAGAAAATCAAATTCCAGTGGATTTCAGCTCTGGATTTATTTAAACTAAAGCAATTAAAGCAAAGAAACAAAATAATTCATTCACTTGGATCAAATGGTTTACATATGATTTCCCTTCTCTTTCTTCTTTGTCTTTCTTATTTCTTCTCCGTCAGCCAAGCCCGAATAGCTCAGTGGTAAAGCAGCTGGCGGCTGGGCGGAAGGTCAAGCAGAGGGTCCGGGTTCAATTTCCCTCCGAAATTCTTTGTCATTTTTTTTGCCTTTTGCCTTTTGCCATTTTTTTAGATTAGATTTTCAATGATTTCTTTGCTTTATTAGCTTTAGTTTATTAGCTTTTCTTCTTTATTATCTTCTTTATAATCTACTTTATTAGATTTCTACTGCAAATAGAACTAGAATCAATTGTGGATCTAAGAAATCAATTGTGAATCAACTAGAATCAATTGTGGATCTAAGAAAATCCAAGCGTAAACTCGTTTCGATAAATTTGTTTGACTTAAAAAGATTGACTAAATAGATTGTTTTTAAAGAATTTGGCTATATGCTTTTTGCGTTCTTTCTTTTTTTTCCTATTAACATCTAAAGGTTTTTGTTGAAGAAAGAGTTCAAATTGTTCATTGAATTGCTCGAATTTTTTGGATTTTCGCCTTTGTGCTTTTCAAAAAAAGCCATAAAAACAAGAATTTCAAAGTAATTTTGCAAAGAAACAATTAAACGTTTTCAATAGTTTAAATAAAAATCGAAGTTTTCTCTAACTAACTAAACTCTAAACAAACTCTTTCCCATCGTGTAAAGCGTTCAATTCGTCAGCGTCAGCCTCAGCCTCAGCCTCAGCCTCAGCCTCAGCCTCAGCCTCAGCCTCAGCCTCAGCCTCAGCCTCAGCCTCAGCCTCAGCCTCAGCCTCAGCCTCAGCCTCAGCCTCAAGCATGTAAAGCGTTCCAATTTTGAATCTATAATCTCAAAGGTGATGGCACTTTCCCTTTCTCAAAACTCAACTCATTTTACGGGGATTTCTCAAACCATGAATGGGAGAGAAATTCGAGTCTTTCCCGAATTTGTGTCCACTTTTTTCTTTCCCACTTTTCACTTTTGTTTTCTTTCTTTTTCCTTTTCCTTTTCCAGAGAGATGAGTCCTGGAAAGCGCCAAGGAGACTCTTCCCTTTCATTCAAATAGTTTTTCTCAAATAGTCTCTTCTCCTTGTTTTTTTTCTTCTAGCCTGTCTCTCGTTTTGTCAAAATTTATCGATTATTTAGTTCTTATTTCTATAATATAATATATTATAATATTCCTTGTGAGTAATGCGTTTTTTTAAAGCGCACAGAAAAAAGAAAAATTTGAGATTTGAGAAAAATTATCTTCGCGAAAATTATTGCAAAAAAAAAAATGAGGCGAAAATTATCGCAAAAAAAAATGACGCAAAAATGACGAGCGCTGCCTTATATATAACTTCTTTTAAAGATATTCAGTTGTTTAATGAAAAATTCTCGTCAAATTTAAAGATATTCAGTTGTTTAATTGATTTGATGAAAAATCCCGTTAAATTTAAAGATATTCAGTTGTTTAATTGATTAAATAAAGAAATTCCCGTCAAATATAAAGATATTCAATTTACTCGACGTGTAAAGAGGATTTACTCGTAGCTACTCGATCAAAAGACCAATTAATCGAGTAAAAACTATTCATGCGAATTTTACTCGAGTAATCCTCACCTTACTCGCGAGGAACACCCTCTAATTCTAATCTAATAGCATCGTTGATCGGAGGTGAAAAGCGTCGTTGATCGTTGAAGACTGAGGTTTGATCTCACTTCGATCCAAATTGAATCAAAGCTCTTTTATTCAAAAACTTTAAATGTAAATTTAGCACTCAAGTAACGGAGGATCAGGGTTTGACTCCGGAGAGGATGCTCATCGTATGTGAACTCGTTTCTGTAGAAATTTGATCGCAAAAATTTGATCGCTATTTCCGATCCTTTTCTTCTTCTTTAACATTTTATCTATTTTTCTCTTCTCTTTTATAATCCAAGAGAATTTTGAGGCTTTTCTATAATCGCCGAATCCATAAGGGAATGGGGATGAATGGTTGTCGGGGTGGAGGTGAAATTTGGGGTGAAGGAAGACGACAACAAATGGACCTCGGTGGGGGGTGCTGAAGATTGGAGGGGATTGGGGAGTAGGACAGGAGAGGACAGGAGAGGGCAGCAGAGGACAGGAAAGCACAGGGGTGACAGTTGCCCGGGTTACCCCACTAGGCCCCATCTCTTTCCCCCAAATCCTGCCTCGCGCGCAGAACATCATCATCAATTCGAATTGGAGTTTTTTGTTTTGAAAACATTGGACAAATGAAGCCAAGAAGAGAAAGAAAAAGTCGATTTAGGGGATTGAACCATCGACCTATGCTTTTTGGCTTGCTTGATGGCTCTGGCTTTGATGTAATCACTCTAACCATTGAGCTATCCGATCCCCTAAGTTGCCAGAAGAAAAGAAGGAAATGTAATCAGCAATACCAGTTTCCCAGTTCGCCCCAATCTTTTCTGTAAACCTTTGCACAAGAACTAGGTGTTAGTGGGGGAACTTGCGCAGGGAAAGAGAGGAATCAAGAGGTTAAGAATGTGTATGAGAGAGAGAGAGAGAGAAAGGAATGAAAGGAATGAAAAGAGAGAAAGAGAGCCTTTTCAATGGGGTGAACCGTCACGCTGTAAAGGGTTGCGTCGCGGTGGTCGGGGCCGGCTCAGATGGGTGAAGGGGCGGGGCAATGGAGGGGGACACACACCTATCTGCGCGCGCTCACCTTGATCCATTAACTCAATCTCTTTATTTACTCTTTATTTACTATTTATTATTTATTTATCCATATCTTTTTATAGATTAAATATCGTAAATCAATGTTTATTTCGATTTTTTCATTTGTTTCACACAAAAAATTTGGTACAAAACTTTAAAAGAAATCTCAAATTTGTATTTTAAGTGATATCTTTATTTATATTTCTAAATTTTAAATTAAATTATATCCCTTATTAATGTCTTTTTGAATATCGTGCATCCGTTTTTATGTAAAAAGTATTAAAACCTATATTAAAGCTAGAAATAATCTTGCTAAAGGCTTAGGCTTTACATAGATTTCTTTTGATATAATTTTATATATTTCTTTAATCTTTTATATTATAATATTATATATTTCTTTAATCTTTTATATTCCGACAAAAAACTATTTCATTAGATCACTTTAGATAATTATGCGCGAGCTATGTAACGATCCAGAAAATAAGCTTTCATTGTTTCCATTCAACTCCCCAAACCATTATACAATTATTGGGTTGATGCATAATTATCCGGACTTCTTTTATAAATGATTTTATTTAACAAAAAATAACATAAATAGTTAGAAAAATATGTTTAATTGATTATTCTGGAGCATATTCACCGCCTACATCAATAACTGATTGCCATTTGCTTGGAAGACGATCGATTCCACGAGCGAAGAATAAACGATCTTTGGAGGCAATCCACGCATTGACATCGTCTATCAAGTCATCCAAATCGTTGTAGATCTTATTTGTTTGCCAATTTTTGAGCGATCGATTGACGTGGTAGTCCGTTGGGGCTTCTCCAGTTCTTTGAGATCGCGAAACGACTCTGCGGCAGACCATCCCTTTTCGAAGTGGTAGAGCATGATATGGCGAAGATGGATATGATTGTCGACACGCATTTTGTTCACTAAAGAATAACGAATATTTAAAAAAAAGAAATAGACAAAAAGCTTTCAAAACAAAAAAGATACAAGCACGCAAAAAGAAGTCCGGATAATTATGCATCAACCCAATAGTTTTGGCCTTCATTGTGATGACGATAGATCAGTTTTGTAACGGTGCAGAAGGTGAGCCTTGTTTTTGTTATTTCCATTTAACTCCGCAAACCATCTTACAGTTAGCTTTGGTCTTTATTGTGGTCCGGCTACGAAAAGTTCCGGATTCTCCACTCGGCTCTAAATGGAAATTGATTGCTTTCTCATTTCAACAAAAAATTTATCGCGTAAAACGATATTTTCAATAATCTGTGTGAAAAAAATGATTTGAAAACGAAAAAGAGACGACGAAGGAGAAAAAATGATTTGAAAATGAAAAAGAAACGACGACGCGGCACTCCCATCGACTACCTTCAAATGACGGTGACGTCAATTGGAATGCGATGTCGTCGGCTCCCAAATGAAAATTGATTGCTTTCTCATTTCAACAAAAAATTTATCGCGTAAAGCGATATTTTCAATAATATATGTAAAACAAATTTGAAAACGAAAAAAACGAAAAAGAAACGAAAAAGAGATGACGAAGCAGGAAAAAATGAGTTAAAAACGAAAAAGAAACGACGAGATGACGAGATGACGAGAAGAAATTAAATAAATGATTTAAAAACGAAAAAGAAACGACGACGCGGCGCTCCCATCGACTACCTCCAACTGGCGGCGACGTCAATTGGAATGCGACGTTGCGCGAAAATGAAAACAATAAGACAAAATTAATATTACAATTAGATTAGCTTTAAAATTACATTAGCTGAATATCTTTTTATTTAACTATTAGTTATTGGATATTCAGTTATCAAGCTTTTTAAAAGCTTTTGATATTGTTTATTTTGAAAAAAATAATTTTTAGTAAAAACTACGGCTTTTTCGAGTATTATCACTATTCCCCATTTTCTTGATCGATTTATCAGCTGAATATCTTTTATATAGCTATTTTCCTTATTACTGTTTCCCATTTCATTTGCCTACTAAAAACTACTTACGGGGGTGAGACAAATGCGACCTTTTTTTTGCGCACCTTTTTTTTTTGCTGGAAAAGGCCTTAGGAAAGGCCGTAGAAAATGTTTCCATCTGAAGAAATCGTATGCGTAGATTCCGAATTTCGACAAATCACACCTCGCTGACACGTCAAATTTGGGCTAAAAGGCAAAAACTCCGCAACTTAACGCTTTTCCGCAGTTTTTGCCTTTTAGCCCAAATTTGACGTGTCAGCGAGGTGTGATTTGTCGAAATTCGGAATCTACGCATACGATTCCCTATTATGAAAACATTTTCGAAGCTCTACGACCTTTCCTAAGGCCTTTTCCAACAAAAAAAAGGTCGCATTTGTCCCACCCCCCAAAACTACGGCTTTTTCCAGTATTCCCCATTTTCTTGATCGATTTATCAGCTGAATATCTTTATCAGCTGAATATCTTTTATATACCTATTTTCCTTATTACTGTTTCCATTTCATTTGCCTACTAAAAACTACTTACAACTTTTTACTTACTCTTACAATTACTGACTACTTTCTGACTTTTTCCCGTAATCAGCACGTGTGGCTGACTGGTTAAGTGTCTTTTATCTTAATCGGAAGGTCGAGGGTTCGAACCCGACATGGTCACCCCCTTCGGATTTCCTTTCCCTTCGGGTTGAGAGGTTTTCTGGAGGGCAGTCTGGTGGTTGTGGCCCCAGTTCTTTAAAGTGACAAGCCACTCCTTCATCGTCATCTTCCCTTCACCACCAAAAAAAGCTATTTAGTTCCCCATTGAGCTTAGGGTTAGGGAGCCGTCTGTCATGACGTGGGTTAAGTTAAGATATAGCCTAGTATTGTGTGTGTCGTTGTATTGTGATTGATATATTTCGTGTATGCAATAAATTCACCACTGGTAGCCCCAGTCGGTATTTTTTTTTTTTTTAAAAAATCAGCTAGATAAATGCTATAAGTTAATAACTTTTATATAAAATATAACTAAATAGAATAGATTCTTATTTAATTAGAGAGATCTTTGTATGACCTTGAGATTTTTGAGGTGAAAAGGGTGACTAAAAAAAAAGGGGGGGGTAAAAAGAAAACACGGATGAAAAGAAAGAACTGTCGACTGACCTCGGCATCCCTTCCCTTGGCATTTTATTGATTTTTTTTTTCACTAAAAACAATCTTTATGAACTTTATCTTAAGTTAATTATAGATTTTTCAATCTAATACGTATCTTTTTCAGCTTAATTACCCAATTAGTTTACCCAAAGCTGAGCCAAGCAAGTGATTATTGTTAAAACTTGTTATTGTTATTGTTATCGTTATTGTTCTTGTTCTTGTTCTTGTTCTTGTTCTTGTTCTTGTTCTTGTTCTCTTTATCGTTCTCGTTCTCTTTATCGTTCTCTTTATCGTTCTCTTTATCGTTCTCATCCTCATTCTTCTTCTTCCTCTCCTTCTCCTTCTCCTTCTCCTTCCCCTTCTCCTTCCCCTTCTCCTTCTCCTTCTCCTTCCCCTTCTCCTTCTCCTTCTTCCTCTCCTTCCCCTTCTCCTTCTCCTTCTCCTTCTCCTTCCCCTTCTCCCTTCTCCTTCTCCTTCTCCTTCCCCTTCTCCTTCTCCTTCTCCTTCTCCTTCTCCTTCCCCTTCTCCTTCTCCTTCTCCTTCTCCTTCCCCCTTCTCCTTCTCCCTTCTCCTTCTCCTTCCTCCTTCCCCTTCTCCTTCTCCTTCTCCTTCTCCTTCTCCCTTCCCCTTCTCCTTCTCCTTCTCCTTCTCCTTCTCCTTCTCCTTCTCCTTCTCCTTCTCCTTCTCCTTCCCCTTCTCCTTCCCCCTTCTCCCTTCTCCTTCTCCTTCCCCTTCTCCTTCTCCTTCTCCTTCCTCCTTCTCCTTCTCCTTCTCCTTCTCCTTCCCCCTTCTCCTTCTCCTTCTCCTTCTCCTTCTCCTTCCTCCTTCTCCTTCCCCTTCTCCTTCTCCTTCTCCTTCCCCTTCTCCTTCTCCTTCTCCTTCTCCTTCTCCTTCTCCTTCTCCTTCCCCCTTCTCCTTCTCCTTCTCCTTCTCCTTCCCCTTCTCCTTCTCCTTCTCCTTCCCCTTCTCCTTCTCCTTCTCCTTCTCCTTCTCCTTCTCCCTTCTCCTTCTCCTTCTCCTTCCCCTTCTCCTTCTCCCTTCTCCTTCTCCTTCTCCTTCTCCTTCTCCTTCTCCTTCTCCTTCCCCTTCTCCTTCTCCTTCTCCTTCTCCTTCTCCTTCCCCTTCTCCTTCTCCTTCTCCTTCTCCTTCTCCTTCTCCTTCTCCTTCTCCTTCTCCTTCTCCTTCTCCTTCTCCTTCTCCTTCCCCTTCTCCTTCTCCTTCTCCTTCTCCTTCTCCTTCCCCCTTCTCCTTCTCCTTCTCCTTCTCCTTCTCCTTCTCCTTCTCCTTCTCCTTCTCCTTCTCCTTCTCCTTCTCCTTCCCCTTCTCCTTCTCCTTCTCCTTCTCCTTCTCCTTCTCCTTCCCCTTCTCCTTCTCCTTCTCCTTCTCCTTCCCCTTCTCCTTCTCCTTCTCCTTCTCCTTCTCCTTCTCCTTCTCCTTCTCCTTCTCCTTCTCCTTCTCCTTAAATCATTAAAACTTATCATTTAAGATAAGCTAGCTATTAAAAAGTTGAAATTATTTTTAATTGCTGAATTCTAAAAGTTTTATGGAAAATTTTTTTGTAAAACTTTTGTTTAAAGAGAAATTTTAAAGAAAATTGTTAAATTTCTTCTTTTTTTTGAAAATTTCTGTTAGTCAGCTGTTTGTTTTTTGTTAAAATATTCGAATAGGAAATAGGGAAATTGATTGATTTTTAAGACTTTGACTTTTAAAGACTTTTAAACTTTTAAGATGAGACTTTTAAAATGATTGAGCTGATTTCATTTGATTCTCTTTTTTCTCTTAGTATCTTGACTATTTTCTATTTTAAATCTCTAAACGCACTTCTAGTGCATTGAATTCTTCATCTTTCTTTGAAAATCAAGAATTCAATGCACTAGAAAGAGGATGTTTGAGGAAAAGTTGAGCACAAAGTAGAGAAAAGCTTTCTTTCTTTTTTTCTTTCTTTTTCTTTTTCTTTCTTTTTCTTTTTTTTCTAATTTCATTTGTTTTGTTTTTCTGTTTTCTGGGGAATTGTTGAAATGGAAATTTCATTTTATTTTATTCATTTGAATCGATTTTCTAAAAAAAAATAATCAATCTTCATCAATCAAATTGTCTTTTGCGCTTATCTATAAACGCATCTTTTCTAGCGCACAAAATTCTTCATCTTTCTCAATTCTGTAAGAAAAATTAGGATTCCAGTGCTCTAGGAGGAGGTACATTTAACCAAATTCGAGAAAAAAGTACGCACAAAGTAAAGTAATGGCTGTACTTTGCGCTTACCTATAAACGCATCTTTTCTAGCGCACAAAATTCTTCTTCTTTCTCAATTCTGTAAGAAAACCGGAATTCCAGTGCTCTAGATGAGGTGCGTTTTAGCTAAATTCGAAGAAAAAGTACGCACAAAGTACGCAGTAAAGTAATGGCTGTACTTTGTGGGGTACTTTGTGCTTCTCTATAAACGCATTTCTTCTAGTGCACGAAACTCTTCAATATCCTCTAAAATCAAATCATTATCGTAAGAAAAATGAAGAATTCAATGCACTAGAAAGGGTTATTAAATGGTTTCATTGTTTTGGAAATGTTGGCCGATCGATTCAGTGCACCAGAAAGCTTGCGTTTAGTTAAATTCAAGCACAAAGTACAGAAAATGGTCTAGATTTTGAAATGAAACAAAAAAAAAGCAAAAATTATTCATTTCTCTTGAAATTTTAAAGCTATTTTATAGCTAAATCTTTTTTTTTTTTGAAAAAAATCTAATGAATCCGATTGTTATTTTGAAGGCTTTTCATGAAAATCCGTAAAGAAAAAAAAACTGATTCATCACCGTTCACCCAAGCAAAACGTTTCATTTAGTTTTTGCTTCATTTTGACAATTTTTTTTTCTAGATATAGATGTACTTTGAGCTCAAATTTTTCTAAACGCAAGCTTTCTCGTGCACTGAATTGATCGGCTAACATTTCCAAAACAATGAAACCATTTAAGAACCAACTAAGAGAAAAAAAAACCCGAGCCGGACTCGAACCCAAGCTCAAACCCCAATCCTCGCTTTGTATTCAAGCCCACTACCACTCGGCCAACACGACAGCTTTTCTGCCCCCTTGTAAGTCGAGTTATAACCTCTGCCTTTCCGATTCCATACAAAACTTTGAGGACTTATAACTTTTGATAGAGTGCTCGATAGAAGAAACGGAAAGCAGATTCGGAATCAGCGTGAAATTCTGCATCAGATAATATATGGCTTGTAGCCAAAAACCATTTAATATCCTCTTGTTCGTCTAACTAAAGTTTTCAATGAAAATTGAACATCATTACATTGTTTTAGACCTATTGTGCATACAAATTTGAGCACAAAGTACACGCGTAATTGTTGTCCATCTAGCATACTGGAATTGATTTGGTTCAATACTATCAATTCAATCGATCTATAGGCTATCATAGATCTAGGCTATCATAGATTTAGATCTGATCTGATAGGAGAGAAAGGGTTGACCCTGGGGGAGGGTTAGGGCTAGGGTTAGGGCTAGGGTTAAGGCTAGGATTGACCCTGCTTACCATTGACTGAGGCTAAGGCTAGAGCTAGAGCTAGGGCTAAGGGTAGGGCTAGGGTTAGGGCTAAGATTGACCGTGACTACCATTGACTGAGGCTAAGGCAAGAGCTAAGGCTAAGACTAGAGCTAGAGCTAGAGCTAGTGGTCGACCCTGAGCCTCTCCTTTTCCCCAGCCTCACCCATCACTCATCTCGGTTATTCACGACGAGAGCTATGATGGAAATGGACTCGCCCACTTCCCTCAACCTTCCCTCAGTTGACATTCTTCAAGCTCCTCTTTCAAGCCATTCCCAACTCTTTCTCCTTCTCTTTTCTCTTCTATTACCTATAAAAAGCAATCGTTCTCATCAACTTTCATCTTATTTATGTCAAAAGATTCCTCTCATTGAGCTATAAATAGTAAATCGATTAAACAACTGAATATCTTTACTTATAACTGAATAAGTAAACTAGTAGACTGAATAAAATGTTCTCTAAACGATTCTCTGACTCTGAAAACCCTTAAAGTATTCGATCTTCAACACTTTTTTTATATTACTATTGGATTCTTTTGGTGTTTCCCATTCGTATCCTTGACTCTTCTCAATCTTGACCATTCAATCCTCCTCTCTACAAGGTCATTCATCAAAGTTTTGCATTTGAAATCGATTTTTGCAACAGTACACCTAGTTTTCCTTACTAAACTAAGTCTTTACATTCTACCGTTCGTCTCTAATATCGAGCCAGGCCTTGATACCAAGCTACTGTATCCCTGGCCTTCAAACCAAGCTACCGTATCCCTGGTCTTCAAACCAAGCTATCGTATCCCTGGCCTTAATCCCAAGCTACCGAATCCCTGGCTTTGATACCAGGCTACCGTATCCCTGGCCTTCTTCGAGACTAGAACGTAGATCTATAACGTCGACTAGAACAGTTGAATAGACAATTCTATAGACAGAAGACTTTAGAGTATCTAAAGTTTAGAGTATCTAGAGTTTAGAGTATCTAGACTTAGAGTATCTAGAGTTTATCAAGTGCTCCATCAGATACATCTAAAGCATTCTCTAAGTACCAAGCATTCTGTGCTTTCAATTCTCGCCGATATTGACTCCAGAATTGTATAAATGAATTCCTCGATGCTTTTGAACTTTGTCGAGGTTTTCGATTCTCTCTCTAGGAAGAGATTCAACAGAGATCACTCGAATCCATTCCCTTTCAATCCATCTTTACCAGCCTTGCGCCAGCTCAACTTTCACCAGCCTTTCACCCTCATCCTCATACGCTTTTTTTCGGAGCTGTCTGCTCTGGGGATGATGCCAGTATTGGGGATGATCTTCCTCTTCTTCCTCTTCTTCTTCCTCTTCCTCTTCTTCCTCTTCTTCTCCGTCTTCTTCTTCCTCTTCTTCTCCGCTTCTTCCTCTTCTTCTTCGTTTCCTCTTCTTCTTCTTCTTCCTCTTCTTCTTCTTCTTCCTCATCTTCTTCTTCTTCCTCTTCTTCTCCGTCTTCTTCTTCCTCTTCTCCTTCTTCCTCTTCTTCCTCTTCTTCTTACTGTTTCCTTCCTTCCTTCCAACCAATACTTTCCCTTACTTCGATTAGAGGTCCTTAACCAATTAGCTCATTTTCCTATAGTATTATAGTTAGTCGTCCCCCCCTTCCCCTCTTCCCCCTTCCCTCTTCCCCTCTTCCCATCCTCTTCCCTCTCAAATCCAGAGCTGACCCATATTTATACGTTTTCCCCTTTTTCACCTTTCCTTTTGCAACACAGACAATTTCTTTGTTTCTTTGAGAGCTGAGCTCACAAAAACTTTCCCTTTTTCTCTTTTTTCTAATCAGGATCTTTATTTTTAATGATTCTTTCTTTAAAAAAACAATTAGAATATATTTTCTACAATTTCTACAATTTTAGAAAGTAAAAGATTTGATCAATACGTCGAATTGATCAATATTTTCGATTCTTTATTTGATTTTTCTCTGAACCGATCGCCATCCTGTCTCCCTCGTTGAGTCCACCGCCGGCAAAGCTGCTCTGTCAGGTAAACTACTTAGGAAAGTACCTAGAAAAGTACTTATAGATGTACTTTTCTAAGTACTTCTCCAACTCCCGATCTCTTGTGATCATTTCAACGATTTCTTTCTTTTTTCTCTTTCTCCCAAATCCCCATTCACTTTCTCCCAAATATCGAAAATGTTCAAGCTAAACAAATAAAGCGAAAAGCCATCACAAAGCCATCGCAAAGCTTCCACAAAAGCCCCGCCTACATCTAGAATCTAGAATCCCCCAAAGCTTTTCAATTAGTATCGATTATCCAATGAATTATTTTGGGAAACGCCTAAGCCTAAGCCATTTCCAGCTACCCCCGCACCTTCGCGGCATGGAGGCCAACTCTCCTGCACACCATTTGACTTCAGCTGCGTCGCTTGAGTCACTCAATTCAGCGACTAGTCAGGTACGAAGAGATTGAAATCTGCTAGACACGTAGCTGGCTGGCTGGCTAGCTGGCTGGCTGGCTGGTTGGCTGGCTGGCTGGCTGGCTAGCTGGCTGGCTGGCTGGCTGGCTAGCTGGCTGGCTGGTTGGCTGGCTAGCTGGCTAGCTCAGAACCAATACAAGTAGCTCGCCCATTGTAACCGATTACTGTAAGAGTCTTCTAACCAATCCTGATTCCAGGCTGAGAACAATGTGCGCACTCTCTTCGTCTCTGGACTTCCAATGGACGCAAAACCCCGCGAGCTGTACTTATTATTTCGCAGCTATCCTGGCTATGAAAGCTCTTTACTTAAAATGACGGCAAAGAATGGAAAAGTAATAAGAAAAGTGATTCAAAAAAGAGCTCTTTCATTTAGTCAACATCTCCAGTCGGCTTTGTCACTTTTGCCACGAGACAAGACGCTGATGAGGCAAGGAAAGCGCTACAAGGTTTGGACTTTTTTCTCTTGTAGCTACAGGGTTTATAAATCAGGTCAGACTAGCCGGGCAAGACTAGAGCCTAATCCAAGCCTGATCCAGTACTTTTTCGTTAGCCAGTTTTGGTAAAGCCAGATCAGGCCTCGAGTTGATCCTGAATGATCTGGTCTTGCTATAGAATTAATCTAGAAAAGGTATTTGAGGCCGTTAGAAGAACCTAGATCCTTTAGACTGTGAGCTGGGGAAATTTGGCAAAGTTTGGAGCCAAGGGGAATCGAACCCTCGACCTCTTGCCTTGCAGCCAGACGATCTACCACTGAGCTATCAGCCCCTTGTTTCGGCGAGAAGAAATAAGGATAACGAGCCCACGAGTCTGAAGATCCCCTCTCTTCTTTATGTTGCTTATTTCTTCTCGGGGAGAAAAGGCTACGGTGGCTCAGTGGTAGAGGGTCTGGTTGCTAGGCAGGAGGTCGAGCGGGGGTCGAGGGTTCGATTCCCCTTGGGTCCAAATCTTTTTCCTTCATTTCTTTACTTTTACCAAAGTCAGTCGAAAGCCAATTCTATGAATTATCTCACAAAATCGCAATTTCAGGTGTTCGCTTCGATCCGGAATGCGCGCAAACGATCCGTCTGGAGTTGGCCCGAAGTAACACCAAGGTGATGGCTGGTTGACTGACACATGATTTCTTTCAGGCCTCACCCTGCCCGGGATCAAGAACAAAGCAATTAGCAAATGCTATGATAATGTATTAGTCTTGTAAAGTCTTTTTTGATGATAATTTCTAGGGACAAAAAGCGAATAGATGGTTGGCTATAGAGGAGGCGCCGGTATTTGAATAGAATTTGGTTTCTTTCAAGGATTGATGATTGATTAGGGAGTACTGTAACCAGTTGAAGAGGACAGTAGGCTATAGTAGCTTTGTGTAAAGCTGTAGCTTAGTCGATAGCTTAGCCTATAGCTTAGCGTAAAGCTGTAGCTCAGCCTGTAGCTTTGCGTAAAGCTGTAGCCCGTACTACAGTACCCAAATCGATCAAATACATTACCCAAATCAATCAAATCCTTTGGGTAATCTGTCCACCTTTTAGAGAACATAAAAAAGCAGTCATTTTAGCATCATTTAGCATTATTTAGCCGGCTAAAAAGCCAAGACGATGGGCTGAATCTCCTATAGAAAAAGTGGTAAAAAAAAAGTGGTTTTGGGTAAACCCTGGGTCGACGTAAATTTCAGTTATCTATTTTTTGATCTATTGAATAGTACAGTAGTCGGTAGTAGCTTTGCGTAAAGCTGTAGCTCGTACTACAGCTTTACGCATAGCCCTTACTACAGCTTGAACTCTAGAATAATACCCATTTTTTTAGGTACCACGACCGAAACAAGCAACTCCACCCACATCACAAATGGGAATGCTACCGGTTGTCGGCTTGCAAAGCCTACCACAATATGCGAATGCTGGACACGAGCTTCTTGTTGATAGCAATCATTTACTTTTCGAGCAACAACAGGTTTGTTTTTTTGGAATTAGTCGTATTCTATACTGTATTCTTCCCTTTCAATCCATCTTTTGCTCAACTTTCTCCAGCCTTTCACCCTCATCCTCATACGCTTTTTTCGAGCTGTCTGCTCTTTTTACCATCCCATATCTATCAATATTGGGGATGATGTCAGTATTGGGATGATCTTCCTCTTCTTCTTTCTCTTCCTCTTCTTCTTCTTCTTCTTCTTCTTCTTCTTCTTCTTCTTCTTCTTCTTCTTCCTCTTCTTCCTCTTCTTCTTCTTCTTCTTCCCTCTTCCTCTTCTTCCTCTTCTTCTTCTTCTTCTTCTCCTTCCGTCTTTCTTTTCCCTTTATCATTCCATTTTCTCATTCACTGATCACTCAATTTTAACCATCAAGATCAAGAGAAATTTGCCAAATTCCCGACTTTTCCCGACTTTTCCCGAGCAATTCCCGACTTTTCCCAAGCAATTCCCGAGCAATTCCCAAGCAATTCCCAAGCAATTCCCAAGCAATTCCCAAGCAATTCCCAAGCAATTCCCGAGCAATTCCCAAGCAATTCCCAAGCAATTCCCAATACCTTGTACTCAAAAAAGCCTTAAATTCTTCGATGAAAAAATGAAACCTAAATTAAAAACCTAAACCAAATTCTTTCTTGACATTCTTCAGTTTTCTTGAATGATTCATTGTCTACAGATTCAAAAAAATTACAAAGGAATTAGCCAAGAAACAGCTGAGAAAACGAAAGTGGAATTTGGCTTGGTTTGAGGATTTTTTCCATATCTGGGAAAATAGTTTTAAAGTTTAAACTCGAATTTGAGATTTAGAAAAATAGCCAAGTGACTTTGGATAATTCTAGTGTTGGATTAGTTAACTCCCTCTAGAAGGGAGGCAAACAAGTGCTTGATGGTGTAATGGTTAGCACACTTGCATGGGAAGCCGAGGGTCGCGGGTTTCGACTCCCGGTGGTGCACAAGTTTTGATCTGACTCTAGTTTTGATCTTCTGATTTGATTAGAGATAACCTCAACTTCAAGCTTCCATTTTTCTTTTCGTAAAACATTATATTCGACTCTGAAAAGCCATCGATCTCTTGCAGAAAATTCTCTAAAATTTGGCAAGAATTTCGATTTGATTCGTTGCCGATCTGTGAAAAGCTTTCCCTCTTTTGTCTTTCGCTCATTCAATTTGTCCATCTGGCGACTCCAAATCACTCTATTTTCATAGCTGTTGCCAGAATTTTGGCTTAATAAATTGAAGAAATTCGAAACACCATAGATTTCTCAATTTAAGGCATCACAGAAAAAACGAAAAACCTCTTTCAGCTTCTCGCACTCACCGTTCCTCAACTAGCCGCCTCGCAACATTTGCAAATGTTACCAACGAGCACTTTACAGCAATTAGCTGCCACACAGGTATAGAGAAAGAATAGAGAAAGAATAGAGCAATTCTTGAGATTTTTAAAAAACAAAAGACTCGAGTTGGAGTCGAACCCGGACCCTCTGGGTAGTAGGGAAGAGCCCTCCCGACTGAGCCACGACGGCGATGAGCGCAGCCGGGGAAAACCGGGTCTTATCCCGGCTGATCAAATCTAAATAATTAAAAAACAAAAGACTCGACCGGGAGTCGAACCCGGATCGTGTGGGTAGTAGGGGAGAGCCCTCCCGACTGAGCCATGAAGACGATGAGGGAAGCCAGGAAAAATTGGTCTTATCCCGGCTAGCCGCGGCTGCTCTAACTCGCCGGGGTAAGACCAATTTTTCCTGGCTGCCCCCATCGTCTTCATGGCTCAGTCGGGAGGGCTCTCCCCTACCACCCACGCGGTCCGGGTTCGACTCCCGGTCGAGTCTTTTGTTTTTTAAAGCCGCGGCTGGTCTAATCTAATCGTAAATTCTTTTCAGCCACTTTTGGCGGCAACGATAGCCGCTCAACAGCAGCAACAAGCGCAAGCTCAATTCGCTCAACATGCTCAATTCGCTCAGCTACAAGCTGCTCAAAATGCTGCTGCACAGGTAAAATCTAAAGCATAGCAATTATTCTATTTCCTTATCGTTTCCCAGGCAGCGATGATCTCCTCGGGTGCTTCCACCTCGTCAGCTCCTCCGTGTTCCACCCTTTTTGTCGCTAATTTAAGTGCAGCTGTCAGTGAGGAGGAATTGAGATCGTTGTTTAAAGTGAGTAGAAACAGGCAAATAGCTAAAAACGGAAATCCCCTTCTAGGCCTTCAGTGGAATGGTTCGATTGCGCTTGCATGCGAAAGGCGGCTCTGCAGTCGCCTTTGTCGAATACAATGACATTCGCGCTGCCACTCAAGCAATGATGCATCTCAATGTGGGTTTAGAAATTTGCAGTTAAACTATTCAAGCTTATTTTGCTTCCAAGCCAGTCTAGCCTAGGAAAGGCTAAGATTGTTCTACTTGAGCTCCAGAGTTGTTAGCCAGGTCTAGGTCTGGCTTTGGGCCAGCTAGCCAGTCAGCTAGCCAGCCAGCTAGCCAGCTAGCCAGCCAGCTAGCCAGCCAGCTAGCCAACCAGCTAGCCAGCCAGCTAGCTAGCCAGCTAGCCAGCCAGTCAGCCAGCCAGCTAGCTAGCCAGCTAGCCAGCCAGTCAGCCAGCTATTCAGCTATCCAGCTATTCAGCTTACTGAATACCTTTTCCATGCCATTGCAGTAAACTCTAGATGAAAATAACTTTCTCATCGCATTCCAGGGTGTCACCGTTCCATCGAACGACCGCGGCGGTATGCGAATCGAGTACGCGCGGAACAAGATGGCCGACTTGAGTTGATGGCCTTGAGTTGATGGCTTTTCTTCCCGCAAATGGAGCCCGGTCGGTCCTCGTCCACATTCCAATATCGAATGTAAATTTTCTCAAATTTACATTAATCATTTCTCGATGATTTCTCGATCTTCTTTCCAAATCATAATCAATCATTTTCTCGAAAAATTTCCCTTTGAAAATACCTCGTTCGCCTTGTTCTCATTATCGGTCATCGCGAGGTATCTCTTCTATTATTTTAAACTCATTTAAACGTCCCCCTTTACCTTCCCCTTCCTTTGAAGTCATTGAAGTCTGAGGGTTACTGTAGTTTTCTATAGTTCTATAGTTTCCTATACTTTTCTACACTTTTCCACCTTCTAATCAATATGACAGTTATTTTTGGATCATCGAGTTTTACTGATTCAAGTGCAGAGCAATTTGTCGGAGGGAAAAAGGGGAATAGAGGCTTTGTAAAAATGGCAAATCCCCGTTTCCCCTCCCCTCCCCAAAATTGCTCCGACTTCGAAGAGGATTTTGTTGCTAAGGGGACGAGGAAATAATCTAAACATCAAAATTCGAAAAATAGTATCCAAATCTGAGCTAAATCCTGCTCTAGATCTAAACTTTTACTCGAAATCAGTCCTCTTTCCTCAAATCGGAGAACTTTTCAACTCTAGTCCTTGCTCTAGTTCTAGTTCTAAGCCTGAATCCTGGATTCTGGTCCGGATTCTGGCAGGATTCTGGCCCGGATTCTGGCCTGGATTCTGGCAGGATTCTGGCCCGGATTCTGGCCCGGATTCTGGCACAGATCCTGGCCCTGGATCCTGACCCTTAGCACTAGGTTTTAAACTCTAGATCCTAAAGCCTAAGCCTGAAGCCTGGATTCTAGAGTCTGGATCTAGAGCCTGGCTTCTCGAGCCAGGATTCTAGAGCCTAGATTCTAGAGCCTAGATCCTGAACCTTGAGGCTTTGCTGTACCGTAAACCCTAGTTCTTTATTCTAACCAATAAATTGCCAACAATATCTGAAATTCCCCTATAAATCCCCAGCTCTTCACCTCTCGATGATTGAGAAAGAAGTTTTCTAATGGAGTATTGTGAACAAATGTTTACCCACGAAATGTATTGATTGATTATATCTAAAGGAAAGGGGGAAACACTTCGAAAGGAAAGGCTCTTCTCTATATTTGCGCATTGGGTGTTGACCGAGAATTGGGAGTGTTTGTTGACAACGATTGCTGAGATTTGAATTGAAAAAATTTTTACTAAGGGACTTTGATGGTACCAGAGCGATTGTATAGTCATTCTGAGCATAAGATTGATTGGTGAAAGGGAGGAGATTTGGTTTTGAACCTGTTGCTTTAGTGACTAAGCTAGGTAGCTTGGATGGGAAGATGGGAAGATAAGGAGAAGAAGAGGAAGAAGGAGAAGGAGGAGAAGAAGGAGAAGAAGAAGGAGAAGAAGGAGAAGAAGAAGAGGAAGAAGAGGAAGAAGAAGAAGAGGAAGAAACTAAGAAACTAAGAAAGTAAGCCTATCTCTTGTCCTACTTTGCACAAATTTGCATCAAATTTTTCACTTCAAAGAACTCAAAGAATCCCACAGCCAGAATCCCAGTGCACTGCTTTAAAACATAGCTACATAGCATAGCTATCTTGAACATAGCTACCGTACCTTCACCTAGCACTTGATTTCTAAAAAACACTCGGATTTTCAATGATTTCAATGATTTCTCCCCACATTTTTTCCTCTTAGCACTCAGTTTTTTAATGATATTTTTTTTATGAAAGCATTTCCTTACATTACTCACCATTTTTCTTAAACCACAAGCTGTGATTTATCAAACTCAAAGCAATCTAAGAGTACTGTAAAGAGAACTTCTCTTACTGGAAGCCAGACAGACGTATTAGGCTGTCTTACTGTAAGCCAGCTACAGTATCTAGCCAGCTACAGTATCTAGCCAGCCACAGTATCTAGCCAGCCACAGTATCTAGCCAGCCACAGTATCTAGCCAGCTACAGTAATCGTTTGTCTTACTGTACTTACAGGATTACCATTTCCAGCCTTTACAGTGCTCTTAGCTTAGATTTTTGTTCAAATTGTTCCCCAAAATCTTTTGCCCAATGTTGTGACCAATTTTCTTTGTTTTACGATGTTTTTCTCAAGTTTATTGTGATAGTTGAGTGAGTTGCGAGGGTTTTTCGGAGACTCTTCAGATATCGCAGCGTTTTGCATTCATTGCAACAGTCTACATATTGCTCTTAGTGCTGTGCTAAGGGTATAAGTGGTCTAGGCTTAGCTATGCCTACAGTACTTACATCACAGATACCCAGTACTTCGAGAACAGTACAGTAGTCCCTATCGTCTGTAGAGTACTTAGAGAACAGTACAGTAGGCTTTGCTGTCTGTAGAGTACTTAGAGACGGTACAGTCTCTAGGTACAGTAGTCCCTATCGTCTGTAGAGTACTTAGAGAGCAGTACAGTAGACTCTGCTGTCTGTAGAGTACTTAGAGACAGTACAGTACACTTAGTCTATCCAAATACAGTACCCATACTCGTCCAGCTCATAGACTAATCGAATCAGAAGCTTTTCTAGAGATTCTTGTATGAGCCTGATTCTCAATCTCTTTCAGAGTTTTCAGGTCGACGAGAGTGAGTTCAAAATCGGCACATTGTGGAAAAGGCTATAGGAAAAGGCTATAGGGAAAGGCTATAGGGGACAAGGCTACCTTTCAGCCCTCACCCCAGCCTCACCCAGCCTCACCCAGCCTCACCCAGCCTCACCCATCCTCACCCAGCCCTCGCCTTTCCCTCACTCGAATCCCATCTCGCGCGTCGATGCGTGAAATCGCGTCTCCATAGAAATTCCCCCAAAAAATCGCAATACACAAATCCGCCAAAAATTTCAAATAGGGATTTGCGGGAATTGGAAATAATGATATAGAGGTGATGCTAGGATTTCTATTGAATAATTGCTGAAGATAAAGACCGTAGCTATCTACTGGGTACGGTACTTGCAGAAGTACGGTACTTGTACGGTACTTGCAGAAGAAGAGCTTCCCGAGCACTCACTCATCATTTTGATTTATTGTCCCCGATCACCCTTTTCCCCCTTTTCGCCTTATCAATTCTGACTCTAGACCAATCAAAATATTATTTTATTTTATTATTTGTTTGTTTTTAATCCCCCTTTGACCTTAAGAATAAGAAATTCGAAGATAAAGTTCTATGAAGTTTTAGATCTTCCATCTAACTCTCCCCAACCATGGGGCTCTCTAAACCTTTGCATACCATTGTAGAAGCATCAGAATACAGTTAAGGCTGGAGCTATCGCTTAGAATTGCCCTTGAGCTGTCCTCGGTTGGATAAACCTTAGCCAACAGAATGCAAAGCTTTATCCAGAGCCCCACCCACCTCTCTCCCACAAGAACCACATTCCAGCTCGGGTGTCCGATTGTGTACCTTGCGATTCACCGTGTTTTTCGGATTTCAATTTCTTTTCCTTTGTCTTTTAATTGTGTTTTCCTTTTTCTTTTCTTTATTCTTTAAGAATTTTAAAGAATGCTAAGGTTCGAGCTGTACTTTGTGCTCTGGGAAACGCTAGCCTGCTAGCACAATGATTTCCTGGGCCTTGTACTTTGTGCTCTGGGAACAGTGAGCTTTCTGGCACACTGATTCTGCCACACAGACTCCTTCAAGCCGTGCACTTTGTGCCCTCTTGAACACTAGCTTTCTGGCACACTGATTTCATGACCATTGTACTTTGTGCTCTAGAAAACGCTAACTTTCGGGCATAGTTGTTTTTCTCTTGCACGGTCCAGGAAAGCCAGAATCAGTGTGCCAGACAGCTCGCGTTTCCCAGGACACAAAGTACAAGACCTGGGAAATCATTGTGCGAGAAGGCTAGCGTTTACTAGCTAACGTAGCACAAAGTACACAGCCCAGTGTGCTAGAAGGCCAGCGTTTACTCGAGCACAAAGCACACGGCCCAGTGTGCTAGAAGGCCAGCGTTTACTCGAGCACAAAGCACACGGCCCAGTGTGCTAGAAGGCTAGCGTTTATTCGAGCACAAAGTACACGGCCGAGTGTGCCAGAAAGTTCGCGTTTCCTAGAGCACAAAGTACACGGCCAGGAAGGCCAGTGTGCTAGAAAGTTAGCGTTTACCATAGCACAAGGTACAAGGCCTAGGAAGTCAGTGTGCCAGAAAGCTAGCGTTTACCTTTGCACAGAGTACACGGCCATGGAATCAGTGTGCTAGAAGGCTAGCGTTTCCCAAAGCACAAAGTACAGCCGAACCTGATCATTTCTCTGGCGTCACCCGTCACCTAAGCCCACACAAAAAAAACCCCACAAAATCGCATAATTTTCCCCCAAAAAAAAAAAATTCTGATGATGAATATATAGCATTTTTTTTTTGTTTCGTTGAAGCTGATGAAATTTGCTCGTGTACAACCGTAAATAAGTGTGTTGTGGTGCGTTTTTTCTTTTGATTTTTGTTGATTCTTTTGATTCTTTTGATTTTTTCATATGCATATGTTCATATTATTTTATGTAATATGCAAATTTTTTTTTATGATATTTCATATTTCACATTTACACGTGGCAATAAGGAAACGTTTGAATTTTTGTTGTTTTTTTGCGTTTTTGCGTTTTTGCGTTTTTTTTTTGCGAAATCCCCCCAACAACGATCGTCGTCGTCGTCGAATTGTAAAAAACACAAAAACCTTTTTTTTTTTCCCCATTTTACTTAGAAATTCTTCCCCCTTTGTGATTTCAGTTTCCATCAACATTTTCGAGTTTTTTTCTCTGATTTCCTTTCGTTTTTTTCGTCTAAATATAACATTTTCAAGGAATTTCACCAAAAAAAACACGATTTTCTGCAAAAATCTCTCCAAAAACACGATTTTCTGCAAAAATCTCGAATTATTATTACTTTAACCAAAAAATCTCATAAACAAATCCCTCCTGGCGCACTGAAATCATCGTTTTTCTCTTCAGCATTTCTGTGCACCAGAAAGCCGAGTTTACGAATGAGCACAAAGTACAGAAAGATAGATGAGAGTTATGGTAGATGGAAGGCCGATCGAGTCAGCACTGGTGTAGTGGTTAGCACAGTTGTCTGCTAAGCGGAAGGTCGGGGGTTCGAGTCCCAGTGCACAAGCTTTTGATCTCTTCTAGTTTGATTACAGATCACTGTACACAAACACAGCTCGTAACAAAGAAATCACAGAAATTCACAATCAAGAGTGGCTTTTTTTTTCAAAGATTTTCACCTCCAGTTTGGCTCAATGGTTAGTGGATTTGCGTCGAGCGAAAGGTCGAGAGTTCGGCTCTCTATTCAAATCTTTCTTTACCATTTCTATTCCTTACAAGTTTCGTCATCGATTTTTGACGATTAGAGACGATTTTTGGATATAATCTTGTAGTTTTCATGCTCAGAATACTGTTTTGGGTGTCTGTGCTTACCGTAATCCCTTAAATGTTACCGTAAACAAGTGCAAAGATTACAGTAGTATCAATTAACAAATAAAAGGTTACGCCCCAATCGCTTATTGGCAAGAAAATGTCGACCGTTTTTTAGCCAAATCACACAAGCCATATGAATGATTTGAGTGTTCTCTGTGTGCCCGTAGAATCGTACAGCATCTGGCACACCGTTGCTGACCATCCAACATCACCATAACCTTAAATCATTCAAAGCTAAAAATAAGAACCTGACCCGGACTCGAACCCTAGCTCGAACTGGACTCGTCACTTTGCATTCAAGCCCACTACCACTCGGCCACCACGACACCTTTGCCGTCCCCTGGCAAGTCGACTTATAACCTCTGCCTTTCCGATTCTATACAAAACTTTGAGGGCTTATCACTTTTGATAGGGTGCTCGATAGAAGAAACGGAAAGCAGATTCGGAATCAGCGTGAAATTCTGCATCAGATAGTATTTGGTCGTTTCATTTGGTCATTCCAATCACACATAGATAGTCATTTCATTCGACAACTATTCAACAACCATTCAAAACCATTCAACAACTATTCAAAGCCATTCAAAACCATTCAAAGCCATTCAAAGCCATTCAAGGACCATTTCCTCGTTCAACTTGAGTTCCTTCTTGAGTTCTTTAGTTTATTTGATCGTGGGCTTGATTATCGCGCGAAATTTTGATGCACGATTTTGAGATTTCAACAGATCAAAGATCTTTCACCGTTTCTTTCAATCAATTCCAAATCGGCGAGTATTCGTGGGTCCTTGAGGGAATTCTTTTATTCTTTTTGTCTTTTTGTCCTCTTCTTGTCCTCTCCTTGTCCTCTTCTTGCCTTCCTTTCGTCTTGTTCTTGTCTTGTTCTTGTCGAGAGCCCTTTCCCCCCTCAAAACTCGGTACTTATCTGTTTGCAAGTGACATGTACAAAAAAAAAGAGAAGAAATGCATACACATTCACCCGCTCTCAAGTGCCTGTACCCCATTTTTCGCCTCTCTTTCCGATTTCAACTCGGTTTTTTTCTCTCTCTGTACACAGAAAAATTGAACGACTAAATGGAGATCAGGGATTTGAAATCGAACAAAAAACAAAGTCATTATATGAAATAGAAACCGAGCGAATCTATCTAAATCCGATAAAAACCGATTTCTACTTAATAGAATCAATAAAATGATGGCGATCCGATCGCCAATCGATTGGCGACTCTTGAAAACCTATGGGCACAAGTTTACAGCTAAATTGCTTCTTTTAAAGCCATCTTTATGCCATTAAAAAAGACTCACTGTGTGCGTTCTTTGTGCGTTTGTAATCACTCACCATCTGGCATACATGGGAGATAGATAGGTGTTCTCTTTTGCAGTTATCTGACAAGGCCCGATGACCCTTTAAAAGCGACCCCCCCCCTAATTGAGTCGATTTTTCGGGACGAGCTCAACGGGTCGCGTGGTGCATTGCCAAAGCTGGCGACTACCACTCCAAAGCAGTCTGGTTCAATCCCATCCTCTGCAAATTTTTCTAGATTTTTCAACTTTTGCCGATTTAAAAAGAAAACTCAATAAAATCAACATTTAAAGGAAACCATAGATGAAAGTCAAAAGTCGTCAAAGTCATTTCTAAACGCGCTTAGTTAAATCTAAAGCTTTAAAATTCGATTTAGGACTTTAGTAAGCCAGAAAAGATGGGTTTACGAGTCTCAAAGTACAAGTTTAACTCAACTCAAAAATCGAAATCGTTGATCATTTCCGGTGCGCTGTTTAAATTGAATCCCAGAAAAAAAAAAGGCATCAAAAATCTGCATTTTCTGCAAATTCTCCTCAATTCTCATCAAATTTTCACCATTTTTTTCGAGTTTTCAAAAAAATGTCCTTTTATGAGCACAGCTGTCTCTTTTTTTACAATTTTTCGACAAAAAAAATTGTACACTTTTCTATCCAAAGCTCTTTTAGAAGAGATTTGCTTTTCGAAAGTTTTTGAAAAATCTAAAATCTCTGATTACGTCAAAAATTTCAACACCAGAGATGCTTTTTTCTCTTTGTAAAAAAACGGTTTGAAAGATGAATAACGCTTGATTAAACAAGAGAAAATATTGAAATTTTGGAAAAGGGACTTGAGAAATAATGAAAATAATAAAAAAATGAAAAAAAATGAAAAAAATGAAAATAATGAAAATAATGAAAAATAATGAAAAAAAAATGAAAAAAATGAAATTTCGTTCTAAAAGGTGGATTCGATAAAATAGACAAGACTACGGTAATTGGACGATAGACAAGATTACGGTAATTGGACGAGTTTTTAGAAAGCCGATCATCATAATATCCGAAGAAAAATACTAAAATTTAGTCCTTTACTTGAGTATTCATTCAAAGATTCATCGTTTCCTGTACTGTTGAAAAGTACGATAATTTATTGTACTTTTCAACAGCACAGTTAGGAAAAACAAGACAATAAGCTGATGTAGAACTACCGTAATACCTGCAATGATCTTTGCAGTGTATAACATGGAAAACAGCATCGCACATAAATCGTACATCGTACAGCATTGTACATAAATCGTTCAATCTTTTGTGTGCGCTAAAGCGTGGGTAAATTACCGTAATGTCTCACTTTCTCGACCACCGTAATCCTGTCTATTTTATCCAATCCTAATTTTTAACGATATTCTGATGATGTCCTGTTTTTGCGCTGTTTTTAACTTGGCGCTATTTTTGTATGGGCGCTGTTTTGAACGGCGCTCTTTTTGTATGGGCGCTGTTTTTAACGGCGCTGTTTTGGCGGTGCTATTTTGACTAGGTCCCGAAAAAAGGTCGCATTTGTCTCACTCCCCTATCGAATGACTATAAGTTGATCGTTGAATTTACAGTAAAATTATCAGTAAAACAGTTAACGACTACGCGACTGTACGCGCCCAAAATACCATCGTCGGAATGTGTTAACTGATACCTTCTCACTTGGCAAAAAAACCAAAAGCCAAGCCAAAGCCAATGGCTTTCAATTAGCCGTGGCCTGAAATTTCAAGCTTCTTTTGGATTTGAGCTAAAATCTTGCCTTTGGCTTAGCTTAAAATTTACTTTATTGAGCAAAATTTACTTTATTTACTTTTTTTTGTCTAAAAACTTTTTCTAGAAACGATACCCTCACGCTTTTTAATGTAGTAGGCATCAAAGCCTTCCAAATTGACGAGGCTTCATTATCTGAACTTCTTGTTTTGCTTTTATTTGAATTGAACTCTTTGAACTTGAACTTTTGTTTGAATTAAGTTTTAATTAATCGTTGCAGATTGATACTTTTAACTTGTTTTTCTTTAGATAACTTGCTTCAAATATGTCAGAAATCGAGAAGAGCGACCAAGAAAGTGCTATGAGCGATCAAGAAAGCACGCCGGTTGTTTTTGTACAATAAATGACACTTTTTATCATTTAGCGTTCCCTGCACCCACTGAAGAACACTTGGACGTATTGGTACCTCAACGATCAGCACGAGGATTGGGAATCGCGCCTGAAGAGAGTGTGCTCCGTGTCAACGGTCGAGGAATTTTGGGCGTGAGTTTTTTCTGTTCGTCTTTTTAAGAAGCCAATACTAGCGTTTGCGTTATAGTAGTAGTAGCCAATAGTAGCGTTTGCGGTACTAATAAAGTTCGGGGGCACTTTGATCTGATTTGATCAGATCGTATTTTTCGACCGTTTTACCAATGTTATTTCATTTTTTCTGGGGTAATCAAACATAACTTTCTGGATCTATTGGTGATAGTTTTAGAAAGCTCTGGACAATCTTTGTTAACGTTTTGTTGAGCTGGCTGTTAACTTTGCATTTGTATAAATGTTGCAGTGCCGCAACGCTAGAAAATGAGGCCACGGGTGGAATACAAAGTGAAAGCTTATTCAAAACACTAAAAACTATCACCAATAGGTTAAGCGTATTTGATTACCCCAGCAACTGCAAAACCAGACTCGAAAAACACAATAGGTTCTGACTGGGTCAGGTCAAAGTGCCCCCCGGAACTTGATTAGTATCGCGCTCGCCTTTAGCAATCATTATTTAGTCTTCAAAACAACATCAAGCCGCCATCCATGTTGAAGATGACTTGTGACTACAACTTCTTCAAGAACGACATTCAGCCAATGTGGGAGGTGCCAGAAAATAAGAATGGAGGTCGATGGCTTATCGCAGTAAGTGTCACATTTTTCATTTCATTTCATCAGCTTTTAAATTTAGTTGGAGAAAAACGCGTCACCAGAAATGATGGACATTATCTGGATTGAGTTGGTCACTTCGATGATTGGAGAACAATATGGAGAGGATATGGAGAAGATCAGCGGCTTGGTTTGCAATGTTCGGAACAAGGGCTCCAAGGTATTTTGGTTCCGTTTTTCCTTTGCTTAATATCAAATATAGATTTCCATGTGGACTTCCGATCACAATGACGACGAGTAAGCTTACTTTTTGAATCAGATGATACTTTTGCAATTTCTAGTGCCAACATGCGAATCGGCAAAATAATTGCAAGGACTCTGAAAGCGGCCGAAATTCCCGAGGCACTTCAGGTATTATTGCTTCTTTTTACATAAAACAATTTTATGATAGAAGAAAAGATTTGTCGATATGATACGCTATGAGGATCATCTTTCATATCAAAACAAGACAGGAAGCGCTCCTTGCAAACCGAAACTGCTTATCGATTTCAAGGACTTGAGTTAGGGAAATTACTCCTGTTCATTTTTGTTACTCGTTACTCTTGTTAAGTTGATTTTTTTTGCATTATTTATTTTCAGACTTTTTGTATAAATATTTGTTCGCTACAAGACTAGCCAGAGTAACTTCCAGAGTTCCGGAATTGACGGAAGTAAAGTGGGCGCGTAGCACTGCAAGTCAGTTTTGACTTGCAGTCTTAGTTAAAGCCAATTGCATAGTTGTGTAAAGCAATATTGTCATATTTAGGAACTAGGACCGGTGGAGTTAACAATGCTATGCATTTTCTTTTTCTTCCTCCCAATGCTAATCTGAATGACATTTATGTGCATTGTGACTAGCTTTTCCAAAAATCTACAAAAAAAAACTGAAGAAATTGAAAATTGAAAATACCAGTAAGATCCGAAACAAGAGTTGGACATATTGTTGAAGAAATATTGTGCTACTTAGCTACCAAAGCATTCCCAATGGTCAAGATGAAAATTAAACGAAATACACCAATCAAATTGAGCGAAACATTAAAATGAGGCACATCGGACAAATTGAAACGAAGAAAAGAAATAGTAAAAGAGATGAAGAAGTCTGAGAACGAATGATAAACCTATACCGGCTATTAAACGGATAACTGGAAAGGAAATATAGCAAAAATTAATAGAGTTTCATCATTTCAAGCAAGTGCGTCGGGATGAGCGCTTCATATGGCATTTTGGCTCTTCTGATTGCGTTCGCTGCAGCACCAAACAGAGTAGAATGACTGGCTAAAGAAATTTGTTGTGATAACTTGTTGTCATGAAAAAGACTAAGATAAAGCTAATTTAAGATACTTACTACTGCTTATTGTCGTTAAATGGGCCTAGTGAGTTGAAGTGAAAACAAATTTAAAAATTTACCTATACCAATTTTCGATATCCGACTTGTTTTCTTGACGATAAGTTCAAGGCAGGTCTCGTCATTGGCATTCCTGGCATGAATCGGGGCGCCCTCTTTGAGCAAATACCGGACGAAGGGAGCTCTGAGTTTATAAAATTTACAATTAAAAGTATTTAAACAATGTAAACAATTTAAAAAATCAATTCTAATGTAACTCACGTCACAATCGAATGCTCATCGCTGGCCAACAAACAATGCAAAGGGGTTTGCCCTTGTTCATCCATTTCGTCTAACGGCGCTCCGGCACGCACCAAAGATTCCACCACGTACATGTTCGGAAAAGACCTAAACGAGAGATTTGTGTAAAAATCAAGACGAGCCAACAATAATGCTGCGCACCCAATAATATTTGGAATTGGTTCACTGTTGCCGCAAGCGACATGCAGTGGTCTCAAATTCACTTCACGGGATAGCGAAAGAAACCTAAATGACACAATATCAGACTAGAAACAATGCACGTTATACCTTTTCAAATCCACGCGTGGCCTCGCTAAATCGACCAAAGACGTCAACGTTTTGTCATATGGCTGGTGCTCAATAATATTTTGAAGATCCCGCGGTGAAAGCTCGGCCAAACTACTCTGTAGCGATTGCTAATAAACATTTTCGAAACAGAAACAAACCAGGTACAAAAGCCTCAGAAGCAAAAGAATCAGATTCTCCTTCTCTTCATCGATATTATGCTCGTGATCCTCACCATTACATTCTTCAAAAAGTGGACGACTTCCCCAATCAACCAGCTAAACAAACAAACTGGTGTGGTTTTTAAAAAGTAACTTACCTTTTGGAGCTCATGAGCGGCTTTATCAAATACCGTTTCCACTTGCTCTCTCGTTACCAGTAAAGGTGGATTAGGAAAATTGTCAACGATTGGCTCAGTCAAAATCATTGCAAAGGTCTCCTAAATTTAGAGTTGAATTTTAAAAAAAGTTTATTTCAAGTTACTTGAAAGCTAAGAAACGTTTGCATTGTTTGCTGATGAAGAGGTGAGTTATATCTGAAAAAAAAAACAAATATTTATAACTAGCAAAAGACAATACTTTTGTTGCAACTCCAAGGCATGCATCCACAAAGAAAAACACCGTCCATTCATACCGATGTCGCTGTAAAGGGCGCCGCGATATCTGTAATTGAAAAAGTTATAAATCATTTTCAACTTGTAATCTACTTTAAGTAATAGTGAACTTCTGGATGCGATCCACCGAGAATTCGTTCCCGCATCACGAGTGCCTACAAATGCTTACAAAATTATACGCGACGTAACAAGCCTTTTTACCTGCATTCGAATTGTGTGCGGATCCCTTTCATCGACAAAATTGTTGAAGTCGTCTAACGTCTCCAATTCGCAGCTTCCGTAAATTTTCGGCACATCTTTCGAGCGTAATTCGGCAGCTTCAACCTAAACCATGAATGATTTACAAATCTAGTCAAATTCAAATCAAATTTATTTACCTCTTCTGCATTTTCCTCGCCCAAATCCAAAGAAAGTGCACGAAACCAGTACTCAATACCACCCTGGTAGTCGTTTCTCCGATCAACCTAAGTGAAGGAGGCTTAAGTCGGAAGTTATCAAACTTACAAAAGTAGCACCCATAATTTTTAATACATCTCTTTTCTTGCGTAGAGAAATAGGTTGATTTAAGAGAAGTTCAACAACCTAAATTGCATTTTTTTAAATCCACCGATGTCCCACTTACCTCTGTGAATCCCAACATTGCTGCACTCATTAAAGGGCACACTCCATACTCGTCTTCTGCCAAAATCGCTCCAGCCTAAAATAAAGTTTAGACGAAACCAAACTTTTGTTGTACCTCTAAAAGAACTTCACATATGCTAACGTTGTTAGCTTCTACGGCATCATGGAGCGCTGTATTTCCTTTTCGGCTAGCCTCTCGTGGATTCGCACCTTTTGCCAGTAAGTATCTTAAATATTTTCCGTATTTTCTGTAATAGTAGTGCAGGCATGAGGGGGGTTGAAAAAAATCGTAATGCACCCTGCTAAAATTTGCTTTGTTGTTGTTCACTTTGACTTCCTTTGTTCTAAAAGCATACTGGTAGCTAAATGAGATGCTATTATGAGATTGTGACTATTTATTTAGTACTGACTAACATATTATGCTTGTAAATTTACTTGACATGGGTTTGGAACGCTTGGAATGAGTTGCCGAAGCATTTGATCGTTCACTCCTTCAAGTGGAATTACTACAACCACTAACGGATCAGAAGATCACCTTATCCACTGCTTCAAAAAAAAATTATTTAATTCCGGAGGGAGCAAAACGTCTCTCGGAGGCTCGAGCAGAACAAGTAACAAATGAAATCCACGATCATCTTGCCAATTTTGTTTTGGATGATAATGGTTATGATAGTGATGTCTCTATTGATGTTTGTTAATTGATTTACCCTGATACTCTTTGTTTCATTCTAAATAAATATATAAAAACTCAATTCACTTGGAAGAAAGGGATGACATACGTACATCATGTACGTATGATACCTATTATTATTGCCTGATAAAGGTATGAATCTAGTGAAAAAAAGGAAACTCTCTAATAGTAGTGCAGGCTGGAGGGGGGGTTGAAAAAATAGTAGTGCGCAATACTATTACAGAAAATACGGTAATGGCATTTCTAATTTACAAATTCTTACAAACCATATATAAAACAAACGTACTCAACAACTTCTTGCTTCTGTCGATAAGCCGCAATCATCAATGGTGTGTGGCCATGTCTATTAGCGCATTCAATGTCCGCTCCGTGTTCGACCAAGTATTTTACTAAATTAAAAATAGAAGTAAAATAGTTTTAAAATGATTGAGTGCTACCTATTTCCAAGTGCCCATCATAACAAGCTCCACGTAGCGGTGTACTGTTTGTTCGAGTCGTTTGATTCAAATCCGCACCAGCTTCCTCGACCAAATAGCGAACAACCTGCAAAAATTTACGATAACTAAAAATTAGAATTAGAAACAATTAGAAAGTCTAGCTATTTTGATGCAAAAAATTTTACATCCAAAAAGCCAGCAGCAGCCGCAGCCCATATTGGGGGAGCACCAAAGATTGTTTCGCCATCAAACTCCACTGTTCCACATGCTAGGACATCGGCACCCAAATTGACCTGGAATTGCCAACTTATTTAATTGAGTGTTTAAAAATTACCAAAAATTTGACGACATCTAAATGGCCCTCCCTTGCGGCCACAACTAAGGCCGATTTGTCTTCCAGCGACGTTTTGAGGACTTCCTTGAGGGCCGCCGAGTCGATTCCCTAAATATAAAAGCTAAGCATAAATCAATCAACATGCAACTTATATTAAAATGAAATCACAATTGGTTTACCTCGCAAAAATACTCAAGTTTCTTCAAATTCCCGTGTTCCGCCGCAAAGTAGACGAGATATCGAATCTGTTCGGGGCTTGACATGCAGGCATATAGCCTTCAATTTAAAAATGGAACTATTCTGAAAAAAGAAAAAACATAGAATAGATAAGTCATAAAAAAAGTTGAGCACGCTCCAATCAAGAAATGTGAGGCATGATGAGGAAAATGTGCAAATGAAGAAAGGGGCTAAGAAAAAGTGAAAGTACGGTCACAAAGTTGAGGTTTAGATAGGACAAACGTTGCTTTGAGGTCTGGAATTGACTAGCTTTAATGAGGTAGAAAGTTTCAGAACAGGGAATGAAAGAAAAACCTTCCACTTCCACGTTTCTCTTCAGGCAGTGATAAAGTTTTGTGGAGTTTCTCTATGGTGTTACTAACAAGGGGAAGGTCAGAATTGACCGTGGAATTTTAACTGAGAATAAGTGTGGTAAGGGTGCTGGTGTTGTTGGAATCGTCGTTGAACTTCTAATAGCATTTTATTGAGTAGCAAATACAAAATACAGACCCTTCATCCACGTAAGTCGTCGTCTCTTCTGGTTCAAGAGCTCTTGCCTCCATTACCTAAAGATTAGCATAAAATAAGAAGACTAACAACTTTGAAATGTCTAACAACAAGAAACAAGGAATGAAATGTCTCCACTCTTGACGACTTTGGTAAAATATTATTTCATCTTTTGCGCTTCAATCGACCGTATTTTTAAGTAACTTAAACTTACGTACTTTAGTCGCATAAAGGGATGTTTCTTCTTTCAAAACAATATCATCTCGATTCATAGGCGGCAATCATAAGGACGCGACGCATAACAAGACCTGAACAAAAAATAAAGCTGTTTAACCAAATTAGTTCATGTAAAACTTGCTTTTCTGGCTACGATCAGCATAAATCAACTAAACAAGAAAAATCTATTAAAAGAACTAACAAAGAATAAAAAAAGTCGTAAGAAGACACGAAGAAACCGTCGCAAGCGTGTGCAGAAAGAATAGAAAAGAGAACTGAACCAAAAATCAGAACCAGAAAATAAGTTATTGCAAAACCAAAAATAAGCTATTATTTTGGTTCAGCCTAAGAAGTTCTCTTAGGCTAAACATATATTTGACTATTAAATGCAAATTTTGATAGAACAAAAATTAGGTATTCAATTGAACAACTGAAGCTTAATGGAAAACATTAAAAAAGAAGGCCTACTCTGCTTGAAAAAAAATCATTTCGATGATTTTTAAATGCCGATTCAACCATTACACGGTTTCTCAACAAGTTCTCCATTTCTTTACCATTTCTTTACAATAATTTCTCAACAAGTTCTCCATTTCTTTACCCATTGAACAATTTGTTTTATTTTAGATTACCGAAATGTCGATTGAAACGATTCCGAAGAATATGAGGGGTCTTCGCGCGTGCCTCGTTTGTTCCCTCATCAAAAGCCTTCAGCAATTTGTGGATGATGGTTGCGATAATTGCGAGAAATTCTTGCATCTCAAGGTTGGCTTTTTTTTAGAGTGAAGCTAAAAATATAGTCGCTGAATACTGAACGAATGACGAATCTAAAAATATAAAAATAAAAATATAGTCGCTGAATAGCTGAATACTGAACGAATGACATGTTCACTAGATATTTTTCAAGTAAGCTTATGTTTATGTTAAAATTGTCTAAGTGTGGCTTACCAGTGGATGAATTAATTGATAGATTCAACACCATACTGCTAAAGTGTTCTACATTAACTGGACCTTTACGGTTAACGGCGGGGGCCAATTTTTTGGCCAACTTGCAGCCCGATTTTAGATGTTTTTGTTAACAACTTTTGATAAAACAAATAGTTTCTGAAAGCTGACGTTCTATACTATCTAAATCTTATTAAAACTTTCTGATCTGACAAGTTTAAGGTGCTTAAGAATGAGCTTCAAGTTAGCCAAAAAATTGACCCCCGCCGATAATCGCTACCTCCCGTCGTTAACCGTAAAGATCCCATTAACTATCCAGTTGCTATTCTGCCGTCTCTTTTACACTTAAATTCTTGCTTTTTAGGGTGACAACGAGCGAACGATCGACTGCACGAGCCCGTGTTTCAATGGAATGATCGCAGCAATGGATCCAAACGACTCTTGGGTGTGCAAGTGGAAGAATATCTCCCGCAAACACAGGGGCATCTATGCGGTTTCCACCTCAGGCACTCTTCCACCACGAATCGCCGCCGAACTTCGAGACATGGGTGTTCGCTATACGGCGCGTATGAGAGATGCAACTCAATAATATTTTCTTTTTTGTCAACAGTTTGTTTTCACATTTCTGAGTTTTATTAGACTAAATTTTTATATTTTATTTATTGTTGTTTTCTGAAGCGTTTTAAATCATGAATAAACATTTAATTTCAAAGCAATTTAATTGATAAACTTGTTCAGTGGGCGACACATTTTTTTGGTCTACTTATTAATTGAAACGAATTTTGTAGTCTATTTATTGGTTTGTAAGTTATTCAAAGAATTCGAAAAGGAATAAATGGAGGGAAAGTGGATAGGGTACCGTAGTTGTGTGTTGTCTATGACAAGCAGTGATGAAAGACGCTGAGTATAAAAGAGATTTTGATAGTTTTAGCCTTTCTACACATGTTTTGTTTTCTACTTGTTATACTTTTTTTTACTTTTTTGATTTCAGAGAATGGCACAACTGGAAAACGCAACTCCTACCATCTATGAAGTGAAAAAGAGCACTCACCGGGTCAAACAAAATGACTTGGATGAAAATATAGAGGATCCGATTGATTCCGAGGAGATTTTCGACCTACTCAGCGACATTAACGACCCCGAACATCCCTACACATTGGCCCAATTGAATGTCGTACAAGAAGAATTGATTACCGTTGAGAAAAGCGAACGAGAGACGGTGATCGACGTCAAATTTACACCCACAATTCCCCATTGTTCGATGGCAACTTTGATTGGATTGGCGATTCGAGTGAAGTTGCAACGATCTCTACATCCGACTGTTAAGCTTCTCGTTTCGATCACCCCTGGCGCGCACGATTCCGAGTTGACAATTAATCGACAATTGGCTGATAAGGAACGAGTTGCGGCAGCTATGGAAAATCCTGGATTGATGCAAGCTGTAAATCAATGTCTACGTGCTCCCGAATAATCATCATGTATTCTATAAAATCACACTACGAGTGCTTATTTTTGAATAGTGATTTGTTTATGTTGTTCATTCCATTCCATCGATAAGTACTTTACTATATTGATCAAAATAATAGTTTAAGTTCCTTCTCGCAATGCCTTCATTTGAGTCAACTTGTACATTTTTTTAGTGTGATACTTTAGTTTGTTTTTTGTTGTCAATTATAGAGTTTATGTTTAGGATGAACGAGTTCGTTCCTAATTTCGAGATGCGCGAGGGTGATGCCCGGACCCTTGGGCCGCAACGTATGGCAACAAGCGGAGCCGTTCCAGTCATCAATGAGCAAGGAAAAGTCGTCATGCAGAAAGTCAAAGTTCAACGATATGTGGCCGGAAAAGTGTTAGTTTTATCTATTTTATGCACAAGTACAACTTTTTATATTTACAAGCGTTTACCTGTAAAATCTTAGGCCCGCCTACGCACAGGAGCATTCATCCAGCGAGGACGAAGAGCGACAGGAACGTCGACGTGAGCGACGAGAACGAGAGGAGCGTGAAAAAAACCGAGAAGAACGCCACAGGTACATATTAGAAATAAGTTATGCTTTAATTAACGAACATTGCAACTATTAAAGACAATATATGCGCAAATAATTGAATTCTAATTTAGAGAAGATCGTGAGAAAGAAAGGAGACGTCGCCATGATCGAGATCGAGACCATGAGAGAAATCGCAGTGAAGAACGAGAAGTAATATTGAGTGAAAGTTTGTTAAATTATTGTTTTTAGATTGCTGAACCAGAAATTCTCCGACCAGACCCAGCTGAAGAAGAAGCAAATCGCTTTGAATTAGAGGAACGTCGTGAAAGGTAAACGTTCATTTTGGAAAATTTTTGATCAAAAACTTTAGAGCTCGTCTGCGTCGCCTTGAACTGGAAAAGCAAAAGAGTGACGATGAGGAACAAGATGATGTTAGTTTTATTTTTTGTTTTAGCTTCGATAAAACAAAAAACTGTTTAGGCTGGGAGCGATGAAGAACAATTTGAGCGTAGACGTCGACTTCTTCGCGAGAAGGCTCTTAGAAGAGAAGAAGAAGAGATTCGTTTCAAAAAGGAAATAAAGGTAGTACTTTTTTGGGTTTCACAGTTAAAACCTTTAGAATAATTTAATCACACAAATCACTGACTCACACCACAATATAAAATCGCAAAAATGCTGAAATAAAGGGAAGTTGTCTGCGAAGAATTGTTTTTGAAAATGAAAATAAAAAGCTGTCGTCCAGATCTTTGGAGTTCACACGGTAGAGGCAATAAGGGGAATGATGGCGAGTTCGGTATGAGTCTCTTCAGTAGCCACCACATCCTTCCATTGATCCTCGCCTTTCTTGTCACTTGAAGCCTAAACAAGCAAAATCTCGATTTCTACAAAAACAGCATAATTTTGAAGATGAATTACATGTACAATGCGCAACCAGTTTAGAAAGTCAAATGATAAAACAAAGTAAGATAAAGGAACATACCAGTATTTCGCGTGTTTTTCCACATTGAGCGAGGGCAGCTGCAGCTGCAACCGCAGGAACCACTGGAAGAAGACCAAGCATCGATAAGAATGATGCATTAAAAATAATTTTTTTTGAGGGTTAAATGCAAATTTTCAAACTATATTTAAATTTCAATTGAAATGCAAATCTATTTTCATGTCAACTTTTAGGAAGAATTGGAGCAAAGTGAGGAGGAAGATGAAGAGGAAACGAGTGAAGATGAGTCGAGCGACGAAGATGAAGAAGATCAAGTGATGCGTTTGAAGCCGGTACGTGTAAATGTTTTGAAAGTGTTTAAAAATGTACGATTTAGGTATTTGTGAGAAAGAAAGACCGCATCACTTTGGCGGATGCTGAAATTGAGAAAAAGAAACTCGCTGAAAAAGAAAGAGAAGAACAACGAATTAAAGAAGAACGCCGACAAGAAAGCATTCGGGTATGAAGGAAGAAGTTAATGTTGTTTGATATTGGGTTGATCTCGTGAACAAAACTTAACGTTTTTTCTCAAATTTAGTTAAAATGAATAAAACAATTGAAAGCTTTCGTTACTGGTACTTTTAAGTTGGCTCAACAAGTGCGTCGTGATGAAGAAGAGATGGAAAAACGAAAGAAAGAAGACAATATCGAGCTCAGCGCCGTTCCCACTGATGATGAAAGCGAGGAGCTTGGTGAGATAAAACGAAATTTTTATAATTGATCTAATTTAGCATATGAGGCTTGGAAGTTACGTGAAATGAAACGATTAAAGCGGAATCGGTAAGATTTTAAGAAATTGATTAAAAATTCGACTTTTCTTTTAGTGATGAACGTGAGGTGGCTGCTAAGGAGAAGGCTGAACTTGAACGAATTCACAGCATGACTGAAGAAGAAAGAAAGGCTTGGATTCGTGCCAATCCGAAAGTCATCACAAATAAGGTGCGTTTGCGTTTAGTTTAAGTTAGATAGTAGTCATTTTTATTAAAATATTTACGTTTTAAAATTTAACTAATTTTAATATTTTAGCAAGACAAAGGAAAGTATAAGTTCTTGCAAAAGTACTTCCATCGGGGTGTGTTCTATTTGGACGAAGAAGATGAAGTCAAGAAACAGTGGGATTTTCTTTTCAGTTTATTTTTTCACTAATTTACTTTTTAGAGACTTTGCTGCCCCAACAATGGAAGATCAATTCGATAAAACTGTGTTGCCCAAAGTTATGCAAGTAAGCGAATTTTTTTTGTATGATTCGCATTATATTTTCATTTTAGGTCAAAAACTTTGGAAAGGCTTCGCGAACCAAGTGGACTCATCTTACAGCTGAAGATACAACTGATCACCAGGTAGCTGCTTTTTATTTCAAAAAGCTAATTTGCTTTTATTTTTAGGGGGTTTTCCTTGAAAACTTATAGAGTTTGATTATAAGATTTTAAAGTTTATTCAAAATATGGGGGACAATTTTTTCAGGGTGCCTGGAACACACCAAGCGCTCAAAATGTAACGTTCTTCAACAAGAAAGCTGGCGGGACGCGCTCCATCTTCGATCGACCGGCCTCGAAGAAGCGAAAAGTGTAATCACAAATTCAGCTTCTTTATTCGAATGTCTTCGGGTAAAATGTTATCAATTTCAAGCAAAAACCTGTTTTTGAATTATTTTCTGGAGCGAACTTGTGATCTCTCATTTATTCATTTGTTCCTTCGTTCACTGTTGTTAGTGTTCGGATGTATTTTGTAAAAATAAAACCATCTATTTGAAAGCATTAAATGCAAAGATAGATACAAAATGACACTTTTTAATGGCAATTGGCGTGATGGGCTGAGTATCGTTTTTCAAAAGGTTATTATAGGTACAGGCAAAAGCTTTACAAAGCAAATCAATCAGGGGTGACGGCTTCAAGCTCGGTTGTGGCTTCAACGGGTAACTGGGCCTCTAGTCTGAAATATTTTTAGGTGCTACAGCTTTTAGGTATCCCCCACCTCATTAATTCAGCTTGCAGATAGGCGATTCGCTCGTCTTTCCACTCAATCTCGAAACGGAGAGATTCGATATCTTGCTGAAAGAAAAAAAAGAAACATTCGTTCACCGCGAATATTTTTTTTTCGTCTTAAGCAAGTACTCTTTATCGTTTTCATAAAGCCACCTGTTGTAATTGAACGAGTCTCTCCAATTGACTATTTCTTGCATCACTCTTTCTCAATGATTTTTCCAACATGACAAGGCTCGATTCAAAGAGATTCGTTCCTCCGCCCTCGACACTGCTTGAGAGTTGTTGAAAGGAGCTGAAAAATTTGATTGATAAATAAGCATTTTTAGATACTGTAGATCTCAGCCTCTAGCTTTTGCTTAACTAAACTTTTGGTACCAAAAAAATACTAGATTACAAGAGCTATCATTTGACACCAGAAAGAACATCGTAGCATAAAGCAACGCAGAGAACGGCACGTTTAAAGTTAGACTACCCGACTGTACTCTCACCCTCAATCGAAAAGGATTACGGTAAAGAATAGGAAATGGGTTATGGCATAAAGCAGCGCGGAGAACGACTTAGACTACGCGACTTTACGCTCGTCATTATGGTGTTCTATTAGAGTGTTTACGGTGTCTACAAATGCTTAGCTAGCACGGGCAAAACGTTTTCCAGTACCTTGTCGACGAATTTCCATTGTCCGCGTCATCAAGAGTTGCGTCGAGATCGACGCATCGATGCGCGAATTTTGGTTGTTTCCCGGGTTTCTGAGCCCATTTTGGTGTCTCATAGCTGAAATTTCTCGATTGAATTAGATTTCGATAGAATTTAGATCTAAATTTAGATCTAAATTCAGATCTAAATCTATAAAGCTTCAGCAAAAAATACCCCTGTGCTGGCCGGGGGAGAACCGTTTGCGGAAGTCGAGGCGAGATTGTGCCCGGTCGGGACAGAGTGCCCGTCTCGGATCGACACGGGCTTGTCGCTTGGCTGAAAATCGGATTGATTGAAGCTATTGAGAGTGTAGCGATGTTTTCTAGAGGTTCTAGAGGTTCTAGAGATTCTAGAGCCTTCTAGAGCCTTCTAGAGCCTTGTAGAGCCTTGTAGAGCCTTGTAGAGCCTTCTAGAGCTTTCTAGAGCTTTCTAGAGCCTTCTAGAGCCTTCTAGAGCCTTCTAGAGCCTTCTAGAGCCTTCTAGAGCCTTCTAGAGCTTTCTAGAGCTTCCTAGAGCCCTTTTCCTAGAGCTAGAGATTTCCCTCTAAACTTCCTCACCGAAAATCGCGTGGACTTGTCGAGCGGAGCTCTCGCGCACTCGCTGACACGTGCAAATGGGATGATGGCTGAATTGAATCGGATTTTTGAATCGATTTTGAAGCTAAGCGAGAAATCTGGCAAATAGCAGAAAACCAAAAAAGAAACCTGTAAATGAATCTTTTCCTTTTCCTTTTCCTCCTCGTTTTTCTTTTTCCCAGCTTCATTAATCTCTTGTGCTTTCGGCGTGGCTTCTTTATCAATCGTCGTCTCTTCTGATCGTTCTCTTGCCGCTTCTTCGAGCATTTCCTTGTCCATTTGACTACTAAAAGTTAGATGATTACTAAAAGAAAACCTAGATGTTGACCTAGATGAAAACCTCGATTTAGGATTCCGTCTAATTCTGGATTGGACGGAATCTTGGATTGGACGGGATCTTGGATCGGATGGGATCTTGGATTGGATGGAACCTTGGATCGGACGGGGTCCAGGATTGGATTGGATTGGATTCAATCCAGGATCCTGTCCGATCCAGGATTCCCTTGATCTAAGATCCCGGCCAATCCAAAAAGATCTTGGATTGGACGGGATCTTGGATTGGATGGAATCTTGGATTGAACGGAATCTTGGATCGAAGGGAATCCTGGATCGGACGGGATTCTGGATTGGACGGGATCCTGGACTGGACGGGATCCTGGACTGGACGGGACCCTGGATCGGACGGGGATCCTGGATTGGACGGGATCTTGGATTGGACGGGATCCTGGATTGGACGGGATCTTGGATTGGACGGGATCTTGGATTGGACGGAATCCTGGATCGAAGGGAATCTTAGATTGAACGCAACATATAAACATCTTTTACATTGCTTCAAGCTTCAAGCCTAAGCCCAAGCTATTCAATCTTTCAATCATTTCAATCATTTCAATCATTTCAAGCTTTTCCAAATCAAAATCAGCATGGCTTAGTCTTTAACATGAACTGCCAATCCGGTAGGATCAACCAGATATGAAAACGAATGTTATTTTTTTTCTGAATCAATATTCTGAAGAATATCAATATCAATTTTAAATGATTTAAAACGTTTTCAAGGTTTTACTAAAGCCATATGAACGAGTTATTTTTGCATTTTATTAATAAAACTTTGTTTTCTGAAAGTCTGAATATGAAAGAATTAGGAAATCATTTGGGAAATTTTCTTTGTTAAAAAGGAGAAAGTCGAATGGGCTTTAGAGTAAAGAGAAAATAGCCAAAATGGGTCAAAATGAAGCCATTTAAGCTTTAAGTTTCTTTAAAAGATCTTTAAAAGATCTTTAAAAGATTAAAAGATAAAAGAAAATTCGCTAAATTCTTTTAAATTCTTTTAAATTCCTTAAATCTTATAAATTTCAATCTGTAAAAATAAGATTTAAAGCTAAATAAAGCTTCTTTTCATTTCTCAAGGCTATTTAAAGATGCCCAGGGGTTGAAATTGGAGATTCCAAAAAGAGATGAGCTGAGACTTATTCCTTAAAATCGATTCCGCCGCATATCTATGAAATTTTATGCTATAAATTTTATATTCTGGAATTTCTAGGTATCTAAATCTCTTAAAATGATCGGAAAATAAGCTCTCAAAGGAATTTCAGTATTAAAATAGTATTTAAATAGTATTTAAATAGTATTTAAATAATATTTAAATAAGTATTGCATAGGTTTAGGCTCTTCCATTGCAGTAGTAACCCGAGAAATATGTTTTTAAAGCATTTTAAAGCATTTTAAAGCATTTTAAAGCATTTTTAGAGCATTTTAAAGCATTTTAAAGCATTTTAAAGCATTTTTAGAGCTTTTTAAAGCATTTTTAGAGCATTTTAAAGCATTTTAAAGCATTTTTAGAGCTTTTAAAGCATTTTAAAGCATTTTAAAGCATTTTAAGGCATTTTAAAGCATTTTAAAGCATTTTTAGAGCTTTTGGCATTTTAAAGCATTTTAAAGGCATTTTAAAGCCATTTTAAAGCCACTTTGGCTTTTGGCATTTTAAAGCATTTTAAAGGCATTTTAAAGCATTTTAGAGCATTTTAGAGCATTTTTAGAGCATTTTAAAGCATTTAAGAGCATTTTTAGAGCATTTTAAAGCATTTTAAAGCATTTTAAAGCATTTTAAAGCATTTTTAGAGCTTTTTAAAGCATTTTTAGAGCTTTTTAAAGCATTTTAAAGGCATTTTAAAGCATTTTAAAGCATTTTTAGAGCTTTTTAGAGCATTTTAAAGCATTTTAAAGGCATTTTAAAGCATTTTAGAGCATTTTAGAGCATTTTTAGAGCATTTTAAAGCATTTAAGAGCATTTTTAGAGCATTTTAAAGCATTTTAAAGCATTTTAAAGCATTTTAAAGCATTTTTAGAGCTTTTTAAAGCATTTTAAAGCATTTTTAAAGCATTTTAAAGCATTTTAAAGCATTTTTAGAGCATTTTTAGAGCTTTTTAAAGCATTTTAAAGCATTTTAAGCTTGCTGGCATTTTAAAGCATTTAAGAGCATTTTTAGAGCATTTTAAAGCATTTTTAAAGCTTTAAACCTTTTTTTTAAGCTTTAAAAGATATTCAAGCTTGTTAACGGAATACTAGAAAGGGAAGGGAAATTTAATAATTCCCGATAAAAACTCTAATAGAAATGAAATAGAAATGAAATGAAATAAAAGGTGTAAAAATTGAAATAAATTTTCGATTCATTTGAAAAAACTTTCTCACTTTATCGGCTTTGAAAAATTGAGAATTTCAATTTTTCAAATTTTCAATTCTCCAAAGCCGATAAAGCCGAAAGCTTAAAATGATCTTAAAATAAGCTCTCAAACGAATTGTAAATGTTTAGGCTTTTCCATTACAGTAGTAACCGAAAAATATGTTTTTTTAAGGGGGTGGGACAAAGGTGCACCTTTTTTTTGCGCACTTTTTTTGCGCACCTTTTTTTGCGCACTTTTTGCGCACCTTTTTTGCGCACCTTTTTTTGCGCACCTTTTTTTGCGCACCTTTTTTTTTTCGCTGGAAAAGGCCGTAGAGCTTTAAAAATGTTTCCACATAGGGGAATCATATGCGTAGATTCCGAATTTCGACAAATTAGAACTCGCTGACACACGTCAAATTTGGGCTAAGAGGCAAAAAATACGCAACTTAACGCTTTTCCGCTTTTCGATTCATTTATTGAACTTCTTTATCTACTTTATTGACTTTGGAGAAATGAGAATTGAGAATTCTCCAAAGTCAAAGAGAATTTTGAGAATTGAGAATTTGTATTTTCAATTCTCCAAAGCCAATAAAGTAGCTTATAAAGATAAAGCCCATAGGCTTCTAGTTTTCACCGTATTCTTACAGTTTACGATTTCTTTGCCTCACCCTAACTCCGCGAAGATCTCAGTCTCGGAGAACGGCATAGCTGGACTCGAGAACTCTCGTTGGAGAAGCGCTGAAAATTGAAAATAAAGAAAAGTAGTTATAGATCGAAGATTTTTTTACATATTTCTATGTAAACCTTTTTCTCGAGTAAAGTGCGGATCCTCTGGAGAAGTGGCGTCCTCCAGTTGGGCGAGAGGAGCCGACTGAAAATGAAACGATCAATTTCAAGGAATGGCAAAGAAAAATTTCTTGGAGAGGGATTGAACCATCGACCTTGATCGATGCAAGAATGCTTTGAAAGCAGACGCTCTATCCACTGAGCCACCTGGCACCCCTAAGCTAGCAAAAAAAGAGGGAATACAAAGGGGAAGAGAAAGAAAGGCCCTCTACTCAAACAAATTCTATCTAGGACACTTGACTTATTCAAAATTCGAACGAGCTTCCATCGCCGTCATGGCCGACTGGCTAGGTGTCTTGTCTCTCAGTCGAGAGGTCGAGGGTTCAATCCCGGCAATAGTTTATTGTTCTTTTTTCTCATCTATTTTTTTTTTAAAGCTTAGAGGTATTCTTTGTAGAATCTTATTCATTTCTGATTTAAATCATTTTCTTTAAAGAATTCCTCACTTGTCCTCTTTCTCTGTACGATGGGGAAACGATTGGCTCTGTGGCCGGGTCATCGTCCATCAAATTTCCCTCATTTTTCTCGATTTCTGCTGGAGCTGAAGCAATTGAAGGATTCGAGCTGTAAATTTTTTTAGATTGCAAATCAAAGGGCTTGTTTTACCCAAGCAATAAACGCTTAAGACTCGAATTTGGTGGATTGTTCTCTTTCGAAAAGGATTCTCTAAAAGTTTTTGGTTTTTTTTTTTTTTGTTTTTTTTTTTTTTTTTGGTTTTTTTTTGTTCTAAAAAGATTTCTAAATAAAAAATAGACTTTTGATTTTCGATTTCCGATGTTGATCGAGCTTTTGAATCAAGAGAAAGCTAAAAAATAAGGATTTATTTTTGAAAAAACATTCGTCAATGGTGCTCAAGAATTACCGCAAACAACTTTTTGAAAAACTAGCTAGGAAATCTGTAATCTATTTTAAAAGTGGCAAGTGTTATACAGAGAATTGTAGCCCTTAATCTTGGCTAAATTTATCTACCAAAAACATCCCGATTCGACTTATACAACTCATTTAACAAGCGCTTAAATGAGCGCTGAGTCGACATCTCTTCGGCGAGTCATTTGGCCACAAAAAAAGTTGTTGCGGTAATTCTTGATCACTCTGTATCTATTTCAATATCACCTTCAAACCAATTAAATGAATTTAAATGAACCTGTGAAGCCGTTGTCACATCGAATTCCTCTTCACTGCAACGCTCGTTTGATGAGAAACTTAAGCATTAAGAATTATGTGAATTTATGCTTAATGATATTGCAAAAAACAAAGCTTTCTAGTGTACTGAATTCTACAATTTTCTTATAAAAACTTATTGGAAGAAAATTCTAGAATAAAATGCACTAGAAAGGGTTTGTTTTCCCCTCGAGCATAAAGTGAATGAAATCGCCAAACCTATTCGCTTGACTGTTCGCTAGTTTATTCTTGACTTCTTCCAATTTCATGATATCATCACAATCTTCTCTTTCTGGTACCGTTCGATAATCGGGTTTTGTTACCTCAAATTTTCCAAATTCTTTAATTCATTTTTTTTCGCTTTAAAAGCGACTTTTCAAAGTTCAAAGGTGGTTTTTTTTAAAAGAGTTAAGCTTTAAAACCCTCATAACTTTGTTTAGAAATAATATTATTTTAAGATTTTATATTGTTTTAAAGAGTACATTCTTTACGGCTTGAGGATTAGGCTTAGGCTCAGGCTTAGGCTTAGGCTTGAGGCTCAGGCTTAGGCTTAGGACTCAGGCTTAGGCTTAGGCTTTAGGCTTAGGCTCGAGGCTGCGGTTTGAGGATTAGGCTTAGGCTTAGACTTGAGGCTTCGGTTTGAGGCTTAGGCTTTATGCTTAAGAATTATCGAAAATAAAGCTTATATGAATTATTTGATTTCATGGAAATCAAGAGAAAATGAGCAAAAAGTTAACGATTTTTATAGGATTGAATAATTCGATTAAGCTCTTTTTTTATATAATTCTAAAGCCTACGCCTAAGCCCAGAGCCTAAGCCTCAAGCCTAAGCCTAAGCCTAAGCCTCAAACCTAAGCCTAAGCCTAAGCCTAAGCCTAAGTCCAAGCCTCAAACCTAAGCCTCAAGCCTACGCCTCTAGCCTAAGCCTAAGCCTTAAACGTAAGCTCTTTAAAACAATATAAAACATTAAGAATAGTATTATCTTTAAAAACTATTTGGTCTTAAAGCATAATGACTCGTTGAAAAAGTCGCCTTTAACTAACAAGAGTCACATTTTCTTTCAAAAAACGAACGAGTGAAAGAAAACGAAATTTTCGATCATTGTTTACATCGGCGGTGATCAATTCTCCACGTCCCTTTAGATGAACGGGTTTACTCGTTGTCACCGGCATGCCAACTCTGGAATTAAGACTTGTAGCTTTGATTTATTTTCATAGTTCTATCTAGGGTTTTCCTCAAAATACTTTAAGAACTTCCTTCACTACCGTAATCGTTTTTTTTACCGTCACCCATTTTACTATATTATCCTTTACCGTAATTCTACCGTAACCCATTTCCTAAGTTATTCTTTACCGTAATCCTTTTCGATTGTTCTCTAGTGAAAAGAAAAGTATTTAATAAACTTGCAGATTAGTTTGGAATTGATATTGAATTAGATATTGGATTACGGTAGAAATGAACGATTGGAAATAGATAGAAATAAATAAAAAAACATAATGACGATGGTACAGTCGCGTAGTCTAACTTTAAACGTGTCGTTCTCGGTGTTGCTTTATGCTACGATGTTCTTTATGGTGTCAAATGATAGCTCTTAAAATCTAGTATTTTTTGATACCAAAAGTTTAGTTAGTAAAAATCCAGGGGCTGAGAAAAAGAGGCTGAGAAAGTCTAATCACATACTCTAATAGAACGCCACTCTCGTAATGACGAGGTATTGCCGCGTAGTCTAACTTTAAACGTGTCGTTCTCCGCAGTACTTTAAGCTACAATATGCTTTATAATGTCAAATGATAGCTCTTGAAATCTAGTATTTTTTTGGTACTAAAAACATAATTGAAAAGAAAATCTAGAGGCTGAGAAAGAAATGATTTTTCTAACAAGAATAACAATTTCTAACAAGAATAACAATTTCTAATAATAAACTACGCGACTTTACTCTTAAAATAACGATACCTCAATTGAATGAGTACAGGTGGTAGATCGAGACCGGCTCTCCATTCAGCCAATGATAAAGCTGGAGTTGGGGCTTTCGATTGAGGAAAAAGATCACTGTGAAAGGCGCATTCACTCTAAAATTTTGCTCAAATTTATCGTAAATGTCGTAAATGACTAACTCTTTTCGGCGCGATTACACTCAACGGGATGACACTCGAAAATTCGGGATGAAGACGATAAAAACGGAAAATTTCACAAATTGAAAAGTTTAACGCCCTGAAAATTCTTTATTTAAATATCTTTTATTGTTTTTTGATTCAGTGCCTTTTAAAAAGTAAGCCTATAAATGAAATTGAATCAGTTTTTTACGTCAAAAAGACACCCAGATTACGGTAGCTCGAATTACAATAACTTTTATCAAATGTTTTAGTTGACATTTTTTGCATACCTCTTTGGCACATGAGCGATCGCTGTATGAGGCAAATGTTGACAAGTTTCGTTGAGATAAATCGACCATGGCGGTTGATCGAGAAGCTCGTAGAAACGAATTACTGTGTCACCCTGAAATGTACTTTGTGCTCAAACACAGTAAACACAATAAACACAATAAACACAATAAACCCAATCCTTCTGGTGTACCGATTTCTTTTCTAGCTACGAGCAAGAGGAAATGGAAAATAGAGAGCAAGAGAAAAATATTCAGTGCACCAGAAAGGGTGTTTGTTTCGAATTTCGCGATTACAAAGTACACCAAAGAAGGAATAGAAGCTTTTTTAAAAGTAGTTTTTAGTACCTTACATTAGTAGAGACTAAAAACTACTTAAAAAAGACTATCTTACATTACAAATCTTACAAAAGACTATCTTACGTCTTTAGTATTTAAGGTAAAGCTTAAAAATGAAGCTTTAATCTTAAAAACGAACTTTTCCCGTAACAAAAAGTATGTTGAGATCGTTGTCGAAAACCGGCATTAAAAGACCCGAAGAACCATCGATGTCCACAACGCAAAGTGGGGAATTGAATGAGGAAAGGCTGAAAAACTTTGATAAAATCTATCTAAATAACTGTTATTTAATACCATAGATGAATAATATTGTACCTAAATATGGCAAATTGTCGTCGATTCGCTTTCGTCGTGCCAAACGTGAGGATTCGTGTTTGCGAGGAGAAAAGTACCTAGAAATAGATGATTTTTTAAAAATTACGATCTAAATATTGTTTAGATTATTAGGATTACCGTAAAAAATTCAAAAAATAAACTGCAAAAAGTAAATAGAGTAAAATAAAAGTAAAAAATTCAACTTTTTAAGTATTAAAAACGGTTGGGCTTTAAACTTTAATCTATGAAAAGCCTTTTTAACGAGAGCCGCCTTCTTAACGAGAGCCACCTCTCTTACAGTCTTAGTCCAATGCCAAATCGCTTGACTGAAGCGAGAAACCTTGAGAGTTCGATTCCCTCAAGCACTTTTGCTTTTTATGCCAAAATTTAAATTTAGTTACCTTTAGCGAAGCGTTTCCTTCATGCGGTAGACTTGTGCTCTTCATCGCGTTCCCCGTACGAGAGTCGAAAATCTGAATTTTTCATAAAATTATCCATTGAATGCTAATAGAATATAGCTTTTTTTTGCTATTTTTACTAATTCTAACTATAGCTCACCGTGACTCGATGCTTATTTTTGGCAGTGGCCGCAAAAAGAGAAGCGTTTGGGGAAAAGGCCACACAAGAAGCAAGGTAATCATCGATCTAAAAAAAAAAAGGATTTAGGTTTTTTGATCTTTTCTAAAACGTGTCCCACTTTCACCACCGTAATCCTGTCTCAATTTTTCTCAATTTCTCAATTTGTTCAATTCCACTTTTCATATCTTTTGGATATCATTTGAAATCTCACAGAAACAGACAAAAAAGTAGATAGATTGGATAAAAAGAGACAAGATTACGATAGTAATCTAAGTGGAAAGGTTTTAGAATTGTATAAAATTGTATAAAATTTCTTTATACTATCTTTTCTTACCTCAAATATCAACTTATCGCCCGCTGCATCCCATAAAATGATCTTTGAATCAGCGCCCATTATCAAGAGAACATCGTCGACAGTTGGATGCCATTCGATTTGTTCAACCTAAAAGAAAAAGCTTTAGCTTTCGAAAAAAAGCTCTAAAACTTTTACAATGACGAATGAAGAACCTAGTGCACCAGAAAGGGTGTATGTTTACACTATTGAGCTCAAAGTACACCATAAAATTCAATTTAAACCAACCCTTCTCGTGTTTGCTGCCAATGTTCGAACCACATGCCCACTTCCATCATTCTTTATGTGCCAGATCTAAATTTTATAATTGAATACAGTATCTTTTCAAAGCTACAAGATCATTTTATTTTAATTTAAATAAAATTTCCCCAACCTTGACTGTATTATCAGCTGATGCTGACGCAAGAATGTTGTCGTTAAACGGATTCCATTTCAGATCGAGCACCGTTGACTTGTGCTCGGATAAGCGAATCGTCTGAATATAGGATAAATTTTTAGAGATAAAAAAATTGGTACTCACTTGAGAAAATTTTCCGCAATCTTGAATCCGAGACACTAGAATGCACCCGGCCGACGGTCCGTCGAGACTCGCCGTCACGAAGCGCGGATTCACTGCCAGCGTGTGACACCTAATTTTTTCTAATTTTCATCTAATTCATCTAATGATTTTTGATAATACTAGCTTTTAACCATTGTCTTACTGTAGTCTAATATGCAAATTGATCATATTCCTTTCTGTCTAACTGTAGCTTGCTATGTTTTTCTCTTACCTCTTACCGTATTTGTCTTACTGTAACTTCTTTGTATGCAAATCAAGTTCGACTTGCTTGAAAGCCATATGCAAATTTCCCCTACCTTGCCGTTCCCCAATCATATGACTCTTGTTTCGAGAAAGTTTGCCCGAAAATGTGTCGAAATTTCGAGGTCGCTTTTGGTGATGTCGGGGTTTGTTTGCCTGAATGTGATTGATTTTTTGATAATAATTCCAATTTTCAATTTGAGCAAACTTACTAGGCATGCTAGACGCCTTGACGAAGAAGAGACGGGTGACTAGATCATGCCTTTATTGAATATCTGAAAAGTTGATGTAGAATTAAAATAAAGAACTTGATGCTTGCGTGTCACATTTTAGCAATGTTACTTACGTCAAGTTCTGATAAAAATGGTATAAGGATTCCGGTAAATAGATTTACGTGATAACTCATAATGTCTAGGTACTGGACTATCCAATTTAATGGAAAACCAATCCCTTAACGTTGTCACTTCTCGGGTTGAGTGTAATCTCATGCACCGCCAATTCCCCTTTTCATCGTTTGAGTGACAAGTCGACACGTGCTACCCCACTCAGTAAGAAATTAGGCAAAAACCTAAAGTTTCCAAAAAATTACACGCATTCAAAGATTTATTCAACAACTTCATCAAAATAACAAAGAAAACATTGGAAACCCGTCATTAAATAGAATTTTTACACGTTTAGAAAGAGCTTTCTGAGTGATCGTCGTTGTCTTCAGAATCCGATTCCTCATCCAATTCTTTATCGAGTCGCTCGAGGTATTCGCTCACTTCGGCGTTCCCTTTGATACCACGAAGAAATTGCTCGTATTGGGTGCGAATCTCGGTGAAAGCGCTCGCATTTGCATACGGCAGCCCGGTCACCGTGTCACGATATCTGAAAGAAAAAGATAAATTTGTGGATAAAATAAAGTTTGTTTTCCGTATGTGCAATAAAACAAACTCCTAACACTCTGCGAAGTAACTAAATGCATGTAAACTAAAGATAGTCACTATCTTCACAAAATACCTCACAAACAATACTAAGCAGACCTGGCTCTTTGACCGGTGACTGCACAAACCATTGCCGGCGGCATATGTGGCGCTTGAAATTGTTTGACTTGTGGTAAAACGAGTAGATTTCCTAAAAACATGTATGTAACTGTATGTAAGCGGTATGTAACCTGAACTGTATGTAAACTACCTGTGGGGGTGCTTTTAATCGACATATATGGTCCATTCATTCCGTGTTTAAGTGCTTTCTCTCTTCGCTTCCGCTTTTCAATCTCGAACTCTTCAAATCTAAGAAAACCTCCCATAAAACTAGTATACGCAAAACCTGAGCAAAGTTTTAAGTACATTTAAACGCAAAAGAAATATTTACCTATTCAAAGAAGCAGCATTTTCTCGTTCAGTCTTTTCCGCTTCTTTCATTCGTTGTGCCTAAATCTTGAACTAGTTGTAGAACTTGAACTCAAACAAACTTGTGTTCTTGCATCGCATTCGTTATGTAGAACCTTGTCTACTCTGTCGATCGCCCATTTCTTGTTCATTGAAAATACGTCGAGATCCGGCTTTTGCTTTGGTTCCTTAAGAAGAAAATTAATTTCTCAGAAATGTTAAACTCTACCTTATACAAAGTTTTCTTCTTCTTTCTCGGTTGTTTATCTTTGTCCTCTTGATCGGAAATCGGTTCATCCTCCTCTTCAGGTCGATCAAAATCCGAATCGACGTCGTCTTCATCATCCGAAACCGGTGAGACATACACATCCTCGACATCATCCTAAAAATTTTTTTATAAACAGCAAAAAACAACTTTTTATAGAATCTTCAACTTCTAAAGGCAAATAACCAAAACCCTTTTCAGTAAACACCAAAAATCCTCTCCATTTTGGCTTTTCTTAACAATCAACCCCTTTTCAAGAAGTTCTTTTGAGCTTTGTGACACAAACAAAGCCAAGCAAAAGTTGCAAAAAAACACATCGCTTTTCCGATGCCCGTTCCAAAATGTGGCCCAACTTGGTAAACAAACGCTTTTGTGAAATTTTTAGGGAATACTTTAAAATTACAAATTAAAAAAGATAAATATTCGATAAACTTACATCTTTGAAGCCACCCTCGTACGCGCCCGAATAAAAATCGTCTTCTTGTACTGTTGAGTGGAGAAGTTTTGCCATTTTATTGCCAGCGTTTGCCCTAATGCATAAAATGTGAATTGGAATAAGTTTCAATAAGAAAGACTCATGAAAAGCAAACCTCCTTTCTCGAGATGTTACCATCAATTCAACGGGTGGCGAGTCGCTTTCGTCGCTTTCGTCGCTTTCATCGCCACTTTCATCGTCTTCCTAAAGAAAAGTTTAAATATTTAAAAATACAAATGATAATTAAATTTGAATGCTCTGTTTTACGCTAGAAACAGAAATTTATAGTTTTAAAGCTTCAAAATATTTAGCGTTTAGGAAGTATGTAGAAGTTCAGACGTGTCTTTTTAAGCTTTTTTACGTTAAAACAGCTCTTACCCAAAAGCCAAATAACTTTAAGATAAGAAAATTTTCAGAAAATTATTTACCTCATCTTCGTCACCTTGTGAGTTGTTCCCTTCATTTTCCTCTCTGTCCTCATTGTCTTCTTCCATTTCTTCATCGTCTGGCTCAGCCGATTCGGTTGATGGCTCTCGTTTTCGCTTCATTCTAAAATAAAAAAATATACTTAATGATAAAATTCAAAACAAAAATAAAGTAGGTAAAAGATTGCATGGGATTTTAAAGTTACCTAGACGGCTTTAAAATAAAGTTGTTTCCAGTCAATAAAATATTCAGCTAATTAACTGAATAGCCTAAAATTTATCATTATGCATGGTAAAAAAGGAAGAACTTTCTTTGTCTTTGGGGTGGGTTAGTTTCCGCAACTTTTTTTGTGCCGCTGGGTCGTTTGCGCAACTCGCCATAACTTTCTTCTAAGTGGGCCAATCTTTATAATTTTGGTTTCATTTTGTTATACTTATTGAGAGCTACAAATTGAAACCAAAATTATAAAGATTGGCCCACTTAGAAGAAAGTTATGGCGTGTTGCTCAAAAAAAGTTGCGGAAACTAGCCTACCCCTTGTCTTTGTCAATTCACTAGGTGCAAGCATTGATGAAAAGTTTTTAAATTTTAAAACCTTTCAAAAAGATTAAAACGTCTGTCACAATCAAAACGCTAATTAAATATTCAAAGATTTGCAGTACTAAATAGCATTTTATCGATCATGCATAGTGGATATACGTCGTGTTTTTGCGGCTTTCTTGTGCCCTTCCCTAACCACATTCTCCCTTTGGCCATCCGGGTAGCACAGCATTTGACAGCGGTGGGTCCCGCCTAGAAATCCCTTTTCGAAAGAATTGGGATACTACCACGCACTATTGCTTCTTTCACCAATGCCGTAGATGGGTTTCTCTTTTCGAAAGCTAATGTTACTTGGCATGCTACTTTATGAACCGATAAGTAACAATCAAATCTCATTCATCTATGGAACAAAATTTGACAGCTTTGACCAAGTTTGCTGCACGATTGCAAGTAAAATATATGCGGAAGCTTTTGCTAAACGTTGATTCAAATTTGCCAGCACGGATGCCAACATTTGCGGAACTTGACTCGTCAATTTGTCCAATGTTGCTCAATTATAGCTAGCTTTGTTTTCCCATATTACGCCAGTTTATCACGAAATAGTCATGGACAAAAGTATTGGCGTGTATAGAAGCCCCGTTTAATTAATTGCCTTGGGAATTATCTCCCCTTTTCGCCTTGCCAAAAGCAGAGTTAACTGACCGTTTGTCTAACCTGTCGTTTAACAATTTGCAGAAATTACATCAACAGATGTTTTTTTAGAATCTTTCCTGGATAGAGTTTCCATGTATTCTAATTTTAATTCTTGTTGATATTTACTTCCTTTCACCTTTTCCTAACTTTTATTATATTGACTTTTTCAGGATGTCCACCGAAGAAGAGATTCGATTTGACGATGAAGATCTGCACTTGAGTCAAGCATCAGGCGATATGGACTTGGCCACGGTTGGTTTCGGTTTTAAATTTTATTATCTCTTTTCGTTTAGGACTTTGATGCTATTGAACGACAAATGGCCGAGATCGAGGAAGAACAGAAGAAACTTCAACAAATTCAGAATGAGGTTTGCTCTTAAATTCTATTCTATAGTTATGTTTTCTATAATCTTTATTTTTAGACCGATGCTCAGATGAATCTTTCGTCGTCAAGTCTCAACGGCTCAAGTGCTTATCCACCAACTTTGTCGGCAGAAGAAAAGGCGGAAATTGATGGCCGTTCCGTCTACGTTGGAAATGTCAGTTCTTATAATGAAATTTATTTTTATCAAATTTTCAGGTTGATTATGGATGCACAGGAGAAGAGCTCGAAAAGCATTTTCACGGATGTGGCTCAGTTTCACGTGTGACGATTCTCTGCGACAAGTATACAGGACATCCCAAGGGGTAAATTTTGCGTTATTATCCTAATCTTATCAGATAGTATCACAGGTGTTTTAGTACTCAAGTTCTATCAAATATTTTTGCATGTAAATACTTTAGCTTTGCTTATGTTGAATTCACCGATCCGGAAGGCATGCGAAACGCAATGGCTATGGATGAATCGCTGCTTCGAGGTCGCCAGATCAAGGTACTTGAAGAGCAATTTGTTTTTCGAGTGTTGTCTCAACTATTTACTTTTAGGTCTGCGAGAAGAGAACGAACAAGCCTGGAATTTCAACGACAAATCGCCCTCCACGTTTCAGGTATATTTATTGAGATCAGCTGACTATAGCCGAGATTAAACTACAATTATAGATGCTAAGGCCTTGGTTAAGGTAGTGATTCTTGTATCGAAAATGAATAATCACATTTGTTTAGGGGTGGCCCAAGAGGTCGAGGAGGAGCAGCGGGCGGCATGATTGTCAAGTATGTGCCTGTTGGATTTGGTCGCCCACGTGGTCGCGGTTTGCGGTATGTTTGATTAAATACATTTTTATGCACCTATTTGCATAAGTTTGATCCCAGCAATCTTACGTTTTAAGAAGACGCCCTCACTTCAGCAACTATGCTTAAATTCGCGCCAATACGGGACAAGCCGGCATCTCTCCAGGCGTATCACAGTACATCTTCACACCGTTTAATTTTAATTGCTGCCATTTTCGGCTATTTTTAAAAAATTGGCTTCTGTTGTCATTAAAGCTTTTACACATGATCCATTTAAATGTTTCCCTGTTTCATTTCCTTCACGTTATGATGGTTGTTAGGCCGCAAGATCTAAAGTTAAAAATTCTTTTCTCCCTGGTGTTGCCCCGTTTCAAAATATGATCTTTTTGGCTATAACGTTAATTTATTGGGATTTTTTGAAAAGTAAAATTGACTTGTTTAGAGTCATATTTTGATGTTTTGTTGGCTAGTTATTATTTCCTTGATAAACCGTTTGCGATGAAAATGAAATACGTGCCAGCAGTTATAAAAGGCAGATTACTACTTTACGAGACTTCAATAGGTGCTATTACAAAGAATTTTTAGCAAAAATGCAAAGCAATAGCGATTACGCTAAACAAGAGTACTGGGATGACCGATTTAAAGAGGAAACCGAGTTCGAATGGCTTTGTGGTTTTGATGTCGTGGCAGATATTTTACTGCCAATTTTGAAACCGAATTCAAAGTGAAGATTTTTTCCTTTGCTGAAGCTTGGTGCGTTCAGGATTTTGCACATCGGATGTGGCTCATCCCACCTTTCGATGAGACTTTATGAGGCCGGATTTTGTGACATCACCAATGTGGATTATTCGCAGGTTAGCAAGACTTAAGACCAGTTTAAATACCATTTATTATATAGGGTTCATAATTAAAATGACTTTAATTTAAGATTCTCATCGATTCTTCTCTGCAAAGATACGCTGCAAGTTATCCTGAAATGAAATGGGTTTGTTATCATTTGTTTCATTGAAATTTTTGTCCTTAGATTTGTGATGATATGCTCTCACTTAATAAAATAGAATCAAATGCATACGATGTGGTTCTGGAAAAAGCAACCATTGAGGCTTTGTTGGTTAAAGAAAAGGTGGTTTTATTATCTTTGATGAATAGCTAGAGTTTTTAGAGTCCTTGGTGTCCATCTGATGAGGCTCTAGTTGTTTTGGATCAAGTCTTTTCTTCAGTGACAAGAGTAAAACTGTTAAAGTAAATCATATTTTAATATGAACCTAGGTTTTGCGAACTGGTGGAGTTTTCATATCGATATCGTTTACACAACCGCATTTTCGTGTCCCAGCACTGATGAGAAATCCAAATTGGAGCATCAATGTTGAGGTAATTTAAAAGTTTTTTTTTCAAATATGTATTTTTGGTTCAGGAATTTGGTACTTCGTTCCACTACTACGTCTATTTACTCAAAAATGGCGAGCACCTCTCTTCAGAAATTCGAGAACGATATGGGAAATTGGCTGCCGATTGGCTCCGACCTCTAAATTAAATTTTTGTAAGTTGTTTTCATGTAAAATAAAGTTGTTTAAATTGAAAATACAATTTTAAATCACACATGATCGATTTCTTGTCTCCAAGAGAACTTGAAAGGACTTGGACGTGCGAGAGAGCGCTAATTCTCGACTAACTAGTGGGGTGGCAATTTGGTTGGTCCTACGCGTGTATGGTGTTAGTGTCTGCTGCGTGCCAAGGGCCCAGCTGGTGTGAGGGGGAAAAGAGGATGAAAAGAAGGAATTGCCTACCCCATTTCGACCCTTCCTCTAGAAAGACCACGCCCCTCTTTCCCCCCTCGATTCTCCCCCTTCCAGTTCCCTTTCTTTTCCTCGGGGTGTCCCATGGCCTATTGGGGCTCCCTCGGCGGGCATCGAACAACATTGCTTCCTCCAGCACTCCCTTTTGGAAGCAAAGCTTTTAAAGTCTTTCCTTTTTCTGGTTCTTTGTCCTTCTTTAGCTAGCAGGCGCTCACTAGATAAAATCGTTTTTGTTTCCTTTTTAATAAGCATTTTTTCTAAAACTTTGGTACTTATGCTGTTTACTCCCTAAACATTGGAAAATTTGTTGTCAATCTAAAAGCCTGTTTATTTTTCATGCCCCATCTCAGGAAATTTGTCTGTGGATTGGTGAACTAAACGGCATAAATGCATAAATTTTGTTTAAAATCACATCATGTTCCGTATTAGGATGGCTGTGGATGAGGACGAAGTCTCGCAACTCAAATCGAACGCGGACAACTTAGCAAAATGTCTCCATGCTTTATTGGAAAGAATTGAGCAGCTAGAACGAAGAAAATCGTCGTCGCCACAACGAGTAGTGAAACTAGATATTTAAAAAGAAAAAGAAATGGTTTAGCAAGAATCGACCGACTCTCGCGCTGAATCTTATGCAGAAGTTGCTGCTACTTCCGGGAAGAAAAAGCGTGGTAAAAAGAAAGGGAAACACGTCGACGAGAAGGCGGCGAATGGCGGATATGTGGATGTGGCCAAGGTTGATTTTAAAAAAAACATTATAGATTTGCTGCTTTATTAGTACTTTTTAAAAATCGTTAACGTTTATAAGTTTCAAGATCGAACTCGATGAGCCAGAGAATTCGGAGCAAGTTGTCATGTCGGATACGATTTGCGTGGATCCGGAGACGGGCCTGAAGAAACGAACCATTGTGACCGAGCGAGTGCTTACGACGAAAACTTTTCACGCATTGACTTTGGGTAAGCTGTTGAAAAAAATATCTTGCATTATTGTTTGCTTTAGATGGCGCTCCCGTCTTAATGCCTTCGAATGGACGTCAATTGGGTCCGGTGTATCAACCACGATCTGTTCAAGTCGAGGCCGCTCAATTGAAACAGGTAAAGTTTTTTGTGGCCCATTGTTTAACGATTTACCGCTTGGGAACCAAATGGGTTTGCAAATGAGTAATGGGCCACAGGTGAGCGTGAGTGCTTCCTCAAAAGCGATTCACTTATTTCTTTATGAAACTACTGCAAAATTTACAATGCACAATAAGTTCTTTGAGGGAAATTTTGCTTTTAACCTACCTAACTCAAAAACGGAAATTCTTTTAACGGGAAATTTTCTCCTCGACTTGTCAAGAGTAAATATTCGTGTTTTGCGTGTGATTTTCGAGTGGACTCCTCTCTCTCACCCGTCTCATCTTTCATATTTGCCCGGATTTTGGGACATCCGATCGGACAAAGCCTTTGATATTTTCCTAATCTACAATGTGCTTTGATTGTTCAATCTCCTCACTCGTTGAACCATTCAACGATTTTCAACTGAATTCTATCAAGTTTTTCCTATTGACCGCTGTTTTCGTTTTCCTTTGTGTAAGTTTAAATGGTTTCTAATTGATTGTTTGTTAGTGCCAATTAATCTACTAATAGCTAGTGTGAAGAAAAATGGACTTGTTTGCGTAAGAGCTTTCTGGTAGTGTGAATTGGGGGAGCCCGTTGTTTGATGAGGTGCCTAATGTTTTCTGTCGCTTTGCCGCAAAATGTCCATTCAGATTAGGTAGACAACAGCAGTGGATTAACAACATTAAAAACAAAGTTTGTTTTGAATAACGCATCGATACTTATTTTGAAACTCTAATACCACTAAAGTAAAAGTAGTTTAACGTTGTCGTCGTTTTATTGCTTTGAGATTCCAATTGACATTTAGTTTATGAACTCACAATCAAAGAGATCCTATGCGCTGATTGAAGTGAATTGCGGAAGATTCTTCCCAAAGGGTCCTAGTTCTTTGGACAAATTCCCAGCAAAAAGTCGAAAGAGTTTCCTTTTTCCCAAAGAAATTTATTGTGTTATGCTTTTGTTGAAAAATACCGCCTCACTCTTGTCGAGACCATGGAAAGAGCCGAGGGGCCATAAATTTCGGAAAAGCGGCAGCCAAGGGGTGGTTTTTGGGACAGACGCGTCGGGTTGTGTTGCAAGTTAATTGCCTTTAGGCAAAGGGCAAAAGAGGCTGTCACCAAGATCTCTCACCAACACATCCCTCAAGATGACAAGCTACAAATGATAATTTCTTAACATTTAAGAGCTAAAGTTATCTTCATACCGCGATAGCTTGTTATAAAGTCTCTTTAAACCACAGGAAAAATAAGTAAAGTCAATCCCTTTGCATTCGAAGTTAGTGAAATTTAGAAATTTACTATTTATTTTAGATCGAAGTCGAATCTATTTTTGGACAACTGGTGGTGGTAAAAGTACATCCAGATGCCACTCACAATATTCGCCCGGGTGATTCGATTACAGAAGTGAGTTGATGCTAATGCTTGCTGAAATGACTAAAGTCTTTATTTTTCAGATTGACGGAAACCCGGTAACGAATCTTAAAGACATCGAGAATCTACGTGGCCACTCGACTCTCACTTTGACCACCTCGGCCATCTATCGCGGTCCTTCAGTGAGTTTTCTTACCCCTCCCCCTTACTTTAGTTTGTTTTAGATTTTCTACAAAATCAATGGTGAATACAGCTCTGAGAAAGATGAAAAACGCATTTGCCAGTGGTTGCCTATTGAGGTCTGTAGAAATTTCGGTTTTATATGAAGTTTGCTTTAGGTGAAAAGGGGCGATGTGGTGCAAATTTTGACAAAGGATGAAAATTGGCTTCAGGCAATTTTACCCATAGTTTCAAAGTACGAAAAGTTTAGGCAAGAAAAGTGAACGATTTGACCCATGTCGGATATCTTCCCACAAATCTTGCCATGGAAAAGGTGGGAGATATTTGTCTTGCTGAAACTTACCTAATTTTAGGTCTCAATGTTGTGTCCCTTTGGTCGTCGCGTGCTAGTGCTTTTGGGTGCTCCTGGGGTCGGTAGAAGGACTTTAAAATCGATGCTTTTGCGCTCATCACCGGCTCACTTTGCTACAGTCATTCCAAGTTAGTTTTTAAAAAATATCAATCCATTTGAAATCATTTAGTGACGTCACGAGCTCCTCGTTCTTCTGAACAAGAAGGCCGAGAATATCACTTTGCTCGGAAAGAAGACATGTTAAAACGTATTCGCGACGGAGACATGATTGAATGGGGTGAACTCGATACGCATTTGTATGGTAAATAATTATTTCGTTCTGCAAACTATCTAGATTGTTCAATCATTTATAATCATTTCAATTCAGGGACATCTGCTGAGTCGGTCCGTAACATTGTGCGCGGTGGTCGATTATGTGTTCTAGATTGTGCGCCAAGGGTTCGTGAGAGTTTCTCAATTTTTATTTTTTTTTTGTTCTAGGCTCTATCGTACTTATACAACGGAGAATTTATGCCATTTGTGGTCCATATTGTGCCGCCGCAGCTCGACGAATTTGTTCAACTGGAGACACTTCGACAAACAAGACGTACCACCGAACAGGTTTAACCTTAATCTGTTTTCGAAAAGTTACCCCTTGGGTTTTTATTTTTGAGGTTGGAATTTGTAATTCAAATTATTTTTAGTTGGCACAAACTTGTCAAGAGAGTGAGAACATTGCGAGTGGAACAAATGCGACTCAAATTCATCTCACATTAGTCAACAGAAACATGGACGTGACCTTTAAACGGTATCGCCTTTTAAATTTTACTTTACCATGTTCGTTTTAGTTTACTTGATAACCTGGAAGCACTGCGAAGTGAAACACAAGTTGTCCCGGATAGCTGGATGTGCTGATGTGCTGATGTGCAACGCCTAATTTTTCTACTTCAATAGCGATAATTCTCAATAATTTATGCAATTCTCTATTTTTTTCCTATGCTTAAACTTTTTTAGTGATACCCTGTGTTGTGACTGTCTAGTCTTTACATTAAAGTCGAGATTATTCTTTCGATCTCCCGTTTGTGATTCTTTAATAACTAGTCGTATAAAATGTATGTGTGCGGTTAATAAAACTTGAAATAAAGAATAGTTTTTAGGTACTTATGAAGCAAGCTAACAATGAGTATCTTTCTGACGAAAAGTTAAGTCTTTGCCTGAAATTGTAAGCTACAAGTTCAGCTGAACAGGCAATCGAAGTGTGGAAAATAAGTTTTCTAATAGGGTTACTGTAGAATTTATGTCGGAATTGTGTTTCTCTTTCCAAACCTTCTTCGGAGGAGCGAACTTCGGGTGTAAAACTATTCATTTTTGACATTTTTGCGGACCTTGGTCTCTTTCTGTCTCTGGTATACTATTTTTTGACAAAACTATGAGAATAAATCGTGTCTAGCGCTTCCCCTTCCCAGTTACAATGCTTACGCCATGAGAATCGTTCGTAAACAGCGCCACTTACCCAATTCCCACCCAACAGAGCTGAAATTCTTGAATTTTTTGTTAGTTTAGGTGAAACTTTGTGGCGTAAAGCCGTCTTTTCGTCTTCTACTTCTTTTCCAATACAATTGTTTTGATGGTAACACTTTTTAAAGTTTCAAATTAGAATGGAAAAAAAGTTGGAAAAAGGTTACTCTTATGAAAACTTTTTAATATTGTTTTATTCGATTTAGCCAGAGTAATCTATCAAGAATCCATGAGAGAAAAGGATGCACGCGAGGAAAAGGAACGATCAAGAATGATTGCCACTAGGCCTCCTAGAAATGAAGAGGAATACGAGCCGATTGAGTACGCTCATTTTTTTTGCACACTTTTATCGGTATTTTTAGAATTTCAATCGACTATGACGACGACGATATGAACGAACAGCTAGACAGTGAAGATGAGGAATTTAGGAATGCTTGGGCTGAAGTTGAAGTGAGATTCACTGTAGTGGTCAATAAATTCGTAGATTTAGAATGAATGTCTAGAAGAAGTGATCGCTTCGACGAGCTCACTAATGGCCGAGATCGAGGAAGAACAGAAGAAACTTCAACAAATTCAGAATGAGGTTTGCTCTTGAATTCTATTCTATAGTTATGTTTTCTATAATCTTTATTTTTAGACCGATGCTCAGATGAATCTTTCATCGTTAAGTCTCAACGGCGCAAATGTCTATCCACCAACTTTGTCGGCAAAAGAAAAGGCGGAAATTGATGGCCGTTCCGTCTACGTTGGAAATGTCAGTTCTTATAATAAAATTTATTTTTATCAAATGTTCAGGTTGATTATGGATGCACAGGAGAAGAGCTCCAGAAGCATTTTCATGGATCTGGCTCAGTTTCACGCGTGACGATTCTCTGCGACAAGCATACAGGACATCCCAAGGGGTAAATTTTGCGTTATTATCCTAATCTTATCAGATAGTATCACAGGTGTTTTAGTACTCAAGTTCTATCAAATATTTTTGCATGTAAATACTTTAGCTTTGCTTATGTTGAATTCACCGATCCGGAAGGCATGCGAAACGCAATGGCTATGGATGAATCGCTGCTTCGAGGTCGCCAGATCAAGGTACTTGAAGAGCAATTTATTTTTCGAGCGTTGTCTCAACTATTTACTTTTAGGTCTGCGAGAAGAGAACGAACAAGCCTGGAATTTCAACGACAAATCGCCCTCCACGTTTCAGGTATATTTATTGAGATCAGCTGACTATAGCCGAGATTAAACTACAATTATAGATGCTAAGGCCTTGGTTAAGGTAGTGATTCTTGTATCGAAAATGAATAATCACATTTGTTTAGGGGTGGCCCAAGAGGTCGAGGAGGAGCAGCGGGCGGCATGTTTGTCAAGTATGTGCCTGTTGGATTTGGTCGCCCACGTGGTCGCGGTTTGCGGTATGTTTGATTAAATACATTTTTATGCACTTATTTGCATAAGTTTGATCCCAGCAATCTTACGTTTTAAGAAGACGCCCACACTTCAGCAACTATGCTTAAATTCGCACCAATACGGGACAAGCCGGCATCTCTCCAGGCGTATCACAGTACATCTTCACACCTTTTAATTTAAATTGCTGCCATTTTCAGCTATTTTTAGAAAATTGGTTTCTGTTGTCATTAAAGCTTTTACACATGATCCATTTAAATGTTTCCCTGTTTCATTTCCTTCACGTTATGATGGTTGTTAGGCCGCAAGATCTAAAGCTAAAAAGTCTTTTCTCCCTGCGCCCATATCCTACGCAAAATTTTGGCTTTCCGGCGGCTTCTAGGCTCCGGGAAAGTTTTCGCCGGAAAGTGCTAAAACTGTAGCCTAATGAACAAGGCTTTCGATTTATTAAGCTTTAAATTTTGGCATTAAAAAGCATAGTGTGATATGTGAATCAGGGCGAAAGTTTTTGGACAATTTTTCCCGCAGGTTCAGATTTTTTTCTCTAGGTATTTGGGTTAAAAACTTTCTTCCAAGGGAATTCAAAAGTATTTTTGAATAACATATTTCATTTTTTGAGCGTTGGCAGCGTTTCCCTGGCCATTCTCTGAGTCGCTATCGTTATCACTTGAGCTGTGCATGCCATCATCCCCACTCTCTTTTCCGAAATCGTCTTCACGACACTTCATAGAAAAGTTTCTGATCGCAACTGCGGCCACTATCAAGTTTGAAGCAATCAACGGCTCCTGGCGTATTTCATCCCTTAAGAAAGGAAATTGACGTTTCAATGTCCCGAAGGCATGCTCAACATCCGAGCGAATAGCACAGTGCCTTTGTGAAATTTAACTCCTTCTGTGGTTTTGAGTTTAGAATGGGTTTGAATAAAAAGTTTTGAACGGCGTAAGTCGAATCACCAAATAAAATCCCTGTCTTTTCTCCATTCATAAACTCCATTGTAGATCGCACTCTGCTTGCATACAGCAGAGTCATGAAATCGGACCAGAAACTTCTAGTTTCTGGTCTAGAAACCCAGATCTAGAAAAAATAACCGCAAATCTTCACAATTGCGCTCAAGTTGATCGAGTGATTGTGGCGATCCACAAACTGATCTGCTTGAAAGTGGGATCTTTGGTTACGCGGTGAAGAATCGAGTGCGCCAAAAAGTGTGTTTAGAGGTTTGAGCACAAAGTACGTTCAAAGAACAAGTCTGTTTGAGACATAATATACAAACTATGTATGCCGAATTGTTGATTACTCCATTTGACTAGCTCATTGTCAGTTACCGAAAAAAAACTCTTTATTCACCTCTTCTTTTGCCAACTTTTGCTCCAGTATAACAAATTTTTCGCTTTGTCGAGTTCATCGCATTCATTTCCACAATTCAGATGAATCAAACCAAATCAAATCAATCAGAATCAATCAAAAAACCTTATCACTAACACTTGAAGTTCGAAAATTCGCAAATGAAGACCTCGCGAATTTGCCGTTGCCGTTGCCAAATTTAAAAGCAAATTTACAAAGTTTGGATATTCAAACCAAGAACTGAATATTCAAAAGCAGTAAATTTTTGGTAAGTTTGGTATTTAAATGATCGCAGCAAAAATATCCTTTGTTCAAAAAATTCGATCGTTTAAATAAGCAAATTAGCCAAAATGTTTACGATTTTTGAATATTCAGTCTTTTGCTTGAATAATTGAACTTTAAAGCCTTTAAATTCGTTAATCAGCAAAAAAAAATTCCCTTTGCGAATTTCCCCGGTGTTGATGTTCTTTCACAGTTTAACTTTTAACATTAATTATTGTCGCTTTAAGCTCTTTATTTTTTACTAATTTCGGTATTTAAAGGATCGCTGCAAAAATATCCAGAATTGGCTACTTTGTGCCAAATTTTTTTCACAGCTCATATCATGTTGTAACTTGGTAACTTGTTGACATTTTGTTGTTGTTATTTTTGTTACTATTTGTTCTAAGCGTTGTTAAAAGTTACAGAATGTTGTATGAAACCATCACCAATCGTCGATTCAGCATAGTCAAAAATCCCTGGGTGCAAAAAATCAGCTCATTTGACCAAAAAAATCTCAACTACTATCTTGTTCAAAGTATTAGTTTTTTGTTTCTTTCTGTCTCTGGTATGCTATTTTTTGACAAAGTTATGAGAATAAATCATGTCTAGCGCTTCCCCTTTCCAGTGACAGTGCTTACGCCAAGAAAATCGTTCGTAAACAGCGCCACTTATCCGATTCCCATCTAACAGAGCTGGCATTATAAATTTTTGTTTGTTAGTTGTTAGTTTAAGTGGAACTTTGTGACGTAAGGCCGTCTTTTCGTCTTCTACTTCTTTTCCGATACAGTTGTTTTAATGGTAACACTTTTTAAAGTTTCAATTTAGAATCGTTCTTCTGGGATGTTTTTTGATCACATATTCGAAGATCTCGACGACGAGCCTGAAGAGGTAGCTCTTTATAGTTTTATCATTTATGCTTTGATTTAGCCACCCCAAAAGCGTTGGTCCGATGCATCAGCGGTCTTCAATAAATACCACGAAAACAAATCGGAAAGGATGCGTAAGTTTTTAACTATTTACGATCGGTATTGATACCAATGTTTAGGGCGTCCACCGGAGCGAGCCGTGCAGGACATGATCAACGTCTTTGAGCGAACGAAACGACTGGGGGAGATGGAACTTATGGAGAACAATCGAGCTGAGATTATTGATTGGCTACATGGGATCGAGGATGGTGGGTGACAAATTATCTGTACTCTTTTATGAAATCATTTGTTTAGTTCCCGAGCCATCAAATCTCGAAGGATTCTTAAAGAAAGCCTGCGATAGAAAGGTTAAATCGCCAGAGATAGACTCAAGCAAGCACGCTAAATGGTTGGTTTCGAATGGTTTCAATAATATTGGAATTCAGGAGTGAACTGAGCGAAGTAATCTTTTTTGCCGCTCACAATACTTTCGTGGAAGGATACTACGCACGAATCGACTACGAGAGTAAGATTAAAGTTTTATGAATCGTTCATATGATATTTAGATAAACTCAAAAATTATGTGGACACGTACGTGCGTGATGTGAGGGCGTGGTGGGCCGTCGATACGCAAAGAAGAAAGAATAGGCTTGATCAAGTGGAACTACAAAAGTTTGCAATTATTGAGCATTGAGCTTTTATTGAGCAATTTACTTCGTTTAGATATAAAGAGGCTCAAAAATTGCGTGCTCAGCAACGTCTTGCAGAGATGGAAGCAAACGATCAAGCCAGACAAGAGACGGTTGGTTTAGAATATCTTGCATATGTGCATTTGCTGAGAGTTTAGACGCGGGAGATTCTTGAATATTTGAAGGAGCTTGACATTAACCGAATCGTACAAGGAAAAAAGTGCACGGTGGAAAAAGGTTACTCTTATGAAAACTTCGTAATATTTTTTGGATTCGATTTAGCCAGAGTAATCTATCAAGAATCCATGAGAGAAAAGGATGCACGCGAGGAAAAGGAACGATCAAGAATGATTGTCGCTAGCCCTCCTAGAAATGAAGAGGAATACGAGCCGATTGAGTACGCTCATTTTTTTGCACACTTTTATCGGTATTTTTAGAATTTCAATCGACTATGACGACGACGATATGAACGAACAGCTAGACAGTGAAGACGAGGAATTTAGGAATGAATGGGCTGAAGTTGAAGTGAGATTCACTGTAGTGGTCAACAAATTAGTAAGTTTAGAATGAATGTCCAGAAGAAATGACCACTTCTACGAGGCCACAACCGTCCGTCGTTTTATCCCACAATCTGACCGAAGAATCCATGGATTTCATCGAGTCATCAGTGCCATCGACTTCAAGAACCATTGGGGGACCAAACAAAGGAAATCGACGAGAACCGGAAAGAGAAAAGCCGTTGGCGACAAAAAAGAAACCACTCACTGACAAGGGATTTCAAAAGACGTGGAACGCCGACAAAAAACTGCTATACGAAGGTGGCAATGCAAAGTACATGGATCCAGCATTTGACAGAATGCTTGCTGAATCACCGGTAGGTATTTAATTTTCATACAAAGACTTTCAAAATTTTAGGAAACTCGCTGGAACTGGTCTACGCATATGAAGCATGCCCGGAACTTACTGATGACCATCCCAACCAAATCTTGCTTACGTAAGATTACAGCAGAGGTTTTTTTTTTTATTGGCCTTTTGTAGGTGTATTTTAGGCGTATGCCGATCTCCTCTCTAGTGAAAACGTCCAGTTGAGGATCAAGTTCATTGAGAGACGTCAGAAGCAAAAACGAGTTAATTTCCAAGCTGAGGATACGTGGAGTGTTAGGTGGGGCTTAGTATTGAAGGGTTCATATAATCACCATTTACGGAGTTGTTGTTGTTTTAGCACGGCTAAAATGTATTTCATTACTGGTAATTGGATTAGTATTTTTAGAATTTACACTCCTTCGTGTGACTTCGATAAGGACAAGACTGGTTGGGGTCAATTGAGTCACCTGAATCTGATGAATGCGAGAGACACAGGACATACACTGTGGTTTGAAATTGGATATCAATCCTTTCGAGAGTATGTTTCCAACAAATTTTTTAAAAAATCTATTTTTAGCACGTTTGGCGACGTTAGCACAGAAGTGTTTCCTAATAAGCGATTGGATGCTCTAAAAGATTTTGGTGGTCTAGCTATTGATCAAGGATTAATCAAACAGGTTGATAGATGTAATTTAGAAGTTTGGCTATTGGCTCAACGAAACGCTTTAAACTTTAACGTTAAAATTACCAGTGAGTGAGTGATTGATGAGTCTAAATATTTTGGATGCACGATCACCAAATTGGAGTCGGACTGTTTCAATATTGGTTGGTCCCCTTCCCATATGCCTCAAAAGCGCCCGTCAATTTTCTCGTTACCTCCGTGGGTTTTAATATAGTTTGCCTGCGAATTTTGCCAACTTTAGAACCACAGTAAAGAGTATGCCACTTTACCTGGAACTTTCATGGAGCAAGCTAGTGCCCCACTGGAGGTGAGTGCTGTTGGATGAGCTGCAGAATGCATATTGATGCAAATTATGTAAACAAGTGTGTTTATTTTCAGTATTTGGATGATTTGGAGAGAACTTTCCATTTGTATTGCTTTCCTCGTTTTGATTACGCCGTCTATGATCGTATGAAACCGGAAAAAATACTCGCACAAAATGATCCTAAGAAATCGGAAAAAATAGCCGTGCATAGATATGGGTTTGTTTTTTAAAATATCATAAGTTTAGCCTAACTGTGAATTTGATAGACAGAAGAAATTTGCTTTAGATATGCGGCTTTGCATGCAATCATCACCGACTCGGCTTTGGCTGGCTTGAATTCCGAAAAAACAAACGCTGTTGTTTTTTTGTGCGGGGACAAACGTGATTCTTTTCGGTGAGCTATTTGATTCATTCATTTTTAGTCAGTACCAATATTTAGGAGTTGGACGAAATACCTTAGCAGCTACAATCGATCGAATGAACCCATTTTCCCACGTAATGTTGTCTGTTGTTTGGGTTTGTTTCAAAACTTACCTAAATTACTCAAGATTTTTTAGGGGTAGACTATTTGAAAAAGTTGGTGAACGAACAAGAAGTATTGGAAGAAGAGGAAAAAGATGCTCGAGCTCACCGAAGACAATATAGACTATTTCGCCCAGGAAGGACAATCCAATGGAAGAGCGAAAATGAGAGGAAGGCACTCGAAAGTCTAAAAGAGGCAAAAATCACTTTTGCGTCTTCAAATTATGGCCGGAAGCACTACATTGAAAAATTCAACAAAAAACTTACCATGGCTTCGATTTGCGAAAAAGTACTTCAAAGGGTATGCGTTTTAAGGAAAGGATTTAGAACCCATTTTTTAGGAAGAATTCGAAGAAGTGTCGGTGCAAGAGTTGGTTTACAAAAGGATTAGCACTTATGCGGCTGATGTCTTTGGGTAAGATAAAATTTATTAGAAGAGTTGAAAGTGCTTGGTTTAGATTTGCGCTGAACGTCGGTCATGTCTTACAAAATGAGAAAAAGCTGGCTCAAAAGAAGGGACTTTATCACGAGGACAAGCCAAGAGGCAATTACGTTATCATTATGCAAATTCCACCGGTTAGAGCATCTAGCGGAAACTTTTTTGTAAACGTTGATTTAGCTTGAGCCGATTGCAGAATACGCAAAGATTTTCAACAACACCTTGCAGCGATTGCACCGCGAAGCTATAACGTTTGCCCAACTTTCGTAACGGTTTAAAATTTTAACTTCAGCAAAAACAAACAGACCAAATCCTTTTTGAAGCTGTTGAGTTGGCCAGCTTGGGCAATTCCTGAAAGGTAGGCTTTGAACCTAAAATTGTCAATTATCTAACATTAAGACTAACAAGTGTTCAAACTGCTCCAATTACTTCCATGAAAAACCCGTTTGGCAGATGCGATAATGGTTCAATCGATTTGATGTATCAGGTTTCTCCAAAGGGTACAATATTTTAATTTGCGATTTAGGGTTTTCGAGAGGCGGTTAAACCTTACATTCGATTCATGGATAGATGCATCTCTTATGCTGAGTGGGAACAATTGATGACGGGAGATGAGAAATCTCGCTTCGCAATTCTTGAAAGAAGTAAGTCGTTTTGGCAAGATTTTAAGAGATTTGAGGAGTTCCCAATATTAATTCAATTTTTTAGGGCCGATGCTACAAAAGGCTTATGAGGCAGAAAAGAATAACAGGCGACGAGCGGACTAGACATTTTGCTGCTTTGAATGTGTACTTGGGTTTACTTCTTTGGAAAATTGTTTTGTTTTAAATTATGTGTTAGTTTTTATTGAATCTCGTATTTATTCATGTTGGTCTTTGTGATCTTTGCTAGTCATTTTTATTGTTTCTGCTTTGTTTCCCTGTCAAGGTTTGCTATTTGTTTACGGGTATGTTATAAATTCATTCTACAATGAAAATCTAAAATGTTTGCGAACTATTTACAAGTTATGGCGCTATTAGGGTTTGGAGGGGACACTTTTTTCTTTCAAAACCACTTTTTCGGGGGTATATTATGCGTAGATTCCGAAAAAACAACGAGACCTCGGGGAAAGGGGTTTTAAGCATAGTTTTAGGGCTCCAAAATGTGCGATCCTACATTGAGGAGAGGGATACGCATAGGAAAGAGCTCTAAAAATGGTCTCTCAAAACATTTTTTGAAGCCAAAAACACTTAATTTAACCTACTGGTTATGTTACTGGTCAAATTGGAGCAAAATTTTTAAAAAAATTCTAAATCTCGACTGTGGTCTCATGAGTCAAAATTGGTCAAAATTGGTCAAAATTTCAATTATTCTTACCTCTACCAGTCAATTGAACTTAGAAAATGAATATTTAGTGATTAAAAATGGTTTTGGTTCTAGTTTTGACCTTGAACCCCAATAGTCGATAGCTCCATATAGTGAAGTACACTGTACACTAGAAGCGCGCACTTTGGAGTCCCGAAACTTGGCTTAAAACGCATTTTCCCAAGTTCTTGTTCTGTTTTTCGGAATCTACGCATAAAAATACCCCAGAAAAAGTGGTTTTGAAGAAAAAAAAAGTGCCCCCTCCAAACCTTGATAGCGCCCAAGTTTTTATATGATACACATTTCACTCGATTGAGTAACAGAGGGCATCCGGTAAGAGAGAACAAACTTTTGAGTACGTTCGACTACCATTGACATGTGGTTAGCTAGGGCTATTCGAGGCCATCAACTGGGTTTTTAGTGCTTTCAGTGTATTTCTGTTTGTGGTGCGGCTGTAGCTAATTCTCCAGGCTGTATACTCCAGAAAATGAAACGCTACGACGATTTCCCGATGATGAGCCTCATTTTTGCGATCGACGAGGCGGGAGGAATTGGAAAGGACGGGAAAATTCCGTGGTACTCGAAAAAGGACTTTGCTTTTTTTGTCGAACAGACCACAAAAACGACGAGTGATGGAAAGGTGGTGTTATTTTTCGACTTTTTCTGAACAGTAAATATTTTTTCTTGTTGTTTCTTCAAGAATTATGCTGAAATTTCGAAATTGAAGCAGTTAATTCTTTTTTTAGCTCAAAAAATGAATCTCTAGCTTGAAAAAGCGTCAATCTCGAGCTTTTGACAAGAAAATTTTCGCGTTTGATAAAGATTTTTAATATTTTCATTTACTTAATGCTCCCACTGGTTTTCCAATGTTTGAACTCTGAAAGGAAACGGAAATAGGTTTTAAAATTTCTGTTAAAGTTTATGTTTTCTAAAAGTTTCTTGATGTTTTCTAAAAGTATCTAATTAAATATTAGCTTTATCTTTATCTACTAGGTTTAGCTTTATCTTTCCTCTATCTTTCCTCTATCTTTCCTCTATCTTTCCTCGATTCGTGTTCATCTGTTTAAATTATTTTTTTTCCAGAGAAATGCGGTGCTTATGGGACGAAAATGCTGGGAATCAATTCCACCGAAATTTCGACCATTGAAGGTACTTCTTTTATTTCGCTTTAAAACTAGTTGCTCCTTGTGTAGAAGCCGATTTTTTTTGAAGGTTGAGTTGAGTTGAGCTGAGTTGAGCTGAAGTTGAGTTGAGCTGAAGTTGAGTTGAGCTGAAGTTGAATGGAGCTGAGCTTAACAATGAAGTTGAGCAATGAAGCAAGCTCAACAATGAAGTTGAGGTTGCTTTTAAAACTCAACATTGATATTATTCAGTAGAAAGATAATTTTTCCGCAGAAAAAAACTTGTTAACTTGATAATGCTGGACATTTGAAATATTTGATTTTTAATTTCCTATATTGATAATTTCCAGGGTCGTCTCAACGTGGTGGTTAGCCGTTCGTTAGAGCCAATTCAAACCGAGCACCTAATAATTTCAAATGACATCGACGAAGTGCTGCGCCAATTGAAGAAAGCACAAGACGAGAACGAGTAAGGATAATTTTTAATAATTGCCTAACTTTGGTACTTGTGCATCTGGCGAGCGCATTTCCGAACAGCAATTAAGCACTGTTATTTGAAGTTTTTTTTGTTAATATTAATATAAATGCGTATTAATAGTTATTAATAGGCATTTGTATCAAACAAAAAAATATCGTTGAAGCAATACAATATAATATACAATATAGCAATATATAAAAGTATGTAGATATATTGTATTGTATTGCTTCAATCATATTTTTGGAAAGTGTTCGACCGTTCGACACAAACTTTTGAAAGTGTTAGACCTGGCAAGTGTTCGACCGTTCGAATTGTTCGGAAATGCGTCCACCAGATGCATAAGCACCCCAACCAGATGCATAAATACCCTAACTTTTTACTAGATTTAAAATTGAATACGTTGTATTGAACACATAGTACTTTTGATACTTTCCCAGTATCGGGCGGGGGTAGGCCATTATCGGGAGTACTTTTAAATGGCACTTTTTTCATGTTTTTGTTCACGTTCACGTTTTTTGCTGTGTTTTTGGAGTTTTTCTTAGCTTTTCATAGTTTTAAGCGTAAGTTTTCCCGCTGATAATGACCTACCCCTACCCCCGATACTGGGAAAGTACCATATTTTTTTAGAATTGAGACAATTTGGAATATTGGTGGACGTGATATTTATTCATGGGCCTTGGAAAGGGATCTGGCGGAGAAACTCGTGGTCACTCATATTCAGAATAGGTTTGTTTTTTAAAAAGAAATTGTATAATTCAACTGTGACTCTTTAAAATAAGAAGATTTGACAAATTGTCTGTAAACTTTTAGCTTTGATGCTGATGTGAAAATTCCGGAGATCAGCTGGGATTTATTCGAAGAGGATGTTTCACGGGTGAATATTTAGACTTTATTAAAAGAAATCTCTTTCTTTTTGCAATATTTTTGTTTAGGCAAGTGAAGAGCAGAAAGAAAACGATTTGGTCTTCACATGGAATTTCTACAATCGAAAAGCATAAATCTATGTATTAAAATGACGGTGTTCGTTATGTGATATTTATTACGATCTCAAATGTTTTCACTTTCAAATTATCATGTTGCCTTTATTTATTTTGTGCCATTCCAATAAAGATTCTTTTAAAAATTCTCCTTTTAAAACTGGTATAAATTCGTGAAATATATTTCATTTTATAACGTCTATGAAGCTTAATATATATGTTTAGATGGTCAATAAAGGGCACCACAAAAAAACGGGTAACAATCGAAGCAGTAATAAAGAAGATGCCAATTCGGTGGGAAAAGAGGTTTGTTGTTAGAGGATAATCCTCCGGTAGAAATGGTTGATTTTAAAATTTTTTCTTTCTAGTTGAATGACTCATTTTTAACTTAAATTGATACGCTACAATTGATTCACAATCTTGAAAATTGCAAAGCTAAACTAAACAACAATATCTTAGTTAAATGGAAACAGCAAAGTGAATGGTCGAATGACGAATGGAATCACCCCAACAACTAAACAAAACGGAAACTCGACGAAATCATCAAACAAGAAAGGAGCCAACTCCGAGAATAGACATGAACAAAATGGCCACAATTGGCAGTTGAATGGAAACTCAGGACAAAGACACATGGATCAAAAGATCGATAGGAAACGGTATCTCTTTAACTCGTCAATTTATCCGGAATGTAATCAGCAATCACTGATAAAACTTCTAATTTAGCTCGTCATCTAGCAAATGCTCAGAGAACTCAAGCAAGTCAACCTATGAGGATCGGACAGGTAAAGGAAAGGCCTGGTTTCTAATTTGACTAAATTTTAGATATTGAATATGATGAGCCCAATGCATCGCCGCCACCGCCAGTTCCTTCAACAAGCCCTCCACATGATTTGAATGAGAACTCGATGACGATATCGGAGCAAAATCAATCTGAATCGAACAAGAACGACGATATGAACAGCGGTGATGTCTCTGAGTTTCAGTTTCATCAGCGAGATAAAGACCGACACTCGTTGCGGGGACGTTCATCTCAACAAATTGACAAGTAAAATTACTTTTCTATATCAATACAGGTTAGATTTTAGGTTATCACAACGTGCTGATGAACAACATAGAAGTAACCTAACTGTGAATAGAAGCACTATTGACGACAAGAATGGCACGAGAAGAATTGTGGGGAATTGTCAAGACTCCTTAAATTTTCTCCTATTTAGTCTGAACGCTCCTTGTACAGTGACACTTTTCAAAACAAGACCTTTTTGGAGCTAAAGCAACCGCCCAGTACTTCCAACAATATGCACCTTGAAGTAAATTTGATTTTTCAGGTTCTCATTGTTGTAATTTCGAGATCATCGACTTTTAGGATTGCCACTTGTCGGAAGCAAACGCTACGATGGCACGATCAACAATTGGAGCTGCGCACAAGCAACTTCCCTCTTCTCAACACATTAGACGTTAGCCGAAGCTTATGTTCTGGTAAAGAAAAATTTTAGGCGAAGATGTGCCTCATACCCAAGCCTCCTACAACCACAACTTCAATCGAGTGAATGGGCCCAACCGTGCAACGTTTGTTTTAACTTCTGTAAAATAAGAGGATAAACAGCGGGTTCGAAGTTGACTTTACTGACTTTAATGAATACTGCTTCCTGATGTGGTTCCTGATGGCTATGAACGATTCGTCATGTGCGTCTTCCATGTAAGACCTCTATTTCATTCCATTACGATTCCCCATTCCAAACAGTGACCTGCTCTTTAGAGCGAAAATTTTCACTTTGTTCATTCCACCCCCGGCCCATTCCTCATTTTGCTGCATTAAGTAGTCTAGTTTTGGTGCTGGCTACTTGTTTTTTGGTTATTTCACAAATTTGTGATTTACCATTCAACCCCTTAACTTTTATCCTAGATACGCACAATCGGCAAGTACAAAGGCCGGATCTGCTGGAAGCAGCTGGAAGCATATTCCCAAAACTTTTTAACATTAACAATTGCAATAAACATGCTACAAAGTCAACTTCGAACTCAAATGAACCTGAACTTTTATAGAGACTTTACATAATTGCTTTTAATTTAGGCATTTTCATTCGGAAAGCCAACCAGCCGCTCTCGAGACCGCATCACAAACAAAGTCTGTTTTAAATAACATCATCTGAATTGTATTTTTTTAGCCCGGCCGTCACCTCAACACAAAGTCAAACGGACGCGCTGACGTCGGATGGTTTGCTTATTTTTCACTCGGTAAGTTTTGTGAAATATTACTCTTGATTCTGAATATTTAGCAATCACCATGGGATCGGTTTGAGACGATGAACCAAATTGTGCGAACAATGGAAGCCTTTGAGACGAGGTTCTTTGGTAAGTGGGATTGCTAATTGACTTTTCATTTGTTTGATTTAGCCACATGTTTTGAAGCTGTTGCTCGCGTCCAAGCCAACAAATTAAGAGATACGGAAAATCGTGCAAACAGCTCCGAATCGATCATCCGTCTTCGCGAGAGAAAGTAAATTCTCCTTTTTATCCAACTGATGTATATTGTTTAGGGGCAATTATCTCGAGTCTTGCAACTACTTGTTTTCATTGTTGTCACTGCTCTTCGGAAATTCAAGGAAAGAAGCAGCACATTATTTTGAGGTAATTATGTAGCCATTTTTTTTTTACATATTATCCATCTAGGTGTTGCAAGTGATTTTCCAACAACACTATGAAGAGATGAGTAAATTGAGAACTACCGAGGAAAAACTGGATTTGGTTGAAAAATTGGGTAGTTTTATAGATATTTGCTTGAAAAATGCTACTCTTTCAGGAAAACTTGTTTCGGCTGCGATCTATCATCCGGCCTTCAGCATTGTCCACGCGGAACCAATGACATTTTGGCGTGAAACACTTTGGAAAGAAAGAGAGCAGTAAGTAATTCTAGGTATAAACTACCTAGATGGCATTAAAGGAATACAAGCTGACAGTGTTTTGTTTAGACTCAATCTGCAAATTGCTCAGGAGCGCCAGCAAAAAGAGAACGCAGAGACACGATCGGGAGCCCAAGCAACGACTATGAGATTGACGGAAGAGCAGAAGCGACGGTCTACGATGATTTACTCTCAAACGCATAACTTTGAATACATCTATTCGATGAAAGCAGCCGAAGGTGGATTTCGAGGAACGACTGTGCCTATAGAGGTGATTTTTAAGAGAGGATACGCCTATAACATGATCTACGTGCAACTTTGATCAACACTTATACTGTGTTTAACAATAAATTGCTTTTAGATTACATGGAGTGATGGAGCTAAATCATATGTTGGAAAAAGCAAACAAGAACTCTTCAACATGCATTTTCGATTGATTGACGAATTCGGTCTTGAGAACAGGTAAGATTGAATTTGATTAAAAGTTACAAATTTTTCAGTGATTCTGGTGAGAGGGTTTTGCCACGAATTCAGGAAGATGGCTCTGATGAGGTATTAAAATCATGGTTTATTCTAATAAAAATTTCTAGGAATACTTATCTTATATCAACAAGCTATCTGATATGCCAGCTCGAATCATTTTGTCGCCTGTGATAAAAGAGGTTTTTTGGGATACGTTTTCGGTGTAAATATCATTTTAGGCTTTTTATGCTTCAAGACAATTATCTCCGGACGTCAACTTTGCCTCTCAACGACCCGCTCAACAAAGTTATGCATTCATGGTAAGTTTTGAATATAAATTGTTTATATGCCTTGTCTAGGAACAGCCACGGATATCAACATTCATGCCACAGCAACACTATTTCAATGCGCCAACGAATCCAATGGTTACCCAGTCGACTAGTGTGCAGCAAACGATCCGTTAGTCCGCAAATGATCCATTTTTTCTGCAACTTTTAATCGTTTTCATTTAGCGATGTTTGCGTTGCATCCACCCGGTCAACCAATTCAACATCAAATGCCCTCTTGCCATATCTGTGCTGGCTCACATGATTGGGCAAAGTGCCCAGAGAAGATTTGCGGTTCTCGCGTTGCACCAGGTAATTAGTTTATGTTGTGAATTCTAAAAAAAATCTATTCAGAAGGATTGCGTCTGAGAACAAGAGCTAATGATTTGGAGCCAAGCCTGGCTAATAGCGATAGAACTGTTACTGGTCCACCCTTGGTTTGTTTTTTTGAGTGGTTTGGAAAATGCCTTTACGTTAGTAAGATAATTGTTTAATTCTTTTAGGCACCACTCTCAAAGTCACCACTCATTGAGCCGACGTTATCGCAACCAGGCTTCAACAAGTTTGTTCCACTCAACTTTGCTGGCCCTTCTGCTAGCGAGCCAACGGTTGGATCAATTTACCCACCATCTTTTGTCGCAATGGCAATGAGTCATCAAACGGTAAAAGCATTCAGATTGATTTTTAGTTTATCCTTTAGGTCATCGCTCCTCAAATACAGCTATTCTCCAACGGGATCATGCACAACTTGCAACAAGTGAGCTTTGTTTTGTGGTTTGGCTACTTTATGTTTACAAGAAATTAAAAAGTAATAAAATTTTTCTATATCTTTAGCTTGCACAATTCTCACCGCAGGCGGCATTGAATCTTGTCAACCAGGCAGTTGTCAATCTGCATCAATACATCGCTACACTGCAGCAATTTGTAAGTGCAACTTGTGCAGTAATATTTAGTGAAAATCTAATATTTTAGACTCCACCGCCACCATTAATGCAACAACCATCGCAAATTGAGATGCTCAATCATCAGCATGGGTCTCAGAGTGTAAGAACTTGAAATATCTTGGTTAATCCAAATTTTGCTTTCTCAGACCTATGCAAGTCGACCGAGAGACCGTGGAAGTATGAGTTATGGTGGGGGTCCGTTAAGGATATACACTGATCAACACCAAACGCCACGAGATCGAGAAAATGAGGTAAAGCTTACTAAAACCTTTTGAATCGTAAGCAAATTTGAATTAATTGCGCTGACGTAATCGAAGTCTATTCTAGACAGGAAATGGACAACGCTGGCAGCAAGAAGCACGTCAAGGACGGGAGTTCAACAGCAATCCATCTGTGCCTTCACCAAATCCAACGAGTCAACCAGCGGATGTCGAGCCGTCAACCAACAGCTGAGACCTTGTTCATTCTACTGCAAGTAATTCTTTAATTTTATCGTGTTTTTATAAATTGCCTAGATTTATCAGTTTTGTTGTTGTGCAGCGCTTTCATTTATGTGTTGAAATTTTAGTACGGATTCTGTTCATTTTCCCTTTTACATTTTCCATTTACCCTATTTCGTGGTGATATAGAGCTAGCTAAAGACACCCTTTTCTTGTTTACGCCCATAATTGTTGTTATGATAATTATACTACTGATATGGTTTTGGCCTAGTTTAGGTCACCCAATTTTGAAATTTTCTTGGTGTCTTTCTTGATGGAAATCTTATGTGCTTCCGAAAATTTGAGCCTTTTGCCCGTTTTTCTTGTTTCGCTCTTTCAATCAGACAAAACTGTTACGGATACGTGGAGTGCTATGTTTTTTTGTAATTTGTTGCTTTATTTTAGTTTGACGACTGGCTTTTGATCAAGGTTAATTTTAAACACCTCTGGGTTGACTTTGTAAAATACCAATGCTTAAATCATTTGCTAAAAAGCCCGTCGATATTGTTGGTTACCCTATTTGACTTAATTTTTGCCTAGTCACTTTAAATAGTCTAATTCTAAACAGTCAACCATGTCGCCTTCTCATTATGATTGTGTTAACGCTGTTATTATATATTTCTTTTTAGAGCAAACGAGTGAATATACTTTTTAAAATTTCAGGTGAGAAACGATTTTTGCACGCCGAACATTTGCACAACTTTACATGCCACAAATTGTACAAATCATCACGAAATCGTGCTTATGTTTGACTGGCAAAATCGTGTCTTACCAGTGAGCAGAAAAAAAAATACGATAAATGATTCATTTTCATGACAATTTACTATTTGTTGCTTTCCTCTTTCGGGACTCATTTTGCTATGGTACGGTTAAATCTTTCGTAATCTACCACACTTTTGCCATTTCAAAATCGACATCGAAATAATTTGGTGGGATTTAATCGTATCGTACCCTCATTTTGTGTTGCTTTCCACTCTCAGCACCATATCTTCCCCCTTTAATTTTTGTACCTTCTTCGGTTTCTCTCGTCGCTCGCAAACGGTTCATTTTATCTTTATTATATCCATCATAGATTACATATTATTATTGTTGAACGCCTTTTTTTTTTCTCTCATCAATTGCCGGTTTCTATCTGTACATGAATAAGTTTTCGCCAAAAAGTTTTCGCCTTCGCAAACTTTGGTCGACTTATCGTTTTTCATTGTTTTGGTTATTTTCATTCTTGATGATGCATCCCAGTTGAATGTGGGGCTTGAAAAGGTTTACTTTAGATAAATAGGTAATCGTTTTTGATAAAATCAATATTATGGAATAATTTGGTCAGTGCATAATTAGAAGGTAGAAAGTGAAAATTGGGTAGGGGATGAAGCCAAAGAGGTACAGTACGAAGCTAAAGAGATCTCTTCAAGCAATCAAATGCGGAGCCGAAAGCATGATGGCAAGAGTGCTGATGACGATGAAGAGGGAAAACAAAATGAGACACGCTCGATCGACGCACATCGCCGCGAAACGCCAATCGTTTTGCACCCGTTCCTCGTTGGCCTCTTTCTCGAGTTTAGCAGTGATCTGAAAGCTTTATTAGCTCAAGAGTACTGTACTGTACTTTGGTTTGTCTCAAGCGATACCTGCTTTAATTCAGCGTAACAAGAGTGCAGAAGCAAGAGTTGAGCCTCGTAAACGGGTTGATGAGCTGGGAGATCGCTTCGACTGGAAAAAAAATATGGCCTGGCACTGGCAAATTCAAGATCGATAACCATATTCGATTTAAGCTCTTATCCAATTGTTTTTGCACTTTTTTTTGTGCCTCACTTGATCGGTAGAGAGGGTTCTCGTAATTTCGCTTCTCCATCCTGAATCGAGCATCCCTTTGTGAAAGTGTGCCCCGGGCGAGACATCATCAGAATCCACGGTAACCACTCGAGAAGCACCGATCGAACCTGGTAAAGGAGTCGAGGTTTTTGAGTTGCTTTTGAGTTCGACACGATCCGTACACAAATTCCTTAAAACTAGGCAGAAATCTCGGCCAATCCCCAAAAATTTCGAAGTCGTTATATACACGAGGTGGTAGGCCGGATGGAGAGCGATTACGTGACCGCATACAGAACACCTCGGCCAAACTCGTGTGTGTGTGTGTGTTTATACTCGAGTTTGACGTCAGTCAATAGGCTAATCGAGTCGGTGAACAGTTTCCCCAAAAGTCGTGACCACGATTGAAGGCTTAGCGGTTGATCTAACTGCTAGAACTTTGTGCTTCTTGATGTAGGATTTGACATGCATTCGCTGATTTTGCATATGATAGCTTTTCCCAATGAAAAGATCAAGATTTTCAAGAAGAAACGGGCTTTGTGAGGTCTGGGAGTTCTGAGCTGGGGTCTGAGAGCTCTGGGCTGGGTTCTGGGAGCTCTGGGAGCTCTGGGCTGGGTTCTGGGAGCTCTGGGATGGGCTCTGGGAGCTCTGGGATGGGCTTTGTGAGGTCTGGGAGTTCTGAGCTGGGTTCTGGGAGCTCTGGGATGGGCTCTGGGCTGGGTTCTGGGAGCTCTGGGAGCTCTGGGCTGGGTTCTGGGAGCTCTGGGATGGGCCCTGTGAGCTCTACTGTCTCGATTGTAATTTAATCCAAATTTATCGTAAAAATCTGATTAAATTCTGATAAATGAGAATAAAATGCGAGCTTAAGTAGATTTTGAGCTACAGTATGCTCCAATTTTGTCGGTCTTTTGACGTAGTGCGCTTTAACATGGATTTAAAGAGGCTTTCTTGCAGAAAAAGCGATGGGATAAAATTTAGAGCTTTAATTTATGAAAAGTTTCATTTAGATAATTATATTGTCGAATTGGATCACGTTTTTTTTTGTTTTAATGAACTTTTGCGATTCGAAAAGGGTTGTCACCTTTCCAATGCCGGTATTGCTTGGATTGCCTGGTTTGCTGCTTGGATTGCTTGGTTTGTTTGGTTTGCCTGATTTGGTGCTTGGATTGCCCGTGACTGAGCTGTAGACAGAATTAGGCCCCAATTTGAGCGCTATTCTAGAAAATTAGAAAGCCATAAGCTTGATTGAGCTAGGATTTTGAATTGAATCAAGTAAATTTTTGGTTTATTAGCTTTAGACAGTTTTTTCAATGGATAATCTTTTTTAGAAAGGACCTTGCTTAGGCTTAGGCTTAGGCTTGAGGCTTGGCGCTTAGGCTTAGACTTGAGGCTTAGGCTTGGGGCTTGGCGCTTAGGCTTAGGCTTGGCGCTTAGGCTTAGGCTTAGACTTGAGGCTTAGGCTTAGACTTGGACTTAAGCCTTAGGCTTGGGGCTTAGGCTTGAGGCCTAGGCTTCAGCTTAGGCTTGGGGCTTAGGCTTGAAGCTGAATGAATAAGCCTAGATCTGGCTTCTTGACACAGTCTAACCTAGGCCCGGTTATCTCTAGAAATTTGCATTTTCGACCCCTACGTCAATAGGTGTACAGCGGAAATTGATGGGTTGAGCCCGAAAATGCAAATTTCTAATAGCTAATAGCTTACTCACTAGTGGTGACATCACGTGCGTGTCGGGTCCTCGAAAGTGAAGATTGAGAATGACAACTGTGAACACTACCGACGCCGAGATCACCAACATACAACAGGAAAAGAAAACGCCTGAATGAATAGGATTTTCATCACATTTTACTCAATTCTACGTTCCTAACGTGCTCGCAACTCTGGTTATTTTCTCTAATAGTAGTGCACCCTGATTAACCCCTTCGTTCTCAACCCCATTTTAAGATATTTTTATGTTTTATATACCAAAAGATAGCCCTTGATTTTCTCTATCTTTTCGTATATTAAACATAAAAATATCTCAAAATTGAGCTGAGAACGAGGGGTTTAAAGTTGGTCGAGAGAGGGGGAGGAAATACGGTAAGCACCCCAGCTTTGATCGTCTATAACTTTGCCTAGAGCTAATGTTATTCTTATCTTTTTAGGTCTTTTTATAGAAGACATTAAGGGCTATCTTTTCGTATATTGCACATAAAAATATCTCAAAATTGCGCTGAGAACGAGACGTCTAAAGTTGACCCTCGTCCTCGACCCCTCGACCAACTTTAGACTCTTCGTTTGCTCGAAATTTCTCGAAATCTCGAGAACCGCTTATCAGAACCTATCGATGTGGGATCGGAAAATGTAGCTGACGATGAGATCTTGTGGGAGATTTAAGTGTTGAGTCTCTAGGGAAGCTTGGAAACCATAAAATAGGCATCAACTCGTCCGGGTGCACTACTATTGGAGAAAATACGGTATATTGTTTTTTTTTCTCCTTTGCTTTCAACTTCTAGTTATTCTATAGCTTCATCTTTAACCCCAACTGGCTTAATCTCCAGCTTGAGCTTAACCTTTTCTATTCAAAACTCTTTCAAAACTTTCTATTCAAAACTTGTAAACGCCTCCTCTCTAGTGCATTGAATTCTTAATTTTCTTGCGACAACATCTAAAGAATTCTTTTGCAAAAGCTTGAAAACTGTAAAATAGTGATCAACTCGGCTCGCTGAAGGTGCACTACTATTAGAGAAAATGAGGTAACAGACATTAAAGTATTAAAGGGGGGGTATTAATCGCGGCCGGGTGACGATAAAAATTTTTTTACGGCAACCACCTGTTCTTTTTATTTTAATATCGCTGATTTTATTATAAAAAGAATAAAAATCACCCGGCTAGAGTGATTTGATGGGTTTACAAATTTTTGGAGACACTGCAAGGCTTGGAGAAAAACAAGATCGTCACTCATCAGACACCTCAGCTAAAAGGCACCTATTTGAGAAAACTAAAACCATAAGCGACCACAAATGAAAAAAGATCTAATTGTGTCAATCAAAGCGCTGAAGATCGTCCTACGATGGAGGAGATCCAGTCACTTTTCGTGAAGATGCGCTGGAAATTGATAAGATAGGAAGCCGATTTGTACTGCTGTACTTGAGCCGAACTGCTGTACTTGAGCGAAGATGAAAGTGAGCAAGAGGAAGAATTATAGATTAACAATTTATTTTTTTTACTTTTTGTGCTTTTTATTTTGTTTTTAAATTTATCTGCAACTAAAACTCAATCGATCTAGACTGTGTCTGATGAGTGACGATCTTGTTTTCCTCCAAGCCTTGCAGCATCTCCAAAAATTTGTAAACCCATCAAATCACTCTAGCCGGGTGATTTTTATTCTTTTTATAATAAAATCAGCGATATTAAAACAAAAAAACAGGTGGTTGCCGTAAAAAAATTTTTATCGTCACCCGGCCGCGATTAATACCCCCCTAGACTTCTTAAAGGCTTCTTAAAGTCTTCTTAAAGACTTAAATGACTTTCTTGAGCTCATTCACGCTCGAATATTGCTTGTTTCCTTGTAGGCATATTTTTAAGATCTTTTCAAGATTCAAGTCGGCGCTGCAACTAGGAAAAAACAGAGTGCGTCTAGAATTTTTTTGATAAATTGTGGAATTTGCTATGGGGATTTAGAATCCTAAGGATCCTAAGAATCCTGAATCCTAGGATTCCTAAGAGCCCTAAGAGTCCTAAGAATCATGAATCCTAGGATTCTTAAAAGCCCTAAGAATTCTAAGAATCCTAAGAATTCTAAGAATCCTAAGAATCCTGAATCCTAAGAAACTTGAATCCTAAGAAACTTGAATCTTAAGAATTCTGAATCCTAAGAATCCTGAATCCTAAGAATCCTGAATCCTAAGAATCATGAATCCTAAGAATCCTGAATCTTATCGTCACCCGGCCGCGATTAATACCCCCCCCTTTAACAATTGAATTGGGACTAAGTGAGCTTATCTTAGCCCAGAAAATTTCATACTAGCTTTGCATATTTCTTGCAGGAAGAAAAATGAGGAATGAGGAATGCAGAAAGGTTGCTTTTACAAGTTGCCGTATTTTCTCTAATAGTAGTGCACCCAGAGCGTCGCTTAAATTGCTCGCTTTACAGCTAAATAAAGCTAGCTTTATAGCTAAATAAAGCCAGCTTTACAAATCTTTTGCACTTTTTTCGAGTTAAATTGGAAATGCTTGGCTTAGACAAGCATGCTTGATGCTTGGCTTAGACAAAATTAGGTTTAGCTCGATAGCTCAGTGGTTAGAGCTTCTGGTCGAGGCTTCTGGTCGGTAAGCTGATCGAGGGCAAGCATGATCGAGGGTTCGATTCGGCTTGGCTCCAGATTTTCGGCATTTTTCTCTTTCCAAGGGTTAAAACGCTTGCAAAACTTTATATAGACTATGAAAAGTCAAAAGATTTAAATCAAAAAGCAAAAAAAAAAAGCGCTTTAAAATTGGCTAACCAATTAGTGGGACTGCTTCTGATGTAGGCGGTGTCATCTCGGAAACCATTGATAAGAAAAAAACGATTGCGAGAAGAACCGTCATTTCTAGAAAAGGTTAAAGCTTTTTTTTTTATGACTTTTTTCTTGAACTTTAAGAATAAATCTAGTCAAAATTCTCAATTAGACATGGAAAATAAAAGCTATAAACGTAAATTACAACATAAGCTACAACATAAGCTATCACCTAAGCTACCAAATAAGCTATAAACTGTAAACTACATAAACTACCACATAAGCTATAAACTGTAAACTACAACATAAATTACAACATAAACTACAATATAAACTACAATATAAACTACAACATAAACTTGTCAGCTCCGAGCCAAACTGATATTTTAGTTACTATTATTATTATTGAATGATTTGTCTATTCTTATGCAAATGTGTTCTTCCCTGTGCTTATTCCTTTCATTGCCGAGAAGGGGCGGTGCTTGGGATTGCCTAGGAGGACAAGTGAGGAGCCTAGAAGGACAGTGAGAAGCCTAGAAGGACAATGAGAAGCCTAGAAGGACAGTGAGGAGCTTAGAAGGACAATGAGGAGCCTAGAAGGACAATGAGAAGCCTAGAAGGACAGTGAGGAGCCTAGAAGGACAATGAGAAGCCTAGAAGGACAGTGAGGAGCTTAGAAGGACAATGAGGAGCCTAGAAGGACAATGAGAAGCCTAGGAGGACAGTGAGAAGCCTAGGAGGACAATGAGAAGCCTAGAAGGACAATGAGGAGCATAGAAGGACAATGAGAAGCCTAGAAGGACAATGAGAAGCCTAGGAGGACAGTGAGAAGCCTAGGAGGACAAGTGAGACTCTCATTTGGAGTGCCTCCTTCCCCTTACACTCATTTGTAATCTATTCGTCTTATTGTACTACTGTAAATAAAGATACATATCTTCCGGGTCTATGCAACATGGCGGGATATCAAAAGGGATGTACAGGTCGGTCATTTCACAGGGACTCCCCTCTAATACGTTGGAGCAGTTGAGCTGGGTTGTCGGGGTGTTAGAGATGGCGGGATATCAAAAGGGATCCACTCTCTTTAACTTAACCCAAATTCTAGTCCACATCCGTTTATACCTAGGAACGAATAAACTACAACATAAACTACAACATAAACTACAACATAAACTACAACATAAACTTTAAACCCTTCTAACTTTCTTCAAATCTATCCAATTCAGACGATCTATAGCTCAAACGATAGAGAATCTCAAGAGCTTTTGAATAAACTAAAGCACACCAAAAAGACTCAATTCTATAGAAAGTTACAGTGATTTGTAGCCTTTCGTACTGTCCGTTTCCCTACAAATCATTGTAACTTTCTTTAGAGCTGATATTTTTCCGTTTGCTTTAATTCATTCAAAAGCTCTTGAGATTCTCTTTATTTTAATCTATAGAGCATATCAATCTGATAGATTTGAATCAAGTTAGAAGCGTTTTTATCGTGACAAGTCATGATTTTTGATAGTTTATAGTGCACTGACCTAGATTGATCTTTTCCCCGGCGTCTGGCGGTAGCGAGAAACCGAGAACAGTCATCAGAGTGATCAAAAGTGATGGGATGATCAAATTAAATCCTAAAATTTTTTCATTAACAACAATTTCGGGGTTTCACCGTAAAATAAAGTCCTCCGACGAAGATGGAGATAATATTTGACGACAGGGTACGGTTCTGGGCAACATTTAAAGTAACCAACCTAAAAAAAGGACCTGTATACTGTAGCAAAGCCTATCCATAGCCTAAAAGCCAAGCCAGCCAAGCCCAGCCAAGCCAGCCAAGCCAAGCCAAGCCAAGCCCAGCCAAGCCAGCCAAGTCAAGCCAGCCAAGCCAAGCCTAGCCTAGCCAAGCCAAGGAAATCAAAGATTTTAACCTTTCTATGAGCTGGACTATTGATAAGTGACCATTCTCCATTCACCACATATGTCGAGAGATCCATTTGTGGATTAGCTAAAGATAAGTAAAGATTTCAACAACAATCCCTAACTGTTTTAAGAGAAAAAGCAAGGAAATCTACAGTAATCGAAGCTATAGAAGCATGTTGGCGAAATTTCAAATGCTTTTTGCCTTACTTGAATTCTCCGGATCATCGGTGGTGTCAATTTGGAGATCGATAGCGTGCCCGTGAAAAGTCCACGAGCCAAACTGAAATCATTATCTATTAGAAGAGAGATTAAAGCAGAAGAGACATTTGTCTGTCTGTTTGCCCGTCTGTCTATCCGTCTATCTATCCGTCTGTCCGTCTGTCTGTGCGCAAACGCCTCGCTCCGTAACCACTTTTGCTCCATCGATTAAAAGGCCAGCTTTTGCGCGCGATATCTTGCTCCCAGGGGTTTTCGACTATGGGGAATCTGACTTTTAGGTCCATTTTTAAAAAGGGGCATAGCTTAACATGAATTACGGTAGTTTTGACTCATTTGAATGGGTTCCGCGCCTCCCCAGCTGATCTTTACTATGCATAAACGTAACAGATTAGGCTTTTGGCTTAGCACAGTCTATCTAAGAAATATATAACAAAAATTTAAAATCGATAACTTAATTTCCGGCAAAAATGCAAGATTTTAGATGAATAGCGGCTTTTGGCACGCATCTTTTTTGACTCTAATCCGAATTAGAGAGTCTAATCCTCTAACTCTAGGACTCTAATCCGAACCTTGTATCCTAGCCCACTACCATTCAACCACCACTTCTTAAAGTCTCTGGGAAATCTGCCTATAAAGTCGATATAATCTTTCAAATCCTATACAAAACTTTGAGCGCTTATAACTTTTGACAGATTGCTCCGTATCAAAAACGGAAAGCAGATTCGGAATCAGCGTGAAATTCTGCGTCAAACAGTCTAAGCAAAATGTCATTTGACCAGCACACTCAGTTGATATTCCATTCCTTTTTTGCGTGAACTGGTCATCAAGTCAGGGAGAAAAGGCGCGTTTTGATGATGAAAAATCGCTGAAATCGTACCTACCTTGAGCTCACACAATTGCTCGTCAAAGGGAAACCAGGTTACATCTGAATACAAGTTTTGATAATACAAAATGTATCTAAAATCTTTACCAATAGCGCAGACGAATTTCAAGACACCAGGCGGTATCCAAGTCACTTCACCCGAACTGTAGACCAAAAGATTACTCTTGAAAGTTGAATCAAAATCCTCGGATGCGCTGGAAAACATCGCTGTTTTGATAGCATAGCTTTGAGCTTTAAAATCAGTGCAGTGCTGTACAATGCTGTACAGTGCTGTACAGTACAGTACAGTGCTGTACAATCCAGCACAGTACAGTACAGTACATTCATTATACAGTACTGTACACTACACAGAACCTTATCCACTAAGAAAAGCCATATATTGGGTTGATGGTCCTTTCCGATTTTTTGGGAGAGTACCTTAAATTTGTCCAATTGATGTTTGTCCAATTTTGACGTTTTATAGCTCATCTTAAAGCTGAATTCAAGACGGATCGCTTGGTAAAAACCGTTTTGAGATATCTCTTTTCTAAAAGTTTTTACAGCTATTTTAGTAAAGGGCGGCAGAGCCAAAAAATGGCTGTTTTCACGTTTCGTTAGTTTTCCGTGCAGTAAACCTAGGCTAAAACCATGTGTTTCGTGATCAGCGTCAAAAATAACCCCTAGACACGCATTTTCAGAATCTTAGCAAAAAATTTTTGAAAAATATTGTCACCGGTCGGAGTCGAACCAGCGACCCTCAGATCAATAGCTTTTTCGCCGCTTTTCGCGATTTTCCTTCGCTTTTCTCGTTTATTGGGGTTATTTTTTATTGTCTAGGGGTTATTTTGGACGCTGATCACGAAACACATGGTTTTAGCCTAGGTTTCTGCACGGAAAACTAACGAAACGTGAAAACAGCCATTTTTGGCTCTTTTTTCTCTTCTCTTTTTTGGCTCTGCCGCCCTTTACTAAAATAGCTGTAAAAACTTTTAGAAAAGAGATTTCTTCAAACGGTTTTTACCAAGCGATCCGTCTTGAATTCAGCTTTAAGATGAGCTATAAAACGTCAAAATTCGACAAATTTAACGTACTCTCGTACTCTCGTCAAAATTCGACAAATACTCCCAAAAATTCGTACTCCCAACAAATCGGAAACGACTTTTCCATTAACCCAATAGCAAAAGCTCGCTTACCTATTGTAGAGTAAAATGTCCGGTTTCCAAATGTGATCAGTTGTGCCTGGAAAGCGAACATCACGAATCCCATTGTAGTCTTTCGGATTCCATTTCAACTTGTAATCACCCCAAGTCTATAAATTTAAAAAAAGCTAAGCTTAAAAATTTGATAACTATAACTATAACTAACTATATCTTTAAATACTCACAAAACGAAGCCATGCATTCACCGAGACGAGCTGATTTTTCTCATCAACATCGAGAATTTGCTAGAAATTTATTTATATGTCGTAGCCGATTATGAATGAAATTTTTTGGCAAATCTTTCTAGTAGAGCAACCCTTTAATGTATGAGGACAATATTATATCATCTTGTAGCGAATTCAATTCTGCGTCGATTGGTACCAAATTTGTGAGTTTAGGTTAAAAATTGCCGGCGCTACAACGTTTCATTCAAAATCGGCGGCACCCCCGTAGCCGATTATGAATGAGTGGAGCGTTCAACCATCAAGTCCAACCATCAACCATCAAGTCTAGGAGCGTCCAACCATCAACCGTCAAGTCTAGGAGCGTCCAACCATCAAGTATTTAGTATCGTTCAACGCAGAATCGTTAATAATTATGTTAAATTTTTTAAATTAGAAAGATTGAATAAAAAGAAAAAAAATTAGAGCAAAAAAACTGTTTGTTCAAGAGAAAACTTTGAAGCCTCATAATTTTTTTTGCTTTTTATCCAATCTTTCTAATTAAAAAAATTTAACATAATTATTAACGATTCTGCGTTGAACGATACTAAATACTTGATGGTTGGACGCTCCTAGACTTGATGGTTGATGGTTGGACGCTCCTAGACTTGACGGTTGATGGTTGGACGCTCCTAGACTTGATGGTTGATGGTTGACGCTCCTAGACTTGACGGTTGATGGTTGGACGCTCCTAGACTTGACGGTTGATGGTTGGACGCTCCTAGACTTGATGGTTGATGGTTGGACGCTCCTAGACTTGACGGTTGATGGTTGGACGCTCCTAGACTTGACGGTTGATGGTTGGACGCTCCTAGACTTGATGGTTGATGGTTGGACGCTCCTAGACTTGACGGTTGATGGTTGGACGCTCCTAGACTTGACGGTTGATGGTTGGACGCTCCTAGACTTGATGGTTGATGGTTGGACGCTCCTAGACTTGATGGTTGATGGTTGGACGCTCCTAGACTTGATGGTTGATGGTTGACGCTCCTAGACCCACTCATTCATAATCGGCTACGACATATAGATGAATAATTTTATCTACTAAAATCAAATTAATGAATAATTTTATCTACTAAAATTTTACTATAATAAAGTAAACTCTTTAGAACAAACTTGTAGAAAGATTTTCATTTTGACGATCAATGGATCCGAGGCATTCTCGACGGGTCTTTCCAATGGATTGTAACCTAAATTTGTTAAATAATTGAAAGCTTTATATTTCCTATTATAAATTTTTCTATTATTGTTTGAAAAACAAATCTAAACTTGAAAAATAACCTGTAAAACAAAACTAAACTTGAAAAATAACCTCTAAAACAAATCTAGGTACTTGTGGAGTATCCGGGGGTCTTTCAATATCCGGGGTGGTAAAATTTTAAGATCCGGGGTAAGATCCGAGAACTTTCAAAAAGCAACCAAATGCGCAAAAATGTTTTTTTTTGTTAACATGGCTTTATCGCTGTTTGCGTGCGGTACCAAACATAATAATTAAATAAATTTGTGAAGTACAACAGTGACTATTTGTAACAGTGACAATGAATACTACTTGTAAAAATCTATCGAATTTACTTCTAGGCCAGGAGGCCAAATATCAACACATAAAACTACCCCAAAAAATGGTTTTGAAGAAAAAAAAGTGACCCAATACCGTTCCAATACGGTTCCTATTTTGATCTAATACGGTTCCAATACGGTTCTTATTTTGATCCAACACGGTTCCAATAAGGTTCCAATACGGTTCTTATTTTGATCTAATACGGTTCTAATACGGTTCCTATTTTGATCCAACACGGTTCCAATACGATTCCTACTTATGTCATTATTAGAAATGTTGATACTATCCCCGCCAACTAGGATAGTATCAACATTTCTAATAATGACATAAAAAAATTTTGTAGAAGTTACGTTTTTGATCGAGTATCACCTCGAATCACGTAATCAAGTAATCACCTCGAATAAATTGAATATCTTTACATTTGAAGGGGAATTTGCCACCAAATCATAACGTATATAAAATTTTACCCCACCGAATCTTAAAATTTTACCACCCCGGATATTGAAAGACCCGCCCCCCCGGATACTCCACAAAGTACCCAAATCTAAACTCGAAAAATAACCTATAAAACAAATCTAAACTAGAAAAAGAACCTCTAAAAACAAATCTAAACTTGAAAAATAACCTGTAAGCAAGTCAGCGAAAAGCCGAGTCTCTGCATCGCTAGCTTGAGAAAAATGGGAAAAAATTAAAATCAAAAAACAATTTCCATAAATTTTAGATAAGAATAAAGGTGTTTTCATGAAAAGAAATGAAAGAAGACGATGTGTTTGAGAAGAGAAAACGAGGGAAAAGTAGAGGAGAGTGGGGGATAGGCGATGTGGAGAGCCTCGGCAAACAGATACATCCCATCCACCCATCTCCATTCAATTTTTGTCTTACGAATCAAAATAGAGCTTTATGACATTTGTAGATACGTGAAAAAGAACGTTTTGTGAAGTTTTCATGGTAATAAGCGATGCTTTACGAATACAAAAAAAACTGAAAAATGATTTTCAATGATTTATCTTTTGATTTCCAAAGCAATGAATGGGGCAGCTACGCAGTGCGACGGAAGAGCGGAAGGTTTAATATCTTTTGATTTTCAAAGCAGCGAATGGGGCAGCTACGCAGTGCGACGGAAGAGCGGAAGTTTAATATCTTTTGATCTCAAAGCAACGAATGGGGCAGTTACGCAGTGCGACGGAAGAGCGGAAGGTTTAATATCTTTTGATTTTCAAAGCAGCGAATGGGGCAGCTACGCAGTGCGACACAATTTCTGTTTTGCCACTGAAAGCACAAAAAAAGGTGGTTACTTTTGTTTTTTCAATTTTTTTCCACAGCTCGCCATAACTTTTTTCTAAGTGGACCAATCTTTATGATTTTCCTGTCATTTTGCAGATCTCAGCGAGTGCAACAAAATGACACGAAAATCATAAAGATTAGCCTACCCCTCTTTTGATTTTCAAAGCAATCAACGGGGCAGCTACGTATTGCGACGGAAAAAAAAACGGAAAAACGCAGCTGCCCCATTTGCTGAATCGACCCCACTGTTGTTTTTTTGGCTTTTTGCAAATTCCGATTTTTTTTCCAAATATTTCTGACGTTTTTAATCATATTTAACCATTTTTATTTGGGGATGGCTACGTTGTGCCAAATTTTTTGCCCAACTCACCATAACTTTCTTCTAAGCGGGCCAATCTTTATGATTTTGGTGTCATTTTGTTACACTTATTAAGATATACAAAATAACACCAAAATCACAAAGATTGGCCGACTTAGAAGAAAGTTATGGCGACTTGCGCAAAAAATTTGGCGTAAAGTAGCCACCTTTTTTTGTGCTTTCAGTTGCAAAACAGAGAAATTGTGTGCGAACCGGAGTGCTTCAGCAAAATGTCGATAAGACCACGTAAACAGTAAGATCTTAAACCGTTTAAATTTACTTTTCTTACGTTTGTTCACTTTTTACAATAGCATTTCTTCTAGGCTGCTCACCGATACGCCTTGAAGCAACAAAAAAGTCTTCTACGATGCGATTTCTTGGATGCAATGTCTTGGATGCAATGGATGCAATGTCTTGGATGCAATGAATGCAATGTCCTGTCAGCTCACATTTCACCACCGCTTGGCGCAAATTTTCGGGCTCTAGAAAGTAAGTTTTACTACTTATACTACTAAAGTTTTGTTTTTAGTTTTTCGCTTTTATTGAAAAGAATTATGTCGGAAAATGTCAGCATTGACCAAATGGAGCCTTTCGCAGGCCTACGACGTTTGATGTGGAGAAATGGAGCGTTTATTCCTGTGTGCTTCAATCGTTCAACTCGTTGCTAAAGGTATTTTGTTGATTCGTTTTTTCGTTTTGCGTTTTTATTCGTTTTTAGAGGTACAAACAATCCACATCCAAGCTTCACTGTTTGACTTTTTGAAGAAATGTCAAATGCTATCAACAGCCTAAAACTTGCTAATGCCAATGTCAATGTCAATGCCAATGCTAATGCTAATGCTAACGGACGAAATCTCTCGCTTGGTCAGTTGTATTCTCAAACTAATCGTGTTGTTCATCGTCAAACTCTTAGATTTCATGCTGTACTTAATGGTAGAAATAATGTGTCGCATATTCAACATTTATCTCAGCTCTTACTTCTTTCTGATAAGATGGCCCTGTTTGATAATGATAAGTGGCCCTGTTTTTAAGTTTTTTGGTTACTTTTACCTGTTTTATGTCGTTGGTTTACTGCTAAATGCTTCTGAATAAACGTTTAGGTTCTTATTCAAGGTATAAAGAAGCAAAAGTACAATTAGACATTAATTGTTGGCACTGGAAACAAAAGAAATTAGTCTAATAAACATAGGTAAACTGGTAAACTAATAAACTGCAAGCCGGCTCCCAACCAAAGCGCGTTTGTTGCAACTAATCTAACTTCCGACGATCACATTTGGAAACAGCACGTCTAACTGTATAATAGGCACTGACTTGTCCTATTGTACTGTACTGTAATATGACCTATTTCCAGGCTTTCTCAGGCCAGGCTTTATGTTGTCATAGGCTGACCTTCCTAGCCCGGCTGGACTAGCCTGGCTTGGACTATTGTAACTAGGCGAGCCAAACATCTCTCAACTAATCCGTTTTCTAAAACGTATCCCCTTTCTCTTTCTACTTCTATTTTTATCCAATTTCACTTTTTTTTTCAATATTCTTTATAAACCTTCACAGATCAGACAAAAAAAATGAATAGATTGGATAAAAATAGGGACAAGATACGGTAGAAAGGGTCACGTTTTAGAAAATCGATTAGTTGAAAGAAGCTGAAAGAAAAACACAGTGAAATCTTTTTTTAAACTCTGAAATGAGAAATGTTTTGATAAAATTCAAAATTTGAATTGAAATCTTTAAATTGGATTTTTATAAAAGTCATTATAAAAGACTTCTCACAACGATTGCATTTTTTTCGTGATCAGATTCTGAATGAAATGAGGAATCAAGTGCATCAAAAAGTGTGTGTTTTGATGAGCACAAAGTATATAAATCAATTTTAAAAGCTAACTTTTCCCCCATTGATTCACTTGATTTCTCAAATCCCGAAAAATAAAGCTAACCGAAAAATTCAGCTTTAAAATTATTCAACTTTAAAATCCCATTCCATTTCTCGGAGTTCATCTAAACGTTTAAACCTCACATTTTTAGATTTTAGAGATTTTAGAGATCTTTAGAGAGATTTTAGAGAGATTTTAGAGATTTTAGAGAACAAGGGAGAAGAAGGGAGAAGAAGAGGCAATTTCTGGGCCTGAATTTCTGGGACTGGCGTATCCATGGATACGGTATGTGCACATAGAAAAATCTATAGAAAGCCGAACACTTTCCTGTTCTTATTTCCCTTTGCAGGGTCCTCAGGGGCCTCAGGGCCGTCCGGACTCCTCTAGAGACCACCAGCTTCTATTTAATTCTCAATGAATCGTTCATTCACCATTCACCACATTCCTTTAAATCCTTTTCCTATCTTTTTATAATTCTTAAACTTTATAGGGCTTATAGAATTGAGTCAAATTTGGATTTATAACCTGTTCAGCTGTTGATAGCTGTCTGGGCTCCAGACAGCTGTTGATTAGCTGTCTGGGCTCCAGAGAGTGGACTGCCAAGAGTTCGCGATGATTGCGAAAAATTGAAAAGAGGAATTTTATCTAAATTATCTTTTTTTCTTCTATCTGGATATCACACTAGAATTTCTAGGATTCAGGTTTTTCATTTTCATGCAAACATTTGTATTTGCTCTACACGGATTTGATTTTGGTTTAGCTACGTTAACTCGGCTTCTTTTCCGTTTGATGTTGGGGATCTTGATCGTTTGTTGTTGGGGATCTTGATGGTAGCTGTTGGGGATCTTGATCGTAGCTGTTGAGGATCTTGGCCGTTTGATGTTGAGGATCTTGCTTTTATCTTGACCGGTTTTGTTCTTAAGATGTTGATTTTTCTTTCATTTCGATAGAAAATTTGGTTTCAAATTGAATGAAAGGTTTCAAATTGAAATTCAACGGTATTCAAGAGCAAATCTGGTCAAAGTACGAGCAAAATTCGATTGTAAAATTCGATTGGAAAATCCGTAGATTGCTAAGGAAAGGGGATCGAAAAAAAAGGGAGGAAAGATGCTTGCTTAGGCTTAGTCTTGAATAGAAAAGCTGAAAAGCTTAGGCTGCTTTCGAAAAGAAAAGCTTAGGCTGCTTTTGTCTATTCAAAATTGATCTCCTTTAACCTAGTCGGCTTCGGAGTTTTATTCGATTTCACCGCGTCAGAATTTGTTCTTAGACGATCATAGACGATCATAGACGATCACAGACGATCACAGACGAGCTTAGACAATCATAGACGATCATAGACGATCATAGACGATCACAGACGATCATAGACGATCATAGACGAGCTTAGACGAGCTTAAAGTGATTTGTTTTTGTAGTCTGATTCGTTTGAATTTCATTTTTGATTCATTTCTTTTCAAGAATTCAGTAAAAAAAAAGAAAATTTCGTTTTAAAAAAAAAAAAAAGACTAATTTCTTTATTTTAAAGTAATCAAAAATGAATAAAAATGTTTAGAAATAAGAAATTTTTAATTAATTTCAATTTCAGTTTCGAGTTTCAGTCTTTCAATTTCGATGATGTCTCTTCAAGATTCCTATTAGCTCTCTTTCTGTTGCTTATTAGCTGTTTGAAGAATTGTTTTTTTTTTTAAACAATGGCCTCTCAAACACTCGCCGATCGGTATGTGATGACGAAAAAGTTGGGTGATGGAACGTTTGGAGAAGTTTGAGCAATTGGAAATCCCTTTTCTATTGAAGATTTATAGGTACTTTTAGCAAAAAAGATCGATACTGGAGATAAAGTGGCGATTAAAAGGTGAAAAAAATGCTTTTCTTGGAAACACTGACCTTCTGACCTTCTTGCTAGCCTTCTGACCTTCTGCTAGACTTGATTCTTTTCTTTTAAAGCTAGATTTAAAGCTAGATTCAGAAAGATGTCTTTTTTAAAGCTTTTAACAACTTTTAAAGCTTTTAACAACTAGCTTAAAGAGCTTAAAGAGCTCTTTTAAGCTTAAAAAGCACACGGTTTCTGTTTTTTTCGTTCTTTAGCTTTAGAATGATTCTAGTGAATTCTTGTGTCTAAAAGAATCAATTAGAATTTTAGCTTTCTTAGCTTCTTAGCTTAGCGGAAATTCTTTGCTTTTATATAAGGAATGATTTAATTTATCAATTTTAGAATGAAGAAAAAGTTCTACTCATGGGAGGAAGCAATGGCACTTCGAGAAGTCAAATCTCTCAAGAAACTCAGTCATCCAAATATTATTAAGTTAAGAGAGGTGAGCTTTGAAATCTTGGATAGCTTGGCTGGCTGAGCTGGTTGAGCTGGCTGAGCTGGATGAGCTGGCTGAGCTGGCTGGCTGGCTGAGCTGGCTGAGCTGGCTGAGCTGGCTGAGCTGGCTGGCTGGCTGGCTGGCTAGCTGGCTGAGCTGGCTGGCTGGCTGGCTAGCTGGCTGGCTGGCTAGCTGGCTGGCTGGCTAGCTGGCTGGCTGGCTAGCTGGCTGGCTGGCTGGCTGGCTAGCTGGCTGGCTGGCTAGCTGGCTAGCTGGCTGGCTGGCTAGCTGGCTGGCTGGCTAGCTGGCTGGCTAGCTGGCTGGCTGGCTAGCTGGCTGGCTGGCTGGCTAGCTGGCTGGCTGGCTAGCTGGCTGGCTGGCTAGCTGGCTGGCTGGCTGATTGAGCTGGTTGAGCTGATTGAGCTGGTTGAGCTGGCTAGCTGGCTGGCTGGCTAGCTGGCTGGCTGGCTGGCTGAGCTGGTTGAGCTGGTTGAGCTGGTTGAGCTGGTTGGCTGGCTTCAGCTGGCTTCCAATCAGTCCAATCAACCCAATCAACCCAATCAACCCAAACAACCCAATCAATCCAATCCATCTAAAAATCTATCATATCAATTTCTAAAGGTAATTCGCGAGAACGACATCCTCTATTTCGTCTTTGAGTTCATGCAGGAGAACCTCTACGAATTGATGAAAGATCGGTTTGAAATTTAGCTTTAAACGAGTTATCGACTATCCAGCCAATCCAGGCTATGTTTCAATTTCAGTAAACGAATTTTCAGCGATCGATATTTCCCGGAAAGTGTCATTCGAAATATCATCTATCAAGTGCTACAGGGTTTACAATTCATGCATAAAAACGGTATTTTTAAAAAGAAATTTCGATATTTTTTCGCAAAAATACTTTCTGAATTTCTAAATCAATACAAAAATAATCTCTGATCATTTAATAAACAAAAAAAGATAAGATTAATGCCGTAGGAATCTGTTGTGAAGGCCATTCATAGAAATCGTCGTCTCTCTTCTTGTCGAATAATGAATTCAACGAGATAGATTCAACGAGATTCAACGAGATTCAACGAGATTCAACGAGATGACGTATCTTGCCGCGATTAGAGTCTGCTCCTCTTGAGAAGCTCTCAAAAAAGCACCAAAAAAGGACCAAATTTTACATTTCAATTTTACATAAAATTTCAAATGCAAATTTGGGTTCCTGGGTGAATCAAGGCTTTCAATAGGGTTTTGGCTGAGGCCGTCGGATCAGAAGTGATCAGGAGTGGTCAGAGAGTGATCAGAAGTGATCAGAAGTGATCAGAAGAGATCAGAAGTGATCAGAAGAGATCAGAAGAGATCAGAAGTGATCAGAAGTGATCAGAAGAGATCAGAAGAGATCAGAAGTGATCAGAAGAGATCAGAAGTGATCAGAAGAGATCAGAAGAGATCAGAAGTGATCAGAAGAGATCAGAAGAGATCAGAAGAGATCAGAAGAGATCAGAAGAGATCAGAAGTGATCAGAAGTGATCAGGAGTGGTCAGAGAGTGATCAGAAGAGATCAGAAGAGATCAGAAGAGATCAGAAGAGATCAGAAGAGATCAGAAGAGATCAGAGAGTGATCTAAGGGAAAAAAAACCAAAATTAGCATATTCTAATGTTCGAAAACACATTTACAAATCGGATTTCTTGATTTTATTCTTTAAATTCGAAATTCGAAACTCTAAATTCAAAATTCGAAATTTAAAATTCTAAATTCTAAATTCAACATTCTAAAACGTTTTTTCAGGGTTTTTTCATCGAGATATGAAACCGGAGAATATAATGTGCAATGGAACGGAGCTTGTTAAGGTTTATTTTAAAGAAAATTACTATTTAAACAATCATTAGACATTTTAAATGCCATAAGAATGTGAAAAAAAAAAAGCCCGTATACTTAAATACTTTCCAATACAATTTCCAATGAACCATTTGATCCAAAGAACCAATTTTTTAGATAGCCTAAGTTTAAGCCTTTTTAGATAGCCGACTTTGGGCTCGCACGCGAAATCCGATCGAAGCCACCCTATACGGATTATGTGTCCACACGGTGGTGAGTGAACTTTCAACGAAAACAATAATTTCAACAATTTCCTTTCTTTTTACCGTTAAATCCTTTGATTTTGATTATTTTGATGAGCATTCAAAGGTTTTTCGTCTTTTTCTCAGCAAGAACCCGTCCATTTTGTCTATTTTATTTATCATTCGACGCAGAATCAAATTACGCATCGAATGATACCAAAAACAGCTCAAAATCTAATATCCATGCAAAGTTATTGCCGAAAAAGCTAGACCCTGCTGATTATGGTCGGAGCTTAACCATTTGCCTCATAACTTTGCATGGATATTAGATTTTAAGTTGTTTTTGGTATCATTCGATGCGTAATTTTATTTTCCATCGAATGATAGTTAAAATAGACAAAATGGAAGGGTTCTTGCTGCAAAAAAGACGAAAAACTTTAAATTGCCTCATATTTTTGCATGGATATTAGATTTTAAGTGGTTTTTGGTATCATTCGATGCAGAATAAAATTTCGCGTCGAATGATACCGAAATGGACTTAAACTATAGTCTCTATGCAAAGTTATGGAGCAAAAGGTTTAGGCCCACCCATAATAAGCATGGTTTTGGTTTTTAGCCAACAACTCTGCGTGAACATTAGATTTTAAGCTAGTTTTGGTATCATTCGACGCGAAATTTCATTCTCCATCAAATGATAGTTAAAATAGACAAAATGGAAGAGTTCTTGCTGCAAAAAAGCCGAAAAACTTTAAATTGTCTCATAACTTTGCATGGATATTAGATTTTGAGCTGTTTTTGGTATCATTCGATGCGTAATTTGATTCTGCGTCGAATGATGGTTAAAATAGACAAAATGGAAGGGTTCTTGCTGAGAAAATGACGAAAAACTTTTGAATGATAGTCAGAATAGTCAAAATAATCAAAATCAATGGATTTTTACTAAGAAAAGCCTTAAATCGCCAACAGCAGACATATTGTATTCGGGTGTACTTTATTTAAGAAAATGAAGAAACCAGTGCACTAGGAGGGTCGTGTTTACGAGCACAAAGTACGCATCATTGTACAGAAATCTCTAGGTATCGTGCTCCCGAGATCCTCCTCCGCTCGACTGCCTACAATTCACCAATCGACGTTTGGGCCCTAGGTGAGACTCAATTTTAGACGTTAGCTAAGTTTGCAATCGAAATCAGCTCAAAGAATCGCTGTGTGTTCTATCGTCTAATCGCTTTCCATCTAGCACACAGCCAGCTAAAAGCTAGCTTCAGATCTAGCTGGCTAGCTCTAGATCTAGCTGGCTAGCTTCAGATCTACCTAGCTAGCTCCAGATCTACCTAGCTAGCTCCAGATCTACCTAGCTAGCTCCAGATCTAGCTGGCTAGCTTCAGATCTAGCTGGCTAGCTCTAGATCTAGCTGGCTAGCTCTAGATCTAGCTGGCTAGCTCTAGATCTACCGGGCTAGCTCCAGATCTACCTAGCTTCCTTTAACAATCGTTAATTGGTTAATAGATAAGTGATAGAAAAAGTGATGGAGTTTCAAAGTTGAAAGTTGAAAGTTGAAAGCTGCAGAAGTCTAACCTCTTTTCCCTATTTGTCGAAAACAAGAATCAACCCTTTCTTTTGGTAATTTTATAGAAAAATAGAATTTTATGATGATTACAGAACTCGTTACTGTAAACGATTGTTTTCAGGCTGTATTATGGCCGAATTGTATATGTTGCGTCCATTGTTCCCAGGCACTTCCGAATTGGATCAACTCTTCAAAATCATCACGATTCTCGGATCACCGACAAAAGTTTGTTTTTTGAGTTTATCGGCAAAGCTTTTGAGCTGCTTGAAAGCCACATTCAGATCTACAAGTCCAGATCTAGAGTCTAAACATTACTAGCTCAGATCTAGACAAAGCTTTTGACTAGAACAGCCAGTGGCTCACAGCCAGTGAGCCAATTTTGTTGTGAGTACGGACAGGGATCTTCTAGCTAGCCTTTTTATGGACAGGGATCTTCTAGCTAGCCGACAGCGATCTTCTAGCTAACCTTTTTACCCTTTCTAGCCTGTAAAACAAATCTAAGCCAGGCCAGGTTGTGTTCGATCCATTTCCCGAGTCTAGAAATCCAAAAAGCAGCGCCGGGATTCGAACCCGCGACCTCTCACTTACTAGCTGCACGCTCTACCAATGAGCTATACTGACAATTCCCCTTGCCGTCAGGAAAGGCCTTTAAATCCCCCTTCAGTAATAAATCGACTTTAGTCTATTTTCTATTAAAATGTGTCAATTTCCTATTTGTGGATCTAGGAAGAATGGGCTGAAGGCTATCAATTGGCGGCGGCGATGAATTTCCGTTTCCAAAACACGCCCGCCACACCAATGGAGCAAATCGTGAACACGATTGGAAAGGTATTAAAGATTGATAGCTTTAATATTGTCTAACGTTTTTTTCTAGGATGGAATGAAGCTAATGATGGAGATGATGATTTGGAATCCGGAGAAGCGCCCGACTGCCACACAGGTGCTAAATCACTAATCACAATCGCTAAATCACTAATCACTGCCTAATTTCGACTCCACAACTCATTTTTGATATTAAAAAAAGTTCTATAGTACTTGTTTTTATAAAAAAAATCTAGATAAAAACAGGTTTAGATGGTTTGGATTACTGTAGCTAGGGTTACTGTAGCTGGGGTTACTGTAGCTAGGGTTACTGTAGCTAGAGGTTGAGAAAAAGCCAAAAACGAAATCACTGGGTGGTCTTTTCGGTGTTCTCTGTGCACGCGCACAATCGCGCACTTTCTGGCATAGGGGGTTTACACATAGCGAGCCGAAGGGCATCTCGATAAGTCATGCGTTCATCGGTTTTCGTTCATCGGATTTGTAGGGTTACTGTAGCTAGAGGCTATAGTAGCTAGGGCTTACTGTAGCTAGAGGTTACAGTGGCTAGAGGCTACAGTAGCTAGAGGTTACTGTAACTAGGGCTAAGCTAAGAATCTCCAAATAGAAACGATTTTCAAGTGCCTACGCAGCCGATACTTCCAAGTGAACGAGAAATTGGGCGCTCCGGTGATGGTGAGAAAATTTTTCTTCCTTTTGTTAAGAATTACGGTTTTTAAGACAATTTTTAAGACGTTTGACGCTTTTTAGACGGTACCGTAACCGGAGAAATGTCTAAAATCAAAAGAATTTCTTTTATTTTAGTCTCAACCGGCGCCTGGATCGATTCGAAAAAATTCGGCTGGCTCAACGCAAAGCGATACGAAAATCGTGGTGGCACAGAAAAAGGTTAGCGTTTTTTATATTATATTTATATCATAGATTATTTATTTATTATTTTATTTATTTTATAAAATACTTTATATAGAATGATTTATGAAGTTTTTGTAAGTTTTAAACTTCTAAAGATAACTATAGTTACCGTAAATACTGTAATAGTACCCCACCCCCATAATGACGGTGCGGAGCTTTGCGTAGTCTAGCTTTGAACGAGTTTTTCTCGACACTGGTTTAAGCTACAATACGCGCTTTGGTATCAAAAAATAGCTGAGATTCAGGGCTATTTTTTGATACCAAAGACGCATTTTTTGAAAGTACGAGCGCTTTGAAAAAAATGAAATACTAAAAAACTCTTTTGCGACTACGCGACTGTACGAGCGGGGTACTATTACAGTATTTACGGTAGTTGGATTTTACTAGCTGGAGCAGTAAAAGCAGCTAGAGCTTTATCCAAAGTGATAAAGAAGAATGATAAAGGAGATTAAAGAATTTGATTAAAAAAAAGACAAGCAAATAGTCGAGAAAAAGGAGATTTTTTTAGAAAAAGTATTAGAAAACGATCTTTTCTAAATGATTGAAAAGTTTAGAGCTCGATGTCAAACACGGAGAACATTTCCCCGCATGGACGTCCTCCAATCGAACACCGACAAATCAATCGAAATCTTCCGCTCAATAAGACACAATTGTTTGATAAGTGAGTGGAGAATTCTAGAATAGAATTCTAGAAGTCTAGAATTATAGAATTCTAGAATTCTATGATTCTAGAAGTTTTTTATTATTAATTTACTGAATTCATAGATTTTTTCTAATAAAAACGAATAGAAATTATGAAAAAATCTTGTCATTTCTCTGGAAAGTGGCCACGGTTGGTTCTAGAATGGAATTTTGCAGGCCAACCCAGGTCAATCCGGGCCAATCCAGGCTCTGGTTCCTCTTCCTGTCCTGGCTTCTTCACAGCTAAACAAATCTGGTTTAGTTTGGCTTGACTAACAACAGTTCTTCTCTGGTTCACAGAGGCAAGTCAGAAGATAGACTCTAGCTCAGCTCTAGCTCTAGCTCTAGCTCTAGCTCTAGTAACAGCTTACAAAGCAAGGACTGGACAAGGACCAGAAGTCAGGACAAGTTAGGACTTTAGCCTATCAACCCAGTTTTTTGATTTGGCTCCGGATTTAGCTTCTGACAAGCTTGACTAACTGTCTGACTATCTAAGAAGCCAGATCTGAATCCTGATGCTGCTGGCTCTGGTCCGATCATCTGCTGATCCAAGCCCAGATCCAGCAGTTAAAGCCAGATCCAGGTCCAGAGCCAGATCCAAGTCTAGAGCCAAGTCCAGAGCCAGATCCAAAGCCTAGAACTCTAGTTGAATCCCCCGTGTTTCTTACAGAAATGGTTTACTAGCAAAATTCACAAAAAAGACTATTACTTACACTTTTAAAATTCCAGATTGGAGGACACGATGCGCTCGGAGAAGTCTATGAAGACTGGTGGCAGTGGGGGAGGGGCCACGAGCGGGAAAAAGGCGCCAGCCAAAGATTTCTACTTGTCGAAGAGTCGATATGTGCCGGGTAAAGGGAAAAAGGAGAAAAGAGGGGCGATGACGGAGAGGGAGGACAACAAAGATGGAGGGGATCGACGGGTGGAGGGGAAGGGCGGGAAGGGGGTGCCGGGGACAGCGCCTTGTATGGAGACTGATGATGTGGGCTTGGCGACGGTGGAAGAGATTGAAGAAGCCATTGAAGCAGCTGAGAGACTGTCTAGAGCTGCCACTGCTGTAGAGGGGACAGGGTATGGGGTGAGGGGGTAGAGGAGAGGGTAGGAATGTCTTTGAGTAGTTGAGCGCTCAGGAAAGAGCTATCGTATTCCTAGCTACTGTACCGCTACCGTAGCCCTACCGTAGCCCTAGCGTAGTCTTACCGTAGCCCTACTGTGTAGCTACCGTATCCTTACTGTATCGCTAGCGTAGCACTACCGTAGCTCTACCGTACCCCTACCGTATCTCTACCGTAAGCCTACCGTAGCCCTACTGCATAGCTACCGCACCCCTACCGTAGCCCCACCGTAGTCTTACCATATCCCTACCGTACCCCTACCGTATCCCTACCGTATCTCTACCGTAGCCCTAGCCCTACCGTACCCCAACTGTATACCTACCGTATCCTTACCATATCGCTAGCGTAGCACTACCGTAGCCCTACCGTAGCTCTCCCGTACCCCTACCGTACCCCTACCGTAACCCTACTGTATCCCTACCGTAACCCCACCGTAGTCTTACCATATCCCTACCGTACCCCTACCGTATCCCTACCGTAACCCTACCGTATCCCCACCGTATCCCTACAGCATCCCTACCGTGCCCCTACCGTAACCCTACCGTATCCCTACCGCAGCCCTAGCGTAGTCTTACCGTAGCCCTACCGTACCCCTACTATATAGCTACCGTACCCTTACCGTATCCCTACTGTATCCCTACCATACCCCTACCGTACCCCTACCGTACCCTTACCGTACCCTTACTGTACCCTACTGTATTCCTACTGTATTCCTACTGTATTCCTACAGTATCCCTACCGTAGCTCTACCGTAGCTCTACCGTAGCTCTACCGTAGCCCTATCGTAGCTCTACCGTGTCCCTACCATATCCCTACCGTAATTCTACCGTATCCCTACTGTATAGCTACAGTATCCTTGCCGTATCGCTACCGTACCCCTACCATATCCCTACCGTATCCTTAGAAGCACAAAAGAAGAGTTTAAAAATTCGTTTTTGTGTGTGGTGTGATCCGAAAAAGTGTGATGCTCTGGGTTTCTCATCTATTTTCCCTTTTTGACTCCTTTAAATCTCAAAGAATTTCCATCAATTTCCATTATGATTTTGTTTCTCTCTTTGAACTGCTGTGCATATAGTTTTCTTTTCTTCATAAAGCTTTTAAAAGTAAATTGTTTCCTTTTTTTTTGGCACGTGAAAATGCACTGAGAAAAATTCCCCCAAAGCATCACACAAAAAAAAAAAAGTCCACCTTTTTCGGTTTGCATTTTTATCGAAATTTTCGTTTTTTACAGAGAACACATAGATTTACGATTTGTTTTTGTAATTTTAAAATGATTTTAGAGTTTAGAGAAGTTTTGGAAGCTTTGATAAGACCGTTTTCTGTCTGTTAGTGTCTATTTAAAATGATTTTAGAGTTTAGAGAAGCTTTGGAAGCTTTTATAAGACCGTTTTCTGTCTATTAGTGCCTAAATTCTTTGAAATCTCGAAAAGCAGAGCCTATTGATGTGGAAAATGTAGCTGATGATGAGATCTTATCGGGGATTTGAGTGTTGAGTCTCTGGGAAAGCTTGAAAATCGTAAAATAGACAATTCGGGTGCACTACTATTAGAGAATACGGTATTGGAAAATAGGGTAGTAGAAAATAAGGTAGTAGAGAATACGGTAGTAGAGAATACGGTAGTAGAAAATATGGTAGTAGACAATACGGTATTAGAAAATACGGTATTTGTCTTTTCTAATACAGTCTAATGCATTGTAGCGTAGAATTAACGGCAGTAATTCCGATGGACATACGACTTATCGAGAGCCCCCTCGGCTCCCTATGGGTAAACCCCCTATGCCAGAGAGTGCGCGATTGTGCGCGTGCACAGAGAACACCCAGTGATTTGGTTTTTTGGCTTTTTCTCAGTCATACTTTGATGGATCGGATTCGTTTATGCGGAAAATGGTCGGAAAATTTAGCTGATGATGAGATCTTGTGGGGGATTTCAGTGTTGAGCTTCTGGGGAAGCTTGAAAGCTTCTGGGGAAGCTTGAAAGCTTCTGGGGAAGCTGGAAAGCTTCTGGGAAGCTTGGAAAGCTTCTGGGAAGCTGGAAAGCTTCTGGGAAGCTGGAAAGCTTCTGGGAAGCTGGAAAGCTTCTGGGGAAGCTAATCCTAAAATAGACAACTCGGCCGGGTGCACTACTATTAGAGAATACGGTACTGGTCTTTTCAGCAATACGGTACTTGTCTTTTCAGCAATATGGTACTTGTCTTTTCTAATACAGTCTAATGCATTGTAGCGTTCAATTAACCGCACTCAGCTCAAATTAAAACTCTCAACTTTGATCTCTAATCAAAATTCATCATTTTCTAGTAGAAATTAGCTGTAAAACTAGTCAAAAAAAAACTAGTAAAAAAACTAGTAAATGAAGCTGCTTTTATTTAGAATTCAACGCATTTAAGGCATTCAAACTAGTTACAAAAAGAAAATCGCCATTCAGGAAACGCGTGCGACACGCGCTGACACTGACACAACTTTGCAGAGCTCTAGCTCTAGCTCTAGCAAAAGTTTAAGCTATAACAGAAAGCTCTAAGGAATGCAATTCTGGTTCTGGCTGACGATAAGCTATAACAGAAGGCTCTAAGGAAGGCAATTCTGGTTCTGGCTGACGATAAGCTATAACAGAAAGCTCTAGGGAATAGAATTTTGGTTCTGGCTGACGATAAGCTATATAACGGAATTTTTTAGATCCCTTCATTTTCCGTTCATTCTGTTCTAGAGTCTAGAAAAGTTTACAGAAAAGTTGGGCACTTTCTAAAAAGTGAATTAGTTAAAAGCATACATAAAGAGAGTTTTTAGCTAAGTGATCAATACAAAAATGGTTACAAAAATTTAGATTAAGGTCGGGAAGTTTAGCAAAGATTTGGATTGTAAAGGTGCCAGGAAATGGGGTAATAGATGCTCGTTTCTATGCAATAGACATGCGAAAACTCCAAGCCGATCCAAATTCCACGATCATTTTCAATTGGACAATCAATTGGAGAATCAGAAATAGAGAAAATGAGGGTGAAATTGTTTAATTTACAGCAATTCTTTCTCAAAAGCTGAGCCAGACAAGCTTTAGCCGACTGGATAGGAGTCTTGTCTCTTAGTCTGGCGGGCAGGGGACAATGGCTCGATCCCGGTGACCACAAAGTTTTTTTCTTTGCGTAGTCTAGCTTTGAACGAGTTTTTCTCGACACTGCTTTATGCTACAATGCTCGCTTTGGTATCAAAAAATAGCCCTGAATCTCAGCTATTTTTTGATACCAAAGCGAGCATTGTAGCATAAACCAGTGTCGAGAAAAACGCGTTCAAAGCTAGACTACGCAACGCTCCGCACCGTCATTATCGGGGTGGGGTACTATTACAGTATTTACAGTGGTTAGCTTTGCTAGATTTCATAGTTTATATTATATTTTCAGGCACAATGACTGACACAATTCATGGAAATAATAATCCACACAAATTTGATATCAAACAAAAGCCATCAATGGATCCGAAGAATGCCGTTCAAGCGAGATTCGAATATGCTTATGGTAAAGCTTTAATAAATAGATCGAGAACTCATTGTCTAGCTATTTGTCTAGCTATTTGTCTAGCTATTTGTCTAGCTATTTGTCTAGCTCATTGTCTAGCTATTTGTCTAACTCATTGTCTAGCTATTTGTCTAACTCATTGTCTAACTCATTGTCTAGCTCTTTCTCTAGCTCTTTCTCTAGATGTCTGTTAAGATTGTGGATGTAGAACTAGAACTATTGGATTGGTGAATTGAAAACTGCCGGCTATTGTCATCGGTCACAGTTTGAGCACTTTCTTCAAAAGAAACCCATTTTGATGTCAATAGAAAAGTTGTAGAGAATCAAAAATCAAGCTTATATCCAAATTTTTAGAACGATTCAAAAACTAGTTTTCAAGAAATGCCAAATTTATGAATTTTCACAAATGAAATGGCGGAAAAGGAGGGGAGAGGGGGGGGGGTTACGGTATCTGTCTGTCTTTCTGTCTGTCTTTCTGTCTGCCTTACTGTACGGGCATTTTTTCAGCCGTTTCAGCATTTTTTTTTTGACCAATATTTCATTTTGCATGAATATTATATTTTAAGTTGTTTTTGGTGTCATTCGATGCGTAATTTCATTCTGCATCAAATGATCGTTTAAATAGTCAATATATTGGGTTGGTGAATTGAAAACTGCCGGCTGTTGTCATCGGTCACAGTTTGAGCACTTTCTTCAAAAGAAACCCATTCTGGTGTCAATGGAAAAGTTGTAGAGAATCAAAAATCAAGCTTATATCCAAATTTTCAGAACGATTCAAAAACTGGTTTTCAAGAAATGCCAAATTTACGAAATTTTCACAAAACTTGCATTTTAAGCGAAACTACTAAGTGTATCTTTTTGGAAATTTCGCTATAAGCCTAATTTTTGATTCTCTACAACTTTTCCATTGACACTAAAATGGGTTTCTTTTGAAGAAAGTGCTCAAACTGGGACATTCCTCCATTTTTGAGTCTCCAGTCCTTTCTCTAACTCTTTCTCCAGCTCTTTCTCCAGCTCTTTCTCCAGCTCTTTCTCTAGCTCTTTCTCCAGCTCTTTCTCCAGCTCTTTCTCCAGCTCTTTCTCCAGCTCTTTCTCCAGCTCTTTCTCTAACTCTTTCAATTCAAATTCTCAGCTAGAAAACTCAGAGAATTTCCCAAAACAACTCCAGGAATTGGCGCTAAATCTGCGACAAAATCGAAAGCCAAAAATCCCACATCGAAAGTGGTTCACGGTGGTGAGAAAAAAAGATTTCAATCAAATTTTATTTAATCCCTTCACTGGTTGAAGTCCTCCTCCTCCACAAATTCACAAATAAAGCTTTATTTCTTTCTTTTTTGTTTAAGAAACTCCCCTTGAAACTGATAAAATGCGATCATTTTTTCAAAAAATTTTAGGTTATCGTCCAAATTTTGGCGCTCGTACATTAAACAACAACACAACGGCGAATGTTACGGTCAAAGAGGGCAATGGATCGGCCAAGAGAACTGATTGGACGGCAAAGTGAGTGAGGAAATGATTGAATGGAGGGAAAGAGTACTGTGAGACGAGGATACTGTAAGACAAGAGTACTGTAAGACAAGAGTACTGTAAGACAAGAGTACTGTAAGACAAGAATACTGTTACCAAACCTACCTGTTTTCTCGCTTCAATATGGAATTTACTGAAACTTTAAAAACAACGCATGTCAATAGGGTAAGATGACGAGTCATTCAACGTAGAATTTCACGCTGATTCCGAATCTGCTTTCCGTTTTTGATACGGAGTACTCTATCAAAAGTTATAAATGCTCAAAGTTTTGTTTTTAGTTTAGTTTGCATTTTAAAAAGCATCTCAAATCAGCAGATTTCCCAGCCGTCCCACAAAGCAGTAGCTTTGAAAATCTAGAAAAAAGCAGACCAGGGACTCGAACTCACGAGTCTAGCAGCGAATCGCCTTGTATTCTAACCCACTACCACTCGGCCATCACTGCTCCCTAGGAAATTTCCTTATAAGCTAATTTGAGATGCTTTAAAACTCCTAAGAAAACTCTACCAAAGTAGACCGGGGACTCGAACCAGGGACTCTTGCCTCGAATTGCCTTTTATTCTAATCCACTCGGCCACCACTGCCTCTTGAACTATTTGAAACAGAGAACAATTAACTTTGAAAATCCAAGAAAGCAAAAGTTGGTACGCGAAGTCGAACCACAGGGTTCCTACCTCGCGCTCGCTTTGTATTCTAACCCACTACCACTCGGCTATCACTGATTCCCGAGACCGCTGGGAAATCTTCTGATAAACTCTGCTTTTACAAATCCTATACAAAACTTTGAGCACTTATAACTTTTGATAGAGTACTCCGTATCAAAAACGGAAAGCAGATTCGGAATCAGCGTGAAATTCTACGTTAAATTATCTAAGCTAAATGCCATTTTTTCAAAGCTAAATGCCATTTTGTCATTAGCAACAAGGCCTTTATCAATTCTCTCTATACTTTCTGTTTGTTTAAACAAATCCCTTCTGGTGCACGAAAGCATCTTGATAATGAGGAATTCAGTGCACCAGAAGGCTTGTGTTTAAGCTTAAATGGCTTAAAGCAATCAAAACAAAGCTTAAATGGAAATTCCTTGTTTATGTAAATTTGTGAAAATTTTAGATACGCTCGAAATTGAAGGAAATCTTTTTTTTTTTTCGTCGAAATCACGGGCTATTTCTTTTTTTCTTTTTAAATATATGTGAAATATTTACTCCTTTTCAATCAATAAAGGTTTTTTATTGCGAAGAAAAAAACATTTAAACTCTTGTCGACTCTTTCCAAAGAGTTGTATCAAGGCTGAGACTCTGAAAAGAAAGTTTTGTGTTTAAAAAATTGAAACACAAATTGAAACACAATTCAGCAAAGAATTTAGCAAAGAATTCAGTGCGCCAGAAGCTCTCCGTTTACAAGCTCATTCACCTTTGTGCACTCGTTCCAATCAGGCCAAAAGCGGCTCTTCATTCGGTCAGCCCAAGAGATTAGATGCTGAAGAGAATGAGGATTTTGGAGATTCAGATTCAGATTCAGATTGAGACTTTAGGAGATTGAGATAGAGAAATAGAAATGATATTCAAGAGAAATAGTCACCTATTACCGTAATCTACCTTGCAATTAGTCTCAGCGAATCGCTGTACTCCGCGACAAGCCAACGGAGTGAAAAACACTTGAGCTAACGGCCCGAAAGCGGTCGCGTCGAACTAAAAGAAAAGTCAGAGATCTAGAGATCTAGATATGTAGATAATCATCTGGATATTTATTATATTTATTATCATAGCCATCTACTATATAAGAGCTGTGTTTGTCTATTTGTTTGTCTGTCTGTCTGTCTGTCTGTCCGTTTGTCCGTGAGTTCGTCAGTTCGTCTGTTTGTCTGCCTGTCCGTCTGTCCGTCTGTTCGTTCGTCTGTTTGTCTGTCCGTCGGTCCGTCTGTCCGTCGGTTCATCTGTTTGTCTAGTTCTCAACTCCCTGTGAGCTGATTTACATACTTTTTAGCCCATTAGGCCTCTAATTCCATCTAGCTTTGAAACATATTTTGAAATTATGAAAAAACCAAAACTACTGACACGAGCCGGAGTCGAACCCGGGTCGTGTAGGCTAGAGAAAAGAGCGCTCGCACCGAGCCAGAGCATGGCTGATAGTTGATAGCTGATAGCTGATAGCTGATGGCTTATAGCTGATGGCTGATAGCTGATGGCTTATAGCTGATGGCTAGATTACCGCTAATCATTACCGTGCTCGGTTGGTCGCCGAAAAAAAACAGCTTCTCGCCGAGAAAAGTGTCCAAAGCGGTGAGATCGCTGAAAGATTGAGCTTTAAGTTTTGTAGATGTAGATATTTATAATTATTTATAATTATTTATAATTATTTATAATTATTTATAATTATTTATAATTATTTATGATTATATATTATTATATATTATTATTTAAGATTATCTATTATCTAAAGCTATTATCTAAAGCTATTTTAAATATTTCAAACTATTTAAAACAATTTAAAAATAAACCAAAAACTCTAGCTAGTTTCCTAATGTTTTTGCAAGTTCTTCTTCTACAAACTTCTTGATAATGAGCTCGAGTTCTTCGATGGAATAACGCCCATAGCCTTGTGTGTGAGTCGAGGATTTTAGCTACAAAAAGATCTAGATAAATCTTTGATATTCTTTTATATTCTTTTATATTCTTTTATATTCTTTTATATTCTTTTATATTCTTTTCTAGTATCCATTTCCATCTTATCTCCTAATTCCACTCGTTTTCCTTATCAAAATCGCTTACATTTTTCTGAAATCTCGGCCCGATCACTTTCTCAGCGACGAACTTTTTGACGCCCTGAAAAAATCGTTTCATTTTTTTTTTTAGATATTTTAGATAAAGGATCATCAAACATCAAAACATCAAAACCCTCTTTTTAAAAATTTTTTTCGACTAAACTCGAGGCTTTTGGCGACTAGGCAGATTCGGGCGATTTGTAAATGATTTTCCTGTGATTTTCCTTTAATTTGAAGTCCCAAAGGAGACTTGGAATCGAAAAATGACTAAAATTTGGCCTTCTACGGTCTTCTTTGTAGACTTTATGGTGAAAAAAATTGTAAACAAATCGCCTCTACCAATGAATTTCATCTTTATCTTCCAAAGCTTTTGGTGACTAGGCCCTGGCTGGCTCTGACTGGCTCTGACTGGCTCTGACTGGCTCTGACTGGCTCTGGCTGGCTCTGGCTGGCTCTGGCTGGCTCTGGCTCTTTTATCTTGCATCCCGAATCTGCTTTCTCTAAATCCTCTTTCGTAAATCGTGCGACTAAAGTTCGGAATGCCCTTCCCGAAAAGTTGCGTTTGATCTCCACCGTGTCTGATTTTAAAAGGGCTATTTCGTTGCATTTTAAGTGACTTTTGTGATCTTTTATCTAGTACATTTATCTAGTACATTTTTCATGTCATTTTTGCACTTTATTTCTTTCTGAATATAATATAATTTTTTCCAAATTTTTCCAAATTTCCCAAATTTTTCCCTCAACTTTAAAGCACTATAAATCAAGAAATTTACATTGAAATTTATAAATTTTATAGTGATTCGGAAAGCTTGAAACGAGATCTATAAGATGGTATATTTGATTTTTTTCGATTCGCTTTAATTTTCATTTTTTTAATCGATTTCAAAAAGCGCGCAAAAAAAACGGTGTGAAAAATTCGACCTTTTTCAAACCCTCTTTTTCATCTAGATTCCGTGCTCGGATCATTTTAAAACGCTGTTTTTTTTGGAAAGAACGTCAAAAATTACCCTTAGAAGTGTTTTCATTGAATAATTTTTCTGTCTAAGTTTTTGTTGGATAAGTTTAAAAAAACCCCACAAGTTGCTTTAAAGTTGGGGGAAAACTCGGAACTTGATCTATTTTTTTTTGTTCAGGTAGATATAGAGATATCTAAACTATTTATAGACAAATCTAAGCTATTAGTACGGTAGAGTACAGTAGAGTACGGTAGAGTACGGTAGAGGACGGTAGAGGACGGTGGAGTACGGTGGAGTACGATAGATTTCAGTTTTCCTTATCATAAATAGCCAAAAAGTAAGGATTACGGTAATCTATAAGCTATAATCTAAGCTATAGTCTATAAGCCTTAATCTAATCTATAATCTAATCTATAATCTAATCTATAAACTAAGATCAAAAAGATTACGGTAAAATGCGAGAGAAGTCCTTTCTCGGTGAACATCCAACCGCACTCCGGCTGAGAGCGATTAGCTAGAGTTGCCCTAAAATATTAAGCATTAAGATTAAGTAAAAATATCATTAGTTATCAATAATATCGATTTAGATCTATTAAACTTTAGATTTAGATCTTTTAGAGATATCCAACCAAACAATCGATTGTTCTATTAAATGATGGAAAGCTTGGCGATTAGCGATGTCGAGTGGAGACAAAAACGAGTCGAAATTCTCCTGGAAAGCATTTCATTTGTAATCCATTCGCTAAAAAGTGTCCTTTTTCTTGACTACCGTAATTTTGTCTCAATTTTGTTCATCTCATTGTTCTATCTTTCTAAACTCTCAAAGAGACAAAAAGGATTAGATAAAAATAGAGACAAGATTACGGTAGCCAAGAAAAAACAAGCCTAGACCTAGCAAAACTAAAGACTAAAAGAGCAATATAAGAAGTGAAAAGTGTACTGTAGCTAGCTTACGATAATTATCAAAAATAACACGTTTTAGAAAAGGGATTAGTTTAGAGAACTCTAGACTAGCCAAAGTCTACTGTAACTCAGAGTAAAATAGCTAAAATAAGATTACGGTAGTTATCAAAAGTTTTCACGTTTTAGGAAACGATTTGGAAAAATCGTTGCGTATGCCGATGAGGAACAGAATCGGAAATGAATCGGAAATGAATCGGAATTGAATCGGAATTGAACCAGAATTGAATCGGAATTGAATCGGAATTGGATCGGAATTGGATCGGAATTGAATCGGAACCAGATCGAAGCCGAACCGGAATTGAATCGGAACCAGATCTGAACCAAATCTGAACCGAATCAGAACCAAATCAGAACCAAATCTAAACCAAATAGGAACCAATTTTGAACCAAATCTAAACCAATTCTGAACCAATTCTGAACCAAATCTAAACCAAATAAAAACCAAATCAGAACCAATTTTGAACCAATTCTGAACCAATTCTGAACCAATTCTGAACCAAATCTAAACCAAATAAAAACCAAATCTAAACCAAATCTAAACCAAATCAGAACCAAATCAGAACCAAATCTAAACCAATTTTGAACCAAATCTAAACCAAATCTAAACCAATTCTGAACCAAATCTAAACCACTTCTGAACCAAATCTAAACCAAATCTAAACCAAATAAAAACCAAATCAGAACCAAATCTAAACCAATTTTGAACCAAATCTAAACCAATTCTGAACCAAATCTAAACCAAATCTAAACCAAATAAAAACCAAATCAGAACCAAATCTAAACCAATTTTGAACCAAATCTAAACCAAATCTAAACCAATTCTGAACCAAATCTAAACCAATTCTGAACCAAATCTAAACCAAATCTAAACCAAATAAAACCAAATCAGAACCAAATCTAAACCAATTTTGAACCAAATCTAAACCAAATCTAAACCAATTCAGAACCAAATCTAAACCAATTCTGAACCAAATAAAAACCAAATCTAAACCAAATCTAAACCAAATAAAAACCAAATAAAAACCAAATCTAAACACGTATGAAAAGTATCTTCCAAACGCAATAGCCTAGTTTTTTTACCTTATGAAACTCTTTGATAAGAAATTCAATAATATTTGACGTGTCCGCGTATTGATGTCCATTGTATTCGATGAATGGCACTTGGCCTTTCGATGAGGTTTTTTTAAATTCTGTGGAGATATTCTGAAAAAAAAACCATCTAACTTGCTAAATGCTAAAGCTCACCTCATACGGTATATCGACGATCCTCAACCATGTCTCCAATTTTAACGAAAATGGAGACACCGATGGGATTATGCCGGCACGAGGTAATTGAAACTGAAAAAAAAAGATTTTTCTTTCTTTCTACCGTAATCCGAAAGACAGACGAAAGACAGACGGAGACAGACGAAAGACAGACGAAAGACTACCGTAATCTTCGGAAAGACAGGGGAAAGCCAAAAGCCAAACCGTCTTTCTCTCAGGCACCTCTATCTGCCCCGTATGCCAGATCTAGCGCGATTACGCGGCTTCACAAAGAACACACAGCGGTTCTTTCTTTTGTTCTGTATATGATTTCCAAATGAGATTTAATCTTAAAAATTTGTCCCTCAGGGTTTTCAACGTCGTAGAATCTATTGGCGCCTTTATTTTAACACTTTTTCCCAAGAAAACCCCCAGGAAAATCGAATTAACCTTGGGTTTTGCAAATGAAAGTTTTTGAAAGGTTTTGCATATCACAAATCCAATTCTCACACAACCAACCCACCAAATAAACGACTCCTCTTTTCCAATTTCTTTGAAACAGCTTCTCGGTGGGCATTTCACTTTAAAAAAGCTGAAAATAGCAATCAAAATCTTTTTCAAACTCTCAAAATCATCATTTCAAACGGAAATTAGGCTGAACGCAAAATTTTTCTATCGAAAATCCTATTAGGAAATTAGTGAAAAGGAAAATGAAAAAAAAGGATAGAGATTTTCGAAAATTCAAACAGAAAAATTGATTTTAAAAGTGATTGAGAATTTTTTGAGGAGATTAAGAGGAAGAAAGGTTGTAGATCAGTCATCTGAACAGGAAAGGTCAGCCATTTGATCAAGAAAACTTGTAGATCAGCCATCTGATCAAGAAAGATCAGCCATTTGATCCAGAAAGATCAGCCATCTGAAGGCAAACAAAAGCGCAAGCCTAGCGAGACTATAGATCTTATAAAAGAAATGGCTTTATGAATTGAGCCTGGCTTCAAGAATGTTTTTGGGAAAACTTTGGTTAGAGTTGAGTTTGCACGACTAGAGTTGCTTCGAATCAACTTTTCCGAGTCAAACCAGCGTCTGGTTTAAGATACGGAACTGCGTACCATTTACGTCACTTTTTCGATCACCGTAATCTCATTTTAGCTACCATACTCTTACAGTACAACACTATTGACTACCGTACTCTCGTCTAAAGTCTTCCTCTTGAATAATCCCTTTTCTAAAGTGTGTCCAACGTTGCTCAAGAGAAACGCATGCTCTATTATAATAATAAATATAATAATAAATATAATAATAAATATAATAATACTTTATTCAAACGATAAAGTGAAAGAAATCATAGAGAAATGCACAGTGATACTTAATCATACAATACATACTGAAATCAATAAGCCAATTACTTACGGCAAAGAGCCACTAGATCTAAAGCATCGATACGTTTCTTGAATATGAAAAGCGACTGAATTTCTCGTATGTCGTTTGGGAGCAAGTTCCATAATCTAGCGGCTCTAACGGGAAATGAATTTGATAAAGAGGCATTGAAAGCAAAGGGAATTTCCAAAAGGAATGAGCCACTTCTGGGCCCTGACCGCGGTTTAAATTTGAAAAAGTCTATAAACAAAGGGCTAATCTGTTTACAACGGAGGATTTTGAAAGTTTCGACTAAATAAAGTCAAATTCTTTGCAAATTGTTGACTATTTTTATATAATTCAAGGTCAAGAGCAAAAAAAAAAACGCTTCAAATTTTTCAAGAGAGTCAATTTTTCGCTTTTTTTTTTTTTCCAATCGGTAAATAGAGAAACTAGAAATTTCAGCAAAAAAAAAATTTAGATTTTAATGAAAAATCGAATTTCTCTATTATAAAGCTAAAAGTTTCAATAGAATTTAAAAATTTCAGAAAAAAAAATCGAAGAAACGTGTCAAAAAGAGGCTTAAACTTTCAATTTTGATAAGAAAAACGAGAGGATTTTGAAAGTTTTTGAAAAAAAATTTCTAAAAAAGGCTCAGAAAGTTTTGAAAATGTATTTGGAAACGAATTTTTTTTTTTCGATGTTTTAGCTGAGATTTTGGGGGTGGGACAAATGCGACTTTTTTTTTTTTGCGCACCTGGACATTTGCGCAACTTTTTTTGTTGGAAAAGGCCTTAGGAAAGGCCGTAGAGCTTCAAAAATGTTTCCATCTGAAGAAATCGTATGCGTAGATTACGAATTTCGACAAATCACACCTCGCTGACACGTCAAATTTGGGCTAAAAGGCAAAAACTACGCAACTTAACGCTTTTCCGCAGTTTTTGCCTTTTAGCCCAAATTTGACATGTCAGCGAGGTCTGATTTGTCAAAATTCTGAATCTACGCATACGATTCCCTTCTATGGAAACATTTTGGAAGCTCTACGACCTTTCCTAAGGCCTTTTCCAGCAAAAAAAAAAAGTCGCATTTGTCCCACCCCCGAAAAGTTCAAAAATTGAAAAAATTTCGATTTTTCATTTTTTTTCAATCATTTTTTTTCTAAACACTTCTTGAAGCCAGGCTCAATTTTGAAGCCAGTTACAGTTACAGCCAGTTGTACACCAGTTAACGATTCGGCGTGACTTTTCTGAGGGCGGTGGGACAAATGTGACTTTTTTTTGCTGCGCACCTGGCCAAAAGCGCGCCTTTTTTGTTCGCTGGCAAGATGTTAGCTAAAAGTTTCAATAGAATTTAAAAATTTAGAGCCGTAGAGCATCAAAAATGTTTTCATCGAAAGAAATCGTATGCGTAGATTCCGAATTTCAATAAATCAAACATCGCTGGCACGATAAATTTGGTCTAAAAGGGAAAAACTGCGGAAAAGCCGTTAAGTTGTGTAGTTTTTTGCCTTTTAGCCCAAATTTGACATGCCAGCGAGGTGTGATTTGTCGAAATTCGGAATCTACGCATACGATTCCCTTCTATGAAAACGTTTTTGAAGCTCTACGACTTTTCCTAAGGCCTTTTCCAGCAAAAAAAAGGTGCGCAAATGTCCAGGTGCGCAAAAAAAAAAAAGTCGCATTTGTCCCACCCCCAATAAATGCTTGATTATCAAATGTCGCTTCTACTTTTGTCTTAAATAACTTTAATTCAATTTAAAGATTTACAACGAAGTAACTGAATATCTTTTTCACGCGGAAAGCAATATATATAAAAGCTGTTTGGTGTGCAGTTTTTGTACTGTGAAAGAAAGCTTCTGTAATTGTTCCATTTCATTTCATTTCCATGTTCCATTTCAATGTAATTCCCTTACATGGAAACATTTTTGATGCTTTACGGCCTTTTCCAGCAAAAAAGATGCGCTTTTGGCCGGGTGCGCAAAAAAAAAAAAGTAGCATTTGTCTCACTTCCTTTTCCCAGATCTACTATATAGTATTTTGAAATTGTTTTGAAGCATTTCTAGCATTTCTACACTTCATTTTGATCGTTTTGATCATTTTGATAATTTAAAACATTTCGATCAAAGTCATTTAGCTTTTCAAAGAAGCATTTTAGCGCGCTGTAGGGAAATTGTCATCGCAATCACTGATTTTAACCTGTTTTTAATTGAAAAATCTTTCAAAAAGCCTTTTTTTTTGATGTAGACTTTTGTTTTAAATTCAATTTTTCAATTGTTATTTTAAAAGAATGAAATCTCTGGTGAAAATAAGAAACGAAAAATACTATTCGTTTGCCATTTGCCGTAAAATACTACGTTCCATTTGCCTCGCTTTGCCCCCTTTGCTTTGCCTTTGCTTTGCCTTTGCTTTGCCGTTATGCACTTTTGCTATTGACTATCTTTCCGAATTTATGTTTATTATGTTATTTTGACTTTCAAATGTTATTTACACATTAAAATTAATGTTTTTTTTTCAGGTATGAGCAAATCTACTCATCGAGATTCGATTATCGTACTTTTTTCGGAGCGGAGATCTTTTTCGGAAGCTAATTAAGTTTTCTTGAAGGCTGATGGTGGCAAATTCGATCGTTTCCAAGACAATTCGTTGATATAATGCTTTTTGAACAACTTCTGATCGACGAAAAGCTACCGTGACAACAAAGAATGTCAAGAAGATTCGCGAAAAGCTTTGATACAACTCGATGCAATTTCAATGACAAATGGCCAAGAAATTGAAGATTTTTAAAGGATCAATCATTCTAAAGGAAATGAATCGAATTGTGAAAAAACATTTGAACATGAAAGCCTACAAGTTTGCGAAAGCTACATTTCTCGCAATCGATGCTAAGCGAAGACCGAACAAGACCTGATGCTATGATTCAATGGCATCCTTTTTGTGACGAGCTACCGTGACAACAAAGAATGTCAAGAAGGTTCGCGAAAAGCTTTGATACAACTCGATGCAATTTCAACGACAAATGGCCAAGAAAGGAAGATTTTTAAAGGATCAATCATTCTAAAGGAAATGAATCGAATTGTGAAAAAACATTTGAACATGAAAGCCTACAAGTTTGCGAAAGCTACATTTCTCGCAATCGATGCTAAGCGAAGACCGAACAAGACCTGATTCAATGGCATTCAATGGAAAAGTTTATTTGAATTTTTGTTTGTTTCTAATCTCAAATGTCAAATCTCTATTTGATTCCAATTTTTATATATTCTATTATATAATTGAATATTTATTTCAAAATTGATTACGATAAAGATTTAGAAAGGCACTTTTTAGAGAAACGGACGAAAAAAAAACGAAAAAACGAAAAAAGAAGAAAAGAAGAAGAATTTTTTTGGTGAATCGAAATTTTTTTGGAGAACTTTGGAATGTTTTGAGAAATAGAATAAGTAGAGAAATAGGATAAGTAGAGAGATTTAAATAAATCTAATAAATCTAATAAATATATTAAACATTAAATTAAAAATATCCAAATTTAAAAATATCAAAATTCAAAATCGTCTCAAGAATGGAATTTCTTTATCGCTTTTTGCTATTCTTTATGCCAATTCGAGGAGAAGCTGAGGTTCTAAAAGAGTCGAAATTTAAATATTTTAAGAAATATTAGATCTTTAAATAGTACCCCCCCCCCATAATGACGGTGCGGAGCGTTGCGTAGTCTAGCTTTGGACGAGTTTTTCTCGACACTGGTTTATGCTACAATGTTCGTTTTGGTATCAAAAAATAGCTGAGATTCAGGGTTATTTTATGATACCTAAACGAGCATTGTAGCATAAACCAGTGTCGAGAGAAACTCGTCCAAAGCTAGCTGAAATTCAGGGCTATTTTTTGATACTAAAGACACATTTTTTTGAAAGTACGGGCGCTTTGAAAAAAATTTGCGACTACGTAACTGTACGGGGGGTGGGGTACTACGGTATTTACGGTAGATCTTTAGATATTTTTTTAAACTTTATATTATAAAACAAGAGTACTTTAGGTGTGTACTTTGTGCTCAAAAAATGTAAACGCTTCTTTTCTAGTGCACTGAATTTTCTTCATTTTTCTCGCTTTCTGTACAAAAAATGAGGAATTCAGTGCACTAGGAAAGCTGTGTTTACAATGCTAAAGCGCAAAGTACATTTCAAAGAACAAGATCGTTTTGGCAAATTTGCTTGAAACACACACTTTTCTAGCGCACTGGACTCTTCATTTTTAGCAAAAATGAGGAGCCGAATTTACTAGAAGCTGTGCGTTTACAACAGCACAAAGTACACAAAGATCGTACCTCAGTGGCATCGTTCCAATCCGGCCAATAGTTCGCCTTCATTCGCTCGAGGAAATCGATAAGATTCTGAGATTGAAAATGGGTTATTGGATTGTTATTGTAAAGAAGGCATTGCTAGGATTCTTGTGAATTTAAGAGCAAGGCATAGACTCTATCCTGACAATGGGAAGCTCATTGATCTGCTGCCTGGTAAGCGAGAGGTCGCGGGTTCAAATCCACCGCTCATGACTGGGAAAAGTCGACGCTTATAAAGAATTTGTTTAACTGAGCTTAGAGAGGACTTTACTCCATTTCCAAGAGACTGATTGCCGCTAATTTAGCAATGGATTGCACAGAAGCAATTGATCGCTCAAATGAAGAATTGAGTGGCTTCTTTTAGTCTCAAAGTACGAAAAGTTCTTTGAGATTTTATTGATAAAGATATCATATCTTTAGATCTCTTTAATAGCTATTATATTATTTATTATGTACCAGCCGAGAAACCCGCCTAACGTCGGGTTTTTCCCGATTTGGAATCGACGAAATTTTGTCACTGGAGCAGTGGATCGCCCGCTGGAGCAGTGGATAGCCGGTCTATCGCTCATACGATCCGGGTTCGACCTCCCAGTGTGACTCGAATTGTGCTTTTTAAAAAATTCAAAAGCATATTGCAGAACTAGATTTGATTCCCTATTCAACGGCGCAAAAATCATTGAAAAGGGTCCTCTAGGGGCTGAGGAATAGCGCGCAGACGACAGACAGACGGATAGACAGACGGATGGACAGACGGATAGACAGACGGACAGACAGACGGATAGACAGACGGATAGACAGACGGATAGACAGACGGATGGACTGACGGATAGACAGACGGATAGACGGACGGATAGACAGACGGATAGACAGACGGATAGACAGACGGATAGACAGACGGATGGACTGACGGATAGACAGACGGATAGACAGACGGATAGACAGACGGACAGACAGACGGATAGACAGACGGATAGACAGACGGATAGACAGACGGATGGACTGACGGATAGACAGACGGATAGACAGACGGACAGACTGACGGACAGACAGACGGACAGACTGACGGACAGACGGATATCGATTATCGATTGAATATCTAATCGATAAGCAATTGATTACGATATCTATCTAAGATCTTATCATTTTCCAATCAAAAACCTTATTCTGCTCCTCGATATGTTTCAAGACTCCAGCAGTGGCGATCGGTGTATAAACCACTTGACATAAATGCCCGAAAGCTGTTGCATCAAACTGAAAGGGTTTTTAGGATTGAATTCTATAAAAGAGCCATGGTCAATGGCTTTCAATTGACCTTAGCCTAAAAACTTGGCTTTGACTTGGCCTGGGAAATCTCTAGAAACGATTTCTGCGTCTTAAAAGTTGCTAGAAGCCTTGCTAGAAGCCTAGTTTTATTCCGGAAAGATGCTGAGCAATTCTCTATAATTTTTATGCAAATCTGTTAAAGATTTTCTTTTTTAAACCCACAGTTGTCGCTTTGTCGCCAAAAAAGAAATGCTTTGAGCCGAGGAAAGTCGATAAAGAGTCGAGATCTCTGAATATTTATACGATGATTTATTCGATGATTTACTAGATAGCTTACTAGATAGTCTATTAGATAGTCTAGATAATTTACATTTAATTCTGCCTTACAGTACCCTATAGTACGAATTTGCATTTAAATCTATCCTACAGTCTTTTATTAAACCCGCACTTGATCATTTGTTGTTCGATTTCTTCAATCGAGTGTCGACCGTAGCCTTGCGAGTGAGCCATTGAGGTCAGCTGAATGGATGGATTTGATTTAGTTCTCGATTTATCTAGATCTAGATCTATATCTAGAGCTATATCTAGATCTATAGCTAGATCTATATCTAGATCTATAGCTAGCTCTGTAGCTAGATCTATATCTAGATCTATATCTAGATCTATAGCTAGATCTATATCTAGATCTATAGCTAGCTCTGTAGCTAGATCTATATCTAGATCTATATCTAGATCTATATCTAGATCTATAGCTAGATCTATATCTAGATCTATAGCTAGCTCTGTAGCTAGATCTATATCTAGATCTATATCTAGATCTATAGCTAGATCTATAGCTAGCTCTTTATCTAGCTCTATATCTAGCTCTTTATCTAGCTCTTTATCTAGCTCTATATCTAGCTCTATATCTAGCTCTATATCTAGCTCTATATCTACCGTAAATACTGTAATAGTACCCCACCCCCTCGTACAGTCGCGTAGTCGCAAAAGTCTTTTAGTATTTCATTTTTTTCAAAGCACCCATACTTTCAAAAAATGCGTCTTTGGTATCAAAAAATAGCTGAAATTCAGGGCTATTTTTTGATACCTAAGCGCGCATTGTAGCTTAAACCAGTGTCGAGAAAAACGCGTCCAAAGCTAGACCCTCAAAGCTAGACTACGCAAAGCTCCGCACCGTCATTATGGGGGTGGGGTACTATTACAGTATTTACGGTAGATCAAAATCTAGCTCTATACCTAGACAAATCTACCCTCAAACACTCGTCATTACGGGTATTATTGCGTAGTCGCAGCAGCATTCGCTAGCTCGAACGCTGCTCTCCGTTTCCCTTACCTTTTTCTTGAAGAACATTGGCCCAAGTTTCTGAGCGAGCGTCTTTTTGAGGCCCTAAAAAGAATTTTTTTTTTTAGATTTTTAGATACTTTACTATTTAGATTTAGATATTAAATAGAATTTGGATAATTAAAACTTTTTAAACTGACACTAAAATGCGAGCCGGCTCCTTTGTCAGAAAAAAGCCAGTCGCCTGTTTGCGCACGATTGCAGACCATTGACCTGAACAAAAAGCATTCATACCGCTTTATTACGCTTTCTAAAATACGTCTCGATTACCGTAATCTTTGAATTCATTACGGTAGTCAAACCGATTTTTTTAAAAAAACCCCAAAAACTGACCAGAAAATCGATTGCTCTAAGAGATGATGGAAAGCCTGACGATAGGCCAGATCTTGCTGTGACAAATTGCCGTCAAGACTCTCCTAAATAATTTTTACAATAATGATCACCAATTTAACGAAAAGACTTTCTGGAAAAGCTAAGGAAAACTGGTTAAACTGGCAGCGATGTTAAACTGGCAAAAATTTGCCGCCAGCAGGGGTCGAACCTGCGACCTTGGGCTGTCCAAATGAGTATTAGACCCACGCTCTAACCGACTGAGCTATGGCGGCAAGATCGCGAGGGGGGAGATTACAGAGAAAAGGGGTCTGGGTCGTTTTTTTGTGAAATGGTAAAACTTTGCCGCCAGCAGGGGTCGAACCTGCGACCTTGGGCTATCCAAATGAGTATTAGACCCACGCTCTAACCGACTGAGCTATGGCGGCACGGTGGCGAGGAGGGAAATTACGAAGAAAAGGGGTCTGGGTCGTTTTTTGATAAGCTTACCTTGTGCAATTCTTTGATGAGATACACGATGATTTGATTGCTGTCAGCGAATTGGCGCCCATTGAACTCGATGAATGGAACTTGACCTTTCGAGGAGGTCTTTTTGAATTCAGTTGAGATATTCTGAAAAAAAGTTAGCTTGAAGCAACTTGCTTACTATTAGCTTTTAATCTACTTTAAAGAAATTTATCAGCGCAAGGCAGAAGCCAGATTTGAGCCAGACAATGAGTAAAAGCATACCCTGGCAATTGGATAAGTGTAGCTTATTAGAGTAGAGCGGTAGAGCGTTCGTCCGGTATGCAAGAGGTCACGGGTTCGAATCCCGATCATGTTTTGTATTCGCATAAGCTCATAAAAGGCAGGAGTTGGTTTTAAAGGCTTGCCTGGTTTTTTAAAGCCTTGCCTGACTTTTAAAAGCCAGGCAAGGCTTTAAAACCAATTCCTGCCTTGCCTGGCTTCATTGACAGCTCTAGGATCTGGTTTTTAATTGCTGTCTTGCTGTCTTGCCATTTTGCTCTGGCAGGAGTTGGTTTTAAAGCCGATTAAGCTTAAAGCTGGTTTAAAGCGGTTTTAAAGCTCTGGGTAAACTCTAGATTCAAAGCAAGGTCATCCAATGATCTCACCTCATAGGCAATATCATTCATCCGCAACCAAGTCTCCAACTTCAGCGAGAACGGCGACGGAGAAGGGATCAGATGAGTGCGCGGGAATTGGAACTGCAAAAGAGATCTTTATACAACTGCAAAAGAGATTCGCAGTTGTATAAAGATATATTACGATAGAAAATAGATAAGAATAGTATTTAAATAACAATAGTTTTTAAATAACAATAGTTTTTAAATAACAAATCCTTTTTATCTATCTACTTCCCCTCACCAAATAAACAGTTCCCTCTTTCCAGTCGCGTTGGTGCAGCTTTGGAGTGGGCATTGTTGTCTCTGGAATGTTTAAATATGTTTAAATATGTTTAAATATCTTTAAATATCTTTAAAAACCTTTAAATATCTTTAAATATCTTTAAATCTTTAAAAACATTGAGATAAAATCATGAAAAAATTGAAAATTCATAGAAATTCATTAGAAAATTAGCAATTAGCAATTAGCATTTTGGGAAAATTAGAAAATTGCCTTCAGAAGTACAATTGTAAAATTGTTGTAATTGTAAAGTGCTGATGGCAATTTACAATTAACAGTAAAACAGTTAACGACTACGCGACTTTACGCTCAAAATCCGGTTGTCATGGTTAAATCAAAGTTTACTATAAGAATCTTTGTCCAATAAAGTGATGCGATTCAATTCGATAAAGCGATAGATCAATGCTAATATATTAGCTAAGATATTAGCTAATATTATATGTTTAAATATCTTTTAGCTATGTAAATGAACTATTTATATAGCTAGACAACATTTACTGTTCAGTTGTCAGAAAAAAGCAAAAGAAAAATCATCACAAGATTCGAACTTGTGATGTCTCGCTTTAGAAACAAGCACTTTACCACTCGGCCACGACCGCAACGAAAAGGGTCTGCAAAGAGGCCCTTAAAAAGGTCGCTAAGCTCATTTATCTTTTAGCTAATCAAAGAGCAAAAATGACATATAGATTCGGAATTCAAAGCACAAAGTACACCAAAGTTCAATAGCTAAAATATCGCTGAATTCTCTAGTTTTCCGGTTGATTACCTATTGAAAAGGGAAAAAGGGAAAAAAGGGAAAAAAAAAGATACCAGATCTACGCGGCAATCGACTAGTTATAGAGAAAAAGAGAAAGAAAATTGCTAAGCTACAGAAAGAGAACGAAAATTGCGCCCAATTATCTAGATCCTCTCTCGATTTCTCATAGATTTATGCCTAAATCTATGGGGAAAAGGTGAGGGGAAACCAAGAGAATCATATATAGATTATCTATATAATATATAGATTCTTTAGTAATCGAAAAATTATCAAAATATCGTCAGTTTTACAATGTACAATACAAAAGTTTTACAATTACAATGATCCCCATCATGTGAGAGTTCATTTCAAAGCTTTAATCAATAGCTATTAGGGAAATTAGGTGGATCAATAGCTATTAGGGGGATTAAATCTCTATAATATTGTAATTATTCTTAAATTTTGTCGAGAAGTTCATATTTAGTCAAGTCAGATATAAGTTCTCAGGTCTAAGAAAGGAATTTAGGTGAAAGGTGAAAAGGTGGAGTGATTGAAGGGTACAAAAGGTTGCATAGAAGAGGAAGAAGAGGAAGGAGAAGAAGAAGAAGAGGAAGAAGAGGAAGGAGAAGAAGAAGAAGAAAAGAAGAAGAAGAAGAAGGAGGAGAAGAAGAAGAAGGAGAAGAAGAAGAAGGAGGAGAAGAAGAAGAAGAAGAAGAGGAAGAAGAAGAAGAGAAGAGAAGAGGAAGAAGAAGAGGAAGAAGAAGAGGAAGAAGAGGAAGAAGAGGAAGAAGAGGAAGAAGAGGAAGATGGGATTGAGTGTGTGCACAGAAAGGAAAGGACGATTCACCCGCCTTTCATTCCATAGGAGAAACGGTGGCCACCCCGCCTCGCCCCCAATGTGTGTTTACCCAATTTCAAAAGAATATATCCTTTAAAATCTTGCATACTTCGTTTTCTGCCAAGACAAAGTCAGTAATCGTATTCTCAGAAATCTGGGTCTTTCATTGTGAAAAGCATCTTTCAGCAAAAGCTATCTTTCATTGTGAAAAGCATAAGCCAACAAATTCAACGTAAGCCAACAAGCCTTGCCCCGAGGACCAGCACCTCATTGAGTCAACCCCAGCAACCCCCATTCCATCCCTCAGTGTGTTTACTTGGCCAGTCTCCAATTTGGAGGCACGACCTTCGCCTCGGTTCACTTCGCTCTTTCCCAGCCTTTCCCAGCCTTTCCCCTTGCAAATCCCTCCATTCAACGCCTCACTGTTGTGCCATAAAACTTTGGATCACCTCATAATAATAAATAGTAGAGATGTAAACAAAATGAGTCTCTCTATAAGATAATGGCTTAGGAATAATGGAAAAAAGAGACTTTAGAAGTTTGATGCTCAATTTGAAGCTCAATTTAAAGCTCAATTTGAAGCTCAGAAGCTCAATTTGAAGCTTTGAAGCTCAATTTGAAGCTCAGAAGCTCAATTTGAAGCTCAGAAGCTCAATTTGAAGCTCAGAAGCTCAATTTGAAGCTCAGAAGCTCAATTTGAAGCTTAGAAGCTCAATTTGAAGCTCAGAAGCTCAATTTAAAGCTCAAGTCACTTCAGCTTAATGTAGACTCTTAACATTTCGTGTTGACAAGTTTTTAAATCTCGATTCACATAGCATGACTCTGTAAGTCAGATTAGAGACTTTTGTGTCGGCTAGACGAAACCACGATCTGGCTGGCATTGGGTTTGGCATTGGGTTTGGCATTGGGTTTGGCATTGGCTTTAGCATTGACTGACAAAAATAAGAGAAACGAAAAGTGATGATCGTTGGAAATAACTCTTTCACTGAGGCTGACCCTTTTCATCATCCATTTCCCCCACACAAACAACTGTTTCTTTCAAAGAGCCAACAAAATTTTTGGGTCAAAGATTGCAAGATTTTTCACAAATCAATCACAAAGACTTAAAGGATAAAGTTTTGAAATTCGAAATTCTAGAAGAACTAACAAACACAATTTTTGCTTTCGTCCGATCAAAAAAGTAAAAAAGCAAGACTTATCAGTTCAACGGAAAAAAGCAAATTGTAGAAGCAAATTGGAAAAAAGCAAATTGTAGTTGTGGAGGGGAATAGATTGTGGATGCGATGATCGAATGAGAAAAGAGAAAAATGGGGAAAAGGGGGGAAAGGTCATTGGTGGATTGGAGATGAGATGAGATAGAGAAAAGACGAAAGGAGAAGAGATCGTTCAATTTGATATCACAGACCACCCATCCCATCTCCATTCCAACTAATATGTAGATGACTCTCATACATCATCCTATATCATCGATGTGACTCAATCATTCAGATCAGATCCGAATTTATCCGAGATAGAGAGAAAAGATCGTTCAATCCTCTCCACTAAAATGAACCTACGTTCACTTGCGATCTTGCGACCGACTGCGACCGAGAAAATCCTGGGTTGGCGCTTTAAACCCTGGTAAAACTACCGTACCCCTCCAATTTGCGCGAAATTTCTTTTTTTTTTCATTTTTATTCATTTCATTTTATTCTTTTTGCGTTTCTCTGATGTGATCATGTTTGCTTTTGCAGGAAACAAAGAGGATAAAGATAAGTTACGTTTTTAACACCATTTTCTATGGAGCAAGCTTTGTTTGTAGAGTTTTTTTAGATCCGCTTGCTATCCGACGATCTGCTCCACGAACTTGATGTCAACTAATGTTAAGTTAAGTGGTTTTTATCATTTTCTATGGAGCAAGCTTTGTTTGTAGAGTTTTTTTAGATCCACTTGCTCCCTGACAATCTACTTCATGAACTTGATGCCAACTAATGTTAAGTTAAGTGGTTTTTATCATTTTCTATGGAGCAAGCTTTGTTTGTAGAGTTTTTTTAGATCCACTTGCTCCCTGACAATCTACTTCATGAACTTGATGCCAACTAATGTTAAGTTAAGTGGTTTTTATCATTTTCTATGGCGGAAGCTTTGTTTTTGTGACTTTTTAGTTGAAAAAACGTGAAACATTAAAAAAATGCAAAAAGAATAAAATGAAATGAATAAGAATGAAAAAAAAAAAGAAATTTCGCGCAAATTGGAGGGATACGGTAGTTTTACCACGCTTTAAAGCGCCAACCCAGGATTTTCTCGGAAAAGATCGCAAGCGATCGCGAAAAATCCCCATCAATCGGTCAATCGGCTAACGCTGTGTGCGTATAAGCGAGTAAATGAGCACTAAATCATTTTGTTTATCAATTCCAGTTGATAGCACACATATTACTATCTAACAAAGCCTTTTAGAACAAACTGCTAAATACTCAGTCTTTAGGCAGAAATTAGATTAGATTAGATTATTAGAAATTAGATTAGATTAGATTATTAGAAATTAGATCCCCTTGTCTCTAACAAGTGAATGGTCAGACAGACCTTAACATTTCGGCACCACGGTTCCTATTCGTTTCCCATTCGTTTCCTCATTCGGCTCCTATTCGATTCCTCATTCGGCTCCTATTCGATTCCCATTCGGCTCCTATTCGATTCCCATTCGTTTCCTCATTCGGCTCCTATTCGATTCCTCATTCGGCTCCTATTCGATTCCCATTCGGCTCCTATTCGATTCCCATTCGTTTCCTCATTCGGCTCCTATTCGATTCCCATTCGTTTCCTCATTCGGCTCCTATTCGATTCCCATTCGGCTCCTATTCGATTCCCATTCGTTTCCTCATTCGGCTCCTATTCGATTCCCATTCGTTTCCCCATTCGGCTCCCAGTATACAGCATCATAAGTTTCCCAAAAATTCAGATACTATTAAAAATGCTTTTTAAAGCTTTTGATAGATTTTGTTTGCCACGGAGGGGATTCGAACCCGTGGCAAAAACTGGCAAACTTTGATGGACGCCCTTACTATCCACTAGACCACCGGAGTACTGGCAGGTGGAGCCGCGGAGGCCACTTGACCTCGCGCGCCCGTTTCCCGAGTAGATGCCCAAACTTGCAACTCGTTTTTCTCGAAAACTAGGGCTTCTTGGCAAAATCCGAAAGCACCATCGTGATCACCGTATTCGTCTTGTGTTTGCACCTCATTTTGGTGCTGAAATGTCACAGTCACTTCTGAACATTCCCTTGTAAGTGAATGACTCGTTCTATCTTCAAAGGAATAGCTTAGGTAAAAATACAGAGCTACTTCAATATCACCTGATTCAGCTTGATGTCCATGATCTTGCGTCGCTGGTCGATTTTGTTAAAGTCGTCGTCGTCGATTGATCGAGGCGTTCTTCTTGATACCCGATGGGTGGCCGGAATCAAAAGTCCTGAATCGTGATCGATGATGATGATCGAAAATTTAGAACAAAGCTAGACGATGATAGAAGCTGTTGGCTGCAGGATCTCCGGTTCGACCGATAAGGGAATCGCAAAAGACATCAAGTTTTGATCAAATAAGTCATCTAATTGCTTAAATGGATCAACTTAGATAAAAAACATCGAGAGAAGACTAAGAACAGCGAGTTTTATGCGAGTTGATCGAATTAGACGTCTAAATATTGATCAAATACATGAATTTAAACAACTAATTGAGCAAATGGGTTCAAGTAAATCAAGTAATCTTGATTAAATGGATCAAATTAGATTTCTAATTGATAAAATAGATCAAGCTAGACGAGAAGCTAGCTAGAAATCTAAAAATCATTGATCTACTTGATCTAAATAAAAGATCAAGTAGATCAATGCTTAAATCATGAAAACCGTTTAATTGATTGACATCTGAAGCATAGTCGATCAAGTTGAACAGTTTCCGATAAATCTTAACCATAAATTGCTAACACTTTGGCATTTTTGGTATCAAATGTCTTTAGGATCAAGTGCACATTGTGCTCTCTTTAATATCCGATTTCCCTCAAGAAGATCGCTTTATGGAAAAGAGAAGCAGAGAAAGACACGTAGTTGCTAATGGATTCCAATGGTTCGCCCCAATATTCTAAGACCAAGGGGGAACATCTCGTTTGTTTAACTGAGCCTATTCGCCCGTACACTACTAGAGCATTTAGAACAAAGCTAGACGATGATAGAAGCTGTTGGCTACAGGATCTCCGGTTCGACCGAGTGATAGAAGCTGTTAGCTACAGGATCTACGGTTCGACCGAGTGATGGAAGCTGTTGGCTACAGGATATCCGGTTTGGCCGAGTGCGCGAGTCGAATTCGCGTCGTGATTGATGAGGATTCTTTGCAACTCTTTGCAACTGATGGAGAAATACTCTTCAGCTTCCGTCATGGCCTAAAAACGATGCAGGTGAAAACGGGTGCTGGCAGGCTTCGATTCACGTTGGTGAGACTCGTTCAAATTCAAACCTACTTGAGCATAGCAAATTAGAAAATCAAAACTATAACTAATCAAAATTTGGTAGATAATTTGCATGTTCGTGTGGTTCGATGTCGTTTTGCAAATCTAACGCTAACGAAACGATCATCGAGAAGCGATGTCGGCCGAATTGTCGTCAAGAATGCAGATGATTTTCTTGTTCTCAACACCATCAAGCACAACATCAAAGGCATGATGGAGATTTCCACTCTGTTACTCTGAAGGAGCCATCGTCGTTTAGCAATGGTGAGTCACGTATTCTGATCATTTTTTTTGTAGCTTTTCGTATTTGGGCATACTTTATGTGTCATTTGTCTGTGTAGTTAAAACTTTGTATTCTTTTAAGCCAAAAATTCTATATATATATATATATATATGTATAACAAAAATACATCCTTTATTGCTTTCTGCAGAAATCAATGAACATTCTACAGAATCCTCAAGAAGATCGTCTCCGTGCGGTGTCTGTGAAGAGTTTACTCTTGTCTTGTTGTTTGATCGAACCCAGGCGCTCGCTTTTCTCGATGCGACCATTCGCCTCAATTACGATTTTTGCTAGGGATAAAGTATTCTTTTGTTATAAATGTTGTTGACGTTTTGTGCAAAAAAAAGCTCTTTAATATTTCTGGTTACTAAAATTTTTTATTGCCTAGTATTCGTTTTGATCTAATTACTACGTTGGTCGAAAATTGATATCGATAAGGGGTGTTAACAAGTAGATTTAGACTTTATCAAAGTGTTCACCGACTTTCCCGACTACACGAATTGCCTTTGGAATTGGATTTGGCTCGATACTCTTGTACGCATATGTATTGCTTGAAAACTGTGTAACAAATGTTGCATTGAGGAATAAAATTATACCAGAGCACATGTGGGTATATGTAATAGCCGGGAAGCCCTCATATAGTAAAGTACTAAGCACAGAGTTATAGACTATTCATGGAAGCCAACTTGGATTACCCATACCTTATCTACTAGACACTGCCCTATATAAATGTTACGTCCGATCAGTTTTTGCTGAGCGTTAGCCTAAACTGTGGTGAATTTCGGCTCAGTAGATAGTAGATTCAGAAGAGCTATCGAATGATACTTTCAAGGTATCTGGCATTTGATTGTTTAAACCTGTATTTGATGAGATTATCACAACGGTGGCTCTTAAAACATAATTAACACACCAAAGAATATGAAATCAATAAGCATAAGCCTACAAAAACACACATATAAAAGATCACCACAAATGCATAAATTAGCTTGAAGGTCCATTTTCAAAATTTTGTCTACGAGCACGTTCCATATGTTCGGCAAGAGTAGCAAAGTACTAAAAAGAGGCGTAAACGAGCTAAAATCTTACTGCAACTCACTTCTTCTTCCTTTTCGAGTAACTGAAATTTTCTCGTGGTCACGTCAATTGGCTTGGCCATCTCAGCGGCATACACTTGTTCGCTTTCAGCCAAGATTCGACGTGCTGACCGCGAAACATCCCCATCCGAATCCTTTTCCAATTTGAGCAGAATTTGATTGATCTAAAACGAAAACCAGGTTCATACAAAACTCTTTTTGACTTACATTTGCTACTGATGTAATATTTAATAAAGTGCTGAGCAGTAGCAACACTTGACAAACTGAGTAACGCACATTTCCGACATCTTAATAAAAATATATTAGAAAATGGGAAAGATTAAAACCGTCTGTAGCTAGTTCAAGAAGTGGATCGAGGAGGAAGGCAATAAAATGTTCTTTTGCGATGAATCCCTGGGACAATAAGTACTTGCAAATGGTGGCGAACCTAAACACCAAGAATAACTAAAACTGCCCGCCAAAAATCGACTTACGTGATCCGTTTCTTTGCTACTCGAGAATGAGCGTATCCACGCACAATATCATCAACAAACGCTTTCGTGTACTTTGTTTCCGCAAATGACTAAATAAAGCCATTATAGCATTCGTTTAGTCAATGAAAGTACGCGTTTTTAAAACGCTATTGCACTTACTTTGTTGTTATTTCCGATCTCATTTTGAACCATCATTCCCAGAATCCCAGCTGTCAATCTTGCAGCCTCATCACGCACTTCGTCGACCCGATCTATAATTAGAGTGATTGCTTGAAAACTGTGTAATAAATGTTGCATTGAGGAATAAAATGATACCAGAGCATAGTGTCAAAGCTATTCCCGAAATTCCTCGATTCACATCATCCAAAGAATATAGGGAGCACAGTTTTCCACATTCACTAAATTTAAATAAATCCAGTGCTGAAAATTCAAAACCAACATCGCGAAATCTTTCCTAAAACGCCAATTACTGTTGTTGTTGTTGTTGTCAGTTCGAAGCATATGTGGCAGGCTTTGCAATAAAAGGATTCTCCCGGGTTCCGGTACTCGCTAAAATTTTCAAAAATCGTTCTAGAATACCCTTGAACAATTACCTCGACGAACTCGAAGAGGTTAAACAACAGATTTTGTCGAACCTAAACACAAAATGTTTCATGACAAAATTATTCTAATAATACCCCTTCCTCATCTTCTCTAAAGCGATTAAAGGCTGGAACCAAATCGTTAAGCGTGATATCTGGTCCAACGATTGTAGCAATATCATGAAGAGAAGCAGCCAGTAGTGCTCGCACAGCCAACTAAAACATCAAATGAATTCTAGGCTCTTTAAAGTTTAACTTGGACCTATAAAACGTATGTTAAAACAAAAAACCTACTTCATTATCATTGACAAGCCTCAAGTAGGTTTTGCGTAAAATCTCCCAATGTCGTTTCCCGAGAGTCAACGCAACAGCTGGAAAAGCTTTGGCCCGATGTCTAAATAATTTGAGTAAGTAACTCAGCGAAACTGGCGAAAGCGTACTTATTATAATCGGCATCACTTTCGTCATTCATTTCTCTGATAAACCACTTAACAAGTTCCATCGGGATGAACTCCTAAACAAACAATACACCCAATTTAGCTAATAAAGAGCAGATTTACTTTCAGCTTTTGTTCTTCAGCTGACGGCTCCATTTCTGCAGCTGTTTTCAACGAAGACTCCAAAGACATCTAAACGAGACCTAGAGAAAAATTCCAACTCAAACTGACATCATCATTGCTTTGAAATAATGATGCTGTATTATTCAAAAGATTGATGTTTTGAGTTGGGTAGTTGTGAAGGGGTAAATCGCCAACCATAGTGCTTCCCTAAAAAAAGGGGTTTTGAAGAGGAATAAATCCATGCAAACGTACCTCCATTTCCGTGAAAGTTGATGCACTCGTCGTTGAAACATTGTAGTCCATTGTAGATGAAGAGTCAGAGAAATCCATCTAAACACTGCAGTTCAACTTTTCACAGTCGAATAAGTATACCGATGTATCCTCTTGGCACGAAGTATTCTAAACAGAATTTGTTTGAGCCAAGGAATGCGTTGACTAACCTGATCGAACAAATCCGTCGTATTCACAGTATCATTCGCGTGTCCCTAGAATCAAAACTTACAAAGATAAACGAAGAAAAACATACACTCGTTGAAGCTGTTTCATTTGCAAAAGAATCAATCGACATATCATCGTTAGAGATATCCATCTTAAAACAAGTTTTCGGATTTATTGTTAACTCAAAAACCTCCACAAGATCTGAGCCAGTAGTCATTCCTTTATCTGGCGTTGGCGTCTTGCTTCCTTCATTAGACAAAAAGCTTGCTTCTAAAACAAAACATTACTAGGATTAACATTGTACATTAATGAGTAATTACCTTGGAATGGCAATTGTTGAGCCGAAATATCGCGTGAGGGACCTTGCTGTTGTTGTGAGCTTGAAGATGAACCGAATGGTGTCAAAATGCCAAATCGAAGGAGATCATCGTCACTGAAAAACGGATTTATTGGTGGATTTACTAACTGGCTACCTTAATTGAAAAGTTGGACGCCAATACGTTAATAGTTCAGGAGATGAAGGAGAGGCCGGTGACAGTGTTACTTTATCGGTATTCGCTTTAGGTGTTCCATCAAGAACTCCACTGGTCTCACCAAAGCTCTAAAGATATGTTCTTTTAGTTTAACCAAAAAAGCCAAACTATATCCATTGTGCAATTGAACGGATCTGAGTTGTCAAAATCCAGATTATCTTCTTCGTAATTTTGCATAAGATCCACCGATTCCAATCCTACTTTGGATAAATTGTCCGAACTTGAGCAACGGCCAAGAGCAGCCACACTCAGATTGCTAAAAAAATGATTGTATGGAAAGGAGAAGAAAGAACCCACAAGTTTGAGCGCCGATTTAATTTTTCGAACAGTAGGAGAGTACTAAATTAAATATGAATTGAAGGAGAATACTCGAACAAACTTGTCATCAAACGATTCAGCGTGCTGGTAAAGTGATGAAGAATTTGGATCATTTTCCGGCATGTAGCACCTAAAATGAGTAAGTTGAATTAAAACAAAACTTTAAATTATCACCCTGCAGGTAGTTCAGCATACTTTCGAATATCTTCTTCTTTGACAGCGGCATTAGTGGAAGGTGCCTCAACAACCTAAAACTGTTAACATAACAAAATCTTGCAATTTAACGCTCACTTTGCCGTTTTGCACCGACAGACCCGTAAAAGCATGATCCGCAAATGTTGAAATAAATCTTCCCAATTCTTGTGCTGCCATACTAGCAACCTGAAAGAAAAGTTTTATTTGGCTAAATCAAAGCTTCATTACCCATCGTATTTTATCGTTTAACAGCCGTAAATATACAGGAACAAGCACTTCCTTGCGTAATCTCGAGTTCGAGAACGAGGCCACATCAACAAAGATCTATAAAGGAGAAAACTTTGATATGCTGAAATGCACACATACCTCACAAACTGCTTTTCGTACTCCCCAAGCGTCATCGTTGGATAAAGCAACAAGGTGTGGAACGAGAAACTAAACACATTTTTGAATTGTTTTTTTTCTACGACTTGATTCAAGAAACTTTACGTTTAGTTTCAAGTTCTCTTTTGCAACCAGTTTTTTTTCCTAAAACACTTACTGTAAATAACTTACCGCTTCTACAAATCCTTCACCAAAAAGATCCGCAAGTTGCCCAAAGATTTGGATGGCTGCCTGAAAAGACTTGACTCATTTCATGCTTTTCAAAACTATACAATTTTTTTAAAGATCTACTGTAATAATAATCCTTTTCAGTCAACAGTCCTTTTCTCTGTTCATTAATATACAAGTGCCGTATGAATTTTTCACCATTTTCCTCTGTTATACACTCGATTCTCTTTTCATTCTTCACTTTATTTGAAATTTTCAAACAATGAAGCTTATAAATTCAAGCGACACATGTGCATATCTTTTTCCCAATTTTAAAAGTAGAAGAAATGGGAAAAGGTGATGGGGCATTGTGGTGTTATCTGTTTGCTAGGCTTCCCTCAAAAAAATCTCCAGTGCCTTCGTGTCTCTTAGTCTCTTACAGCTCGCTGCCTTGTCGTTCTGTTCCCCTGGCTCACTGCCAAGTTACTTGCTGAAAAAAAAGAACTGAGAAGGCCCCCTTCCCTTGAAATGCTTTCCGACAGCCCCTCCCCTTTTTCGAATCGATTGAACCCTTTGCGAGTCTTTCCTATGAAAAAAACCCTCACTCTACTGTGCTCTGCCCGTTCTTTTCCGGCCCAATTTTTCATCCTCCCACATGAAAAGAGCGGCAGCCTTGCTCGTTTTCTATTTCAAATCGGAGGTGCTCGACTAAACGGGGCGTGTGAGCAGTAAAAAGGAGTAGAGGGCCAGGAGAGTCGAAAAAAGCGATAAAGCAAGAAAGCCACAGCAAAAAGGAAGAATGATTGGAGTGCGAGAGTCATCCGAGCAAGCGCGCTTGCTCACCCCGGCGACCCTCTCTTTCCTACTGCCACATCAAAACCAAATGTTAGTGATTTAGTTCTTAACAGTTTCTCAAAAAAATGCAAGACATAATCGCTTTGGCAAGATTCTAGGCACCCGAGGCACCTTCTTGTATCAATACTTTTTAAAAATAGTATCATATCACGTACTTTGCGTAATTGAAAAGCTGATGAGTGCTTTTGCAAAAACGTTGAAAATTTCGGCACAAAATTTTGAAAGATCCATTCTTGGTCATTGATGCATTGCATTGAGATGACACGGCAAATCACCTAGAATAGAACAAATGTTTCAAATTTTCATAACCGATTCGAGAACCAAACATTTAATCATTTAGTTTTTTGTTTGTTTCTGGATATTGTGTCAGTTTTTGGGACGTAGATTACTTGTAAATAGCTTTATTCAACAAATCAAAGAACTGGGTAAAATGCCAAACTTTGAAAGTAGGCAATTTTATAGACGCACAGACAGTAGCACATTTAAATGTTGTTTTAAGGGTTATAGGCTCGATACAGCACATCAAAGCTGGCTGTGATATGATCATAAAAGACAAATCACGGTCCACTTTGACGCGCCGCTAAACGAGGCACTAATCGAATAAAATCCCGTCACAAAAAAAGCCAAAGAACAGAGATCAATTGAGATAAGCCAAATTTTCAAAGCCTGAGATTGTTCTTTGAAGTATCGAGATAGGCAAAGCAAGCGTGGAAATTTAAGCAAAGTATAATCCGCTCAATTGTGACTATTAAAGTCGTGGAACATGAAAAAGACAAGAGGAATAGAGCTTTAATACTTAGCTCTTAACAATTATAGTCTCATAAGGGATCATAGATAATGGGATATCAAGAATTCGAACCTCCGGTAGGCGAAGGACAGAATAGTGATACGTGCCAAATAAACCGTCTCACTACCCATGTCTTTCACCAACAAGGCGCTCTTTTAAGTAATGTGAAAATGAGAAGTGGTTGGTGAATCCGAGAATACTCCGAGTTAGGTAATTGAAAAACCCCCATAGCGAATCGATAACTTTTCGTAAATTTTAGCGATAGATCGTGTCTGTTTCAGGGTCGTGGTCGGGTCGTTGTGTGCTCGTCTCGGTTTGGTTGGGCAGGCAGGACGTGAAGAGAGAAAGCCAAGGGGAGAAAGGGGGAGAGGGGGGAAAGGGGTTGCAGACGTTTTCTCGAGCAATGGGGGAGGCCAAGCCCCTCTTGCGTGGCTCTTCTTTCTTTCTCAACCTACCAGCGCCGCCTGTCGATTCGTCGTTTTTTTGCGGGCGCACCACCACACGGCCTTCTCATCGTTTCTTTTCTGCTCCCATCCCTTCACCCCCCTCCCGCCGCTTTCTCTTCTCTTCACTCCCCTTTCACCCACCAAAAAATGTGTGGAACATACGGAGGGGGAAAGCGCAAAGGATCGGGGCTAGACAGTAAGAGAGAGTAAGTTGCCATAAAGAGACGCAGATTAACACAAAAAAATTTCGCCGTCGAGACCCTCTTCCCTAACCCCCGTTCTAAACGAATAAAAATGCAATGCATACACACAGACCCGCCGCACAGCGACGCTGCCGAGCAGCCAACAGACACACAACGACGGTTCTTAAAGTTAGAGGGATTGGGAATTCTAGTTAAAATTTCAAGGCGTCAGCCATTGAAAGGCAATTTAAGGCAATGTTTTCTTTGTTTGGAACAATGATATCATAGAAGCAAACTGTCAGTGGCAAACGATTAATGATTCAGTTTTGGTTCTCGAATCGTCCGAAACTAAAAATAAAACCATACCGTGCATGTTTCAAGTGGAATTTCTTCAGCATAAAGATTATATGACTGTTGCACTCGCTCATCCGTTTCTAAGGGCGCTTCTAGCGTTAGGAAAAGTGTTGGCACCAGCAAATTCTTGAGGGACTCTAAAAAAAATCGCTAGACTCGATTTTAGTTGTATCTTTCAATAATTTTTAACCATTTTGCATTATTTTTTGGGGAACAATTCATGTGACTATTATTTCGCTAACTTCTTCCCTTTTCAAAACGAGCTTTAGTTATTTACCTTTTAGTATGTAAAAAATTACCCTCGGAAAAAAGACGTTGTTCAAGCAATATCCCGATTACATCCAATGCCGCTTTTCTTATCTAGAAGCGCAAATATTGTTACACGTTTTTGTAATATGATCAGCGCACCCATGCTCAAGGACTCTTCAAATTTTCTCGGATTCAGGGAAGGGGGATGAAAATGAGGAACAATCTGATTGAAAAAAGAAAAGAGGAAACCGCATCAAGAAAACAACTCAGCAACTGAATAGCTGCAGAAATATCTTTCCCGAATATAAGGAAAACGAATGTTCGAATACTAGACTAAGTGAATTGTGTTGATGTCGGTGTGGGTGAACCCTAGTCGGCAACAAACAGCTTGCCGCACCGTTCACAAGGGGCGGATACTTTTCCCCCTTCGTCGACAACCAATAGGCATCGGCTGGCTGCAATGGCGCGACACCCCCAGTATCAGAGTGCAGACAGCCAGCGTCGCCCTCCGACAGAGCCGCAGAAACAGAAAGAGAAAAAGATAACACGAAAATGGGACGGCACAGAAAGCAATAACGAGAAATGTGAAAGTGCAAGAGCTTAGAGAGTACAGAGAGCCGTGCCACAGAATCAGCAAAAAAACTGGGAACAAAAAAAACGGCTCGACTGGGGGTCGCGTGAAAAAAGCCAATGCAACGAGCGACTACTTTTTTGAAATGCGATTGTGAGCATCGGGGATCCTGAGAAGAAATAGATAAAAGTCCTCGAAACCCACACAACCAAAGAAAACTATTGATTGGTAAAAGGTTTGCAAATTAAAGCAATAACCCCCACAAGCGCCCATCCTTTTCTAGCGCTTAGAACGATTGGTGTCATGAATTACACAACAACTCTTTTACAGTAATTTGACTTATGTCGGGAAGAAGTTGATAGTTCAAGAGCCAACATTAGCTAAAACTTTCACAACTAAAGGCGGAATGTAAATTTTTGTAGCTAGGCTTGAGCTACATGGCGTTCGTACTAAGCGTTGAAGTTGCGTTGCATTACTAGTGTCCAAATAGTTTTATAACGTTTCTCGTCTGCTTTTATGTTACTTTGCATTTAAAGCAAGAAGACCTAAAGTAAACATTGTTCTTTTAACGTGAAGGCCTCTAACCGAACGACATATCTTTACGAACTAGAGTTGCACCTTAAATCCGTTGAACAGTTGAACAGCTAGCAGTCACTTTTTAGGTACTCTTTTCACATTCGAAAATATATCGAAAGTGCAAGATTGTTCTTGTAGGCAACGCTCTTCACATTTGGCTCGGGCTCATTTTGCGACGTGAGAGAAGAAAAAAGAGCGTGAGTAATGAAGAGGAAAAGACGGGAAGACCAAGGCCTTTTTCTACCCAGCGCACAGCTAAAGAAGTGTAGAAAGGCAGACAAAAAAAAACGGGCCGCGATCGAACAAAAAATGGCTGAAGAGAAGAAAGAAAAAAAGAGCGAGACGAGTAGTAATAGCGCCCGGCTCTGTGCCATAGTGCGACGCCAGTAGAGCTTATATCAGGGACCAAAAATTTCATGAAGAAAGTTTTTAATTTCTGGGGATCGGGAAAGGAACAAATGGATCGAAATACATTCGTATACTCTTAAGAAAATTTCCTTGAGCATGGGTATCAACTTGAACGAAATGAAACTTACCATTTCCACCGAGTTCAATTGACTAGTAAGACATGGAGTTAGGCAACGATCCTGAAAGAAAATTGGTAAATGAGCTAAATAATAATGACACTTACCACGTAGGGATTCAAGTGACTCGATCCTCGGCATTCAGAAAATAGAGTCGGATATCTTTCGAGTAGTGCTCCTCGGACTTGCAAAGCTAAAATAGAGACATATGTCTGCGAACAAATTTGTCGGTTACTATTAATATCAAAACCAAACGATAGGTATCCAGAATGCAATGCATTTTTTTAAAATCTTTAATAAGATTTGTATAAAAGAACTCAATAACATTCCAAGTTAACACCTTCATCTTCTCCAAGTTCACAAATTGTTTGAAAGAATTTCTCAAAATGCTCTTCATCGCCAAAATCATTTAGTATCCGAATGACATCGATCAGACTCCGAAAACAATCTTGTCTAAAGTTAAATTACATGTAAAGCTAACAATTTGGAAAAACCTTTCAGGAGCGGAGGAGCTTCTAGCTTGGCTTGAAAATCGCGTGAGTATTCCAAGTCCATTATCAAACGAAGCGTCAATACTTTGACGTCTGATTGGGCCTAAATTAAATTCGGTATGTGCAAATAAAAAAAATACAAACTCAGTGAAAGATTTTGCAGATGTTGTAAAGACATTGACCAAAATATGGAGGATGCAAAGGATGGTCGTTGAAGGACTTTCAATGTCAAACTAAAACAAAGTATTCATTATGCAGTAGTGTTGATTGATTATTGTCTTGAAAGCTTATAATAACAAATTCCAACCGAACTTTCAACATTGATGAAATTTTTTAAGCCTACATTAGCGAAAGGGGGATAATATTGTAATGGCTATTTTCATAGTTCCTTTCCAAGCGAATTTTACGTCTCAAAGTTTCGATTACGCTTGTTTTTTCAAGTTTTTGAACGCTTTCGTTTTCCCAAAACACTTCTGAACCGGCAGCGATTGAAGTCGCGTAACAGTAAAAATTTTCAATTCGATAAATTTTTAGCACACTCGTTCTAAAGATGCACCACCGCCCAGGGGTAACCCAAGAAGAACCGAAACGAATTTAATCTTCTGAAATGCACCAAAATGACGCAAAACCCCCACCTGACGATTCCTAAGTAGATGGTGTTGAGGTAGAATGTTAGCCAGACGAAGAAGTTTTTGACCATACACTAGTAAACCTGAAAATTAAAAATGAGCATTTAGTTGCAAATCAACGAAAACAACAAAAATTGCTTTCTAAAGTTGAAATTAGGGTGCTATAGTAGTTGAGGGGCAGTGTCATTCATCTCTATTGAGCCAGAGCGCACTGATTTTTGCTCCTAGAGTTTTTAGTGGCGTAGATTGTTAATTTGATATTTATTTAGGCTTTAGTAACTGTTTTCTAGCTATTTCAAGCAGTTACTGAGGTTTTAAGCGTCTTAATTCGGTCCCGCACCTCTAAACCCAGTGAAAATAGAGCTACTCTTGAAGGCTCGGAATTGTTGCTCAAACTGGCATAGAAGTTGCTTAGAATGGTTTATAAATGCTTTCAATGGATTCAATGCAATTAATTACCGCAAAAAAGTTTTTAAACTAGTGACAAGTTCGAAAAAAACCGGTGTTTATAAATTGCCTCCAACTACTATAGCACCGAAATTAGATTGAAAAAGTGATATCTCCGGGAACGTTATAGGAGGAATAATGTCATCAACACAACCGGTAGATTCTTTAAATTTAAAACGAGAGCTTTTTGAACCGGTGTATCATACCGTTTTTAAAGATATCAAATCTAGAACTTCTAGGCAATGAATAGATAATTAATCTACGCAATCGAATCATTTATATGGGTTTTAATTGCTATTTCTATCTAGTTTAAGAAAAACAAAAGATTGATAGCCCTAAATCTATGAGGAAAGTTGCATAAACGGCCAAGAATTAAACGTTTGTGCAAATAAAACTAAAAGTTTATTATATAAAGAAAAAAAGCGTTTTACACAATATTCAGTCGAAAAACAGACGATTTCCGTCTCATGTCGGTGAATTCTAATTCAATTGATAACGTCAAAATACTCTGCACATTTCTCTGACGGTGCCCTCTTACATTTGTCAGCCGGTTTATTTCCCCACTCTTTGCTTCGAATCGAAAAGATTTTCAAACAAGTTTTCAGCATTATCTTCTAGATTTTCTTTGTTTTTTTTATAATATTAACCACTTTAGACTTCCTTGCTGAGGACGTGAAATGGCGAGGGAACGGAGCCGCAGTCGAGGTTCGTTTTCGTTTTTTTGGTTTAAACTTTTTCATTTTAAAGCTGATACTTACCTAACCATTTAAATGCAATAGTCGCATTGAAAGCAGTTTCATGAAACTAGAAAATGTTGCATGATTTAAAGAGCTAAATGGGATGTTACTGACGGAAAAGCATAACTCTTTATTCTTTAGAAAGACGGCGTCGTTCTCGCTCGAGATCGCGTGAAAGGGATCGGGATCGTCGTGATCGAAGCAGAGATCGTGATCGCGAAAGGGATCGAGACAGACGTCGACGAAGCAGGTAAATAAAAGAGAACGTTTCGGTTCGTCATTTCTACCAGATCATTTTATGCAATTTTTTTCCTTGGACCTTGAATTACTAGTTGTGTACAAAGCTAATTTATTTGCTTTTAGATCAAAGGAGCGCCGAAAGTCACGATCACGATCACGTAGCCCGCATGATAAAAGAGTGTGAGTTTTTTTGTTTTTCACCAAATTCCAAGTTTCTCTTTACTCATTTTTTAGTTTCACTGAAGACCGGAAAGAACCCGAGAAGCAACATGAGAAACAACACGAGAAACAACACGAAAAAGAACACGAGAAGAAACGCAAGCACAAGCATCGAGAGTCCAATAAAGGTTTTAACTTTGTATTAATCTTTAAGATCGTATTTTAGATCCAATAACGGCGGAAATGGTTGGTGACGCTAGCGATGAAATGTCGAAAATGATGGGTTTCACTGGTTTTGATACAACTAAAAATAAGAAGGTAAGTTTGAAATTTTTAGCGATAAAGCAAAGATTGACCAAGGAATATAACATTGTCTCGCTTTTTATGTTTGAATTTTTTAGGTTGAAGGTAACGACTCTGGCGAGGCAAAGGTGAACCGAAAGCGTAGATACCGTCAATACATGAACCGCAAGGGAGGCTTCAATCGCCCACTCGAATATATGGCTTAATTCTCCGATTTTTGTTGATCCTCATTGTTACGGGCCTTTTTTAAAAATGTATTTAATTTAATTTAATGCTATGAATAAATATCTTGTTTTATCTCTCCTTTTTCTAACTTTGAAGTTTTAACTGCATATATTATCTACACTCTAAACTCGAGAATTTTCGTTTTAATTATTCAAATATCTTTTTTAAGTTAGCGCCATGGATAATTTTGTAGGAGCGTTGATATCGCTAAACTGCGGGGAGGATTGTATTTATCAGGTTTGTGTCAAATTCTTGATCTGCTGCAAAAAAAAAGGCTTCCTCTTTTGTTTTTGATAAAGTGCTTGTGATTAATTTACAATCTCAATCTTTCTAGGGCAAAGTTGTGCAAGTGGACACGACAAATAAAAATGTCACAATCACCAGCGCTTTCAGGTACGTTTTTATGAAAAAGTTTTCTTTAGCTTAATTATTCTAGAAATGGCACTCCTTATGGCTCCGGAAAGCCGGTTCTCGTCCATGGCAAGGACATAAAAATGCTGAAGGTCCTAAAAACGGCTTCAGAACTGAACGTGAGTTTTGCATTTGTTTTTCAGGTTAATAAAACATTTTAGGACATTCAAAAAGGCACAGTTATCCCCAAATCATCAAATACTCTCATTTGTCCTGGACGATGTGTAGAAAGCGGTATGCAAGAAATCAATTGTACTTTGAATTTAGTTTTTTAGACTCCCCTCGCTCTTTTCAATATGAGTCCAAGCGGGCCACAAGAACGAACAAGTCGAATATGGTACTTATTTTCGAATTTTAACTTCTGAGTCTTTTGTGTAGAAGATGAAAATGCGTCCAAAGGGAGACGAGATTACGCCCACCGATGAGAGTGACGAATCGAGCAGCAACGAAGGGTTCTCTTCATGCAGCAACAATCAAAGGTGTGTGTCAATACTTGAGTTTATACATAAAAGCTTGCAGGAAGCCGCAGAATCGAGGAAAAAGAAATGTTTATCGAGGTCGACTTGAAGAAAATCCTGAGGAAATTCCGGATGTTGCTCCAACACCTCAATTCCGAGCCTTCGAACCACAGGTGGAGTGTTTTGAATGAGTCTTTCAAGTAGTCTTTCAGATTCCATGTCCACAACAACTGCCAAAGAAATTGTTCAAGACAGCTCGCGGAAAAGTGACGAGTTAGTGTTGCTTTATGCCACAAAAAACCTCAACTTTTAAGGACCCTGTGGGATCCCGGCGTTGGATGCTCGAAATGCATATGGAAGAATTCAGATGCAGAATTCTGACCTCAACCGTCCGATTGATTTCGACCTTCTTCATACGGATTTCGACTTTGAGGGAAATTTTGAGCTATTCCGCAACCAAATCAATGGGGTAACTAACTTTTTGCTTCCGATGATAAAAATTTTTTAGGACATCGATGATCAGCACTTTGAAGAAGTTGAGCAGCCAAAAATGTCAAAAAATTTTGCACACTACGAAAATATTATCAATGATCCGAAGCGAGTTACTTCTTGGACAAATGTGCAACGCGCAAGGCAAGCCGCTATGGTTGAGGTGATTTTCCCAGAGATCCATTAATGTCATACTTTAGGGAATCAAAGCATCAACCTCCTCTGAACAGAACACAGAGAATAGTGAGATAAACAGTGCCAGTGGATTTGCTTCGACGAACTGTGGCGGAAGAGTGCCATATTTCTCATCGGACGTGAAAAAGAAGCTTCTTAAAGTAAGTTTGTAGAATCTTTTCTGGAAATTGTAAGCTCCAGTAAAATGAAATGAAGCTTCAATGCATCTGTTTCAGCAAGCTGAACGCCATCTTGGTGCCGACGTCTTTCATGCAATTTGTGCTGATCGAATCTACCAATTTACGATGGACACTCTGAAGAGGTTTGTTGAGTTGATGTGCTAAAGTAATTGTTTTTAGATCCTCGTTGAGTTTATCTCCAATCATCGTTTTTGGTCGGAAAGCTTCACCGCCTCAACTAGTCGATCGACTTCTGCTTCATTTTTCCAATCGAAATTTGATTGTTCATGTAAGTTGGACTTAATCGATGGTTTACAAATTTTACCCTAGGTTTATGGTTGCGAGCCAAGTGAGCAGCTGCCAAATATTAATTTCGTTGAGCAAGTAGAACGATTGCCGACTAATTGCAAGGTGGAATTTTAAGAGAACTTTATTCATTTTCTCAATTTAGCTTGCTGTTTGTATTGACGGTGATTCATCCTGTGACAATATTATTGATTGGTTGATCTCTAACAAAGAGTGCCATATCGTCACACTGGAAAGCACACGAGCAAGGATTCCAACTGAGAAGGTGAGCGAACTTGCAACATTATCTTGGTTTACTAAAAAAACGACCTTGATAGAGTCAAGAATTTTCAATCAAATCATCGGTAACCATTTTATCTAGCAACATCGCCTCTATCTGATGGCTCCTTCAACAATTTCCGCGCCAACACTTGTTCTTGGTCGCACCTCATTCGATGTTCTTGCTGCCGCTATCAACGGGTCGAATAAATCAACAAATTGGGCAAATTCGGCTGTCGCTGATATTGGAATTCCGCATACGTAAGGATTTATGCCATTTTCAACTATATCGACTAGATTTACGGATTTATATCAAAACTGTTCCATCTTTTTTAGGTGGTTCTCTCATGATTGTCGCACGGCGCTTGCCGATCGTTTCCTATCAAAAATGCTGGTCTACTTGTAAGCGGCTAAATGAAACGGTTTGAATTCGTTTTTGAGATTTCTCATTCGTTTGTGATCCTTGAAATTCCCTCTATTCTCCAGATCCCAATCAAAGTTTCTTTTTTCTTTGTTTAACTTTATTTTCTCTTCTTCAAGTTTAGGCATCAAGTTCAAAGCGTTGTTTGATATCATTTCTTTTAACCTTTACTCCACTAATCATTCCCAATTTTGAGATTTTTCTGATTTTTCCCTGTTTGTTTTTATTTTGACTTACCTATATTTTTGTTTATCGTTAAGTGATCGAGATGTTCTATTTACGTGTATTTGTCGTCGGTTTATTATATTTTGCCACACACACACACACACAAAAAATGCCGTCATGTTGAAATGGAGCTTGTTCTTGGGATTGTATAATAAATGGTATGGCGGCAAGTGGACTCTTTGAAAAGTTACTAATGAATTTCATTGCAAAAATGCCTTCTGTCTATAAAAATGTGATTGAAGTGTTCTGGGTCGTTCTTGAGCGACTTCTTGATATTAGAAAATTGAAGAATTGGAACAGTTGAAGGTGTTAATCTCGAAGTTTACCCTGGATACTCAAGATTTTGGTGAGCTAGAGCTATTGATGGGCTGGATAATTGCAAGTTTCAGCTTTTCCCTATGTCTGAAAAGCCACAATGAACAACGGCACATTACCGATCGGATTGGGAAATCCTGAAAAAGTCGACCACATCTCGCTCTTCGAGAATGTGAAAAATCCGACAAAATGGTAAACGCTAAAGCATAACAGTGACGAATTTCCCGTGCAGGATCTACAATGTCTACGATGTGCTCTCGGTGAACACGGATGTACAAATCGAGGAATGGCAGCACATATTCTTCTCGATTCTCATATGGATGACGGTAAGAGGATCCTTCAGCACAATACCAATTCATACTTCCTTCATTAGCCTGTGAAAGGATTTTTCAGATCAGTTACCTGGTGGCCTACTTGACAGCGATTCTGATCGCGACGATCATGCTTCGGAAGCATCCATTCGTCGTTTGCATAGTGCTGCCAATGTCACGTAAGTTGCAAGCACTGATCGCCAATCTTTTGCCTAACCTCGAAATTTAGTGATGTGCGTAGTGGGACCAGTGACAATGGGCGCCGTCACGTCAGGTACACCAAAATTAATAAAAGACCGGTCATTTTGCTGAATGTAGTTGCTCTAATTTGCTCAGCAGCTCAATCCACAAAAAAAACATTTCAGCGTCGATAGCATTCGCCCTTTCTTCGGCGAACAAACCCGTGAACCCTGCCTATTGCCTTGTGCTCGGCGTCATTCAAACCTTTTTCCATATCCTCATCTCATTCAGCCGAATATTGGCAACTTTGTAAATATTAGCCCATCTTCTCTTTCTCTTTCAAATTCGCACAGTTTTTCCCAAGTGCGGGTGTCCATGTGATCATTTTGCTTTAAATATGCCAGAGCAAATAAAATTTATTTTCTGAGATCAAAGTCAAGGTAACAATAGATCAAACCGGCAAAAAACACGTAGTAGCATTAAACATAATAAATGCATAAACGATGAAAAACGAATTATCAAGAAATTAAGAATTTTAAAATAGGACTCGGCGCAAGTTTAAATAGGACAAATCCGACCCTCACTGCACATGATCGCATTGTCGTCGCCCATTTTCTCATATCCAGCCACTACTTCTCCCTCCTCGAAAGCGCCTTGACCATCTTTGTCAGCGAGTTCCTAAACACAATATACGTTCGTTACCGTATTGCCTTTAAGTTCCATATGAATCGCAAACAAAAAAAAATACCTGAATTTTTTGCGTGACCAGGTCCTCATCAACAAAATCTCCCGAAGCGCTGAGCTCATCAAGGGCCTTTCGGGCGTACTTTTTGAACAGCTTGTATCTAAAATTTTAAAACTAGACAAAGAACGACTTTATCAATCACCTTCCAACACCAATAGTAGCCGGTTCAGATCGCACTCGTTTGGGAGTAGGTTGCGTCAGAGTTGTATCAACGTCCATAGTAGCAGTCTGACTCGCGGTTGATTCCTAAACGCAGTAATTAAGATCAACTAACCGACCAGCGGAGCCGATGGATAAAAATTTTGCATTGCACACACTTAAGCTCAATAGCAACAAAGAACCTGTGTTTGCTCCTGGCTTGTAGTGTCCTAAATGATCAAACAATAGCCCAAGTATAAAATACTTAAACTAACCTGTGAGTCACCAGCAGAATTCAAGCGACCTCGTTTCTTTCCTCTTGAGATAACTTCTTCTTGCTAAATTTGATATTAATCGTAAATGCTCATTCAAAGCTACCTCTTCAGGCATCTCCTCATCTCCCTCTTCATCGTCGTCTTCACCCGTCTTTTTCTTATGCCTTCGCTCCCATTCAATCTTTTGCTTTGGTTTCTCTTTGAAGCAGGCAAAATGCAAGAGTCCATAAGCCTAAAAATGAATAAAGAGTGAACCCATCAAATAGGTACCTTTTCAACGTCAACTGGATCCACTTCCTTTGCCAAACGGGCTCGTGCCACAGCCGTTGAGAGTCGAATCAATGATTCGAGTTGACGCACCTAAAGTAACCATAATTTTAACAACTTAATTATGAGACTTACAGTAACAATCATGGTGCGTTCCGTATCCTCTTGAACGGACTCAACGGATCGTAATTCCGCATAAGCATCAGCTATCATGTCTCGAGCCTAAATAACTGATAAAATGGCCTTTTTAATAGAATTACCTTTTTTCCAAGTTCAGGAGTGGGCGCATTCTTTGCCATCTTGATGAATTTACGAACAAAATCAATTGTCAGCACTTTTTCACTAAAATAAGTACGAGTCTACAAAATAATTTCTTTTCATACCCCTTGGCAACAGCGGTCCAAGCGCTGTCTTTCTCGTAAATACCATCGTTTCTGCCTTTTTCGGCATCATCATCCAATGGCTAAAATTTGAATTTTTTAATCTAATCAACAACTAAACAAAACCTTTGTGCTAATGGTTTTGACGGCTCCACCCATTTTCAACACGGTTCCATCTGGTTCTCCTTTTGTGCGGTAACGGTGCATTTTCAGGACTTGTTCAGCCACATTTCGATCGCGATCACAATCGTGCTAAAAAACAGCATCACAAAACATTAAAAAACAAATAAACCTCATCACGCAACACAAACACGAGATCGAAACGTGAGAGCAAGGAATCTTGCATGTTGATATTCTCCATTGGTGATTTGTAGGGATCGTATCTAAGAGTTAGATGCTTTAAAAAGGGAATTGAGGTGCAAACCGTCCATAAACAGGATTCGCAGCGGCAAGCACAGAGCAACGAGCATTGAGTTGAGCTTGAATCCCCGCTTTAGCAATAGTGACGCGACCTTGCTCCATCACTTCTGAAAATTTAATGGTAACATAAAAATGCTAAAGACGTGGCAAAGGTCAATGCACACAACAAAGTCAAATTATTTACCATGAATTGATGTCCGATCAGCGTCCGTCATCTAAAAAACAATAAGATGTTAACAATTTGAAAAAACCTTGTCGAATTCATCAATGCAAACAACACCGCGATCTGCAAGAACCATGGCTCCAGCTTCTAGACGGCGTTCACCTAAATAACACTCAAATTTAAAATGATTTGAAGATTCATAAAGGTTTTTTGGTGGTTACTATTGATACTCAATAAAACTGAGGAAAGATTTTTGAACAGATTTGTAAACAAGTTTCTGACCGGAATCCGGATCAGTCGTAACAGCTGCCGTCAATCCAACACCAGAAGAGCCTCGACCCGTTGTGGTGATAGCACGTGGTGCAGTATTAAGGACGTATCTAAGTAAGAAACTGGATGCAAACCACAAAACGCTCCAACCTAAGCATTTGAGACTTCGCTACAGAGGGATCGCCAATCAGAAGCACATTAATGTCCCCACGGATTCGAACGCCACTTGCGGTGATTTTCTCTTCGCCTCCAAGCAGAAGACACAGAATTCCCTTTTTGACCTCTTCATGTCCATAAATTGATGGTGCCAAGGATCGGCTCAAAATGTCAAAGACCTAAATTACTTTTTCTTGAAAACTTTCTAACATTCGCGACGGCGCTATTCTGGGCGTACAGCCGCGTAGTCGCTAACTGTTTTACTGATAATTTGGTGAAAATTCAAAGATAAACTAAACTATTATAGTCACTCGATAGCCCTGAATCTCGTCTTGAAAGCTAGTACAAAGTTACCGAGAACTTTCTGCAAAATAAATAACAAAAAACTTGAGTTGACGCCAAAAATAATCGTCATTAGTACGGCCCAGCGGTGGGTCGTTTCGTCGTGAATGTGTTAACTAAACGTACATCTTTATCTTTGGCGAGTTTACGAATCCTTTTGATATCATCAGTCTCGAGATCCGGGCTTGCCAACTTGGACATATGTTGAACGTTGTTTGCAATGATTAAAGATCTAAAATTTTGTAATTAAAGATAGTTAACTGACGATTTTTACCTGAATGAGCAATCGGTGAAACCCTGACGTTTCTTCGGCATCACCCGGTATAACCCAATAACGCGCACCTAAAAATATAAAGCATTGCTACATTAAAACTTTTTGAATACTCGATCTCCCGGTTGAACGGCGTCGGCTAAATCCCAATCAACAATGACATCAAGGTTTCGAGGGAGTTGCCCAGCTGGCGCACACTCGGGAAGCTCCTAAACACAAGGTTGAAAAAAATATTCTACTTGATATAACGACACCTGTAGAGTAAACTGCTGATGATCTTTGTAGTGCGACAGTCCAAACTCTGTTGTTAGAGGATTCTTGTTCTCATCCTAAACCAACATTTATTTACCAACAACAATGTTGTAAACCAACATTTACAAGAATTTGTAAATTCAGCTCACCTGTGTCGGATAGGTGTTTGAAGAGATCAAACTCCCGGGATCAGTGGCATCAGTGTATCGACGTTCAAGTGTTTTCCCAGTCGCCGGACAATAATGGACACTGCTTACGACTTTTGGGCGAACCGAAGTGCCTGTTTTAAAAAAAAATAAATAGATTTGGAAGTAATGTTTACATTTGGTCACAATTCCTTCGCAGCACACAAGATTTCCCAGGAAGTTGCTTTTCAAAGAGCGGGGATTTACATGGCGATCACCCATTGAACCCTAAAGCAAACATTGTATTGATGGCAGGTTAGTCTTGCAACCTCAAATCCAACATGGTAATGACCGTCAAAATTGGCGTCATTTGCACGATGATGAACTTCTTTTAAAGCAGCCTCGACACAACCAACCTCTTCGGCAAAGTTTTTCAAAAGCCTGAAAATTTCAATTTAAGAAAAACTATTAATATCTACTGATCAGCGCGGTTGGGAAGCTTTTCGCGAAGACTATCAATATTGACGATAACTCGAGGGATCAAACCATCACAGAAATCCTCGATTTGTTTGTGCATTCGGTTGTCACTCTAAAATAATCATTATGAAAACTTTTGCATGGCAGTTTACCTTCGAATCATCGAAGAAGCTGATGTATTCTTGAGTGAATTCACGATTACGTTGTTCAACCTCCCTATCGACAAGACCCAAATGGCCAGGCAAGTTAGCCATTTTCTGAAAATATCAAACGTTGACTATGTAACCTAGCATAAAATTAATAAGATCGAAATTTTTATACGCAAGAGACCATCATTCAAAAAGCAAAGAATTTCAAAAACATTTAAATGTTTAATAAAAATTCAACTAATTTAACAAGCTCCTGCGTTTTCGTTTTAATTTCATTGAATTTCCCATCACTCTTTGGGAACCTCGTTTTCCCGCATTAGCATTTCCCGCTTTGAAAAAGGAGCGCTTTTTAGTGGCGAAAGGAAAAGAGACCAGGTAGGACTTCTGTGACTGAAATGACCATCGACTCTAGGAATTGTATGGTTGGAGACATGACCAAACAGTTTTAAAAATGAAGTTACGAATTATTTATTTCAAAAACAAAAAAATAACAATACAATTAACATACACAGTTTATGGGAGATTATCACTTTGGTGCTTGAATCGTTGAAGCTTCTTCGTAGACCGGCCAAAAAAACATTAAAATTATGGCTAAATAAGTTCTTCATGTACATGTAATCTGAAAATATACCTCGAGAGTAGCATCCCCCTTTCTATAAGTGTTCGATTTGGCATATGCACGCTGTTGAAAATTTGGCAAGCAGTTCTTCTAAGTTTGCTCTTTTAAACTGAACAAAACTATTAGCTACCTTCACGTCAAACGGAATTGATGGATCTTCCCGAAACAAAAAGATAAAAACTCCGCCTGGAGCTCGTCTACGGTTTCCATCCAATGTCTTCAAGCCACCGTTCTTCTCAGTTTCCTTGGTCCGCTCGAAAATTTCGCAAGCCTAAATCTGCTAATAAGACAATAGAGTTTAAACTTATACTTTTTCTCCACCAATTGCAGATACTATTTCAGCAATTGTTTCGGGTTTCTTTTCTCCAAGATGGTGCGCAATCTAAATAAAAGTTTGTCAAGAAAGGCTGAATAACAACCTCGGCTGCCAAAGTCGATAAGTCGGAGTTTGGCTTCAAACTTGCTTTGAGTAAATCATCCAAGCAGTAATTTGGCGCGATCAAAGCTTCAAGTGATACCTAAATGTTTTAACATTACACTAAACAACTAAACAACAACCTTACATTTTCATACTTTCTCTTCATGAATGGCTTTCTAGAGTCACCGCGGCTAGCTTGATCGCCATCTATAAATTCTTAAATCTGTGCGACAAACATTTAATACCTTGAAAGTTACGGTTTCTCCAACGTCCTCCAATGAAAAATGCTTGCCGTTTGAAAAAGTGATTCGTTCGTCCGTCATTTGCGTCAAACTACATCAGTCAATTCTATTGCCATTTAAAGAAAACTTTACCTGGCTGAGACCAAACTTTTCAAGCTCTTTAAGATCGTAGAGATTATCAAAAATGTCGCCAAAAACCGGATCATTTTTTGACATAGATGCTCGAGAGTCCTAAGATACGACGTTATTTTATTAGCAAAGCAAGCCAACCAAGTTGGTTCCAAGCGATGTGAGAGGGATTTTCAAATTGCCATCAAAAGCAGATGCCTGGCCTTCGATTTGTGGCCTCTAAACAGAGATCACGTTGTGAATAAGGCTATGCAAACTTCGTGTCCAGGAGCAACATATGACTCAGCACCACGTTCGACTCGATACTAAATAGAAAAAAGGTTGCCGTCAGCAAAAACTAGAACAACGTTATACAGACGTGTACCCAAAAGCTAAATTTCCAAAACAGTACTTGAACGTCAACTTGACCCATCTCGAAGCCTTCTTCCATCAACACGTTCTTCCATTCACTTTGCTTTGGTTTGAAAGAATTTCAGGTTAAAAGTCATGGATCAAAACCTTACTTCACATTCGATGAGTCGATTTCCAAACTCGGGATCTCAATCTTTGGAACCAGTTCCGCCTCCTCATCGGAATCTAAAGAAAATGGTTAAGTTTTACTATTTATAAAATACCTTCCGAATCATTGCTGCGAAACATCCTTGTGATCGCTTTCTCGAAGCTAACAACTTCTAAACAACTTTATTGAGAAGTTCCTTTGTAGTAAACTCAAAACAGCGAGAATCAAATGGTTAAACAAGATTCAACACATGGTAACACTGAAACGTTCTACCCGTAAAAGTCTAACACCTTAACAAAGAAGAATAGCAGTAATAAAACTATACAAAAGGCAACAATTTAAATTAAAAGCAAAAAAAAACAAGATGTTTCGCTAGAATTTTAAAGCTTCAATTGGTCGACTTTCTCCGGCAAATCTTGCTTGAAGTCCTCGATGAACTCATTAAAAGCATCTCGAAACTGGAGCAATAGCGAGGCAGGCACGGTAATTCCTCCACGGAAGCCTGAGGTCTTCTTTGCTTCAATAATCCTCAAAAAGCTGCCACGCTCATTGGTACCACGATCGAAAGTGAAATATTTGTCGTTTTCTCCATCGATCTGCTTCATTGGCGCAGCTGGATCATCAAGGTATCCTTCAGAGTATTTGTCAATGAGCTCTCGAAGAGTTGACAACAGTTCAGCAATTCCCTTTGCGGGAACCACCACCTGAGTCCGGACCACAAACGATGCTCCATTGTAGCCAAGTAATGTTTGGGCAATGCGCAAGAAGCGTCCTCGAGTGTTCTGTTTGAGATCCAGGTAGAAACGCTTCTGGCCATGGTTGAGGGTCTCTGACTTCAATTCGATTTCCTCCTCGTTTTCTGGGATTTCCTCGGAGATCTTTTTCATTTCGTCAACTTTCTCAGCAAAAGCGACAGCCGTCGACATGGTGAGGATGATGCGTGACTTGTGACCACTTCCCATTTCGGTGATCTTGATGAAACGTCCGCGATTGTTCTGCTTTACGTCTACGTAGAAGCGTTTCTGCTGAACGTTGAACGTCTTGCTCTCAAGTTCCTCTTCGCTTGGCTCCAATCGCCTTGGTGCCTCGCGACGCTTGCCACGCTTCTCCTTTTCCGGGCGACTTTGTGACATCACTAAAGTTTAACATTGAAAAGCGTAAATCTAGTATTGAAAACGAATAAACAGAGCAAAATGGAAGCAGGGACATTTATGGACATTATAACGCATAAAACCTGACATAGGAGATTGCATAAAACATTTTAAGAGCGAGCTTTTGCTAATACTTTAGATCTATAAAGCGTTTTACCCTATGACACCAAAATTTAAGAAGAATTGTAAATCATCATACATTTTATGTGTCTTTACCGAAGTTTTGGGTAGATTTTAGTGCCAAAAGATAAAACATCTAGACTTACACAGGGCTAGGCTTTGGTTTTTGTGAGAAAAGTTCAAAAGAATTGAAAGTCGGGTGCTATAGTAGTTGGGGAAGGGCCAATTTGTCAACACCAGTTTTTTCGAACTTGCCACTAGTTTAAAAAACTTTTTTTTGCGATAATTAATTGCATTGAATCCATTGAAAGCATTTATAAACCATTCTAAGCAACTTCTATGCCAGTTTGAGCAACAATTCCGAGCCCTCAAGAGTAGCTCTATTTTCACTGGGTTTAGAGGTGCGGGACCGAATTAAGACGCTTAAAACCTCAGTAACTGCTTGAAATAGCTAGAAAACAGTTACTAAAGCCTAAATAAATATCAAATTAACAATCTACGCCATTAAAAACTCTAGGAGCAAAAATCAGTGCGCTCTGGCTCAATAGAGATGAATGACGGGGGTGGGACAAAGATGCACCTTTTTTTTTTGCGCACCCGACCAAAAGCGTTAAGTTGCGTAGTTTTTGCCTCTTAGCCCAAATTTGACGTGTCAGCGAGTTCTAATTTGTCGAAATTCGGAATCTACGCATATGATTCCCCTACGTGGAAACATTTTTAAAGCTCTACGGCCTTTTCCAGCGAAAAAAAAGGTGCGCTTTTGGTCGGGTGCGCAAAAAAAAGGTGCACCTTTGTCCCACCCCCTGAATAACACTGCCCCCGCCCAATTACTATAGCACCGAAAGTCGAAGTCAAACTTAATCGAAAGGCATTCACCAACGGGGTGGCAAACCCTTTTTTGCGCACCGGACTTTGCGCACCTTTGCTGGAAAAGGCCTTGGGCAAGGGAGCTTCGAGAATATTTCGAAAATATTTCCATGGGGAAGCAATGATCCGACAAATCAGACCTCGCTGACACGTCAACTTTGGGCTAAAAGGCAAAAACTACGCAACTTAACGCTTTTCCGCAGTTTTTGCCTTTCAGCACAAATTTGACGTATCAGCGAGGTCTGATTTGTCGAAATTCGGAATCTACGCATATGATTCCCTTTTATGAAAACATTTTTGAAGCTCTCGACCTTTCTAAGGCCTTTTCCAGAAAAAGGTGCGCAAATGTCCAGGTGCGCAAAAAAAAGGTCGCATTTGTCCCACCCCCTTCACCAACCAACATTCTTCCACAGACAAAAACTACTGACTTTGTACAGAGTTTGCCCAGATTGACTACGGTAAGACAAAGGACTCAACTACAGCAAAGAATATGGGATTGGCTACTTTGCGCCAAATTTTTTGCCCACCTCGCCTTAACTTTCTTCTAATTGGGCCAATCTTTATGATTTGTCATTTTGTTGAACTTGTTGAGATCTACAAAATGACACCAAAATCATAAAGAAATTTATGGCGTGTTGGGTAAAAAATTTGGCGCAAAGTAGTCACCCCTAAAGATATATTACAAATATTTTTAATTTAGAAATTTGTGCAATCTCGGGAAGTTGTTCAAAGAAACAAATCGGTGCATGTTTGAAGAAGATTCTACCCATTATGGAGACAAATCTACAGCAAGTCACCTCCACCGATTTCATGGGCCGTTTTTGCAGCAATCTCGATCTTCCAGTCACCACACAGGTCAGATATTCTTTTCATATTTTTGCAAAGGTTTGTTTAGGATTGTGCAGTACACGTCGCGAAGAAAGCCATCGAGTTTGATCTGGTTGCCGGACGAAGCCCCGTGTCCGTCGCAGCGGCAGTGATCTTCCTCACCTCACAGGCTTCTCCAACCAAGAAGACAGCAAAAGAAGTCGCCGAAGTCGCGGGAGCTACAGAATCTACGGTTGTTTGTTATGGGGGAAATGGGACAAATGTTTTTATTTCCGGTCCGTCTCATCTACATGGCACTTCTTGAACGCGTGAGTTTCTTTTCAAGCTATCCTTTTAATTTTCCGCTTTTAGGCATCGGAGCTCTTCCCCGAGGATTTCAAATGCACCACCCCACTCCACGCACTTCCGTTCTAAATCAGATCTGAGATCTGTAACCAATACTTACAGTCGGCAAAAAAAGTCTTGGCAAATCTGAAAACCGTTTGTCTCTAGCTCTTTTAGTTTTTGAGATCACTATACCCCAATTATAAGGGAAAATGGGATGGGATGGCTTGCAACCCCAAAATATCGTAAGCCGTAGATCCTATAATTTTGGGATGTACGCCGTGTTTTAGTAGACATTTCAATGAACATTTTCATATATAACACTTTGGATTGAAAATCAACGACTGCAGAGAAAAAGACCTACAGAGACGATTCAACGACAATTCCACGACTGCAGAAAAAAGACAAATGAGGGAACCCCTGAATTGATTGGTTTTGAGTCAGACTCAGTTACTAAAAGTACAAACGGAGAAGGCATTAAATGTCGTCTATACCATGGTAAACAACAGAATTTTCAGGGGTTCCCTCATTTGTCTTTTTTTCTGCAGTCGTGGAATTGTCGTTGAATCGTTTCTGTGGGAAAGTTTCGCCGAGTCCAAAATTTCCCCCTTTTTGCTCGTCGGAGAGATTCCGTTTCTTTCCGTTTTACGTTTGCTTGAGTACGGCTTAGACAATATATAATGATGAATATCGTTTCTACAATACTTTGAATGTTACACCGTTTATCTAAAAAAAATCCTTTGCCACCGTTGTCTGTATTGTTGTTCTAGTGGTTAATGCCTCTAGAATTAACTTTGCTCACTTTTTTAATAAAAAATGGAGTTGCAACTGCAAATCATTTATTCATGTCATCGAGCAAAGATCAATTTAATTTTGAAGATCATTTCATCGTCCTTCGGTATTCACTTGTGAGAGTGGTGGATCCGCGACCTGGAGGTTCGTTTGCGGCTCGCTGTGGCACTAAAAAATAAATAAAAAATGTGCCTTTGCCAAAGCGAACTCACTTCAGGATCGATTTCTTTTGTTGCTGTTCAGGGGGATCTAACATCTTCTTGCGATCGATCTTCAAAATACGCTCCAAGTTCCTCAAAACAGTAAATTAACAAGGATCGATATTTAATACTGAAGTCAATCAATAAAATACTTACTTTGAAATGTCCTTCATCACAAAGCGCTCATTGGGATTGTCGGACCAGCATTTGATTTCAATCACCATCTTCACGTCCGGATTCAGCTCTGGCGGTAGCTCCATTCGGTATCCTTCTTTGACCTGAACCGATCTTTCATTAGATAAATTTGCAACAACAAACCTTCACATTCACCTCAGCCACACTCAGTCCTGGGTAGGGCTCAATTCCATTGTTGAGGATTTCCCAACACATGATTCCTAAACCAACAAGTATGTAATTAAAATTTTAGAGCGTACCATAGGCAAACACATCCGATTTTTGTGTGTAGATTGCGCTTCGAAGTGTTTCAGGAGCTAACCACCTAAAAAAAATATAATAGACACAGTTATTTGACCAAACCTGATTGGCACACGGTGATGGGGATCCATTTGGTAGACTGTTCCTTCTCTTGCCAGCCCGAAGTCCGAAAGCTTTACCTAAACCAAAAACAATAACAACAATACAATCATTTCTCAACTTTTTCATAATTAAACCACCACTTGCCTTGTTATCACCGTAGAGACAGTTTCGAGCAGCAATGTCGCGATGAAGGACCTCTTTGGAGTGAAGATATTCGATGCCCCAAGCCGACTAAAAAGAGATTGATAACGAATCATATAACACTGACCTGTACAATCATTTCCAACTTTTTCTCGATCGGGACGTTGTTCTTCTGCAGATACGAGTCAAGAGCTCCATTGTTTGCCAATTCCATCACCACCATCAGAGGCTCTTGTCCAGCGGCCACTCCGTAAAACTAATAAAGAACTTAAATCCAAAAAATTAGGTAATCCAAACCTTGACGACGTTGGGATTGTCAAAGTTTCGCATCAGGCGTGCTTCTCGCATAATCTCCTTGATTTGTTCCTTTGTCAGCACTTCGAGCTTCGCCTAAACAATTTTAAATTTCCAATTTTCAGCAAAGTGCTTCCAATCTTACCAATTTCACGGCTACATCGACAATCTTTCCTCCCTTGAGCTTGAGTTTTCCTTTGTGCACTTCTCCAAACGCTCCTTCTCCCAGCTTCTTCGTGCACTCAATGTCGACGTGATTGAGTTCCCAAGGCTGTCTTCCGATCGGTGCTCCCAAGAAGACGTTGGATTGCTAAAACATCAATAAAACTTCAAGAACAAATAAGAACTAATCTAAATTATTCATTTAATCAAAATAAACTTCAAACCCACTTTTGAGATGCTTTCCTTTTGTTTTATATGATATTGAATCATTGCGGTGATTGAGTCGAACGTGAACTTTTCGATGGAGATTTTGCCGCCCTCATGTTGCTTGACGACAAAGTGTTTGATTCCTTGCTCCTCTCCGCGACTCGGATCCCACATCACCTAAAATGAAAGAATAAAAAGCTTTATTGTGACGTTGAAAAGACAAGACAAGGTTTTTTGCAATCAACAAATGACAAATCAAAATAAAACATTCAAAAAATGACCGATAAGACGAAGGCTCGCGGTTGTCCAGCGACGGGTTCAGTGGTTCGCACGAGGAAATCGCCTTTACGTGTCAGCATCATCTTGATGTCCTCGCGTGGCAGCAAACCGTGATACCATTTTTCACCTAAAACGAAAGGTTTAGACAATAGGGATGTACAGGAAACGTTTAAACTTCTAAGCAGCTTATCAGCAAAAGGCACAAAAAGTAGTTTAATCACGTAAAGAGAAAGAGCTAGCGCTCAAGTAAATTAAAACGGCTAAATTGAAATTTACGGTCCAAAATACATACAAAATCACTTTTTATACTTTACTATGCCTATTTATGCACAAAAAAAACATAAAAACAATGAGAGGGAAAATTTTTAAATCAAAAAATTCGACTTTTTAATTTTGACCTGACCTGAATTTTGGATCGTAAAGTTCAATTTAGCCATTAAAACAATAGAGATGTTTAGATATTTTTGTTTTTGATTAAATAACAATCAAAATTTGGAAGCTTATACGCAAAAGGCCTAAAAAAAGGGAGTGTTAGCAAAAGCGCCAAATTATTTGCGCCACGTATCATTTACATCAAATTTGCGCTTTTCAAAACACTTTCCTACGAACTCTGATTGGCCATTTATCTACTTTTTTCAATTTTTCCTCGCCAACGATGCTCGCTATTTTGCCGCCTTTACCAGATCTAAAAATGACATAAGATCGATATAGAAAGTAAAAAGCTGATTCCGGGACACAAAAATGACTGTTTTTGGGGTTTGTATAGGTATTTAAACGTGTTTTTTTTAATTGAAAACATTGAAAACTAAAATTGTGAAGCAAAAAACTGAAAAAGTTGGTTAGAAGTTGGAAAAAAGTTGAGAAAAAGTGATTTGTTACAGTGATTTTCATAAGGGTAAATTTGGCACAAATGATACGTGGCGCAAATGATACGTGGCGCAAATGAAACGTGGCGCAAATGATATGTGGGGCAAACGATACGTGGCACAAATGATACGTGGCGCAAATGAAACGTGGCACAAATGAAACGTAGTGCAAATGAAACGTGGCACAAATGATACGTGGCGTAAATGAAACGTGGCACAAATGAAACGTGGCACAAATGAAACGTGGCACAAATGATATGTGGGGCAAACGATACGTGGCACAAATGATACGTGGCGCAAATGAAACGTGGTGCAAATGATACGTGGCGGAAAAGATACGTGGCGCAAATGATACGTGGCACAAATGAAACGTGGTGCAAATGATACGTGGCGGAAACGATACGTGGCGCAAATGATACGTGGCGGAAAAGATACGTGGCGCAAATGATACGTGGCGCAAAAAAACCAGTGCTTTTGCTAGCACCTCTAAAAAAGTACGTAAGAAGAAAAAGAAAAGAGCAAAGTGTTCAAGTAAAGAAGAAATGAAAAATGAATGAAGAAAAGCCGTCACCTGAAAGTTGCTTCTCCATATTTGTAAGCGATGATCGGAAATTGTAGCAAGCCGAAGATTGTGAAGAGAATAGGAAATTAAATGACGAAATGGCTTCTCTTTTTTTATATTTCACTGTTAAATTCAAATTTTCTTATTTTAGACACATATGCAAATTTTTAACGCCAGGATTTTGTTTTTTTTAAAATTTTTAAATTTTTCAATTTTTCATTTTTCATTTTTAATTCAGATTTTTAAAAAATATGTTTTATACTGCTTCAAGGAGTGTTTCTTAGGTTTTAAACTTCTAAAGATAAATAAAGTTACCGTAAATACTGTAATAGTACCCCCCCACATAATGATGGTGCGGAGCGTTGCGTAGTCTAGCTTTGAACGAGTTTTTCTCGACACTGGTTTATGCTACAATGTGCACTTTGGTATCAAAAAATAGCTGAAATTCAGGGCTATTTTTTGATACCAAAGCGCGCATTGTAGCATAAACCACTGTCGAGAAAAACTCGTCCAAAGCTAGACTTTAATTTTGATTTTTTGAAAGTACGGGCGCTTTGAAAAAAATGAAATACTAAAAAAAGTTTTGCGACTACGCGACTGTACGAGCGGGATACTATTACAGTATTTACGGTATCTATATTATGATGCAAGATAACGGCATTTTAAGAAAGTTAACACATTTTAGCAAAAAAATATCCTTTTATTTTCATTTTAATCGATTTCCGAAACATTCCCCTATATAATTTCTTCTCTATCGAGGTATCTATTGGGTTTTTTTTTTTTTTTTCTTTTTTTTCTTTCCTTTCCCTTTTTCTTTTTTTTTTTTTTCTTTTCTTTCCTTTTTTTTATATTTTTTTTTTTTTTTAATTTTTAATTAATTATTAAATACACCCCCCCCCTCCCCCTCAACCCCATCTCACCCCCACCCACAAGGGGAGGGGGGGGGGGGGGCCCCCCCCGAGAAAAAAAAAAAAAAAAAAAAAAAAAAAAAAAAAAAAAAATAAAAAAAAAAAAAAAAAAAAAAAAAAAAAAAAAAAAAAAATTTTTATGGAAGAAAAGAAAAAAAGAATAAAAGAGGGGAAACCCCAAAATTTTCTTCCTTCCCGGGCCGGGAGAAAAAAAAAAAAAAAAAAAAAAAAAAAAATTTTTTTGGGGGGGGGGAGAAAAAAAAAAAAAAAAAAAAAATAAAAATTTTTTTCAAAATTTTTTTTTTTTTTTTTAAAAAAAAAAAATTAAAAAAAAAAGGCGGAAAATTTAAGAAAAAACCCAATATTTATCTTTTGGGTGTATTTTGAGTGATATCCTGGGTAATTATTGTCATTTTGTTTTGCCGCTATTCAACTGAATAAAGCACATTATATATATATGTTGTGTCCGATTTAGATTTCCGTCCGATTTAGATTACAGTCTATATCGGACGTCCGATTTAGACTCAATCTAAATCGGACGTCTTATATAGATTGAACAATAATATAAACATGTTTAGTATATGTTCTTAAGCGTTTTCTGTAGTTTTCTGCATTTTTCAAAGGTCTGTTACTGTCTTTTTCTGAAAAGAAAACCCAACTATGAAATAATCAATAAAAGACCATTGAAAATGCAGAAAACTACAGAAAACGCTTAAGAACATATACTAAACATGTTTATATTATTGTTCAATCTATATAAGACGTCCGATTTAGATTGAGTCGTCCGATATAGACTGTAATCTAAATCGGACGTCCGCGATAAGTTCAATCTAAATCGGACGTCCGATTTAGATTCAATCTAAATCGGACGGAAATCTAAATCGGACACAACATATGTATCATCAAATCTTTTCACATTTTTTTAATTGCAAGTTCACAAATCTCTAGACTTGACCTTTTTTTTTGCACACACACACACACCTGAAACGGATCACCCATCTCGCAAATTTGACCTTGCATTGACGGCCGAGCAGTACAGTATCACTCTCAATAAGAAAAGATTGGATCGAGAGCGAGAGCCCCACTCAATTGACCCCAATTTCGGATATCTTCTCTTTTGAATAGATCTAGATCTTCTTTAGAGCCATAATCATGATTAAACCGTTTTCTAATAGGTGTTTGCTTTGAAATTCTTTGAAAAATCGTTATCGTTTGACCATTTGACGGTAATTACGAAGATTTACGGTTAACGTAACCTATCGTAAACTTAAACTTGTCATAAGCTACCGTAATCTCGGTTTACCATAGCCTAGACTTACAGGAAACTAGTATAAGCTAGACTTATCGGAAGCTGGTGTAACCTATCGTAACCTATCGTAGCTTAGAGCTATCGTAACCTATCGTAGCCTAGACTAGCTTAGAGCTATCGTAGCCTATCGTAGCCTATCGTAGCCTAGACTAGCTTAGAGCTATCGTAGCCTATCGTAGCCTATCGTAACCTATCATAGCTTAAAGCTATCGTAACCTATCGTAGCCTAGAGCTATCGTAACCCACCATAACTTAGAGCTATCGTAACCTATCCTAGCTTAGAGCTATCGTAACCTAGACAGTCTCAATTATTCCCCAATTGCGGTAACTCACAATTTAAAAGGCAAAAAGATTACGGTAGTTCTCCATAGCTAGATTACGATAGCTTCCCAAATTACGGTAGCTCTTTCCCAAGTGCACCTTTTAGAAAACGTTTCCCTGTCCTTTAATTCCCAAATCTTTTTCCCCATCTTTGGCTTCCACCGCACCCACCTTTTCTTCGAATTTTCCCAAAAATCCCTTCTCCCGGCCATCAGCAATAAATCATTTTGGATTGAGATCGGGTCGACCCCGCCCATTCTCCATCCATTCTCCATCCATTTCCCATCCATTCCTCCATCCCCAACCATCCCAAATCATGATCTTTCCATACCACTCAACCATTCTTATTCCTTCAAATCTGTCTACACATTCAGATCTGTTCAAAGTTGATAAAATTGCTTCAATTGTTGGAAAACAATCTTTACCTGGCCACTAGAATGGTCACTAGAATATTCCCTGACCACTAGAATGGCCACTAGAATATCCCCTGACCACTAGAATAGCCACTAGAACATTCCCTGACCACTAGAATGGCCACTAGAACATTCCCTGACCACTAGAATATCCACTAGAACATTCCCTGACCCAGTAATGTTCCATTTGTTTATCCAATCATGATCTTATCCTTTCACCTTTCAATATATCCTTACAGTTTCTGCTCACTAGTATCTAAGATCCAAGTCTCATATCCAAGTTTAATCCAGGTTTATTCCAAGTCCAATCCAATCCAAATCCAAGTCCAATCCAACTCCAATCCAAGTCAAATCCAACTCCAATCCAACTCCATCTTTACAAAAAGATCTCCAGTCTACAGAATGCTCTCAAAGTCGATACAGATCAATAAGGCTTCATTTCTGTTAACATGTTACCAATTCTCATCCAAAAGTCTCTCATGTACAAAAAGAAATGCGATGAGAGATCGGAGAGTGTGAAGGAAAGATGCCTGGTTGCAATCTCTTTCCCCCTTTCTCTATCACTGTTCTAAAATCTCTCTCTCGCGCAATCTATTTGTCAAACTGTGTGCACAGAGAAGAAATTTGTCCTTTTTTTCTTCAATTTTCCAACAGGTAGCCGTAAAGTAGCCTCAATAGTGGGGGAAGGCAGTCTCTCTTCACACTGATAAGCCTTCTCTACTCTATTTTTTCTATTTCCCATCTTTCCATCTTCTTCTTCTTCTTCTTTTCACCTTTTAGATCTCAATCTTAATGTTCTCTCCTTTAATGGAATCGTTATTCTGGCTCTGACACTCGGCTCTGATACTTGGCTTTGACTCTGACTCTTGGCTCTGACACTTGGCTTTGACTCTCGGCTCTTGGCTCTGACACTTGGCTTTGACTCTCGGCTTTGACTCTGACACTTGGCTTTGACTCTTGGCTCTAACTCTTGGCTCTAACTCTCGACTCTAACCCTCAGCTTTAACTTCGACCTTCTCTAGTTCCTTCTGCTAATGCTAACCTTTCTAATATTTCTAATAGAATTCCAGTCGTATTCCCAGTAACTAATAGAACTATTAAGATCTAAACTGTTACTGTTGTCCTTAACTCTCCTCCAACTCTACAACTCTGCACTTACAATTGACAAGTTCCATTTTTCCACATTGTTTAGTATTACTCTAGGATAATAACATCATTGGGCTTGATTTGCTTGTGTTTCTAAATATCGTACAGGCTTTGATCCGATTTCAAGCTAGGGCTTAAGATGATATCTAGCTATGGTTTAAATAATAAAGTTTTAATATTAAATAAGGATATAAGCTAAGTACAAGACTTGATTAGATGGATAAAAAGCCAAGACTTGGATAGATGGATAAAATCAATATTGGATAGATGGATAAAAAGCCCAGTTGGCTGGCTCAGTTATTTAAATAGTATCAATTATTCATATCTAACAAGGATCAATATTCAATTATCAATATCTAAATAGCTGAATAGCTGAATGGCTGAATAGCTGAATAGCTCGATAGCTAAATAACTAAATAACTAAATATCTAAAGTAAATACAAACAAATAACTAAATAGCTCGATAGATAAATAACTAAATAACTAAATAACTAAATATCTAAATATCTAATTAGTTCAATAGAAATCTTTATTATCTAAAACATTTCAGATTTCAGATTTCTAAAGCCTTTTTTTAGAGAAGCTTCGGGTCTCTAAAGATGTAAAAGATATTGTAAAAGATATTGTAAAACATCTACTACTATCTATTCCTTTCAAAAGCCTTTTTAACTTGAATATCGATTATCTTTCTGTTATCATTTCCCCTCCATTTGAAATCCCCGTTCTTTGGTGATTTGGCTGTATGAGCCTCTCAGTTGCCGTCATAAAGCTAGGTTACCAAAGCTTGGTGGTTTCGATAAGCATTCCCCATTATCCATTTTATTGATTGTGTCCATTTTTGTGTCTTAAACTGTTCTTAAAACCGTTCCACAGAGGATATTCAGCTGGTTCTTTGAATATCTATTATTTCAACTGTATTTGTACAATGAACACATCTAAATCTACTATATATAAAAGAGCTGACGGTCTGTGCGCACTCCTCCGCATTCACTGCGACCGTTTCATAGTTAGTTTGGCCTAGAATTCAATCTAGTTGTGAAAAATGTTTTTAAATTTTTAACCAAAAGTCTTGGCGGGAACCGGAGTCGAACCCGGGTCGTATGGGCTAGAGACAATAGCGCTCGCACTGCGCCAACGGCTAACGGCAAGTTTTCGCTAGCCGAGTGGTTAAGACCTAGTGGCCGAGTGGTTAACACCGAGTGGCCGACTGGTCGACCCAAGTGCCCAAGTGGCCGAGTGGTTAACACGCGCGTCTCTCAACGAACGGAAGGTGGTCGTGGTCGCGGGTTCGACTCCTCTCGGCGCCAATTTCTTGCCTTTTTTGTTTCAAAATTTTTTCTTGTAATGAATATTCCAAAATCTTGACTAAAACTAGTCAAATCAAATGGTACAATATCGTTCTAGCTTTGAAATTTTAGCTTAAAATTGACTACAGTTTGATTGACTTAAAATTGACTCCAGTGCTGAAAAAAACGATAAACGCAGCCTTGAATTCGGATTTTTCTCGCTTGCCGCAAGAAACCCGTGCGCCAGAAAGGAGCGTTTACATTCAAGCACAAAGTACAAAGCTAGGATATTGATTTCAAGCTTTGTTTTTTGATTTAGGACATTCAAAAACGCAAAAAGCTTGTAAACAGTGCAAAATAGCCATCCAGACATCAATTTGTCTGTAAATAAGTACTCTAGAAGGCTCTAGAAAGCTCTAGAAGGCTCTAGAAAGTACTGTAATCTCAAAAAATGCCAAAAACTCTTTCATTTCACATTTCTAAGCTAAAAAGTCGCAAAATTTCGATGAATTCCCGTCGTTTGTCCGTCTCTTTCCAATTGACACCCCCCGACTGTCGGAGATTTTACACCAGATAAATTGTAAGCCGAAAAAAAAAACAAAGAAAACATTTTTTACAGAATTATTTAATTCTTTATTTGCACAACAAAGCTTTTGTTTTTTTTGCATTGTAAATCAAAGCATTTGAAGAGCTCGCTCCAAATCAGCGATCAAATCCACCGCATTTTCGACACCAATGCTAAATTTTGCTAAAATCCTAATGCTAAAAATGATAAATTGTGATTTAAAAGAGTTTTTATTCAAAATTTCTATAAAATCTACAATCTTTCTTTATAATCGAACTTTGTTTAATGGAAAACTCTATACCGTAAATACTGTAATAGTACCCCCCCCACATAACGGTGCGGAGCGTTGCGTAGTCTAGCTTTGAACGAGTTTTTCTCGACACTGATTTATGCTACAATGTTCGTTTTGGTATCAAAAAATAGCCCTGAAATTCAGGGCTATCTTTTGATACCAAAACGAGCATTGTAGCATAAACCAGTGTCGAGAAAAACTCGTCCAAAGCTGGTTCGATCCCGGTGACTACAAAGTTTTTTCTTGGGTAGTCTAAATTTGAACGAGTTTTTCTCGACACTGGTTTATGCTACAATGTTCGTTTTGGTATCAAAAAATAGCTGAAATTCAGGGCTATTTTTTGATACCAAACACGCATTTTTTGAAAGTACGGGCGCTTTGAAAAAAATGAAATGCTAAAAAACTTTGGCGACTACGCGACTGTACGAGCGGGGGTACTATTACAGTATTTACGGTCGGTATGTAGATTTATTCGACACGAATAATGAATTACAACGCAAACGAGGAGATTTTTACCCCTAATTACCCCTATTGCCTAAATGTTGTTAAGAAAAAAAACCCATAATAATGGAAAAAAAAGAACCAGCTCTTTCTAGCCGCCGGCATTGAACCCTTAACTCCCCGACTAGGAGACAAGCCACCTATCCGGTTGGCTACAACGGCTATTATAGAATGAAACGAATTTTTGGTCCTAGCCGATGCTAAGCTATATAAAAAACGGCAATCTCTATATAATGGAAGCATTTTTCTATATAATGATCCCTTTCATTCCGTTGAAGAGTCGTTATAAAGAGATTTTATTTAAATATTTAAATATTTAAACTCTAGAAGGCTCTAGAAAGCTCTAGAAGGCTCTAGAAGGCTCTAGAAGGCTCTAGAAAGCTCTAGAAGGCTCTAGAAGGCTCTAGAAGGCTCTAGAAGGCTCTAGGAAGCTCTAGAAAGCTCTAGAAGGCTCTAGAAGGCTCTAGAAAGCTCTAGAAGGTTCTAGAAGGCTCTAGAAGGCTCTAGAAGGCTCTAGAAAGCTCTAGAAGGCTCTAGAAAGCTCTAGAAGGCTCTAGAAGGCTCTAGAAGGCTCTAGAAGGCTCTCGAAGGCTCTAGAATTGCACCTGAATCGGAGAAGTCCAGGCGCCACCATGGCTTCTTCGTTCTCAGCACGAAGCAGCTGTTTACCGTGTGACATTGCGAATGGATGCTCGATCAATGACTCTGTTCCACCCAATGACACCGCCAGAGTGATTAGGCGAAGATTCTAAATAGTTTTATAGAAAGAACTATGCAAAATCGTACACACACAATTTTTGATGGATTTTTTAAAGAAAATAAAGAATTCAATGCACTAGAAAAGATGCGTTTACAATTCTCAGCACAAAGTACTATTGCAAATTGATTTTTATGGAGTTGTTATCGGATCTCTAGAAGCTCTAGAAGCTCTAGAAGCTCTCGATCTCACCTCAATCAACTTAATCGCTTTCTCCGCCGAACCCACATCAAATCCGATCATTCCTGAGAATTTTCCATGAGGAAACAACTGGAAATCCTTTGTTTTCTTGTTTTCTTGAAAGTTTAAAGAATATTTTAATAAAGAAACCTTCTTGGCAGCTTCGTGTTGTGGATGGGATCGAAGACCTGGGTAAAACGTGTGAATGACCTAGAGTTTTATTGAATGTTTTATTGAAATTGTTAAATCCATTTCAATTTACATTCATTACAGACATTTAGTGAAATTAGAATTTAGAAATACAATGCCTGGAGCTGATTCAGCTCAGCATACAATGCCTGGAGCTTTCCCTACAAACCGATTCATCTTTACTTTAGTCAAATGAATGTCAGGGTTATTTGAAAAGTCTAAATCCTGTTTTGTTAAAGAAAAGGTTCAGAATGGTTCAAGACAATCTAAGTCTTGTTCTAGTCTGGTTTAAAAATCTTCGCCTAGTGCTGTAGAATCCTGGACTAGCTTGCTTGGCTTGGCTTGGCTCACAAGCTTGGCTTGACTTGGCTTGGCTAGGCTTACAAGCTTGGCTAGGCTTACAAGCTTGGCTAGGCTTACAAGCTTGGCTTGGCTTACAAGCTTGGCTTGACAAGCTTGGCTTGGCTTACAAGCTTGGCTTGGCTTGGCTTACAAGCTTGGCTTGGCTTGCAAGCTTGGCTTGGCTTACAAGCTTGGCTTGGCTTACAAGCTTGGCTTGGCTTGGCTTGGCTTGGCTTGGCTAGGCTAGGCTTGGCTTGGCTTGGCTTGGCTTGGCTTGGCTAGGCTAGGCTAGGCGGCTTGGCTTGGCTTGGCGGCTTGGCTTGGCTTGGCTTACAAGCTTAGCTTACAATCCAAGAGTCATATCAAGAGCCAAGTCCTAAATTTTAGTAGTTCTGGCCTTGCTTGACCTGGTCAGACTTTCTTTGGATCCAAAAACTGGCCAGAATCAAGCCAGAAATCATGGGTCAAGCCAGGAATCAGCTATCAGATCAATCAGAAGGCTAGAACAAGTATTCTTAAACCAAAATCTCTAGACCAATTAGCTTTTTATCGTCTAGAAGCCTCTGACTCTGTGTAAGGACACTTTCTAATCAAGCTCAAGCTCAAACTCAGCGCTCAAACTCAAGCTCAAACCAAACCTACCAACAAAACTCAAACTCAAACCGAACCGAATTCAAATTCAAATCGCTTCCTCCCCTCTCTCCACTCACCTTTCGATGTTCATCTAGATATTTGGCTACTTTTTGTGCCGTTTCACTGATCTTATCCATCCTCAATGCCAAGGTCTTGAGTCCTCTCGTCAAAAGGGCCGCATCCATCGGACTCTGTAATCATTTGCAACAATCTCTCTCTCTCTATAAATTATAGAGAGAACGATTTTTCGGGGGGAAAATTATGACATCGCATCTATAATAGCCCTTTTTAATGCCTTACTGATTTCATCTTTCTCAATCCTTTTTTTGTTTTAGATCAGATCTAAGAAATAGATCTATAAATATTTGAAATAATAATGAAAAACATAGATAAATCGGATTAGAAGAAGAGAAAGAAAGAGGAAAGAAAGAGGAAAGGAAGAGCTGATCATTGCTTAGAAGCTTAGACTTGTAATTCTAGACGTGTAGCTCTAGACTTACAATTCTAGACTTTCAAGGCTTTAACTACTCTTCTACTGTACTGTTTGACTACTTTTGTTAATCGCTGTAATTAGTTTAGTTCTGTACTTGCAGCTGCAACTTTCTCTACAACTTCCTCTACAACTTCCTCTACAACTTCCTCTCCAACTTCCTCTCCAACTTCCTCTCCAACCTCCTCTACAACTTCCTCTACAACTTCCTCTACGCTTCCCCTCCAACTTCCTCTCCAACCTCCTCTACAACTTCCTCTACAACTTCCTCTACAGCTTCCTCTCCAACTTCCTCTCCAACTTCCTCTCCAACCTCCTCTACAACTTCCTCTACAACTTCCTCTACAGCTTCCTCTCCAACTTCCTCTCCAACCTCCTCTACAACTTCCTCTACAACTTCCTCTACAGCTTCCTCTCCAACTTCCTCTCCAACCTCCTCTACAACTTCCTCTACAACTTCCTCTACAGCTTCCTCTCCAACTTCCTCTCCAACCTCCTCTACAACTTCCTCTACAACTTCCTCACCAATGCACTCCCTGTTGTCAATTGCTGTGTCTTCAAACGTTGCCAATCCATCAATGATCCACAACTGATACAACCAGCAATCACATCGCAATGACCACCAATGTATTTTGAGCTGTAAATTTCAATTTAGCCCGGGTTAAACCTACCATAAATACTGTAATAGTACCCCACCCCGATATGACGGCGGAGTGTTTCGTAGTCTAGCTTTGAGCGAGTTTTTCTCGACACTGATTTATGCTACAATGTGCTCTTTGGTATCAAAAAATAGCTGAGATTCAGGGCTATTTTTTGATACCAAAACCAGCATTGTAGCATAAACCAGTGTCGAGAAAAACTCGTCCAAAGCTAGACTGCGCAACACTCCGCACTGTCATTATGGGGGGTGGGGTACTATTACAGTATTTACGGTAAGCTTTTTACGGTAAGAAAACCAGCTACCCTTTTGGGAATCGCTAAAATAAGCCAAGCTAAGTAAGCTGTTTGTTTAAGCTCTTCCTATACTCTGATTTGTTAGAATCGTTTAGCTTGCATCTTTCTTTCGACCTCCCCCTTGTCTTTCTCTTTTCTCTCGACCCTTCAAGCTACCGGATGGTTCAGTGGTTAGAGCGATGGCCTGGTAAACCAGCGACCCTTTTGGTAATCGAGGGTTCGATCCCTTCCCCGGAAATCTGACTTTTTTGACAATTTCTTTACTTTATTGACTTTCTGTAGATCTTTATATTCTTCAATTCTTTATTGACTCCTTTATATACTATTCTTTCACTACTTTATGGTAATCTAGTTAACTCTTTACCAATTCCTTCACTTCTTTATATAATCTAGTTAACTCTTTACCAATTCCTTCACTTCTTTATATAATCTATCAATTTTTTTTGAACCAAATTGTCACCAACCCGCTGTGCAATGCGAAATCGGCGCCAATTTTTAGCGATTGCAAGAGATATGGAGAGGCAAAAGTCGCATCGACGACGAGTTTCGTTTGCTGAAATTTTTTTTGGTTCAAGTTTTGCGCGAGAAAGTTGTATAGCTGGAATTACCGCGGCTGCTGGCAACAGACTTTCCCTCTCATTGATCCTCGGTTAAATGGTTTAAATTGTAGAGCTGTGTATCATTAAGTAAACAATTTATTCTTGTTTTGCTCAAAATCAGAACCCATTCTCTCGAGTGTACAGCGGGTTTTTCTTGTCTTGAGGAAAGGAAAGTGGTGAAATGAGTGCACGAGAAAGGGTGGGTTTTGGGTGTTTTTTGGGTGTTTTTGGGTGTTTTTTGGCTGCTTTTGGCTGTTTTTGGGTTCATTTTGAGAAAGTAAAGAGAAAGAACGAGTTTCTCTTTCATTTTCTTTCATTTTCTTTCATTTTCTTTCATTTTCTATCATTTTATCGTTTCATTTATCATTTAAACTCCTAACCGTGTGTCTCTTTTTGACTTCAACCACTTCAAGAATATCCGGAACAGCCATTGATGGATTTGCAATCGCTTCCAAGTAAATCAACTAAAGAGAAAAAACTTGATAACAAGCTAGAAAATTCATTTTTTTTAGATTTACTAGATCTTTTTTTAGATTTTAATCCTACTCATCTATTGTTTTCGATTTTCTTTGAGCTAGATATGATAAGCTAAGTGATCTAGATAATTTAAGTGACCTAGATAGATCTTTCTTTTGGATAGGTGACCTTGACAAGAATGGGGGACCCTTTAATACCCTGTAGTTAGCTCATAGGGTTTTTTGAAAGTACTCTAAACATAGTAAATCCGTCAATCCGTAGCTTGAACACTTGTTTTTCTACTTTTACAATCTAGATTCATTAAAATCAATCAAAATTCACTCGAGCTATTACTCGAGCTGCTACTGGAGCTGCTACTAGAGCTGCTACTAGAGCTGCCACCAGAGCTGCTACTAGAGCTATTACTCGAGCTGCTACTGGAGCTGCTACTGGAGCTGCTACTAGAGCTGCACCAGAGCTGCTATAGAGCTATTACTCGAGCTGCTACTGGGCTGCTACTGGGCTGCTACGGCTGCACCAGGCTGCTACTAGGCTATTACTCGAGCTGCTACTGGAGCTGCTACTGGAGCTGCTACTAGAGCTGCTACCAGAGCTGCTACTAGAGCTATTACTCGAGCTGCTACTGGAGCTGCTACTGGAGCTGCTACTAGAGCTGCTACCAGAGCTGCTACTCGAGCTATTACTCTAGTAATTACTTACTCGCGAGAAACACACTCTACTCAAATCACCGCTTTCAGACCTCTATAAAGAAAAGTCTAAAAGCTGTGCTATGAGGGTGGAGGGTTCGACTCCGGCGCGCGGCAGTTTTTAAAAAAAAATGTTTTGCGTTCTCTAGGGTAATTTTCAACGCTGATTCCGAAAAACATGGTTTCAGCCTAAATTCCCGTACAAAAAAGCGAAAAAAAATCATTGTTTTTTTAGAGAACTTCCTGCTTCTATAACTTTTTTTCTGTCGTTCAGAATTTTTTCATTTTTTTGTGACTCCCTTGTGGTGTAGTGGTTAGCACATTAGCCTGCTAAGCCAAGGGTCCCTGGTTCGACTCCCGGTTCGACCCCTTTTTGTTTCTTCTGACAACTTGAATCAACTGGCGTTCGAAAAGCTAATTTAAAAATTAGCATCTAAAAATTCTGTACTTTAAAGTCAATCGAATTTGAAAGAGAATCGATTAAATAGCCTTTAACACCTACTTAACGCCCTCTCTCGCCAGGGCTTTTGACTCCCTTGTGGTGTAGTGGTTAGCACCCTAGCCTGCCAAGCCCAGGGTTCCGGGTTCGACTCCCGGCTCGACTCTTTTTTGATTCTTCTGACAACTTGAATCAACTGGCTATCTTGCAAAGAAGATCCGATAGCCTTGAACCAATTTATCAGTCAATCACGCTATATTTGTTCGACCTTTTCTCTATTCCAAAAGGTTCCTTATTTCTCTATTTCTCTATTCATCAATTAGAGACCTCTCAATCAAAGAATTTAGATCAAATGATCTAAAAAAAACTATAGATCTTGTAAACACACCCTTTCTGGCACTGAATCTTCTTTTTCCAAATCGAGCTAGAGAATTCAGTGCTCTCGAAAAGGATATGTTTACAATTTTCAGCACAAAGTACATCGATAGCACCAACTTTCGTATTTTCTTTAATCGCTTTTTCAACGGCTCCCACGAAATCTTTCTCCTTTTCCACATCGACAAAAGTGAATGTAACACCGAAACGAATCATTGTCTCAGTCATGAATGAATAGCTCCCAGAATAGAGCGGTTTCATGCAAACCTGAAAAGTTGATATCGATTTTGAGGTAGACAATATTGTACTACTCGTTTATAGCTTTGTATATAGCTTTATTTGTAGCTTCATTGATGATGTTGACCATTGCAACACTCCAGAATGACTGGTGTTGGTAAAATAAATTTTTTTTCCCCTTTTTTTTATAAAATCTTTTTTTTTTTTTTTAAAATTTTTTTTTCCTTCTTTTTTTAAAAAATAAGTGTAAATTGCTAGTAAATATGAGCACCCAAAAAATGGTTGACTCCGAAAGCTAACTGCGGTATTCGTTGTTTCAGTTCTTATCTAGCCATCTAGCCTCTAGGATTTTCTTTAAACTTGCTAATAAAGTAGAGATATGAATGGCAAAGAATTTGGAACCAAGGGGAGAATTGAACCCTCGACCCTTGCTGGACCCTCCCGCCTACCAGCCAGATGCTCTACCATTGAGCTACCGGCGCCTTGGATGCAGCCGAAGAAATAAGAAAGACAAGGTAGTGAGAGAGGAAACCCGGGTCTTCTGAACTGTGGGCTTTCACTTTGAAGTTCAGCTCCATAGTTTTTTAGATTTTTTTTGATCAAAACCTTGTTGAAACTCTTATTATGTAAAGAATAATATTAATATTTAATAAAATAGAATAAAACTATTGAATTTCTACTGTTACTAGAGTCGAGTAAAGCGAATTTTTCTCAAAAATCAACGTAAATATCAACTTCTTGAGGCAGGCAACTGATTCGAGTAAGCTTAAAGATCTAGGATTTAGATCTAGACCTTGATCTAGAACTAGAACTAGAACTAGATCTTGTTCTTGTTCTTGTTCTAGCTCTAGATCTAGATCTTGTTCTTGTTTTTGTTCTAGCTCTAGCTCTAGCTCTAGCTCTAGCTCTATCAATTATGATAACCTCATTACTATAATAACTTTTTTCTATGATTGTCTCTCATAAAGCAATAAGCGACTGATAGCTAATGTAGTATTGGATATTTTATAATTTCCCATACCACATGATCACCAGCTGATAGAAACTCGAGAAGAAGCGCTGAAACGGCAGCTAAACCCGAATTGTAGACAAGAGTCGCAGCAGCTCCTTCCAACTCCGAGACGATCACCTAAACAATTCAAGCGATACTGAATACCAACCGTAAATAGGGTATAAGAGAACTAGAGTCTAGAGTCTAGACTTTGTTAACGTTATGATAATTTGAATCTAACGTTGAAAAAGAGAATAATCTAGAAGCTAGAATCTAGAATGAGAATCTAAACATTGCCAGCATATCACTACAGAGCTTATTGGTGAAAATCTAGCTCAGATAGATTTGTAAAGATTTGTAGATTTGTAAAGATTTGTAAAGATTCGTAAAGCTCACCTCAACATTTTCAACAGTTGGATTTCCACATCGACTGTAGACATAGTTAGAGCCCTAGAGTTGAACATATTCAAATTTGAAGACAAAATTATAGAGCTGGATTTAGCCAGAGATTTTTGAGCCAGAGATTCTTTGAACATATTCAAATTTGAAGGCAAAATGATAGAGCTGGGTTTAGCCAGAGATTTTCAAGAAGTACATAAAATTTCTTGATTACTAGAGCATCATTTAGATTTAGATTTAGCTTTAGATTTAGATTTAGATTTAGCTTTAGATTTAGCTTTAGATTCAGATCTAGATTTAGATTTAGCTTTAGCTTTAGATTTAGCTTTAACTTTACATTCCATTTCTTCCATTTCCATTACTTCCATTTCCATTATATTTACAAATGTTTCTCACATGATTTGGCTGATCCCATTGTGCCACAGTGGCAAAGCGGTAGGTGGTCGTTTGATAGATCGGTACAACGACCGGATCAACATTCTATGTAAAAATTCGATGTAAAAATTCGATGTAAAAAAGTACTAATCAATTAAGAGTATCCATTTTTCACTTGCTTTCCTCGAAATCTAATGTCTAAAATGTTTTTGATGCTTATTGTCAATTGTCGAGACTATAGCATTTCTTCTATTCGAATGCTCTTAATTTTTCAGTGATAAACTCTTCTATTCTGGTGATAAACGAATCTGTTGAAGGAATTGGTGAAATTTTACCACGATTTTAAGAATTCTAATCGTTTATCCAATCCTTATCTACGCCTAATCATTTAGGCGTAGACATTTATCCTTATCCAATCCTTATCCAATCCTTATCCAATCCTTATCCAATCCTTATCCAATCCCTATCCAATCCTTATCCAATCCCTATCCAATCCTTATCCAAACCTCTAACGCTTTCGCTTTGCTAATCGAGATTTTGCTATCAATATGCAAATTGACAAAATCGTCACCAAATTTCTCGCGTGCCTCGTTTTCACCAGGAGGCCAAGTGCTAAAAGTATCGTTTATTGCCTACTGCAAGGATAGAGGAGAGACTTGTTTTCTAAAAGTTTTCACAGCTATCGTACAATCGTACAAATCTAATTTAAAATCATTCACCCACCTCATCTTTATTGACCAAAGGGAGTAAATGTCTAGATAATGTGTCTGTTTGTTCAAAAGGAGTTCGCTTTCACGTGAATTCGTGAGAATCTTATCTCCTAGTCGGGAAAAAGGAAAAGAGAAGAAAGGAATTGATGAATAGTATTGAGAAAACTGATAAGCCTCTCGTTTTGTTGCCCCAATCAAATCTCAGCCCATTTTTAGCAAAAGCCCAACTTTTCCGACTCGAAACTATAAAGAGCATTTTGTTTTTTGAAAGAAGCGTTTACATAAAAGCTACCGTGATCTCAGCTTTTACTGATTAAAACAAAAAGTACGACGAACTTTTTAAAAACCTACCCAATCACAAGAAGCTTCTCAACTGTCGTACTACCTAAATGGCAAATAAAACTTTATCACCCATGTATGCGCATAAGTCATGTAAAACATAAAATTAACCACACACAGCAAATATCATAAATAATAATACGTAATCTCTACAGGAACAAACATGGACAAAGAGGCAAAATCGGAGAAACGCGATCCAAAGAAAAATCAATTCCTATACACAAAAAGAATATCTGAAACGCGCATGAAGCTTACAATTAATCAACTAAATATATGTAGTCAAAAGAACAATATTAATAAGAACTAAATGGACTAGCTTAATTACAATAAATCACGCATTGCGATCCGGTTTTCCCTCTGAAAGAAATTGATCCCAATCGATTTGATTCCTGAAGACTTCTCGTGTCAGCCAAAGCTCGTAGTTATCCTTGAAGCTAAACAAAAAGCGTTAGCTGGTTCGTAACTTTGATAAATACTTAAAGGTTGATCTGATCTAACATCTAAACTAAAACTTAAAAACTGCAAATCTTACTTGTCCGGAAGATCCATGTCTTTACCAAGAACTGAGAAAGAACAATTGTCGACTGGCTCATATTCCCGCAAATCCACATGATTCAAATAGTTGTCGCCAGGAACAACGTTTTCATTGACTTCTAAAATTGATAATTATATGCGACTGCTGGATTCACTGACCGATAGCAAATGCAGGATGAATTTTAGAGTACCGCCGTGAATGGAAGCGCTCAATCAGGGACTTGAGTGATGATTCATCCGTCTAAAGTAAAATATGTTAGATGGATTTATAAAAAAAACCTGAAAATCCCAAGATTTCGATCGAGGATCATTAGCGAATGCCCAATCGTCAGCAAGCCTAAATAGTTAATAAAATAGCTTTAATCAAAGTACACTTGCAAACATACTCTTATTGCTTGAATCTTTAACTCAATAAACAAGAAAAACTACCTGTGTCGAACGGTGCAATAGATTGCCGAGATGATATCCATATTCGAGCGTCTCCACGGTCTTCCCAAATAGCGAGCCTGCATCTTCAACAACTTCAATGTGTAAAGTTGGAACAATCCCTAAAAAAAACAAAGTTTCTTTGGGAACAAAAAACAAGTATACAAGCACAAAAAACCCACCACACGAATCTTGAGACACCGTTTTAAAATCGGAGCACTTTTGAAGACCACCCTGCAAAGTTTAGATAAAAAGCATTCAAACAGAAATCCTTACAGCATCATTGTCCTTGCCAACTTCCATTTAGTCAATTTGTTTAGTATTCGAACCATGTTGATTGAGCTGAATTTCCTTGATATAATGGCAAATATTACTCAAACTAACCTGAACACATTTCTCCATAAATAATAACCCTCCGCCGCCGGTCCAATCTCCACATTATCCGCATTAAGTGATGGAAATTCTTCTAAAAAACAACGCATTACTTATTCAACCTTTAATTAACCTTTATTACGAGCCCAATAAATTGCACATTGTGGATAGTTGTAGGGATGAATTTCGTGGCGAGATTGAATGTAGCGAATCATGTTTTGGTCCAAGAATTTCAACATCAGAGGAATCCCGTTGCAATAGATCTAAACACAAAACACACCTGGAAATCATTAACAACAAAATTACTAACCAATTGCTGAGCAAACGCCTCAAATTGGAACACGTGGTTGAGCTTGAAATGTTTGAGTAGCAAAATGATGACTGACGAGGCAGCTTTTACAACAATCTAAAGCTATAGAATCTTCTTGGATATTTCCCTGAACTGACCTCTTTGTGCCGATGAATATCGATGGCAAGTCGGACGCTTTCTTCCAGTGGGTTGATTCCGCATCGATCAAGGGACATCGAAGATGACAAGACGTCGATTGCATCAGTTTCAGGAGTCAACACATCACAAAAGATATTCACCGATTCCCCTTTGGCCTAAAATTGATGAGCTTGCAAAATATTAAGTTGAAAAATTACTTTACTACTCGGAGCCGCCGCCAAGAGCACTTTCAGCAACGCAACAACATAATTAGACATCGTCGGGAGCAATTGTCGATAGATCAACTCGGTCTATAAATGAGAAATTTCAAAAGTACCCAACACAAACAAACTTTATTCCCAATCACATCTTCTTTCTTGGAGAATACATATCGATTTAATTCCTCCTCTTGTTTCAGCTAAAAACTTTTTAAACATTGCACCCGAGATTTATGACAGACCTGCACTTCTCCCAAAGAAACATATAAATGTTTTTTGAGAACCTTCAAACTAGAAAGTATTGGCGGTGGAAGTCCAAAAACCGTGTCGATATCTCCCGAAAGCTCATAACTAAAATTTATGAAAATATAGAAATTCTTCAAGAGTCTACCTGAAGAATTTCTTACGAGCATGTTGCATAAAAACATCGATGTCATCTTTCCGCACTTTTCCGCTCCAAGGTAGCTAAAAAATTCACAAATATTGCCAAAAGATAACACAAACTCTTCGGATTTGCCGAGACTCTGAAGGGGATGTTGCTGTTGGAGTTCTTTCGCCTTCACCTTCGGTACTCATGGCTAAATTTACACTAACTTTCTCGCAGATCTTTTTAACACCAACATGAAGAGCTTGAAATTGGTGTAAGTGCCTCGTCTCCAGGAACTGGTGTCTCAGATCCTAAATATACCCAAGTTCATGCACAGCCAACCATTAAAAGCATAAGCAAAGAAAAAAAGAAATCAAAAACACTTTACCCAGTAGGTATTGCTCTATCACGGCTAAACAAAAATTACTTGTTTTTTTTTCGTTTATTCGGGTTGCGTTTGCTGTAAGAAAATTACCGGAGATATCAGCGGAGCCATCTAACTCATTGACATCTTCTCCATCGGTCTCGGTGTAAGCCATTTGCCTTCCAAGCATTCGACCGGGCATAGTTTTACGCACTCCTCGAAATCCCCCTAAATAGCATTGATTTTTATTAGAGCATTAGTAAATCGATACCAATTGGCCCATCGCCATCGGGAAGCGAACAAGCTTTCATGTGACGCGCCACTTCCAAAGTATCCTCCAATATCGAGAGTCCAGCTTTTCGTCGAAGAGCATTCTTATCCGCCAATGCCGCTTGCCAACCACCAAATGTCGCCAGAATAATTTTCCATGTCAGCAAAAAGATCTGAATACTTGATTTGATTTATTTTAACTTGTTAATTGCACCTTTTTGACCGGAAAATGCGGAGAAATCCCACTATAAAACGGCGTCATCATATCGAACAAAACAATCAGAAGCGGCTTATTCAGATAAAGCAAGGGACGCTCTAAAATCATCAAAAGTTCTGTATTAATAGTAAATTTACCTAAATCTTCCAAAAATGAGACCCGAACAGAACGTAAATGTTCGCGACTCTCCGTCGTATCAGTTATTGCATCAATTAGTTCTTTTCGCCTAAATAACAATAGTTACATGTGTTTAACTAAAAAAGTTACCGAATTGTCTCGACCAAATGATACATGGCACTTAGAACGGTTCTCAACGCTTGATTATCCACTAGAGTCGCACTTCTCTTGTTTCGCTTGGCTTAAAGTTTGAAAAGTCACTCCTCTGATAACCAGCTCTCTACTGAGCAATTGTTAAAAGGCAAGAACCAAATTCTGAGATTTATAATAAAACTCACAATGATCAGAAAGATCCGTTGAGCTGAGTTGCCAGCTGGAGTTTACTTTGCTCTCGCAACCCTCTTGATCAAAAGGCTCTTCAATTTCCCGTAACAACATCATCGTCAACGCCTCCAGAGCCCCAACTTCTGCAGCCAGGTAGCCGTATTTTGCGGCTCGAATTAGGCAATCGTTGTTGATTCCACTTGAACCTGAAATTCAAGCAAATAAATGCACTATGTCAAAAATATATACTTGGATTCTGCGCAAAGATATTTCCACTGTTATCCAATTGTAAATCTTCTTCCTCATCGTAATCCATAAAAGCTCCCTAAATAAATTTTTAGATATACACACTTCTAATCTAAAGTTACCTGAAGCACGTAGAGAAAAGCACGAGCTGCAGACAAACGCTCTTCTGCTGAAGCCGAATCAAATCGAGCGCACAAAATATTCAGCACGTCGAGTTGCTTTTGGCGTCCAAGATCAACAAATGAGTTGCCAAATTTGCTGTTAAAATCCTAAATCAGTATTTATGAGAAGTTTCAGTAATGAGACAACCTCAGAGCTTTCTAGAAACGCCTTGTAAGCATGAGCATTCTTGCCAAACTCTTCCATTTCCGAGTAAGCATATAATTCGGCGAGTTCATTGTGATACTCATCAGCATCCTCATACGTGAAAGCCAAGTCGCCGATTTCTGCCTAAAACTTTTGCCATCAATACAATAAAAACAAAATAAAAACCTGATGATCGCGTTCGGTTTCCAATTTCCCATGCATTTCCCCATTTCTTAAGTCTTTCAACTTCGGCAAAACGGCAGCTCTAAAAAATTTAGGCTATAATTAGAATTACAAAACCAACCGTCGTTGTGCCAACGAAGATTCGGACATTTCGCTGATCCCGCTGTTATCCGAGCGTTCTGTTGATGGGGTTCCGTAAACTAAAATAAGTGATTAAAGGTTACAAAGTGAAAATCCAACCATCTTCCGCGAAGTTCGGCCGCACCGGACGTTTCACCTCGTCCATAAGCTAAAAAATTTCATAAAATAAAATCCCAGAAAAAATTATAAAAAAAGGAAAAGCTAGATTCGGAAGCTACGAAAAACGAAAAACATCAAAAAAGTCAATGTTTGCAAAATATTTATCTAGTATTGAACTTTTTAAAGATATTCAGTTCCTTGACTGAAAGTTTACAAAAATCTAGGATATTGCTATTTAAGGAAAGTTTTTTTGCGAATGTAGTGTTAGCTAATGTAGCTTCTTTAATGTTCAGTGGTTCTATAACCTTTTCAAAATCAAACCCGTTCTAAAGCGTTAGTGTTAGCCAAGTTATATCCATTGCCCACTGCTCCCGCTACGCTTTTTACTCCTTTCAATGCCACCCTGCAGAGTCCTTATTTCGAAAAATTCATGTTTCAACGTTTCTATCTTGCTGTTGCTGTTTACGTCAATCATTTACTTCAGTTTTAACTCTCTTTTATTTACGTTATCGACTTGAAGTGACCAATCAAACTGCAAAATGGCTAGGCATCGAAATTTTCATAATATGAACTATGAGGATGGTAAGAAATAAGTGATTAAAGTGATAAGCATAGTATTTCGAGAAAAAAAATGTAGAAAAGTTTTTGAGAGCTCAAAAAAGTCTAGTAAATAGTAAAAGTCTAAAATTGTAATAAAATGATTGTTTTCAGAGTTTTCTCAAGACGAAGACGATGACCAGGACTTTTTACTCGATGACGAAAATTATGCCATGTCGCCGTCAGCTTGTGAGTTTTTGATTTTGAGTCATGTAATATTTTGATTTAGCCCAATTCATGTATCGTCGCCAACGTCTATCTTCAACAAATTCTGGAGTTGTGCAAAACGTCCCGAAATTAATGGACTTCATCCCAGATGATATCGACAAAAAGCACGACGAAATGTTTCAATTTGAAGACGGTATGTTGTATTTCTTTTTTTTAAGTTTTTGGTGTAAACAACAGCTATTTTGAAAAAGATCTAGAGAAAAAAGTAATAACTGCAAAATACTTGAAAGTTTAAAGTTAATCGACTTAATTTTTTAGATGTAAAACTGAGCTACCAAGACATACCGCCTCCACCTGGACTTTCGTTGAAACCAGGCAACTTGCCACCGTCAGGATTTGGACCTTCAACATCGCAAGGAAAGCCGCCAGCAACAGTGAAGGTACTATTTTGAAACGTGAGAATAATTAATATCCCAAAATTTATATATTTGTCAACAAGTTCGTTTTTAGCCAATCGGATTCAGCATCACACGGATTGGAGAGCCCATGACGCAGCCTATGGAAGAAGTCGAAAAGCCGAAGCCTTTCGCCGTTGAGAAATTGAAGGCTAGTGAGCCCGGAAAACGAAGTAGCTCAAAATCACCGTCTCGACAAGCAAAAGCGGACGGCTGGGAACCGCCTAAAGGATTGACCCCAAACGCTTCTTCGCATAGGTTTTTGAAATATTTATACTTCTTTAACGCTAAGTTCAGATTGAGTCAACTTGCCGCCATTAGCAGCGCTCCAGCTACACCAAAGAGACAAAGGCGAAGAGATGCAGCCACAAAAGAACTCGTGAATCTCGTTGTTGTTGGGCATGTCGACGCAGGAAAAAGTAACTAACGGGTTTATTTCCTAATTTTATGCGATAAATTTTAGGTACGCTGATGGGACACATTCTTTGCAAAGTTATTTATTTTGGATTTTTTTAAGTCAATTTTTTAGTTGAATTTTGTTGATCAGAAGACGATACACAAATACAAGCAAGAGTCGAGTCGACAAGGAAAGGCTTCATTCGCATTTGCATGGGTACTTGATGAAACCGATGAAGAGAGGTGCGTTATAAGCTTTAGTTTATTTGATACATTGTAAACAGATTAATGAAATGAGGAAATGGTTTTAGAAACCGTGGCATCACGATGGATATTGCTCGAACGTTTTTTGAGACTAAGCACAGAAGAATCGTGCTTCTAGATGCCCCGGGACATCGAGATTTCATCCCAAATATGATTACAGGTTGTTTAATATAATAGCTTTTAATCTGAACAAGTTTGTTTAGGGGCTTCTCAAGCTGATGCGGCACTTTTGGTGGTTAACGCGAATATTGGTGAATTTGAATCCGGCTTCGATAAAGGAGGACAAACTCGAGAACACGCGATGCTCCTTCGATCTTTGGGTTAGATATTTTTTTAATCTGTGCAACCTTTTGTAGGTGTATCACAATTGATAGTTGCTGTAAATCAATTGGATAAAGTTGAATGGTCACAAGACAGATACAAAGATGCGAGTTTAACTTTTTTGTTTGAAGATAATCGTTAGCTACAGGTGGAGAGTCAAATCAAAGTGTTTCTTGAGCGAACGGCCGGATTCACGAACATCAAATTTGTTCCATGCTCAGGATTGAGTGGAGAAAACTTGGTAAGCTATTAATGTTGAAGCGTTTGCTAAATGTAATTTAGATTGAACGCCCAAATGAAAGTTGCGACTTACGTAAATGGTACAATGGACCCTGCTTAATTGAATTAATCGGTTAGACTGAGACATTGTTTTTGTTTAATCATTGTTTAAGATGAGCTTCAAGCACCAAAACGAGTTGTCGACGGCCCTCTTCGCGCGATTATCAATGACATTTTCAAGGTGAGTTGATAATCTAATTGACTTAACATTGATTTGTTTAGTCAACATCGACATCACTGTCCGTGTCAGTAAAAGTTGAATCAGGGGAGATTCAAGTCAACGACAAACTTTACATAATGCCGAATGCTGACCAGGCCCTCGTTAAAGGTTAGATTTGTTCGAAGTAAGCCTTCTATTTGGATTTAGCTGTAACAAACGACGATGGTGGTGCTTCGGATTGCGTTTATGCTGGAGATCAAGCATTGTTGACACTTTTTGGAGCATTTGAACCTGACACAATACATCCAGGACACGTACTAACTAGTGGAGGAAAGGTAGAAATTTGAATTCAAATTTGATTGATAAAAATTCATTGTTTAGGATGCTTTGATGCCCGGGCGAAGATTTATGGCAAGGATTGTCGTTTTTGACATTCCGATCCCAATTATGAAAGGTTAGCTATCACTTTTTACCGATTATCTATTTTTTAGGTACCAAAGCCGAGCTTTTCTGTCATTCTTTGTGTGAACCGGTGACCTTCGTCAAACTTGTGAGCGAAATCAGCAAAAATAATGGAAAAGTTCTAAAGGAACGCCCGAGGTGGGATAAATTTACAAATTGTAGCCATTTTTCTTTCTAGGTGTCTCGCGCGAAACAAATCGGGAATGGTCGTTATTGAAACGGAACGAGATGTGGCGATCGAACCATATACGGTATGTTTTATTTTAAAACTGTAATTTTAAACAGTAATCGGCTCAACCGTAGAAACGGGGATTTTTCAAAGTTTTAAAATCTTCACTTTTTTGTACTCATAAATAACCACAGTTTAGCACTTTATTTGTTATCGCAACTTTATTAGCACAACCACTTAAGGAGGAAAAGAAATGTACATTTCATTAAGTATGCGTTGAAGAAGTGCCGTTCCATTATTAAAGCGACGCCACATATACGCCCATAAGTAGGTCGGGAGATTGTCCTTGGTAGCACCCCTCAAATGTTTAATGCTGTGCTTAACTACTTCCCACGCACTTTCGATTGTCAAACACCGGTGTTGTTTAAATCAAATGAAAAATGCAAAAAAAAAATTAAAATTTTTTAATGTGCCCTGGTTTTTATGAGTACAAAAAGATGAAGATTTGAAAACCCTTGAAAAATCACTGAAAATTTGAAAAATTCCTGGAGCATTTAAAAATTTCCGTTTCTACGGTTGAGCCCAGTGATCTTTAAGGTCTGCAAGCCACTCGGAAGGATAACGATTCGATTGAATGGACAGACGATTGCCGCTGGAATCATCGAATCACGAACCGATTAACTTTATGCCTTTGATTGACTTAGGTTTTACAAATACGGTTCTCGGGCTTGTGATATATAGTTTTGCCATTGATTTCTAGTACATATGAATTTTGTAGTAATTGTGAATTGGGGAGGTTTTATTTGTTGCTTGTTGCTAGAGTTTTGTTATGAATATGAATAAATCTTTATATTAGAAGTTTATTTGAAGTGGTTGTTGGAACAAAATACATAATTTTTTTAAGGCGTAAAAGCTGGAATGGTTTGACAAAGCCTTTTAGTGATGGCGGATGTAAACACGACGGGATCGGAAGTAGCGACCGTTTCGGGTAAATTATTTAGCTACACTAGTTTATAACTAACGTCTTTTGTTGGAAAAGTTTGGTTTGCGGCTGTAAAACTCTGTAAAACCTTTTTTGCTTTTAGAAACGAAGGCGCCTGAAAGCACTGAGCCAGCCCCAGCACCGTTTCCTGAAAACGCGGACAAAGGTGGTGTCTGCTTTTGGACTAGTTGTCACACCGACGGTTTAGACTTCGAACAACGCTACATCAATGATAAATGGGTGATACGTTATGCGAATGGAGGTTTTGCCAAATTGGAAGACGATGAGTGGAAATACGTTGGTTTTTATAAAAAATTAAGCTTATTTAATTTTTAGCTTGATGAAGGAGAAGGAGAGTTGATGCAACAGCTTTGGTTCGAACAGATAGCTGCTGAAACGCAAGTATCTCCCTAAAGTTTTTAAGTCGGTGCAATCTAATGTCATAAAATTTAGATCATCGATGGTGTCAAGCATGTGTGGGACCGTGAAAAGCAAGAATGGCAACGGGTTCAGGAAATTGACGAGGATTTCATTGCTAACTATCAGGTTAATAGACAAATTCTCGTTGAAGAATTATCTTTTTAAGGCAAACTATGGTGTTGATTACGATTATTCAAAGATCGAAGTGAAAAAGCCGGACAATGTAAAACCCCAAGAAAAGGAAAAGAATGAGCAGAAAAAGGATAAGAATAAAATCCCACAGAAAGGTTTGCTTTTAAAGATTTTTTTTTTGTAAGTTGTGGGCTTTAAGGCTGGGTCGACAACGAACTTAATACAAGCGTTTACGTCACCAACTTACCACCCGATATTGATGAAGAAGAATTCCACGTTTGATTCTTATCTTGAATTTAAGGAATTATAGTTTAGGAGTTCATGATAAAATGTGGTGTTGTTCAAATGGATCCCCGAAGCAACAAACCGAAGATAAAGTTGTATCGCAATCAAGATGGTTCATTGAAGGGTGATGGAAGGTAATTTTTTTGAAAAACAGAAAGTTTTAAATCAAATGCTTTTCATTCTAGATGTACTTATGTGAAACAAGAATCGGTAGAATTAGCAACAACACTTCTTCATGAGTCAATGTTCAAGGGCAGTAAGATATCGGTTTGTTAGGATTCCTTTTTAGCATTAAGACTGTTTTTAGGTGGAGGAAGCGCATTTCGAGATGAAAGGCGATTATGATCCAGCCAAAAAGAAGCGGCGACTGACCGCTCAGCAAAAGAAACGCTTCCTTGATCAACAGAATAAGTAATCAATAATTTGAGATTTATAGAATTCATGCACACTTTCAGGATCTTTGCTTGGACTCCAGATAAACCACGAAGCTACCGCCCAAAATCAGACTGTGTCGTCATTTTGAAGGGTCTCTTTACCATTGAGGAAATGGAGGTAAGGTAAATCTTTTTTTTATTGAAGAAAACTTTTATCACAGGCAAACGCTGCTTTAATGCTTGACTTGAAGGAAGAACTCAGCAAAAGTTGCGCGAAATACGGTCCGGTGAAGAAAGTTGTGGTATATGATGTGAGTTTGGAACTGTAAGAGCTGATTTACTTTTTATTTCAGAATAATCCGGAGGGTGTCGCTTCAGTTCATTTCTCAAACACCGAGCATTCAGATTTGGCGGTGAAAGTAAGTGAAAGTTAATTGCTTTGACATTACTTTTTGTTTTTTTTAGAGTCTTAACAATCGTGTTGTCGATGGAAGATTAATTCAAGCTCATCTCTGGGATGGTCGTACCAAATACAAGGTACCCGCTTATAGATTTATTTTTACAAAACTATTTGTTTTAGGTGGAAGAATCAGAAGAAGAAGCAAAGAAACGTTTGGAGAAATACGGACAATCGCTTGAAGCGAATGAAGAGGTTAATGATTGGAAATTAGATATTCCTTATATTTCTCAAGGTATTCAGCTGAAATAGCTGACGGTATATCTTGAAAAGCATGTTAATTCTAGAATTTCTAATAAAAATTTGAAAATTTAGAGCGAAGATACGAGTGACGAACACGAAAGTGATAGCCACGAAGAGGCTGAAGCAAAAACCGATGATGACGATGGAGAGGAAGAAAGGGAAGAGGGACAACAAGATGTCGCTTCTTCACAATAATTTAAACTTTTTCTACTTTTCTTTTCGGGTATACAGTTACTTTTTATGTCCTCATGTCGATCTCTAGTTTAATTTATTACAAGTCGAGTAATTTTTGTTTATCTGGTAACTGGTGAGCATATTTGTTGTTTTTATGTTTGTTATTCTCATGCGACTGAATTTTCAAGAATATTTTATTTAAAGCGCTATTACGATTACCCGTAAAACAAAAAAACCCTCAAAATGCAAGATCCTAGCAAAAATTTATACAAGGTGTAAGTTTTAAGCTTCTATCCAACCGTTTTTATCTTCACAACGTGCAGACGATAACCTCGATGGGAGTTGATTGAAAAGTTTCTTCGATGATTCTGACAACCTGAAATGGTTGATTTCAATCAATTACACGGCAAGGCCAATAATCAATATTATCTCCTGATGGCTCTACTCTAGTACCATCCTTGCTTTGGTAAAAGCTAGCCGGCTTTAAAACTTTTGAGCTTTTAAAACGGAATCCGCATCAAATTCACCTTATCCCAATCGAGCCTGTCGAGACCGCATCCAATTTTTGGCATCAAAACTCCCGGAATCGACTTTGAGACCAGAAAATCACGCATATCCTTAAAGTTTCAAAGTTCGTGAACCTCTTAGTGCAAAAGCTAACCTCCAAGCTTTCTCGCAGCGATGAATAGGTGGGCTTTTGATAATAGTACTCCTTTGTGATGAGGTAACAAATCGAACGATCGGCGCGCTCCAACGTGAACAACGTTCCTCCGGTTGGCTCTAAATGAGAAAAATCTTTATTGTAAACGTTTCTAGAAAACTCGCATATCTTTAAGAGCTTACTTTTTGTTGACTTAAAAGTTTTAAAACTTTAAAAACTTAATTGTTTTTTTCGCCGTTGCCGCTTGTTTTTTCAGCTCCGCCACACCGCCAAAACGTTTTTTGAACTCGACGGCGATTCCTTTGCCCATACTAAACATAAACTGATAAATATTAGTGAACTATTAATCAAGTTATAAAGCCTCTTTACCTAAAGATTTTAACGTTCTTTTAAAATAATTTGTCTTTCAACGCAAAAATGACAAAATTTTAACCATTTTCCTAACTTTTGCATGGTTTTTAAGCAAGTGGTAACCCTTGAAAAAGTAATATACGCTTGAGAAAGTAAAAAAAAGAACTCAAGAATCAATAGCAATCAAATAGCAATCAAAAAACCTACGCACAATCCCGACTGATGCAGTGTGCAATGGAAAATTTCTTGTACTCGTCCCTGTCGAAGAAATTGAAGAGATCCCCGCGTTTCATTTTGATTCGCATCTTTCTCGAGAGAGGAATTGCCCTGAAAAAGAGAAAAATAGAAGCCTTGAGAAAAATGAGGGGCGGTGGCTAGTTTGCGTCAAATTTTTTGCCCAACTGGATCATTTGCCAAACAACTTCTTTTGTGCAACTCGCCATAACTTTTTTCTAAATCGACCAATCTTTATGATTTTCGTGTCATTTTGTTTGCACTTGTTTAGATCTACAAAATGACACCAAAATCATAAAGATTGGCCCACTAAGAAAAAAAAGTTATGGCGAGTTGTGCAAAAAATTTGACGCAAAGTAGCCATCTCCAAAAATAAAGAATTTGTTGAAAAAGTTCAGGGGTATATATAGAAATTTTTTAACTGAATATCTTTATTTCGCTTGATTGAGGACTAACACTTCGGGAGTGGGACAAATGCGACCTTTTTTTTTTGCGCACCCGGACATTTGCGTACCTTTTTTTCCGCACCTTGCCCATTAGCGCACCTTTTTTCGCGTTTTAAAGCTCTAAGCTCTAAAAAAAGCTCTAAAAAGCTAATAGCTTAACCAATTTCTATTCCAAATTTTGTTTTTCTAGGTAATTTGAGGGTGTCAAATTCAAATTTTGACATATCAGAGCGTGTGGAAGCACGTGGCTTCTAGCTCAGTAACGAAACTCACCTCAGCCGTAGGAGAATCAGGCGATAGCCCAGGAGCCACGTGCCTCGAAGGTAACCAATTTGAAAGAAAAAACGGCTCGATCAAATTACAGAAAATTGTCTATTTTTTCTCTTTGTATAACTCCGTCCGTTTGTTTCCACAAGCTCTGATATGTCAAAAGTTTCGATTCTACGCCCTAAAATTACCTAGAAAAACAACATTTGGAATAGAAATTGGTCAATATTAGCTTTTTAATGCTTTTTTAAGAGCTTAGAGCTTTAAAACGCGAAAAAAGGTGCGCTAATGGGCTGGGTGCGGAAAAAAATGTGCGCAAATGTCCGGGGTGCGCAAAAAAAAAAAGGTCGCATTTGTCCCACTCCGAACACTTCACCAGGAGTACGCCGTACCGTAAAATTGTGATGACGATAGCTCAAAAATCCGATTACATCAAAATGTTGTGTGCACTCCAGATAAGCTTTTGAGCAAAAAAAAAAAATTTGAAGATGCTAAGACGAGTTTATAGATAGAGCCTCGCCTCCCGTAAATATCTTTGCACAAAAAGCGTTTTCTAAAATGTGTACTATTTTCTCGACTACCGTAACCTTGTGTATTTTATTCAACCCCACTTTTCATATCTTTCGATATCCTTTGTGAAAGCACAGAGAATTCCGAAGAAAAGTGGATTGTTTGGGTGAAAATTTGGAGAGAAGACTCTACGATAGTCGAGATAGGTTTTAGAAGATTTTAATTGCTTTATTTTCAGAAAACTTCTGAAGCACTTTGGTTCATTAAACGTAAAAATTAGTCAATTTTACAATATTTAATCTTTATTCAGAACAAATTCAATTCAAATTTAATAGGAAATGGAAAAAAAGAAAACAAATAAGAAACAAATAAGAAACAAATAAAAAACAAATAAGAAAACAAAAAGGTATATTATTTTTGATCTTTTGGATGTGGTTCTTGAAATTTTACGCTCTGTGGACTGGTGAGAATCTGGAAAATTTTGTAGAGCTGGAGGATTACTGTAGTCTGTAGTACTGTAGGATTACTGTAGTCTGTAGGTCTACTGTAGTCTGTAGATCTGTAGGATTACTGTAGTCTGTAGTACTATAGGGTTACTGTAGTCTGTAATACTATAGGGTTACTGTAGTCTGTAGTACTATAGGGTTACTGTAGTCTGTAATACTATAGGGTTACTGTAGTTAACACATCCCCTCTATCGCATCGAATTTCTTTCGTTCGCTTTTTCTCACGAGAAACCCTGGGGATTTCAATGCTCTCGGGAAGGATGCGTTTAGAGAATTTCGTGCACAACAAAGTACACAAAAAGATTACCTCATTTTGTCCTTCTTGCACATCGGCCATTAAAACCTCGTTCGCCTGCTCGTTTGCCACAAATTCGATCCCATATTCCTCTTTAATATTGTGCAAAAGGCGATCCTCATTCTTAAACAATAACACTTGCCAGAGAGCGTCCAAAACCTAAAATTCGTTTTTGGCTTTTCATTTGTGCTCGAAACGTTCTTTTATGCTTTGTGCTGTTAAACGCATCCTCTCTAGTGCACTCGATTTTTCTTTAAAATGAGAAATTGATTGAGTCGCGTCCGTTTCCTTCCTATTTACGTTGCTATTTTGCAATTATTCGCGTCGCATTTTTCGTCCTTTTTCTCCCTTCCCGAAATTATTTTTTTTTTTTGGGTCTGCGGGCTTTTGCGGAAGGCTTTGCTCTTGGGGGACTTTGTTTTTTCATTTTTGATGCGCATGCTGTTTTTGTAATCGGTATTGTTGCATTTCGGTTCTGTACTAATAAACAGTAACGTTATAAATTCACTTTGCTTTATGCTACCCTTCAGGTTTTAAATCCTGTTTAGATAACTGGCTTAACATTGTAGAGAGACTGGTTTTACTAACATTTGTGTCACCATCGACGTAGTATCAATCCGATCCGTACTCTTCTCAAGAGTATTAATCTATTGTTGGATACTACGTGTTCTTGTTACGTTGTATTGTTGGAACCGTATCAGATCAAAATTGGAACCGTATTGGAACCGTATTGAACAGGATTTAAAACCAAAAGCGCTTTTGGGGAAACCCTTTTTAACCTTTTATGCTATTCGGTCATTCCTTAAGCAGAATCATCCTCGTGGATAAGTTTAAAGCGCGTCGCACCCCAAACTATTGCACTAGAAAGGATTTTGTTTAAGGAATAAAGACAATATTGAACAAGAACATTCAAACCTCATTCTCTGATCGTGAATCGAATTGATAGGCGGTGAAATCGATAATTGCGTCAATTTTCTTTTGTACTTCGTTTGCCACTTGTCGAACGGGCAATGATTGGGGCTAAAGGATAAACGATATCGATTCAATTTAAAGTTTAAATGAATCATTTTGTAGAAATGAATCCTCATGTAGAAAAGGGTTTCGTTTAAACTTTAAAAATTGAAATCCAGTACATAAAAAAGCTTATTTCTTTTGATCGCTCTGATTGTCAATAGGTGTAGAACGGAAAAATCAAAAAGCTACCTGTGCGGTTGATGCCTCTTGAATCTCCTCGACACTTTTCTGCTTTAATTGATCCATTCTGAATTTTTAAATCAACTTTATCTATTAGATATGCGGAAAATCCAAGCCGACCCTAATTCCACCTTCGTTTTCTCAGCCGTTTCTCAGCCGATTCCTCTGAAACTTTGTCTACAGATAGAAAACGACATTTTCAGCTTGTAGACAAAATTTCAGAGCAATCGGCCAAGAAACGACCGAGAAAATGATGGTGGAATTAAGTTCGGCTTTGAATTTTCCTATGTTTTTTGATATAAAGATGTGTCCGTCGGTCAAACGTGGTTTTCTCTGCCCAAATCGAATTTTTGGATGCGCTTTTTTGTTAAATTGATAAAATTATACTGATGCCGCCTCAAAAATTAGAAAATTTCATCATTTACTTTTTAAAAGTTAAAAAAACCGTTAAATCATCTTTTTTTGCGATCACTCCCCGTCATACACTGTTTTTTTGGGGGCTTTTCGAAAGGTGGGTGTGGCCGAGTGGTTAGCGTCCCGCGCCAAAACTGGTACCAAAAGGGTGATGGGTTCGATTCCCGTCCGCTCGAAACTCTTTTGCTTTAAATGTTTTCAAGCATGGAGTTGAGGAGCCGTTGAAGTCACGGCGAAGACTTTGTTACAACGGAGAGGGGGGTAGTCAAAACAGCGCCATAATCGAAAACGTTCAAAACAGCGCCGTCAAATTTCTCAAAATCCAAAAAACAACCAAGCCGGTTCAAGCTTTTATATCAAAAAATTCCTTGCGTTCTTGGCTACACGATGGGTGAAACAGTTTTTTAAAAAAAAGTTAATATTTCATAGATAAAAAGAGCACTGAAAATGTGTGCCGAGTGATACTCAGTTGGTTAACTGAATATCTTTAGAGATCCATTTTGAGTGCCCTTTTTATCTATGAAATATTAACTTTTTTTTAAAAACTGTTCAACCATCATTTAGCCAAGAACACAAGGAATTTTTTGATATAAAACTTGAACCGGCTTGGTTTTTTGGATTTTGAGAAATTTGACGGCGCTGTTTTGAACGTTTTCTATTATGGCGCTGTTTTGACTACCCCCCAATGGAGAGGGAGCCGGAGTACATCAGCAAAAAAGGTAAAAAAACGATTTGCTGAAACTCAAAAATCCTAATCTTAACAATTCTAGTGTATGCAGTTCTAAAAAAGGAATTTAAATAAAATAGCTGTCAATTTTTTAGGAATAAACGCGAACTCTCCGCTCAAAAATCAAAACATTTTCCAAACCTATCTCTTTTCCTTCTTTTCTCCACAGCCCACTCCACTCCACTGTCGAGCTCGCCTCTTCGTGAAGCCTGAAAACATTTCAAAGTTATCCAACTTTACATTCTCATTGAATCAGTGCACCAGGAAAGGGTGCGTTTACAGTTTTAAGAAGAAAGTACATAAAAAGAACATATTATTTAGGGATATTTTTAAGTAAAAAAAAAAGTATTTCAGAAGAAATAATCGAAAAATTGAATTATTAAAGTGATTGAAGGATTGAAAAAAACTTTATTATTCTGCCAAAAAAAAAATCGATCTATTTTTAAAGCAAACCTTGATACATATTAATTTAGGGATATTCTTTAAAACCTTTTAAAGCAAACCTTGAGAAAAGCGCAAACATCAATGCGGAGATCGCGAAAATCGTTAATTTTCTAGAAAAATCACATTTTAAAATGATTTTTTTTTAAAATTTTTACTGCTTGTGGCTGTTTGGTAAGTGAATGAAGAGAGTGAAGAGAATCGTCAAACTAAAATTGAAAAAAAACCTCAATTGATTGAATAAATAAATAAACTACCTTGAAAGGCCGATTTGAGTCAAGTGTTGAGATCTTGCAATTACCATGAGAGATCTAAAAAAACGGCGTTAAAAGATTCCGAAAAAGAAAACCCAACCTCCGTTGGTAAAGGACCATTCAAATCGTAAGTGTAAAAAATGATCACATTTCCAACAATGCATCGACCGCACATCACATAGTAAATCTGTAAAATAAATCGATCATTCAAGGCTATTAAAAGCACTATATTCTACTAATATTCAACAAAATCCTACTTTACGACAGTACACTACAAAATCTAGACAATAAAATCCTATAATCGTACTACTACTTTTTTTTCAAATACAAACCCTTTTCTTCAATCGCTGACATCTGGGAAGTGTTGCTGTGTAAACGATCAACGAATACTCACAAGGAATCTCATTTTGACTCAAAGCATTGGATAGACTACCAGGCAATAACTCGAGTCTGGAAATAGAACAAAAACAGTCTGAAAATAGAACAAAAACAGTTTGGAAACAGAACAAAATTATTAATAAAAAAGGAAACGACTACGCGACTGTACGCCAAAAAACGACCGTCGTCTGTCTTTGGGGTAGGCTAATTTCCGCCATTTTATTTGCGCAACAGGGTCATTTGTGCAACTTTTTTTGACGTTTTTAAGGCACTAGCGCGAAAGCAGAGCGGTGCGCTTTCTAAAGCGTTGAAGGTTTGCTAGAAAGCTTTCTAATCTTTTATCTCAGACTTTTTTTAGAAGGGACCCAAGAATCTGCATCCATCGCATACTGCGGTCAGACTTTACGAAGAAATGACGCAAATAATCAACCGTTTCAAGCTTTCATCGGCTATCAAATGAAAAGTTGCGCAAATGACCCTGTTGCGCAAATAAAATGGCGAAAATTAGCCTACCCCCTGTCTTTCGTCTGTCTTTTTTTTTCGTCTGTCTTTTTTTTCGTCTGTCTTTTTTTTTCGTCTGTCTTTTTTTTCGTCTGTCTTTTTTTTTTTTCTTTTTCTCTTTTTTTTTTTTTTTTTTTTTTTTTTTTTTTTTTTTTTTTTTTTTTTTTTTTTTTTTTCCCTCTTTTTTTTTTCCCTCTTTTTTTTCGTCGGTCTTTTTTTTTCGTCGGTCTTTTTTTTTTCGTCTATCTTTTCCTTCTTTCTTACTGTACGCTCAAAAACCGTTAAAATCAAAATACTTACTTTGGACACAGCTTGTTCTTATTCCGAAATAGCAGATAGCGCTTGATTTTTGGACGAATGAACACCTCATCACCTGAAATTCGAAAGAAACTTTAGAAAAAGCTTTCTAGCAGACACTGACTACTGAAATCTTAAAATAAGCCAATAATTACTCATATTGATATACTAGATAATAGATAATAGAGCTATTGACTAGATAATAGATAGTATTGACTTATGCTAGGTCTAAAAGTCAGATCAGAATTGGTTTAACTTGATTTCTAAGTCAACGCCTGACTTTGATAAGCTTTAAGTTTGTTCTAATGGAAATGATCAGGCTCTATACTTTCTACTCACCTTGTTTGGGCTGTTTGGGTTCTGAGATTACTGTAAGTCTAAGTCTGGACCTTGTTCCGATCAGAACATCGATCTAGCTTTGATCCAGCCTTTTTTGGTTTAATTCCAAATCCAAAACCATTGCACTTTACAGTAAATAGCCGATCGTGCCTACCTCTTTGCCCTTCACTCCATGGAGAAAGCGCATCGACGGTTAAATGTCGTTGATCAATTATTGAGCAAGATTTCGCATCAATGAAGCACACAAAGCAATCGATTTCCGTTGTTAAAGGAGGAAGACGTGGGAATGAGTCATTCAGGAGGCCGAGCTCTGATCTGCAATCGTTTTAGCATTTTATTTAGTGCCTAAAGCCTCTTTGGAATTGCGGTAATTCTTCTGGACCAGATTCAAGCCAAAAATCAGGCTACCAGGTCATGAGGAAATGATATTAGGTCATTGTAGCCTTTCCAAATAAAGAATTAACTTTGTTTTATAGTAGTTTTCTATAAAAGGCTTGTCTAAAATCAAAAAAAATTGTTTTTAAAAAATAAAAATACATAGCTTTGTTAGTTAAAGGATTCGAACCCAAGCCGCAAAAAGCATTGATCAGTTTTGTAGACCGGACTACTATCCATTACACCACGACGACTGTCGAGAGGTGTCCATAAAATAGGCATTAAAATGGCGTTAAATGGGTATTTTGCTTCTTTTCTTGTTAAACTTATTTAACAAATATCTCGGATTTTTGATGGGTTTTGCAAAAAAAGTAAAACCAAATTCAGAAACAGCATCGGATAGGCTCTAATCTCATCTGGAAAAGCCACAGTGATCTAGTCCCTAGTCCCTAGTCCCTAGTCCCTAGTAAATTCCCTCGTTTAAAACCAATTCGATTCCAATCGTCGTCGATCATTTTTGTACCGATTTCTAGCAATTTAGATTCAATTTTTTTTTCAAATATCTCTTATTGCAAATAATTATATCTTTCTAATATTATTATTATTCAAAAAAAAAAAAAAAAAAAAAACTGACACCAAATCGGCTTCGTTAAAGGCTAAATCGAGTATTCGTCGTCGATCATAAACGAGACGTGTATCACGAACACGAAAACAAAAACTATTCCCCAAAACTGGGATACGATTGTCGAGATCGATCTGAAAATAAATAGAAATCAATTCAAAATCAATGAATCAATTCGAAATCAATGAAACAAATAGAATTCAATGAAATAAAAACAATTGAATGCTATTGCTGTGCACCAGATAGCGTGCGTTTATAGGCAATAAAATAAAATAAAAAACTTTCACGAACCATTTCCGAGTACGGCTTGTTAAGAGGCATCTTCTGGGTAAAGGATTCGATCTGAAAAAAGCTTTAAGATTATCAATAATTTTTAGAAATCTCTTCTAGCAAGTGTAGATGTGAGATCTTTTACTTGTAATTCGACGAGTTTCGTCGAATTCAGCGTCGGCGCTGGGCCATGATTGTTGTAAACATATGCGATCACAATATTCCCGACAATTTGATTCGTTATTTGATTTAGAATATGATAAATCTAAAAAAGAAACACTTTGTCAAAAAAGAAAATCTTATAAAAAAAGATAATCTTTATTCAAACAAACCCGTCGCTGGAGTCGAGGAAAACGAAAATGAACACAGTAATTCTCGAATAAAACATATTGAATCTTCGGATCGAAAGCTTGCTGAAATGAAGAAATAAAGAAACATTTTCTCTCTCATATTTTATGATTGATGATAGATGATAATGATAATGATAATAAATAATAATCTAATACCCGTATCCCAACAGAAATCAATTCCCCATTTCCCGTCTTTTCCAAACCCCATTTCTGACTTTTCGTATTTGAAGACGATCCGAGCTTTTCACCTGAAATCGTTAATTATTGTATTGTAATTATTGTATTGTAATTATTCTATTGTAATTTCTATTCAAAAATCTCAAATTCCAATTTCTATTCAAAAATACCTTTTTCTTGGACTGTTTAATTTAAATTTTCTTTATCATTAGGTTTTTCTGAAAAAAAAAACAACCGATAATCCAGCCGACGGGATTGAACCCTCGAGCTCCCGACTAAGAGACAAGGCTCCTAACGAGTCTGCCATCGGGCTAACTCTTCGCTTTTCTTTCAAACGGGTCTTTAAAGATTGTGGAGCATTTGCCGTACCCCGGTCCTCTTGCTATTGTCAATCTAACTTTAAGTTCAAATTTCTTGGTGTTCAGCTGTCCAATCACAATAGTTTTTTATATCAATCGATAGAGAAAGACTTCGCGCATTTAATGCTATCAAAAACATTTAAATTCGATAGCTCAACACAAAGAAATTTGAACTTAAAGTTAGCCAAAAGGGCGATCACCGTTTACCTTTCATTGTGCCCGTCCACGGACTGAGCGCATCTCTGTACAACGATTTTCGATCAATAAATCGATTGTCAACAAAGAAAACGAAAGTCTCCTCATTCTCTACAAGTGGTGGGCATTCGGGTCTCGTTTGTTGGATTAAACGATTCGATTCCCTACAAAAACGTTTCGCTTTTTCTCATAATTTTCTCATCTCAAAAACTCACAAATAATTCGTTTCATTGTTCATCCACGAAAGAAGATTCGCTTTTTGATAGATTGCTGTCGGATCGTTTAAACGAACGCAAATATCACCGACTTGACTCACGCGAACAGCAGCGAAAAACTAGAAAAAGATTGACGATTAAATATTTCTACCTTAACGTAAGATATTTCTATCGTAAGGGCCTATAGAAAAAGGAATTACTTGTCGACAATGTTAGCCAATGTCCACAAGTGCCACATTTGAAGATTTAAATCCCTTTCCTCACCTCATGATTGCTTAGTGGTTCCTCTGGGCCATAAACAGAAATCTCGGGAATATTTGGCTGCTCAAGACTCTCATCTTCGAGAAAATAATGCTCAAGATGATCGGTGGAAAGACGAAGCTGAAAAATGAAACTTTACTCGAATCCAGTCGAATCTAGTGCGCCAGAAAGCGTGTGTTTTCAAGGATAAAGTACAAAACCCTTTCTCGCTCACCTCATCTTCTCCAATTAATCCAAAACTCGTGCCCGGCGTTCCATCAATCGGAATCTCGTCAAGTGCGGTTAAATCCTAAAAGCTTGAGGATGAAATGATAACCTTTTCGATAAATCACTTCAACAATTTCCTCTCGAAGAAATCCATCTTCATCAATCACTTCATCAACCTCTTCAAAATCTTTTGAGAAAAAGCGAGGCAAGCGTGAACCTGTGAACCTCTTTTGTTTACAAATATTGAAAAGGATTTACTAGAAAATAGAAAATTTGATTTCGAGTTGAATGAAAGCTTGAAAATTTTGAAATTTTCTACCAAATGAATGCTCGAAATTCAACGAGATTCAATTCAGTTATTATTATAATAGTTAATATAAAGTAAAAAAAAATGAATGATAAAGATTTTGAGCTAATGAAAATTGAACTTGACTTCTTGCCCTCGACCATCTGTCTTACTAGGCAGATTCTTTATCACTGACCTTTCTGAGCGCCTTCTTTTCCCGAGAAGAAATAGGAAAGACAAGGATGAAAGAAAGAAAGAAAGAAAGACAAGAAAGAAAGAAAGAGACTCTCATTTTTATTTAATAACTTAAAACTAATCTTTTCTGCTTAAAAATCTTAATAATTCTATTAGAGATATAAAAAAAATTTACGATTTTGTTTCTGCCGTTCCACTCGAATCGTCTCTTGTCGGGATTTCTTCTCAAGAAATTCCTGAAAAGCATTTCAAAGGTGAAATCTATTTTTTATTTCATATAAAATTACCGTATTGATCGTTGGCTTTGGTCCATCTTCAACATATTCGTACGAGAAAATGCATCGTCCAATCGGATGTCCCATACTTCGAACATAAATAATCTGAACAAAGCTTTCAAATACTATTCTCATTCAATTTTCTAAAGAACAAATCTCTAATCACTTTTTTAATATCGTAACCAATCAATCAACCAATAAATACCGTACTCTGATTCATAAAACTACCGTATTCGATTGTCTTTTCAAACTGAAACTATAAACCTACACTTCATTGTCGTGAGGACAATGAAGTGTAGTGTTGAAGTGAGTTCAAAATCACTATTTGCTATCATAGATGATAAACAAAAGTACAATAGCTCTTTTCTAAGAGCTACAAAGAAAACAGAGCTTTCAAAGCTACTTTTAAGAAACAAAACAAAACAAAGCTCGTTCTTCTCAACGTACCCTTTTCCTCAATCTCGGACATCGTCCCAAGACAGCCGAATATTCGACGAGAAATGTCTCAAAGCGTTTCCAATTTTTCCCGAAATCCAATTTCCACATATCATCCGGTAAACGAGTCATTCCGATTTTTCGGGTTTTCGAGTGAAAGCCTAAAAACATTTTTGGGTTAAATGATTTTAAATCAGAAGTATAAGAGCCTGGCTCAAAAGCCAGTTATCCAGGTTTTGATCTGATCTAGATCTGGATCTGGATCTGGACCTGGTTCTGGATCTGGATCTGGATCTGGACCTGGCCTGACCGATGACCAGTCTCCGCCCCTTTTTCCTTTCGTTTTACGAAGATGAGATTCTTAAGCCGCCTTCTACGAATTTTGCTCGTATCTTCGCTGGTTTTTTTCTGAAAAAACGTTGAATTTCGAGCCTTCATTTGATAGAAAATTTCATTTTCGAGCTTTCATTCGACTCGGAATCAAATTTTCTATCTATTTTCTAGTAAATTCAATGTTTTTCAAACAAACCCAGCTAATTTGTAGAAGGCGGCTCAAGACTCTCACCTTCGAAAAACGAAAGGAAACGAAAGGAAAAGGGGGCGGAGGCTGATCATCAGTCAGACCAGGTCCAGATTCAGATCCAGGTCCAGATCCAGATCCAGATTCAGATCCAGGTCTAGGTCCAGATCCAGATCCAGACCCAGATCCAGATCCAGATCCAGATCCAGGTCCAGATCAGATCAAAACCTGGATAACTGGGTTTTGAGCCAGGCTCTTATACTTATGATTTAAAATCATTTAACCCAAAAATCAAAAAACGGACTGGAAAATGGGCCAGTGGCTTAAAATCCCTCTATTCAATTACCAAATCTTATTCATATTTAAAAATCAACCATTCGTTGTCCATGGCATCAAATCATCAGATGTTAAATCGTTGAAATCGATATTATCAACGTCGACGAAGAAAACGAAAGCCGTACAAGCGGTCACCAATGGCGGTAGAGTCGGTTTATTTGGAGAGATCCATTCGGGTAATCTGAAAATTAATCAATAACTGAATAGCTTTTTTTTAGACAAGATTACGGGTAGTTGTCTGTCTGAAGCTATCGTAAACTTGTCTCGAAAATTATTCAATCAATTTTCCCGCACATTTTCTTCGGATCATTGATGAGAAAACGCAAGAGAGACTCCTTTTCTTTTGCCCAAACGACAGTATGCGCTCGAATACATCGACTCCCGTCGTCCATTGTGATCAACTCGTTTTCGACAAACTGAATTTATTATAAAAATGTCTTTGAGATGTACGTTGTGCTCAAAAAAATTTAAACACACCCTTTCTCACGCATTGAATTCTTCATTTTCTACCAGAAACGATATGGTTTTACGAGAAAAATGAAGCCAATGAGAAAAATGAAGCCAGTGCGCCAGAAAGGGTGCGTTTACATTTTACTGCACTAAAATGCTTTCTAAAATGTGTCAAATTTCTCAAGCTATCATCATCTTGTCTATTTAATTTAATTCCACTTTTTATATCTTTCGATATCCTCTATAAACCCTCACAAAATCAGCAAAAACAAGTAGATAGATTGAATAAAAAATAGAGGCAAGATTACGGTAGTCGAAAAAGTTCAGGCACTTGGTTTAGGGTTACAAAGCTGGGCAACACACCGTAATCAGCACTATTCCCTACCGTAATCTCAGCACTATTCCCTATCGTAATCTCAGCACTATTCCCTACCGTAATCTCAGCACTATTCCCTACCGTAGTCAGCACTATTCCCTACCGTAATCTCAGCACTATTCCCTACCGTAATCAGCACTATTCCCTGCCCTAATCAGCACTATTCTCTACCGTAATCAGCACTATTCCCTACCGTAATCTCTCACCTACCGGATGATTTTTCCAATCTTTCTCGAGTGCTCTTCCCGTCGATCGGGAAAATAGTTTCTCTTTCTCCAAAGAGGACATCGTGTAGCTATCTAAAGCTCTAATAAAAGTTATCGTAAAATACTCTAATAGAACGCCCTAATAACGCCTAGTTCCAGAGTACAGTCGCGTAGTCTGGCTTCTTTTTAGAAAATCATTATTTTTTTCTCAGTTCCTAGCTTTTTCCCAACTATACTTTTGATATAAAAAAAATACTAGATTTCAAGGGCTATCATTTAACCCCATAAAGCACACTGTATCATAAAGCAGCGCGGAGAACGGCACGCGTTCAAAGTTAGACTACACGACTGTACGCCTGTCATTACGGGAGTGCCATTCTATTCTATTCATTCTATCGAGTATTTTACAAATCATCAAAATTTACCTCCATCAGTGAGTGATAGATCTTGCACAACATCTAGAATCTCTTCCTCATCAATTTGTGCTTGTGGTAATGTTGAGAAAACATTGGTGCTGATGTATTCCTAAAATTTAATAAAAGATAAAAGATATTCAGTTATCTTTTTCGGCTTTTGGCTTACGGCAAATAAGCTGAGATCTTGTGATGTATTTTGTGCTCGACAATTGTAAACACAAGCTTCCCGGTGCACTGAATTCCTTCATTTTCTTGCAGAAACGATATGATTTTTGCGTGAAAACTAAAGGATTTGATGCACTAGAAATTTTTAATTTACAATTTTCAAGCACAAAGTACAACACCAAAAGCCTTCAAAGAATCGAGATTTCAATTTTTCTTTTTTTCATTTTACCATTTTATAATTTTACCTCTTCTTCTAAAACATCCTCCACTTCAACAATTTCCGTAATAATATTCTTTTGATCGATTTGTAAATGTGTCTCATCAGGGTTTTTCTCGTTTCCCTCAAAACGACCAGCTTGACCCGGTAGAATTGTTACCAAAGCACAGAAGTTACCCTAATAATTAAAAGTTTATTTAATTCTTAAAAAGCTTCCCTCACTTTTTTATACATATCAAGTACATGTTGCATTTTCTTTGTCAACTGTGGGAATGGACCATCGATGAGAAACTCGTAGATAACCATAATGTCGCCAAAGGGAACCTCGTCACGAGTGATGTAGTAGATCTGAAATGAAATGAAAGATTCAAATATCGAATTCAGTGCACCAGAAAAACTGGCGCTTAAAATTCGGTGCATAAAATGTACTGAAATCCGAAAATATTCACCCTTTTCTTTAACCGATTCGAACATGGATGCACGGCGGTGTACTCGTGCAGAGAATACGGCGATGATCGGTGAGCTCCTTGTCCGACTCGACATCTAGAAATCGTTTTTTTAAGAAAGAAAATCCTCTACGACCCTCTAAAAAGTAGGAATTTTGTCGAATCAGATCAAAGCCAAGCATCACTTGGCTCACAGAAGGTATCTGACAAGGGAAAGGCAACAGTAGCATGTGGCGAAATGTTGCCAGAAACATCAAAACGCAAAAGAAAAGTTTTGCCAGGAATCGAACTCGAGCAAAGAAAAGCAAAAACGGAAAGCAGATTCGGAATCAGCGTGAAATTCTGCGTCTTATGGTGATCTATGGCTTATCATCTATGATCTATGGTTTTGGCTACATTCTACTGTCGCATTTCCCTTGTGAGCTAGCCAAGTGTGAACCTAACAATTAGGGATGTTGCAACCAGATTCTAGAACTCTAGGCCAGGCTAATTGTAAGCTAGGCAAAGCTAGAGTTAGGCCATATCAGGTCAAACGACAGGCTAACTATAAGCTAGAACTAGTTTAGAAGCCCTAGAGCTTCAGGCCTGGATAAGCTAGGCCAAAGCATAGCTAAGCCAGCCAGGTCAGGCCAGGCAGGCTAAGCCAGAGCTAGACCAGACCAGACGAGAGCTTCAAGGCTAGGTTAGAAGCCAAACCTGACCACAGGAGCCAGACCAAGCTGTATATATCCTAGGGATCGATGCCAGGATCCAAAAAGGCCAGATCTTTAGTAAAAGTCCTGTCCTAGCGCCTGAATCCCGTAATCCAGTTTACTCTAATGGAGCAGAGTACTGTCCTTTACAGTATCTAGAACTTTACGATAACTTCAAGCTATTCAACTCACCTGCCCGCTTCCATAATCACCGAGATCGTTCGTTGCTTACACCGCAGCGTCGGCAGGGGGACTCCTTAAGAGAAAATTTTCAATATTTAGATATTATTTAAGTCTAAGTATATTTTAGCTTAGGTTTATCATCGGATCTCTTAATTTCCGTACCCCCATCAATACTGAAATCTTCTTTGCTGCGACTCCACGGCGAAAGTGCGTCGAGACGGGTCTGGAAAGAGGACAATTTTTCTCAACCTTACTGTCCATATTGATTTCAAAATATTACAAATATATAAAATTCTACCTTCTGTGGTTGCACTTGGTTGCCATCGATGAGGAAACAAAAAGTGAACGAGTTTTCGACTTCTGGCGGAAGCAATGGTGGAGCGCAGTTCACCCAGCCCATCTCGTGGCTGAAAATTCATTCAGATACGATATTTTGCAGTTGTTTTTAGGTGTACTTTGTGCTTCATTTGACTCTTCACATCTAAACACACCCTTTCTAGTGCACTGAATTCTTAATTTTCTCAGACAGAAATGATTACAATTTCTGAGTACAAAGTACATCGCAAAGATCATCGCTTCATCTTTAGGCTAAGGATTGTAATCTAATTTCAATAGAAAAATACACCATCCATCTTACAGTTTCTTGCTAGTAAACTCATTTCAGTACACCAGAGGCGGTGTGTTTATAAATTTCTAAGCACAAAGCACAAAGCGCAAAAAAAACACCAACGTATTCCTCGTGCAATTCACGATACAATCAAGAATCGAGTCTTTGTTGAGAAAATCGGCGATCGACTCACGCCTCACCGTCAAATATTTATCCCCATACTCTGTCAACTCAGGTTCCATCGATATAAACTAAACTATTTCAAATACAATCACACAAAAAAAACCTCTTTCTTATACCAAATATCTCAATGAATAGAAGCGATTCGCTTCTAAATCGTTTGCATTGATCATTGACGGTCCCTCGAATGGCTCGAAAGTCTGAATAACTTTATTTTAACTGATGAATAACTAATGAATAATTTTCTAATATTGAATAAAAATTGAGAAGATTACGATGGTCGAGAAAGGGAACACTTAAACACTTAAAAGTTAACAGTAAGTCACTAACAGTAACAGTTAAAAGTTAACAGTAAGTCTCTAACGGTAACACTTAAAAGTTAACAGTAAGTCACTAACAAAGCCAGACGTGTCTTTCTCGCGGTCGATCATCGGATTCTTCTCGAGAACACTCAAACACGGCGGTTCGTCAACGTCGATCGCTTCTTTTCCCTCACCAACAGGATCAATCTAAAAGCAATACTTTATCTAACATCTATCTAACTTTATCTAATATTTTTCCTGATGCATTTTAGAGTATCCCCATTTCTTGTCTTACTATAGCTTATTTACGATTTCTTTTCCACATCTCACAATCAATTCAAAACTATCAAACCTACTATGGATCTCTTCACTAAACAGAGAGTCTATTTCGAATACTTACAGTTAGGTTAGCCTGATTTATTGTAAAATTCAAACCGTTGCTCAATGTCAATGGTTTGAGGTCAATGATTCAAAGATTCAAGCCAAAGAAGAGCCACTGCCCTTTCCACAAAACCAACCTCAACATCATCGCCAGCTCTCAGCAACGGCGTCTCCACATTTCTTTGATACGGTGGTGACGATTGTGGACTGATCACCGGAGCGCATTCCTTTAATGCTTTTAAGAATATTTATATTGACTACTACACTTTGTGTACTTAATTTAAGGCTTAATTCACCCTAATTCACCTCTTCTTTTGAGAACTTTTGCTCTAGTAAAACAAATCTTTCGCTTTGTCGCGTTCTCCGCTTTCGTTTCCCCAATTCAGATGAATCTAAACATAATATTGTTAGCGCCATTTGCTGACCTTATTAAAACCTTCAAAATTCGAGCCTATCGATGGATGTTCAATCACAAAATCGCTTGTTTGTGTTTCCACGACATCAATCTTAAAAGAGGTATTCGATTTAAGACAGGCTACACTCTATTCTATTTAAAACTATATTTGAAATTTCATATTGTCCTTGTTTATGCTTACATTTGCACTTTCAACTCTGGTTCTTTTACGGCCAATCCGTCTGTTGATAAAGCTCTTGCTTGTGCCTGCCTCCGAAATATCATTGACTGGTGTCTCCTATATAAAATAACATTAACTATTGGCTTCTGTTTAAAGCATACTTTTCTCTTTGGTATTTGTTTATCCGAAAGTTCGTCATGATTTTTTGGCGATGGTGAAAACCTCCTCGGCGGCCGTCCTTTCCGATCGCTCATATTCTTGACTTTGTGTTTGTTGAAAGATCGCATAACACCATCCCACCGCAGACCCAACCAGTCAGCCCTCAATTCTCCCAAATATCAAAGTTCTTAGATCTATATTTTGTTGAATGTTTAGCCTTTTTGATTTGTAAAAAATTTATTTAGAATTACAAGATTTCAACATTTAAATAAATAAGAGCATAGATGAGGCGCATAAACGAGTTTACAAATAAAACTGACATCACAAACCAAATGAATCGCAAATCGACCTGAAATTTGGGGTTCGTTTCGCAAAAAGTCAACAGGTCAAATGCGCATTGCAAGGCATGAAAACTTTGGGCGAAACCGTGATACAAAGAATTTTCGAAAACGGAAGGCGCATTGCGGAGGGGGCACTCGTTTTAAAAGAATGATAAACAGCCATGCTACGCTTAAATATACATTTCTGTATGACAAAGTAAAGAGGTTGAGGGCAAAATTATACACGAAATCAGGTAAAAGCGAATAACCCAATACACAGAGTTTATGCCTTACAAATCACAATTGAAGTTGTTCCAAAGGAAATTTTGATACCGGTTTAAACGTTCGATAGTAATACTTATGAAGAGCAGCATTGCTTCTTCTGTTGCTCACTGGAACGGTCGACAAGATCAACACCCCTCGCGATTGGAACATTTGCACGGTCGGCTCCAACATGCTAAAAATAAAAATCAATAAAAACTTCTAAATAAAATTTCCAAAAAATAAAAACTTCCAAACATACCCTATTCGATACAGATCTGTAGATTTCTGTCAAAATGTTTGTGAAAGCCGCCTCGACATTGGTGCTATCCAAAGCTGATGTTTCTAAAGCAGACATACCAGCATTTAATTTGAAGGAAAAGTGATACCGATGAATGAAAGTTGATTTCGTTCGGCATACATCTTTGCCTCATCAGTGGGAACAGCTCGTAGATGTCGCAGGTCACTCTTGTTTCCGACAAGCATGATGACGATGTTCTGATCAGCATGATCGCGCAGTTCTTTTAGCCATCGCTCGACATTCTCGTAAGTCACGTGCTTTGCTAAAATTGAAAAAAGTTGAAATCCAAAATTCGCGACTCACCAATATCATAAACGAGAAGAGCGCCAACTGCTCCTCGATAGTAGGCGGATGTAATTGCACGATAACGTTCTTGACCGGCTGTGTCCCAAATTTGAGCCTTTACAGTTTTGCCTTCAACCTAAAAAACAGTTTTATTAAATATTAACAAACCAAAATATACCTGGATGCTTCGAGTAGCAAATTCAACTCCAATTGTTGACTTTGACTCAAGGTTGAATTCGTTGCGAGTGAAGCGCGAAAGCAAGTTGGATTTGCCGACACCAGAGTCTCCGATGAGCACAACTAAAAATTAAAATTTATAAAAGACTCCATATCCGTGAAACAAGTATAGTTCTTTTTCTATTCTAGGTAATTAAAATTCAAAACAAACCCTTGAACAGAAAATCGTATTCATCGTCGCGCGAACCCATATTCCTTGGACTAAATAAAGAGGATATAGTAAAGTCTATATGAAAAGATTGGAATAATTAGAAACAGCAAAAAAAACTAGAGATCACGTGAATCATTTTCAGGCAAGTTTTCTGAATGTTTAAGCAAGGCTAGAGCGCAGTTTTATAATGGGCGGCTTATCGTGGTTGAATTGAAGAAGCGAAGGGTTTCTAACTGTCACAACTAGGGCGTTAAGAAACAAGGTAAGTCACTGGATTGTGAAACGAAAGAGCCTACCGGTGGCCATGGTTCGTGATTTCGTCTGCGTCACCAGGGAAACGCGTCGAGTACGCAACGCGCGGGAAATTATCGCGAAAGAAAATTTTCAGGGACCATTTTTACGGTAGGTAGGAGGTAGGAGAAGAATTTATTTTTCGAAGAGAAGAATTTTATTTTCTCCCGGATGAAACTGAAACATTCACGCCCGGGCAATAAGTCCAACAAAAGTTTAGATATTCAAGCAAAGGACTGAATATTTAAGTGCAGTAAATTTTTGATCTTTTTGGGTATTTAAATAATCGCAACTATGGTCAAAAGATTCACTCCTTTAAATACCCAAACCGACCGAAATGTTTACTACTTTTGAATATTCAGCCTTTTGCTGGAATAACTGAGCTTTTGTTAAGCTTTGAAATTCGTTAATTGGGGAAAGTTTCATTTGCGAATTTCCCCGGTGTCTAGGTAATTTCAAATTCTAACGTTGAAAATTTTACTGGCCCTTTGAGCTCTTCTTTTTTTTCCTCTTGTCTCTTTTATCGTCATCGTTCTAATACTTTATACTTTCAGGGTACACAATGGTTGACGCAAAGAAGCTCCCGCAAGTTCCTGAGACTATTCTCAAGCGTCGTAAGCAAAAAGCCGAGATCAGGGAGAAAATCAAGGCCAACAAGGTCAAGGCAGCTAAGGTTTGTGTTACATTATTGGTTTTGGCAGCTATTCTTTTATTTTAGAAGGCCGAGGAGAAGAAAGGAAAGATCTTCAAGCGCGCCGAGAAGTATGTCACGGAGTACCGCAAGAGGCAACAAGACCAACTCCGTCTGAAGCGTGAGGCCGAGAAGAGTGGAAACATCTACGTGCCCGAGGAGCCAAAGCTTGCCTTTGTTATCCGAATTCGTGGTATCAACCAGCTCCACCCTCGCCCAAGAAAGGTATTCTTTTGTGGCTTTATTAAACAGTGAATAGGCAGGGATTAAGAAGTATGTGTTAGCTAGAATCTATAATTCGTAAAGGTCAGTGCTAAGGAGTTTGTTTAGGTGCTTCAACTTCTTCGCCTTCGTCAAATCAACAATGGTGTCTTCGTCAAGTTGAACAAAGCCACCATCCAAATGCTCCGAATCGCTGAGCCATACATTGCCTGGGGATACCCGAATCTGAAGACTGTGCACGATCTCGTCTACAAACGTGGATTCGCCAAAGTCAATCACAAGCGCATTCCAATCACCAACAACGAGATCATCGAGGAGAACCTTGGTATTACTCTATTTTTATTCTAAAAGCACTCATTAGATATGACAAAAAATGTGCTTTACTTTTTTTGATCACAGAGTGATCCCAGTCCTTATGGACTGTTAGATGTCGTAATGGCATCAACCTCAAATTCCATCCCGCTGCTTAAGGCAGACTGAGTGTGGATGGACAAACCTGTACTGATTCTTTAATTTTAGGCAAGGAAGATATCATCTGTATGGAGGATCTCGTTCACGAAATTTTCAATGTTGGACCCAACTTCAAGAGAACCACTAACTTCTTGTGGCCATTCAAGCTAAACAACCCAACTGGTGGATGGGAAAAGAAGACCAATCATTTCGTTGAGGGAGGAGATTTCGGAAACCGTGAGGACCAGATTTCGGCTCTCGTTTCCAAGATGCTCTAATTTTATTATTTTTCTCTATTTGTTGGAATAAATTGTTATCACTTTAATTCAAAAAATAAATGACGAGCAATGGATAGTTGGAACAGAAAACACAACTTGTTAAAGAAATGGCGGGTTTTGCGGGCTCCAAATCAAATTACCATGTCAAGCTTTTTTGTCAGAGGTGGTCCTTCTTTGTTTCAATCCTCAACACAACGACATAAATCGTCCTGGGTTTAAAGCTGGATTCAAATAAGGTTACCATGCCAAAGTTGAATCAGGGGAGGATTTTTTAGGAATTGCAAAAGAAATCTTTACGAGTCAATCTGCCTGTGTTGAAATACAGCCACCCGTTCGGATATGGTGGTCTGTTTCTTTATTTTTCCTTGGCAATACAGATTCACGTATAGGTGACATCCATGGACCATATGCCGATTTGATTCGTCGCTTCAATAAATCTAGTTTTATGCCCTTTTTCAATGTTTTTTCAGAAAGGGTTTTCCGCCAACTTCAAACTATCCGTTCCTTGGTGATTACGTCGATCGCGGAAAATAAAACCTCGAAGTCATCTTTGGTATTTCCATATGAGGTAACATTTTTTTTATTGCACTTATCACATTTATTCTATTATCCAAAGGACTTTTTCTTGCTGTGGGGAAATCACATAATGAAAAATATCAATCGAGTTTATGGTTTTTTTTACGAAGAATTCAATAGACGTTACGGCTCAACTAAGTTGTATGAGGCTTTTCACAGTAAAATTTTTGATTCATTTTGTCTCAATGCGTTTTAAGAAGCCTTTGATTCGTTATCCTTGCTGCCGTTGTTGGTGAGAAAATCCTATGCATGCATGGCGGTCTTTCTCAACAACGGAAGTGAACTCGCTCAATCAGTTGCAAGAAATTTAAAGGTAACTTTAAAGGTTTGATTTTATTAGGTTGAAACCAGTTTGTATGGCACTGTAGGACTGTTTAATTCATTACCTTTTAAAATACTTGATTTCTTATATTTTTTTTTCTTTTAGCGGATCATCCGATGTGAAAGACCAGACGCTCGAAATCGATTTTCGGTGGGCTGATCCGGTTCTGAATCTTTCGGGTTTTCAGGTTGTCAGTTAATAAAAAGTATTAAATTGATTTACCCTTTAGGTGAATAATTGATGTGCTTCATGGGACTTTGATGCAGATATGGTGGCAGAAAAAAATGTTTGAAACTTGGAGTTGATTTGGTAGGTAATTGTGATTTAGCGTTTATAATCTCGTTGAATTATAGATTGCGCGTGCTCATCAAGTTGTGCAAGATGGGTACAAGTTTTTCGCAAATCGAAGGTAAATTTATTTGTATTACGAAGCCGAACGTTTCAAAAACCTTTCTAAAACAGTACTTATAGGTTGGCAATCATCTTTTCGGCACCTCATTGTAGGCATTTCGACAATGCTGTTGTTGCTGACAATGCTGACAATGATGTTTGTTGACGAGCATCTTTTGGTATCTTGATCTTACTTGTATTCTCAAATATCTAGTCTCATTTAGTGTACATTCGAGGTCTTTCGTCTTTCGTCCAACAATTGGCAAAAGCGTCACAGGAGCGGTGCCAACAGCTCGATGGGGAATAAACAAAATATCGTATTGCAATTGGATTTCGTTTTCTACATTTTCTACGTTTTCTACGTTAAACATACCGTGAATTCGTCTTTCATTTGTCTGGTGTATTCAGCGCTTGATAAAAAGTTGGCAATTCAGTGGCAGATTACACACGATCAACAGAACACTGAAACTAAAGGATTAGAGCAATTTAATAAAACGGCTGACACAACGCTAACTTTGAATAATATCGTTTAGTTCACGGCCAGCGCCTTGCATTTTAAATATCAACCTGCAAATCAGTAAATATGTAATCTTATATGAATCCGAATCAAACATCTGATTCGGATTCATATAAGCTACTCTTATTTCTATAGCAGGAATCAAAAATATATTTTTATGCACAATAAGAACGACTATAGCAGACCGGGTAGCATGCATTCTTATGTCCTTACAACAGTTGACGGAAAAGAATTCAATTTGAAGGGAAGAAACTTCATGTAAGTAATCATTTTTATTGTTATGTTTGACGCTCGGATAAACCAAGGTGACATTTTTGGATAAAAATTATTGACATTCTTGAAAAGAACAAGTTTAGGGAGTGATCGAGCAACAGGGAACCCACGAGGGGCTGCAACGACAACCGGGCACCTATGCAACACTTGTACAATGATGAATGTTAGGAGAGCACAAAGTTAGTTGAAAATAGAATGGACATTGATCTAACTCATTTCTAGGGTGCCCATACCCGGGCGGTCAACCAGGGTGAGGGTTCAATCACGGTCTCTCCTCCACAATCAAGCACAGCCTTCTTGGCACTTCATTCTCACAATCGGCCTCGAGTTTTCAATCGAAATAATAATAATCCTAGTTTAGAAAGAGAATTGCTTTAAGAATTTGCGTCTCTGTGTTCAAAATAAAAAGAAAATTCAATTTGAAGGGAAGAAACTTCATGTAAGTAATCATTTTTATTGTTATTCTTGTTGTTTAGGTCCGAACGATGCAAGATGTGCTACGCCAAAGAATTGCTTTAAGAGTTTGTGTCTCTATGTTCAAAATCTCTGTGTTCAAACGTCCGCATCAATAGTCGCCGATTTGATTACAGATGCTTACGAAGAAGTAAACTAATTGTTGTGGTTGCAGTTTGATATCCCTTTTTAGGAGCCAGTCCTTTTGCATCAAACATCTGATGACATCTGATGCACCAAACATCTGATGACCGATATGAGGAAAGCCGTCTATACGCCTTTATTCATAGCCGTCGTTTTTGAGCAAGCTTTTACACTGCAGTTTTCATTTATTTCTAAGCAAGTTTAGTGGCGATTACACTGAAGTTTTCATTTATTTCTAAGCAAGTTTAGTGGCGATAAAATGGGTGTCATTGAATATCAATAAACGAACAATCAATAACGAAACGCTAATTCATTTCGAAAAAGGGTAAAATTTTTCCGTTATGCTATAATTCTATCGAATTTTAGAAACGTCTCGTCGTGTTCTTCTCGGAAAATTATGTTCCCGTAGATGTCGACCGTCTATTGCTAGATGAGGGAATTTCACAAACAAGACTTGGCCTCTTTCCGTGCTTGATCGATTGGCATGCTTGAGGAAATCGAGACGGCAACGGGCAACGGGACTTTTAAACGACTTGAATGGTAAGAAGAATTTTTTGAATTGAAATAAATTTATTCTATTTGATTCTTCTTTCTTTAGGCAACGCATTCTTCAAAACGATCAGCCCCTTTACGATGAGATGACCTTTGCTGAAAGTGTGATCGTTGGAAAGAAATTTGTGGACATTTCTTGGACTTTGAAATGTGCCAATCAATGATGGTTGTCAAACGAAATAGTCGGTTTTTTTGTGCAATTTAAAAGATTTCCAAGTTCAGGGCCCCAAGCTGGTTCACTGTCACGCCTATTCGGAAAGAAATCCACGAGAAACCCTTCACGACAGCTCACAAGCGCTCAACATTCTTAATCACACGACGGTAATAATTTCACATAATTTTGATGAGCTTTATTGTCGTTTAGTCGTATTTGGATCATTTGGCAAATAGGGGATCATCTTCATTCGACGCCAGATTCGATGCATAACTTTCCGGGGCTGAAGGTGAATCAGTTTTTATGTCAGCCATTTAATTTATTATCTTTGGAGTGCACTCCGTTCCCAGTCCAATCCCCTAGCACTAAATGACCAATCAGTTAATTCGACAGTCAATATCTTGGTCTGTTGATATTATAATGATTTATCCATTTGATCGGAGACAAAAATAGTAAAGTTAAACAGCACGTTGCTTAACCCGTTGCTAAACAGCATGTACGTGATTATTTTTAGATTGATGCACGACCGACTGAAACTTGGCTGGTAGATAATTTCAACGACGATAATTTCAACAATCTCAACGACGACTTAAATCGAGAAGGTTTGCAAATAAAAGTGGGAATTTCTTGCTTATTTTTTTTAGAACGAGGCGTTTAACACTACAATGAGGATGACAATGAAATCTTTTCAATCCAAAAAGGGAATAGGCTACCCGAAGAGGAAACCAAGCAGGGAAAATGCTCTTTTATGTAATACATTTGTGTGCAATTTTATAAGTACTACTAGTGAGCTTAAAGCGATATCAAAATTTTTCTTTTGTAATAGCTACAATTGTGATTTATGACAGATAAACTCTGGGTATTGGACATTCACTTTTTGTTTGGTTTCGTGTGTAATTCTTGCTCTCGATCTCTCTTTGGCTTTGAGGGCAAAGGGCAGGGCCACTTTTTTTTCTTCAAAATCACTTTTTCTGGGGTAGTTTTATGCGTAGATCCCGAAAAACACAATGAGAGCTTAGGAAAGGGCGTTTTAAGTCGGGTTTCGGGGCTTCAAAGTGCGCGCTCATACAGTGTGATGAGAGGGATACACGTGGGGAAGAGGCCTAAAAAATGGTCTCTCAAAGCATTTTTTGAAGTTAAAAACACTTCTTCTGGCATAATTTCACCTACTGATTACGTTTCTGATCAAATTGAAGCAAAATAAAAAAGATTTTTTTCAATTTGACCATGAGTCAAAATCTCAAAAAGATTTTTTCAATTTCTTTTGCCTCTACCAGTCAATTTAAGTTAGAAAATCAATATTTAATGGTTAAAAAATGGTTTTGGTTTCTAGTTTTGACCTTGAAAAGTGCCCCAATAGTCGATAGCTTGGGCTCCATATAGTGAAGTAAACTATAGAAGTGCGCACTTTGAAGCCCCGCAACTCGGCTTAAAACCCCTTTTCTTAAGCTCTCGTTGTGTTTTTCGGAATCTACGCATAAAACTACCCCAGAAAAATTGGTTTTGAAGAAAAAAAAGTCCACCACCAAAGCCAATAGTACCGCGATTTTTGTTCAGAAAGTAAAAGCGCCAAAGGAGTAAAGCCCACTTACAGATTATTTTTTTTTGTTTTCTTGCACTTGCAAAATATGCAATAGTGAAACCTCTTTATACTTTTGTATAAAACAACCTTTATATTGTTCGAATTGCTCAAAGTTGTGACATATTAAAGCGTGGATTTTCAGCGGAATCGCGGAGCGGCGCGTAGTTCCGTCTCATTCTCTTTTTCGGCCTAAAAATTGAACAAGCACGATTAAATTTCTTTTCTTCATTTTTTTTGTCCCTTCTTCTCAAGTTATTAAAGTTTTTTTTTGTAGAATGAGACTAAAACCGTTGTACTAATTAGAAATGTTAAGATTTTTGAAAATTCAGCACACAAAATTCGTAGAACCGTCAACCTTTTTGCTGATTCTTCATATTTTTGAGCGATTGAGCCAACATATTGAAATTCCTTAGCTTTTTATGCTTTGAGAAACTTTTAAACCCTTTGGATATTCCGAATTTTGGTACATTGGTAGTTGGGGGAGCCACTTATATTTTTGACCTTTTCAATTCTTCTGGGGTAATTGATAGCGCCGATCAGAATTAGAGTTTTTTTTTTATGTAAAGGCTTGTTATGAATTTTCTTTTCTTCTAAGTGTTTTGAAGTTCTAAAGTAACGCGCCTTTACTGTACGCAGGATTAACTTGTTAAAAATTAGGCCATAGAAGCCCAAATTTTAAATTCTACCTTTTTAGTTCTATCTTGTTGTTTCAAGTTCAGTGGTCCTAAAAGCTTTGAGAAATAGTTTTAGTTAAGAGGTTAACTCCTTTACGGCCACATTTCGACGTCCTCTTTCTGTGTTGACATCATAGTGAAGTACACTAAAGATACACTAGTTAAGGCTAAAAACTCAAAAACCATGGACAACCTACCTTAAAAACACTCTTATCGTGATTAGCGCTATCGATTATCCTAGAAAAATTGAAAAAGGCAAAAATATAAGTGCCCCCCCAACCATTAATGTACCCAGATTTTTTAGATCTTCCCCATTTTGTGTTTCATTTTTTTGAAAATGATTTTTGTTAGCGATGATTATACTTTTCATTTAGGTTTGAAGATGACGAACCCAAAGGGTACACGACGCGGAACGCGCTACATGTTCGCGAAGGCGTTCAAGAAGCACGGAATTGAGCACCTTTCCACCTACTACAAAAGCTACAAACGAGGAGACATCGTCGACGTCTTGGGAAATGGTGCCTTCCAGAAGGGAATGCCACACAAGGTCTACCATGGAAAGACGGGCCGCATCTTCAACGTCACCAGACACGCCGTCGGAGTGGTCGTCAACAAACGAGTCCGTGGAAACATCATCCCGAAGCGGATCAACGTCCGAATCGAGCATGTGAGACAATCCCGTTGCCGTCTCGATTTCCTCAAGCGTGTCAATGAGAACGATCAAGCACGGAAAGAGGCCAAGGCCGCCAACAAGCCCGTTCCCGTTTTGAAGCGCCTCCCCAAAGGACCACGTCCCGCTCACACCGTCAAAGTCGCTGATTGCACAGAAACTCTTGCGCCTCTTCGATACGAGATCATTGCTTAAATATTGTTTTAATTGGTGTTTCTCGTTCATTTCATTTGTTTTGTTATCTATGGTGTTAAAAATAAATTTCAGGTAGCAACCATCCGTCCAGGCTTCATTAACGTGGATTAGCTGTTACTCCCACAAAATGGTAACTTGTTATTATGTTCTCGTAATTTTAAAAAATTTAGCCACAAAACGAGCATATTGAACTACACAGAAAGCGCCATGGTCGCCGGTTGGACTATGAGGAAAGATTGTAAGTGACTTTAACTTCTTGTATTGTAGTTTAAGGATTTGATTTTTAATTTGTGCAACATATTCTTATTTTAGGCGGAAAAAGCAAGCACGTGCCGGCCATGAGCGATCACAAAAAGCCAAGAAGTTGAGAGGTATCAAGGCCAAGTTGTACAACAAGAAACGCTACTCTGAGAAGGTTAACCAGTTAATTAAAAGTCAATTATCGTTTTCTTTAGGTTGAAATGCGCAAATTATTGAAGCAGCATGAAGAAAAGGAACAGAAAGGAGCCCAAGAACGTCCCGATCAAGGAGCCGTTCCCGCGTATCTACTTGATCGACAACAGCAAACTACTGGAACTGTGCTCTCAAATATGATAAAGCAAAAGAGGAAAGAAAAAGCGGTTGGTATTTGTTGTTAATCGGTTAAATTAAGTGGACTTTACAACTATTTGTTTAGGGCAAATATCAAGTCCCGATTCCAAAAGTGAAGGCGGTTTCTGACGCAGAAGCTTTCAAAGTTGTCAAGACCGGAAAGACTCGCAGGAAGGGCTGGAAAAGAATGGTTACAAAGGTAAATATTATATTTTTCATTATCGCTAATGAAATATTTTTAAGGTTACTTACGTTGGCGAATCATTCACCCGAAAGCCTGCTAAATTTGAACGATTCATCCGGCCCATGGGACTCCGATTCACGAAAGCTCATGTAACGCATCCGGAATTGCAAACGACGTTTTGTTTGCCGATCGTTGGAGTCAAGAAGAATCCGTCCTCACAGATGTACACGAGCCTTGGAGTGATCACAAAAGGAACCGTCATTGAAGTAACGTTTTGGCTTGTGAACATTAATATGATTGTTTAGGTCAATGTATCAGAGCTCGGTATGGTCACTCAAGGTGGAAAAGTCGTATGGGGAAAATATGCACAGGTTGTATTACTGACAGCGCATCTTTGTTAATTTTCATTTTTAGGTTACGAACAATCCCGAAAATGATGGATGTATTAATGCCGTACTCTTGCTTTGAACTCGTCTCGTCTCCTTATTTGTTTGTTGTATGGAGGTTCTCAGTCCTTCAAATGCGGGTAAATTGTTGTCTATTGCTTGTTGACCTGTAAATAAACGTTATTGTTTCAATTCGAAATTTAATAAATGATGAAAACACAGCATTGAAGTTAGCAATTGTTAGTGGTTAAACTTTTCGGTGTTGGAAACTCCATTCAAAAGGTGTCAACTTGGTGAGCTTAAAGATCCTTGCTCATGAAGAATCTATTTGGTGCTACAAAGCTAGGTGTTAGCGGCATTCCTTGTGTATTCCGGAAATGAATGGTGACCTCGCGCCTTTGGACACAGTAAGATGTGTGATGCGGTATGTAGAGTTCTTTCTTGCCTTACCGACGAAACAAACATTGCCATTGCAAATCTTGGCTGAAACTTTCCAGTAACAGCCACATTTTGATGGGAAGCCAGTTCAAATGCGAGTTGATATTCCTTGGGACCCCAGTGGATCTTTTAGCACAACCAAAATTTCTTTGCGTCAGAAAAAATAGGAGATTTTCCGGTCGATTTGATAAAGCACCGGGCCTTCGTCTTCCTTTTGAGTGTATCCATATGGAATCGGTGGCATTCTTCACCTAACCCTCTCTAATTATCACCACCGACAAATCCGTCATTTCCCACACATTAGCACGGGGACAAAACGGGAGTGCTTTGTGAGCAATTTAGAGAGCCTAATCCTATCTGGATGTGGGTTCTTTCTTTGGATTTGGATTGACCTGATGGTGTTAATAAACTGGCACGGTGATAAATGCATTCATCTAGAATTGCTTCATATGTATAGCAAAGAGGAATAATTCTAGGCATCTCATGTGTGTGACTGTATTAAATAGGGAAATTATGAGTACGGTCGTCCCATAGTTTCTTTGGAACTATAGACTTGCTCTAGATGGTCTCTGGAATTGGCACAGCCTTGTTTTCGAAGTGATATTCAAAAAAAAACAACAGGCCGAATTGCACAATCTATTCAAAACAATTAACTACTTGATGGTTGGCATTGTGAGGCGAATTACGGTGATCTCTTGAAATGTTTTCATAAAGTGTGCCCCACTTATGCCCCCAAATTTCTCACACCCACTCACACACAAAACAGTGACACTTGATTTTAGTGGAAATTCTCGTAATGATTTACAAAGCAAGAGCAAGAGCATTTGAAAGAGCTTTTTCAAATGTTTGTACACGACTTTGAGCATCAGCATCAATTCTTTAGCTTTTAAATGAATTTTTGAGTAGGATTGAATCCTGGAACGTTTCTATTTTTGTGTCAGTTTGCTTGCTGTTTTCGATAGATCTCTTCCAGTGGTTGATTCATAGATTCTTCAGTGACTCGCGCAAAAGTGTCGGCACAAGAAATACAGAGGAGGATTGATGACCGATTGAGATGAACGACTTTGGGGGATCTGATTAGATAAAGCGAGCGGAGTGATCCCCTAGAAAATCTCTTCGCCGACCTTCACGCTTCGGCGCACCGAAAGCCCGAGCCTGTGTGACTTTTGAGTCCTTTTCTGAAAGAGAATCTGTCGCTAAATGAAAAGAAAGGGCAGATCACGGAGATATCAAATGGGATTGGTGAGTGTCGATCTTGTAGAAGGCTTCGGGAGAAATTTGAGTGAAATGAGTGACAGTGGAGAGTGACAAGAAAGAAAATATATTGAAGGCAAAAAAGACAACTAACTCAACTAGATCAACTCAACGAGTTCTGATTTATCAAGCAGGGATTTCCAGAACCGGATCCGGATCCAGATCTCTACGCAAGCATACAAAGAACAATCACTACGCGACAGTACAATGGACAGTCCATTGTACTGTCGCGTAGTCCATTGTACTGTCGCGCAGTCTATTGTACTGTCGCGTAGTCTATTGTACTGTCGCGCAGTCTATTGTACTGTCGCGTAGCCCATTGTACTGTCGTGTAGTTGTCTTTTTGCTCTGGATGTTTGTCTCTATCCGGAATCCGGAGATCCCTTTTGCCAAGAATAGCTTTACATCTCTTTACTTTTCAAACCAAAAGCCCAAAAGCCAGCAGCCAGTCTGATGCTGATCACCCGTCTCCCAAATATGGCCTTCTTTTCTATTCACGAGTTGTCCAGGTGCTCATCTTATCCTTTCCATTCATTCAGTCCATTCCATCTTTCCCCCCTCGATCCACTTGGACACGCGCATTTCCCCGGGTTATGTCAATAACTCCCCCCCTTCTTGTATTTCTTGTACTACAGCAGATCCTCTCAAAGAATCTTTAAGGCCAAGTGTGAAAAGTCGCCCCCAATATTTACCCATCCATCCCTAATAAGATAAGGATTAACACGAAGATGAAGTAGGGAATTTGAATGATGGCCATTTGGGATTATCGGGCGCACTTAACTCTGGAACTAGCTTATTTTGGATTTTGTTTTGAGTGGCTGAAAGGAAAATGGCTAAAAGAAATGGAAAACACTACTTTTTCGATAAAATCTTTCAATCTATCAACTTTCAACTGTAGCAAACAGTTAGCATTGACTGTAGCTCATTGAACTACGGACAAGCGAAAGATATGCATGCCCAACAGTAGCCAGTGTTAAGCTTTAGACTGGCTGACTGGCTAAGAGCCCTGTTCTTAGTCAAGAGATCAAGGGTTCAATCACGGCTAGATTATTGATTCTTTTTTTCATCTGTATGGGTTTTTCTTCCCTACTTTCTCTTTCTTCTTTAGGCTTAGCTTGTGCTTGTCTATCGTTTATTACCACATTATTCGTGTGAATAAATGTATTTTTTTAAAAATCGGGTAACTTTAGTCGTTTAACAAATTTTTTTAAAACGTTTAACAACAAACAAACAAAACAAACAAACAAATAAACAAAGTTTAACAAAGTTTACGACAAATTCCGACTGGGCCGTTGATTATTTTTGGTTGGTAAACTCAGTTTTTAAGGATTTTGTTCTTTGTTTCGCAGAAAGTTTTCGATAACTTTGTACTAGTTTTGAAGAGGAGATTTGAGGCTATCGAACGGCTATAATCGACTATTTGGGGCTATCGAACGGCTATAATAGTTTCGTTTATCTTTGAATCTACACAAAATTATCAGTAAAACAGTTAACGACTACGCGCAAAATATCATCGTCGCGACTGTGTTAAAAACTTGTTCTATTTGCTTTCCATAAGTTAAAGGGCATCGACAAGACACTGTAGAAAAGCTAGGAGAGAAGCAGAAAGAGAAAGATAAACAAAATATAATAAAATATAATATAGTATAATATAATATACCGTATTTCTTCAAATAGAAGACCGGGTAAAGAGTATCATCGCGTACTCCTGCGTAGCAGCCCTTCTTTTCTGCATAAAAGCTTTCAATGAAGTGCTATAGAGCTGGAAAATGACTCAAAAATACGACATGAGCTAACAGATTTTTGAGCCATTTTCCAGCTCTATAGCACTTGATTGAAAGCTTTTATGCAGAAAAGAAGGGCTGCTACGCAGGAGTACGCGATGATACTCTTTACCCGGTCTTCTATTCGAAGAAATACGGTAATATAGTATAATATAATATAATATAATACATATAGCTACACTACTGGACAATGAAATATCATATTTGAAAAAAGATCGTCACTTTCGCGCGTCTGTAACTCCATTGTCTTTACCGTATTTCTAAATATTAATATTACCATTGTGTAGCCCTTGAAAAGAGCTTTCAGAAAATGTATAACACTAATAGTTTAAACTTAAAGACAACGGAGTCACAGACGCGCGAAAGTGACGATCTTTTTTCAAATATCATATTTCATTGTCCAGTACTGTAGCTTGTCGTTGACTTGGCTACTGTTGTAACTGCTTGAATGTGATCAATTGATAGGGGTTGTACCCGAATTTGATTGATACTTTAAAAAGCTTTATGAAGACAATTTACTGATGATAAATATTAATTTAACCAAAAAAAAGGTTCACAAATAAATTAGAAGAGGAAAAATAATGGAGAAAATGGCGCGTTATATGGGCGAGGGTTACGGTAGCGACAGACAGACAGACAGACGAAGAGGGCACACAATAAACTTTTTCAGATTTTTATTTTTATTTTAATTTTATTTAATTTTATTTTTATTTTATTTTTATTTTATTTTATTTTATTTTATTTTATTTTATTTTATTTTTATTTTATTTTATTTTATTTTTATTTTATTTTAATTTATTTTATTTTATTTCATTTTATTTTATTTTATTTTATTTTATTTTATTTTATTTTATTTATTTATTTATTTTATTTTATTTTTTATTTTATTTTATTTTATTTTATTTTATTTTATTTTATTTTATTTTATTTTTATTTTATTTTATTTTATTTTATTTTTATTTTTATTTTATTTTTATTTTATTTTTATTTTATTTTTATTTTATTTTATTTTATAACTGAATTATTTTATTTTTAATTCATAACAGAATTATTTTATTTTCGTTAAAGAAGCCTCACTTTCTCTGATAGCATTAGCCTGCTGCTATAAGATAATAAGGAAATAAGCCGACAAATCTCTCTCTAATACTTTCAAATTCTAAACATCTAGCTATTCGTGATTCAATTTTTAAATCCTCAAAGCCAATCGTTAGATTGTCACTCTAAAATTGTTGATTCTAAAATTGTTGATTCAAGTCGATCCTTAATTTTTCAAGGATTAGATTTAGCTGCTCGTAAATATTTAGGCTAACACGTGCTTAACTAGATCCGTTAATCAAATAGAGTTGAATGCAAGGATGGAAGGGGAGTGGATTAGGCAGAAAGGTGAGAGGTGAGAAGAGATTGATAGACGGGCAAAGGAACCAATGAGAGGTTGGAGTACGGTGAAGGGGGAGGGGCTGAGGTCCACGCCCTTCCAGACTGCTTTGTGTTTGTAGTCGGCACCTTCCATTGTACAATGATCCATTTGGCACCCCCATTCCCTCAGTGATCATTTCCGACATTCCACACCTTTATGTGAGATCAAGCAGTGAGCGGGACTTGTAAAGATCACTGCTTGATCTCACAACTCCTGTACTATTTGTTTTCTTGAAGAATAACTTCTTCTTCTTGTTTTTCTTCTTCTTCTTCCTCTTCCTGCTTCTTGTTCTTGTTCTTGTTCTTGTTCTTGTTCTTGTTCTTCATGTTCTTCATGTTCTTCTTCTTCTTCTTCCTCTTCTTCTTCTTGTTCCTGTTCTTGTTCTTGTTCTTGTTCTTCATGTTCTTCTTCTTCTTCTTCTTCTTCTTCTTCTTCTTCTTCTTGTTCTTGTTCTTGTTCTTCTTGTTCTTCTTCCTCTTCTTCATCATCATCATCATCATCATCTTCTTCTTCTCTCTTCTAACTTCTTTGAAATTTCTAAAGTTTCTAAGACCAGTTCTAGCCCTATTATGTTATTCATAATCAGCTAAATCAAGACTTTTCACTTATTACTTTTAAATCTACCTTTTTAGACTTTGCTTTGCACATTTTAAAGACTTTAGAGTGAGCAGCTTTGCCAATAGAGCCAATGCCAATTTGCCTTTGCCAATAGCTCTATTTATACTCCCAATAGAGCTATTTAAATTTATATTTTATCTTATTTATCTTATTTCTATTATTTACGTTATTTAATTTACATTTCTAGTTGATGTCCTTACCATTTCTCACCTCTCCATTTCTGCTCGGCGCCTCGGAGCAACTCCGAACATGTTTGAGTGCAATGAATACGCCGACTAGGTAGCTGACTCTCTATTCTATTATATTAGAAATTATTTTGATTTACTAGAGCTTGAACTATCATTTAAACGAATTGGCTGGCCTTCCGCTAAGCGTTTAAATAATAGTTCTTCGCTTTGAAAGCATTGACTAGTATTGATGGATGCTGAAGGACAGAAGAGTCGCTCAGACAGAAGCGACAGTAACCCTAGAAAAGCCAAGTACTCTAATTACTACGACCACAGTAACCCTAGATCTAACCAGTGCACAGTCAGAGTAAGATCTTGTCTTAAATGCTTGAGTTTCCCCAACTTGAAAACAATCTTCTGACTGAGAACAATGAGATCTCTTCAGCTCATCCTCCCCACCAGCATCAGCCTCATTCTCAATCGAATCACTCCTCTCAACCCCTCGTCTTCCCTTCTCATTCACCGGTCTTCCCGCACTTCCACTCGAATTCTTTCATCCAGCTTGGCCCTCAACAGCTGCGTATCCGTTTCTACGTGAGTTCTTTTGCAAGATAACTTTTGATCTAAAACAAGATCTAAAACTCATCAATCATCCAACAATGGCTTATTGTCCAACAATGTCCAACAATGCCATTCCAGCCCATCGAATCCAGTCAGCATTTTGAACGTACAGTCGCGTAGTCGTTCACTGTTTGATATTGGGATTTTTGGACATTTCTGAAAAGATCAAAACGAGCTCACCCAAAAAAAGAATTAGTCATTGATGAGGAAAAATCCATAAACATGTCAGATTCGATATTTGTTTGTGTCTGCCTCTTCACCAGTCCATTCAATGTGCACAGAAGGGCACAGGTTTCCTCAATTCAATGCCTGCTCTTTTTCTTCTCCTTCTTCTTCTTCCCCTTCTCCCTCTTCTTCTTCTTCCTCTTCTTCTCCCTCTTCTTCTTCCTCCTCTTCTTCTCCCTCTTCTTCTCCCTCTTCTTCTTCCCCTTCTTCTCCCTCTTCTTCTTCCCCTTCTCCCTCTTCTTCTTCCCCTTCTTCCCCCTCTCCCCCTTCTTCCCCTTCTTCCCCCTCTCCCCCTTCTTCCCATTCCTTTCCAACCCGATCTACCTACTTAACGAATTTGCGCAAACAACTCGCCATTCAGTGTTTCTGTTTCAAAGAATGATCCCGAAATTTTGAGATCGATTCGAGGTGAATGGGCAATCGAAGATGCTTAGACTAGAATATCTAAATAGCTTACAAGAGAAGGACAACTGGTTAAGGTTGTACGACACAGTAAGGCTTTATGCCTACTCTGGTGGCAATGGGACACGTGTTTGTGTAACTGATTGGTAGAGGGTTGACCCGGTAAGCGAAAGGTCGCGGGTTCGAATCCTGGCGCCGTTCCCATTCTCAACGGAAATCGGTAAACCGCTTTTGCGCTACCGGTAAACGCCGGTAAACCGCTTTAAACGATCTTGAGAACTTGAAAATGTAGATATTCTTTGCGATAAATCCCTGGATTTCTTACGAGGTTGTACTCTCATGTAACTACCAAGGATGTCCTCCCAGCTCGGTGAGTCCCAGCTTGGTGAGTCCCAGCTTGGTGAATACCAGCAGGTCTCCAAGGTCCTCTAGTCGATAGAATAGGTAAGGGAAGTCGGCAAATTAGATCCGGGAAAAGGATTGGCTCTAAGGATTGGCCTGGTCGAGCCGTCAAACTCAAATCTCCATCCACAGCTTTAGCCGCGAAATCTTACCTCATCCTCACCCCCATCCTCATCCTCATCCTCATCCTCTCCCTCATCCTCATCCTCTCCCTCACCCTCATCCTCATCCTCATCCTCTCCCTCATCCTCATCCAGATCTTGCCTCTTTTCTGATCAATGAAACATTCCAATGGAAAGGGATTATGCAAACTTTTAGAGAAAAAGACAATGAACCTAGAGCACAGTAAAGGATTTGCTCCTAGACCTGCTACCAGTTTAGTGGAACTAAGCTTAGATGTCATTTATTGAGAGCTTTTCGATAAGCAGATAATCAATGCAATCAATGCTTAAGCTTTAAAAAAAAACTCTGAGAAAATTATGGAAAAGCTCCCTTTGAAAAAGAGATCATTTTCAAACACAAACGCCACAAAACGCTAGTTCAAATATGGCAAAGTTGACCCGCTTGACAATCCAAGAGTTCAACTAGAAACTCACCTTGGTTTTAAATCGATTTATGGTCATTGGAAAACCGCATAACCTCATTGATTCGATGAAAGAGATCATCAATTACCTTTCTTTACAGAAATCTTTCCAGAAAACCTTTCCAGAAATCCAGAAATACTGTGCAGGAATATAGAATTACGGTTTTAACGAGTTTTCTAAAACCTCAGCTTTCTAGATTTGTTAACTTTGTTAGCTTTGTTAGTTTTCTAGCTTTCCAAGCTTTCCCAGCTTTGTTAGCTTTCTAGCTTTCCCAGCTTTCCAAGCTTTCCCGGCTTTCCAAGCTTTCCAAGCTTTCCCAGCTTTCCCAGCTTTCTAGCTTTCTAGCTTTCCCAGCTTTGTTAGCTTTCTAGCTTTCCCACCTTTCTAGCTTTCCAAACTTTCTTCCAGCTTCTTACTGAAATGCATTACTACAGTGTAACATTAAGCATTAAGTAGACCAAACTTGATCTGTTTGACTTTAAGAGACTCTGTACTACTGGATTCAGATCCAGATCCAGATCCAGATCCAGATCCAGATCCAAATCCAAATCCAAATCATCCAAATCCAAATCCAAACCCAAATCCAGCTCTAGTCTAGATCATTTAGCTTATATCTTGCCTGTTTTTCTTTCAAAGAAGCAATTGATTGTGATAGTTGGACTACCAGTTCCTCAAAAAGAAAGAAAACAATGTGATTCTAGACTTTTTGTGTGCTTGAGAACAAAAAAAAACGGCCACGCAATGCATTGTATTCATTGCAACCAATAGACAAAATGCGCAAATCTCTTCTATTTACAATCTACGTTTATTTGAGTAACTCCAAGAAGAGATAAGAGGGAAATGGGTGAACAAATACACAAATAGGAACTCGTCTCTTCATAGCTCATCACTTCATAGAAGTCATTGAGCTTCTGTAGAGTCTGGAAACTCTGGGCAAGTACTGTCAATACTTAGAGAGTAAGCCTAGAGATCTACAGTAAGTCTAGAAAGCTGTAAGCCTAGAGAGCTGTAAGCCTAGAGATCTACAGTAAGCCTAGAGATCTACAGTAAGCCTAGAGATCTACAGTAAGCCTAGAGATCTAAGAGATCTAAGAGAAGACCAAGTCTAGGCTGCTACAGTAACCCTAACCAGTACGATACTAGATCCAATGACTAGACAAGTACTCGGCAATACTTTGGACAAAGCTACAGTAGCCCTGGATCTAATATCTAGACAAATAACTAGCCAAGTACTCTACAATACTTACGACAAAGCTACAGTAACCCTAGAAGATCTAGAACAATTCATAGCAAGAGAGACAGAGATTTTAGACCCTTAGTCGTTATCCAGGAAACTTCTAACCATCACCAATCGATTCTCTGCAGAGAATCGCCTGCAGAGCTCTGTCCCAATTTACATAAGACATCTAAGCTAATTGGATTGGCTAATGGATTAAAGCTTTTGGAGTGAGCTAGAGGCGCTTTAAGTTGAGCAAAAACAAAAAGCAAAAGCAAAAAGTCACAAAAACTCGACTTTAAACCATTCTAGCTAGCTTCAAAAGCTTTAAATCAAATTTTGAACTATTTTTTTAGCTTCTAGCTATGATAGGACACTAATTCGATTGATATTTGAGCTAAAAACAAGGCTCGCGTTGGTCATTCATAAGATTGCGAATCGAGAGCTTTTCCAGAATCTCCTCTTCTCCATCCTGGCCTTTTGCCTCCGTTTTTGCCGACGTTTTTAAGTGGAAAACGAAAGCGAAGACATCGCACGATTTTCAGTGAAGAACAATTGCAGGTAAACGCAAGAAATGATGATCTAATGATCTAATAATCTAATGATCTAATGATCTAATGATCGATCTAATGATCTAATGATCTAAATGATTTAATGATCGATCTAATGATCTAATAATCTAATGATCTAATGATCTAATGATCTAAATGATCTAATGATCTAATCATCTAATCATCTAATCATCTAATCATCTAAATAATTTCTTATTCTAGATTCTTGAGAACACTTTCACTACCACTCATTATCCGGATGTTGCTTTGAGAGAGAAATTGGCGCTGCAGTGTGATCTAAAAGAGGAACGAGTTGAGGTAACTTTAAGACAAAGCTGCACGAGTAACTAGAAGAGTCTAAGCCAGTTCTAGACCAGTTCTAGGTCCGGTTCTAAGCCTAGTTCTAGCCTAGTTCTAGCCTAGTTCTAAGTCTAGTTCTAGTCCAGTTCTAGCCCAGTTCTAGCCCAGTTCTAGCCCAGTTCTAAGCCTAGTTCTAGCCTAGTTCTAGCCTAGTTCTAAGTCTAGTTCTAGTCCAGTTCTAGCCCAGTTCTAAGCTTAGTTCTAGCCTAGTTCTAGCCTAGTTCCAAGCCCAGTTCTAGCCTAGTTCTAAGCCAAGACAGCACAGATCTGATCTAATCGAAATTTCATCCATAACAACGCAAACTTTTAAGCCAATCTCTACAATCTATTGATCAACGCAAACTTTTAAGACAATCTCTCATCTAGATTCTACATCTAGCACGATACAGTAACCATAAGTTTCCCCGTGAAAAAAACGAGTCTCTATTTGTCTGCTTTCACCTCTTTTTCTAATCCCATCTCTTTTGATGAAAAAAAAACAAAGCATTGACGATAATCTACACGAGAAATCGTAAAAGAAAGAGAATAAAATAAAAGAAAATGCAAAGAAATGCAAAGAAATGTAAAGAAATACAAAGAAACAAGAGGATTTTCTTTTCGTTTTTTTCTAGGTTTGGTTCAAGAATCGACGAGCGAAGGAGCGAAAACAGAAACGGGAAATTGGAGCTGGGAAAAATGACTCAAAGATCGCCGCCTCGGGTGAGAAATCGCTTTGAAACATATAGAAATATTTGGCTTTTACCCAATCGCTCGATTCCATTTACTCAATTGCAATTGAAGGCTCAGAATTCGATTTGAATCGATCAAACTTATCGATTTATTAAGTTGAAAATGGATCAAAATTGCCAATCTAACTTTAACCTCAAATATCTTCGTGTTAAGCTATTCAATTGAAATGTTTTTGATAGCATTAGATGCGCCAAGTCTTTCTTTATCGATTGGTATAAAAACTATTGTGATTGGAAAGGCGAATGCTGAGAAATTTGAGCTCAAAGTTGGCAAAGGGTTCAATGGAAATGGGGACGAATTACTAGAAGTTTTTCTGGAAAAGAAGAAGCAAAAATCCAGCGGGTGGGATTGAACCCTCGACCTCCCGACTTGTAAACACGGCTCCTAGCCAGTCGGCTATGGGGTAGCTGTTCAAGTCTCTCTCAAACGGGTCTTTGACCACGTGTCAAATGGCTCACAATCCGGTCAAAGACCCGTTTGAGAGAGGCCTGAACAGCTACCCCCATAGCCGACTGGCTAGGAGCCTTGTTTACAAGTCGCGAGGTCAAGGGTTCAATGCCACCCGGTGGACTTTTGCTTCTTCTTTTCCAGAAAAACTTAGCACTTCTAGTGATACGAATAATTTATAAATTGAACAGCCGAACACGAAGAAATTTGAGCTCAAAGTTAAGCTGCGAATCAAATGCTCAAATTTAAGCTACTGATAACCGTCCGTTCCCTTGCTGGCTTCTGGCTCAGCTGCTGGCTGCTTGCTGGTACCTAGCTAGCTGGCTGGCTGCTGGCTACCTAGCTGCTGGCTGGCTGGCTACCTAGCTAGCTGGCTGGCTAGCTGGCTACCTAGCTAGCTGGCTGGCTAGCTGGCTACCTAGCTAGCTGGCTACCTAGCTAGCTGGCTACCTAGCTAGCTGGCTAACTGGCTGGCTTTTCAACTCTGAGGATCTGATTTTAAACGGCTATCGTTTAAATAGCATTTGCATAAATAAATTTGCAGACGAAAGCGATTTGGATGTCTCAGCCGACGAAGACGAGTCGAAAGCAAAAAGGAAAAAAGCGGAAACTCTCGGAATCGACGAGGTTCTCAAGTTGGCAAATGAAACGAAAATTTCGAAATAATATTTAAAATGCGATTTTGATCCTTTCCCTCGCCTAGTCATTGTCTTTTTTTTTTTCTTTCGTCAGCTCAAAAATTTCACACAGCAATCGCCATTTTTACGCATTTCTCTTTCGTCCTTTGTGTCTGCCTTTGGGGCTATACGCATTTGCTAAATAAAGCTTATCAATTTCAAAAAGATACTTTACAAAACAAGTTTTATTATCGTTTTAAAAAATTGAAAAAAAACTTTTCCAATCACCGATTCGAAGCTGAGTGTTTATTTTTAAACAAACAAATTTTAAACAAACTTTGATCACTTTTTCTAGCTTACTTACTGTAACTTATAGCTTACTGTAACTTCTTAAAGATTCTATTTTTTGATCCTATCAAATTTCTCGACTTATTAAGTTGAAAATGGAGATTATATTTCACCAGGAGAAACTGGAGAAATCAAAGCAGAGAATTGTTCTGAAGAGATTCCGATGTTCTGAATTTCTGAAGTTCTGAAGTTCTGAAGAGATTCCGAAGTCTGGTCCTAGGCTGTCTGATCCTGGCTTTAGGTCCAGCAAGTCCTGATCCAGTCCAGCAGGTCCAGCAGGCAAGTCCAGCAAGTCCTGATCCAGCAGGTCTTCTTCCAGCAGGTCCAGATCCAGCAGGTCCTGATCCAGCAGATCCTCTTCCCTAGTACCTAGGTTTCCAGAAGTCAGATCTAGATCAGCTTCTGGAAACATTGCCAGATGTTTCCAGAAGCTGATCTAGATCTGGATGAAGCCTGAATCGATCGAGCTGTCGATCCCTAGGGTCCAGATTGACTTTCGTACTCTCATAGGTCAAACCAGGCCTAACCCTGGACCATGGTAGTACCAAGTCGCCAGTTTCCGATTGTGTAATCGGTTTTGCAAAGTATTTCTATGTCTCGTAAACAGCATTCAGCTTCTAAAGCCTTGAATCATTTTCTATAAATCGAAAAATCTACCGTAACTCTGCTCTAAAATCGAGCGTAAATGAGCGAAAAATCCCGGCGATTAGCGACCGATTTTCATCGAGGCATCGGCGGGTGTTTTGGAGTGCAGAAAAAAAAAAAGAATGAAGTCGAGAAAATTTCTTATCTTTCTTTCTTTCTTTCTTTCTTTCTTTCTTTCTTTCTTCTTTCTTTTCCCTTCTTCACCACTAAAACTAATTCAAATCACACGCTTCGATGCCGATCTTTTTCAGCAATCTTTAACGAATGGAATACGCATTGTGACCTCTTCAATTGGAGTTTAACGATTGGAGAACAATTGGCTTATGTTGTTAGAGAGTTTTTGTCTCGGGAATAAGTTGACGAATTGGATTTTTTCAATTTCCATTTATAGCAATTCCCCTACTTGAAGAGTTGTTTGAAAAAGGAAAAAATCTAGGCCCGATGCGGGGCTCGATCCCGCGACAGCCAGATTAAGAGTCTGGTGCTCTACCGACTGAGCTAACCGTGCTGATGGGAAACCATATCAAGAAATTGCCTAAAGACCCAATGAGCACTTATTTAACTAACAGTTAAGAATCTCGACTTCTTTCTAAACTAAGAACATTCTTTGTGCTCGAAAATTGTAAACCCTATCCCTCTGGCGCACGGAAATCTTCATTTCTCTTAGAAAAGCAATCGTTTCCAACAAGAAAATTGGGGATTTCGTGGAAAATTCATCTAGTACACATCTAGGTGGAAAACCCATGAAAACCCATGCCAAATCCTTTTCCCGAAAATTCATAGGGATTTCCCCCGCAAACTTACCGTAATCCCAGTCGGGTGTTTAATCTGAATGAGATTGGGAAAAGGGATGGGATGGAAAAGAGAAAGAGAAAGAGAAAGATAGAGAAAAGAAGGCATTTCGGAAAAGTGATTATCCCCGCTGATCCCATCAAATTATCTCATCAATTCACTTGAAATTTTCGTCGAAAAAGGAAAGAGAAATGCTTTTCGGGGATCGATTTAAAAAGAAAAGAAAAGAAAAGAAAAGAAAGAAAAGGAAAGAAAAGAAAAGAAAAAGAAAAGAAATTCCTTAATTTCTTTGATTAATAATGAGAAAGATTTTATAAACAAAAGACCAAAAAAAAGACGATATTCAGACAGAGTACTGTAGGGCTTAGCTGAATATCTTTAGCTTTTCTTTAATCTTTTTCTTTACGGCTCAAGATCAGACGGGTTTTTACTAATGAGCTGAATATCGTGATTCTTTTGTTTCATACTCATCAATTACCGTACTCTGCCCGTCAAGAAATTATCCCCATAGAATAACTAAACATTTACAAATGGATATCGAAAAGTCAGAGTGGCTAATGTGTGTTAGAAGCTAGGGAAAATAGGGGGAAATAGGCTCAAATTTCACCTTCAGACAGCTTTAGCCTTGAGAATCGCGTGAATTATTCCTTAGATGCTCCTCATATTTTCTTCTCACCAAATTTCACACCTGCCTAAATATTCTTTAGCCTTAAAAGTATTCAATTTCACTAAAGTGACTTGATGAAGCTCAAAATGGGAGTGAGTATCGAAAAATTCAAAACGCTTAAACGTGTTTTCATTTCTTTCAAAGGCCGAAAGTTTCAAATAAATCATTTATCACAGCAAACTAGGCGGGATATGTGTGTCAAAATTTGTACACTAAAATAATTCACGAGTTGCAGTTTTAACACAGAAACGCAAAGAGAAATCATGGAAATACCGGGTTGTTCAGATGAGATCGGGACGTGATTTGGTGAGCGCCAACGCATCGGGGCAATGCTTCTGGATCCATGCGTGCTTTTTCACCTAAAATTTGAAAATGACGAAATGTTAAGTGAATTCACATAATTCACCACAACAAAAACGCACCTCTTCCAGCATAAAACGCTCTTTTGGCACCTCTCGTACAAGCGATCCGATCAAATCACGGGCCAAATCCGAATGTGCATCAGTAAACTAAAGAAAAGACAATTATCAAGACGTTAATCACTAGACTAACTATTTAAACTTTAATTATCAAGTCGCAAAGTTCATTCGAAATTCCCTCGATCAATAACAAAACCATAAACCCACTGGAACCTCAAGTTGCACAGCAAAAGGAAGCCCGGCAGCGAAAGGTGGACGTCCCTCCAAGCACTCAAAGCACAAAATGCCGAGCGCCCAATTGTCTACCTAAATGCAAAAAAAATATTGTTGAAATGTTGCAGAAAATGTTTACCATTTTGTCATACGGTTGGTGACGAGTCAACTCGGGTGCCATGTAGTCGAAAGTTCCACAAAAAGTCGTTCGAATCTCGTCACGCTCGACTCGAGTTGACCAACTAGACAAAATTTCCGTTGTTAGCAAAATTAGCAAAGCAAATTTAGCACTCACCCAAAATCAGAAAGCAGAGCATTGTCGGCTTTATCAAGTAGCACATTCTCCGGCTTTAAATCGCGATGAATCACACCTTTCGAGTGGCAATATGAGAGCGCATCCGACAGTTGGCATACAATTCTAAGCAATAACGACATTAAATTATCAAAGTATTGAAAAATCTACATACTTGGCCGATAGATGTTCATCAAGTTGTCCAGATGCTGCAATTCGATCAAATAAGTCTCCCTAGAATTTTTCAGAATAAATAAAACAGAAAAATCTCCAACCCTTTCACCGACGTCCATTATAATCGATAGACGATCTTTATCACAAAAATATCCATGCAGTTTGATCACGTTACGATGTCTAAACATTGTAGTATTACAACAAGCATATCAGAAACGTACTTGAGCTCTGATTGTATTCCGATCTCGGACTTGATCATGTTGAGAGCGTTATTTTGAATGAGCCACATGAGAGAGACGCTCTTGATCGCCACGTGCATCCCGCCGCGAACCGCTAGCGCCTTGTCCACAATGCCAAACTAAAACAAAAACAATTAAAAGATGAATCTATGAAGATCTTTAAAACCACAATTAATTGCCCAATCTAGCTTACTTTATCCATTGAAAATCATTATCCTTTTTTTACAAAGCAACTTACCCCGCCTTTACCGAGTGGTGCAATAAATTTGAAATCCTCGCGACTCCATGGTTTGTCCCTTTTCGGCTCGACTGTTAGAGAAGGGGCATCCTTTTTTTCATCGACTGTTAGAGAAGGGGCATCCTTCATCGTTTCCTCAATCTTGATGCTTTCCAATCGTGCCGTGGTTGTTTCAAGTGCTCCTAATAGCTTTTCCGTCTAAATGATTGATTTAAAAATCAAAACATAAACTGAATACCTTTTGATTCTTTCCACTTTTGCGTTTTTCTTTTGCTGGCGGAGTCGCTTGAGCCCAATCGTTGCGATTTTTCTAAAGCAAGCAAAATCAACCTTTAACAGAAAAGCTAACCGGTGGCAGTCTATCAAGAAGTTCTTTGGCAAGACTCGGCAACGGACGACGAGGAAGATAGCCGCTAGCATTCTAAATAAAAAGTAATAAAAGAAAGAGAATCCGAACATACTAATGACACTAGACTCGTCTTTGGTTGAGTCCGATTGAAGGAAACATTGCAGGCTGAAATGGAAATTCGTGGGATCGATGGACGTCGTTCTCGAAGAAGCTAAAACAAGTAAAATGAATTGAACTAGGTTCTTTTAAACAATCAAATTCACTTCACTTTAACATTTGCTAATATTTAAAAGCCTACCACGCTTTCGGCTTTTGTGTTTACGAGAGACGCGGATGAGACAGAAACTCGTGGAATCGATGAGCGTCTTTGTGGTGGCGCCTAAAAATATATGCTAACTTTGTAGATAAGATATCTAACACTAAAGCTATGCAAAAAGGTACCGCCGTTGTTGTGATCGAGGGTCGATCTTTTGGAAGAATTTTCGTTGAGACTCGAGGCACCGATGGGCGACGTGACGATCGGGCTGACTAAAAATGAAATCATTGCACTTGCCTATGTTCATCTATTGCAAAAATTTCAGCTTGACAGCTTAACTACAAGAATTTTTGAAGTGACTTGAGTTTTTTTGTGCGCAAAAGATTTCATAAAGACTTTATTCATAAAATCTAACATAAAATCAACATAAAAACCTAAAAAATTCTCTAAAAATATTCAATTTAAAACAATCTTTTGCCATTTTTTCGTATTAGCTATCGTAAAGTATCGATTTTCCTATTTAACTCTTTATAATTGAAAAATATTTATAAGAATTCAGTTCTTTTCAATAAAAATATTATTTCTAAGATCTAAATAAGCTTCTTTCTTTAAAAATATAATTTTTTAGTGAACTATGAGTAGTTTTAATTGTAAAATTGTGATATCTTTCATGATAGCTAGTAGCTAAATCGACTTGAGGTACATTTCTAGTAACTAAACCGACTTGAGGTACATTTCTAGTAGCTAAACCGACTTGAGGTACATTTCTAGTAGCTAAACCGACTTGAGGTACATTTCTAGTAGCTAAACCGACTTGAGGTACATTTCTAGTAACTAAACCGACTTGAGGTACATTTCTACTAGCTAAAACCATTTTAAGTCATCCTCAAACAATTTTTAAGGCCCCTATATGGCTTATTTTGTCTGTTGATACTTTAGAATGCTTAATAATGGATTTTGTGGCTGTTTAAGGGGATGTAAGATGTATGGGATGTAAAAAACACAGAAAAACGAACCACTCCCGAAGCCGTTGTGTTATCGCAATGAGCTCGGCCACGATTGATAGGAAGGCAAGCAGGAAGAACTTTTGGAGCTGGAGTCGCTCTCGCGAGAATCACTTCGTTGGTTGCCTAAATTTAAAGAATATAACATTTTCAGCCGTAGTAAGTGCTTGGCTAATTTCTAATCTAAAAACAAAATAACAAACTTTGATAGGACTCGGCATCCTCATGACTTTTAATGGTCCTCGTCGTGGAGCGGTTATTCGTACCAATGGAGAAGACGTCTGTGCAGCTGCTTGAACTAAAATAAAAACGATTGTTGCTAGTAAGCTACAATTAAAATGATTGAACTAGTCTTGACAGGATAAGCAACCTAATAAGCAAACTAATAAGCAAACTAATAAGCAAACTAATAAACAAACTAATAAGCAAACTAAGCAAACTAATCAAACTAATAAGAAACCTAATCAGCAAACTAATCAGCAAACTAATAAGCAACCTAATCAAACTAAACTAATTAGAGCAAAAACAAACGTCTTTGGTTGAGTGTATCAAGGCAATTTTGAATGCCGCGAAACTTCTCGCGCACTTCGGAAAGTGGCGTTAAGGTTTTTGAGTCGATGATCGGTGGACGAAGTTGCGAGATCAGAGTGCGTGGAGTACGTGGAGTGCGTGGCGAGGCCATCGATGGATCTAAAAGTACGCAAGAGTTAAAGAACCGATTGATATTGATAAAATAAAATAAAACAATTGATAAAATCAAAAGAAGCGTTGTCTAATAAATCGCTTAGTTGATTGAAAAATTGCTTTGCCTTTGCCAAAATTTATTTCTATGTCCATCTAGTTGAGAGTTGAGCGAGATTATCATAAGTTAGTTCCACAATTGCTTGATCAACGACCTTTTTTTCAAGTTTCTGAGCGTTTTTAAGCCTGAGACGGTAAATTTGACTTGCAATAGCCACACTTGCAATGCAATAGACTTGCATTTGATTGAATTTTGCTCTATCAAAGACAAAAACGAACAAAAGGATAGGGAAATGCCCGATTGAATTCATCATTTGTGTCTAGTTGATCAAAAAAAAGTACAACAAAACTTTAAAACCCTGCTTTAAAACCTTACCAATCATTTGCTTGTGATCGGGAGTCGAAATTGTTGGTGGATCAGCTCGTTTCGATGTGATGACCATTTCAAGCAGTGAATAGAAATACAAATGAAAAAAGCTAGGGAAAGCTAGGGAAAATTTTCTTTTTAATAAACTTTTAAATGTAAGTTTTCAAATGTTAAGTGCAAATTTCGGTTATTGATGTTGTTGTTGGTGTGTTGATGTTGGTTTTCTGGGAAAATTTGGGGAAATATAGAGAATCTTCAGAGTTTTTTTAAAAATATGATCGATTTCGAGGATGACGATTAAGTTTGATTGATTAAATGATACTTATTGGTGTTTAAGGTACAGGATCTTAATGTTTAAGGTATAGGACTTTAATGTTTAAGGTACATGGCCTTAATGTTTAAGGTACAGGATCTTAATGTTTAAGGTACAGGATCTTAATGTTTATGGTATGTTTAAGGTACAGGACTTTAATGTTTAAGGTATGTTTATGGTATGTTTAAGGTACAGGACTTTAATGTTTAAGCTATGTTTAAGGTACCAATATAAGTCTAATTGCAATGGATTGTCGATTCTTGGAAAGCTTTGTCGAAAGATTTCATCGATAAATCATTCAAGAATCACGGTTTGATGTGGACGACAAAGCTTTCCAAGAATCGACAATCCATTGCAAGTAGACTTGAAGATGATCAGATTGGATAATTCTTTGATAAAGATGGAGCGATAAAGATGATAAAGAATTCACACAAGATTATCGAAACTTTCTGCTGTACAAATTGATGAATCTTGTACGGAATTGCTTGAACAAATCGATCTGCACGAGGACGAGGATAATGGATATTTAGACAGCAATGATTATGGCTGAAGTTCTAGGGTTAAGCTCTGTGTAAGTTTGTTGATCGTTGTTTGTTGATAATCGGATATTGAAAATTTGGTGCAATGTTGGAATTTGGTTTTTGTAAGTTTAGAGGAAGAGGAAGAGCTTAAACAAACAGCTTACTTAGCTTGGCTTACTTTAAAAAAAGCTTACCGTAAATACTGTAATAGTACCCCACCCCGATAATGACGGTGCGGAGCGTTGTGTAGTCTAGCTTTGAACGAGTTTTTCTCGACACTGGTTTATGCTACAATGCTCGTTTTGGTATCAAAAAATAGCCCTGAATTTCAGCTATTTTTTGATACCAAAAACGCATTTTTTGAAAGTACGGGCGCTTTGAAAAAAATGAAATACTAAAAAACTCTTTTGCGACTACGCGACTGTACGAGGTACGCGACTGTACGAGGTACGCGACTGTACGAGGTACGCGACTGTACGAGGTACGCGACTGTACGAGGTACGCGACTGTACGAGGTACGCGACTGTACGAGGTACGCGACTGTACGAGGTACGCGACTGTTGCAGTATTTACGATAGATTGAAAAATAGAAGATCTATTAGAGCTTTTATGATAAATGTTTTTTTTTATACATCTTATACCATATTTGAATTCTTTCAGCTGAAAAAAAAACATTTAGAACAAACAAAAAAAAACATTTAGAAGATTCCCAGAACAAAAACTCCACTTTAGCCACTATTTGATTTCTATTTGGTTTTGTTTAGCGTATTTTTTAGCGTGTTTAGCGTGTTTAGCGCATGTTTAGCGTATCTTTTAGCGTGTTCAGCGCAGGTTTAGCGTGTTTAGCGTATCTTTTAGCGTGTTTAGCGTATCTTTTAGCGTGTTCAGCGCAGGTTTAGCGTGTTTAGCGTATCTTTTAGCGTGTTTAGCGAATGTTTAGCGTGTTCAGCGCAGGTTTAGCGTGTTTAGCGAATGTTTAGCGTGTTTAGCGCATGTTTAGCGTGTTTAGCGTATCTTTTAGCGTGTTCAGCGTATGTTTAGCGTGTCTTTTAGCGTGTTTAGCGTATGTTTAGCGTGTTTAGCGTATCTTTTAGCGTGTTTAGCGAATGTTTAGCGTAACATTGAAAGATTTATTCTAATTTTGAGTAATCTATCTATTTTCCTTGTGCCTATCTATCTATTCAGTGTAAAGGAGCCGTTCGAGCAGCCGGTCGAACAGTCTCAAGGCCTCTCGTTTCAGAGTTGTGAAATCTGAAATCATTTTTTAGACTTTTCTAACTATTGGGTTGTCCAGTTATGAATGCGCGTTTTTTACTATTTTGTAAATTTCTCAAGATACCGAACAGATGTAGATGAGTGTTATATATCATTCGAAAGCTGAAGATCTCCTCTACATTTTGATATAAAAACTTTTTGAATTTGTTCAGCTTTTGGGCACAATTGACTGCACAGAAGAAGAGGTGACCAAAAAATGGAAGGGTGCCTTTGGATCAAGTTTTGGCTCCGCTCAAATTGAGTTAACTGTTTGATGTTTGGCCAATAGATCTATCAATACAACTTCTTTTTAAATATAACAATTTCAGAGCATCTTTACTTCTCTGAGCGGTTATTTTACACCATCAAACTTGAGGAATAGCTAAGCTGGAATGGGTTTTTTTTTTTCGAAAGCGACCTCTCCCTTTGTGCAATCAATTGTGCCCAAAAGCTGAACAAATTCCAAAACTTTTTATTCCAAAATGTAGAGGAGATCTTCAGCTTTCGAATGATATATAACACTCATCTACATCTGTTCGGTATCTTGAGAAATTTGCAAAATATTAATTCATAACTGGACAACCCAATATTTTAGGATAAAATTTACATCTTTATCTAGATTTTAAAGGATATTCGAAACAAAAAAAAGTGGTTTGGAAAAATTGATTGATTGATTGATTCCTTGTTGATTTTCTTTGTTGATTTTTCAAGGCTCATCGTGGTGTGAAAAATGGCTTTATCTTAGGCAAGATGGTTTTTTTTACAAAGGCAAGATGACGTTGTTTTTTTTTTTTTTTGATGATTTTGTGAAGGTCATTTTTTTGAAGGTACAGGAAGCTTAAAATCAGCGTAGAGAAAGCTTAAAATCTATGTATTTATAGAAACAAAAAAAAGTAAAAAGATTTATGATGAAATAGAGGCATTCAAAAAGTCTCTTTTTCATGGAAAACCATTTACAGGGTGCGGCAAAAGTTCTGACACTTTTTCTGTAAGCAGTCATTTTTTTTTTGGCTTCAAAAACCCGTGAATTTCAAAAAAGCTAACGCCGGATTCGAAAAATTTAGATAGTTTCACCCCCAAAATAGCGCCATTTTGCATAAAAAGATTTCAACTCTCAATAAATTTTTGACGAGAATTTTTTCTATCCCGATCTGGTTGCTGAAGATTTTTGCGAAAGTTGACTTAAACTTCAGCAGAATGAAATTTTTTCCAAAAACTCCTGTTACCATTTGAAATTAGGTTGATGCAAAAGTCTTTTTTTCATTTTTTTCGTACTTCTTTTGAAAAATAACAAAGTCATGAATTAACCTATGGTTTGCTCTATAAAAAAAAAGTGTTTATTGTTGAATTTCCCATCTTTTTAAGTGAATTTGGGCCCTCATGGTGTATTGGTTAAGTTCTCACTTCCAAACTGAGGGTGTGGGGTTCGGCCCCCCTAGGGTTCTCTTCCCTAGCCCGTGCGCCCAGACTAGAGGTCTCTTCTCTAGAGCTGACTAGAGATCCCTTCTCTAGCGGAGTTCACTCTTCCACTGGGTTGGCCCATTCATGGCTTGAGGTTATTAAAGCAAGAAGCCTATCTTCTATCTATCTTCTTTTCTCCCCGCCTCCACATCGCCGAGTAAAATATCTCATCTTTCTCTATGTATTTATGTGTAGATTTGTGTATTGTCTGACTGATTACGCTTTATTTCATGTCCTGAATAAAGTATGAATATAATATAATTTTGGGTTCACTTTCAAGCAAATTCGAGAGTGAAAACGGGTTTTTCATAAAAATCGATAAAAACCTGCACGTGTGGCTGACTGGTTAAGTGTCTTTTATCTTAATCGGAAGGTCGAGGGTTCGAACCCCACATGCGACATGGTCACCCCCTTCGGATTTCCTTTCCCTTCGGATTTCCTTTCCCTTCGGGTTGAGAGGTTTTCTAAAGGGCAGTCTGGTGGTTGTGGGCCCAGTTCTTTAAAGTGACAAGCCACTCCTTCATCGTCATCTTCCCTTCACCACCAAAAAAAGCTATTTAGTTCCCCATTGAGCTTAGGGTTAGGGAGCTGTCTGTCATGACGTGGGCTAAGTTAAGATATAGCCTAGTATTGTGTGTGTCGTTGTATTGTGATTGATATATTTCGTGTATGCGATAAATTCACCACTGGTAGCCCCAGTCGGTATTTTTAAACCTCTACAAAGAAATTGGCTGAATCAATTTCTCTGAAAATCTGAAAAAATATCGAACTTTTTGTGCTCTATCTTTTATTTATTAAAATCAAGATTGGTTTCCTTAGCTAAAGCGTCTAAAATGCATCATCGAGCCGTCGCCTTTTTTTTGACTACCCGACTTCAGGCTCTCAAAAAAAATCTAGACATAAGACATTTGAAACTCGTTTTAATGTCATTTTGCAGAAAAATAATTGGCCTTTCGAATGCAATAAACCGTTTTTCAAATTGGTGCATTTGTTACTTTTTAACAGAAGTACGAAAAAAATGAAAAAGACTTTTGCATCAACCTAATAGAACTGAGTTTTTTTTTTTTCTTCAAAAACAAGCCACAAAAAAACTTTATACCGTATTTACTCTATTAGTGGGGTCCTCTCTAATAGTGGGGTCGTCTGGAGGGGGGTTGAAAAAATAGTGGGGTCCTCTCGAATTGGAAGAAGATATTGGTAACGAAAGTGATACATCAATTGTTGATCTCTTGGATTAGTTCTTTTACTGTTTGTTAATGTTTTGTTACGGTTAAAGCTAAATAAAATATGAAGCCAAAATTGTTTTGTCAAGAATTTCGGAGAAAAATTGATATCTTTTCAATTTAAAACTTTGGTTTTATGTTCTTTTAAATTTCTCTAATAGTGGGGTCCTCTCTAATAGTGGGGTCGTCTGGAAGGGGATTGAAAAAATAGTGGGGGACCCCACTAATAGAGTAAATACGGTATCATTCTTTTTTTTTTTTAAATCTTCAATTTTGGGAAGCTAACTCGATTTTGACCACACTAAACTTGTCCCTAAGGTGACTCGATTCCTTTTTTTGGTCACTCGCATTTCGCCCTCGAAATTTCTTCAATGGTTCGATCTAGAGTGTGCTCCTTGTTGACAGACAATTTGTCAGACCAAATCTGCCTTGACAACTTTTTTTGTCAGACAATTGATCTAGAGTGTGCTCCTTGTTGACAGACAATTTGTCAGACAAACCTCCGACAACGCGTTTTCTAAAAGGTGCGCTTTTTAAGCAAAGCTATAAGCAAAGCTATAAAGGCCGTGCGAAAAAAATTTGCAAAATTTTCTTAAAATCTAGTAATGGATCGTTTTATTTAAGGATTTAGGTTTTTTTAGGGCGTGGAATTTGTTTTTGAATAGTTTAGCCGAACATTTGACATGAGCTGCGACGAAAATCAAGTCTTTCGCGTGGTGTCCGACTTCAAGAAATGCGTAGTGGGGTCCTCTCTAATAGTGGGGTCGTCTGGAAGGGGATTGAAAAAATAGTGGGGGACCCCACTAATAGAGTAAATACGGTAACTCAAAAACGAAAGATTTTCAAGCGATTCTACGAAGGGCACCCAAAATCTCAACAGCAAAAAAAAAAAAAAAAAACTGCTGTAACGACCTTCAAAACATCCTCATCAAAAGGGTTGTTTAGATGGCAATTTTTGTGTAAAAAAAAGTATATTAGGGGGTAAAAATATCTGAATTTTTATAATCCGGTGTTAGCTTTTCAAAAATCGCATTTTTTCCAAGTCAAACTGCCCGTTTACAAAAAAGTGTCGGAACTTTTGCCGCACCCTGTACATGTAAATCTACATTTTAAGCTTGCCGACCGCTGCACGATCCCTCTATTCACAAAATCATCAAAAAAAAAGCGACCCCATCTTATTATATGACGTCAAAGGCAAAAACAAATGATGAGCCTTGAAAAATCAACGAGAAAACTTTTCCAGACTCAAACCAGAACTTTTCCAGACTTGACCACTTTTTTTTTCAGACACCCTGTATATAAAATTATATAATTATTTAAAATTTGACTTAATTTACATATAAAATTGTGTTTATACCTGTGAATATGCGAAAGCAACAGTTCCATGTCTAGCAAACGCTGTCCGCAGAGTTGACACGCGAAATTGCCGCTAAATTTGCACACATGGATAAGTTACCGTAATCTGAGCAGCTGAGACAAGCTGGGTTACGGTGGTCTTGCTTTTGGAAGTTTGCTTTTGGAAGAAAAGTTTGCAAATCTTTTTCTCCGACACATTTAACTACAAATTTGGTTCCTTTTGCTTTTTAAGTATTTCTTTTTACCTTTTAGAGAACTTTTTAGCTTTTAGAGAACTTTTTTAGCTTTTAGAGAACTTTTTTTGGCTTTTAGAGAGCTTTTTAGCTTTTAGAGGACTTTTTTTAGCTTTTAGAGGACTTTTTTTAGCTTTTATACAACTTTTTAGCTTTTAGAGAGCTTTTTTAGCTTTTAGAGAACCTTTAGACTCACCGATGAGCTGCTCCATAATTGAGTTGTTCTTGATTGGTGACACCGGCAGAAAGCGATGGGCCAACCCCGATTCCACCCCTTCTTGTCGATGAGGTTAACTGAAAAAAAGTATCTAGACATTAGCCAAAAGTACTCTGTACACCTATTAACATTTGGGGAAACGTTTATAGGTGCTCGGAGTACTTTTGGGGAAACGTTTATAGGTGTTTAGCGTACTTTTGGCTGACTTTTCATAGCTAATTTGCATGATTTTAATGTCAATTGAAAGGAAATTCTGCCCCGCATCGAATGATATTAAAGAAGACTATGATAACTTATAGTACTTTATACCAAAAGTACTTTTTACTTAGTACAAAGTACACCTATGGACGTTTTAAAGCGGCTAAAAGATACTGGGATTTAAAAAATTCGGTTTTTCTCTCACCTCAGCCGTTTCATGATCTTCACTCGTGAAATGTTGATTACTTTCCTCTTCTCGAGTGAATGTGACATCACAAATTGGACATTCTCGCCGCCAATCGAGACGAGCAGCTATTTTTAAGGCATAGATTCGATTACATTGCTGTTTTTATGCAAATTTTAGTAGTAAACGATTCGATTACGTTTTCCGATTCACATAGAAACTTTAATTTAGATTTAATCTGGTTGAAATGGGAACAGAAGAGAGCTGATGGGGAGCAGAAGAGAGCTGATGGGGAGCAGAAGAGAGCTGATGGGGGCAGAAGAGGCTGTGGGGAGCAGAAGAGGCTGTGGGGGCGGAGAGCTGTGGGGAGCAGAAGAGAGCTGATGGGGAGCAGAAGAGAGCTGATGGGGGAGCAGATAGTCACCGGTTTTGAGCACTATTCTTACAACTTTGTTCCGTACAAAGTTTGTACAATTTTCCGTAGTTTAATCGGAAAAGAAAGCGCTTTCTGTGATTCTCAACGAATCACAGAAAGTGTTTTCTACTTTAATTGCTTTAATTGCTTTAATGATTCCACCCAAAATTTTCATCCTTCTGGTAAAACTATTCAGTTTCTCGGTTTTTCTTAAGATTTTTTTGTAATTATGTTTTTTTAAACGTCAAAAAACGGCTTATGGAATGGAAGTGAGTGATTCAATGAGGAATATCGTCTAATATGTTAATTAATATGCTAATTGATATGCTGATTAGTATGTTAATTAATATGTTAATTAATATGCTAATTAGCATATTAATTAACATATTAATTGAGAAAAACGGCCTATTTTGAATTGATCGATTGAAAAAGGATCAATCAAAGCTTTCAAATAGTGTAAGAGTCATAGAAATCGATTTCTATGATCCTGTCATAGAAATTAAAGCTGAATAACTTTAGATGCAATCAAACCTTGCACACTGGGCACAGTATCCAAGGCGATCACCCAAACGATTCGTCCTTTTGCATCCAAATCAGTTGATGAAGAAATATCGCAAATGATTGTACGAGGAAAGAGCCCATTCTAGATTTCATTTTTTTTTTTTTCTAAAACGATCTAAGATCTAGGAGTTTCTAATCTAAAGATCTTAGATTTTAGATAAACTACCGTAATCTTAGCGCTAGATTAGAGATCAGCTTAATTTTAATCATATTTGATAAATGCCTCAATATCGAGATTGAATGTAAAGTGATTGCTTGAAGTGAATGATTGAAGTGAATGTAAATGGCGACCAGATTACGGTAGCTTTTTTAAAGACTACGGTAGATTACGGTAGCTTCAACTCACCTCATGTAATGCTTGTAAAGCATTTCCCCAGGATACGCAAATACCCACAGTCGTTGTTTTGCAGATATCGATTCGATTTGGGAAGACACGAAGCGAGGAAGAGGGCAGGCAGAAGTGAGTTGTCTGTAGAGGGATTGGTCAGGTTTCAGAAACAGATCTTGTCTTTCGATCGTCTATTGTCTAGTCTAACATATCTAGTTACGATAAAGCTAGATCTAATCACGGAATTAGTCAGTTAGCTTGGACTAGAGATGTTTCAAGCCAGGCCAGGTCAAGCCAGTCCAGGTCAAGCCAGTCCAGGTCAAACCAGTCCAGGTCAAGCCAGTCCAGGTCAAGCTAGGCCAGGCCAGGTCAAGCCAGTCCAGATCAAGCCAGTCCAGGTCAAGCCAGTCCAGGTCAAGCCAGGTCAAGCCAGAGCTCGAGCTGAAGCTAGGCTAGGCTAACCTAGCTCCTGTTGGCTCTTTTGTGAGCCTAATCAGACCAAAGCAGGTCCTGGCTTGCCTGGCTTCTTGCCTAGCTTCTTTAGAGGTCCAGGATTAGAACCCGCTTTTGGCCTGGCTTGGCTTCGCTTTACACGATCACTTTTAAACACAAAGCCTACAGCCTTCTCTCACAAAGCCTACAGCCTTCTCTCACAAAGCCTACAGTCTTCTCTCACCCCATGCGGTGGATCTCGATGTATCCGACACAATTCAATTCTATATCGATTCACTTCATGTGGAGTCACATTCACACAAAGTATTTGCTCTTCTTCCTGAAATTTCGTTTGGCTTTCATTTTCAAAGCTAGCTTGGCTTTCAAGGCCTTTCAAGGCTCAACTCAAAGTCCAGTTTCACTCGCAACATCATCTATCAACATTATCTAATTTCTACTGTCTTACCGTAGTCTGAACAGTGATTTGTGGTGGTGGAACGGAGAAAGCGCTTGTGGAATGGATCTGAGAATGATTGACTTAATGGAAATGATTGCCGTAATGAAAATGATTGAGTTAATGGAAATGTTTGACTTAATGGAAATGCTTGGCTTAATGGAAATGATTTGATTAGTAAAATTGAATCTTTATCTTCTAAACTAACTAAACTAGCTAAATAATAAATAAAAGTAAATAGATAAATAGAAAAATCTCTTTTCTACCTTCAATGGTTGCTTTTTGAGGCGACTGATTTGCTGAACGGTTCGCTGGAATTGTTGCTGAGTTGACTCTGAAAATTGGCCTCATAATTGGCTTCAATTGGCTTCAATTGGCCTCAATTGGCCTCATAATTGGCTTCAATTGGCCTCAATTGGCTTCAATTGGCCTCAATTGGCCTCATATTGGCCTCAATTGGCCTCATAATTGGCCTCAATTGGCCTCAAATACAAAAGCGAACTGTCGATTTGATCTTTTCAATCATCTCAACAAGCATCTTGTCAATTCAGACGATTTATTGCGATCTTGTTAAGCAATTGCGACAATCGTTAAGCATAAATTGAATGCTTACAATTCAATTAGGATCATTGTTCATTTACTATCGAGTTTCATCGTGGGATTTCGCTTATTTTAAAGCAAATTTTTCACTGATCCTAAATATCTGTCATTTGTGAGTAATGGATTCAAAATTTCCATTTAAATCTATTTAAATTTTGGGTTAAAAGCCCTTTTTGACCGCAAGAGCAGCAAAAAAAGCAGCCAAGCAAATTATCTGACCGCAGGACTATCAAGCGATTTTCCGTCCCAGGCCAACACGTCGTGGTGGCCGAGTGGTTAGGGCGCTAGACCCTAAAACTATCGACCCGGGTTCGAGTTCGGGCTGGGGAGAAGTTTTGCAGTTTTTGCGATTAAAAGGGGTTACTAGAATTTCTAGAATTTCTATTATTGCTATAACTTTGTTTAGAGTTTTGGATTAAGCTAATTAAGCTGATTAAGCTAATTAAGCTAATTAAGCTAATTAAGCTGGTTAAGCTGGTTAAGCTAATTAAGCTAATTAAGCTGGTTAAGCTGGTTAAGCTGGTTAAGCTGGTTAAGCTGGTTAAGCAGGTTAAGCAGATTAAGCAGATCAAGTAAATTAAGCTAATAAAGCTAATAAAGCTAATTAAGCCTGCTTAAGGCTTTAAATTAAGCAAATCGATTCTAGAAAATCGATTAGAGATTCCAGAAGATCCATTTGAGATTCTAGAGATCTATTCCAGTTTCTAACAAATCTATTTCAGACTCTAACAAATCTATTCCAGCTTCTAACAAATCTATTCGAGATTCTAGAACACTAGACGAGTTAGCCTCAATCCTATGACCTGTACAAGCCCTAGGGAAACATCAAATATATGGAAACCATATTGGAACCATATTAGCACCGTATTGGAACCGTATTGGAACCGTATCTGAACCATATTGGAACGATATTGGAACCAGCCCTAGGAACCATCAAATCTGATCTACTTTACGCTAAAGCCTAGACAACAAACCTGAACCCGAAACGAGTTGACTCAACACTTGGCCTCTCGCTGGACTTTCTGTCTCGGTGATCGTTTTCAACGCTCTCGGACACCCATTGTTGTGCCATTCAATGTGCCGTAAACGAGCCGACGAATTTCTAAAATCTCAAAATCGATCTTTAACAAAGAATCATCCTCACCCAAACATCTCCGCGCACTCCTCAAAAGGGCATTTCAAAGGTCGATCTCCCGTGTGCTTTCGCATATGCAATTTCAAAGCGCTCATATGAAAAAATGACTGAATTTTATTTGATTTTTCAAATCAAAATTATTTCACTAACCTTTTGACAAACCGAACATTTATGCGTTTTCTCACCGTCTCTTTCATGGCTTTTCTCATGGACTTTCAAATTGTAATTGTTTCCGAAAGAACGCCCACAAATCGAGCACGAGAACGGCTTTTCGCCTAAAGAATACAAAACCCCCAACCCTACCCTCTCCCTTTTTTCTTTTTTTTGACCCCCCCAAATCGGCAGGGAACGGCCTTCGCCTAAAGAATCATCATCATAAATGAGTTTTCTAAAGCGCAAGCTTTCTAAAGCACTTTCAAAAACTACCGTAAACAGAGATTTTTGATCTGAGTTTCTTGGAAACTTCAAAGTCTACGACTACAGCTACGACTACGACTATGACTACGACTACGACCTCAGCTACGACTCAAAACTTTAAAGTCCGATGTAGACCAAGTTTGTAGATGTTACAGTAACCCAAGTTTCTATCGTAGTTTCTAGACGGAAAGGTTACTGTAACATCAACAATCTCAACAATATAAAGATGAAATCATGAAAGAATTAGACCGGACTACGGTAGCTAGGCATGCTAGACTGGGTTACGGTTACGGTAGCTGGGAGTACGGAGCTGGGGACGCGGTAGCTGGGACTACAGTAGCTGGGGATACGGTAGCTGGGATTACAGTAGCTGGGATTACAGTAGCTGGGGATACGGTAGCTTACAAAGGAATGCATTTGAAGTTTCGACCGACCAAAATCGCCCCCCCCCCTAGCCAATAAGAGCGCGCCACACGCAACAGGCGAGAGGCCTCGTGGTTAGTGTGCCAATCCAATACAGAACCAATCCCAATTCTTGTGGCAGGTTCGAGTCCCTCAAACTTCTTTTCTTTTTTGAGAAGCAAACAAATACCAATTTTAAAGCTATTACCGTGTTCTTTACAGTAGCGTTACAGTATTACAGGCTATTTTCAATATTAATAAAAAAAAAAAAACAATTAAAGAACAGTCAACAAACAAGACAGAAAGTCCAATTTGAAGAAGATCATATCGCTTCTGCCAAAGGAATCTTTTCAAAGAGTTTTTTTGATAGATTAAGCTTTGTAATAGCTTTTGATAGATTTTTGACATTTTTTGACAGATTTCCTAGTGTCGATAAGCGTTGTAATACCTTTAAAATTGATATTTGTGTGTTTGAAACAAAAAAAAAGGAGTTTGTCAGTGGCGAGACTCGAACCTACCGGAAGGAGGGGCACCGGTTTGCTAGTCCAGCATGCTAACCACTCGGCCATCAGTGCTTTCTGGTCGGTCGCGTGTGGAGCGCTCTTATTGGCTAGGGGTCTCTGTTGATTGCTCTTTTGTTTTCTAGATGGAAGAAAAAGAAGAGCTGTAAATTTAGACTTAGACAGGATTACCGTAGCTGGGCCAAGCCAAGACAGGATTACGGTAGCTGGGCCAAGCCAAGACAGGATTACGGTAGCTGGGCCAAGCCAAGACAGGATTACGGTAGCTGGGCCAAGGATTACGGTAGTTCTCGGGAAAAGGGACGCTTTAGGAAAAAGGAGCACTTTAGGAAAGTTTAGGAAAAAGTTTTTTTGGAAACAATCCACTGACCAGTATGACTCCGGATATGTCGCTCAATGTCCGATTTCCGTAAAAACTCTTTCGCACAAAATGAGCATCGATGCACGCGAATATCTTCCGATTTTTGTCTCGTTTTCGCGGTCTTTTGTGAAAGAAAAGCTTTCGGGATATCAACGAATCCACTTGGATTTGGCAATGAGATTTGGTGTCCATCGCGGAAATGTTGAGCGAAAGCCGAGCATCCACTCACCGATTTTTGACAAATCGGGCATGTGAATATGGAGAATGCGTGCATTGATTCTTGAGAGATTTGATCCAAATGCTGGAGAAGATGTTCAGCACTTTGATATTGATGTTGACAGACGGGACAGCGGAGATTTGTTGGGGGAAATGGTGCAGCGATTTGTTGATATGGAAGCAATGCAGTGAAGGCGATTGGCTCAATCTGGAAGGAAGCATATGCTAGACTAGTATGCTCTAGCATATGCTAGACAGTCAGTCTTATGCTAGACTAGCTTCTAGCACAAGACTAGCTTCTAGCATAAGACTAGCTTTTATATAAAAGTAGATAGATTGAAGCTCTAGATTTCCCCACCTGAGCACTTGTTTGAGGCAATGGTTGAGTGATCGGCACAGCTTGATTATAATCTAATGTATCGCTCAATGAAAACAATTGTGTGCCTGAGGTTGATGGGAGGAGATTGTAGAAATCGTTCTAAAGATCTTTCCATTTCCAATATATCTTTTCTTTTTCCTACTTGTTGATTCTGGTAGAACATATCGGCTGATTGGGATCGCGTTGGCTGAGGGAATTGTTGAATCGTTGATGGTTGATAGGGTTGAACTGATGAGGCACCCGCCTGGAATTGGGTTACGGTAGGTTCCTACGTTTCGGTAGACACCCAATTCCTACGGTAGGTTAGACCCAATTCTTACGTTTCGGTAGACCCAATTCCTACGTTAGATCAAAGCCAAAGCAGACCAGAACTCGGAAATTCTTTTGGATTTTCTATTAGCTAGTCTTTTATTTCAAATGGAAATCAATTAGATTAAAAACAAAACAAAAGTCAAATGGTGAACTCGAACCCCAGAGGGTTCGCTTTGTATTCTAGCCGACTACCTCTCGGCCAACACTGCCTTCCGGCCCCTTGCGGAAATCTGCCCTTAAACTCAAGGGATGTTTTTTAATCAAGAGCGGAGAGGAAAACTTTGAGCGCTTAAAACTTTTGACAGAGTGCTCCAAATCAGAAACGAAAAGCAGATTCGGAATCAGCGCAAAATTCTACGTTGACAAGGTATTAAGGAGCTTGTCATTAACGAACTCGTTGCTCTTGTGGCATCTCTGCGGTTCTCACATCCGGATGCGCCTCAGCCATGTGCTCAAGCCAACGATTTCTGAAATAGATATCTGGATTTAACCCTAATATTGTACAGCTATCAAATCCAGAGTCCTAGACCAATAACCAACCGATTCCGAAAACTCCTTTGGCACACCACACAGTTCATCGGTCGCTCTCTTTCATGCACTTGCTTATGACGATGGAGTTGTTCTAAAAGATATCATAGATTTTATAGTTAATTATAATACTCACGTATACTTGAGAAAGCTTTATGGCAAAGCCAACAAATGTGCGGTTTTGTCGGTCGGCCAGAGTGGGTTCTTGAATGGGTTCGCCATGCGGTGAAAGTCGGCAAAACGAGAGAGCAAACACGGCAAGTGTAGATACTAAATAATGAATTAGTTGAAGTATTTACATTTAACGATATCTAAACAATGACAAACTTCTCGAAATTGGCTCTCGGAAGTCCTCCAACAGAGGCTGGTCTTGAGGTGGAGGGACGAGACGGGGAACCAAAAGTCTGACTCGCTGTCTCACCCAATTCGAGCAAAGAACCGGAGATGGCTAAATTTACGCAATTACGCGACTGTACGCCAAGCAGACAGGTGTCTGTCTGTCTGGAGATGGCTAAATTTAAGCGACTACGCGACTGTACGCCAAAACGACCGTCGTCTGTCTGTCTGTCTGTCTCAACCAACCCTCTCCTTCCAAAGTGCAAATAGACTCGTGGTGTCTCAAACGAATCGCTGATTGGAGTTTCTGAAATTTCAGTTATAGAATTTAAGCTATAATTGTCTCTTTTGTCTCCTAGTTGTCATTTAAAAAATTTCTCATAACATTTTCCAAACCAACCGCCCCGCATCGGCAACACTGATAGATTTGGTGGATGGCGCGGTGACGGCGAAGAGCGTCAGCTGAGGACAACTAAAATTTGATTGATTCGTAAAAAGTTAAGTAATCAGTGCATCAGAAAGGGTGTGTTTCTGCTTTTACAGAAGTACACCAGTTGAACGAACCAATTTGAAGCAGTCTCCACAGCGATGCATGGCCAGGGTTGGATCGGCGACATCTTGTCGCAAGTGGATCTCCATATGAACCTAGATTTGCATATGCGTTGCGTATCTATTTAATTTACTTATCATATAAAATTCTCACCTTCAACCCGTTTCTCGAGCTGAACTTCTTCCCGCAACGCTTGCAACGATGCCGTTTCTCTAGGGTATGTGAATGGATGTGATCCTAGAAAACTTGCATAAAAAGATATAAGAATAGGTAAACTTCTAAAAGGCATCTATTTTCATAAACTATCGTAATCCTACTACCGTAATCCCACCGCTAGTTTTATGAATTTTAAACTTACAATGCAATCCCTATTCTTTCGAAAAGTCTTCTCACAGAAAGGACACACGTAAACCTTTCGCATGTGCTCGGGTAGAGCTGCAAAATTTTCATTTAACTTTTTTAAATGATTTATTTTACACTTACTCATATCGTGTTGATGTTTAAGGTGAACGGAAAGAGCTCCGATGTTGCCAAAACTGCAGTGACAAATCTAAAAGTTGAGAATTGTACAGTAAGTACAAGGCTTACTGTAGACAAGGCTTACTGTAGACAAGGCTTATTGTAGACAAGCCTTACTGTAGCTATAAAATCCCTCTTAATCCAAACTCACTCACATCACACGTGTAACTCTCTCGCCGCTCCTGACTTTGCCCCAATGGGTGAACGGCTTTCGCGTGTCGCTGCATGCTTTGAGCCTGAAAAATTCCTATTTCAATCTACAGTACTCGACAAACGCTCTTAAAAGGCACTCCACAGATCGGACAATTGTATCGCTTCATATTATGATCACGTTGCACATGGGAAAGCAGACCCCGCTCGTGGGTGTACGCTCGTTCACATTGCTCACAGGTGAAGCTCTTCTCGCCTGAATTTTATGAGTTTTCGATGTTTTGGGTATTTCGATACTCTTCCACTAAAATATGTAGCAACTTTTTGCCGAACACTTACTATTAGATCGCTCTAAAGCTTGCCCGATTACTGTAGCTCAACGGTTACCGGTCTAAAGCGTGCCCCGATTACCGTAACCCGTAACCCAGCCACATTCCCCCAATTCTGAACCCAATCTAAATTCCTGAATGAGATTTTCACTTACCAGAGTGCTTATTGAGATGCCGTTTCAATTCAGCTGGCCTTTTGAAACGTTTATCGCAAATCGTGCATAAATGCGGGCGATCCTTTGTGAAACTTTCTGGTAAAGGAAGTGAAGGAGTGGGTTTTTTGGAGAGACGACTAAATATTTTCAATAAAAATTATCTTTAAACTCATAAGACTTACCGTAATATTGTGTGTTGTCGCGCGTGAATCTCTCGCTCGCCAAAGGGAATCGTCGCCGAACAATGCGGGCAAAAAACTAACTGTAAAGTTGATTATATAAGCAACTTTGTGTGGATGAAATAATAAAGTGCAAGAAATATTGATATTCGACGGACCTGATTCTCGATGACTTCCGCAGCGCAATCACTCCATCGTAGATGTCGATTCAGTTCGGCCTGTAAATTTTTGAGTGCTAAAATTGCCTCCTGCAATGATACCTTAAAAGTAAACATGGTTCGGCATCTCGTGCATTGTAATTCATCGCTTATTGAGTGTTTCTCAATGTGTGATTGAAGCGCTTTCGAACGAGTGAACGCTCGATTGCAGATCTCACATGCGAATTTGGAATCTGAAATTTGATTCGTCTGATTGTTGGAGATTTTCGACTCTTACATCGTTTAGGTGGCTTTTTAATGGACAACCAAACTTTAAAGCTTTATAACTTTTTACAGAGACAACATTTTCATTTACATTTTATATATTTTAAGAGAAAAAATGTTTGGCTTTCGAACGAGCCCTAATAGACCTAAATTGGAAAGATCAATCCTGAGGAAATCAAAGCAGAATCAGCAGAATCCCACGAACGGTGGAAGCTATTTGATTTTCTTAAGATCGGTCATTCCAATTGAATTCTTTTTGGGCTCATTTGAAAGGCAGAAATTTTCTTTCTATTAAAATATTTAAAAAGTAAATGCAAATGTTATTTCTAAGGAAAGTTATAAACCTTTGAAGCTTGACTGTTCATTCAAAAGTCACTTAAACTTTCAAAAGTCACTTAAAATGAAACTTTAAAGTCACCTAAACTATACATGAACCATCAAAAGTTACTTAAAATGAAACTTTAAAGTCACCTAAACTATACATGAACCGATTTTCCAAGCAACAACAAACCATTTTGTTCCACTCGATTCCCATGTTCCAGTAACAAATGCACTCGTAGATTCATCGCTTTGTTGTACTGCGCACCGCAGAGTTCACAACTGAAAGTATAGAACTTTTGAAATAAGAAGAGAACAAAGAGACAAACCTGAGCTCTTTTTTCATCGAACAGCTCGCCAAATGAGGGCTTTCCATCCCAATCAATGAGGATGAAGGATCAATCGATAAGTCGCACTGCATACAGAAAACAATATCAATACTTGGATCCTAAATCTTCTTCTTACAAAAAGTCCCGTTTCATTTACCACAGTGTTCTTCGGAATAAAGTGTGAGCTGGTGCTGGGAACATCTTCCGGAATAAGCTCGCTCAAAGGATCCACACACAAAAACGGCTCCTAAAGTCGAATTTCACGAAATTTTAATAGCTTTTTATACCTGAACCGGCACTTCGTCCAAATTACGCCAATTTAATGCGGAAATCGCGGTAAATTCGTTATTCTGTGGTTGATAGTCGACCGACTCTTCATCATTTGAATCTTCGTCGATTAGCAGAAGTGGTTTCATTTCGTGAAATTTCAAAAATAATGATTTATCCAACTTTAGTCCCGGAAAACTTTTGATTTGATTACTTTCGATAACAACAAAAAATAAAGTAATCGGTTACACTTAAATACAAACTACGCTTGACGTTGTGCCAGCTATTCAGTTAATCTCCTGAAACGCCTTTGGCTACGGTACTTTTTTGTCGGGAAAATCTTCTTTGCCGAAATTTTCTTTTTCAGTGTTTTAAAAGGAATTTGTCCCTTCTTTGCGCCTTGTTAAATTTTAAAATCCGTCTAAAACTGGCATTGTTTGTTGTTTTAAATAAAAGTTTTGCCACTTTTGCAAGAATTTTGTAAATTGTTCCCTAAAATCCGACGAGAATCCCTTGAAATCTTTCATTTGTCGAATTTTTACGAGCTTTTTCTATTTCGTTTTCTTGTTTCTTTAACGTGGATTCACGTTCAGACTAATCTTTCTTGATTTCAGGGTAAAATGGTGCGAGTTCATTACACCGCGAATCCCGAGAATAACACGAAGTCATGCAAGGCTCGTGGTTCGGATCTCCGAGTGCATTTCAAGAACACCCATGAGGTTGCGATGGCTATCCGTCACATGCCACTCAAGCGTGCTCAACGATACCTCCAGAATGTGCAAGAAAAGAAGGAGATCATTCCATTCCGCCATTTCAACCACTGCATCGGAAGAAAGGCCCAAGCCAAAGTTTTCGGCGTCACCCAAGGACGATGGCCAGTGAAATCGTGCGAATTCATTCTCCAACTTCTTAGGTGAGAACTTTTTGATTCTCTTTTTAAGATAGATTTGATTGTCGTAGAAGATTTTTCTTTGTTCGCAAGGTGTTTGGATGCTAAATTATGATCGAGGTCGTTAAGAATGATTTGTTTAATGTTACCCTTTCAGGACTTCTAAAGAGCAAATCTAAAGAGAATTATGCGAGTCGTATTGTGACTTATAAATGCTTTGACTTTCTGTATAATTTAACATTTTCTGTGAAACAAAAAGATTAGGATTCAATGGAGGCTGAGACAAAAGGAAAAAAATAACTTTGAAAAAGCCCAACAGCTATGTGCTTTGTAAATTAATTTGTTCGTTTTAGAAATGCCGAAAGCAACGCCGACTACAAGGGATTGGACACTGATCATTTGGTCATCGAGCACATCCAAGTCCAACGAGCAGCCAAGATGCGCAGACGAACATACCGCGCTCACGGCCGAATCAATCGTGAGTTTGACTTTTTTCTAAAACCTCTTGACTAACTAAAGGCTATCTTTGAGCATTTAATTGGCCTCTTTGAATTGAGGTTAAACTTTATTGCAACACAACTAACTTTTTAAATAGGACAGAAGGCTTGTAATGTGGAAGGGGATCTTTACTGCCTCTAGATAAAGATTAAATTAATAATGGCAATGAAAATGGCTCTTACAAACTTGGTGCCTCCGTAAAAATCCATTTTTTTTAGCTTTCATGTCGTCGCCCTGCCACATTGAAGTGATTCTTACCGAGAAGGAAGATGTCGTTTCCAAGCCCACCGATGGAGTCACTCGCGTCAAGAAAGAATCGAAAAAGAAGCAAAGACGTCAATTGATGCAAATGGGCGGCAACCAATAATTTGTTTTTTTAATTGTTATAAATTGTTCTGACACTTGTATATCATACGAATCTGCTTGGAATCACGATGTTGCTGAACAAATCACATAACTCGACGGTTTCGATTCCGTGGTTCATGATTAAAGCTGGCCGTACCATGAAAAACAAGCGAACAAACAGTTGTTTATCGTAGAATGCGTCTTTCGATTTGTCGTTATTCTGCCGAAGTCGTTGCTTCGTCTTCAACTATTGTGCCCACGCATCGGCGAGCGGTTAGAGAGCTGCGCGTTGTCAAGAATTTGTACGCTAAGGTTTGTAGGATGAGAAAAAGGATTTATTGTTTCTTTGATTCTTTTAGGGTGATGTTGCTTCGTTGAAAACAATGCATACGATAATGAAACAGCAAAAAGATGCTGATGAGTTAGCAAGTCGAGCCGCCGCTTACACTGTTGCACTAGGATTGAAACTGGTATATCCTTGTGTAGTAATCGAATAGTCGAACTTCGATATAACGAACCCTATTTTTGGTCCCAATAAAGGGTTTTACCTTAAAATGACCTTCGATATAACGAACTTTTCGGTCGTCCCTTGAGGTTCGTTATATCGAAGTTCGACTTATTTAGAATCGTTTAAAAGAGGCTGAGAAATTTCTACCCAAAACCAAATATTGTCCAACAGTGATCCGTCGAAGTTTACAGGTATTAGTAATTCCTTAAATCTTTTATTTACAATAATATTTAGATAATGTTTGAAATAAAGCAAGGACGCGTTGATTATGCCATCGATTTGCTTGAAGACGTGCTAAACGAAGAAGAGGAGGTCTACATGAGTGAAAATCAATGTATTTCAGAGCAAGCGGTAAGTGCTTTAGTTGAACTTCATATAAATCACAAATACTTTAGCTCGATGCTTTGTATCAAGCCATCAATTCGAAAGAAAATACAGCGGATCAGGTTTGAGTTGTCTGTTTTCTTTAAAACCTGGATCTATTTAGATGAAAAGATTTCGGAATTTACAACGTATCCTCACCGCTTGCAATCGGAGAACCAATCGCTCAATAGATGAATTGTTAGAGTCACAAATTGAGGTTGGTTCAGTCCCAGCTTTCAGTACTCAACTTCTTTTTCTAGGTACCAATGATATTCAAAGAGCCGCACCGAGAAATTCCGCTCAGCAACAAAATACTTGAACAAATTCCTCATTTCCTCTCCGCGGAAGACCGCGAAGTTAAATCATAATTCAATTGATCGTCTCAGCATTGTGTGTATATTGTGCGCGTTTTTATAAATTCTTCAGACCATTCAACCATTTATTAAACTTTAGAGCACAGTATAACTTAATTAAAATTCATTAATTCATTTCGAGTCGTTTTTGGGTGTCTTCATCTATAAAACAAAGTTTTGAGGAGTCAATTAGTTAGTGTTACCTTTTCATCATGTGCTAAGACTTCGTTTTCAAGACCTGGAAAAGATGAAGGCAAATTGAACAAATTTTCTTTACCTCTTTTGGTGTGTCGTGTTGTGGTTGTTGTGGTAATTCATCAGATTGCGTCTTCTCGACCCCTAGCGCTTTTTCTAGCTAGCTTCTTTACATTTGTGATCACAAAATGATACCTGGCTCGTTTCCAGTGCTGCTCGTGTCTATATTTATAGTTGCTGAGGTTCCAGTCACCGAAATATTCACCACATCTAAAAAAATATAAACTTTAAGTTAGTAAGTTTGACAAAAGAATGAATGTACAGTTAGAACCAACTTTCAAGGGTTTCTTCAAAATCGTCAGAATCCGGTTCAAAATGCAGCGTAATTCCTTGGAATTTGTGAAATTGTGCCTTACATCTCATACAAGCACTCTGAAAAGTAGAAACATTGCTAAACGAGAAAACGAACCGAAAAGTAATGGCAATCGCCACAATAAAAGCAACCGCATCCAGGGCAAAGATGGCAATTCCTGAGAAGTAATGTTAATAAATAAGTCAACTTTAAAAAAACCCACGTTTTGTCTCTAACATGAAGCTTTTTCCTGTTACATTTTGTGCATTGTCCAACGGTTTTCCCTTGTACATGTAATCCGCGACGAACGAGGGCATCGTGACCATTTAATTGAGCTTTCGCAAGAATACTCTAAAGGTAAATCAATAAATAGGATAGCGGCGCAGGTTTGATAATTTTTCAAATTAAAACATGACAATAACAATTACCGTTTGTTTTGGGGCAATCGATTTCGGGATTCGATAGCGCTCCTCAAGAATTTGATTGTAGAGATGAAGGCCGTGCACGTGTGCCCGTTTCGGCCAAAAGCAACGAGCCCATTGAAGCCATTGTCTCAACAAATACACCTGAAACGCTCTTTTTAAAGAAGATCTCATGGGCACAATGCGGATGATAAACATAACCACCATTAAAACTTTTCCAACCTGCCAATAGGCGAGCACAAACGACAGAATCCAGATGATGAAAAGTCCCCAATTTAAATCGTAATTCGGTACACTCGGCTCACTGAAGCACTCACGCCATCTAGAAAAAAAAATAAGCCCGCCCTCTAATTTGGAAATCTCTAAAAGTAAAAAAAGACTCTAAGGTTTTAAAAAGATACTTTTTGGAGAGAGTAGCTTTTTAAAACCTAATTATGGCTAAACTAAACTAAGCTATGGCTAAACTATTATGGCGAAACTAAACTAACTAACTAAACTAAGCCTAAACTTACGCATTGTCCTTTCCACTAATTGCATCGTGAACTGGCGAGAAGATGTCGAGCAACTCCTTGAAGAGATTCGCAATCATGCTGCCGAGATCTTTTTGCGATAGAGATGATGTCGTGGTTTCGGAAAAGGCTTCACTTGATGTAGAATCGATTGGAGTAGTTGACCAGGTACTGCTCGAGTTGATCGGTGATGGTGAGGTAATGTTAGGCGTAGAGGTGGTGATTGGCAATGTGGAAGTATGACTGTCCGTTACAGCCTAAAGAAAGAAGGTTATTGCGAGAATTGTTACCAAAGACAAAATGATCGTTACGATTGTTCAGCTTCACAATAATCATAATATAGCACTCTTAAATGTTACCTTCATCTCATAATGGTCGGGTATGTGGAGTTTCGTGTTTTGCATCGTCCAGTAGATAAGTGAGCAAAGTGCGTAAATTCCCGCGTCTATTAGAATGAAGATCAATGGCACGAACCTGAAAGCAGTAGATTATGTATCCTTGTTCAAATGATGTTCAAATGAACCTCAAGAATAAGAAAAAAAGGCACCCACAGTTTTTAGGCAATATTGCAATGAAAAGAACTAACACAAAGTCTATATTAAAAGCTAATTCGAGTCTATATTAAAAGCTAATATATTCTATATTACCACAAAAACTTACCCATAAATAATGGTGATTACCATGTAAAAGAGTCGTTTTGTGCTTTCCCAAAGAGTTGTCCGAGTTGAAGAGAGTTTCATGTACTAAAAAGATACAATTCACAATAATTTATAATCATTCTTGTTATTCTTGAAGCTATTCTTGAATTTGAGCTAAACTCTTGAAAAAAAAAAACGGGCTCACCTTTTTCTTCTCCTCTCCAACTAAAGGAAAAATCGTGCCTTGTCCGTCTAATTTTTGCAATCGATCAATCTCTTGTAACTAAACTCAAAAAAATTAATTGAACCAAACTTTACAACTTCTACCTCTTTTGTGATGTACCGATTCTGGCTACCGTTTCGGGTGTGATAAAACAGAATGCATTTTATTGACTAAATCAAAGTTTAGTTAAAAATTGATACCAAAAACCAAACTATTCCAATGTGAATCACAAGTACGAACCACATAATGTAGTGTAGAAGTCTGAAAATAAAACATTTTAAGTATAAAACTTTACCGGAGCAAACTTACGTCAATGTTTTTCGCAAAATCGTAATGTAAAGGCTAATCTCTAAGTGGATGTTATCCCTGATTTGGCTTCTGAAGTATTTTTTTCCAAGGAATGTGCGTTAACAACAGACTTTGCTTGTTTAGCAAATACCATAACTCCGGATCCATCTTGTTGTTCGAGGTAAAGTTTGAGGCGAATATTTGGAATGTTCGTCACACTGTCAACCACCTAAAGAAAAGCCGATTTCAAAAGCATTTCTCTTTAAAATTTTAGGTATAAACATTTCTCTTTCTGGGGTAGGCTAGTTTCCGCAACTTTTTTTTGCGCAACTCACCATAACTTTCTTCTAAGTGGGCTAATCTTTATGATTTTGATTTCATTTTGTTGCACTTATTGAGACCAAAATCATAAAGATTAGCCCACTTAGAAGAAAGTTATGGCGAGTTGCGCAAACGACCCAGTTGCGGAAATGACCCTGTTGTGCAAAAAAAAGTTGCGGAAACTAGTCTACCCCCTTTCTCATTCAAGTCTTTAAAAACTTACATAAATTGTCCAATGATACCATTTCGATTCGGATAATTTCTTCACCCCGACTTTCGCCATTTCTAACATCGCCCCCAACGCGCCATCGATGACCCAAGCTAAAAAGTAGTAAGATTTAAAATATTACAAAAGTGATTCATAAAAGGCTCAAAGATCTCTTCACAGATCAAAAAGTGATCACTTACTTTTGAGATGTTCCGGAAAGCGGCAAAACGTGTCGCTGATATGAGTGCCGATATCACAAAGCTAAATCTAAATCAACAAAAACTAAAGAATAAAACAAAACCAAGAATAGATGTCTCGTGCTATGACAGATGCCGGTGTTGAAAGGATCCCAATCGTGACAAGTCTCGTAGAGGTCGTGCATCACATCCATACACTAAATACAAGATCAACAGAATGTGCTACCATCAACAGAATTAACCTTTCGAGTGGGGCCCGCGAAAAATCGATTGCATTTCTCGGTGACTTCGTTCAACGATGAGAACATTCTTGACGTTGTATCGGCAAAGCTAAATAATGGATTATTCTTATTTGCAATTTAAATCTCGCTAAGTTCAAACGCCAGCTTGCAACGCTAAGTTCAAACGCGTTCAAACGTTAATATTAGTGCCCCACTTTTGCAATACTCGATATCCGTCGCGAACTTTTCTACCGATCACTTCAAAACCACTCATTATCATTTTCCACGTTCTAATCAGATCCGGATTTTCGAGCTAAAATTTAAAAAAATTACAATAAAACTAGCGCCAAATCAAAGAATTTTGTTAATCTAAACAAATTTTTGCATTATTAGCAAACAAACTTAATTTAAAACCAACCATCGAAAAAATATCATCAGCCTTGTGTGCCACTTTTTGTCGAATCTTCGCAAATTCTTCTTGTGCACAAGCAGTTCCTTCGAAAACTTCCTAAAGCTTCTATAAGCGTAAAAAGATCATAACTCACTTGTATATTCTCGGTCAAATTTCCAAGATTGTGCTGAAAACAAGAAAACAACATATTAAAAGTATAAACGAGACAAACTTCGATTGACAGGCTGACAATGAGAAATAAAATCAATGTGCGCGTCTTGCCAGCCAATAATCTCCAAACAATGATTACGACAATCTAAATTGTAAATTAACAAGTTTATCTCAAAAAAATTTACTTTCATAATGTCTTGAAAGTAGAGCGCAATTCCGGAGAAAAGCCCAATAGTGAGTCCTGTGTAAATGCCACTTCTAAACATTTTAAAACATTGAATCGGTCTTGGTCTTTACTCTTTTTTTTACTTTCTAATACACATTTCCCCCTTTAAAACTACAGTACCTATCCGGCCGTTGCGCGAGTTTAAACGCGAATGTGAAGTAGAAGATGATGCCGAACGCTTGGAAAAGTGCGAAGTGGAGAATGGCGACGAGCACGTTGTTCTCTCTGAAAAAAGAGATTTCAAAAACGACATTTTAGCTAGATAACTAGGTTCTAGATAACTAGATAGCTAGGTTATTATCGTATCTAGATTATTTAGAAAAGATCCAAACGCTCACTTCGTTCCTCCGACAAAAATTCGATCGTAAAAGTTTCGCGGTTCGAAATTCTTCCTCCACCGTGGGTAGATTTTCGAAAAGCGCCGTCGGAATTTCACTAAAATTTGAAGTATCAGTAAATTTTACTAGTAAATTTAATTTACAAGCCTTGGAATTGCCTTTTTCTGGAATTACTTTTTAAACTATAAAGTTTGTGGGGCTTTTTGGGGGGTTAAAATTCATTTTCCCATTCTGCGATGTCGAAATTCGGATTCTACGCATAAAATTACTCTAAAAAAAGTGGAATTGGGGAAAAAAAAATCGTGCTTCCCTCCCCCAAATTACCTTAGCACCTAGTTTGTGAAACACAAAAAGGTATATAGGTAGCTTATAGGTAGCTTATAGGTAGCTTATAGGTAGCTTAAGTAAAAAGTGTATAGGTAACCTTTTTTTTTTAAGTACTTTTAAAAGAAAACGAACCACGGAAAGTCTCCTCATCGTATCGTTGAAAGCGTTTTAGCGCTTTCCCCAGTCGCCTTTTTGCCCACCACAGTTTCAGCAACGAGCCGAGCATTTCTAAAAAAAAAAGTCTTTAACCACAATTGTAATCACCTGATAATCAAAAAGAATTATAGCAAATTCACTTAGAAAAGTTTAGAAAAGACAAATGATAATGAGAATTTCTGATCATTTCAAAGGGATGCTTTTAGTGGGCTAATTTGAATAAGATAGCTGAAGCTGAAGCTGAAGGTTGACTAGTTGAATTTGTGGTGAGATGTTGTTAAATGTAGTGAATCGGAGAGCAAAGGCATAAGTGAAAATTCATTTTTTACCAAAACAAGTTTTGTCATTAACAAGAGTATGTCAACCGGGAGTTGTGGCCAAATGACACGAGCCATATTTAGCATTTGTCATTCTATTTGGCATTCGAATTTAACTACAGCTACGACAGGCACGAGACATAAAAGCGAGATAATTTGCTTCCTCACAGAGTAAAAGATCAAATTTGAAACAAGCATCGTTTCAAGTATCGAATGAAATTTCACAAAATTTCCCATTTCACGAATTTCAATGTTGCGAAGACATTGATGTTTTAGATTTTAATGATTATTGTTTAATGTTAATCGTTAAAAGTAAACAACGTTAAAGTAAAGTTTTCCAAGAAGTATTTTGAAAAAGACTTGTATTTGAAATGGAGATCAATTACCTCTAAAACGGCGAAACTGTGGACTCGAACTCGAGAGGGTTTACCTTGAATTCAAGCCGACTACCACTCTGCCACCACTGCCTGCCGAGCTCCTCTGGGAAATCTGCTCGTAAATTCGAGGGACAATTTTTAAAATTCCATACAAAACTTGGCACACTTATGACTTTTGAAAGAGTGCTGCGTTGAAAAAACGGAAAGCAGCTTCGGAATCAGCGCAAAATTCCGCGTCGAATAGTGTATGGCTCGTGTCCACTCCCGATTGACATTTCTCTTGTTAACGGCAAAACTTGTTTTGATAAAAGATAAATTTCACTTATGCTCTAGACTTTTGCTCTCCGATTCACCACAAATCTGACCAGGAAACCTTCAGCTATCTTATTCAAATTTCCCCTAAAAGCTACCAACTAACAAGCTACCAACGAGGACATGAAACAACGAGAAACTCTTTTTTCCCATGACGTTAGTTCTGTAATCTCAAATATTATCGGTTTATTGATAAGAAGTTAACATTAAATGAAAAACAAAGTCAACAGTGTCAATAAGTGTATAACGAAAAGCTGAATTTGACCCTTTTAACCGTAACTTTTCTTTAACATTTAACAATAACTTCAATCGTTTAATTCAAAAAGTTTTTCATACAACAGATAGTGTTTAAAATCCTAGAAATGAAATTTTATGAAAAATTTACTGTTAAAAGGGTTAAATTCAACTTTTCGTTATAGATCCATTGAAAATAAGCGGAATTTATCGCAAAAGCGCAGCATAGCATAGCAGCAAAAGCGCGTGTTTCTCGCGAGTAATGCGTTTTTTAAAACGAGAAACTTGAGAAAAATTCGCGCACTTTTACGAAAAACGTACCTCTATCGAAAATTATTGCAAAAAAAAATGGCGAAAAAAGCACAAGCGCCGACTTATATAAGGCTCTTTTTAAAGATATTCAGCTGATTAACTGATTTGGTGGGAAAACCCCTTCAAATATAAAGGTATTCAGCTGTTTAATCAATTTGGTGCCAAATTCTTTTCAAATATAAAGATATTCAGCTGTTTTGACTGATTTTGACCCAAATTCTTTTCAAATATGAAGATATTCAGTTGTTTTAACTGATTTGGTGCGAAATTCCCTTCAAATGTAAAGATATTCAGCTGTTTAACTGATTTATGACCAAATTCCCTTCAAATATAGAGATCTTCGGGGGTGGGACAAATGCGACCTTTTTTTTGCTGGAAAGGCCTTAGGAAGGCCGTAGAGCATCAAAAATGTTTCCATGCCAGGGAATCGTATGCGTAGATTCCGAATTTCGACAAATCAGACCTCGCTGACACGTCAAATTTGGGCTAAAAGGCAAAAACTACGCAACTTAACGCTTTTCCGCAGTTTTGCCTTTTAGCCCAAATTTGACGTGTCAGCAAGGTCTGATTTGTCGAAATTCGGAATCTACGCATACGATTCCCTGGCATGGAAACATTTTTGATGCTCTACGGCCTTTCCTAAGGCCTTTTCCAGCAAAAAAAAGCTGCGCTTTTGGCCGGGTGCGCAAAAAAAAGGTAGCATTTGTCCCACCCCCAGATCTTCGCTTGTTTTAACTGAATTGGTGCCAAATTCCTTTCAAATATCAAGATAGTCAGTTGTTTTAACTGATTTGGTGGGAAATTCTTTTCAAATATTAGGTTGATGCATAAGTCTTTTCGTTTTTTTCGTACTTCTGTTAAAAAGTAACAAATTCACCAATTAATCTATAGTTTGCTCTACAAAAAAAAAGTGTTTTTTTGTTCAATTTCCATCTTTTTAAATCAATTTCGGTTCACTTTCAAGCAAATTCGAGAGTGAAAAACGCCTTTTTCGTAAAAATCTATAAAAAACTCTACGGAAAAATTGGCTGAATGAATTTCTCTGAAATTTTGGCGAAATATCAAACTTTTTTTCTCTATCTTTTATCTATTGACACGAAGATAGGTTTTCTTTAGCTAAGGTGTCTAAATCACATCATCGAGTTAGCCCTTTTTGACTACCCGACTTCATACTCTCAAGAAAATCCAGGCATAAAATATTTTTAAACCCGTTTTAATGTTATTTTGCAGAAAAATAATTGGTTTTTCTAATGAAATCAACCGTAGTTTAATTGGTGCATTTGTTGGCTTGAAACGGCAGACGAAAAGGAACGAAAAGACTTATGCATCAACCTAATATAAAGATCTTCGGGGGTGGGACAAATGCGACCTTTTTTTTGCGCACCTGGACATTTGCGCACCTTTTCTTTGCTGGAAAACGCCTTAGGAAAGGTCGTAGAGCTTCAAAAATGTTTTCACAGAAGGGAATCGTATGCGTAGATTCAGAATTTTGACAAATCAGACCTCGCTGACACGTCAAATTTGGGCTAAAAGGCAAAAACTACGCAACTTAACGCTTTTCCGCAGTTTTTGCCTTTTAGCCCAAATTTGACGTGTCAGCAAGGTCTGATTTGTCGAAATTCGGAATCTACGCATACGATTCCCTTATATGGAAATATTTTCGAAGCTCTACGGCCTTGCCTAAGGCGTTTTCCAGCAAAAAAAAGGTGCGCAAATGTCCAGGTGCGCAAAAAAAAGGTTGCATTTGTCCCACCCCCGAAGAACAGGATATTTTTGCTGCAATCTTTTAAATACCCAAATTATCAAAAATTACTGCTTTTGAATATTCACTCCTTTGTTTGAATATCCAAAATTTATAAATTTGCTGGTAAATAAAGTAAGATTTGCGACAAGGGGAGTGGGACAAATGCGACCTTTTTTTTGCGCACCCGAGACATTTGCGCACCTTTTCTTCATGTTTTATAAAAGCACTAAAAAGCTAATTGTATGTTTTGTATGGGCGCTGTTTCGAACGGCGCTGGCGGCGCTATTCTGACTAGGTCTCCTTTTTTTGCGCTTTAAAAAAGCTAATGTTAACTAATTTCCATTCGAAAAGTTGTTTTGCTGGGTAATTTTAGGGCGTAGAAACGAAATTTTGTCATATAAGAGCTTGTGGAAGCAAACGGACGGAGTTATACATAGGGAAAAATCGACAATTTTCTGGAATTTGACCTACCAGTTTTATCTTTTCAAATTGGTTCCACAAGCTCTATTATATAAAAATTCCGATTCTACATCCTAAAATTACCCAGAAAAACAACTTTTGGAATGGAAACTAGTTAATATTAGCTTTTTAGAGCTGATGCGAGCTCTAAAGCTTTTTAAAGCTTTTTAAAGCTTTAAAAAGGGTGAGCTAATGGACCGGGTGCGCAAAAAAAAGGTAGCATTGGTCCCACAAGATTTCATTTGCGAATTTTCGAATTCAAATTTTTGCCGGTGATAAGGTTCTTTGATTTGATTGATTTGATTTTGATTGATTTTATCTTTGTTTTGGTCTTTGAAAATGGTTTGATTTATCTGAATTTAGGAAATAAAAGCAATGAACTCGACAAAGCGAAAAGACAAAGACAAAGAAATTTGTTATACTGGAGGAAAAGTTGGCAAAAGAAGAGGTGAATCGATTTTTTTTTGTTTGGTAAAGCTAGTAATGAGTTGAGCTAATAATGAGCTAGTCAAATTGTGCTCAATTTGTCTTGCCTAGTTGTGTATATTTGTATCTCTAACAGATTTGTTTCTTGAATGTACTTTGTGCTCAAACCTGTAAACACACTTTTTTGGCGCACTCGATTCTTCTTCGAAACCAGATCACTGTCATAAAAGTTGAAAGAATCCAGTGCGCCAGAAAGGGTACGTTTACAAGAAAATGCATTCCCTTAATCACCCCCAATCTTTTCTATTTCAGGTATCATTTTCTTTCCCCATTCTCTTTTACAACCCCACAAAAAGCATCACTTTTTCTCATTCTCATTTTTTGTTTCTTTTTTTCATTTTCTTTTCCTTTTTCAGTTTCAGTGATTCGCAGTCTTATATGTCTTGTCTATAGATGACCTTGTGGCTTCGAATTCCCTTTTTGTCACTCTTCTTTTTCCCACCTTTCCCAACACTTTCCAACTTAATTCCCCTGATCACCCATTGCTCCTCTTTTTGCGATTTTGCTTTTAATCTTTTAATGCATAGCTAGTTTTTGCTCCTCCATTCTTTTGAAACAATTATACAACCGCACTTTTTCTGAATAATACTATCGTATATAGCAACCCCTTAGCCGTAAAGAACTTTATCCTGAAGCACATCTTTTCTACAATATTTTACATAAAAACCCACACCTTCTACTGCATTTATATTTTTTATCTTTTCCAAGGTACAATTATTGTAAATCAAAGCAGTTTAGAAGTCATAAACCTTTCTTTACTTTCCTTCTTTTAATCTTGATGGTACAAATGAGAAAATTTCGGAAAGGAAAGGAACAATGTTTGTTCTTCTGTAAACGGTTTCTTGGGATAGGGTGGGGTAGTTGATCCCCTCCATCTGTACCCTCCATAGAACATCATCTCCCCGTCCTTCTTCATCCTCTCCTTCAACTCTTCAATTCTCCAATCCTTTTCCTTTCTTCATTTTCTTCTTCATCTCCTTTCCCCCTCATCATTTTTGTTTGCTGGCCGTTTCGGCTGAAGTGTGTCCATCGGAAGCCCTTCTTTCTCCCAAAACCCTGACCATCCCTCCCTCTCCATTAAACCAAATAATTTTATGAACCTTTGTTTGTCTTGATTTTAATCATTGAATTTTTGACTGTAATTTGTTCCTCTAGACATTACTCAGCACTGTCTCATACTGAATTGCTTTCACAGTACATTTAAGCTGTTTACAAGTCATTCAGTTGACACTGCCACTAAAATGTATCTTCTTCCTGTTCCAGTGGATGTGCTAACCCTACCACGCTAACCCTACCAACTTACCTTTTAAATTTTCTCACAAAAATAGAAAACATTTACAGCATACGGTAATTTTCCGCCAATCTGCCAATCCAGCTTGTTTTTTCTCGAGTGTGGCCATCCACTTCACTTTTTTTTGTGTCAACCATTTCCCTATCTTCTCTCCATTTTTTTTCTATGTTTGGACACATCTCATTTCTTTTCAGAAAAGACTTTCCGATTGCTTTTGTTTATTTTCTTCCTTTTCTTCACCTTTCCGGGGCCTGTTTTTATGAGAAAATGATAAAAAGTCCTCTCTGTGCAAGAACAGATCGATTTTCACGAATTGCCTTTCTTTTTCAACATTGGTTTATGATTGATACGACGATTACCTATTTACCAAATCAGATTTTGACAAGTTTTCCCTGCTTTTGTTTTCTTCTCGAGCTCACGAATGAGTTCTGTGTAAAATGTAAAATTTTTTTGTATTTTTACACTTCTAGGTGACCGCGAATTATAGCGACAACTTTTTGAAAAAGTAGCTGGAAAATGTCTAATTTATTTCAAAAGTGGCAAGTGTTATATAGAGAATTGTAGCCCGATTTCTCGGCAACATTTATCTACCAAAAACTTCCCGATTCGATTTAAACAACGAATTTAAAAAGCGCTTGAATGAGCGCTAGTCGACATTTCTTCGGCAAATCGGCAAGTCATTTGGTCGCTTTTCTCTATTACAATGAGCTTTCCAATATTTCTTTAATGCAAGAAAAATAGCGTTTAACATCACTTAATAACATTAAGAATCACAACTGTTTTAGCTGAACTGAAATAACAAAAATTTAAATTAATGTCAAGCTCTTTTCAAGCTTCGAGCAGGGAAAAAGGTGAAAATTTAGTATTTTCGATATTCAGTTCATAGCGCTTGTTAAATGAGTTTTATAAGTCGAATCGGGAAGTTTTTGGTAGATAAATGTTGCTGAGAAATCGGGCTACAATTCTCTATATAACACATGCCACTTTTGAAATAAATTACACATTTTCCAGCTACTTTTTCAAAAAGTTGTCGCTATAATTCGCGGTCACCCTGTATTTTCTATCATTTTTTTCTAACTTTTAGCAAAATCCTGGAAAGAAATGTTCTCTTTTGTACGCCTTTCCCTTGTCTCTTCCCCCATTATCCCTAATCGAGGTCTCCCACCGAGCATTCACCCATTCCATTGTTTTCACATCGTGTTTGGAATGAAAAGAGCCGGTGCTCTATCTCTATTCTATCTTTTTTTTGAGCTCTATACTAGCTATTTTTTTTTTCTATATTGATTAGCATAGTGATTACAGTGCATAGATTACATTTCTCTTTGTACATCTTGAGGTTAAATCTTGTAAACCCTAGTGCACCGAATTCTTCGGTTTTTCTTTAGATTTAGCATCCTTGCTACGAAGAATTTAGAATTTAGCTATTTAGGATTTAGCATCCTTGCACGAGAAAGGGTGCACTTAGATTAAAAACAAAAAAGTGATTCTTTTTCCGTATCTAAACCCCATAATCTATTCCTTAACATTTTCTTTCCATTCCATTTCCATCTTTTCCATATTCGATTTACAATTTTCATGTCAATCTTTCTTTTTTTTTCTGATCATTCCTTTCCTTTTTTCTGATCTTTTTTTTCTTGTTCATAATCCCATTCTTTCCTTTTTTTTCCATAAAAAAACATTCCCGTTTCCCCATTTTCTCGTCAAAACGACCTTTTCCAACATCTCCTCTTTCCAAAAATCACTTTTTTTTTCACTCAACTTTTGTTATTACCAAGATTATACTAACCTTTGTTATCTTGTTTAAAAATACTGTAATCCTAGCGTCTACAGTATGCTTGTCTTGTCTTTTGTCTTGTCGCTTGTCTTGTCACTTGTCTTGTCTTGTCTTTTGTCTTGTCACTTGTCTTGTCACTTGTCTTGTCTTGTCTTGTCTTTTGTCTTGTCGCTTGTCTTGTCACTTGTCTTGTCTTGTCTCTTGTTTCCTGATTTAAAAATATTCATCCTCCATTTGCAATTAAGACTTGAGATCTTCGTTTTTGCTGCTTAAATTCTAGTAAGATCAATAAGTAGACTTTTAGTATCTTCAAGTTACAGTAATCTTTGTTTCAATCTTTGTCTACTTTGTCTATCTTTGTTTAATAATATGTAAACAGAATAAAACTATATGCTCTTTTATTATCATGCTTTATGCTAAAGTTTGCCTTATTTTTCAAAATTTATTTTTAGATATGACTTCAAAAGCTTAAAAAGCTCACCGTTTTTTCGCAAAATGCCGCCCCTCCTTTGCTTCAAAGGGAATCGACAGGGAAAGGTTGGTGAAAAAAATAAATGTTAAGTGTTTCTAAAATTCTATTTTTGTAAACTCTCGTAATCCCGCCAGTTTCCAAGCGATCATCTTAATTTTTGTCTCATTGATTTGTGATTCCTGATCAAATAATATAAAAAATTGAGCTGATCTGGGTAAACTAGCAGGATTACGATAATTTTCTGTGTCTTTTAGAAAACTCAGAGAATAAACTTAAAGGATAAAAGTTATGAATAAAGTTGTAGAACAAAGTTGTAGACAACATAGTTGTAGACAACATAGTTGTAGAACATAGTTGTGGAACATAGTTGTAGAACAAAGTTGTAGAACATAGTTGTAGAACAAAGTTGTAGAACATAGTTGTAGAACAAAGTTTTTCCCAACTATGGACACCCAAAAAAAACTCGTTATTGTTGGGTAATCGTTGTGAATTCTCTTCCCTTTTTGTTCATTCAATTACCCACCAACGACCCCAAATTTCTTCTGTGTCAGCTTTTTTAGACTTTTCCTTTTACTTTATGCTCAAATCTTGTAAATGCCGCTCATCTGGGGCATCAGAAAGAGCTAAAGTGATAGATAAAGTACAGTAAACATTTTTTAGCGCTCGAAACGTGGCTCAACCCTGCAACGCAATGGATCAAAGGTGGGCTTTAAAGGTTTAAAGATTAAGAATTTAAATGGAGATTCAGCTTACTTATTTTTAAAGCTTTATCTAATATATATTTGTTAAAATGTTCACTGAAAATCTCACAAAATTCTAGAAACTCTAGAAAACTAGAAAAATGTGACATCGTTGGAGATAAATGTCTTGAAAAGCTTAGGTTACAACAAAAAGAAGAACTTAAAGAATATAGAAAAAGATGTTGTTCTTGGAGTTTAAAAGAGATGGGCCATGATCCTGGCCAGGGTTGGGGTTGGGGTTGGGCCTGGGAGGCCTGGACACTTTTGACTTAACTTCAAAGTGCAGATAGGGTGTTGGGGTAACGCAGTAGATAAGGATGAGGTTAAGGTGTCAAGAATGGTCCAGGAGTAGCTCAGGAATAGGTAGGGTTGTGTCTGAAGTCTGGGATATTATAATTAGTCTACAAGGGTAGCCAGGAATAAGCTTGAGACCTGGGAGCTCTAGGTCACAAGGAAAGGGATGGCTGGGGATTGACCTTGTCGACTCCAGGGTCAATCCCCGGAGACTTCTTTTCTTGAATAACTTTCTCTTTCTTTTCACTTCTTCTTCTTCCTCTTCTTCTTCTTCTTCTCCTTCTTCTTTCCTTTCTTTCTTTCTTTTCTTTTATCTTTTATCCAAGTTTATGGTTATTCGTCGGGTTATTCGTCTCTTTTTGTCTTCACATTTTCGAGTTTTTTCCCCCAACAAACTATTTCATTTTTCTACTACTAGACGAAATTCTTTATCTTATTCTTGTTGTTTATCTTATTCTTATTCTTTATCTTATTCTTATTCTTTATCTAAAGCCAGTAAATTCTATCAAATTTTAGTTACAAATTCTAGCTACTAACATTCTCTTAAGCTGTTGTTTTTTTTAGTCAAATTCCATTTCTAGCCTAAAAGCCGTCTTGTCGTCTTCAATTTGTTCTTTTGCCTAATCTCCATTAGACACAAAACTTTAAAAAACAATGACATAGGACTTTAGGTAGAAGATCTAAAGTTTGATGATGATCAGTTAATGATCAGTTAATGATCAGTTAATGATCAGTTAATGATCAGCCAATGATCAGCCAAAGATCAGCCAATGATCAGCCAATAATCAATACCCATCCCAGGCCTGGGATGGGTATTGATCCTAAGTAGTTATCTAATCAATATCTAAACAAATATCTAGTAAGCGATAAGTTATTTAGATGTAAAGTTATAAAGTTAGCCCTCACCAGCTAAAGCAACAAAGTTATAACGCCATTTTTCGCGACAATAGCGCCATTTCTCTATTCCCCGCTTCAGCTTACAAGTAAAATCTCAAAATTCTATTTCCTGATTTCTGAGCTTCAAAAGCCTTAACTTTGGTTGTTGTTGGGGTGAGGCTTGGCCTCTTTCTTAGCCTCTTTCTTACCCTCTTTCTTAGCTTCTTCCTTAGCCTCTTTCTTCCCCTCATTCTTCCCCTCTTTCCCACAAGTCCCCTTGGTTGGTGTTAGATTTCAAAGGGATTAATCACATCCTTCACTATTTCTTTCTTATCCCAAACCTTCATTTATCTTTAACTTTCTATTAAGATTATCTTTCTATTAAGATTTTCGATGCTTTAACTTTGAAAATTTCAGGCTTCAAGCGAGATGGGATCCTCGGATGAAGGTCTGACCCTCCACAATGTCACCAAGAGGATTATTGGTTTGTTAAGATTGTTGCTGTTGTTGTTGTTGTTGTTATTATTGTTGCTGTTGTTGTTGTTGCTGTTGTTAAAACACTCCTAGAGTTGTATCCAGTCTATTTCAACCTTTTAATGAAATTTTTTAAGCCATCACCTCTCCATCAACTTCAACCGAGAAAGTCTATCGAGAATCTCTTTCAAAAATCGCGCATCAACTGAAATCTGAGCATTTTGATCAATTCAAGGTAAACTAAATGTATTTTAAATAATCTTTACATTAGATAAAGACCTTAGATAGATAAAGAGTCTGAATTAGAGCTTGATCAAACTAAATCAAATTTGGTTCAGCCATCATTTTTAAAACCAACTTTTTCTAAAAAGTTTTATTATTTAGTTGACAATCTAATTAAATGCAAAAACCAGAAACTAACAAAAATCTTTTAACTTACTCAGACAGTCTTAGGATTCCATCTGGATCATTTCTATTTCAAGCGTTTATAGATTTGGAACGTATCAAGAACTCGACGCGATCTGCAACGATTTGGAGCGCCGGTAGTGGAGATGGGATGGCCAGCACCACTTGCACCGCCACTTGACAGGTCAAATCTTATTTCTGTTTTCTAAAACCTATCAACTTTAGAAGTGAAAGAATGGGAAATTAGCTTTTAAGCTTTTAAACTTTTAAGCTTTTAGGTACCTTTCTCAAAAGCTACCTAAAAGCTTAAAAGCTTAAAAGCTTAAAAGCTTAAAAGCTAAAGCTAAAGCTAAAGCTAAAGCTAAAGCTAAAGCTAAAGCTAAAGCTAAAGCTAAAGCTAAAGCTAAAGCTAAAGCTAAAGCTAAAGCTAAAGCTAAAGCTAAAGCTAAAGCTAAAGCTAAAGCTAAAGCTCAAAAGCTCAAAAGCTGTTTTCTCATTCTTTCACTTCTAAACCCTTTACACAACGAAAAATCCAATTAAAGAGCTTTTAAACTATTCAGTTAACCTCACAAAGTCAACTGATTGATAAATACTAGATAAATACTAGATAAATAAGACAGCAAGTTTAGAGAGATAACTAATGAAGTTTAGAGAAATAGGGAACCAAATTTAGAGAGATAAGGAACCAAATTTAGAAGGATAAGGAACCAAATATAGAAAGCTAAGGAACAAATTTAGAGAGATAAGGAACCAAATTTAGAGAAATTGATCACTTGCAGATTATGTGTGATGTGTAAACAGTGGGAACAATGGTTATCAAGTGATCCGTCACATATTATTGTTGTTCATTCAAAGGGAGAACCGTCAAGAGCTGCGCTCGCCGTTTGCGCCTTCATGCACTACAATGCAATCTGTGCGAAGTGAGTTGATTGATATTGTTTATTGTTGAAGGCTCAAGGCTTCTAATTTTTATATCTAAATAAATATTAGATGATATTAGGTTATTGATAAATATCTAAATAAATAGATTATAAATGTCTAGATCGAAATTTTTAGCGACGATTCGGTGGAGGAGCGTTTCTCGATGCAACGCTATGCAGATCGATTTGTTGGAGCACAGTGGCAACCAAGCAATAAGAGGTTTGTAAGATTAATAAGAGCAATGAATGCTTTTTCTAAAATGCATCTATTTTTGTAAAACTATCGTTTCTCGTTTACCAAAGTTTCCATCTGATCACAATTTTTGTATCATTGATCTAATGATACAAAAATTAAGCTGATTAAATGTAGACGGTTGGATTACGGTAGTTAATTAGTTGACGATTACGTTAGTTAATTAATTGACGATTACGGTAGATAGTTAGTTGACGATTACAATAGTTTTCTAGAATAGTGAGCGTTGCCTAAATTCCTCGAAATCTCGAGAACCGCTTATCAGAACCTATCGATGTGGGGTCGGAAAATGTAGCTAACGATGAGCTCTAGCGGGGGATTTGAGTGTTGAGCTTGTGGGAAAACTTAGAAACGATAAAATAGTCATTAACTCGGCTCGGCGGTGCACTACGAGAATACGGCAAATATTATATAAGCTTTTCAGATATCTCACTTATTTCGCGAATCTCCTTTCGGGAAAAACCCGAGTCAACCCGGCGGCCATCTACTTGCAAGTGAGCTTTGTGCTTTGTACTTTGTACTCTGTACTTTGTACTGTGTACTTTGTGCTTTGTACTCTGTACTTTGTGCTTTGTATTTTGTATTTTGTACTGTGTGCTTTGTACGTTGTACTTTGTGCTTAAATCTTGCTAAACATCCTTTCTAGTGCACTGAATTCTTCATTTTTCTATAATATATATTTCAGAAAATCGTTCTTCACCATTTCCCGAAAAGCGAGCTTTCTTTCAAAATTTATGAGAAGATGAAACCCGTTCATGTCACTACAACAATGTTTGTCTATTCAATTTTATATTATTATGTCTTTATTATTATATTATTATTATCGTAAAAGCTCTAATAGAAGACCCCCCCTATAGGAGCGTCGTGTAGTCGATTAACTCAAGTCTAAGTTCACTCTCGAACAAACGCTCATATCTCAGCAGTAGTACGTTTGTTTCTAATTGTTTAGGTATCAAATTAAAGTAGAGAAAATGAGTGTTCTTTTGAGATATAAAACATATTTACAGCTTTAACCAGCGCTTAGAAAAAAATGATTGAAAAATGATGAAAAAGCGTCGATTTTTCATCATTTTTCAATAACTTTTTCTAGAAATTGGTTAATTATAAAAATATGTGTTATTCTATTCTATTTTATTAAAAGCTTAGTAAGCTTAGTAGATCAAAATAAAAGGAGAAAGATCTAAAAAAAGATAAAAATAGAAGAAAAATAGATAAAAATCCAGTTGTAACCATAGAAAGAAATCCAAATGTTGTTTGTTTTTTTTTCCTTTTCCTTCCGATAATCAAATTTCATCTTTTTCTAAACAAAATTACAAAGATTTCTAGTTTTTTTTTACTTTTATCAAATTTTCTTAGCACTACAAAAGATTTGACGAAATTCGAGATCGATCAAGAGGTGAAACTGCGTGGAGACATTCTTCTGAAGGGCATCAAGATTGAGTTTGTTTTAAAAGGGAAAAGAGATTCAGTTAAGCCTTTAGAAACTTTTTGTCTTAGTGTACCGTAACTCTGGTTAATGTAGCCATAATCTAGGGTCAAACAGGGGCAAGGAAAGTCAGCTTAAACCATCAAGGAAAGCCAGCTTACCATCAAGGAAAGCCAGTTTAAACCATCAAAGAAAGCCAGCTTAATCCATCAAGGAAAGCCAGCTTAAACCATCAAGGAAAGCTGCTTAAACTATCAAGGAAAGCTAGCTTAAACCATCAAAGATAGCCAGCTTAAACCATCAAGGAAAGCTAGCTTAAACCATCAAAGATAGCCAGCTTAAACCATCGAGGAAAGCCAGCTTAAACCATCAAGGAAAGCCAGCTTAAACCCCCAACTTAAAGCTCTTTGCTCTTTGCTCTTTGCTTACAGTCTAATTTTCAGGAAAAACTCTCAAGTGACGGTATTCTTTTGTCAATTCAACACGTGCGCACTTGAGTTAATCGGGAAAACGCCGAATTTAGAGTTTTTCAAGGAAGAGTTGGATTTGATTTTCTCAAGTAAGCGATTGAGAAAAGTTTTTTAAGACAATAGAGATTTAGATAATGACATTGATAATCGATGTAAATTGGAATTGATTTTCTCATTGGATCCACCAAAAGTGCAAAGGAAACGATCCATCATCATTTCTGAAGTTTCTCGCGCGAACAGCTACGAGAATTTCGAGGAACCTGAGGGTTTGTTATGTTTTGTAAAGTTTATAAGACTTATTTGCGGAAATTTTAGCCAATAGCTAAAAGCCAATAGCTAAAGCCAATAGCTAAAGCCAATAGCTAAAGCCAATAGCTAAAGCCAATAGCTAAAGCCAATAGCTAAAGCCAACTCTAGAGCCTCCAACTAGTGAATGTTTCAATGTTCCTTGTAACTGGTTCCACTCAAAAAAATAGAACAAAAAGCCAAAGTCGGATCAAAATTGCGAGGTCTCGCTCTGTAAACGAGCGCTGTACCGCTCCGCCAAGGCTGCACCGAGCTAGGACCGCAAGAAGGCCGTTAAGACCCAAAGCTAAGTCTGCTAAGACCGCTAAGACCACATTTTCAGCGTCTTAACAAACTTTAAACGCTTATAACTCTTGACAGATTGTCATTTAGCAAAAACGGAATACGTACTCGGAATCAGCATCAAATTCTGCGTCTAATGATATAGATCGCATAGGGTTTGGCATCATTCAGACTCTTTTTTTGACATTCTTTTGTAAGTAACGTATTTTATCTGCCCTTGTGCTTAAATTTAACCATTCTAGCGCACTAAAATCATTTATTTTCTAAAGAATGAAGAAGTGCAAGAGAATTGCAAGAGAATGCAAGAGAATGCAAGAGAATTGCACGAGAAACAAATTGAGCACAAAGTAGCGATAAGCGATTTCCTTGATTCATCGCCAATTCCTTTTGATTCACCAAATTTCGTGTTTCACTTTTTCTCTCATCTTTGCCGTCTCTTTGTTGGTGAATAATTTTCGTCTCTTCATCAAATACCCTTTATTTGATGAAGAGACGAAAATTATTCACCAAAAAAAGAAATATAAAGATTGTACGATTAAAATTAAGCTTTTAAACTACCCTCTAACTACTTTAAACTTTTCAGCCAATTTTCTGGCTCAATTTTTTTTAAGCATCTTCTGCATCAGCAGCATCTTTTTCTTTTCTCTATCAAAAACAATCAGCGATAAATTAAAGCTTTGTGACGGTCATTTCAAGATCTTTAATTGGTGAGAAACATTTTTTCTTTTTTGGACTGGAACCGTATTGGAACCGTATTAGATTAAAAAAAGAACCGTATTGGAATCGTATTGGAACCATATTGGAATCGTATTGGAATCGTATTGGAACCGTTTGAAATCGTGTTTGAAATCTTCTTGTTTGAAATCGTTGTCAGCCTAAATGTTAGCAAAAGAAGCAAAAGAAGCAAAAGTTCTTAATTCTCATCTGGAAAATTCAAGTCTTAGGGAAGAGTGTTTGAAAATGGCTCAACTTGTTTAAAATTCAACTGATGTTGATCCATAATCCCCTGAACACAATATACACAAACCCGGTACCTTCAGCAGTCATCAAGTCTTCAGCAGTCTTCAGCAGTCAGCAACAATAGAACATAATGTTGGATCGTGCTTCAACGTAGCCTTAGTGCATTTTCGATTGAAAGCCTCGCTATTTAAAGCTGTCGAGCATACATTTTTCCATTGGAGCCCATCGAATTAAACTTTGATTCATCCGTCCATAACACCTAGATTTTAAAAACAAACTTTTGGCATAATGCAAATGACAAACCTTGCTTCAATCATCAGTCCACGATCAGTCAATTCTCGTCATCATTCTCTGACATCAGTCCATTCTCCAGCAAAATTTAGACGTTCCTTGATCGTCTTGGTTTTTCTTGGAGATAAAGAGCTTCTTTCTTGCTACTCGACACATCAATCCATAGCGATTAAGAATTCTTTGAATAGTTCTACAGTGACACCCCTTGCGAGACATCCGATAGCAACGATTTTGTGATGATTAGCACAAAGTCGATGAATGATCCGTTCTTTGCGGGCCGTAGTTTTTCTAGCTTTTCGCTAGAGCTTACAGCTTACATGTTTTCGGCTTTTACGACAGAAGCTTCCATGATTTTTAGTGCGCAATCAATTTCCGCGAAATTTTTGCCCTCTTTCCCGTAGTTTCACAACTTCCTGTCTTTGAAATTTGGTATGAATACCTCCTCCAGATCTAAATAGAAAAAACTTGCAACAAAAATAATTAAATAGAAAGTTTCGGAACAGATGAGACAGAAAAAAAGACGAAAAAAAAGACGAAAAAAAAGACAAAAAAAAGACAGACGAAAAAAAGACGTCTGTCTTTTTTTCGTCTGTCTTTCGACTACCGTAATCCTTTTTTATTTCTAAATGTATTTTAGTATGCTCCTCTCTAAAATTCTTCTTTCTCTAAACTTTTGTTGATTATAAAGCAGTAGATATTTACTTTGTAGATACCGTAAATACTGTAATAGTACCCCACTCCCATAATGACGGTGCGGAGCGTTGCGTAGTCGAGCTTTGAACGAGTTTTTCTCGACACTGGTTTATGCTACAATGTTCGTTTTGGTATCAAAAAATAGCCCTGAATCTCAGCTATTTTTTTTGATAACAAAGACGGAGCATCGCGTAGTCTAACTTGAAACGCATTTTTCTCGTCATCCTTTTATAATGACGGCCGGAGCATCGCGTAGTCTAGCTTTGGACGCATTTTTCTCGACACTGGTTTATGCTACAGGGCGCGCTTTGGTATCAAAAAATAGCCCTGAATTTCAGCTATTTTTTGATACCAAAGACACATTTTTTGAAAGTACGGGCGCTTTGAAGAAAATGAAATACTAAAAAACTCTTTTGTGACTACGCGACTGTACGAGGGCGGTGGGGTACTATTACAGTATTTACGGTATTTATATTTATATTTATAGATATTTCCGCTTTAAATATCAAATTTCAGACAACTCGGAATCGGTCGAATACAGTCGAATTCAGAAGTCGTCTCGTGCCGGGCCGGCCAGTGAGGACTCAGGAGTGAGCACAGAGTCGCCTAGCAAAGTGAGTTCTTTAAATCTTTTTCTAAAAATACCGTAGAGCTAGACCGGATTACGGTAGCTGGGGCATCTTTTAGAGTGCCATCGAATGATTTCCTTGTGAGCTCAAACTTACTTTGAACTTGTTACTTTGAAATTTGATTTTCAAAATCCGTCCATCCCATCATTGCCTTTGCATCCATATTTCTTTCACGAAGAGAAACTTTTGTCGAAACATATGGTCCGTGTAGCTTTTTTTTCCATCTTTTCCCTTTCATTATACCCAAAAAACACAGAAAACCGACAAACTGCTTCCCAGCATTCATCTTTTGAATCTTTTGAATCTTTTGAATCATTTGAATCATTTGAATCATTTGATGAGCTTTCAAAATCCTCCAGGCTTCAAAAAACAATTCTATTAGACTTTGAATGTATTCTCTCATAGTTTAACGCGTACCTTGTGCACAAGTAAACACACGCTTTCTGGCACACTTGTTTGACGGATTTGGCCTAAAGGATCTGTGCTTTAGGCCAGATTTGGCCTAAAGCACAGATAATTTCAAAGAAACAGTCAGCCCAGCTTAAAACCAAACCGGAATCCTGTAGCCAGGTCCGAGCCTGTGTTTGATGGTTTGACTCTAGCACAGGAACTCCAGGCCTTTAGGCCTTTGTTCTTTAGGCCAGGCTATTTTAAGAACCTTTCCCGAATCTTGATCTACAATTCAGAAACTTTTCGCAAGTAGCTTAAAAAACACTGTCGAAACGGAAACAGATGCTGCTGGCGAGGGTCCAGATTTTATAGAGAAAATAGTGAATGGATAAAGAAAGACTTAGGCTTAAATACTTTGGAATACAAGGCTAATTTTGACTTAGAGATATTATTGAAGCTCGAGACACAAGATTAGATTAGATACGCATAGAGATCTAAAGAAAGCTTAGATATAAAGAAAGCTTAGATATAGAGAGAGCCTAGATATAAAATGATCTAAAGATTAGAGCAGCTAGATTAAACCCTAGGGTCTAGATATAGGCTAGATTCTAGAGATCATAGACTAGGCTAGATCTCAAAGAATTCGAATCCCCAAGAAAAGAGTGGGGTGCCGATTGGAAAGAGAGATTCACTCGATCTATCGACCAGTGCCGACTCAGATATTACAACAAGAAGCCCCGAAGGAGATCCCCGGGTGAAACGAAGAAAAGATTTCCGGGCACTGACCCCTTTCTGCCTTTTTCTCTATCTTTACCCATATCCATTCTATTAGATCTCACTCTTTACCCTCAATCGCTTTCAATCGACTCTCCAATTGAAATGGCAAACATCACTTTGATTTTAGTTTTTTCGAAATCTGGTTATGAAGTAGCAGTCTTGTGTTAATCAGCTCTGATTTTGAGATCGATCTTTAGCTTGCTCTTGGCTATCTTTGCTACCTCTACCTTTGCTATCTTTGCTTTCGGTGCTTATTGTTAACTTTATTGTTAACTTTATTGTTAGCCTTTGCTTTGAAGCAAATTAGATAAAAAATTCAAATGAAATTGATAAGTTGTTAACTTTATTGTTAGCCTATATTGCTTTGAAGCTAATCAAATAAAAACTCTTGATTACAAGTACTAAGTTAGCCATAAACAAGATCTTTCTATTAGCTTTATCATCTATATTTCACTGAATCAGTTTTCAGAAGCCGATCTTGCTTTTTCTTTCAATAACTCTTTCTTTCAACAATCTTCATTTCTTCAATTCTTCTTCTTTTCTTTAATTCTTCTTCTTTTCTTCAATTCTTCAATTGCTAAGCCTCATTTTAACTCTAGTTTTCATTTAAAATCTTATTTCCAAGCTTATCTTCTTTCAGCTTTCAAAGCATTCTTTATTATAATCAATCATTCAACTTTAGCTTTAGCTAATTGCTCTGCTCATTTTGCAAAAATAGAAAAAACACGACTCATTGTTGTTTGAAGCTTTGTTTGAGGGAATTCAGAGTCCAGAGAAAGAATTTCATATAGATAATGGATATTGAGGAGAGTGAAGAAAGAGAGTTGAGAGGGGTCCAGCCTCATCCAATGTATCTCCAAAAGAACAGCTGGCTTCACCTTTTCCTTTATTCTTTGTTCTTCGCCTTTTCCTTTATTCTCCGATGAAATAAGCCGCACTCGCTTTTAGAATTTTGAAAAAACTTTTATACACTCGTTTATCCGTTGATGCACTTGATTCCTTTTGATTAGAGTTGGCCAAAAAAAAGCCAAAAGGGCCAAAAGTTAAAGCCTAGAATTTCAAACTTTAATTCAGCCTAATTTGACTCAAAACTTTGGCTATAACTTGGATTTCTTGTTGCTTTTTGTTTTGCTTTTGCTTTGTTTTTGCTTTGCTTTTGCAAAATTTTCCTTTCTTTGATAATCCCATTGATCCATTGACCATTGATCGATTTCCACGTTACTAACTAGCTTTTGCTTTAAAGATCTATTTATTTATAAATCTATGCTTTAAAATTTAGTACTAGCTTTACTAATTCAGTACTTTAAACGTTAAATTTTACTTTAAACGTTCAATTATCTGACTTTATCTTTATTTTTTGAGCTGATTTTATTCACTAAACTTAAGGATTTCGAGCTAAACTTTACTTTGAAATGTATAGATTTTAAATTATAAAAATTTAAATAAAAAAAAAAATTGAGCTTTGAAGGTTCAATTCTATTCAGTTAACTTACTTTATTAGTTAGTTAACATTTTACTTTTTAGAACCTCTTTCAGTTGATCGATTCTGTTGTTATTGTTCTGTTGTATTCTGTCGTTTAAAAAAAGTGATTATTAACTTCTAGACAAGTACTCATAACCAGTTTTCTAATTATAAAACGTGTAAATAAGAGTAACTATTTAGTTAGTTTTTGTTAAACGCTAAATTTTGATAAGCTTGATAAGCTAATCAAGCTAATAAGCTGCTGCTTATCAAGCTAATCAAGCTTATCAAGCTAATCAAGCTAATCAAGCTAATCAAGCAGCTTATTAAGCTAATCAAGCTTATCAAAATTTAATATCAAAGCTTACATCCTTTTTTTTGTCTGCCTTTTTTCCTCATTGAATCCTCTTTTTTATGCAAGAGATCATTTGATTTTAAATTTTTATTGCAAAGCTTTGAAATTTATCATTTGAATGCCTTTCGGTATTATCTTTAGATTATTATAAGATTATTATTTCTGGATATAAGATTATCATTTCTGGATCTGGATAATATTTTTATTTTTTAGGAAGAAGGTATGGGCCCTCCACCCGTGCCACCGAAACCTCATCGACCCGGCAGTGCACAGGGAATGATCGAAGAAGAACAACAAGGAGAATATGTGGAAAGGTTTGATTGTTTTATTCTAACTTTACCTTTAGATCGAGATTTCGATATTTTGGCGGTTGGGAGGGACCACTTTTATCCTGCCTTCGTTAGATCTAATGTTTTGAATGGTTGTATTAATACTTTCTATCTATTCTGGAGTAATCAAATATGCTTCATAGATTGGTGACTATTTTAGCAAGTTTTTTGGCAATTCTAGCCCAATCTCATGTACTTTAACGACCACCAAACGATACCTTAAAGCTGCTTACACTTAAAAATCAAATAAAAGCGTCAATATGAAACTTGAAACATGTTGTAAATGCTCTATAAGTATAAGCATATTTGATTACTCTAGAATACGTAGATAAAAGGTATCAATACAACCACTCAAAACATTAGATCAAAGGCCAGGATAAAAGCGGCCTCTCCCAATCACCAAAGTACCCGGCTACTACACTTTTAAGGTATCAATATTAGATTCAACTAAGCCAGAATAAAAGTGACCCCACCCAATCATCAAAGTACCTAAATTTGTATTATATGCAGTTTTTTTGTTAAAAACAAAAGCGTTTAGACGTGGCGTTCTGCCGGCGGCCGTGAAACCCCTTGTCAAAGCGCAAAAGGTGAGCAATATTTTGCATTTTGTGTAGCAAGTGTACTTTCTACTAAAATCTTTTAAAAACATCTTTCTGGTTCACGGAATTCGTCATTTTTCCTGCAACAACTGAGGTTTTTTGAGAAAAATGAAGAATTCAATGAAGAAAGAAAAAAATGAAGATGTGTTTACAAGATTTGAGTACAGAGTGCACCAGTGAATCTTGTTTTTTTGTGTATTTTGTGCTTTTAAACATGTAAACGCACCCTTTCTGACGCGTTGAATCCCTAGTTTTTCTCGTGGCAACGATTTGGTATCTGGTAAAGTGTACCAGAAAGGATGTGTTTTCATTTAAGAGCTCAAAGTAGACCAAAAAATGATTCAAATGATGATTTATGATTTCAAACCATTTCTAGGAACAAGAAAGAACACAAGAGAATGGGATTTTGGCGCAATTTGACGAAATCGAGGGCGAGATCGGGACAGAGAATGGAGGGACAAAAGAGAAAACGACACCATGTTTGGAACCGGATCTCGTGGGAAAGGACAGGTGGGGGAATACGTTAAAAATATTGTATATATTTATATAATAAAGTTATATCTATAATATTTAAAATTTTAGATATGACAAAGCGTCTAAATGTTTCTCCTATGTGCCGGCGAAATCTCTGAAAGAAGCCTACTCACAACCGAAGAAACCCCCGCCCAGACGGATCATCGAAAGCAGTAAAGTGAGTTGAAATATCTGTAGATTTGCAATTTTGACAATTCATGCGATGTTTGTAGAGTTGTTAGACATAAATTGAGCCTAGAATATCGCTGTATTCCACTATTGCATATGAAATGGCTAAAATTTTTCCAAATTTCCCCAACCAATCACCAGATTTCAAAAAGTTCTTTTATGATTTGTTGCTAGTGAAAAGCTATATAATAATCAGCTTTTTAACCAAAGATTTCAGCTTTCGAACAAACGTATTTCAAGAAATCATGATTTTCATCGACGTTTTCTATAAAAAGCTAATTCATTAAGAAATTTCAGGCTTTATTCACTTCAAATTATTTTCAAAACTCAAAAAAACATAAAAATTCACTGAAATCTTTGAATAGAAGCATATTGATTTAAAAAATATCTAACTAATAGAACTTTGGCTCAAAAGAACATCAAATGATCAAATGATCAAATGATCAAATGATCAAATGACAAATGACAAATGACATCAAATGAGTTGACTAAAATGATCGAAAAGTTTCTCCATCAAATAAAAAAGTTGCCCCGCTGTTATTAGCATAAAATAACTTTTCATTCTAATTAAACAGAAATTAGATAGTTTGTAGAGAAATTTACATGGATTAGCCGTTTCATATGCATTCACCCAATACTTTCCTATAGCCAGCTCTCTCCTAAATCATTTTTTTGGCCCATTCTGGCTTTATTTCTGCTCTCTAGCCTGGACGCGACTTAATCTGATCCAGCTTGAATTAAAAGCACATACCAGAAATGAATTACCGAATAAAATTGTCTCAATAGAAGCCAGTACTTTCAGGAGAATCTGATCGATGACGTGAGACCGGAGGATTTGTCGAGAGCCCGAGAGTTCACTCGATCCGTCGATCTCGTCCGAAGACCCGAGTCACCGAAATGGACTGATTCGGTAGGTTTTATCTAGGTTTTATCTAGTGTTAGTATCTAGTTAGGTAGGTTTTATCTAGTAAGAACTTACGAGATTGAAACTGGCTGCTTTCATCGCAACTCTTTAGATTGATGCGGCTCGAAGTGACCCACGACATCTCTACTCGATGGACATGCGAATTCCAACGAGCTCTGATTCAGGCCGACTCCCGGAGAGACCAAAATGGGAAGAAGAGATCGAAGATGCGAGAAAGGTTCGTGTTTGTTTAGAGTTTTATTTGTTATTGGTTTATTGGTTTATAGAAGTCACAGTTGAATGCTGAATATTGGATAGCATTAGTGGCTTTCAAGTATTCAAGTATCAAGTATCAAGTATCCCGATCCATTAATTTTCATTCAACCCCTCCATTACTGTACTTTAAGTTACAACAACTGAACTTAGCACTTTCTTTTGGAGTAACACTTTGTGGAAACACACTCTTAATTCTTCAATTTTCTAAAGCTTAATTCTAAAGCATCCCGATGAAAAAGCGAAGGATCCAGTGCGCCAGAAAGGCTGCGTTTACATTGAGCACAAAGTACACCTTCGAATTTCAACATCGATATTCCATTATGTCTATTCCCGAAAGAAGATCTCTAGTGTCTTTTTTGGAAAGAGATTCACTGAAATGGAAGAATCTCCATCGGTCTCTTTTATCGAATCTCCCCTTACACCCTAAAATTTTATCCAAAGAAGAGATATTTTTTTTTGTCTTTTCATTCTTTTTCGAATCAGGTATCAGCTTCAAACTTCAAAACTTTTAGCTGAATATTTCTGTATTTTGTATTTCTGTATTTTATTCTACTATCCTTCTGTGTACTTATTCCTTCAAAAAGATCTGATAAAATGATGTACCGATCAGCGTACGATCTTTTGGATCTCGCGTTGATGGACTTGGAGGTGATCTATGAAGCTGGAGCTTTTCAATCTTGATAGTTTTCAATGGAGCTTTTCAATCTTGATAGTTCTTCTTGTTTAACGATAAAGTCTTCACTATTTAACAGTTTTCGAATCTACAAAACATTAAAAATGTTAGAATCACATTTCAGTTTTGGTTTTACTAAGAAAGCTGAAAGAGAGTTTGTGAAAAACTCAATTTATCCGACCTTCGTGCTAAAAAAAGTAACTTAAAGTTGTTAACGTTGGGCGAGTTTATAAGTGTGTTTCCTTTTTAGCATTAAACTAGTACAAAATGAGCTCTAAACCTAGTAATCTACTGGTCCCTTATAAGTATTGAACACATGTACTCTTTTTTTTCTTACACTTAGCTTTAGCCAGGGTCACCCAGTGACTCTCTGGTCAAGCGAACCAGAGTTACTGATTTAGCCCGCTCCAGCCTCTTGACAAGTACATTATTGAGCAAGGCCTTGGCTCACACCTGCAGCTTGGTTTACAAACGGTACATGAGCTAAGCCTAATTCTGGCTTTGGCTTGTGCTGCCCCGGTTTACTCGGCTTGATCTAGCACAGCCTGTCTGACTTAATCCTGGATTAGCTTGGCCCAGCATGACCCGGATTGACCCAGTCTAGCCCGGAACACCTGGCTATAGCCTCGTAAATTTTTAATCAACATCACAAAAAGTGTGGTCATGCCATTGAGTCTCACGACGAAAAGCGATGAGTGTGGCTAAACTATGAGGTGAGAAATGAGTAAAAGAGAAAAAGATCAAGGATTTCTCTAAACTGAAAAGATTTGAGAATTGAGTGCGACTCTTTCGGTCCTACAAAGAATGCTGTAATATCTATCTTGGTTGAAAGAGACGAACACGGGCCTTTCCCCTCTTCCATTTCCTTTCCTTTCCGCTACTCATCCCCAGCCACTTACTCTCACGATTTTTACAATCAATTAGTTTATTGAATAACTTTTGATATACTTACTTTTTGATACTATTTGGATAATTTAAAGCTCAGCCTAGCACTTGCTTCACGGAAAATAGTCACTTTTTTAGATAACTCTTGATATCAAGATCTTGATGGATCCTAGAACTGGATCCGACTTTATGAAAACTTTAGACATTACTCTAACTATTCAAGCTTTACAGTAAAGCCTATGAAATATCCAAATCCTTGGTCTTGCCTTTGGATAACTATAGATTAAAGCCTCATCTTAACTCTTGACCCTTCAAGCTTTACAATCAATTAAAGTCTATGAAAGAATTTTCCAAATCAATCTGGGCCTAGTTACTAGATTATGACTCAAGATCTGCACCCTGAACGCATCTAGCCTTGATAACCCTAAATAGTTGATAACCCTAGATTCATCTAGTTACTTGTTGATGATCCTAGATCTATCTAGATACTTGCTGAGCTTCGAAAACTCACTGTTACTTCAGTCAATCAGGGAAATCTTGACATTTTATCAGTCTATGAGAGTTTTTGATTGACTAATTTGATACCCAAATCATCTATCAAACGCAAAGTGCGCGTCGAATTTGATAATCACTGAAAGCTTGACAAAAGTACAACCGAAATAGGTTTCTTTCTAATTCATGTGGTCATCATCGATTCTTATCCATTCTCATTGATTCTCCACCCCGTTTCCCCCTTATCCATTCCCCCCATTCCCTTCTCGTATTTCGTATCGATGTCTACCTCTTGTCCCTCTTTTCTTCTGACCACTCTCCACCTTTTTACTCTCGACATTTCCGTTTCTTAATCCTTACATAAGTAATAAACTATTTTTAGAATATAGCAATTGCTTATAAGCTAAGCAAAGCAAAGGAAAGGAAAAGAAGGCTAAAAGTTAGAAACAAGATTTCAAAAGTTGAATTTTCACTATTTTCTCAGCTGGAGAACACTCAGCTGGAGCTCATTCAAAAATTGAAATGAATAGTGAGTTTCTAAAGTTGACTGGGGGTTAGTCGGTGTTGTCTTCTTTGCAATTCGCTCACTCCATTCATTCACTCCATCATCTTGCTTTTTCCTTTAACTAAACTCGTAGCCAGAATAAATTTCAGTGAAGCCAAGATTGTCTTAAAAGGATAAAAATGAACACGCTTACTTAGTGCTTTCTAATTTCACTATGGGAGAAGTCAATCTTTGGTGGGCCTCTAGAAAAAAGGTTTTGTAATCATTTTAACCATATCATCATACCATTTTAACCATTTTATTGCCTAGAGCTTATACTTGGGATTACTTAGTAGAAGATTTTGGACAACTGGATAGACATTGTGGATAGATTCCTAACTCCAGAGTCACCTTCCGCCCTTTTCTCTTCCTCTTTTCCGAATCTGACACTAAATTGAAGGCATTCGAGGCATTCTAGTGGAAAGACTCTTTCATTGGAAACAGAAAACTTCTCTCTTTCTCGTTTTCTTCAAACTCTTGCACAAATTTCTTTCTTTGCTATTTATAGAGCTTTGAGATTGAGATTTTACTAGTCACTTACTAGAAAGTTTTAGATTCTAGTTTAGATTTGATACTTTTTTTTTTAGAAAACAGCTTACTCTCAAGGACACTCAGCTATTCTTCCTTTCATTAACAAGATGTAGAACCTATTCTGGATTTGTTTCCTTCTACAATTGCTTTTTTTCCTATTTTCCCAACTTCTCTATTTTCAGAATGATTCACTAGTTTCGATTAATTCTGTATTTCACTTGCCCGAAACGAACGAGATGATCCGCCGCTTGCTGGGTGGTGGCCAACGCCAGCATCAAGCGCAAATCATTCACATCGAACCTAGCGAAGCACAAATCGAAGATGCGAAAGATATCATGGCTCGGAGCTTATCCCAAGAACCCCAAGAAGAAGACAAAGGTCAAGCTCTTCCCTCATCTCTCGCCTCCATCCAAGCTCAATCTTATTTACCACCTGTAATCGTAGAGAGAAGTCAGAGTCCGATTCCCAACTCAGCCATTGCTCCATGGGAATTCGATCACAGAGCTAGGTCGAAATCGAGAGAGAGGTCGAAGTCGAAGACTCCTGGGCCTGAGCCAAGAACTGAGCCAAGATCTGAGTCTAAGTACGAGCCTGCACCCAGCGACACCGGTTTCTGGGGCACTGAACCGAAACCCGTTGAAGACCGGGGTCGATCAAAGTTTCGTGGATTTCTAAGGCTAAAAAGATCCGACACCATGCCTGCTAGAAGTGACCCGAAACCGGACCCGAAATCTTCAACACCTCGCTCGAAAACCCCAATCTTTGAGCGATTTTTTAAAAGTGATTCCGAAAGAAGGCATACCTGGTGGGGTAGACCGAAAACGATGAAAGAAGTGGACAAAGATGAGGATGAGATGACGACGAGCTGCAGTAGAGCATCGATACAGGATGAAGCCACTGTTTTCCAGGAAAATCCCTTATTTGTTAGCTCGGCGGCCAGAGGTGGACCCAGAATCGCCCCACCCAGGCCCGAGCCACCAAAGGGTTGGACCAGAACGATTGGGTCAGAACCAGAACCCAGATTTGGCCCTGGACAAGATCAGCCTAGACTTTGGCCAGACTCTGGGAATACTCAATCAGATCTTGAAAGATCAACTGGACCCTTGAACACTTTCAGAACACAGGACCCAGCTCCTCCTCGTCCTCCACCTCCACAACGGAGAAATGTTTTTCAGCTTTTAGCTGTGAAACGAGAACCTAGCTTTCCTGATCCACCAGAAATGATAAAATCGACTGACTCGGGGATTGGACAAAGCCCGGACGAAGAACAACCGTTGAGAGGAGAAAATGAGAGAGATGAGAGAAGAAGCAGATCAAAGCCGCCAATTGCGCCGAAAAGAGAGATGAATCGAACGCCGAATGGATTTCATGAAGAGTCACCGGAGAAATCGATTCTCAAACGCGTGCAAGAAACGAATAAAAACGGGAATCGAGGAGAGGTAAAGAGATGGGCTTGCTTCTGGCTTGCTTTTTTTACCGTACTCTGAACTAGTTACAGTATTGCACTTGAAGATTTGAACTCTTTGTTGTAATTTGAGCTCAAACTATGCAAACGTACCTTGGTGCGTTTCTTTTGCAGAAGACTTCTGCTCATTCGAGTTTTCTCGAGTCGAACGATAAAATAGTTTAAAATTTAAGAATTTCATTAAAGATTAAGATAAAGATATCAAATATAGCTTTAAATCTAATATTTTTAATCTTTTTTAGGCAGCTTTACGCGATGCTGTTCCATACGGTTATCGAACGGGACCTGAACGGAGTCGTAGTGCTGTTGGGGAGAGGATTCAATATGGAGATCAGGTGATTTCAAAATAAAAAGCATTTAACTGAATCTTTATGTAAATATAATCAGATAACTGGGTGATTTCTCTTAGAGTATGGTAGAAATTAGGAATTTTAGAGTAGAAATTAGGAATTTTAGAGTATAGTAGAAGCTCTTAACTAGCTAGGAGTTTGATAGAGTTAAGAATGGAATACGGTTGCTCTTAGCGTGTACAGTAGAACTGTAGAAAAGTAGTAGAAATAGAATTAGACTTCTAAATAGAATTAGACATCTAAATAGAATTAGCCTTCTAAATAGAATTAGACTTCTAAATAGTTTTAGACTTCTAAATAGATTTAGACTTCTAAATAGATTTAGACTTCTAAATAGAAGTAGACTTCTAAATAGTTTTAGACTTCTAAATAGAATCATCCTTTTAAATTCTAACATTAAAATGTTTACTATAATCAAAGTTTTAGGATTGGAGTGACACGCTGAACACGAATGGCTCATCGATGCGTAAAAAGACGAACTATGGTAGCTATCGAATGCTAGACGATGATCGATATGGGTAAATGAGTAAAGCTTTCAAAAATCTAGATGATTCCAGATCGGATATGGATGATTTATGTGATCCGGACTTTTATCTCAACTTCGGCACACAGCAAAGATCAAAAGCACCAAAAAGCGAGCAATTACCAAGGAAACAGTATCGACCCGTTGAACAACAGTAATATTTTCTTAAATTCAATCTTTTCTACAGTAATTGGGCTAGGTTTTCGTTAAAATTCAATCTCAGATAATCTTACGGTAGAGAGTTTACCCTGACATCATTAAAGGATACTTTCGATCACATAGTATACTTTAATGTATCAGGATAGTGCCTGCCAGTGTTTCACGATTCATCTTGTACTAGGGCTGACTCTGTACGAACATTTCTAGGGTTGGCTAGGGTTGACTTTGTACCAACATTTCTAGAGGATCAATATCATAGAAGAAAAAAACTAGACTAGAAAATCATCTATTTGAAACTAAGACTTTTAGGAGAAACTTTTTTTTGCTAATTCTTTCTAACTTATCCTTTAAATTTAGCGACTACAACGATCATCACGCGGCCGCTTCAAGCTTTGATGTTAGCCAGGTTAGTAAGCTTTTATCAAGAGCTTTTATCTTTTATTGATTTTCGATAAATTATGGGTTATCTCCCTTCACTCAAAAATTTGAATTTATCAACTAGCATATAACAATCTAATTTCCGTAACAATCTCTTCGTGGGTAAATCTAGGAGAGATCTAGAAGAGGAAATCTAGAAGAGGAAATCTAGAAGAGGAAATCTAGAAGAGGAAATCTAGAAGAGATCTAGAAGAGTAAATCTTGAAGAGATCTAGAAGAGATTTACCTATGAAGAGATTGTTACGGAAAGCTTTGTTGTTGTTACTTTCTCTAACAGCTCTTCATAGGTTATATTAACAATAAAATTTGCATTGACAGATCAAATTTTGCACAGAACGATTGCAATAGTTTTTAAAATGAAACATTTTCTATATTTTCTATAGTTTCTATATTGTCTATATTGTCTAAAAAAATGATAGAAAAACAGAACGATTGCAATAGTTTGCAAAAACTATTGCAATCGTTCTAAACAGGCAATGCGAAATCAAATTAAATTAGTATTTAACGCGAAACGCAGCAAAGCATTGGTGGGGGAAATTTCAGTCCCCTGAGCGATTGGTTTCTTCTTTTTTTTTGAGGTGAAGGGGAGATAACCAATAAGTACATGATTTTCTATCATTTTTATGCTATAGAGCATTCGATTATCGATCTTTAGATTCAATTTCAGTCAAACGATCGAGACTCGTGGCGTCAACGCAATTGTCGCAGTGTGAACTCCACCTCAGAGCGGTGAGTCGAACATTTCCTTTTTTTTTTTTTTAAAACACTGGGTACTTGGAAGTTTCTTGAATTTTGAGAACTGTCCCCAGGTTGGAAATGAATGGAAATTCCTTTAGAACTAGATCAGAGTCTAGACTTTTATTGCTTGTTTGGTCTAGGTTCAGATCCAGGTCCAGTTTTAGCCTAGATCTCAGGACTTTTTGAGTTGATTGTTCAAGGATTTAGGCTTAGATTTAGGCTTAAATTGATTCTGCTATTTGGTCAAGATTCAAGAAAATCTGTTAGATAATTTATCTATTTATTCAGTTTTTTGATTTATTGTAAATCTATTGGAGGTCTAATGATAACGCTGCTGAATAACGCTGACACTTTTCGCAAGAAATTGACTCAACCCGTGTCCAACTACAAGTACATTCCCTCTAGTTACATTACCTTTCCCTTCACCTCACTCTATCCATCATCCAATGGACAGGCAAGGGGTTTTTTTTGAAACTCTCAAGACTTTAGTCGAAACGAGCGGTTTTGGCTGTGTTGAGCTGGAAAAAAGAGAAAGAGAAAGAGAAAGAAAGTCAAAGGATCCCAGTTTACTACACAAAAGCGCATGCTTTGTGAAGGAAATCGAAGAAGAGATCCCTTGAGGGCAAAAAAGTGGAGGGCGGTCCAGGGTAGGGTCCAGGCTGGCTAGGGTGGGGCTGGGGGTCTAGTAGAGGGCCCTGGAGAATCCAGACCTGACTCCAGACCATTCTTGTGAAATTTTGTGGGTCAGGGATTCAGTAGAGGATCCTAGGGAATCCAGGCTTGACTCTGGACTATTCTTGGGAGATTTTGTGGGCCAGGTTGGGTCCAGGTTGGGTTCAGGTCTAGAGGCAATGGCCCAGAGGTTCCAGGTAGGGCAGGTCCACAGGGTGTGGTCCAAGCTAGGCTGGAGTAGGTCCATGCTAGGGGAAGGCTGGAGTAGGTCCAAACTAGGTTTAAGCAGTACAGAACAGGGTAAGGGCCTAGAAGAAGTTCAGGGTGCAAGAATTCAGGATAGGGTGGAGCTCCAGGGGTCAAGAGTGGGGTGTGGTCCAGGGTAGGGGAGCTAGAGTGGCCAGGGGTCGGGGCTGGGGTAGAGGGTGCAGGGTCTCCTCATTCTTGTGGGTCTCCTTCTCCGCAGATCTCTTTCAAACATCTCCACTTTCCATCCCCTTTTGTTCCCCTCACTAACTAGCTCCTTTGAGCTTAAGCTTTGAGTTCATTTGAGCATTTTCGAAAAACTAACAACAGACACATTAGTCAAAATACTAAAAAAAAGCTATTGATTTTGTTTTCTCTTAGATTTTTGATGAGTTAATTATCTAATATTTCTGTCTTGTAGTTATCTAGGGTTTATCTAGGGTTTTTTTAGTATTTATGCCTTTTTTCCTTTAGTTTCAAGTGTTCTTTGCGTGTACTTTGTGCTTCAATGTAAACAAATCTCTTCTAGAATCATTGCCACAAGAGAAATCAGGGAATTCAATACACTAGAAAGAGTGTGCTCACTTTTAAGCACAAAGTATAAGCGTTTTTGTTCCAGCTTTTCCCTTTGAGCAACGTTTTTGGCTGAACGTTGATTTATCTCTTTGTTTACTTGCATCCCTTCTCCAATTCCTTTTGATCTTTTAGTTCTTCAACAAAATTCTGAACAATTTCTCAATCTAAATCTATCTATAATCATCTTTTATCTATTCTTTTATGTTCTTTTATGTTCATTTAGCTTCTTTTAGCTTCTCTGAGCTTCTTTTAGCTTCTTTTAGTTTCTTTTAGCTTCTTTTAGCTTCTTTTATCTTCTTTTAGCTTCTTTTAGCTTCTTTTAGCTTCTTTGAGCTTCTTTTATCTTCTTTTAGCTTCTTTTAGCTTCTTTTATCATCTTTTATCATCTTTTATCATTTTTTTTATCTATTCATTTAGGTGTGTTCCCCCCGCTTTCCTAGCCTTAGCCCTGCTTTTTATGATTCTATGAGACGAGCGGCTTTCGATCCTTTGGAGAGTTCATTGAATCTTTCGAATAGACGCCATCTCCCTGCGACTCCAACCACCTCCACGAATGAATTGTTTACGAAAAAATTGGATCAGAATCGAGCTGAGAATCAAAAGAGCACTGGAATCAAAGCTAAAGTTCATTGGAGAAACTCTGGAGTAAAATCTGCACATGGTACAACACAAGGATCTGAGGAATCTCTTGGAGCTGGGCCTGGATACGGTACAAGTTCTAGAAGCCTGATCGACCCTGGGACCCAGCTCTATCAAAGTGGACCTGGATACGGTCGTTCTGGAATTGGAATTGGAGCTCAGAACCGATTTGGATACGGTGTTGACTCTGGAGCTCACATTTATCGGAATCTCAGCACTGACTCTGCGACCAAAATCTATCAAAACGGCTCAGCCCAGAATCTGAATGATCCTGGGACACAGAAGTATCAAAATTTGCCTCAGAATATAACCAATCTAAAGCTCTCCCCAATGAATCCCCGATTTCCATTGAATGAACTGAAAATAAATGGATTTTATCAGGGAAAAGCTAGAGCCAATGCGCCTGAGCACTATGATAATAATAACAATGAGAAGAAAAAGAGATTACTCCCAGAGACACCGGATTCTGTGAAAAGAAAGGTTTACGACCTACCGAGTACTGTGGAAGGCTCAGGATCGATCTTGGAGCAAAGTTTAAATACTAAACCTTATCAGGAGCCCTATCAAAATAGTACTGGAGATGCTAGAGCTTATCAGGGACTAGCTAGAACCCTAGCTCCTACCCTGGATCAAAGTCCGGCTAGTACAAGAGGTACTAAGGTTTCTGGAAGCTGGAATCTAGACTCTGGACTTGATCAAAACCTATCCAGAACTCAGACAGAAGATCGAAATAGTCTAGCATACGCGAAGCCAACATCGAAAAGCTCTGAGATTTCAATCTATAGAAAATTACGAGAACGATTAGAGCATAGTCCAGCTGGATCGATTGCTGAAACGATGAAACGAGAAGGAGTAGAGCAATTTCTAAAACCCACAAAGCCAAGAGCTTTTTCTTTAAATTCAACTAAACTTAGCCCAAAATCCGTTCACTTTTTTGATGGGAATTTAAAGGGAAAAACGAAAGTTGAGCTTGATTTTAAACAAAAAAATGAGACTTTTGAGATTTGGCCTAGTCCAACACCAACTCAAACGGGATTCGAGCCAAGGCCAGTGATTCGAAAACATCAATCACGATACGATCAATGGAATGAGAATGAAGGAATGAAGGAGAAAATAATCAGCAGTAACCATTCGAGAGATCAAGAAATGATTGGGAATTTCAAAGAAAGCAGAAAACCCTCCTCACCGAGAACCGTGAAAGCGGCGAATGCGAAGAGAGTTCTGTGAGTACTTTATGTACTTTTTGTACTTTGTGCTCACCGTAAATGCACCCCCTTTCTTGTGCCCTAAATTCATTGCTTTTCTAGTGAAACTGGGGAATTCAGTGCGCTAGATTTAGTGTGTTTACAAAGAGTGGAACATAAAGGACATCTGTAGCTCAGTCGGTAGAGCGCGGGACTCTACAAGACATCCCATAGGTTCCTTGCTGTTGGTTAAACAAGGCCTCATTGGGACTTCAGGCGATTTTTTGACCGGTCTCCCATCATCCCGTTTAGCTCAGCCGGTAGAGCGCGGGACTCTTAATCTGGTTGTCGCGGGTTCGACCCCTGCAACGGCCTCGAAGTTTTGCTTTTCTTAAACTAAACTTACATAAATTCACATAACAACTGCTATAATTTGGTTAATAATTGGAGATTGAAATTTGGATTGAAATTTGGATTGGAATAGAATTGGGATTTCAATTGGAATATCAATTGGAATATCAATTATTCCCCAAACAAAAACCCTCTAACAATAGCTTTTCTTCCATTCTTGAACTTCAATTGCTCTAGACACCATAAAGACTGTGCCAGATTAGGCGTGTTTGCAAATGTTTGCAGTGAAACAAAAGCTAAACGCAAAAGAAAAAAAAACGTAAATCAATGTACCCAGTGTATCATTTTCAAATTTTCAAATTCAAAAATTGATTTTAAAATTCTAGAAATCCTCGTCTCACTGTGAAAAACGATGCAGACGGCCCGCAGGAAGATTGGCTTTCGACGAAACTCAAAAAACTCAAATCGAAACGGTATTCAGTTAACGATAAAGATTAAAAGGCTTATTTTTAAACAAGAATACCGTAATTCAACAGCTAGTTTTCATTTAATCAGTTAAATCAGCTAAATTTTGAGTTTATTTGACAAGCTCTGTCGTTGACCTCGAATAATCTCAACAAAATAGACTATTAGAATGAAAACAAGCACGATTACGGTATTAGTGTCTATTAGGACTTGTGCTTCAGTTGGAAATAGGGATCAGATCAAAAGTTGTGCGCTGCCGGGACTCGAACCCGCGACCTTTCGCTCATCAAGTCAACTGTGCTAACCATTACACCCCAATGGACTTGACCTCCCTGACTCTAGAGAGTTAAATTCCCTTCTCTCTGGACGAGACGTCTCGACTTATAGGCTTGAGATGCACTAGAGACTAGGTAGATCTTAGCCAGCATTGCTGCAGCTTGGGCTCTGCAATGCTGGCTTCTATGGTCGCCTTCGATGATCGCCAGGCAAATCAAAACTTGTGCCCTGTCGGGACTTGAACCCGAGACCTACCGCTTACTAGGCAACTATGCTAACCATTAAACTAAAACGCGTTTGATCTCCATTACTTCAGAGAGAGTAAAGTCTTCATTTTAGCACAAAACTTTAGTGATATTGATCCGGAAATCGCTCGACGACGAACACAAGAGAAAATGCTTCTAGAGGTGAGTGAAATTTTGCTTAAACACTTAACAGAAAATCAATGGCTTGCGAAATTGCGAATCAGCTTTAAAGGCTGCTTTTCATTCACAGAAACGTCGACATTGGTGACCTAGTGGATAGTGAGCCGGTGTCTCGGCTCTAAAACACCCAAACCACCCCAAAACCAAACACCGAAACTCCCTCTTCCACGTTTTTTTTTTTTTTTTTTTTCCCCCCCCCCCCCCCCCCCCCCCCCCTTCCTTTTTTTTCTACTTTCTTTATTTCAGTTAGTTCTTTAATTTAATTCTTTTTTTTTGGAGCCGATCGCTCGATCGGGTTCGATCCCCGAGCTTGGTTTTTAACATTAAGCTACTATAATCAACTACAGTAGAGCTGGTAATTGTTCAGTTTTTGCTTTTGAATTAGTTTTGAAATGTATTTTGATGATTCTAAGGAATAAAAACTCTTCTACAGGAGTTGAAAAATGCGAACGAGCATCGAGAAGGGCCGAGGGATCATTTCGTTAATGAAGGTGAGGAAAAAGTTTGAATAAAATTGTCGATTCACTGTCGATTCATAGAAACTTTACCCTTCTTTCTTCCTAGTGTACTTTGTGCTCAAAATATGTCTAAACAAACCCTCTTCGATGCACCCTGAATTCTTCGAAAGAACGAACAGAGTTTCTCGAACAGACGAAGAGAGAACTTTTTTTTACACCAAAAAAAGATTTGTTTCGGATTTGTTGAGCAAAAAATACACAAATTATCCCAAAAAGATTCCGATTTTTCAATGTTTATTTGTTTTTTTGTTTGTTTTAAATAATCTCCTCTACAAAATAAAGTGATTACAATGATGATAAGTGATGGTAAGAAATGATGGGAAATGATAGCAAATAATGGTACTTATCGATTTAAATATATGAATAAGACATTTTGGAAGCGTTTGATACCAAATCAAGCGTTTTTTTTACCTTTTTTGTCATGCTTTTTTTTTTGCCATGCCTTCTCCCACTTTTTGAGTCCAATTTGAGTCCGATTCATTCAAGCGTAGCTTTTTTTTTTTTCACTCAAAATTCACAACCCTGCAATTTCGCAGGGGCGTAAAAGGCTCAGCTGTTTGTTTTTTTTTTTCTATGGATTTTTCGGAAAATCTTTTTTTAGGAGCTGTTGCTCGTGATCCATTGGAGGCTTATCGACGAGAAGAGGAACGATTGAGAAATACGTCGTCACCGTTTGATGAAATGCCGAAAAGACATGCCAGAGGTGAGACTGTGAAATTTGAGAGAGAAAAAACGGTGAAATTTAGACAGAATACCTCAAAATTAGTGCAATAAGCTGTTCTGGAAACTTTTTTAAGAAAATTAAAGAAAATAAGAAGTCTGAAGAATTCGTTGACACTATGGGGAGTCGAACCCGGACCCTCTGCGCTGTAGCCAAGCGCGTTCCCACTGAGCCACGGCGAGCTGAGAGCCCACCAGAAAAATCGGCTGTTAAACGGACTGCTAAAGAAATTTAACCAAAAATCTTTCCTTATTGGTCTTTTTTTCTCTTCGGAAATAGGTCTCGATAGCTCAGTGGTAGAGCGTTGGCGTGATAAGCGAGAGGTCAAGGGTTCAACCCCCTCTCTAGACAAAAGTTTTTCGAAGAAGTCAAAAAAAACTTTTTTATTAAATTAACTTAGCTTTCTTTCTACTTTATAATTCGCAATTAGCTAAAATTAGCTGCAATTACAATTTAAAACTAGTTTTTACGTTTTAGGAGTCCGTGGCAAGCCACCAACTCCACCGCCGAGAGAGCGAAGTCGTTCGCCGCCGCAAAGCCGAGTGCACACACCGAGTGTTGATGTGAGTTTGATTTGAGTTGATTTTGAGAGGATTTTTGTTTCTTTATTATCATTAGATCGACTTTTATCGATGTTTAATTAATTTCGATCACTTTTTTTTTCTTTTTATTCTCTAATTAACAGTTTCAAATTTTGAATAGTAAAATTTTCAAATTTTAACAAAAATTTTTCGAAAAAAATACTTTTAAAGCCTTTTAAAGCCTTTAAATAACATTTTAAAACCCGAAATAACGTAGAAAACTAGATGAAAATTCAAAAAAAACTCTCTTTTTCATCTCTAGAAAAAAAAAGAATTATAAAAAGACATTGAAAAAGAATTTTTGCCTTCCTGAAGGCATCGACACACTTTGAAGACCTATAACTTTGTACAGAGACAAGATTTTCTCTAACTTTTTATACCATTCGAAAGAGAACATTTCAGCCTTTCAAATGATACCAAATAGAGGTTGCTTGGATTTTTTTTTAAATACAAAACCAGGCGACACGACACCCGACTTGGATAGACCTCATTTGCTCAGAGTTGGCTCTGATTTTTTTGACTGGTTTATTCAATTAATCTCTATTTGGTATCATTTGAAAGGCTGAAATGTTCTCTTTCGAATGGTATAAAAAGTTAGAGAAAATCTTGTCTCTGAACAAAGTTATAGGTCTTTAAAGTGTGTCGACGCCTTGAAAATATCCGGATTTTTTTTAAAAAAACCCGAAAACTACCGAAAAGCTGAATATTTAAATGGTTTTATTACATGAATTTCTTTATTTTTAAAATTTTTAGCAATATAAAAGTGATCAAATTCGTGGAAATGGTTATTCGAACACAAAAGAGACGAATATCGATGATGATTATGGAGATTTCGCTCATCTAGGCAATATTCTTAAGGTTTTTGCTTTCTTTTCTCTTATAAAAAAACAACCTCTAGACACCATAAAGACTGTGCCAGAGTAGGTGTGTTTGCAAAAAGAAGCTAACTTTGATAAAAAAACGTTATGTCTCTATATGTCGTAGCCGATTATGAATGAGTCCAAACAACAAGTCCAGCCATCAACCATCAAGTCTAGGAGCGTCCAACCATCAAGTATTTAGTATCATTCAATGCAGAATCATTCAGAATTATGTTAAATTTTTTAAATTGGAAAGATTTGATAAAAAGAAAAAAAATTAGAGCAAAAAAAAGTGTTTCTTCAAGAGAAAACTTTGAAGCCTCATAATTTTTTTTCTTTTTATCAAATCTTTCTAATTTAAAAAATTTAACATAATTATTAATGATTCTGCGTTGAATGATACTAAATACTTGATGGTTGGACGCTTCTAGACTTGATGGTTGATGATTGGACTTGATGGTTGAACGGAGCGTCCTCATTCATACTCATTCATAATCATTCATAATCATTCATAATCATTCATAATCGGCTACGGGGTTGCCGCCGATTTTGAATGAAACGTTGTAGCGCCGGCAATTTTTAACCATAGAAATACAATAGAAAATAAGATTTTTATAGTAAAATAAAGTGCTTCTGAAAATGCGATAAGAAATTTTTTTTCAATTTATTTTTTCATTTTTTCATTTTTTCATTTTTTGTCTTCTCCTTTTCTATGTAATCTTTGTGATTACAAAGCTTGTAAACGCACACTTTCTAATGCACTAGATTCTTCTAGTAAATCTCAATTCAATGGATTTGATGGGTTTACAAATAGCGTAAAGAAAAAGCTTGAAATTTTGCGATATTTTATGTGTCTTTCGATTCGTATGATCTTTTCAATCAATTCATCGGATCATTTTCTTTTTCTATATTCTATTTAATTTTTAAGCTGGCAGATCAAAGAAAGCACCACCGGGACTCGAACCCGAGACCTTCCGCTTACCAGGCAACGGTGCTAACCATTACACCACAACGCACACGACTGTCCTTGCTTCAAAGAGAGTTAACTTTCCTCCTCTGGATGAGAGGGTTCCACACGAAAATGAAAAAATGGACGCCACCGGGACTCGAACCCGAGACCTTCCGATTGCCAGTCAAGCGTGCTAACGATTACACCATATGGGCAGCTGATCGCCCTTGCTTCAGAGAGGGTTAAGTTGCCTCCTCTCTGGATGAGAGGTCTCGATTTATAGGCCTGGAATTCGCTAGAAGCTAGGTAGATCTTAGCCAGCATTGTAGAGCTCTCATGGTCGCCAGGCAGATCAAAACTTGTGGCCTCTCGGGATTCGAACCCGAGACCTTTCCAGTCAACTGTGCTTACCAGTCAACTGTCCTAACCATTACACCCTAGTACACTTGATTCGAAGAAGTTTAGAGGGAGTTAAGTCACCAGAAAGTCACAAATTTGAAATCAATAAGATAAGAATAGATGTTTGGGGAAAGGGAAATGATGGAGAAGGCAAAGAAAAAAAAGAAATGTCAGAAATTTCCCATGGGGAAACAAAAAGGCATAAAAAGATCAGTGAGAAGAGTTTTCTAACATTTTTAAGTAAGAAAAAAATCAAGATTTCTATGAATAAAGTATTTTAAATGATTGATTATCTTTCTTAAATAATAATATTCTTTTCTTTCTTTTCTTTCTTTCCTTCTTTCCATTCCTTCTTCTTTCTTTTTCTTTCTTTTTCTTTCAAGCAACTCTTTGCCAAATAGCTATGCAAAGTTGTTTCCTTTTTGTCGATTTCTTTGGCTTTTCACCAAGTGTTTCGTTGTGCATTCCTTTTCTTTTCCTTCTTTCCCTTCTTCCCTTCTTCCCTTTCTTCCCTTCTTTCCTTTCTTCTCTTCTTCCCTTTCTTCCCTCTTTCCTTTCTTCTCTTCTTTCCTTTCTTCCCTTTCTTCCCTTTCTTCCCTTCTTCCCTTTCCTGTATCATCCCGTTGTCTTTCTTCCTTTTTCTTCACAAATTTCCCCCGCTTTTCTTCCGTTTTTTCGTTTTTCCAATACAAATCCCTTGCATTGGGCAAAAAAAAAAAAAAGTGTATTTGGGAGTGTCTGTTTAATGATTCAACCATGTTTCGTTTAACAGTTTTTAACAGAAAAAAAACCGTTTTTTGTTTACTTTTCATGTTTTTCTAAAGGATTGCTAATATTTCTTTTTTAGAAAACGTTTGTCATTTTGAATTTAAATTCCTTTGAATTGCTCTATTGCTATTAGCTAATAGCTAATTATTATGCTATTACCGAAATATCGTCAAGTACTTTGAAAAACAGATTTCTTTACTTTAAACTCGAATATCTTTTAGATTCAATTGAATATCTTTTTGCTCATATGAATGAATATCTTTATTATTTTATTATCTTTAATTTTAAGGCTAATTTTCGCGATTTTTTTTGCGCAACTAGGTCTTTTGCAAAACTCGGCAAACTCAATTGAATAACTTTTTTCTAAATCGACCAATCTTTATGATTTTGGTGTCATTTTGTAGATCTCAATCAGATCTACAAAATGAAACCAAAATCATAAAGATTGGTCGATTTAGAAGAAAGTTATGGCGCAGAGCCAGTTGCTTTGGCGCAAAGTAGCCACCGCCGGGTTACTGTGGGTTTAACTCAACATAACTTCCTTCTCAGTGGACCAATCTTTATGATTTTGGTTTCATTTTGTAGATCTCAATAAGTGCAACAAAATGAAACCAAAATCATAAAGAATGGTCGACTTAGAAAGAAGTTATGCCGAGTTTTGCAAAGTAGCCACCGCCCAACCCTCACCTAGTGCTAGACCCAGCTAAATCTTTTCTAAATCTAAATCTAAATAAGATTATCGTTATCAATAAGGTTTGGAAAAGATTTAGCTGGGTTTCTTCTTTGTTTTTAAGATATTTAGTTCTAGATCTAGCACTAGGTGTGGGTTGGGCGGTGGCTACTTTGCAAAACTCGGCATAACTTTTTCTCAGTGAACCAATCTTTATGATTTTGGTTTCATTTTGTAGATCTGATTGAGATCTACAAAATGACACCAAAATCATAAAGATTGGTCCACTGAGAAGGAAGTTATAGCGAGTTGCGCAGATGATCCAGCTGCGCAAATGATCCAGCTGCGCAAACGATTCAGCTGCGCAGATGATTCAGTTTAACTAATCTCTTTAGAACGATTAGAGCAAGAGAAATTGAACAAATCTATTGTAAAAATAGAAGAATTTGAATGAAAAATGAAAAATGTAATAAATTACAGAACGAGAACGCATCAACAGCCACTCGTCACTCACAAAAGCCACGAATCCCTTCCCACCAAACACAACAAAGCACACAAAGTGGACGACAATCACAACAGTTACAAGTAAACCTTTTGCATTATCATTTATTAAATATAGACAGCAGTTGACAGCAGTTGACAGCAGTTGGCAGCAGTTGTCAGCAGTTGTCAGCAGTTGTCTTGTCAGCTGTTGTCAGCAGTTGTCAGCAGTTGTCAGCTGTTGTCAGCAGTTGTCACCAGTTGTCAGCTGTTGTCAGCAGTTGACAGCAGTTGCAGCGTTGTCAGCTGTTCAGCTGTTTCAGCAGTTGTCACATTTCACATTGTCAGCTGTTTCAGCAGTTGTCAGCAGTTGTGCTGTTGTCGCGTTGACAGCAGTTGCGCAGTTGGCGTTGTCAGCAGTTGTCAGCAGTTGTCAGCAGTTGTCAGCTGTTGACAGCAGTTGGCAGCTGTTATAAGGGTCTAAAGTTTTGTTAGAGAACGTTAAGCTACAAGTTACAGTCATATGTTTTTGATTTGAGCATTTATTTCCAGAAGAAATCTTCCTTCGGCGCTTCTGAATACGCTCGTCCATCGACCGTCGATCCAAACACTTGGGCAAGAGGCCGGGAAACACCATCAGCACAATTTCCGGTAAATAATAAATCTATCTCGATTTTCGACATCTTTTCCCCCGTCAACAAGACAATCAACGAGAAGTTCTAAGCGTCTAAAACTTTTGTTATACCACGTTTAGCTACAAGTTGCAGTTACGTTCATATGCAAATTGATGTTTAATCTTGTCCCTCTACAGAATGTCTCTTTTCATTCCTTTTTCCTTCCATTTCCCACCTCAAATCCATTGTTTACCCATTTCCCATTACTGTTTACTCAAAATATTCGATGCGTGAAGATAATCTGGGCAGAGTGCAAAGATAAAGTTGAATGGAGCCTGGCAATGTAGTTCATTGGTAGAGCGTTCGTCTGGAAAGGGAAAGGTCACCGGTTCGAATCTAGACGATGACTAGAAAAAGTCAGCGCCAGGATTCGAACCTGGCGATCTCTCACTTGTCAGGCGAAAGCTTTACCAATGAGCTACGAGAACAGGCGTCTGGTTGACGTCAGTAAGCTTTATATAGCCTTATCTAGCCAATCTTTAACAGCTATTCAACAAGAGCTATCTTTAACAGCTATTCGCGGATTCGAACCTGGCGATCTCTCGCTTATCAGGCGAAAGCTTTACCAATGAGCTACGAAAAGAGGTGTCGCGTTGTCGTCAGTAAGCCTTATCTAGCCGTAAGCCTTATCTAGCCTTATCTAGCCTTATCTAGCCAATCTTTAACAGCTATTCAGCGCCAGGATCGAACTAGCGATCTCTCGCTTGTCAGGCGAACGCTTTACCAATGAGCTACGAGAACAGGCGTCTGGTTGACGTCAGTAAGCCTTATATAGCCTTTTCTAGCCTTATATACCCTTATATACCCTTTTCTAGCCTTACTACCCAATCTTTAACCTATTCAAACTAGATTTGATAAAATTTGTCTCAAAAAGATTTTCTAACGATTCAAATTCAAGAACTAAAGGGTTTTTAATGATTCAAAACATTCCAAGCGTTTATTTGAAATTCAAAAAGATTTAAGAATTAGAATCAGCTGATACAAGGCTTTCAAATGCTAATCTCAGCCAGTTTCTAGAGTGGAAATGAACTGGAGATGTATTGTCTAGACTCACATAAATCTAGCTTTAATTTTGTTGTTATACGAGCTCTCTCTTCTTCCCCTCTTCTTCCCCTCTTCTTCCCCTCCTCTTCCCCTCTTCTTCCCCTCTTCCCACTTTCTCACCCTTTCCTTTATCCTCGAGAAATGTCAACATCTCCCCCATCCCCCTTTCTCATTCAACCATTATCCTCCTCCAAAATGCCTCTTTCCCTAAAAATTTTATGCGTTTTCTTCGTCAAATCATATCATTTCAATCATTTCCATTTTTCCAAATGTAAACAAACTTTTACTTAACGATTTTAACAGGTTTTCGCGTTGACCTTGAAAAAACCTTTGCAGATCTCTTTTAACTATTAGAGAAAGCTGTTTTGATAAGGAGTTACAGTATTATTATAGTATTATTTAGCAGACTTGTAAGAAAACTAGACTAGAGCTAAGCCAGAGCTAGATCAGAGCTAGACTAGAGCTAGACTAGAGCTAGATCAGAGCTAGGTCAGAGCTAGATCAGAGCTAGACTAGAGCTAGGTCAGAGCTAGATCAAAGCTAGACTAGAGCTAGGCCAGAGCTAGATCAGAGCTAGACTAGAGCTAGACTAGAGCTAGACTAGAGCTAGGTCGAGCTAGAGTAGAGCTAGATCAGAGCTAGACTAGAGCTAGATCAGAGCTAGAGTAGAGCTAGGTCAGAGCTAGAGTAGAGCTAGGTCAGAGCTAGACTAGAGCTAGATCAGAGCTAGATCAGAGCTAGACTAGAGCCAGAACCAGGCCAGATTTCTTTTTCCCAGCCAGCACTAGCCTAGCTTCTGGCTTGAAACAATCGGATTCAATCTTTAGCCTCAAACCTTCTGGATTCAGGTAAAAATCCCTTTCGATTGCTTTAATGTTTTTAGATTGAATTTTTTTTGAAAAGATTGAAGTGTATTCGAAAAAAATGACCTTTAGAACTTTACCCATCTTTAGAATAATCATTTTTTCGATCTAGTTCTAAATTTCTAGCCCGCGCCGATCTATTTGTGCATTCTGGTAAACTTTTGAATGTTTCTACGCGATCTTTTTCTCTTTTCTTTAAATCAATTTGAGTTTAAAGCTTGCTAGAGCTTGCTAGAGCTTGCTGGAAAGGTTTTTTGAATGCTTGAGAAGCAGTAAGAGCTTCTCTAACCTCTTTATCTCTAGATTCTTTCAGGATACTCGCTATTCTGAGTGGGGATCTCTCTCGCACGCACAGACTCCCTCTGGACAGTTCTTCTCTGGGCAGGTTTGTGAAATCATTCTGTACTTTGTGTTCTGTAATCTTCTAAACGCAAGCCCTCTAGTGCACTGAAAGCTTCAGCTTTCAGTATCGTTTTCTGCAAAAAAAGGGGTTTTAGTAGAGCAGAAAGGATTTGTTTACAGTTAAGTACAAAGTACTCGAGTCAAGTCAAGCTACAGTACAAGCTACATACTACATCTATAGTATAAGCTACAGCTACAGTACAAGCTGCAGTACAAGCCAAGCTACAGTACAAGCTACATCTACAGTATAAGCTACAGCTACAGTACAAGCTACAGTACAAGCTACAGTACAAGCCAAGCTACAGTACAAGCTACAGTACAAGCTACAGCTACAGTACAATCCATAACTAACATTGAAGGCTTAAATTTTGGTTTTATCAATCTCCACTAGTTTTTATCTAATTCTTTACCAAAATAAAAGAGAAAAGTGAATTTTTGAGTTCTCTGGTTGAATCTAGATCTTTAGTATAATATTAGATAATATTCTAGATAATATTATCTCTAATCTTTTCTAATTTCTATTGTCTAATCTCTAGATATCTCTAATCCTTTCTATAATCTTGTCTATAATATTATTTCTTCTCTAGAATGTTCTCTAGAATGTTCTCTAGAATCCTTTCTATAATCTTTTCTAAATAATCTCTAAGATCTAAATCATTTTCAATGTGAAATTCTAGGAACGTGTCGCCGCGGCGATCGCCCGAGCCGAGACCCCGGTTCGACAATTTGGAACACAGGTATTACTGTGGATTTAAGATTTAAAGCTTTAGATCTAAGCTTTTGATGGATTAGAGCTATAGAGCTTGATATAGAGCTTGGTATAGAGTTTGGTATAGAGCTTGATATAGAGCTTGATATAGAGCTTGATATAGAGCTTGGTATAGAGCTTGATATAGATCTAGAAGTCTAGATTTAACTCTAGATTTAACTCTAGATTGAACTCTAATCTAGATTTCCTTATCATCAACAACTTTAAGGATCGTTCCCCATCAGTAACTGCTCGAGCCGAGACTCCACATTTCCCGATTCGTGGCGAAACCCCGTTACCCTATCATCCATTATTATATAGTCAAGTGGGTCAAATCGTTATTTTCATTTTTATTTCATCGTTAAACTTATCGTTAAACATTTAGGGAACTGCGAGTCGACCCGATTTATCGCGTGAACGAGATCGAGATCAATTCGCGATGAATTACAGGTAAAATAACGATTTTAACAGTGAAAGCTTTAGAAAAGCTCTTTAAGAAAAGCTTTCTTATTATTGTAAACGATAAAATGTTCGCATTTCCCATTTTCAGATCAACATCACCCCGTTCGAATTACTACAATCAGTCGCTGAGTCGACGTTCGTCGCTCAACTCTGTCGGTGAGTTTTTTGAGAGTTTTTCGGGCAGTAAAGTAGCCAGTTTTTCGTTTCATTTTACTAGGAAAATTTTTTGCCTAATGCGCTTTATAGAATGATAAAAGAAATCGAAATCTTAAATCAAAATTTACCAAATTTTTCCAAACGTAAAAATTCGATCAAAAAATGCGTGAAAATGGCGTGAAATGTTGTTAAAATGGATGCTTTAAAAGACTTTTTTCTAGCCTTGGAAACAACGGTCGTTGTCTAGTGGATAACATGCTAGGCTTCCTTCACAGGATCGATCCCCGATCCAGTTCTTCCCATGTGTTTTTGTTTTTCTATTAGCAATTAGCTGTAAAATGATAGAAGTTGCTCTAAAAGGAAGAAGGCAGAAAGAAAGGAAGGAAGAAGGCAGAAGGAAAGGAAGAAAGAAAGAAGGAAGAAGGCAGAAAGGAAGAAAGAAGGAAAGGAAGGAAGAAGGAAAGGAAGGAAGAAGGAAAGGAAGGAAGAAGGAAAGGAAGGAAGAAGGAAAGGAAGGAAGAAGGAAAGGAAGGAAGAAGGAAAGGAAGGAAAGAAGGAAAAGAAAGAAAGAAAGCAAGGAAGGAAGGCAGAAAGCAAGAAAGAAAGAAAAGGAATAAAAACAAAAACAAAAAGCTGTATCAGGGATCGAACCCGCACTCTCTGAGCTTGCGCCAAGCCCGCTATCCACTCGGCCATCACCACCTCTTTCCCCCGCTAGAAAGGAACCCTTAAAGGGCCTTCAAGGGCTCCTTTCTGGTATCCGTTTTTTCGATTTTTTTTCTTCAAAATATCCATAAATTGTCGATTCAATTTTTACACTTTAAAGGGTTCATTTCTAACTGAGAAAAGGTACGCTGCTCGTTCAAAAACCTTACTAAATCTTTACCCATCAACAAATCTTGATCTTCTTTTGATAAAATCAACCGCTATCCACCGACGAAAAGCGTTAAAAAATCGAAAAATCCCTCTTTTCTTTATCATTTTGACATTTCTCCTCCAGAAAATCTCTCTCTTTTTTTTTTTGGCTTTTGACTCAAAGGAACAGGTGCGCTCGTTTGTGGGCAAGAGAAAAAGGGTACACATTTGTCTTTTCGATAAAGAAAGACAAAGAATTGTGGTTAAAAGTGGCAATTGATGTTTACTATAGGGTTTTTAAGTTAAAGTTAAACGATTTCTTTTGAAATGGCTTTAAAATGGCTCTAAACTGGCTCTAAAATAGCTTTCTAAGCTTTTTTTCTTCATTTAAATCCCAGAAAATCGGTAATTTGAGACGAAATTTCTTCGTTTTTCACTTCTTTTTTTTTTTTCACTAATTATTTGCCAAGAATGCTTGCTTTATTTTAAAGAAAACAAGTCAGCAATTTTCGTTAGATATTATATATTATAATACTTTATATTATAATACTATATATTATAATATTATAAAACAATAAGAAAAAGCTATTTAGTTGGAATAGATGAAAAAATAGATAATGTGAAAAAGTGGACGCCACCGGGACTCGAACCCGAGACCTTCCGCTTACCAGGCGACTGTGCTAACCATTACACCATAACGCAGTTGATCGACCTTCCTTCAGAGAGGGTTAAGTTCCCTCCTCTCTAGACGAGAGGTCTCGATTTATAGGCCTGGGATGCGCTAGAAAGTAGCCTAGAAAAAAAGTGCCCGACCCGGACTCGAACCCGAGACCTTCCGCTTACCAGGCGACTGTGCTAACCATTACACCATAACGCAGTTGATCGCCCTTGCTTCAGGGGGAGGTTAAGTTCCCTCCTCTTTGGACGAGAGGTCTCGATTTGCGCTAGAAACTAGCTAGAAACCTTAACCAGCATTGCAGAGCTCTCATGGTCACCAGGCAGATCAAAACTTGTGCACTGCCGGGACTCGAACCTGCGATCTTTCCAGTCAAGTGTGCTTTCCAACTTGCTTTCCAACAGCTTTCCAATTGTCCTAACCATTACACCAAAACGAACTTGATCTTGAACTTGATCGCCCTTGCTTCAGAAAGAGTTAAGTATTCACCTAGTCAGTTCTTTTCATTTATTTCACAATAGCCTTTGAGATTTCCTTAGTTGTCAAGTAGATTAAAGCAGATTGAAGCAGATTGGCAAATAGATTGAAGACTGAGAATCTCTGAATCTCTGAATCATTGAATCTTACTCGAAAAATGACGGAGAAAGAGGAAAAGGAGAGAAAGACTCGCGTTTTATCACGCAATTCTAATTTTATTAGCCCAATTGGACCCTAGCCCACTCACAGAGCCGTCACTCCTCCAGCTAAACCCAGCTTTGGACCTAGATTTGAATTACTAGAGGAATTACTAGAGGAATTGCTTGAGGAACACTACTCCTAGCCAAGAATTCTATAAACAGCAAGCTGGCCTGATCTTTAAACTAGTCAGAAAACCAAATCCTGCTTATTTGTGCTCTCCTCTGCTCTAGCCAAGAATGCCAGCCTCCTTTCCCTTGCTCAAACCCCGCCCACTCTCCTCTTGGCCCTCCCTTACCTCACCCCTCACCCCCATTCTCAAAGACAGTTGTTGTTTCAATCACATTTTTTCCTTTCCCCTATTACCAGCTGCTCTTCTTCCCTTCTTCCCTTCTTCCCTTTTCCCCTTTTCTACAAGTTCTCCAGTGTTGAACAGATCGATCGACTTTGTGATCTCTTCAACTCTTCCATTGACCTCACTATTGATTAATTGGAGAGCTGAATAGCTGAATAGCTGAATAGCTGAAGAGCTGAATAGCTGAAGAGCTGAAGAGCTGAATAGCTGAAGATCTTTTATTCTACTGAAGCTCTTCAGCATTTTCTTTGTATTCATCTGTACTGATTTGTACTGATCGATCTTTCAATAAACTGTACATCGATCTTTCAAGCTGGACATCGATCAAATAAAGCTGTACATCGATCTTTCACCAAACTCTTTATGCAACAAACCAGTTCATTTGATTTTCGACTACTTTTGAAGAAATAAAACGAATTTCAAAACCTGCTGCTTAGCTTTAAAGCAATTTCCATTCATTTCCTACTATTGATCAATTGAAGATCTTTCATTTGAATCTGAAGCTGAATCTGACGCTAAATCTGAAGCTGAATCTTTCATTCTACTACTGAAGCTGAATCTGAAGCTGAATCTGAAGCTAAATCTTTCATTCAACTACTGAAGCTTTAAACCTAAAACAAAACCCTCCCAATCTACTCGAAACTTCTCAATCTTGATTCAATGAATCTCAATCTCGATTCAACTCCCCACTCCCCAACCACCTCCACCAATCCGATCATTCGCTCAGCTCGCTCAGCTCGCTCTCAAAGCAAAGAGCTCGAGATCTGTTTGGCCAGCTCTGAAAGCTCCGGCTGTTCATCGGAATCCGAAAACGAGCGAAATTCTGTAGTGAGAAGTCCGATTCCAAATGCAAACACGAAAAAACTATTGCGAGTATCAATAAAATCGAGTGAATCTTCGGGTCTGGCTGAAGCATCAATCCAAACAACTGAGAGCCGTTTTGTGCAAAATGGAGGAATCCTTCACGAGATTTTCGTCGATTCTCATGGGAAAAGGGAAACGAAAGCGAATTCTCCACAAAATTTCGTCTCAAATGAGCTTGTCAAAGCTGTCAAAGCTGGAAGATCTTCTGAATCTCCAGAGATCTTTATCAATTCGGAAATCAGAAAATCTCGATCACCAATTGTTGAAAATGAAGTCAAAAATGGCAAAAATGGCAAAAATGAATTCAAAAATTCAAATCGAACTTCAAAATCTCCATCACCACGCAAAATTCTATCTTGTTTTAAAGAAACGAATGAGGAGAAGGAGGAGAAGGAGGAGAACAGGGCTGAGGGAAGATTGGAGGGAAGATCTAAGGCTAAATTGGAGGCTATTGAGTCCAACTTTAAGTCCAAATTGGAGTCCAACTTTGAGTCCAACTTTGAGGCTAAATTTGAGCCTAAATTGGAGTCTAAATCTTCCCTCAAGGAGTCTAAATTAAAGTCAGAATCTGGTGACGAGGCTTTGAATGAATGTCTAGACAATTCAAAGACTAAATCTCGATCTAAATCTAGATCTAAATCCAAATCTAGATCCAAATCTAGATCAAAATCTAGATCAAAATCGAAATCTCTAGAAGTTGATGATAAAGTTTTGAAAGAAATTGAATCAAATTTCAAATCAGAATCCAAATCAGAATCCAAATTAGAAGCCAAATCAGAAGCCAAACCAGAAGCCAAACCAGAAGCCAAGCCAGAAGCCAGAAGCCAAGCCAGAAGCCAAGCCAGAAGCCAAATCAGAAGCCAAATCAGAAGCCAAACCAGAAGCCAAGCCAGAAGCCGAATCAGAAGCCAAATCAGAATCCCAATCAGAATCCCACTCCCACTCCCAATCCCAATCCCACTCCCAATCCCACTCCCAATCCAAATCCAAATCCAAATCTCCAGAACAACCAGATCAAGTCCAGAACCAAAAACCCTTACAGCAATCTAGCAAATCCCAATCTCCATCGGTCAATCAATCCAATCAATCGGAAGAGAAATCAGAATCAATTCGAGGGATCCTTAAAAAATCTCCCTCCAAATCCCCACCCAAAACCCAAATTCCTCTTCGTTTTATTGAAGAGAAACCCCTGGACACTGTACTCAATATCTCTTTGCGGAAAACAGAAGAAAACTCAAGCCAAAACACTGCCATCTTAAACATCCACCGACAAGCCAACCATTTCCAGATTATCCCAGCTCCAATCCAGAATTTCTTGATGCAGAACAAAGTTCTGGATGTCACAGATGGTTTTGAGAATGATAGAGAAGCTGGAGATGCTAATTTACAGTACCTACAGTACCCGAGTAGTACAGTACCCGAGGAGGAAGATAGACGAGACAGAGATGCTAATTTTGACTCTCTTGGACAAGACAAGACAGAGAAATCTCTTGGAAAAGCTTCTCTTGATCTTGATCTTGATCAATTAGTGCTTAAAGATCATGCTAGATATTCTAATTTCTCTTCAGAAATCGCTCTAAGCCAAGAGGATAAACTCAAGCAGAAACTGGCAAAGCAATCAGCGTATTTACACTCAAAAAGTGACGTCATCAATCTCGATGAATCCGACGCGGATACAGAGCCACCAGAAACTGATCTTGAAGAAGATTTCGAGTACAAAAAAGGAGCTGTTCAAGGAGTTCAAGTGGTTCAAGTGATTCCTAGAAAACGCGAGGAAATGGAAGCAGAAAGAGCTGAGAATGCGGCCGAGTTGAGCCATATCGAGCTGCTGAATGGAGTGCATTTAAAGTCAAAGCCATTCAAGAGAAACTCCGATCAGCCAGCTTCTGACCAGCCTGCCTCTCACCAGCCTGCCTCTGACCATCCGAAAAGCGAATATCAAAACTATGACCACCAATTGGAGAACTATTACTCGACATGGAAGAATGAATCGACAACGATACCCATTGGACACATCCACAGCTTCCCACTAAGCCCAAATCGAATTTTTGATATCCCCTTGCAAATGCAAACCATGCGACGACAACCCAAAGAGATTATCAAGGCTCAGAGTTTGTTTTTAGTGATTTTTACCCAAAAAATGATCAATTGAATAGCCAAATCATACTTCATTAGACGCAGAATTTCACTCTGATTCCGAATCTGCTTTCCGTTTCTGATTTGAAGCACTCTGTCAAAAGTTATAAGCTCTCAAAGTTTTTGATCGAGCGCTTGATTAAAAATTATCGAGCTTAGAAGTAGATTTTCCAGAGACCCCCGAAAGCAATGATGGCCAAGTGGTAGTCGGCTAGAATACAAGGTGGACCCTCTCGAGTTCGAATCCGCAGCTCAGCTTTTTCATGCTTTTCTAGATCTCCATTTCAGTCACCTTTAAAAAATCAAAAGAAGCTGAACTGCGGATTCGAACTCGAGAGGGTTTGCTTTGTATTCTAGCCGACTACCACTCGGCCACCACTGCTCTCCAAACACCCTGAGAAATCCGCTTCTAAACTCGAGGAATGATTTTTGCTCGATCAAAAACTTTGAGAGCTTATAACTTTTGAGCGAGTGCTTCAAATCAGAAACGGAAAGCAGATTCGGAATCAGCGTGAGATTCTGCGTCAAATGGTCTATAGCCGATGTCATTTGACCATCAGGAAGTGGCAAAAAAAAGCCGGTTTCATTTGGTCACCAACAAGTGATCGCCGATTTTTTATCATTTTTCAATCATTTTTTTCTAAGTGCTGGTTAAAGCTGTAAACCTGTGTGATATCTCATAAAATCACCTATCTTCTCTACTTTAATTTGATACCAAAACGAGCAGAAATAAACGTACTGGTGTCAAGATATGAGCGTTTTTTGGAGAGTGAACTTAGCCACTCCAATAGCCTTTTATTAGGCCCTAGTTTTTGCTTTAAAATTCATTTCAAAATGACTTTTAGAAAAATTCTAATCATAAATATAATAGAATATGTTTCTAAAACTTGACAATTACAGTTTTTATAAACTTTTTTTGATTTTCAGACCCTGGTGAAATCATCCATCATCATCCAGTCTTCGTTAAAGATGTCTCCAAGTATTGGTACAAGCCGACGATCTCGAGAGAACAAGGTAGACTTTAAGAATTCGCTTTTAGATATATATTAGATAGAGTTTCTAACTTTGACCCACAATAGATATTGTGGGTCAAACAAGGCCCAGCCAGGCCTAGCCAAGCCAAGCCAGGCCAAGCCAGGCCCAGCCAAGCCCAGCCAGGCCCAGCCAAGCCCAGCCAAGCCCAGCCAAGCCCAGCCAGGCCCAGCCAGGCCCATCCAGGCCTAGCCAAGCCCAGGCCTAGCCAGGCCCAGCCAGGCCCAGCCAGGCCAGCCAGGCCCAGCCAGGCCCAGCCAGGCCCAGCCAGGCCCAGCCAGGCCCAGCCAGGCCCAGCCAGGCCCAGCCAGGCCCAGCCAGGCCCAGCCAGGCCCAGCCAGGCCCAGCCAGGCCCAGCCAGGCCCAACCAGGCCCAGCCAGGCTCAACCATCTAGCTCTAGATTTATTATTTTCAACTTTTTATCACCTAAATGACCTAAATCGCTTTACATTCAAAAATAAATTCATTTTTCTAGTGTTTACTTTGCTTTTCTGCAAGAAAGATTTCAAAGAGGCCAAAAGGCAGTCAATTTTTCTTTCTTTCTTTTCTATTCACTGCCTGGAAAACGTATCGAATTTCGCTCACATCTGGTCGAATCTTTTCCCTTTTTTTCGGACTCTTTGCGTTTTTTCGCGCTTTTGCCACTTTCAAAATGAAAAAGGGGGTAACTGGTTAAGTTTTGGCAATGCAAGATCTTTAAATATCTAGCCAAAATAGGAAAGATCTTGAAATATCAAGGTATTAAGATATCAAGAACTTTAAAGCCAGGCAATATATCGTTAAATCAATGCCGATAGATAAATCAATGATCAAAATAAAATTTCCAGCGATCAATATGCTCCGCGACAAGCCGCCCGGCACTTTCGTTGTCCGCGACTCGAATTCGTTTCCCGGCGCTTTCGGATTGGCGCTCAAAGTGGCCACCCCACCGCCTGGAGTTCAAACTGGTAAGTGAAAATATAAAAAAAACCCGCCTAACGGCTGGATGGATGTTTTGGGAGGACGCTATAGTTATCACCGTAGCGCAATCAGAAGCGCGCTCGTCTACAACCCACAGAATCCGGGTTCGAATCCCCGTACTGCCGCTCGAGATTGAATTTTGAATTTTTTATTATAAATGGCCAACCATATTAGACTTTACGACCTTTTAATTTATTGTAATTAAGATTTCAATTTTCTGGCTCAAAGACGCCTGAGAAAAAACTAGTTGCCTTTAATTTCTAAAGATATTTAGCTAATTTAGCTATTTGGAACCGTATCGGAACCGTATTAGATCAAAAAAAGAACCGTATTGGAACCGTATTGAATCATTGAAAATCCAATTTTATAGCTTGCCTGGATAAGTTAAAATTTTCAAAAAAACCACAATTTAAGCCAGTTTTTCAGTGTTTTGCAAGTTTCATATGACAAGAAGAAGCAAAATGCTAGTTTTTTTAGTGCATAGTGTGTCACATTTGATCTCTCCTTGGGGATTTTGAGCAAAGAAGTTTCTTTTTCCACCCCAAACAACAACAAGAAATGATTCTAATCCATCATAGAGGGCAAGCTTATCCCACATTGCTTAGTTTTTAGAATGCGTGACTGAAAAAACATAGTTGGCTGGTTGGATAACATGAATTTATTAATATAACAGAGCCAAAAGAAACGACGAAGAAAGAAATGACTTGAAAATAAAATAAAATGAAAATAATAAATGAAATTTTTGCGCGACGTCGCATTCCAATTAACGTCGCCGCCATTTGGAGGTAGTCGATGGGAGCGCCGCGTCGTCGTTTCTTTTTCATTTTCAAATCATTTCTTTCTTCGTCGCTTCGTTTGTATTTTAGAATCCTTTAATTTTCGTCGCTTTTTTTTATATTTTAAAATCAATTCTTTCTTTTTCGCTTTCAAATCATTTCTTTCTTCGGGATGGCTAGTTTTCGCAATTTTTTTTGCGCAACTCGCCATAACTTTTTTCTAAGTGGGCCAATCTTTATTATTTTGGTGTTACTTTGTTGCACTTGTTGAGATCTACAATCATAAAGAAAGGCCCACGCTTAGAAGAAAGTTATGACGAGCTGCGCAAAAAATTTGGCGCCAGTAGCCAGTCCAAATTTATGGGATAAAATTAAAAATACAAACGATTTCTGAAAAGTTTCCGCTTTAGAAGCGTAGTGATAACGATAATCTTATTTAGATTTAGATTTAGAAAAGATTTAGCTGGGTCTAGCACTAGGTGAGGGTTGGGCGGTGGCTACTTTGCAAAACTCGGCATAACTTCTTTCTAAGTCGACCATTCTTTATGATTTTGGTTTCATTTTGTTGCACTTATTGAGATCTACAAAATGAAACCAAAATCATAAAGATTGGTCGACTTAAAAAAAAGTTATGGCGAGTTGCCCAAAAAAAGTTGCGGAAACTAGCCCACCCCAAGGAAAGAAATGATTTGAAAACGAAAAAGAAAGAATTGATTTTAAAATATAAATAAAAAAGCGACGAAAATTAAAGGATTCCAAAATAAAAAAGAAACGACGAAGAAAGAAATGATTTGAAAATGAAAAAGAAACGACGACGCGGCGCTCCCATCGACTGCCTTCAAATGACGGCGACGTTAATTGGAATGCGACGTCGCGCGAAAATTAACATTTAAAATTTACGACAGAAATTTAACATGAAAGCGTCTCGAAAAACATATTTTTTTTCTTTCTAAATCTATATTGTACATTTTTAAGTAACTCTCATTATCAGAGAGCTCAAATAATGACTTATCTAAGCTAGATTATAGCCTTTCTGTTATCTAAACGAATTTCAGGTGATGGCACCGAATTGGTACGACATTTCCTCATCGAACCATCACCAAAAGGAGTAAAACTGAAGGTAGGTAGATGAAATGAGGGTTTCATTGAAGATCAAGACAGATCAAGATCAAGATAGATCAAGATCAAGCCATGTCTTGATTTTGAAGCCTAGATTCTAAAGCCAGATTCTAGTATTGGCTTAAATCCTAAAGCCAGCCTGTACCTGAACCAGCTCATATATAAACAAACTAAGATGTTTGGCTGTCTGTTTATTCGCGCTCAGTGGACCATTTCAAATTATTTATAGCTGATTTGGCTTCAAATTTCATCTAGTTCTGCAATATGTTTTGAAATTTTTGAAAAAGTAAAAGTGGCGACACGGACGGAAGTCGAACCCGGGTCGTGTGAGCTAGAGACAAGCGCGCTCGCACTGCTCCAACGGTTAACGTTGAACGGCCGAGTGGCTGTGTGGTTAATGCTGAGTGGCCGAGTGGTCGAGTGTTTAATGCACCCGCGTCTCAAGCGAACGGAAGAGAGAGGTCGCGGGTTCGACTCCTCTCGCCGCCAATTCTTTTGCTTTTTTTGTAGCAACGCGACTGTACGCAACTGTACGCTTCTACTAGAGTATTTACGGTATTATTTCTAATATCTTTATTCCAGGGTTGCAATAATGAGCCAGTTTTTGGTTCTCTCTCCGCACTCGTCTATCAACATTCTATTACGCCGTTAGCCTTGCCGACAAAGTGAGTGTAAATTTGAATACGAAAGATGATTATCTTAGTGATTAGCTATAGTACAAGCCTAGAACTTGATAACAAGAAAATTTCCAGACTAATCCTACCAGACTACGATCCAGCCACCTCTGTCGAGCACGTCTCCGCAGCTCAACTCTTGCTTGAACAAGGAGCTGGTAAAGATTTTAAAGTTTAAAAAGTTTAATAAGGTTAAAGTTTAATAAGTCTATAGTTTAATAAGTTTAACGTTTATCTTCTTCATCTTCAAACAAATTTTAAATCGAAATCTGTCCATTATCCACTAGATTTTTGATTCCTTGTTCAAACTTTTAAACGTTCTTTGCTTCCTTTCTCGACAATGGGTACTTAAAACCACAATAAACCTTTGCCCACTTCAAAGACTCTTCAAAAATTCAAAGGAATTCTTAATTCAAAGAAATTCAATGTAGGGTTTTAAAGTTTAGAGAAGGGTTAGAAGGTTTAGAGAAGGTTTTGAAGGTTTAGAAAAGGTTTAGAAGGCTTAGAGAAGGTTTAGAAGGTTAGAGAAGGTTAGTTTAGAAGGTTTAGAAGGTTTAGAGAAGGTTTTGAAGGTTTAGAAGGCTTAGAGAAGGTTTAGAAGGGTTAGAGAAGGCTTTGAGAAGTAAATTTGAAAGAAAAAAATGAGAAAACGAGTGTCGGGAATCTGATTTGAGATCTCGGGGGAATGGAGACTTTGATTGAGTCTCTTTCAGAAGAAAAAGCTAAAGAAAGAAGCAAATAAAATAGATTCAGAATCGAATAAAATCTGTTTTCAATCAAAATCTAGAATCGAAATAGCAAAATAAACTTGTTGTCATCATTTCTAAGATCATCTTCATCATCTTCATGATGTTCTTCTTCTTCTCAAGTTTCTCGAAAAGTTTTGAGGGATTTAGATGATAAACTCGATAAAATGAATGATTCCAATCGATTCCCCGTCCCTGAAAACCCTAAGGTACAAAAATCTAGCTGAAGCAAAGCAAAGCAAAAGAATCGCTGAGTGTTCTTTGAGTGTTCTTTGAATGTTCTTTGTTCGCTTTGCTCTCCATCTAGCATACTACTTTAGTATATAAGGAAATAGAAATAATCAAAGTCTATTGTAAATCAAATTTCCAGCTTGCAACGTCTCCTATATTGGCTCAGTTGATTGTGAATCGTTGACTGGGCCAGCTTGTGTGAAGAGGTGTATCCATCAAATGTTTCATGATCAAAGGATGGGCTATTTAACGCCAGTTTCCGTTCATTTTAAGGTAAAAGAAAAACAAATACTAGAGACAGTACTATGGACGAATTGCCGGTACAATGCTATAGCGATTTAGGTGTCGAGTCAGGGAGTCACTCTCACTGATAACACGAGAAAGCTCTTCTTCCGACGACATTTCCCTACGAATAGCGTCATCTATGCAGGCGCTGATCCGGAAGAGCAAAGGTAGGATTGGAGTAGGGAAATGGGTTACTGTACTCTTAGGGTTACGGTAGCTGGTCCTTTGGTTCTGTACTTGGCCTAGGGTTGCAGTATCTGTTCCTTGAGTTACTGTACCGATCCTAGGGTTACGGTAGCTGATTCCTAGGTTACTTACTTGGCCTAGGGTTACGGTAGCTGGTCCTTTGGTTACTGTACTAATCCTAGGGTTACGGTAGCTGTTCCTTGAGTTACTGTACTGATCCTAGGGCTACGGTAGGGTCCTTGGGTTACTACTAATCCTAGGGTTACGGTAGCTGGTCCTTTGGTTACTGTACCTGATCCTTGGATCACTGTACCTGTTCCTTAAGTTACTGTACTTGATTACTGTACTATCCTTGAGCTACGGTAGCCTTTCTTTTAGTCTATAGACTATCTAGATATATCTAATAGCTTATCTAGATACAGAAATTCATTTCATTCAATACTCAAGCACTTGTGAGATCACTAAGTTCAAGAATAGGCCTTGTTCAGCCTTGAACAAGAGCTGAATGAATGTTCAGCCTTGAATGAATGAATGAGCTTTCCTCTCTTTCCCATTCTCTTGTGTCAAGTACTCGAATGAAGTGCCTTGTTTTTGCCATATGCCATCTTTCATTTTCAGGTGGGATAACACAGAAGTAATCGGCTTTTCGGATGGGTGTGTACGATCGGCGAAATTGTTTGCGGTGGTGGCGAGAAAGGTGAGGGAAAGAGATACACAAATTTATAAGTTAATCTAAGGATAATATAAGAAGAAGAAAGAAAGAAAGAAAGAAAGAAAGAAAGAAAAAAAAGAAGAAAATCCCTTCAGATAAGCTATACAATTCCCTTTGGATAGGGAATTGTATAGCTTATCTGAAGGAATACTTGCCTAGTTCAGAAACAATTGAATTTTACGGTAAAATGTGCATTTCAATCTTAAAAATACGTTTTTTTAATCATAATAATAGTAAATATTAAAGAAATCATTAAGTTAATCATTAAGTTTCAATCATTTATCACGGTCACGGATTTAATAGAATGTTTCAAAATTGTAAAGGGCAGGCAACCTATCCCTCTTTTTCGAGATTTATTCAAAGTTAATCCCACGGCTAGTTCAAGGAGAGATTCTTTCGTTTTAGAAATTCCAGTCACCTCCAATAAGTTTGTTTATAACTCTTTTCCAATAAGAACTGCCAGAATTTGGAATCAACTCCCCAGAGTTTTGAGAGAGTCCAATAGTCTTGAAACCTTTAAATCTGTAGATGATCTTGATCTTGAAGCTCTAGATCTTGAAGCTCTAGTGGATCCTTGACGTTATCTGTGCTACCCACATTTTACATATATTATTAGGTTGTCCAATAAGTAATGCGTGTTTTGACACGATTTTCAAAATATCACAAAATTAACAAAAGAGAACTTTATTAATCGATATATTCTCCACAACAATCAACAACATTTCTCCATCGTCCGAGCAAAGAGTGAAGTCCGTCATAATAGAATGAAGCTGGTTTCGATGAGAAGAAATCGTCGAGCCATTTTTGCACCTCGTCAACACTTTTGACTCGTTTCCGTCCGCAAATCGTTTAAACCAGCGCTGGCACTGGCTAATTGAAATTGAATCCTCTCCAAATGCGGCACAGATAGTTCGATGGCAATGCGCTGCAGTTTTACCTCGTTTGAAATCATACAGCATTGATGCGCGGACAACAAACTTTTTGTCTTTCATCTGCAAAACAACATATCTATTATAAAACAAAGGCAAATGAATAAAATAATATATAAAAATAAACACAAGATGCTGATGATTAAAAAGAGCATATATTTGCTCGAAGCGATTTCGCAATAGTTTCGAAATAAGTAACACGCATTATTTATTGGACAACCTAATATATCGTGTTTCTTTTTATCGGCCCTTTTCGTGTTATGTGTATGAATTCATGTGTTTTAATCTTAAATCTAGCGCACTTTATCTCAGGTCCTGAATAAAGTATCTATATATTTATAGCATCTAAAAGAAAATTTTTAGGTAAATCAGCTTGAGAATCAGTGTCATGTCTTTGCCGAACTTGAGCCCGAACAACCAGCACATGCTGTTTTAAATTTCATCAACAAAGTGAGTCATTGAGGTTTACTTTGTACTCTCCTGTATACAAATATAATTTCTAATCGAAAATTTCTAGGTTTTACTGTCTCCGTCTCGACAAAACTGAACAAAAAAAAGAGGAAAGACGAAAAGCGATCTAATCCAAGCATAATTTGGTATTTGTCAAAAAAAACTGTCAAAAACTTTGCTCAAAATATCTATAGCTCTTCTTTCTAAATAAAAGCTACAGTAGAAAAGTTTTGATTTCTTTTTGCCCAACTCATTTTCTATTTTGTCTCATTCGTAATCGTTTTCTATTTTGCACTACTTTTACCGTAACCAAGACGACGGCGAGACGACGACGAGACTCGCGAAAGAATTTTCATTTTTTTCAGTTTTCTCATTTTTCTCCCCACTTTGCGGTGCTTTTTTCGTTTATGCTTATAAAATAGTCAATTCGAAATATTTAGTCATGTTTTTACGAGAGTGGGACAAATGCGACCTTTTTTCCTCGCACCTGGACATTTGCGCACCTTTTTTTTTGCTGGAAAAGGCCTTAGGAAAGGTCGTAGAGCTTCAAAAATGTTTTCACAGAAGGGAATCGTATGCGTAGATTCAGAATTTTGACAAATCATACCTCGCTGACACGTCAAATGTAGACTAAAAGACAAAAACGCAACTTAACGCTTTTCCGCAGTTTTTGCCTTTTAGCCCAAATTTGCCGTGTCAGCGAGGTGTGATTTGTCAAAATTCTGAATCTACGCATACGATTCCCTTCTATGAAAACATTTTTGATGCTCTACGACAAGGCCTTTTCCAGCAAAAAAAAAGATAGCATTTGTCCCACCCCTGTTTTTACTCTTTTTTTTGAAGATTTTGAAGAATTTTTACTTTGTTTTAATGTTTTTTTGCATAAAATTCACCACTGGTAGCCCCAGTCGGTATTTTTATATCTCTGCCTTATTCACATTTGTGTCTTCAACTTTTTTTCTTTTGAGAAGTTCAGATTTTTATCATTTTTATCTTTTTTTAGAATATTTATCTTCTTTTTTTCTTTTCTTTATTTGCTTTTTTTGTTTTAAATTCCTTAAACTCTTTTATTTGTAAATAACTTTGAACTTTCTCCTTTTTCATTTGAAGCAATAAAGTTTTTGCATAAGAATTTAGAGTTTTCAATGACTTTTACAAGATTCAAAATCACTACATGTAAATGATTCGTTTTCTAAAATGTGCGAACTTTCTCGGCTATCGTAATCTTTTCTTTTTATTCAATCCAAGATTTTTCAATTTCTATATCGTTTCTAGTTTTTAATCAATCTACCGTAAAAGCTGTATTAGAATGACACCTTCTAGTAGAGTGACAGTAGTGTAGGAGAGTGCCCTGACCCCTCGAAATATGAAATCTTGCCCTTAAATCCCTTTTGGGGGTTCTATGGATAGATCTAGACCTAAAACCTACTAAAATTTCATAATTTCACTTTTAAACGTGTTTTCTGTATGATTTGAATCAAGGGCCATCGTTTAAAATAGTTTTTAACGAATTCTAAATTTTTCATTCATGTGCCCCCCCTTACCTACTTTTTGGATCGTTCGTTTTTGAGGGATTTAAAAATAGAATGACATGTCATTCTAATAAAGCATTTACGGTATCCACTTTTAAAATATATTTCGATATCCTTATGAGCCCTTGCAGAATCAGACGTGGATAGTCCTATAGTTGGATGAAAAATAGACTAGATTACGATAGTCGAGAAGTTTTAGAAAACGGCAAGTTGATAGGAACATTCATTCTCTTCATTTGACCACTGGTTCCTTGCTCCTTTATTTCTCGCCCTTTCTACCGTACTCATTCGCTTTTCTAGGCAGATATTTTCCTGGCTCTGTATAATTCTCATGTTATCTATATAGACTATTTCTTTTTAAAATCCTCTATCAAATTTTTACAATTTGTAAAGCGAAGAAACCCAACCGCTAGGTTTAAAACTCGTTTTATATATTAATTCACTCGAAGTTTCAAGGGAAACGAAAGTATTTAGTTAAAGAACTGGGTCCTATAGTAGTTGGGGGGCAAATTTTTTTAGCTTTTTAGCCAAATTAGCTGATTTTTTGTACCCAAGGGTTTTTGACTATGCTGAATTAATTGGATGGTTACACACAATATTTCGCAACTTTTAACAAATTTTACAAGTAATACGATGCTAAAAACCTAATGTACTTATCCTGGGAAAAGGTATCCAAAAGCTATCCGTTGTCTTTAGTTTAAAAACTGCGCTCCTCGTTGTTAACTTATTAACACTTTGTTATTGTTATTTTTGTTGCTATTTGTTATGAACGTTGTTAAAAGTTGCGGTACTAATAAACTTCGCGGGCGGGGGCACTTTGACTTGGTCAAATTGTATTTTTGGCTCTTTTACCCGGTTATTTTACTTTTTCTGGGATAATCAAAGATGATAAATCTATTGGTAATCTTTTTAGAAAGTTTTGAACAATTTTTTTGTTGATATTTTGATAAGCTAGCTGAAGTTTTGCCTTAGCAACACGCTAAACTTGAAAACGAAGAGTGGGGCAAAATACAAAGTGATAACTTGTTCAAAATATTCTAAAAATATCATCGATAGATTAAGCGTATTTGATTACCCCAGAAAATGCAAAACATGACTAGAAAAAACACGGCTAGAGTAGGATCTAACCAAGTCGGGTCAAAGTGCCCCCCTCATCGAAGTTTATTAGTACTAAAGTTACGAAATGTTGTGTAAAACCATCACCAATCGATTCAGCATAGTCAAAAAAAGCCTGGGTGCAAAGAATCAGCTAAAAAAAAATTTTTGCTCCCCGCGCAACTACTTTAGCCCCAAGGACTGTAAATTTTTTGTTTTTTGATCAAAAATGTTACAAAACTCATGGAAAAGCTTTGATTATCATTTTCCAAACTTTATGCTTTGCTGAATTTCTAAAAACACGACTTTTTCCTTTAGATTTATCCTTATTTTGTTTTGTATCTAATTGATCCCGATTAATCACCAAAGTCGATATCAAAGCCTTGCTGATCCTACAAAAAGCCAGTTCTTTATCAGTTTTTGATGGTTTTCCTTTGTTTTTACCCGAAGCTAAACTTCAATCGGTTAATTTTTCTATTTTAGATGACCACAAATGGCCAATCGATAATCAGAAAGACGTCCGTCGTGCACAAAGCAGTCGATCCGTTTATTGATGTCGGAAATCTTCTTCTAATCGACAATGGACCGTTTGCGGAAAATGTTGAGTAAGTTTTTATTAACTAGTTTTAACTTGAAGCGATTAGTTTGGCCAGTAGGCGGGACCTCAAAAATTCCTCTGGCAAGTGTCAAAAGAGTTTTTCTAGGGTTTTCGGCCACGCTAAATCGATTGGTAACATTTTCAGAGCTTGTTCTTGCTACACTAAGCTTATACTAGACTCTGGAGTCGGAGTACTGGTTGAACATAGGTTTAATGCTGCATCGAGTGTTGTTAACGGTCTATACGTGTTACGTACCTCCTTCCTTGCCGCTCCTACGTTGTTTGTGCGTTATTTATCTAGGTTAAGGCTCCACACATATAGCGTACTGACTGAACACATTCTGATATGCTTAATCACGTTTGAGTATTCGCTGGGCATAGCTTAAGGCTGCCTGTTACCGGACATAAACTAGATTTGCCTCGACCACAAAGAAAAAGACACAAACACGTTCTAAAAATATTACCAATCAATTCAGCGTGGTCGAAAATCCTAGAAAGAGCACTTGCCAAAGGCATTTTTGAGGCCCACTGCTCCGCAACCCATATAGCCCCATTAGTTTTTTAAATTCTCCAGTAAACTTACTATTTACAACTTGCCAAGCTATATCAAGCAAAAACTTTTCCAATTTTGACAAATTTTAGCGTCATTGGCTGTAAATTTGATTTTTGATGCTAGATTACTAGATTTAAAGCATTTAATTAATTTTTAACAGTCAAATTAAACAATTTTACTTAGAAAAGTGTGTATCCTATAAATATTCTACTCCGTTTCATTTTTTTTTGTTTAGGCACACTTCAGAGGCGCTGCTAGCTCGGGCACGTGACAACGCTCAATTTTTGTTTAACCGGTATTGAAAAAGTTTTGGTTCTAAGTCCAAAGCCTAAAATTTAGCATTTGGGAGCTGGAAAAGGAACGCGTTGAAGAGGCTATTGTTGTCACACTTCCGAAGAAACTTTACAGGATTCCTCGAGAAAAACCAGTAAGTTATTTTGTTGAAAATTAATTTTTTAAAATTTTAGGTTCCCGAAGCTCGTGCTCCAACCAAGTGGGAACAGTTTGCCGAAGCCAAAGGAATTGTGAAAAAGAAGAAGGACAAAAAGGTTCATTTTATTAAACTTTAGTAGAAGATTAAGATCTTAAAGACAATTATTTAAAGTAGTTGCAGCTTCTCTTTTGATTTAACTGAAAGGATTTGCGATTATATTAATTTCTATTCTCGCAACATTTATGTTTTAGGCCTACGATGAAAGTACGGGTGAATGGAAGCCGACTTGGGGCTATAATCGTGGAAAAGACAACACTAAAGATTGGCTCATCGAAGTTCCAGGGAATAAAGGTCTGATTTTAAAACTTTAAAACTTTCGATCCATAATTTTTAGATCCTAATGCCGATTACTTTGAGGAACGAGTGAAGGCTAAGAAGGAAAGAGTGGCTAAGAATGAGACTCAACGGCTTAAAAATATTGGTAGGCTTTGGGTAAATTGTAAATCACTTATCATCATTTTCAGCTCGACATACCTCACAACCTGGAAAGAACAAGGGTCCGCCGGTGAACAAGGAAATGATTGGTGTCGGAGTTGAGCCAATGGAGAAAAGTAAAAACGAGGTATACAATTTACACAGTTAAATCTAGGTAATCTTAATCTTTCTTTAGCTACGTGAAGCCGTTGATCGAGCAAAAACAGCAACCGCTTCCGTGGGCAAATTCCAGGACAAGATCAAAGGCGAGAAACCAAACACCAAGAAAGGAATCAAACGAAAGGTTGAATTTTATTCTTCTGATATTTACAAATTGTTTATAGTTCGAAGCAAATATTGGCGAACGTGGAAGTGAGAAGGAACGAAACAAGAATATTCTTCAACGACTTGAATCAAAGAAACCAAAGCTCGATGATGGGCAGTTGGCTTCTGTGGCAGGAAATGTTGAACCGTGAGTTTTTGCAAAGCTCATAAAGCAATTTTGCGATTTAAAAGCATTGTTCTGAAAATCTGTTTGAGAAAGAGTTTTATTGGCTTTATTTATGAATTTATTAAAATGATTGCTTCCAGAACTGAACGCAAGAAGATGAAAGAAAAGCCCCGAATGAAGTCACAAATTCATCGTCAACAATTCTATCAGAAATCGGTGAAGAATCGAAAGAGTAAGGACGATCCACGTGCTGGCAAAGGAAAAGGAGCAAGATGAGGAAAACGTGATTGTTAAGGAATGCTTTTTTTTCTTAAATTGTTGAATTTTTACGGGAACAAACCGAAATTTGTTGATTTTATTGTTATTGTTTTGTTACCAGATAGAATAAATTTTGTTAAATTGGAAATTCTTGCATCGACCTTGAACAACAATAACACTGGTTGCATAGGGATGTGTTCAACAGCGTTAGTCAGATTGAAACTCTCCGACAAGTAACTCAAGAATTGTATCAATCACAAAGTTACCGGTGATCTTCCTTTGGGTCTGTTTAAATCATTGATACGTTGAAGAAAGGCAGCAGAAATTTAACGGACACAAATAGAAAGCCGATAAATTTTCTCATTTCTCATCATTTTCATATGATAATATTCTTTTTAAAGACGATTTTGTGCTGAGTTTTTTACTGTTTTTTTTTGTTTTTTTGTCATTTATTTACTTTTGATTGTTTGATGATGTTTTCAAGAAACTATCTTTGGTATTTGTGTTCAAGAGAAGAAAAGTGTTACAGAAAAAAAGGTGGCTGAACAAAGTACACTACCATTGAAAAGAAAAGCTATTCAGTTATTCAGCTAAATTACTGAAATTCATTTTTTTGGCCCCCAAAAGCTAGCACTTGTGCATTTTCTCTTAAACTATGAAAGGAAATGTAAAAGGATCGCGATTGACCTTTCATCCTGCGGGGGTTTTGCGGTACCCAAGGGTACCGGGTGGATCGATTGAGTGGATCGATTGGTGTGGTCGTTGGGTGGGTCAATCCGGGGATCGATTGGAGGGGTCGATTGGTGACGATTGGAGTGGATCGATTGGAGCGTTGGAGTGGATCAATCGGAGTGAATGGATCGGAATGGATCAATCGGAGTGGATCAATCGGAGTGGATCGATTGGAGTGGATCGATTGGAGTGGATCAATCGGAGTGGATCGATTGGAGTGGATCGATTGGAGTGGATCGATTGGAGTGGATCGATTGGAGTGGATCAATCGGAATGGATCAATCGGAATGGATCGATCGTTTTGTCCGGTCCGTTCCCCCGAAAACACAAAAAAAAAAAAGAAGAGTCGCGGCAAATTGGGATCTGTTCAACTTTGAGCATAAAGATCTGATTGCTCGTGTGCTTTTGAGTTGCTTTTTGCATTACAAGCATTTATTTCAAAAAAAAAAGAACCTGAAAATGCTTACCCGGATGAAATGAGTGACATCGAATAAATGAAAATTGTGCACATTTTGACAAAAAAAAGGGAACGACCAGTGGAATTGGGAAAAGAATGATGTAGAGGGATTTGGTTGAAAAGTGAAATTTGATTTGACTTACAGACTAATGAAAAGCCCATTCAAGAGCTCTTTTCTGTCTTTTGTTTTTGTTGTTGTTGCTGCTGCTGCAAGACGGCAATCGTGAGTCGAGCCAATTCGGCTCGCAATCGAAGGATCTGAAATGTGCTAAGTGTCTAAAAGTTTCGATAAGTGGCTTACGATTGGTTAGACATAGCCGATTACGGTATTTACAGTAGCTTAGCGAGTTACGGTAGCTGACGGTAAACGGGTTACGGTAGCTTAGCGAGTCCTAATTCTGACTCAATAATGCTTTACCAAAAGCATGACTACCATAACCCTCAAATCAATTAGCTTCTACAGTAAGCAAGCCTATAAAAAGTCGGGTTACGGTAGCTAGAGGAATATTTAGAGCGACTAAAAAGTTTCCTCTAAACCTCTTGTTTCAGATCGTCGTTTTCCTTCTCTAGCGTCTCGCTTTTATGGCGATTCTCGACCTCGCGTTGCCGACGGATCTAATATTTAGATAATAGATAATAATCGACATTTTCTTGTAGATAATAGATTATTATATATATTTAATTTTTATGGTTTTAAAAATTCAAGATTTATACCTCTCTCGACCGCCGCGCCGAGTCGTTATTCCGGCGTCGTCGTTCGGCGTAATCGAGCTGAAATTTGCATTTAAAAGCTTTTTTTACGTTTAGTTGCCATTCGATTGCCGTTCGAAATCATTTGCTTATCATTTTTTTGATCTAAAATTCGAATTCAAAACCAACCGTTTGCTTTTTACTCGGCGTGATCACTGATCGAGCATCGCTTGAATCCAAAATTGATTGCGGAGGATCAGAAGTGGAACTGATCGTCTCATCGCTTGATGGATCGCTGAAAATTGGGGATAAAGCTGAATTTTCGTGAAATAACGCCAAAAATTTGATTTTTGAGCATTTTTGAGCAATTTGATTTGATTACACTTTTGAGCTCAAAGTAGAGTGATTTTAACTAAAGCAATGTGCCAGATGAGACGCGTTTCCGTTAAATGTCATCAAAATCTACCTAAAATCTACCAGAAGCCACCGTAAAACAAAATACGAAAGCACTACGGTAACTTTAACATAAACGACGCATTTTTTGCAAACACAACGCGTTTGGCATATCGCTCGGTTGTGTAAGAGCTGTTCTTGGTGAGGCTCAAAGCTCAAAGTCAGCTTTGATTTCGACACTCACCCAATTTTCTGCATAAACTCCACTTCGTTGATTGAGGGAAACGCTTGCAAAGCGTTCAATAAAGTCGAGCTTTCGTTTAGCGATCCGAGAATGGAGGATTGCGGAAATACAGAGGGTAAGGAACCCAACTAGAAAGATGATTTTTAATAAATGATTTCTAGAAAAGTGTTAAAGGTATTTCCTTTATCTTTGCCCGGAAAAAGATCAATGTAAATTACCCCAGGATTCTTCGAAAAAGCTAAATTCGGAACTAGCCTAGTCTAGTCAAGCCAGGACTAGTCAAAGTCGATGATTTGACCTGTTCGATTGATTCGTTTTGTAAAATGTGTCCCACTACCGTAATCCTGTCTCTTTATCCAATTTTGCCACTACTTTTTCTCTTTCGATATTCTTTCTAAACCTTTGAAGAATCAAAGACAAAAGATGAATATTTTGGAAAGAGGAAAAGGTTACGGTAGTCGAGAAAAAAGACACATTCTAGTACTTCTATATCTTTGCCCTGCCAATAAGTTTATATGCAAAATGATCTAGAAATGATCTAGAATTGCAAATTGATCTTTGTCATCTTATTTCATCATTGATTTTTGTTTTATCCTAATTTTTATATAGTTTTTGAATAGATTTAAGCTAAAAACGTTAACGAATAACGAAACCCAATAAAGTTCTTTATACGATTTTCTTACCGTAAATACTGTAATAGTATCCCACCGCCCTCGTACAGTCGCATAGTCACAAAAGTTTTTTAGTATTTCATTTTTTCAAAGCGCCCATACTTTCAAAAAATTCGTCTTTGGTATCAAAAAATAGTTCTGAATTTCTCTGAAATAGCTCTGAATTTAATAGTACCGCCCCCCCCACATAATTATATAGTAGATTAGTACCCCACCTCCATAATGACGGCGGAGCGTTTCGTAGTCTAGCTTTGAACGAGTTTTTCTCGACACTGGTTTATGCTACAATGTTCGTTTTGGTATCAAAAAATAGCTGAAATTCAGGGCTATTTTTTGATACCTAAGAGCATATTGTAGCATAAACCAGTGTCGAGAAAAACTCGTTCAAAGCTAGACTACGCAAAGAAAAAACTTTGTGGTCACCGGGATAGAACCATTGTCCCCGGGATCGAACCAGCTTTGAACGAGTTTTCCTCGACACTGGTTTACGCTACAATGTGCGTTTAGGTATCAAAAAATAGCCTTGAATCTCAGCTATTTTTTGATACCTAAGCGCGCCCTGTAGCATAAACCAGTGTCGAGAAAAACTCGTTCAAAGCTAGACGACGCAACACTCCGCACCGTCATTATCGGGGTGGGGTACTATTACAGTATTTACGGTATATCTCTACAAAACTATAGACATGCTGGAGGAAATTTACATTTCTCTTGTTTTCATTGGCAAGACAAAGATGTGAAAGGATCGTATCAGATAATAAAATGAAACCGACTTGTGCAGAAAGTAAAGCGACGATTTGTTGTTGCATGAGAAGTGGGTCAAGCAACGGAAAAGACGAGCTAGTTGATCGGAAAGCTGATGGAGAAGCTGAATATCTTGAGATTTATATTATATATATTAATTATAGATCTCTAGTAAACCTGTACGTTGAGCTCAATGTAAACGCACCTCTCTAGTGCACTGAATTCTTTGTTTTTCTTGCAATAGTCGAAAGAAAAATGACGAGTACCCCAGAAAGAGAGCATTTATCATTGAGCACAAAGTATAGCTCGTTTACAATTGATAAATTCTCACGTTGACTTTCCGATGCACTGTCGTGTCCCGAGTCGATCTCTGTCATCTCCATTTCAACTGTTTCCTCGATTTGTTTCTCTCGTTCAATTTCATTCATTCGTTTCCTATCTTCTCCCGGAGAGCACATCAATCTGAGAAAATATCAATGAAAGAAAGTTTTGAAACTGAAAACTGACAAGGGAAAGTCAACTGGAGTCAACGGGAAAAAAAGAGCTGGCTAAATCATATGAGCCATTCGACGCAGAATTTCACGCTGATCATCATGCTACTTTTGTTTTTTGCTATGGAGCACTCTGTCAAAAGTTATACACGTTTAAAGTTTTTTTGTGTACCTAAACAAAAATTCTCTAAAACTGAGACTGCTCAAGGCATTAAAATCTTAAAAAAGAAAATCAGCTACCGGACTCGAACCAGACGGCTACCCACTACCATTCGGCCACCACTACAACTTCTGGCCTCACGGAAAAGGAGGTTGTAATATCGCAGTTTGAAAGTCTTACAAAACTTTAAACGCGTATATCTTTTGACAGAATGCTCCGTAGAAAAAAAAAGAAAAGCAGCATGATAATCAGCGCGAAATTCTGCATCGAATGGCCCATATGATTTGGTCAACAGATTTTGTGATCTTGTGACATTCCCTTGTGAGTATATCTGAAAAGCTATAACACTTTAGAAAATAGATATTCAAATTTTAGAAAAGCTAAAATAGATCAAAATCGAATTTTCAGTTGGAATCAGAATGGTCAAGAAGGAGAAACTAGAATAGAAATGGAAGAGAAATGGAAGAGAAATGAAAGAGAAATGAAAGAGAAATGAAAGAGAAATGAAAGAGAAATGGAAGAGAAATGAAAGAGAAATGGAAGAGAAATGGAATAGAAAGAAACAGAATAGAAATGGAATGAAATAGAAAGAAACAGAACAGAAATGGAATAGAATGAAATATTAGGTTGGCAAGTAGGCAATTACATAGTTCCCCAAAATTTCAGAACAATCCAATCTTCGGGAGGTTGATTTTCAAATTAGGCTCAAAATGCACTTTTGTCCTAATTTAATCCATTTTCGTTTGAATTTAAGGAAGATTAAAAGAAAGAGAACGGCTCGATCGATTGGATTGTTCTGAAATTTTGGGAAACTATGTAATCGATGAAGCGTTTTATTTTAAAAAAGTATGCAATCACTCAAAAATATATTAGCTCATGAATGCTATAAATCAGGATTTTGAACTCTTACATTTAAAATGCCTGAAAAAGTTCTAAAATAAAACATTTTTCAAAAATTCAAAAAAGCCATTTTGTAGATTAAGGATAAGGCTTTTGAATCAAGCAAACCGTTTTTTGATTGGATAAGCCGTTTTTTCAGAAAACACATTACCCAAAAACGATCGTTTATAACTTGCCAACCTAATAGAATGAAACAGAATGAAATAGAAAGAAATGGAATGAAATAGAAAGAAATGGAATGAAATAGAAAGAAATGGAATGAAATAGAAAGAAATAGAAAGAAATGGAAAGAAACAGAATGAAATAGAAAGAAACTGAATGAAATAGAAAGAAATAGAATAGAGATGGAACGAAACAGAACAGAAATGCAATAGAAAGAAACATAATAGAAATAGAATGAAGTAGAAAGAAACAGAAAGAAATAGAATAGAAACAGAATCGAAAAACTTGAAGCTAACTGATGAATCTTGAAAAAATTTCATGTTCAAAAAGTCTGAATCACTTTTTCTTGGCGAAAAGTTCCAAAACATGAAACGTTTAATAGAAAAAAATTTAAATAAACACTTTCAATCGTAAAAAAAGCCCAATGTTTCAGTAAGTTTCAATCGTTTTTACAATTGATTTCACGCAAATTCTCTCTATTTCTGTCGCGTTTCCGTTGCGTTTTTTTTTTTGGTTTTGTCGAAACGCGCGAATTTCCCCATTTTCTCCCCTTTTCCCTCTATTTCTCAAATTGCGCAACCAATGTCCTTGAAAAAAGCACGTGAAAAAAAGCAACTTTCAAAAATGAAATCTTTTAGGATGCTTTAAAATTCCAAACAAAAAAAGTATAAAATTTAGGAAATTCGTATTCTTTTGTAATGTTTTTTTCTCGATTTCCCCTCTCTTTTTTTTCTGTTTTCTCGACTACAAAATGCCGATTCGTAAGCGCGTTGCGTCAGCTATGTTTATCGAAAAATTTGAGCGAATTGGGAAGGGGAAATTGATTAAATTGGTTGAAACTGGTTAAACTTGCGACACATTTGGCTAATTTATGCTGAAAATCTTTACAAAACCGGATTGCACTAGCTGCATGAAGCAAAAAAAATGCAAACGCACCCCCTTGGCGAACGCTAAATCCTTCATTTTCTTGAGAGATTCAGAAAAATGACGAATCCACTGCGCTAGACAAGTCGCGTCTACAGTTTTTGACAACAAAGCACATAAATAAGAACATGAAAAAGGTTAAAAAGCAGAGGCTTAGGCTAACATTATGAACTAGAGTGACACACTGAAAAATGAAAACATGAAAAAGGTATGAAAACATGAAAAAGGTTAAAAAACATGAAAAAGGTTAAAAAGCATGAAAAAGAAACCTTTTTCAAGAACTAGAGTGACACACTCTAGTTCATAATGTTAGCCTAAGCCTCTGCTTTTTAACCTTTTTCATGTTTTCTCACGAGTAATGCGTTTTTTTTAAAACGCACACTTAGAAAAAGAACTAAATAATAGAATAGAGAATAGAAAATCGAAAAATAGAAAAATTTCTAAAAATTACTTTAGCAAAGTGATTGCAAAAAAAATGGCGCAAAAATCACAAGCACCATTTATATATGGCTTTTTTAAAAGATATTCAGCTTTTGAACTGATTTGCCGGCAGATTCCCTTCAAATGTAAAGATATTCAGCCATTCAAACAATTTGTTGCCAAATCTCTTTCGAATATAAAGATATTCAGCTTTTAAGATGATTTGGTGCAAAATTCTCGTCAAATGTAACGATATTCAGCTGTTTAACTGATTTTGTGGCAAATCCCTTCAAATGTAAAGATATTCAGCCATTGAAACAATTTGTTGCCAAATTTCCTTCAAATCTAAAGATATTCAGCTGTTTAACTGATTTGATGCAAAATTTCCGTCAAATGTAACGATATTCAGCCATTCAAACAATTTCTTGCCAAATTTTCTTCAAATATAAAGATATTCAGCTGTTTAACTGATTTTGTGGCAAATCCCTTCAAATGTAAAGGTATTCAATTTACTCGACGAGTAATCCGCTCGCAGTTACTCGACCAAAAGCGTCACTTTGATCGAGTAAAAAACACTCATGCAAATTTTACTCGAGTATTTACTTACTCGCGGGGAACACACACATTGATTGTTCATTGAATAGGCTAAAATCTATTTTAAAAAGTGAGCAAATTGGTGGCTTGATTGTAAATCTTTAGGGAAAAGATGAAAAAGAAAAAAAGAATGAATGTGACCGGCAAGGTGAAAAGGGGAATTTGAATGGAAAATGTGGGGGAAAAGGAGAAGGGGAAGAAGAAGAAGAAGGAGAAGAAGAAGGAGAAGAAGAAGAAGAAGAAAGAGAAAGAGAAAGGGAACGGTGACCCCCAATGACCCGCCGAAAGAAAGAAAGAACATGGGGGTGTATCAGAATGTGCAATTGGATGGGGCGATGGGGGTGAGAGAAAGAGAGAATTGCTGACTCGGTATGCAAATCACAGGGCGAACGGGGGTTTTCCTTTTGGCTCTCTTTCTAGCTCCGATTGGCAGCTATCCTTTCGAGTGAGTGGAGGGAGGAAACACCTGTGACACCCGGGCTCTAATAGACAGAAGAAGAGACGGCGTTCAAAAAAAACGATTGCCTAAGCTTTTGCATTGCTTCTGAATGGACAGTGAAGCTTTTGAAAGATCAATGCTGAGTGAAAATCAAAGCTGAAGTGTCAGAATGAAATCAGAACTCAATTTACAATAAAGTTTTACGGTCGACTACAATAGACTAAACTACGGTCGACTACAATAGACAGTTCAATTGTAAGTCAAAAGTATGCTTCAAAATGGGTGTAATTATTCGAAATCTCAATTTCAAAGCCCACCAGCTTCATTAACAATTTTATGAGTCAAAGGGTGAGCATTCAAATGATTCAAAGAGTGGAAGGGGGGAGAGTGCCAATGTATACAAAAGAGAAACGAGAAGAGATGACCCGATGTGACCGAGGTTGACCCTGCGAGAGAACCCTTGCGCAACCGGTGTCCTTCCTTGCCCACAAATAACTATAGAGAGGCACCGATGGATGAAAAAAGAGAAGAAAGAGAGCAATAATCGGGAGAAAGATTCAAATCGAGACCCACTTTTGCGATTAACAAATTTCAATATCGCTTTTGGTGAGTTTTAGTTTGAATGGTGCAAAAATCACAAGGATTCCATAACTTCTTTTGATTCCTAAAAGCTCATGAGATTTTCCGAGAGCTGTTAGTTCAATTTTACAAATTTCACTTCACTGTATTATTATCACTAAAGCTCAAATGCAATGCCATTTATTTACCAAACTTTGCAAAATAAAAAATACCCAAGTCTTACCAAGAAAATGTTACAGAAAAGAACTCATGACTACAATTTTACAGAAAAATCACCCAATGTAACGAATTTAAAAACACGAGTACAGGGAATTCACAGAAATCGTGCACGTATCACAATGGGAGGGCGGATCAGAAATGGTAAATTGGGAAGAAAAACAACTCACAAGCAGATAAATTAAGCGCTATATCGAACTCGAATAGCACACTTGGAAACGATCACAATAAATGGATGGGTGATAAGTTTTTCATTTAAAAAAACCGTTAATAGACAGTAAAACCTGTAAAAGCTTACACAAAAACATAAAGGCAAAGAAAACCGCAGAATGGAATTGTTTGAGATGACATGGCGTTTGCGCGAACAAATGGCAACTTTAGAGAATGATCGATTGAGTCTCCGGCCCGAAACGTTCCCAGAACTTTAGTAACTGAAAGACCAATGATTCATGGTATTATTAAAAAAAGGATAAAAACCTCTTGTTGTTCAACTAGAAGCGCCTCCAAGAAGCCGATGAAGATCTCGCGCATGTCTTCACGCCGCTGAGCATCGAATCGACCCATCTCTTCGCGAATCAAGCGGGAAATTTCCCCGAACTCTCCCTAAAAATAATTAATATTCAAGCAAGGTTTCGGAAGCGAGAAACGCCATTTCATAATCCCCAACCCCATAGCTTTTAAAGTTTTACCTCAAGTTGATCGACTTTCCTCTCGGTCTCATCCATTTCATCCTTGGCTTGCTGAGCTCGATCCATTTTACCAGAAAGTTCATAACTAAAGAACAAATGTGTACGCTTACTCTAATTTAATCTCACCGAGATTTCTGCTCTCTTTTCTTTGCCAAGTTCTGCTGAGCAGTTTGCCATGATTGCCAAACACGGATCCTTTCATTGAATACCTAAAATATTAATATTTCCGAGAAGTGCATTAATCATTACATCTTTCAAGCTTTGGAAGAGGGCTACATATTCACCGACTGCTTCAGTGAGCTTTGCTTGATCGTTTTCGGCCTAAACAATTTTTATAATAATCAATTAAAACTACCAACTTGTCTCCCAAACGCAGCCGCACAACTTTCTTCAGCCTCAGTAAGATGTGAAAGAGCTCGAGCCAAAGCTGTCGATTCTTCGCACGAAGCTAGCATGGAGATAGTCTGAAAAGAACATTTAAACAAGCTTTAATAAGCTTAGAGTTACAGAATCACTTCTTTCAAGCTCTATTAAAACTCACCTTCGACATGCTTTCATTCGCATATGAAAGTTCCTTTCGCTGATGCTGAAGAGTGTCGGCAAGAGTTAGCAATTTGCGAAGGCATTCTTCTAATTCTTCGACGTGTGATTGCGTTTGTTCAAACCATCGATCACCCTCTTCCATATGGAAAGCCATCTTCGAAAAAGCCTAAAATAAACCCAGTCAATTCAGCTGACAATCTAGACAACATTTTATTCACGTCATTTTTTAAAGCACCGACCTCTCCCACACTCTTCATCAATCGTTTCACGCCAGCCGATGATAAAGCCACAGTGTTACTCGCCTTTGGTAATTCGGCCTCCATCGTGAGAAAATCGCGCACATCGCAATCGGTTCGCATCTTTTGGTGCTAAATTCCAATATGAGTAGACATTTAAACTTTAAAGATACCTGGCCAATTCGCCGCAGGAAACGTTCAAGCTGTCGAGCTCTTTGCATTCCAACCGGGTTACTAATCGCATGATCGGAGTTACCAGATTTTGTCCTAAAATAAAGTATTCGATATCATTATTATACTAATACTTTGTCATAGCAGTTATGCTCTTCTCGGGTGGGTAAGGAACGACGACACCTTTATGCAAAAACTTCTCGACCAATTTCTCGTGCAGACCGAGAAAATCGGAGAAGCGGCGCCACACCTAAACATAAGGTTTAATTGCGTTGAGCGAACAATCTTATAGTTTAATTTACACAATAAAGTTTTACCTCATGTATCCGATCACTGATCCCTGGGTTATTCCTCGACTCGGTGACCACTTTGTAGACCAGATAAGCGTTAATTCCGTCACCACGCTTCTCGAAAGTTTCAATCTAAATTCATATAATTTTAAACAGTTCAAATTTCGAAGTCTACAAATTCACATCTAGTTAAAATCAAGGCTTGGATTTGCTTTGAACTTGAATTGAATTGAATTGAATAAAGGCTTGGATTTTTGCGTGCATTTGATATGCTTATAAAAGCCTAGTTGCTGTCCAAAAGTGGGATAATTGCTCCCAGCATAGTATACAAAAAAAAGAGCTAAAAGTGTCGGTTGGTGCTTTAATAAAACGATCAAAACTTACCGAAATCTTCAGTACATAGTTCTTGTGTTCTTCAACACGTGGCGCTACCGGAGACGAGTGGCTGACGTCAAGATTTGATGTTGAAAGAACGGCGGCTGATCGCGGCTTCTCATCTGGCTCTTCATCAAGTCGAAGCTTCGAGGCGGGCGCATCCGAGTGCAGATTCACATCTTCTCCGTCTTCGAGCAGTAAATCGTTCACCTAAACACAAAATATTAGACCACCTTCGAGGTTTGTAACTTACTCAGATTATACTTATTAGATTATTACTTATTGAAGTAAAGATTCCAAACAGAGGTAACAACTTTAATAACTTGACAAAGGTATAAGTTTAAACCAAGAATGTGTAATTTAGGTAACTCCCTTTAAAGTGAAATGAAAAGAAATATTGGGTTGGGGAGAATGAGTCGGCGCCGAAAATCAAAGAAATTTCTAAATCTTATAGCAGACTTTGTCAAATGATATGCGTTTGATTTCCGTAGAAGGGTAACTAATTCTCTACAAAATAATATTTAAAAGAGAACTCAAACAGCGCCTCAACTCAACAAAGGATCATTTTTTCACAAAATCGATAAACTGTCATCTAGAGTAAACGGTTGGAGGGATCTTCCTGAAAATTTGGTAACTTATGTAATTGAGTGTGCTCTATCTTTTTTATATAAACACCAAAGGAGGTTTATGTGGAAGAAACTGTTCAAGCAATGAGTCGGACTTTTTGTCATTTTGATTAGCTGTGTTTGGGAATCCATAAAATCCCAAAAAAGAAAAGCTTTGTGGAATCTCTCAAAAGCCATTTTGTAAAGAAATAGTGGACCCCTTTGATGAAACAAAACGTGTATTTAAAGAAGGTTTTATGGGTGCAAAAAGTTTCTTTAAATTTCGGCGCCGACTCATTCTCCCCAACCCAATAGATTATCATTAAAATTTCAAACCTTTGATGACGTTCCGTTTGACGATGCCGGTGGAATATCGTGGTGTTCCTCATCGGAAAGCGTTAACGTGTCATCACCATCCAGCATCTTGTCTAAAGCATAAAAATAGAATTATATTGACCGGATTGTTCTAAAAACGAAAAACGATTGAAAAAAAGAGCGAAAGAAAAGATTAAACAAAGATTCAAGCAATTTTTGACAATTTTTTTATAAAAATGAACGATTTTTAGTGACTGCTTGTACTAAACGCAAATCTCCACCGTAAATACAAAAAATAAACAGTCTTTGCGTGTAAAACAAGCTATTTGGAGGAAACGAAAGCCATTTGGAAATGTTTATGAGTGAGCTTTTTAAATGGAGAAAAACTATTCGAGGGCACCATTTAGCGAGCAGCATTTTCCGAGTGAAACTGGGAGAAAAGAAAGACGGGACTATACAAATTGTGCACGGCAAATGATTGGAAACGTTTCAATTTCGTTTATCGAAAAAAGTTTCTAGCGCAAAACAGAAAATGGTTATGGTTAGCAAAAGCTTTTCAAGATATTTAGTGAAGAGATGATTTCTTTTTACATAGTTGGTATTGATTGATAGAGTCAAAAGGAGCCAAAATTCCCCTATTTCAAATATTAGAGCTGTTTCTGAATTTCTAATGCTCGCTTTTGCTTTCTGAGCGGAAATCGATGATCAGCAATGAGTCACTCCGTTTTCGATTAAGGTGAAAGATCGGCGAATTGAGAAAACAACAATGACCTCTCACCGAAAATTGCCTGCTCAAAATACTAAAAAACCGGGAGTGGGACAAATGCGACCTTTTTTGCGCACCTGGACATTTGCGCACCTTTTTTCCGCACCTTGCCCATTAGCGCACCTTTTTTCGCGTTTTAAAAAAGCTCTAAAAGCTAATATTAACCAATTTCTATTCCAAAAGTTGTTTTTCTAGGTAATTTTAGGGCGTAGAATCGAAATTTTGACATATCAGAGCTTGTGGAAGCGAACGGACGGAGTTATACAAAGAGAAAGATCGACAATTTTCTGTAATTTCATCTAGCCGTTTTGTCTTTCAAATTGGTTCCACACGCTCTGATATGTCAAAATTTCGATTCTACGCCCTAAAATTACCTAGAAAAACAACTTTTGGAATAGAAATTGGTTAATATTAGCTTTTTAGAGCTTTTTAAAACGCGAAAAAAGGTGCGCTAATGGGCAAGGTGCGGAAAAAAGGTGCGCAAATGTCCGGGTGCGCAAAAAAAAGGTCGCATTTGTCCCACTCCCCAAAATACTAAAAAGATCACCTTTTTCCATGTCATTTATTCTACTTTCAAAGGAAAAACTAACCATTCAGTTAATTAACTGAATATCCTTAAAAGATTGGCGGCAAAATAAAATTGGTATTTAAGCAAGCATTTTTGCTAATTAAATTTTCAATTAAAGAACTGAATATCGCCCAAAAACTGCAAATTTTTTCCTCAAATGGGCATTTCCGCAACTTTTCATATTTTGACAACCCGTGATTAGATTTCTATGTTTTTTGGTACCATTTTATTTTTGCTATCATCAAGTGCAACAAATTGATACCAAAAACATAAAAATCTGGTCATCGCTTATCGAGTTATTTATAGAAAGTTGCGGAAAAAAAAAATTTGCTGCTCGCCCTTTTTGTTTTTTTGTCTTTTTTTTTGGGTCCATATTTTAAGTTTTGTGGGATCGCCGCGAGGATATAAAAGATTCAAAATTTTTTTCGACGTGATGTATTTTTGGCTCGAAAAAGGGTCGCAGGCTTTTGAAAGACCTTAAATGTCTGTTTCTTGCATTTTTAGTACTTTTTTCAATATTTTATCAGTCTGGACATATCTTGAGTCGGTCCCAGGATAACGTTCAAAGTCTATCAAGTTCTATCCCAGTGAATACCTGGCCTTTTCGAGGCCTACCCTGACATTTCCTAAGTCAGTTTGGGGTTCACCCTGCTCTGCTACCGGCCTAACAAGAGGAAGGTCAGAATTGGCCGTGGAATTTTGACTGGGAATAAGTGTGGTAAGGGCAATTCGGACCCGCGGATTCCGAATCTGAAGTTAGTTTTTGCGCAGGTATCACCAATCGCAAGGAAGCTGGCAAACAAATTTTTGGTAGGTCTATATAACGCGATCTTGTCGCTGTAGCCTCTCGGAGCAAAGCCATTACCATGTCCATTACCATGTCTATTACCATGTCTATGGTAATAAATGTGCACTTAACCAATCGGCTACAGCGACACTTTTCCACCGAGTCAAGGTCGCGTCATATAGACCTACCAAAAATTTGTTTGCCAGCTTCCTTGCGATTGGTGATACCTGCCCAAAAACTCACTTCAGATTCGGAATCAGCGGGTCCGAATTACCCTTACCACACTTATTCCCAGTCAAACTTCCACGGCCAAATCTGACCTTCCCCCTGTTAGTACCCATCTGAGCTGTCCTTGTCTTACAAGGACTTATCCTGCTAATCATTTTTCCACTTCAGAAACAATAATTTATTTGAAACGCAAAAATTTTAAAGGAATTCTCTCTTTCTAAACTAGGATTATTATTTCGATTGGAAACTCGAGGCCGATTGTGAGAATGAAGTGCCGAGAAGGCTACGAGCTGTGGTTGATTGTGGAGGAGAGACCGGGATCGAACCCTCACCCTGGGTGACCGCTCGGGGATGGGTACCCTAGAAATGAGTTGGATCAATGTTCATTTTATTTTCAACTCACCTTATGCTCTCCTAACATTTGCCGTTGTACAAGTGTTGCATAGGTGCCCGGTTGTCGTAGCAGCTCTTCGTGGGTTCCCTGTTGCTCGACCACTCCCTAAACTTGTTCGATTCAAAGATTTTTATCCAAGAATGTTAGCTTTTGAAAATTTTGCGCCAAAAATCGCCAAATTTCCAATATGGTTCGGATACGGACCCAATATGGTTCCAATATGGTTCCAATATGGTTCCAATATGGTTCCAATATGGTTCCAATATGGTTCCAATATGGTTCCAATATGGTTCCATAATGTTTCTGCGTTAGAGATGAGCTTAAAATTTGGATTCCAACCTCAAAAAAATTCCATTTTTAAGGCTTAAAAAAGCAAAAATTTAGCTTAAAATATGTACATTTTTTTGTCTCCTTGCTTCGTTGAAAAAAAGTTTTTGGCTACAAGACTCATTGATTCATTTATCCAAGCTTTGCGTACTTTGTTCCTGTTTCCTACCCTACAAATTCTGTATTCAACAACCCTCGGGGGTGGGTTACTTTGCGCCAAATTTTTTTGCGCAACTAGGTCTTTTGCGAAACTCGCCATAACTTTCTTCTAAATCGACCAATCTTTATGATTTTGGTTTCATTTTGTAGATCTCAACAAGTGCAACAAAATGACACCAAAATTGTAAAGATTGGTCGATTTAGAAGAAAGTTATGGCGAGTTTTGCAAAAGACCTAGTTGCGCAAATGATCCAGTTGCGCAAAGAATTTGGCGCAAAGTAGCCACCGCCCAACCCTCACCCAGTGCTAGATCTATAACTAAATATCTTAAAAACAAAGAAGAAACCCCAGCTAAATCTTTTCCAAACCTTATTGATAACGATAATCTTATCAGCTTTTTCGACAGTTGACAGACGATGAGCGATCATGATCACCGTTTTTCCCTCAAGATTTTTCGAGATAGCTGAATAATTTTATGTTTTGTCTAAATCGATTTCTTTACCTTCTTGTACAACAGCTTCACTTTCCGTATCCAAAGCTGATGTGGCCTCGTCAAGCAAAAGAATAGCCGGCTGACGGACGAGCGCTCGAGCGATGGCGATTCTCTGCTTTTGACCACCTAGAAAACTTTCGTAGTTAATATTTACCTGAATTTTTTGGATTAACAAAAAGGGGCGGGGTTTAGATTGCGTGCAGCGTTTTCCGCTGGTAATAATAATATATCGTAAAAGCTCTAATAGAAAATCTCCTATAGGAGTGTCGCGTCGTCTAAGTTTACTCTCAAACAAACACTCATATCTCGGCATTCAGACATTAGTTTCTGCTTGTTTAGGTATCAAATTAAAGTAGAGAAAATGGGTGTTCTTTTGAGATATAACACAGCTTTTTAACATTAACCAATGCTTAGAAAAAAATGATTGAAAATCGGCTCTTTTTTTGTCACTTTTCAATCATTTTGAATCTCATTTTTAACGAATTTTCTTATTTATTTTGTAGAAAGTTCTCAAAAACTTTATTCTAGCTTTTAAGAGGAGATTCATAGCTATCGAATGACTATAATAAGGCCTCTATAGAAGCCTTGAAGCCTATAGAATACTCTAATAGAAATCCCGATAGGAGCGTCGTGTAGTTGAAGTTTACTCTCAAACAAAAGCTCATATCTCGGCGTCCAGACGTTTGTTTCTTCTCGTTTAGGTATCAAATTAAAGTAGAGAAAATGGGTGTTCTTTTGAGATATCACACAGATTTACAGCTTTAACCAGCACTTAGAAAAAAGTGATTGAAAAGTGGCAAAAAAAAAAGCCGATTTTTCATCATTTTATTCAAGCGCATCCTTTCTAGCGCACTGAATTCTTCATATTTTTGTTGTCTTCTTTATTAATATCTTCATATTCATATTCTCATTACACCAAAGTGTTTCTGCAAGTAAATCAAGGAATTCAGTGCGCCAGAGGGGGTGATTTAACAATTTTTTCGCACAAAGTACACCAACCAGACATTTGTGATCCCTTTTCTCCGACATTCGTCTCATATTTCATGGTGGTTTGCACGATGAAACCGTGGGCGTTTGCCATTTGCGATGATGTCACCACATCTTGTTCGGTTACCTAATATATTGAGTTAGCAGTTAGCAGTAAAAAAAAAGTCGCGTAAAAGAAAGGAAATTTTTTTTTGAATTGTAAAAGTTTTAATTATATTACACAAGCTTAAAAGCTTAAAAGCTCAACAATTGCTAAGGCTCATATGAATTGTCTTGAATTAGAAGCAGCCTTTTTTGGGCTTGAAGACCTGAGCCTGAGCTAAGGAGCTTCACAATGCGCACATCCTCTTGGAATTGGACCTCAGCTGTTGGAATTGGACAACACCTCAGCTGTTGGAATTGGACCTCAGCTGTTGCCTACGTAAACAGGTGTGGCGGCACCAGAAGTCTATCTCAGTCCAGAAGTCCAACTCTATCTCAAATCGCAACGCGAATGGTCTTGGGTCTTGGTCTTGGGCCCGAGAAAGGCATTTAACCATCGGAGCCACCCATTTAACCATTTAACCATTTAACCATTTAACCATCGCGGCCAAGCGCCCAAAACGTTGAGGCGGATTTCTACTCGCGAAATTTCAAGGATAATCTTGAAATTCACCTATCCGGGGTGGTGACCAATGGGCTGTTTAAAATTTGGGTCGTACCCATCGTGGACCTTAGCAATTGTTGAGCTTTTAAGCTTTGTTTATATAATAAATATTATACATAAAAATATTTCCATATTTCTCGTTTAATTTATATTAATCACTAAAAGAGACAATAGATTTCATTGATTTCAAAAGATTTTTCATTGATTTCATTGATTTCATTGATTTCATTGATTTCATTGATTTAATTTTCATTTGGCATCTTTCTTTTCATTTCTTTAATTAACTACAAGACGATGCTCTTATCTTATAAGGCTGTTGATACAAAGCTGATTGATGTTAGTGATCCAACTGTTGGCTGATCAACAGTGATCCAACTGTTGGCTGATCAACAGCCAACAGTTGGATCACTAACAACTTCGCAGAATTGCATCACCGTCGACATCAATCAACAACGCCCAAGACGAATCTCAATCTCTTAGCTTTAGACCACAAAAAAAGTATCTAGTTATGATGTGATCTTCATTTGATCGATCATTTCACAAGTTTAAGACAAATCTGAGCGAAAGCAATTGCAGAATCTGGCTAAAGCTTTTGAGATAAAAAGAGCAAATTTTGAAAAAGGGCATATTGCAGACCATGACAATGCTCGCCTGCACACTGCTAAACTCACTCGAAATTTCAACTCGACTGACTGAGTGACTGACTGATTGACTGACTGACTGACTGACTGACTGACTGATTGACTGACTGACTGACTAACTGACTAACTAACTGACTGACTGACTGACTGACTGATTGACTGATTGACTGATTGACTTACTGACTGATTGACTTACTGACTGACTCGCAACTGACTCGAAATTCCAAATCGACTCGACTGACTGACACGCAATTCCTCTACAATTCCAAATTTTGTGCAAAAACCTGGACTAGGAGCTTCTCCCCCACCCAGCATATCCTCCAGATCTAGCTTCATCAAATTATCATTTATTTCGGTCAATGGAAAATGCCTTAGTCAAAGAGCATTTTGAAAATGAAAAAAATCTCAAAAGAAATGGATACAGAACTAGTTTGATTCAAAAAATCAAAGATTTTTTTTGCGCGAGTGGAATTCGCCTTCTATCATTTAAAATGAGCATAGTTTATTGAAAAAGATGGAAATTATTTTGATTGATTTAGATTTAGATCTATTGATGGATTTGGATCTATTGATGGATTTGGATCTATTGATTGTTTTGGATCTATTGATTGATTTGGATCTATTAATTGATTTGGATCTATTGATGGATTTGGATCTATTGATTGTTTTGGATCTATTGATTTAGATTTAGATCTATTGATTGATTTGGATCTATTGATTGATTTAGATCTACTGATTGATTTAGGTCTATTGATTGGATTTAGATCTATTGATTGTTTTAGATCTATTGATTGATTTTAATTTAGATCTATTTTGATTGATTTATTGATGATTTATTAAATCAATATTTCTATTTGAAATACTTATCGGTTAATGCAATAATTTGTCTTTTAAACAAAAGCAAAATCTATTTTTCTAGATAATAAAGGTTCATAGAGACGCGTGTTTTTAATTCTTTATGGACGTTTGTGGCTCTGGCTTGGGAATTTCTCAGGATTCCAGGGCCCAGGGCCCAGGACCTAAGGCCTAGAGCCCAGGGTCTAAGGCCTAGGGTCCAGGGTCTAAGGCCTAGGGTCCAGGGCCTAAGCTCCAGGGCCTAAGGCCCAGATCCCAAGGGTAACCTTGGTATCTATGTGTTGCAGATCTTTGTCTGTGCAGATCTATGCAGACAGATCATTGCATTTCCACGCAAAAGTAATCCTTACCTCCACTCCGTAAGCGATATTTTCCGAAACAGAGCGCGCGAAAAGTACGGGCTCTTGACCGACGAGAGCAATCTAAAACATTCGAAATTCGAAGTAATTTGTATAAAAGATCTTTAAATATTAAGAAATCTATAAAATTTCATAAATTTTTCTATAATCTATAATTTTAAGACATCAAAACGTTTTTTTTGGTCACCTTTTTGTGATAGTAATGATGCTCGTACTCGTCCATTGGCACTCCGTCGATCAAAATCTGCAATTCTATCAATTCTTTAGCTCTAAACAAGGGCTTTACATTAAGAATTAGATACTTGGCTAAGTAAAGCATAGCAAAGTAGAACTAGTTTCGAAATTCGAACTAGTTTTGTGCTAAAAACTCGATCATAACTTAAATTGACTTTATTCTAATAGGATCCTGCTGTAGTTGTCTTTTTTTAAAAGCCCTGTATATCTATGAATCTATCTCTTTTTAAAATATCCAACCTGTCCAGCGTTTGGTAGATAGAAATTCTCTAATAGAGCGATACACGAAGATTTCCCGCTTCCCGATGGGCCCACTAAGGCCACCGTTTGACCAATCTCGGCTGTGAAAGAAAGATCCTAGATAAAAATATGATAAATTTTCAATTTCAATACAATTCTACTAGGGAAAGGCAGCGAGTCAGGATAACTTTTTGACCAAGTCCAGAGACTCAAGAAGAAGTCCAGAGACTCAAGAAGAAGTCCAGAGACTCAAGAAGAAGTCCAGAGACTCCAGAAGAAGTCCAGAGACTCAAGAAGAAGTCCAGAGACTCAAGAAGAAGTCCAGAGACTCAAGAAGAAGTCCAGAGACTCCAGAAGAAGTCCAGAGACTCAAGAAGAAGTCCAGAGACTCAAGAAGAAGTCCAGAGACTCAAGAAGAAGTCCAGAGACTCAAGACCAAGTCCAGAGACTCAAGACCAAGTCCAGAGTCGGCCATGGGGATCTTGAACTCGTTTTTTAATTTTTGTAGAACGCGAGATATCTAAATTTCGGAGATATCTTTATGAGGCCGTCACACGCTTCTCTACCAGTTGCTTCGGTGGTCTAGTTGTTAGTCTGCTAGACTATCGAATCTATCAACCTTTTGTCCTCAAGTTCGAGTCCGGCTCTCGTCAAACTTTCTTTGTTTTTTTAAAACAACTTTTTTCCCTACATATTTGCAATGAATAATAGAGTTTAATTTCGTGCACCCGTAGCTTTCAGAAATGTGGTATGTTAAATTTTTCAATGCATACTTTTCAATAGTTATCTATTTGAATACAGAAACTTTGAAAAGTTTCAGCTTTTGTAAATTATTTGTTGGTTACAGAAAGCGTTTATAAAACTCGAGTCAATAATTCAATACGTAAGAAAACAGTTTTTAAAAAAACAAACAAAGTTCGACGAGAGTGGGACTCGAACTTGAGGGCAAGTCTAGCAGTCTAGCAGACTAGCAGTCTAGCAGACTAGCAGTCTAGCAGTCTAGTAGTCTAGTAGTCTAGCAGTCTAGCAGTCTAGCAGACTATCCACTAGACCACCACAAGCAGTCGGCAGGGAAAGTGTGACGGTCCGATAAGGAGCTCGACGAAAAATTCATAGGTGATTTTCTATACAAAATATCTCGCGTTTGCGAAGCGTTCTGCAAAAACTAAAAACGGATTCGGGATCCCCATGGGCAATTCTATAAAATGAACTTGAATGGGTCTACAGATTTGGTTCGTTTTCTCTACAGATTTGGTTGCAGATTACGGTTCCAATACGGTTCTTTTTTTCAATACGTTCCAATACGGTTCTTTTGAGATTTGAGTCAAAAGATCAACCTTTGTTAGATTAAATTAAATTAGATTTAAAAAAAGAAAACAAACCCTTAGAATCGGCAACTGAGGACGGGTTGGATAAGCGAAGTGTACATTTTTGAATTCGATTTTTCCTCTAAAATTTTCTTATTATTTAAAATTGAAATGCCCAAATAAAACACAAGCGTTAAAGGAATTTCAATTGTTAAACAATTGTACTGTCCATACAATTGTATTCGTCTATGGTTTTCAAATCAAGTATTATGTACCGGAGAACGGCTGGCTGAAGTTTTCCATGGTGTTGAATGGTTGGCTCTCGATCGATGTACTCGAAGACCTGGAAATCGGTAGTTCAGCATGTGCTACTGTAGTTTGACTTGTAGCTACTTGGACTTCGTTTAGGATTATTAAAGTTTGCTACTTGGATTACTGTAGAGTTACTGTAGGAGTCTGTAGAATTTCTATAGTTTTCCCAGTTTCACTAATTCTTTATTTTGCAATTGCAAATTACAAAAATTTTGCCTTAAACACATGTGTCATCGCAATAAATTGTCGCAATACTGACTTGCTATACGCAACTTGTCGGAATACTGACTTGCTCGAATTACTCTAGTTTTCTAGAGCTATTCCACTAATCGCTTGCCCTTTGTTTATTGATAGCTGTAGCCTGTTTAGACTACTGTAGCCTGTTTTAGATTACTGTGGCATGTTTAGATTACTGTAGCCTGTTTTAGATTACTGTAGCCTGTAGATTACTGTAACTTTCCCCCTCGCACTCACCTTTCTACTCGCTCCAACCGATTGCATTAAACCCGTCCAAACCTCGCCCATTTGTCTCAAATTGTCAGCCATTTGCATTTGGTAAAGCAAAAAGGAAACGAGAAGATCGGCCTGAATTTACGATATTTATTCCACCCTAAAATCGCGAGTATAAGTTCTGTTTGGTTTTCGCATGCAAATTGCCGGCTGTCTCCGGTGCGGTGTGTCGAGGGTTCGAACCCCGCTGCAGCATCACTTTTTCGCTTTTTAAGAACAATAATAGAAGTAAATTTATTGAGGGTTATAGTAATTTTATGCTGTTATTTGTTGCTCCGGGCGTGGCTTGACGCGTCCGCCCTGCTCCTCTCCGGTGCTCAGTCTTATGGATCCCTCCCTGGCCTCTTCATTAAGGCAGAACTTATACTCGAGACTTTAGGGTAATAAAAACCTTAGTCTTTAACCTCCCAAAAATCGATCAAAAAAAAAAACAAATAGATCAAGTTCCGCAAATTAATCAAAAAAAATTGAGGATGTTCTTCTATTAGGTACTTGCAAAAGAAACTGTGGTTCATAAAAAACGTCTGTAAGTAAGTACCCACATATAATGTTTGTAAGTGTAAGATGATCAAAATTGATTAGTCATTGATTGATTGATTAGAAATCCAAATTGATTAGAAACCCCCAAAATATCTTCTCTCTTTAACGATATAAAAAGAATTCTGCCATGATCGTTTCTGAGCGGAATTTAGACTTTTCAAAAAGGTCCCAAAAAACGACTTGGCGGCGGGGCTTAAACTTCTAAGAAAGGCTTTTTGATTTTTGATGAAACTTTGATCTAAACAATTGACAGATCAAAAGCCTAAACTTAATAAAAGCTATTTACAAAAAAAAAACTAAAACAAATTTGATGAGCCATTTCATTAAGCTTATTTCTTTTATTCTGATAGATTGCAATTCTTTGATCTTTGATCTTACACCAACGCCACCTTATCATCGATTTAGTGGAATGCTTTAAAATTGTTAAAGGCATTCATCCCGACATTCACCCCCTTTTTTTCTGATCTCTTTGAATTCGGCTCTCTACGGAGCTTCTAGAGGCCAGAAGGAGGCCAGAAGGGGGCCTTTTCTCATACGCCAACCTTTCGTTTCCTCTAAAAGCCCCCGCAGTTTCTTTTTTAATCGAGTTATTAAATTCTGAAACATTTTACCCCCTCATGTTCGTGATATTTCCACCTTGGCTAGATTTTGGCATTTTCCAGCTCTATAGCACTTGAGCTTTTATGCAGAAAAGAAATTTTAAAAAGGGCTGCTACGCAGGAGTACGCGATGATACTCTTTACCCGGTCTTCTATTCGAAGAAATACGGTATTTCATTATAAAAATTCATTTGAAGATTGACTCTCAGAAAAAAAAGGGTTAAAATTCTGTTTTAAAAGGTCATTTTTAAAGTTTCAACAAAAAGGTACACAACAAAAAAGCTTAGCTTTCTTTTATTTAGTAAATTTCTTTTATTATTGATTATCATTTCATATTATTGATAAAAGATTTGTTGAATTTGATTTTGATTTGGAAAATTTGATAAATTTTGAAGTTAAAAAGTTGAAATTTGGATTTAGGTCATTTTTTGATCTCTCTATTCTTTTGCAAGTACTTAGAATAGAATAAATACAATAGTTGAAAACAATTTTTCCTATAAAGGAACATTGTGTATTAAAGTTTTACGATATTTCAAATTTCAAATCACTCACCTTTAAACGTCCAACAAGCACAAGATGTCCACCATACCAGAGAACAGCAACAACGATAAATGTTTGGAAAAGCTAGAAATTTAAGTAAAAAAAAAATTCAGTCAAATTTCAATCTTTTTTTCATTTTCATACATTTTCTTAGATTATCTATGTAATTTTTTTAAAATTTGGTTGCTTTTCGGTACAGATTTGGTTCCTTTTCTCTACAGATTTGATTCCTTTTCTCTACAGACTTGATTCCTTTTCTCTACAGATTTCAAAAATTCACCTCAGACACCCAAATGAAGCCGACGTAAGCGAAAGCTTTCGTTTTTGTCACATTCAATGTGTCGGTGACCTTCGCGTAGAAACTGGAAATGAGAAATGAATCATGTGAATGAAATCTATGAAATACAGTACGATTTTTCTTTTTAAATCCTCACCGATCTCCTTCAAAAGCCTCACAGGCAAACGAGCGAACAGTGCGCATTGTAGAGATCACCTCTTCAGCCACATCATTCGAGTGAGCGACCGCGTTTTGCGTTTTCTCCGACAAATACTAAAAACTTTGAAAAATAGCTTTAATTAAAGACAAAATAGCAAGCTTTAAGCTTTAAGCTAAAGCTAAAAATGTCAGCCTTATCAGCTGAATCTTAAATTGCCTCAACAATCAATCATTATCAATTTACAATTTTTTTTAAAGCAACATACATCATAATAAGTTCCAAAGATTTTCGAGGCGACAAAAATGATCGGCACGAGGATGAAAGTGATCAGCGAGAGACGCCAAGAAAGCGTCATCATGAATAACATTGATCCAACAAGGCAAACAACGTTCCTAAAGAACCTTTCAGCTCTAATTTCTTCATTTCCCAAACCTCAAGAACACATTCACATTCATGGCCACCGTGTCGGACATCGTTTGGCAATCGGAAGCGAGACGAGAAGCAATTTCACCTAAAAGATTTTAGATTACTGTAACACTATAAGATTATGATACTAGAAGCCTGATTGTGAGCTACAGTAGACCTTGCTACAGCTTGTAAAAGTACACCCATTCTAGCATAAAATGTAAACGCAACCCTTCTAGCGCACTAAATCCTTCATTTTTCACAAAAACGCGTCTCCAATTTAAGGAAAATAAAGAATTCAGTGCGCTAGAAAGGATACGTTCACACTTTTCAAGCATAAAGCACAGTCTACTGTAGTTTGATTTTCAGAAACAAACCAGTTTTGTGAGCATCATAGAAAGCGACATCTTGTCGAACAAGTGCCGCGAAAAGATCGAAACGAACCGATCGAGCCACTCGAGAATACGCGTACTCGAAAGAACCACCACGAAAACCAGCGCAAACACCACTGAACGAAAAACAGTAATCTAGACAATAATAGAAACTAGTCGGGTTACTGTAACACCTTGTGGAGAATAGCCACTAAAAAGTTACCTAAGCTCTGGCAGCCTAAAAATTGGAGAAATATTGAGGAAATCGGTGCGATCAGATATCTCGAAACAAGAAATAGCGTGTCTTGAGTGAAGAGTACCAAGCACGCGAACAATATTTCTTTACACACCTCTTGACTAGGTCATGGTAGCCAAATCATTGCTCTTTAGCGAATGTACTTTCAGTTACAAAATTCTTTCAATTCAATTACTACGATAAGCCGAATAGGTGCTCTAAAGCATGCCCAAGCTACCATAACCCTGCTCTTTAAATGAACGGATTAGCTTTTCGGATTAACTTTTCGCATACCTAACAAGCGTGATCATAGTCATCGTGTAAACAGCTTGATGAAGATTATCGTATGAGCTTGTCTCGACAACGGTGGCAATCACTTGACCAGTGTAGTACGGGATAAAGATACGAGCTAAATCATATTTCATATTTTTTTATCGCCTCAAAATCACTTACTAACTGAGTAGATGAACAAGAAAGTGAAACCAGACAAATGCCAGAGCCATTCCCGTTTACAATACTGCAAAAGGCGCAAAATCAACTCAAAAGTTTGCTTCGGTGGGAGTTCGCCGTTTTCCTGAAAACTTTATACGGTAAATACTCTAATAGAACGCCATAATGACCGGCGTACAGTCGCGTAGTCTAACTTTGAACGTCTCATTCTCCGCGCTACTTTATGCCAAAATGTGCTTAATGATGTCAAATGATAGCCCTTGAAATCTAGTATTTTTTGATATCAAAAGTTTAGTTAAGAAAAAGCTAGGAGCTGAGAAAAAAATGATTTTCTAAAAAGAACTTAGACTACACGACTGTACGAGGGTTTCATCAGAGTATTTACGGTTATTTAGAGTAAGCTTTCATTAGAGTAAGCTAAAAGCTGAAACGAGTCGAGTATTTCCAAAAACTTTCAGTTACCCATTTACGTCTACATTTTCTTTTCACTCACATCTTCCTCATCCAACACCACGTATGAGGAGGGAGTGTGCGCAAAGTAAGCCCTGAAATATATTGGTAATCAAATAAAGAATCTAATGCATGTAATCATCTACCTGTAAAATGATAGTACTGCAAAATCGATTTAAAAAGTCAATCCTATCATTTTATCTAATAAAAGTCTCTTAGTCTCTAATTTTAACAAACAAACAAACAAACAAAACGTTAACAAACCTCCATGCGACATCAAGAATGAAAGTGCCGACGAATGACCAAACGATAGCGAGAATGTCTCCGAATGACAGGGCTTCACCTAAAAAAATTTTTTTGAGTATATAAGAATCATTCAGAAAAGATCTGAATTTGAATTTTGAAGTGCTATAGAAATGCTATAGAAATGATATAGAAATGCTATAGAAATGCTATAGAAATGCTACAGAAATGATATATTCATCATAAAAACAAGTTAAAGCAATTGGCCAACATAGCAGTTCCTTGAATAAAGAAAAGAAAAGGTACCATAATATTTTTTATAGTAAATTATTTTTTTTTGCCCACCTTCTTTCAACGGTTCACTCAAAAGTAAAAGTTTCGTTGGAGAAGCTGCGTACATGAGAATACACGCCGAGCTGACCACAGAGTGCCATGTTGAGAGGCCGGAGTTTCTAGAAAAGAAATTACAATCTAGTTAAATATTAAATTGCAAAATCTCATTTACAAACCTTCCACCGTAGGCTAAACAAGACGGGATGTAGAAGAAAAATGTGCGGAATAGGGTGAGAATCAAAAAGTCGGCCGATGATGTGAATGGGTTATAGTGAGCTATCTAAATTAAAGGTTATCTCGCTTCTTTCACCGGTTCAACCTGATCAATTAGTGTGTCAAAAGCGAGAGGACCACTGTGAAGACAAGTCGATAAAACGGAGACCTGAAAAATGAGAGATTTCACGAGTGTTCTCGAATTTCGGAGTTAAAACCTTAAACAAGCTTGATTATTTTTATCAAAAATCTCACCGAAATATCCAACACCGATAGCAAAACGCCAACGGCCAAACGCGCAGTCGTTGTGGCCATCTTTTAACCCGTTTGAGAGTTGATTGCTTAAAATCGAAAAGTATTTAGGTTGACTATTCAATAAATGGGCCTAAAGAATGGTTGAAAGAAAATCAAATCGAGGAAACTTTCAACTTTTTTTTCTTCAGGAGTCTCCTAAAAACGGGCACAAAAAAAGGGAGAGGGGTTTCGTCGATAAGGAGTGGTCTTGTTGGTGAGAAGAGGCTCCTCTCTATGAGATAGGCTTCTGCACAACACTGATAGCACCGGGACCATTCCGACAAAACTTTCTTCTCGTTTCTTCTTCGAGCAGTCTACTTGAAAAACTCTGAAAAATCCCAGTCGCTAAACTGGATTGAAGACAAATGTTTTTAGAAGCAGTTGTTCGCCGCATTTCCCCTTGGAGTTCGATAAAATTTCATTTCAATTTGATATTAACATGAAAAATTCAAAAATCACAAGGTAGACAAATTACAAAACCATGGCACAAAAAACAATGAAGTATCATTACATTTACTGATCACGCCTTCAGCGATCCGATGTCGGATCCTTCCGAGATCCGAGAGAGTTCGCTGCTGCTCTTCTTTCGATCACATCGAGTGAACTCGTCGCCGTTTTTCACTGGTGGAATGCTGATCATTGTGCTGTTCTCGTCGCCTGGGTTGATGTATTCAATCCACCTTAAATATAAATAGTGTCAAGAATAAAATATGTATACGCCTTACAATTTCGTGGCAACTTCGCGAGCAACAGAAAGACCAGCATGATACTCTATGAACCGCAAAACGAGTAAACCATCTAAATCAAATGTTAAACAAAATTTTGACAAAGTAACTAACCAGATTTCAATGCCTCCTGAATAAACCGCTGCATGTAGGCTTCATTAAAGTCGGGAGCGTGCTTCAACCATCTGAACGTAAAGAAATTTATCAATTAAACACCAAAAAACTCGCCTGAAGACGGCTTTCTCCTTACGTCCTTGTTTCAGATAACTGTAGAAGGCGTAACATGTGGAGACGCTTGTGATGATCAAAAGTCCAACAAGGAGGAACCACAAAAAGACGAAGATCTTCTCGTTGAACATGTTGAGAATGAGGACGCATTGCAACGTGTATGGCCTCCATCCGTGGAAAGCGCGCACTCCGAAATCGCAGTATGTGACGCGTGGAAACAAGCCAGTCTCTCCCCAGCCACTTCCGAGAAACACCTCATAGACACTCTAAAGAAGATTTATCATCAAAATAAAAAAATCCCAACAAACCGTTAATCCCCAAAACACGTTATTGAATCCAAGGAAAGTGCTCAGCACAAACAATTGAGCAAGTAGGTTGATCACATAGAGAAGCTTCGTTGACAGGTACAAGGTGGTGACGGCGTTTGAGAGGTAGTCGGCTCCGAATTTGTGGTAGCGATCCCGTTGTCGATAACGATCCCGATCGCGCAAACCGACGCCTTCAGCCAAAACCGTAACGACGTTGTCAATCTAAAAAGAGCATTTGATTTAATGTTTGGCAAATAATACGTGTTTTGCGCGTTCTTCTCGCTCTGTCGCTCCTCTGGCTTTCTCCGCTGACTGGATGCAGCCTTCCAATTCAATACCTGAAAATTTATATGAAAGTTCAAGCAAAAAGATTTACCAAAAAATTTGACCAGCGCAGTCCAAATCCAGTTGGGAATTAAGAAGGCAACCGCCTGAAGTCCAAGAACAACGGGGACCCATTGATAATATGAATGTTGTACCTAAACGTCAAATTTGACAATAAAATATTTAAAACACAAACCTCCTTTTCTCCAACAGCTTCGTCTCCTGCAAAAGCCGTTACATTTGCTCTTTCGCTTGGGAGTGCGGCAAAGTAAGTGCTTTGTACTAGGCAATAGTCGTGCGCGTAATCGATCCAACTCTTTTCAAATTCAGCCGAGGCCCAGCATTGGATTGGTTGTCCCGTAAATCTAAAAAGCACAAATATTAGCAGCAAACTCGAATAGTTATTTGCAACAAGGCACTATTTGCTTAAACTTTCGGCCACTACGTTACTGCTTTCTGACCATACGTTACTGCTTTCTGACCTTACGTTACTGCTTTCTGATCTTACGTTACTGCTTTCTGATCTTACGTTACTGCTTTCTGACGCTACGTTACAGCTTTCTGACGCTACGTTACTGCTTTCTGATCTTACGTTACAGCTTTCTGACGCTACGTTACAGCTTTCTGACGCTACGTTACAGCTTTCTGACGCTACGTTCCAGCTTTCTGACCTTACGTTACTGCTTTCTGCCTTTACGTTACCGAAGATGCTTTTTGTACCACAAAAGCTCCTGCATACCTGCATACCGCCATTTTAGCCAAAAATAAAAGATAAAAACTGACTGTTTAGCTGAGACCATGGCAGCGAGAAAGAAAATCACCGTCGCAGCTCCCTTGTAGTTAAGTCGATCGACGGGATCATCGAGCAGATGCGTGGTCAGCTTTAATTTGTCGAGCTTCGGTATCCCAAAGAGCATTCTAAAGTTAAAAATTAGTACACAACAAGTAATAAAATAAAGTAACAGAAAGGGATCAGCAACACGCTGCGAGAAAATACCAAACTTGCGAGAATTCTCGAAATGAACTTTCCCACCAATCGCTTGCCTATATACACCCTAATCTTACGGTAGAAAGACAGACATAAATAAGACAGACAGAAATAAGGCTTTTAAAGACAAGACGCTTAAAATTAAAATTTATTCATTTGCTAATCGAAAACAATTTTCGGCCACTCGGAGCTGATTAAAGGTAAATTTTAAACTTTTAAACTTTAAAATTTTAAACTTTAAGCTTTTCAATCACATTCAATGGTTCGTTTTTAACGTTTACTAAATTCCTTTTTATTTTACGTGACGGTTTTCTCGGCGTTTCATTACTGTACTCAATTCGAAAACTTGACAAATTGATGAGAGATTTGTCTGCTCATTTATCGTAAGTTTTGTTTACTTTAAACTTTCAATATTTACAATTATAACTTTTTTTTAGATCTTTCAATTATCGGCAAAGTTGTAATGGTAGAAAGCAAAGAAGAAAATGAATTCAAGTTTGTACTTTTAATAAAATTTAATATTTTAATAAACTTTGATTGTTTTACATGTTTGTTTGTCTTTTTTGATTGTTCTACAATTTTTTGTGATTATTTTTTAGTAGAATTTGTAGTGGTTTGAATTTGAACTACAAGGGTAAGTGATTGCGCAAGTGGAGAGAATGACAGCCCATCAATGGGTCGATCATCATTGGAAAGGGGATCAAATTTCCTCAACTCTTGGACAGACAGAGCTTTACTTCATTTCGTCCTTCTTTCTCTTTTCTACACACTAATCCGTGGACTATGGGGAAACACGATACGGTAACAGATTTTCACCTTCATGCTTAAAGTTAAAGTACATTCATGACTTCAATAGTGCTAGAGGGAATCGTTCTAGAGGGAATCGTTCTAGAAGGAATCGTTCTAGAGAGAATTGTAGTAAGTTACCCTTGTAGTAAAGTATACGGTACTATTTAAGTGTTTTTGTTTTTTTGAGTATTCGAGCTACGGTAGATTCAAATACTATTTTTCTAAAGCAAACTTAAAACCTCTACTGAATAGGGTATTGGTTTTAGATCTGTTACCGTATCGTGTTTCCCCATAGTCCACGGATTACTTGCAGAATCTAGTACTAGAAACAATAATAGTACAGCACTAGTACTAGAGACAATAATAGTATCTGTGCTATACTATTATTGTCTCATCATTGTCTCTAACACTATCTATGCTGTACTACTATGATCCGTGCCCCAATTCTAACAATTGTGTTGCTACCTAGTACTACATATGTGCTTGAATGTTAATTAGAAAACAATTCAACATTCTTATTTAATAATGATCCTTTTCTTCGTTGAATAACATATTTTTCAGCTTCAATGGCCCCTCAGATTGTCAGGGTCACAAGTGGTTGGGGGTCTCTTTTCACTACATTCAACTAATCCCTTCACCCTTTAGCTACCGTATTCCATTGCCATGTGTGCCCTTTCACTGGGGCTCTTGTCGAGAATGAGAAGAACTAATCGCTGGGGTTCTTTATTCCATACAGAGGATCTGGGTCTTGCCAGGCTAAAGTTTGAGTAGGCCAAAAAGCTCGGGACAAGCGAAAAGGCCAATTCAAATCAAAGTTAGAAGTAGATAGCTGGGAAGTAGATAGCTTTTCGAATATAAGGAAGAATTTGCTGCTGTTAGAAATCTTCTTTAACAATTCTGGCCTGTTGCTGCCAGAATTCTGGCTTGTTGCTGCCTGATACCAGCTCTATTTTCAATTCCCTTCACTCTGTTCAAAGCTGGGAGCATCTACTTTTAATTCAGCAAACTTTAGGCTGATATTTTTACTACTGTAAAACTTACTGTAATCCCTTCTATATATCAGTCTCGTTCTTCTAGCAATTCTATCGCACTTCTACAGTTAGCTAGTCCATAGCTAGTTCCAGTTAGCTAGCTAGTCACCCCCAGATCCTCCCTGCGCTCGAGCTCCACCCCTATACAGAAGTTCGTGGCTCTCCCAGCCTCAGTCCAGTCCATTAACCAATTGGGAGCTTGGGAGCTTCTCCTTTCGCTGCATTCTCTCCCCCCTTTCAGCTGCATTCTCCACCCCATTGTTCATAAACTATCTCACTCCCGAGAGCTCTTCACCCTTCTATTCCCTTCTATTCCCTTCTGAATGTCCGCCAACCAGCCACCACCAGCCCACCACCATTCGAGGTACATTGTATACAACTAATAAATAAATATTTAGAAAATCAAGCCAGTTTACAAATCGAGTAAACGCTGAAGAAAGCCCAGCGGCACACCACACTTCATTTACTTATTTGGGGATTCTGGAACTTGCTTTAAACTTAAGTAATTAAGAAACACTTTTAGTGTTTGTTGTGCTAGCATTGGGTAGTCTAAACTCCTGTGTCTTGAGCCGTCTTTTTTAAGTACTGTAGCCTGTTCTGTTGATTTTAAACCCAATTTGAGTACTGTAGCTTGAGCTTAACTTGATTTTAAATACACTTTGAGTACTAGCTTGATCTTAAGTTGATCTTAACTTGATTTTAAACACGCTTTGAGTACTAGCTTGATCTTAACTTGATTCTAAACCCACTTTGAGTACTGTAGCTTGATCTAAGGTTGACTTGAAACCTACTTCGAATACTGTAGCTTGATTTTAAGTTGGTTTTAAGTACTCTACTGTAGCCTACTTTGAGTACTGTACTGTAGCCTACTTAGAGCACTGTACTATAGCCTACTTTGAGTACTGTACCGTAGCCTACTTTGAGTACTGTACTGTAGCCTACTTAGAGCACTGTACTATAGCCTACTTTGAGTACTGTACTGTAGCCTACTTTGAGTACTGTACTGTAGCCTACTTAGAGCACTGTACTATAGCCTACTTTGAGTGCTGTACTGTAGCCTACTTTGAGTACTCTACTGTAGCCTACCCTGGCTTCTCAAACTCTTCAACTAAATAGAAATTGTTGAGCTTTTTAGCTGTTAGCTATATAATAAATATTATCCTTTCATTTTTTTGAAGTGAAATCTCTTATTTAGTGATAACTATGGTGGATCACTTGCACACTCGTTAGAGCCTCTTCTATCAACGAAAGAAGAAACTGATGATGAAGAGATTGAACAGGTTTAATCGTTTTCTAAAAAGTTCTAAAAAAGTACTCTTATTTCCCCGACAAAAACAAGATTATGGTAGATTTAATGAAGGTTTTAAAAGCTGTTTTAAAAACTGTTTTAAAAGCTGGTTTAAAAGCTGGTTTAAAACTGTTTTAAAAGCTATTTAAAAAGCTATTTTAAAACTGTTTTAAAGCTGTTTAAAAAGCTGTTTTAAAAGCTGTTTTAAAAGCTGATTTAAAACTGTTTTAAAACTGTTTTAAAAGCTGTTTTAAACCTGTTTAAAAAGCTGTTTAAAAAGCTATTTAAAAAGCTATTTTAAAACTGTTTTAAAAGCTGTTTTAAAACTGTTTTAAAGCTGTTTTAAAAGCTGTTTTAAAAGCTGATTTAAAACTGTTTTAAAAGCTGTTTTAAAACTGTTTTAAAAGCTGTTTTAAACCTGTTTAAAAAGCTATCTTAAAAGCTGTTTTAAAAGCTGTTTTATTTCCAAATTTAGGAATCAATTTCTCGATCTCGTCGCGGTGTCAATCATCGAGGAAAACGACAAGAAAAACCGCCGTTTAGGTTTTAAAAAAACTATTATTTCCATTATTAATATAAATTAAGAGATATTCAGCTATTGTTGATATTTTAATTAATAATTTTAGCTATATTGCCCTAATTGCGATGGCAATTTCGAGAACTCCCGAAAAGAAAGCTACTCTCGCCGAAATCTATACATATCTACAGGTGATACTAGTATAATATACAGGGTGCGCCAAAGGTTTGCGCCAAAAGGTGCGCCAAAACTTCCCGTACTTGTATTTTCTGCATTTTTGGTAATTTTAGATAAAAGGTACGATTTTAAAAGTAAGAAATTCGAATTCCTCGCGAAAAACTGATTAGAAAACGATTTAGAAAATGTTTCTGGTTAATTTATAAGTGCAACGCTATTTAAGACAAATGATTGAGAAGAGGGACAGCTCAGGGGCGCTACAAGAGCACAGTGATAGGGCACAGTTACAAGGCACAGTCAGGGCACAGTGATAGGGCACAGTCAGGGTACAGTCAGGGCACAGTTACAGGGCACAGTTACAAGGCACAGTGATAGGGCACAGTCGGGGCACAGTCAGGGCACAGTCAGGGCACAGTTACAAGGCACGGTCAGGGCACAGTCAGGGCACAGTTACAAGGCACGGTCAGGGCACAGTCAGGGCACAGTCAGGGCACAGTTACATGGCACAGTTACATGGCACAGTTACATGGCACAGTTACAGGGCACAGTGACAGGGCACATCACAGTTTCGAAAAACATCTTGGCTCTTGAAAATCTTTTGATCCATATATATAGTTTTTTGGAATCTACGAATAAAATTCGCCTCAAAAAAGTGCCCCTTCAACTGCTTTAGTACCGGAATTCTGTAGGGAATTTGGATTATTGTGAAATTTCAGGAGAACTACGAGTTTTTTCGGGGTCAATACGTGGGCTGGAGAAACTCGATTCGTCACAATCTCTCTCTAAACGACTGCTTTCTCAAATTGCCGAAAGAAGCCGGTGATCGCGGGAGAAAGGTGGGGGTTTCAGGATTTGATAATTCAATAATAATAATAGTGATATTGTTAAGTGGTATTGTTAAGTGGTATTGTTAAGTGGTATTGTTGACTGGTGTTGTTAACTGGCATTGTTGACTGGTGTTGTTAGGAGAGTGTGCTAGTAGAGTGTTAGTAGAGTGTGCTAGTAGAGTGTTAGTAGAGTGTGCTAGTAGAGTGTGCTAGTAGAGTGCTCGTAGAGTGCGCTAGTAGAGAGTGCTAGTAGAGTGCTAGTAGAGTGTGCTAGTAGAGTGTTAGCAGAGTGTTAGTAGAGTCACCGACTATCAGTTTATTTGTTCAGCTCCTCAGTGATCAACTAATTAATCGATTAAAGTTGAATGATTCAACATTTTAATTGATCATCGAGCATTAATCGTTGATTAATGCGTTTCTTTTTAAAACCCGCTCTCGCATTCAGCTATTCAGATAAGTTAAATTAAGATATCAAAGATTACAGCAAAATTTAAAGCAAATTTATTCGATTTTAGAAATTTTCTCTTATTTTTATCTATTTTAATCTATATTTTGCATTTGCTTTTAAAATTTGCAATAAAACTTGACGGGATACGATATATCCCGTCAAGTTAATCGTTTACAATATTTTTTGTCTCGAGACGCGTTTTAGAAAACGTAGGAACATACTCTAATTGTTAGTATCAATGCTTTTGAGTTCAGTGTTGTTAGTTCGAGTGTCACAACGTTACAAGCCTTGTTACAACGTTACAAGCCTTGTGCCAAATCTAGAATATGGTTGGATATTGAGTTTAGTATCAGATTGTACCGTTTGAAGCAGTGCCATAGCTCTAGTATTGACCATTATTGCAATATACGATCTACGATCAATTAAACAATACTCTCTAATAGTAGTGCACCCAAGCGAGCCGAGTTGGTGACTATTTACGGCTTCCAAAGTTTTCCCAGAAGCTCAACACTCAAATCCCCCACTAGATCTCATCGTTAGCTACATTTTCCGACATTTGGTTTACATTTGGTTCAAAATGCTACTGTGCTAATGTATACTGGACCTAGTACGAAACAATACTATTTACAACTAGTGCCAAGAGCCTATTACATCAGTTAATCACTAGGGAAAGGCATGAACTCAAGGTGAGCGTTATTTGGACACTAAAGCAGCTAGGTTCTAAGCCAGCGTTACTGGGCCCCAGGGTTAGTGGGCCCCAGGGTTACTGGGCCGGGCCTATCAGCTCTAGGACTGATGCTGGCATTGCCTGGCCTGTCTTAAGTAATCAACAAGATTCTGTACTATCACTGGGTGTTCTTGCGGTGTTCTCTGTGCACGAGCACAATCGCGCACTTTCTGGCATAGGGGGTTTACACATAGGGAGCCGAGGGGGCTATGGATAAGTGGTGTGTCCATCGGATTTCTTGGCTTAGAAGTTTAGAGTTTAGGTTCTAGAGTTTAGAGTTTAGATTTTAGAGTTTATTAAATTCTTTAGGGTCACAAATGGACAATCTCACCGAATTGCGAGTTCTTGTTAGAAGAAGGCTGTTTCCGGAGGCGACCTCGTGGATACAAGGCAAGAAAAAGATGCCCTTTCTCGCAACAGGTTTCATTTTTTTTAAATTATAAGATTTAGATAAAGATCTAATAGAATATTTTGATAAATTAAGATTTTAAAATACTCTAAATTACCTAGGAGTTGACTAAACTTGCTTATCGATATTATCAATACAAACGATAAGCTCATCTTTAACCGTTCAGATCTCGATTTCTAAAGCAGGTATTAATCTGGAAATTGTTTCATTGGAAAGCCAAGAATGTCAGCTTTTCATTGATATCTTACACGTAGCAAATTCTTATAAGTAAATGTCTTAAAAAGCTTATCAATGCTTATCGATGATCGATACTTAAATATCGATCATAGGTTTATAAGATAATTATTTAATTATAAGATAACTCATTAAAAGTCGTTATGTATAAAAAAAGCAATAAAAAGCTGACATTCTTTACTTTCTAATGAAACAATTTGCTTAGATTGATAGCTGTTCTAGAAATTGAGATTGATCAAAGATGAGTAGATCGTTTGTATCGATAATATCGATAAGCTTGACCTTAACCTTGACCTTGACCTTGACCAGTTAATGTTGTTGTTCTAATGTTGTTATTCTAATGTTGTTGTTCTAATGTTCTAATTTTAATGTTCTAATAATCAAGTACTATTCTACAATACTCTTAGTACTTTAACAATTTGCAAAAACAATGGCTTCAATGATCGATATTTAAGTATCGATCATCGATAAGCATTGATAAGCTTTTTAAGACACTTACTTATGAGAATTTGTCATGTATAAGGTAGCAATCAAAAGCTGACATTCTTTACTTTCTAATGAAACAATTTGCTTAGATTGCTAACTGTTCTAGTTCTAGAGAGCTGTTCTAGAAATTGAGATTGATCAAAAATGAGCACATCGTTTGTATCGATAATATCGATAAGCTTGACCTTGACCAGTTAATGTTGAGTTTCTAATGTTCTAGTTCTAATGTTCTAGTTCTAATGTTCTAGTTCTAATGTTCTAGTTCTAATGTTCTAGTTCTAATGTTCTAGTTCTAATGTTCTAGTTCTAATGTTCTAGTTCTAATGTTCTAGTTCTAATGTTCTAGTTCTAATGTTCTAGTTCTAATGTTCTAGTTCTAATGTTCTAGTTCTAATGTTCTAGTTCTAATGTTCTAGTTCTAATGTTCTAGTTCAAGCCTAGAGTTCCTCTAGTTCTAATGTCTAGCCAATGCCTAGTTCTGTCCATGTTCTAGTCAATGTTCAGTTCTCGTCGTTCTAATGTTCACTAATGTCTAGTTCTATGTTCTGCTGTTCATGTTCGCATGCTCTGGTTCTAATGTTGTTGTTCTAATTTTCTAATAATCAAGTACTATTCTTCTCTTAGTACTTTAAAAATTTGCAAAAACAATTACCAATCTAAAATCTGATGACTAACGAATGAAATTTGAGCTTTGGGGGGAAAGGTGCCTGGGAAATATAAACAATCAACGCTTGATCAGTTGATGAATGAGATGGGAAAAGGGAAATAAGTCAGAAAATTAATAGAAAGGGAATTCAATTCAATTTAAATTCAATTCAAAAGCTATTCGACTTTTGAAATTCCCTTTTTTACCTCAAAAAAATATTAACCTTTTTATATTGGGTTGGTGAAGTGAAAACTGCGGGACTTTGAACTAAAATTTATTCAACATAAAACCATAAATTCATTCCAAATAATTTCCATTATTATTGACGACTTCTGCCCATTTTACAGGCAATTTGCGGATTCCTCTTTCGTGGTAGGATTTTGGTTTGTGTGTGAGACAAGTGTGAGACTGAAAAATGAAGGACTGGAGACGTCTTGTTGTTCCAGTTTGAGCACTTTCTTCAAAAGAAACCCATTTTGGTGTCAATGGAAAAGTTGTAGAGAATCAAAAATTAGGCTTATAGCGAAATTTCCAAAAAGATACACTTAGTAGTTTCGCTTAAACTTGCAAGTTTTGTGAAAATTCGTAAATTTGGCATTTCTAGAAAACCAGTTTTTGAATCGTTCTGAAAATTTGGATATAAGCTTGATTTTTGATTCTCTACAACTTTTCCATTGACACCAAAATGGGTTTCTTTTAAAGAAAGTGCTCAAACTGTCACATATGACAATAGCCGGCAGTTTTCAATTCACCAATCCAATAGTAACAGTAAAAGTACAAAAGTTCTCTAGCTTCTCTAAGCTTCTCTAAGCTCTCTAAGCTCTCTAGCTTCTCTTTATGAGCACTTTTTCAGTTTGATTACACATCCACTGCTCTTCAGTTGATCCCATCCGTCGACTCAATCGCTTTCTCAACGAGTCGACACCTCGCAACGGCTTTAGGTTGGATTTTAAGGTCTAAATTTAGATTTCAATCAATCTAGCAAAGACTTTTACAAGCCAGCTTTACTAATCTCGACTTTTTAGACGAAACAACCACATCAAGCGGTGTGCCGAGTGACGAGAGCTCGACTTTCCCCGCTTTCATCCCTCCCGTTACCGTCGTCTCGCCCACCGATGATCCGACGCTAAGTTTGAAAGATTCCCACAACCATTCACAATCCTCAACTCCAGCTTATCCCACTTATCTACAAGGACATCAATTCTGGCCATACGATAGTGTTTATTATGGTTTGTTGAGGCTTTCTTTATTGATTTTTTTTGATCTTTGAAATCTTTGAAATCTTTGAAAAGAAATTTGTTTAGGTGGTCCAGGCTATGAGAATTTGTATCCAATGTGGAATGATTCAAGCTATACAATGCTTTGTGAGTTTCTTTTTTAAAAATAAACCAAGTTATTGGCGGTTTTTAAAGATCAAAGTGGCGTGACGGGAACGATGTTTGGACAAAGTGAAACCGGCGATTCGGTTGCTTGGCCGCCTTTCGTTGCAAACGATTTCCCCGGGGAAATCGAGGTAAATAAATCCCCCAATAAATAAATAAATAAATGAATTCTTTTTTAAAAAATTCTTTAAATCTAGATAATTTTAGAATAAATAATTCAAAAAGCAAAGAAAAATTGAGGAAAAAAATTGAGGGGAAAAATTGAGGAAATTTTGAAAACGAAAATATTCCAGGTGACGGACACAGACCCAGTGCTTTATGCAGCTCAAGAGGATGAGAATGGAGTGATGCTTGAGCAGGTAAATGCTTGAGCAGGGAAATGCTTGAGCAGGGAAATGCTTGAGCAGGGAAATGCTTGAGCAGGGAAATGCTTGAGCAGGGAAATGCTTGAGCAGGGAAATGCTTGAGCAGGGAAATGCTTGAGCAGGGAAATGCTTGAGCAGGGAAATGCTTGAGCAGCTTCAGCTCATCAATCAGCTTCAGCTCATCAATCAACTTCAGCTCATCAATGAACTCAATAATATACTCTATTATTGAGTACCTATACTTTTCACAGTATTCCCTAAACTCTAATTGAATATCTTTTAATTTTATAGAGAAATTCAAAAAAATGGTTTCCACGAAGCCCCGCCCCTTTTTCTGCGTAGATTTTTTCGTAGCTGCCCATTATGTTTGAAATCCCTCACAAAACTAGAAGATCTTTAGCTGAGTGGGACACTTTGAAAGTATAACTATACCGAGAGAGAGAGTACTGTAATCGACGTGGGAATAAAAATCACCCAAAATTTCTCACTATCACCAACAGATTAAATTAACTATTACCATTAACTATTACCCGTTACTGCATTTATTTTTTTTACGGTATTATCTTAAACTGTAAGAGTCGTCTAGTCAACGCTAAACAATCGAATTCAATTCCCTCAATTCCAGGATGCAACAAGCGACCTATCAATGCAGCCAGTTCCAGAAAACGAGGTAACTGTTTACTTTATTCAGCTTTATTCCTAAATTAAACGACTGCTTTACACAGGGATATACGTAACTAAATTTTGTCGAATCAATTCCATTATGAACCTACAAACCCTTTCCAGGTCGACGAGCCGCAAATGCTTGCCCCGATGGACCCAACACACGGTGATCACCTCTCGAATGCTCATTTGCAATCTGATCTTCCGCTCGTCAACTTGCACAATCACCGTCCATTAGATCCACTCAGTCTTCAGCTAACCGTTGACCATTACCATTTTCAACTGAATTACTCGAATACCATTAAAAATGAGTACGAATGATGTGAATTTTCATCTAGTTTTTCGACTTTGTGCCTTTTAAAGCGTGTTTAGTAAAGTTCTATTTAAAGTCGGTACTCAAAATCACGTGAATTGCACATTTTCTTGTAGTCTCATTCCCCGTGATGTTTCGATTTGTTATCCTTATCTATTGCTTCACTCACTACACCACACCCTGAAAATGAGATTGGCAGGCAAGCCCTTTGAAATCCAGAATCACCAAAACTTTTTCTCGAGTTTAAGAATTTCCACATGAAAACCATGACCAGAGCTTTATTATTCCCCAGACGAATCCTCTAGCATTTAAAAAAAGAATGGAACTACAAAAAAACAGAAATAAATATCGACCAAAATAATTTCAAGTACGAGCAACAAAGTGGGAAGACACTTTCGAATAGAGCAAATAGAATCAATCACAATATATGGAGGGGCTTAGACCAGTAAAGAGCTGTAAGCTGATTTGCAATACTTAGGGCATCATTGATCAACTTACATCTCGTCTAATATTCGAGAAAGGAGAGAAAAAAGGCTTCAAGATTCGTGTTTTGTGCTCAATGGTTTTTGAGGAAAACTGCAAAATTTAATAAACAAAGAAATCGTAAGCACACAGGTCAAGAGAAGCAGAGTTCTTCTTGCGAAAAAGAAATTATTACGATCTACACAGAAAAAAGATAGAAAAAATTTGGAGCCATAAGAAATACCACAGACATTATTTGGGTTCAGGTATGTGAAATTTAAATAAGGCATTCGGTGAAACTCCCGTTTTGAAACAATAGATACGTCTAACAAAAAATTTGGGACAAAAAAATCGGGGATTCATTTGGTATGAAGTCGGCCTACCCAAGAATTGAAATCTCAGGCATCTTCTCGTTCTTCTTTGGACCGCCATTGGCTAAAAAACTTGTATTTAAAATTGGCTTAATTAAAAAAATATTTGCTATGAAAATCACCTTTGCGCCCAGGGCCTCCACCGCCATGATTTTTGTTGGCATTGTTGTTATTTGGACGGCGATCGCCCCTAGGACGAGCAGGAACAATTCCGGTACCACCGCCGCCAGCAACAACTGAGGCATCAATGCCGGAAGCAGCCAGCTGCGCCTAAAATAATAAACTGTTGAGAACGCCTTACAGTTATTTCCAAAATAAAAAAGCTCATCCAAATCCAAACCTGCATGATTTTCTGCAATTGCTCAAGTTGTTCCGCTGATAACCCGTCTGAAGCCATTTGAAAACCACCCGCGTTAAGATGAGCAATAGGCTTCGAGACCACATTTTGTTTCTTTTCTTCTAAACAGAAAATAATAATCAGTAGCTATATTTATTGCATACCAATTGAAACCGGTGAAATGTGTCCACCAAGTCCTGAGTCGTGATCCGAGATGATGCTTGAATGGGAAGCAGCATGTCGGATGGGGGAAGGAGAAGTAGTCGAGAACGTGGAGACTTGTGACCCACCACGACTTGGCACCACTTCCGCAACTAAACACATATTACATAAAAAATATTACATTACTATTATGTACCTGATCCAAACTTATTCAATGCGTCAATGAGGTAGGTCATATCGTAGGTGAAAGCAGAAGCTGAAGCCAACTGTTGTTCAGAGCGACGTGCCTGGCCAAAGGCTTTCAAATCTCCGTTAAGAGCGGGATCTCCTCTGACAGCTCGCATACGTGTCAGGAGTGACTAAAATATAAATTAAAATAAAATTTAACAATAAAAAAAACAAACCATTGCAGTGTTCTTGTTCTCATTGATCAACTTCTCCGCATCTTGTTGGCTACGGTTCAATGACAATACCAAGATTTTCTCTCGATCAGCCAATGCTTGCCGCAAAGCCTAAAATATTAGAAACCATCCTAAACACAAAATAATAGCACCTACCTTGAAAGTGCTTTGAATTTCCTCCAGCCCGCGTTTGCACTCTTGCGAAAAGGCGGTAGCAATTTTGGTTGCTTCCTAAAACATTTTGTTCCTCATAAAATCAAAAAAAGTAAAACCTTCTCGTGGCTGCTCAACCATTCCATCTCTCCCATTCCATTTTGCTTGGCATTTGTTGGATGATAACCATTCGCCTGAGCAAGAGGCTTCTTCGCATTCGATGTTAGGGCAATGGTTGGGATTATCGTCTCGCTTTTAGCTAAAATCATAACATTAAATATCGCTTATTTTTTTAACCCTTACATGAAACGGAAGGAGTTTCAGTGGTGACCGAGTCGTTGTCGCTCGCCTTCTTCTTCGAGGCCTTGTTCTTTTGCTTTTTGGCGGCTCCACTGCATACCCACTCATCAAGCACCGCGGAACGATCTAAAATCAAAAACGTGATCAAAATTTAAAATTTCCAACTCACTCTCACAAAGTCCTTGAATCGTCTTCTCGACATCCAAGTCAAACGAGTGTAGGGCGAGCACGATATCGTTTTGATTTATGCCTCGGACGACCTCCTTTACTTTTGCGATCTTCTCGGCCATAATTTTCTTGTCAACGGTTGAGGTCATCTTTTCTAAACAAAAGTTTAATGTATGGATCAATGAAATCACGAAAAATCACGAAAAAGTGGGTCAAGAATGGGATAATTTCGAACAATTAATCAAGTTGAAAGTGCCAACAACACGAACACGCAACGCGACAAAGAGAACACGGCTGTCCTACCGTACACCTAAGCCCAAAAAAATCCCGACGGGAGTGCGTCATTTGGTGCCCGGCGGAATTTTTCATTTTCCTGTTCGACAATTTCATTTTGTCATTTCTCACCTCCGTCTTTCACGCGCTCCTTTTTTTCTGAAACTTGCGCAACTGATCAATTTTTGGGGTAGGCTAATTTCCGCCATTTTATTTGCGCAACAGGGTCATTTGCGCAACTCGCCATAACTTTCTTCTAAGTGGACCAATCTTTATGGTTTTGGTGTTATTTTGTAGATCTCAATAAGTGCAACAAAATAACACCAAAATCATAAAGATTGGCTCAGTTAGAAGAAAGTTATGGCTATGGCGAGTTGCGCAAATGACCCAGTTGCGCAAAAAATTTGGCGCAAAGTAGCCTATCCCCAATTTTTGCCTCAAACTTTTGAATCCAATTGTCCTGGGAACCCTTTTTACCTGTATGCGACAAGTTCTAGTCATTTTTGCCTTTTTCCGACCTGAAAGCTTTCTCGCATTGACGACTTTTATGATATGGCAACAGCATTGGTAAATTTTAATTTCGTATTGCAACTTTTATGTTGCTCGTAAAATTTGCTTGCGATAATAGGTTTCAATCTCTGTTTGCTACTGTTAATCCCCTTCATTAAACCAGTATCCCAGACCTAGAAGTTTGCTGCTTAGTTGGTGTTTTTCTTTGTTCGAGAGTCTATTCTAATTTTACTAGTTTCAGGGTACAAGATGAGTAAAATCAGCAGGGAGGCTCTCGCTGAGACGGTTGCCGAAGTGGTCAAGGCGGCGCAAGACAAGAAACGCAAATTCCGTGAGACTGTCGAGCTCCAAGTTGGCCTCAAGAACTACGATCCCCAAAAGGACAAGCGTTTCTCTGGATCTGTCAGGTAGCTTCGACCAGCTTGTCTGGAATGCCATTTCTGTGGCAGGGACTCTCACCCAGGGTCTTAAAAAATTGGGGAGGCCTTGTGCCAATAAGTCATTTGAGTAAGCTTTTTTTTTTCTTGACTATTAATTATCTTAAACTTTAGACTGAAGTTTGTTCCTCGCCCACAAATGAAGGTGTGCGTGCTCGGTGACCAACAACACTGCGACGAAGCAAACGCTGCCGGAATTAGCTGCATGAACGCCGACGACTTGAAGAAGCTCAACAAGAACAAGAAGCTCATCAAGAAATTGGCTAAGGGATACAGCGCTTTCCTCGCCTCCGAGTCGTTGATCAAGCAAATTCCCCGTATTCTTGGCCCAGGATTGAACAAGGCCGGAAAGTTCCCATCGGTTGTCACCCACGGAGATTCTCTTGTCGCCAAGGTCGAGGAAGTGAAAGCTACCATCAAGTTCCAAATGAAGAAGGTAGCTTTTGCTGTTAAAAGCTTTATTTCAGTTTTTTTAGGTGCTCTGTCTTTCCGTTGCCGTCGGACACGTCGACATGTCGCCAGAAGAATTGATCAGCAACCTTTCCCTCTCAATCAACTTCCTTGTGTCGCTCCTTAAAAAGAACTGGCAAAACGTCCGTTCAGTCACTGTCAAGTCTACGATGGGACCCCCACAAAGACTCTATTGATTTGTTTTTCTGGTTGCAATCGTTATAAATAAATTGTTGTTTTTCTAAATCAGTGAATAGCAAAAATGCAACGCAAATCATCAATTGTTTTAAAGTCTGAGGTTGTTAAGAGATAGCATTTTTATACAGAAATGGAGGAAACGGCGAATGAAATTATCGTGGTACTGGATTCGAAATTTTCGGTTAGCTTTCGTATCGAACTAGTAGTTTAACTTTGGGTTTAGTTGGCACTCTGGTTAAGTCAAATTGCCGAGCCGGGAAGTACATCCAAGTTGTTGATCTTAAAGAACAAATACTACCAGCGGAAAGTCGACGTGCAAAATTTTCAACGAGCAGATAGTCTGCGTACCTGGTATCTTCAATCGACTCCAAGGCCTCGAATAGGTGCTATCGTGATCAAGTAAAACAGTTAGATTTGGTTAAACCTTTTGTCTTTTCAGGTACGATGTCAACGATGATCCATTTCTTGTTGAAGAACTGATTCGTGGCATTCAATTTTACAAAGCAGAGGCAGCGGTGGGTTGTTTGTGAACTTTAGAAGGATTTTTTCATTTATCTAGGTAGTAAATCTTTTATCTTTTTAGCTTTTGGTAGTGGATTCAACATTTTATGACGATGATCCAAATTGCAAGAAAGTGGAACAATTAACGCTGGAGAATCGAATCGAGATCATACAATTAGACCCATCAGATGTAGGTTTCAATTTTTAATATTCGAATAATCGTTGAACTGTTTGGTTTTTTTTCAGGAGATGCGTAAAGAACTAATAGAAGAATATGGAGAGAAAGTTGGTATCGAACGACTTTTTGAAGCTCTACAATCTGTGCAGTGGACTACCAGGTTGGATTCAATTAAATTCAAGGCTTGAGCAAAATTTTTTAGAAAAGATAGCAGTGGGAACCGAAAAGTTGACGAGATTTTCGCTATAGCTAAGGCAATGCCGCCTGATGACTTAGGATGCAACTATTTAAATCCAAACTCGGAAGATGAGGGTACGATTCCATATTTTTTTTTGCAATACTTTATGTGCTTTTAGAATGTATTTGGCGTGCTTTCAACATGAACTTCGACATCGCAAGAACTAGTAGCTTGGAAAATGATTTGCTAGCAAAATCTGCAGCGCAGGTGTGTAAGAGAATTATTCACGAGCAAAATTTTATGATTGATTTAGAAAACAAACGTGGACGCTGCTTCAAATAGCCGCGAAAAGTTGAGCTCCGTAAGTTTTTGTCATCGTTGACTCGATAAAAAATTTCAGGAAGCCTTAATACCCGAGGAAAAACTTCGTCGAATAATGAGTAGCGCAAGAGATGGAAAAATGAATGCACAGCTGGATTATAACCTCGATCAAGTAACGAAATATTTCCATGAAGTTTTTTTATTTTTTTTTTAGATCAAACACTCCATTGGAATCTATGCTCGTGATAGCAAAGAGGAAGCGGAATGGCTCGAAAACTTCAGTTTGATTCTTGCGGCGAGGGTAAGTCTAACATTACTCGCTCGGTTTAGGTTTTCTTTTAGACTTGCCATGAGGAAGAGTTTGGTGGATGGGTAAAATTCGACGAGAACAGTACCAGCAAAAGAATATTCACCAAGGATGGTCCAAAACTCGATTGATTGTGTATTTTTTATGTAATTTGAATGTACAAACATAATTTATTTGCAATAAAGTGACGAATAAATTTAAAACATTTTGTAGACTAGCCGATAATAAAAAAGCAAGCCTAACCGGACCGTTTTGAGGATTTTTCTCGCACTTACATGAAACTTAGAAATGTTTGATATGTGAAACTAGTAATGGCTATAGAGCTACAAAGTTTACAAAATGTCTTTAACCTACTAATTCATATTTACACTTATGTATACCATACAGATTCAAGGATATGTACAGCGAATTTTCGTAGTGACAACAGTTATCTGACTTTATCTACTATATAATCTCAATCAACAAACAAATAATTGCTAACGAGAGCAAAACGAACATGAATCACAGGAGGAAAGAGGAAAAGTAATATCAAAGACTATTTGTTTTGCCAGATACATGCAGTTAAAGTTTTTAACAAACAGCTAAACATACCCCATAGAAAGAACCGGAAAAAAAAGAAATCAACATGCGGAGCACAACCGAGGTGAAAAGATTAAAGAAAATCCGAAAACGTTTAATTTAATTGATGGTATTTCTGGACCGTAATAAAGACCCTTTGTGATAGACCTGAACACACTATAAATGGTCCTTAAGATCGACGCTTCCTACTCATCGCCGGGGTGCTCGGGGCAACAATTCTTCCGCTTAAACCATTCATCAATACATCTAAAAGAAAAAAGTTTCTTTGAAAGAAAGTACAACACTTACACTTTGTGATAAATACATAAACATGGCAGACGAGCAATTGAATCTCCTAAAATTTATCCATTAGTAAGATGAACAAAAATTTCCTTCTTGCTCCTTCAAATAAGCATAAGTATGTGTGAATTTCGTGAGAGAAAAAAAAGCACCTTGTTGCATCTCTTCCAAACAAATCGAGCATTCACCTTTGTCCTCGCGAAGTACATCATCTGAATCAATCAATGATTATAAATTTATTTAAAATTAGCACAAACCATTGTAGGTGAGCCTGGGACGTGTGAAACAAATAACGAGATGAACCTCGGCTTCATCAGATGGAACACGTTTTTGGCAAACAGGGCAGGTCACATCTTCTTGAAATGATTTTGGTTCTAGACAAAATTTGAGGTTTAGATTACTATATGCAAAAAAACAAGCTTAGCGATAAAGTTAACATCACTTATTTAATGAATATTCTCAAACTTATAAAACTTTTTGGTTTCTATATTTTGGGTATTTCGTATTTGCTTTAAGCTTTATCGATAATCAGGTCTCGTACAAAGTGTATGAGTATTACCTAACACAAAGAATGGCATCGGACGACGAATAGCATGAACCCGTTGAGTGCGTGGACGCGAGTTCGAGCTTGGCACTCCCCCGTGATTGCTGTGATGCCTAAAAAGGCAAAGCGTCAACGATTGAATGTAATAATGTTACATGATTAAGAGGTAAAGCCTACTCAATCGCTAAAAATAACCTAGCAACGCCATCATGTCGGCGACCCGATGGAGGAAGACCTGGAAGCCGAGAGGGACCCGGTTGCTCATCATCTGAATCATCCGAACCATCCAGTCGTGGAGCCCGCAGTGCCTAAATGAATCAATAGATATTTTATATTGTGAAGATCTCTCTAATTATATAGGTTACAGATGACATAATGCATAAAGGGTGGTCCAAAATTAAAGCAACTTCTTTTTAAAAAAGTAGCTGGAAAATGCCTAACTTATTTCAAAAGTGTCAAGTGTTATATAGACAATTGAAGCTCTTAATCTTGGCTTCATTTAACCAATAAAAAGTCCAAAATCGGAATTGTGCAGCTTATTTTACAAGCTTTTGAATGAGCTCTAGTCGACCTCTCCCTGAAGAAGTGCCATTTTTGATGATTTTCTTTATAAAACAATATCAGAAAACTTTTTCAGCTATTTATTTAATGTAAAAAAAATTTAATGCTATTTAATAACAATAAGAATAATACCTCCAGCTCTTTTGATAAACTTTCATAAATAAAACTTGAATTGATTTAAAGTCTATTTGGAAGCCCGAAGGAAAAAGTTGAAAATTGAGCCTTTTTTGATTTCTAACTTGCGTTCATATTTCACTGTATGAGCTGTTCTAGGGCTATAAATTTGTGAACACAAAAAATCACAAACTCGACTGGAGAAAGCCATTCTAAATGAAATTTTTTTATAAAGAAAATCATCAAAAATGGCGCTTCTTCAGGGAGAGGTCGACTAGAGCTCATTCAAAAGCTTGTAAAATAAGCTGCACAATTCCGATTTTGGACTTTTTATTGGTTAAATGAAGCCAAGATTAAGGGCTTCAATTGTCTATATAACACTTGACACTTTTGAAATAAGTTAGGCATTTTCCAGCTACTTTTTTAAAAAGAAGTTGTCTTAATTTTGTACCACTCTGTATACTGACTTCGTTCTTATTTATAACGAGTCAGTCTTACAAAAGAGTAGCATATTAAACACTTTTAAAAGCTGATACTTGAAGAAAATCAGTGGCCGAGATGACGGAACGGCTCGCTCCTCGAGTGGGTGGGCGACTCTCAGCGATCGTTGCAGAAGTATCCACCGAGTTCGATCTAAAAAATAAATACAGCGTTTGGCAATCATTTTTTTAAGTTTATACTCGATTGACTTAAAATAACTCAACTGCAATAATTTAGTTAACTGGTAACTTTAGTGATAAACAGCTGGTGCTATATAGTAGTTGGGGGGGGGGGGGGTTCGCCAAATGAGCTGATTTTTTTGCACACAGGAGTTTTTGACTATGCTGAATCGATTGATGATGGTTTCACACAATATCTCGCAATTTTAACAACATTCAACACTACTTACAGAACTAGCGTCATTGGAAAAACGAGTTTCTCGTTGTATCATGTCCTCGTTAGTAACTTGTTGAAATTTTGTTGTTATTTTTGTTGCTATTTGTTATAAACGTCGTTAAAAGTTGCGAAATGTTGTGTGAAACCATCACCAATCGATTCAGCATAGTAAAAAACCCCTGGGTGCAAAAAAATTAGCTCATTTGGCAAAAAAAAAATACAAAGTTTTGTCCCCTCAACTACTAAAGCCCGAAACACGCAAGTTTTCATATTGCATCAGCAACGATTAAACATACACAAGACTTTAATCGCTATTTTGAATGAAACATAATAAAGTTAAGATTAAAAACTACCTTGGTCTGTCCTCGCCGCTCACCGATGACTGCCGGCCGCCCATCACTCCGGTTTAGAAAGCCAAAATCTGTAAAATTCAAAAATTATAACCCGCAAAACAAGCGATTCAACTAAAACAACTAAAACCACGTTCAAAAGATTAAGAAAGTAATGGGCGATCGATTGGGAGTTGCGTGTGAAAAAGGAAAGAATTTTGTGGAAATGAGGCACAAGTCAAGATCGTCGCGTATTATCAAAAAGTTAAGCACGAAGAATTATTTGTTTCGGCCCTAGGGCTTTTCCCGCGGCTGATAAACTGATCATGGGATGGTCGAGGGGGTGTGTTGTGTGTGTGAGAAAGGGCTGCACCATACACACTCGGCAAAAACATTGTGGAGAGAGAGAAACCCGCCGAGATGTGCGGGAGAGAGAAAAGAGGGCGGCTGCGGGTGTGCACAAAGCCGACATCGTACTTTTGCACTGGCGCCACTCTTTTAGATTTTAAAAGTGATTTGGGAAGATTTTCTTGGAACTTTCGACTTTAATCTCCTTTTTAAGTCAAGGTTTTTTGAAAATATCAATCTTAATTCTCTTTTAAACTTTAAACGCGATGTTTGGGAAGATTTCGTGGAGATTTCTCTAACTTTAACCTGTTTGAATCGAGATTTCTTTAAAAATTTCAACGTTAACTCTTACTTAAATAAAAAAAAGCTTCAATAAGGCTTCTATTTGTGTTGTTGATACGTTTTTGCTTCAAGAAAACCTTTCTATTGAATTAATACAAATAGGTTTCAATAAAATCTTTCCATTTTTGCTCTCCAAAGCAACTTTTCATACTTCCCAAGGGCTTTTTTTGATATAAACTTTATTTGGATTTCATCGAGGAACAGTTAGAAGGCTATATCATATTTCTTTTGTGGGGAAAAGAGTACTAGCAAAGTTCTAGTTCTAGAAAAGAGTCCCGCGCAGTTCTAGTAAAAAAAGCGTAAAGAATGACGGCTGAATGAGATGGACGCACAAATAAAATGAACAACACGAATTTTTCGGAGATGCTAGCAAAAGCGCGAAATTATTTGCGCCACATTTCATTTGCGCCAAGTATCATTTGCGCCAAATTTGCGCTTTTCAACACACTTTCCTACCAACTCTGTTTGATCGTTTATATTTTTTCCGTTTTTCCTCCGACGATACTCACTATTTTGCCGCCTTTAACGGATCTGAAAATGGCATAAAATCGATATAGTGAGTAAAAAGACAAATCGAGGACACAAAAGTAACTGTTTTTGGGCTCTGTATACCGTAAATACTGTAATTGGACGCTCTCTAATAGTACCCCCTCTAATAATACCCCACCCTAGAGGGAGAGGGAAAAAATAATACCCCACCCCTCAAGTACCGCCCCACCTAACGCTTAATTACAAACAACGCTTTTAAAGCGGAAAATTTTCATGTATTTTCAGAAATCGTTTGTATTCTTAATTTTATCCCATAAATTTGTTGTTTTTAAATTTGGACTGGCTACTTTGCGCCAAATTTTTTGCGCAGCTCGTCATAACTTTCTTCTAAGTGGGCCTTTCTTTATGATTTTAGATCTCAACAAGTGCAACAAAGTAACACCAAAATCATAAAGATTGGCCCACTTAGAAGAAAGCTATGGCGAGTTGCGCAAAGAATTTGGCGCAGAGTAGCCACCCCCCTTTTTTTTTTTTTTACTTTATTAATTTTATTTTTTCAGATATGGATCTCGATGGATTTGAGGAATATCGGGCTCGTTGCGAATACGAAGAACACAGGGAATTCTTGAAAGAACCGCGTGATGAACGAGCCGAACGAGATGCCAATGGGAGCTCGGTCAACGCTGAAGTTGAAGGATCTTCAAGTGAATCGGATGAGCTACCTACAAAGAAAAAGAAAAAAGCCATTTATGTGAAAACGAAATTGGCTGTTGCGAAGATAGGCAATGATGTTTCGATCAAAGCAGCCGCTACATTCTATAAGATTGATCGAAAATGTGTGCGTTCCTACATCAAACAAGAAATCGAGCTCGAGAAAGTGCACGGAAAACGCAAGAGACTCAATGGAGCTCAAGGCTTGTGGGATCGGCATTGCCTTAAATGGAAATGAGGATGATTTGATTAATTGTTACGAGCCGGATGGACCGATTCCTTCAGGATTGCAGGTTCGATTTATTAATTTAATTATCGATTTAATCGATTCAATTATCTTTAATTTTTTAATTTATTGTACTTACAGGCGATGAGAAATGTTCGGACAGAGACGGAAATCGAGGACCTCTTGAAGCCGCTCGCATCGACGGGATTTCAAGGACATCGAGGAATTGATGATCAAGAAAATGATGAACTCATTGATTCGGATGTTTCTATTGATTTCGCTTGTTAGTTGTTTTTGTTTCGTTTTGCTGTTAAATTTTCAAATGGTTAAAACCAATAAAAACTAAAGAAAAATTTTGCTTTTGAACAAATTATTTGAATGTATCCCGATTTGGTAACTTGAATAGTGGTGTAAAATAATAGTATCCCACCCTCTAATAGTACCCCACCCTAGAGGGGGAGGGAAAAAATAGTACTCAATGGGGTCCAATTACAGTATTTACGGTAGGTGCTTTCTACGTGCTTTCTAATTGAAAACAGTGAGAACTAAAATTGTGAAGCAGAAAACTGAAAAAAGTTGGTTAGAAGTTGGGGCAAAGTGATTTTCATAAGTGCAAGTTTGGCGCAAAAAAGCAGCGTTTTTGCTAGCAACTCCGAATTTTTCGTGCCAGATGCAGAAATTTACGTATGGAAGTTGTGTGCAATTTGAAAATTTAAATTCTAATTTAAATTTTCAAAATCCGCACGTTTTCTTTTCTTTTTCTGTTTTTTTGATCACTTTTTTTCATAATTCTATCTCCATTTTTATCTTTTCCCCCCATCAGAGCTATTGCGGGAATAAAATGGAATGAAGAGAGCGTGTAGTTGAAGGGCGAAAAGATTCATCATAAACATAATCCTTTGCGGCAATCCCTTTTCTCGAGCTCGTTTCCCTTTTTTCCATTCCGATAGCAATCGAGAGTACCTCTCACTCTTTGTATTGCCCTTATATTGCTCTATCTCCCCATTTTTCTCATTTCTCCCAACATTGAAACAAAAATTTATTGTTTTCCTGGATTTCTTGGTGAAATTGTGGTTTTGGTCTTTGTACTTTTGAATTTTCTTGAATTTATTCATTTCTATGTATTTAGTAATGGACCCAAAAGCGGCGTTGGCACGAGAACGCGAGGCCCGAGTGCTCTCCATTCAATCACACGTCGTTCACGGATATGCCGGCAATAAATGCTCCGTTCTTCCGCTACAGGTACTTTTTTAAGTCCTTAAAAGAAATTTGCTTATCAGTACGGCTACTGGTACTTTGGTGGTTGAGAGGAGCTACTTTTATCCTGGCTTAGTTGGATCTAATGTTTTGAGTGGTTGTATTGATACCTTTTATCTATCCTAAGGTAGTCAAATATGCTTAATAGATTGGTGACTATTTTAGCAAGTTTTTGGCAATTCTAGCCTAATCTCATGTACTTTAACAACCACCAAACGCTACCCTCAAAGCTGTTTACACTTGAAAATCAAATAAAAGTGGCAATATGAAACTTGAAACATGTTGTAAATGCTCTAAAAGTATAAGCATATTTGATTGCCCTAGAGTAGGTAGATAAAAGGTATCAATACAACCACTCAAAACATTAGATCCAACTAGGCCAGGATAAAAGCGGCCTCTCCCAATCACCCAAAAGTACCCGGCCATACTAAACTTTTAAAGTGCCTTTTTTGCAAAAGAGAAAAGGCTTGCTGTGTAATACTTGAAAATCTGACTCAGATTTGAATCTTTCTACTGATTCGTTTTCTATTTTGTGTAAAAAAACAGCTTCAAGAGTACTATATTATGGCAAACTGATGAGTTTAATTGTTTGAGATCTGTCAGTGCCTTTTAATCTCCTGCCGTAGTCATTTTTGCTCTAAAACGATAAAGATAAGTAAAAAAATAAAATAAAACTGAACTCCAATAGTAATATGACATTGGATTTACATTAAACTTTTAAAAATTCTTCACTTAGGTTCATTAAACTTTAGGGTTTTTAGGCTTTAGGTTCATTAAACTATAGCATCAATAACTTCATTGTATTCCTTTTTCATTTAGCTACACGGCTTCGAGGTCGACTTTATTAACTCGGTGCAATATTCGAATCACGCTGGTAGTGTGGAGTATTTAACCCTACCCCCAAGTAACGTCTTTGCACCCTTTTTTCGTTGTCACGTCTGCACAAAACAATGGCCTTTCTCTTTTCTTGTCTAATTTAAAGAAGCCCATCTTTTGCTTTAAAAAACTTTCTGGACCTTTTGTAAATAGCAAATGGTGTGTTTCTGCTTTTAAACTCCTCTATATGTATAAACTCCTCTATAAACGTTTTTAATTTAAGTATCATCTATTTTAGGATATGCACATGTGAAAGGACAAAAGCTTGATGATGCGCAATTGAATGATTTATACGAAGGATTAACGTTGAACAAAATCAACAATTATTCGCACATTTTAACAGGTATGCTTATATTGGGTTGTCCAGTTATGAATGCGCGTTTTTCACTATTTTGTAAATTTCTCAAGATACCGAAACCAAGAAAAAGATATATATGAGTATTATTCGAAAGCTGAAGATCTCCCCTACATTTTGATATAAAAAGTTTTTGAATTGGTTCAGCTTTTGGGCAAATTGACTGCACAGAAGAAGAGGTGGCCAAAAAATGGAAGGGCGCCTTTGGATCAAGTTTTGGCTTCGCTCAAATTGAGTTAACCGTTTGATGTTTGGCCAATAGATATATCAATACAACTTCTTTTTAAATATAACAATTTCAGAGCATCTTTACTTTTCTTTTCTTTTCTGGGCGGTTATTTTACAGCATAAAACTTGAGGAATAGCTAAACTGAAATGGGTTTTTCGAAAACGACTTCTCCTTTTGTGCAGTCAATTTGCCCAAAAGCTGAACAAATTCCAAAGGTTTTTATATCAAAATGTAGAGGAGATCTTCAGCTTTCGAATGATATATAACACTCATATACATCTGTTCGATGTCTTGAGAAATTTACAAAATAGTAAAAAACTGGAAAAAAAAACATAACTGGACAACCCAATACTTTATCAATTTTCTTATGAAATATTAAGGCTACTGTGGTAATGTGAAGTTTTTGGAGAAAATCGCTGATATTGTTCGTGATCAGAAAGCTCGGGATTCAAAAGTTTTCTATGGTAAATGATTTGTTCAGCTTAATGATAAATCTAAATTTTAGTATGTGATCCAGTGATGGGCGACAATGGAAGATATGTAAGTTTTGACCGGTCAATAAATATCATTCTTTTATGAATTGAATTTCTATTTGATTTTTAGTATACACCCCAAGAGCTTCTTCCCGTTTACCGAGACGTGCTAGCGCCATTAGCTGATGTTCTCTGCCCGAATGCTTTTGAATTGGGGTAAATTTTAAATGAAAACACTTTTATGGCGAATTTTTAGTGAGCTAACAGGAATGACAATCACTACAGAAAGTGCATGCTTGGCAGCAATCGACACATTACATCAGAAAGGTTAACTTTTAAAATCATTTTAATTGCAAGTTAATTTTAGGAGTTAAAACCGTCGTCGTGACGAGTGGTGTTGAAATGACCGAAACGCATCTTCGGTGTTATGCATCGTCTTTGACAGGTAAATTTTACGGCCTATGCAGTGAAACTTTGCCAGTACATCACCGTAATTTTGTAAGAGCTTATTCACTAAAGAACTTTAACGAAGCTTCATTGCATTTACATTATTTACTTTTAGATTCTGGAAAATTACGCTATCGCATCACATTCCCCCGACTGGTCGGTCAATTTGTTGGAACGGGTGACGTCTTCGCTTCTCTACTCCTTGTTCATCTGGATGACACGAAAGGCGACTTGGAAACGGTGAGGGTTTAATAGTTTTTGGTAGTAAACAAGGCCCAAAGGCCTTTTGGTTCTAATTCATAAGACGACGTCGACGACGACGACGACGTAGAGACGACGAAAAAAAGATAGACGACGTACTTTAAAAAGAATAATTACTTTGCTGTAAATGATAGTAAAGTAATGTAATGATAGTAAAGTAATAAACGAATAATTTTAGTCACTACGTCGAGTACTTGGCTCAATGCAAGCTTTGATTCGTCGCACGAGAGATTTCGCACAGAGTAAGTGCCGTTTTTTAATAGTTTTGTTGTGTAAATATATCGTGTTTATTTGTCGTATTTCATTCCTAACTTTAGAGCAAGTTGACAACAACGTGCAAGCGATGTGCGAGCTTCGATTGGTGCAAAGTCGATTCGATCTCCTCTGCCCGCAAGAACATCCCGATGTTGTAATAGAGAAATTATAGTTTTGTAAGTATTTTGCTCGTCGATTTTCATTTCGTGCCTAGTTTTTAGTCTTTCTGGGTTACTGCATCAGTCATGTGTCATTTAACATTCCGTGTGTGATAATAACTTTTAGAGTTAGAGTTCTATGTGTGTCAAATTTCTTAGTTTTTGGTTTTCTAATGAAAATTCTAGGAATAAATTGTTTAAAATTATAGCTTAAAAAAGCAAACACCTGAGTTTTGTTCTTTTGCACAAAAGTTATTTTGCGTGGGGAAAAATCGATAAAGCGAACAAATAGATGCCGTTGAGAGAAATCTTTTCTCTTTTCCAACAAACACCACACTACAAGGATTCAAATGTAAATCTTGCCACTGAAACCGAAGCTTATTAAGCTTCTTTTTTTCCGCCATTTTCGAGATGAATCGTCGAGAAAATGAGGTGAGAAAAGATAAGAATTGATTTTTTCTTTGGAGTTTTTCATTTCTCTTTGGTCACTGACCCCCTTTTCCCGCTTTTTTCACATTTTTAGAGATCGAGGAGACCGCGACAGAGTTTCCTCCTGCGACTCTTCACACCATCGACGATGATTGAGTGAGTTGGGAAATTTGCATATAAATGGATACTGTAGATTACTGTAGACAGGGCACCTTATAGTCGAGAAAGTTTTTTGGGAGTTTGATTGATTTCAAATTGATTTTGCTACCTGAATATTTCCCAACGGCTACATAGCTTACAGCTTGATAAATGCAAATGAAGGGGTAATTTTTGGATCCTTCAGAGATCGCTATTTACCCCCTGAAGAGGGTCCATTCGATGAGGATGAGCCATTACTGCGGGATGAACAAGAACAGAAAACGGCAAGGTATGGTAAAGAGAGAAAATTTGCTGTAAAGCTTAACTCTTTGAAACTTTTCCAATAAAATATCCAATATCAGATTCGCAGCGCGTAAATTCAGCCCCTTGCTGAATTTAATGTAAAAAAATAGCTTTAGGAATGGTAATAGCCCCCCCCCAAGTGCTACAGTTTTTTACTCTGATTTTTCATGGATTTCGCTTTCTGAGCTTTTTGAAGCTTTCTGATTTATATATATGTTGTGTCCGATTTAGATTTCCGTCCGATTTAGATTCAATCTAAATCGGACGTCCGATTTAGATTGAACTTATCGCGGACGTCCGATTTAGATTACAGTCTATATCGGACGTCCGATACAGATCGAACAATAATAAACGTGCTTAATATATGTTCTTAAGCGTTTTTTTGCAATTTTCTGCGCTTTTCAAAGAAATTTTCAAAGAACATATATTAAGCACGTTTATTATTGTTCGATCTGTATCGGACGTCCGATATAGACTGTAATCAATAAAAGACCTTTGAAAAATGCAGAAAACTACAGAAAACGCTTAAGAACATATATTAAGCATGTTTATATTATTGTTCAATCCATATAAGATTTAGACTGAATCTAAATCGGACGTCCGATATAGACTGTAATCTAAATCGGACGTCCGCGATAAGTTCAATCTAAATCGGACGTCCGATTTAGATTGAATCTAAATCGGACGGAAATCTAAATCGGACACAACATATATATAGATATATATTTCATGAGGATCATTTTGAAACCAACCTTAAGTCGATCTAATAATTGGAAGTCGAGTTATAGAGTAAAATCAAAAAAGTTCCCAAACTCCGAATTTGGAAGATCAACTTTGAGACTAATTTTCTCAATGTTCTTCTCGGTGAGTCTACAAAACAAATTCTACTTTTCTATAACCAAATTTAATGAAGATTCCATTAAAATCAACCTTAAGTCGATCTGATAACTGGAAGTCGAGTTATAGAGTAAAATAGAAAAGTTCCCAAACTCGTAGCGGAATTTGGAAGATCAACTTTGAGACTAATTTTCTCTATATTTTTATTAGTGAGTCTACAAAACAAATTCGACTTTTCTATAACCAAATTTAATGAAGATTCTATTAAAACCAACCATAAGTTGATACAGCTTCTATACCTCGAGTTATAGACCATCTAAGTTGATCAACTTTTCCAGTTTTTTAAAGCATTTTGTGCAAATTTTTCACACAAAAATGACTTTCTGTCGTTGTCTATGCGCGGGTAACTCTTTATTTTCAGAAAATACTTTGTAATGGGCACCGTTTTGATAGTGACAACGATATTGCTCTTCATCTCCACGGTGGCCTTTGCCGCACTCTATTTCAATTTGCTGAGATTGGTGAGAGATTCTTTTTTATTGTAGTCAAACCAACCCGGGATTTAGTCAGACCAACCCGGGATTAAACGAAATCAAGTCCAGGTCTAACTTCTGGAACTTTCAGGTTTTTCTAAAGTCAGAATCCAAATAATGTACTGGTTTTTGGCCTAGATTGACTTTACCGTTTTCCGTGTTTTTCGGGAAACACTAGACAGGCCTAGCTTAAAAAAAGTCGCTGAACTTGCCGGAAGTCAGACCCGGGCTTGCAGAATTTTCCGTTATCCGTTTTCCGTCCTAAAACCCGGACAGAACATCCCTGATCATCAAGAACACAACAAAATTCCCAGAAAAACCGTGATTCGTCAAATTCAAATTAGCTTTGATCATTCTAGGATAACGCTCGTTTACCGCGATGGCCAAAACCGTCAAACTCTCCGTTAGGTCAATATTCAACAGCAGCCGTGGCAGCTGATAACGAGATTTGCTCAGAGATTGGAAGGTGAGTGAAATCTAAACAAGGGGTATTTTGTGCTCTCAAACAAACCCTTTCTGGTGCACTGAAGATCGAATCATTTCAGAGACGTTTTGCTGAAAGGCGGGAATGCGGTCGATGCAGCGGTGGCGGCTTTGCTCTGTATCGGTGTCATGGATTCGCATTCGAGTGGAATCGGTGGAGGGCATTTCATGACAATCTATAATGCGTTCGTTTTATGATTAGACAGTCTAAAGTACGCAGAAGTACGCCGTAATACCATTGACTAAATTTAAAGTTTTATCTTTCCAGTACTGAGGGAAAATGTCAAGTGCTGGATGCAAGAGAGACAGCTCCGGCTGCAGCTGATCAAAATATGTATGTGGGGAAATACAATGAAAGCCAATTCGGTAAGGGATACTGTAATTTGAAAAAAAGAGTACAATATAGAGTGCTTTGATAGATCAAAGAAATTACAGACAGACAGACGTACAGTAAATCGGAAATGTCTGTGATTTAGGTTGGAAAGCAGTAGCGGTACCTGGCGAGATTCACGGTCTCTGGACAGCCTATCAGAAATTCGGAAGTCATGAGGTTAGCCTTAACTTTTAATACAGATTCTAGTGCTTAGAAATACTGTAAAACCTGTCTTTTGCCCCATTACAGTATTCCAAATTAGAATTATTCAATTGAGAAACCTGAATAACTTTTAAATATTTGAATTAGAGCTGAAGAAGCTGATATTGAATGCAAAAAAAAAAATCTAAAAACTCAATTATTCAATATCCACTAATATCTGTAAGCTAGTAACCTTTTAAAGAACTTAATCAGCTATAAACTATCAAACTTTGATAGTATTCTTGACTTTAAAATCTTTAAAAGTGTTTAGGTCACTTGGCAATCCCTAGTTGGACCGACCATCGATCTATTAAAAGAGGGTAAGTAGAAAAATTTTCTTCAAACTTTCAAAAGTTTATTTAAATGATCAATTCACGACTATACACAGTAAATAAAGCAAAAAAATATACGTAAAATCGATCAAATTTGCACCGAGTCGTCGAGAAAAGAACGGCTGCTCGTCACGGGCTAGCAATGATTTGTAGATCTTTCGCTAAAATGAAAAATATATAGAAAACACTGGTTAAGGGTTTAGATATCTTTATATAATAGATTAGATTAGAAACTCATAAGAGTTATTACTCTTGTAAGTTTCTCAAAGATCAATAACATTTGCTGAAACGATCGATAAAGTGACACTCAATCAAAGCGTCTTTTCCACAAACACTGACGCTTTTTCTAACTTTAAAGCTTTTCCGAATGCTCAGTGAAGAGCTCAACATTATCAGAACAAATTAAATGCAATGCAGACTTGTCTATCAATACTTATCGATAAAAACACTAATACACAATAGACATAGACAACGGGCGACTTTCTGCATTTTAGCAAACACCTTTTTTTTCTAAAACGTGACGCTGAAAGAAATTGTTCTCTTTAGAAAACAAAAACTGTTGTCTAAAATGCACTAAAGTGACTTATTGTCTATGTCTAATACATAGCAAACCCTTTGGGCTGATGAATTGAATCTACAAGGGAGAACTTTAAAAAATGTAGTTATCTGCACAAATTATGATACCAATATATCAATAGGGAAGTCTAATGCAAGCATCCACTCCCTTTGTACGTTTTGTGGCGCATTTCGGGGCGACAAGAGTTTCATCGTGCAATCGTCGACATTCGCTCGCCAAAGTCTTCTCGAGACACTAAAAAAATACATGAATTAGCATGTAAGCTAAACTTTACGAGTTTTAAACACCTTTACGCTTTAAACTTTACGAGTTTACCAGTTTTAAACACCATTACGCTTTAAACTTTACGAGTTTACCAGTTTTAAACACCTTACGCTTTAAACTTTACGAGTTTACCGTTTTAAACACCTTTACGCTTTAAACTTTACGAGTTTACCAGTTTTAAACACCATTACGCTTTAAACTTTCGAGTTTACCAGTTTTAAACACCTTTGCTTTAAACTTTCGAGCCAGTTTTAAACACCTTTACGCTTTAAACTTTACGAGTTTACCAGTTTTAAACACCTTTACGCTTTAAACTTTACGAGTTTACCAGTTTTAAACACCTTTACGCTTTAAACTTTACGAGTTTACCAGTTTTAAACACCTTTACGCTTTAAACTTTACGATTTTAAACACCTTTACGCTTTAAACTTTACGAGTTTACGAGTTTTAAAGTTCTAGTTTTAAACGCCTTAAACTATCCCATCCTTTTCTCTTGCAACTGCAGCAGAAACATGTAAAAGTACAGAAATATTGAGCAAGCACAAGTACTATTGCTTTTAAACTATGTTTAGCCATACTAATACAAGATTAAAATGCGTACCCTGCTGACGAAGTAGAGAAAAGTCGTGAAACCGAAGAAGAGAAAGCAGAAAGTCATCTCGAGTCCCAACAATCATACCTAAAAGAATAAATATGATACTTATCAAGAAAATATTGAAAATATGTAAAGATCATAACTTTATAACATTAGAAAACATAAAAATCCGTAAAAATCATAACGAAAACTGTAAAATACAGCTATAACTATGTTTTTAGCGAAAATTAGCCTATAAATTTCATTACTATCTTATCCATGACTTCAGCTACACGTTTTAATATCAATTTCCATCAAAACTTGACTAAACCTTAGATAAAAGTATAAACTAAACAAAGCCAAAGAATATTTTGAAATTTTCTCTAAAAAACCAACTCCAACAATATTAAAAGCCGGCTATAAAGCGCAAAAATTGAAAAATGAGGAAAGCTCTTTTTGCGACAAAACTTTAGCCGGCTATAAGGCGCAAAACATGAAAATCCGTAAAAATCATAACTTTATAACTTTAGAAAACATGAAAATCTGTAAAAATCGAGGGTGGGACAAAAGCGATCTTTTATTTGCGCACCCGACCCAAAAGCGCACCTTTTCACTGTTGTTTTTTGGCTTTTTGCAAATCAATACAAAACCAAAAATTCCAAATTTATTTTCCCATGATTATTAGACTAATGTCTTTTGTTTCCGGTGCCAAAAATGAACTTCTAATTGTACTTTTGCTTCTTTATACCTTCAATAACAACCTAACCGTTTAACAGCAAAACATTTAGCAGTAAAACAACGACATAAAACAGACAAAAGTAATAATAACACAACTTAAAAACATGGCAACATTATCGAGAAACAATATGAGAAGGCGCGCTTTTCGGTCGGGTGCGCTTTTGGGTCGGGTGCGCTTTTGGGTCGCATGCGCTTTTGAAAAGGTGCGCTTTTGGGGGTGCGCTTTTGGGTCGGGTGCGCAAATAAAAGATTGCTTTTGTCCCACCCCCGTAAAAATCATAACGAAAACTTTAAAATACAGCTATAACTATGTTTTTAGCGAAAATTAGCCTATAAATTTCATTACTATCTTATCCATGACTTCAGCTACACGTTTTAATATCAATTTCCATCAAAACTTGACTAAACCTTAGATAAAAGTATAAACTAAACAAAGCCAAAGAATATTTTGAAATTTTCTCTAAAAAACCAACTGCAACAATATTAAAAGCCGGCTGTAAGGCGCAAAAATTGAAAAATGAAGAAAGCTCTTTTTGCGACAAAACTTTAAACGACAAAACCTGCAAATTGCAATTGAAAAGACAGTCAGTAATGGTAGCAATATGGTAGCAAATTACAGGCTATCCAACATCGTCAAATTTGGCAATTGCTTTAAAACAGCATGAGCAACGGATTATGAATGAGCCGACGATGAAAGCGTTTATCAATCCCGAAACTGGACGCATTTATAAATATGGGGAACAAATAAAAACGAGGTTTGGACAGAAAAATTTCGATTTAAACTTTGTACTTTGTGCTCTTTGTGCTTTGTGCTTTGTAAACAAATCCTTTCTAGCGCACTGGCTTTTTAAAATGAGTATTTATGGGAGAAGGGGAAAAAAAGAAAAGAAAAGAAAAGAAAAGAATTGAGCGTCACAGAGAGCTTGGGCTTGAGCAAAAAGTACAAATAATAGAATAACAAAATTATTTGCTGATGCTTAAAGGGTTACTGTAGCTACAGCTAACCCAGCAAAGCTACAGTAACCCTTTAAGCAAAATCCTATTATTTAGAAAAGCCTTCCTGGAAACCCTCCGCGCTCTGGCCAACTCAAGTGATCCAGTGAAAACATTTTATGACAGTGAAATGACACAGAAAATGGTTGACGAGTTCAAGAAGAATGGTAACAAAATTTATATGATATAATATCTACTATGTATAAAGCAGAAGAGACGTCCGTCCGTCTGTCCGTCTGTGCGCAAACGCGACGCTCCGTAATTACGTTTGCTCTATCGGTTAAAAGGCAAAGTATTCAGCTTTTGCGCGCGATATTTTACTCCTAGGGGTTTTCAGCTATGGGGAATCTGACTTTTAGGTTCCTTTTTAAAAAGGGGGCGAGGCTTAACCTTTAAATTGGGTTCCCAGCGGAAAATGCGAAGGGAAGTGAGCGTAATTATGGAGCGTCGTGTTTGCGCACAGACAGACAGACGGACGGACAGACAGACGGACGGACAGACAGACAGACGAACAGATGGACGGACAGACAGACAAACCTACAGACAGACAGACGGATAGACGGACGGACAGGCCGACAGACAGACAGACAGACAGACAGGCAGACGGACAGACAGACAGGCAGACAGGCAGACTGACAGACAGACAGACAGACGTCTCTTCTGCTTTATACATAGTAGATAATATAATATAATAATCAGGTGGATTGCTAACCCGTGAAGATTTCAAAGGCTACAAGTCGATCGTCAGAAATGACGATGAAGTGATCGTGATCAAGTGAGTAAAAGTATCGTTGAAGTGCCTCCCATTGGAACTTGAGGAGATTTGTTGACAGCGCTCCCATCAGCCCGGTTAGCTCAGTCGGTAGAGCACCAGACTCTTAATCTGGCTGTCGCGGGTTCGAGCCCCGCATTGGGCTTGAATTTTTGCTTTTTCAAGCTAGTTTTGTTTAGAACAGCCGCCTAGCCCTTTCCAATGTCTAGAATTTGGAGATAGGCAACGAATCAGCTCAAAAAATTCAAACCAATCAAATGAAGGCTTGCGAATCAGCGTTCTATCTGTGGCCCTCCACCGCCATCAAGCAGCGCCGTAACAATGGGAATCCTCAATGTAATGGACGGCTTCGAGAATACAAAACGAACATTTGCCGATATTTCTTTGCTATATCATCGATTCATTGAGGTAAAGATGATGAAAGATTGAAAATTTCAAATTTCCAAGGCCTCAAAATTTGCATACGCTCAACGCTCCTACTTGGGTGATTTGGCTTTCGAGAAAGGAGCGATGGAAGCCGCAAAAAGACTTATTTCAAGTGAATGGGGAACAAGTACAAGGTATTTTGTACTTTGAGCTCATAAACGTGCCCCTTCTGGCGCAATTCCTTAATTTTCTTGCGATACCAAAGCGTTTCTTTGAGAAAACTAAAGAAATCAGTTAAACAATTGAAGAAGCGCTCTCATTGGGACTTGGGGCGATTTGTTGACAGCCCTGCAATCAGCCCGGTTAGCTCAGTCGGTAGAGCACCAGACTCTTAATCTGGCTGTCGCGGGTTCGAGCCCCGCATCGGGCTTCAGTTTTTTGCTTTTTCAAACTAATCTTCAAATTGTTTCCAGAAACAATATCGGTGAGAAAACCCGTCCACGAAACGAGTACGGTGGCGATTTCTCAGCGCAACCTGAGGATCATGGAACAACTCATATTTCAGTGATGGATAAACACGGAAATGTCGTCTCTGTCACTTCAACAATTAATTTATAGTAAGTAGATGGGGGAATTCAAAGCAAACTACTATAAACTATAATTCTGGCTTATTAAATGGTAAATTTTTGTTTAGCTTAGGCGCCGTGATCACTTCAGAGTCGACGGGAGTTTTATGGAATGATGAAATGGATGATTTCAGTACTCCAGGTTTATCTAGCTTTAAATAAAGCTTTAGAAGCTTTAGAGTATTGTCTAAGTATTGTCTAAAGACTGTAGACTACTTTAGACTGTTTAGATTTCTTTATTTCTTACTTATAAACGTTTTTTTTTCCAGGGAAAACGAATGCTTTCGGTCTGCCACCATCGAAAGCAAACTATATTAAACCGGGAAAAAGGCCGATGAGCAGTCAATCACCATTGGTTATTTATGATCACAATAAAGCACATGTTAGTTTCCATTTAAAAGGTAGAATTATAGTTTTTTTAGAATAGATTTACACCTAGCTTACTGTAGCTTATTGTAGCTTACTGTAGCTTAATGTAGCTTACTGTAGCTTACGGTAGTTTATTGTAGCTTACAATAGCTTATTGTAGTTTACTGTAGCTTAATGTAGCTTACTGTAGCTTACTGTAGCTTAATGTAGCTTAATGTAGCTCACTTTAGCTTACTGTAGCTTAATGTAGCTTAATGTAGCTTACTGTAGCTTAACGTAGCTTACGGCTCTCGGTGTACAAAGAACATCCAAAGCACAGGTCCTTAACTGTCAGTTAAACAAGCGCTCTCATTGGGACTTGAGGCGATTTTTTGGCAGCCCTCGCGTCAGCCCGGTTAGCTCAGTCGGTAGAGCACCAGACTCTTAATCTGGCTGTCGCGGGTTCGAGCCCCGCATTGGGCTTAAATTTTTGCTTTTTTAAACTAATCTCTAAACTTTACAGCTACTTTATTTCTAGAATACTGTAACACCGTTTTTACACAGTGCTGGTTGCTGTAGCGCCTTAGAATTAGATAGAGATAAGTGAGAGTTTAGGATCTAAACTTAGAAAATTCTCTATTTCCAGCGAGTGATGGGTATTGGTGCAGCCGGTGGATCGACGATTATCTCCGGAGTGGCTGGTGAATTTTTCGGGCTTCTAATCATTAGCACTATAACATTCTTGAGATAAGATACATTTTTATAAATATTGAAAATTAAAGAAAAAGACGAGAAGACGACGTCAAATTAATGACGATTTTATCGACTTTTCTTGATTTTGGAAAAAGTTTTTTTTGGTAACTTTACAGGCTGATAATTACGGTATTCTTATTTATTCGATAGCTGTGAATCTCCTCTTAAAAACTAAGGATACTGTAAAGTTTAGAGATTAGTTTAAAAAAACAAAAAATTCCAAGCCCGATGCGGGGCTCGAACCCGCGACAGCCAGATTAAGAGTCTGGTCCTCTACCGACTGAGCTAACCGGGCTGATGGCGCATAACAAGGCGCGGCCAGGTACGGACCAAGTTCGGGTATTGTAGCAGACCTATCCTACCCTAGTTACCAGGCCCAGTCCAGCCTGATACAGGCTTGGCTTACTTATAAGCACAACTTAGTTAGGCACAACTTGGTCAACTAGAAGCCAGGTCTGAGTCCGACTTACAAGCTCTAGAACTCTAGAACAGCTAGAAGGGTAATTGAAAGATCGCTGTAAGTCAAAGATCGCTGTAAGTCAAAGATCGCTGTGCCAAAGATTGCTGTGCCAAAGATCGCTGTGCCAAAGATTGCTGTAAGCCAAAGATCGCTGTAAGCCAAAGATCGCTGTGCCAAAGATCGCTGTGCCAAAGATCGCTGTGCCAAAGACGTCAACAAGTCGCCCCAAATGACCGTGGACTTTTCCTTCCTTCCTTCTTTCCTTCCAATACCTTCCTTGCCTAGGGAAAGAGGGAAGAAGAAAGGAAGAAGGAAAGAAAGAAAGGAAGAAGGAGAACCATTTAACGGTGCACTTTTCTAGGTGCTGCTTTGCATGCTCTGTGGCTTGACGCAAATCCGAAAGAGGCTATCGACGCGCCCCGAGTCCACGATCAATTATATCCAAATTACACTTCTTATGAGGAAAAATTCCCAAAAGTAAGCATTTCTCGTGTACTTTGAGCTCTTTTCTGTAAACACACCCCTTCTAGCGTACTGAATTTCCGTCAATCAAAGAAAATCACGATTTCAGTGCACTGAAAACGGTGTGTTCACAGATTTACTCCAAAATAGTTACCCGTACTTTGTGCTCATGCTCTAAACGTGCTCTAAACGATCACTCTCTGGCCTACTGAAAGAGGAAAAGGAAGGGATTTGAATGCATTAGAAAGTGCACGTTTAGATGAGCTCAAAGTACAAGATTTTGTTTTTAAAATGATCGTTTTTTTTTTTTTGACAAATTTTTTTTAACAAATTTTTTTTTAAAATTTTAAACCATAAACATTTTAATGTCTTAAAGATCGATTTTTGAGATTTAAATTCAATTTTAGGCTTATGTGCGAGCTCTAGAAGCTCGAGGGCATATCATGAACAAATCAACCGAACATTTGGCTGTGGTCACTTCGGTCGAAAAATCGAATGCATCCATTTGGGCGAATTCCGATTTTAGGTAGAAAATTTGAAAGTTTAGCTAGATTTATTGTAATTTTTCTTTTCAGAAAAGGCCCCGAAAGTGCTCCAGCTGGCTATTAAAAGAATAAAAAAAGAAAAAAAAAATCTTAACGGAATTTTCTTGAAATTCGGGTATATTTTTTGAAAATTTACCTTTTTATAATAAAAATATAATGATAATAAAAATTAAAAAAAAAAACAAAACAATCCACAAGCAAACAAATTACGGAAAATTTAGGCAAACTATTGGGTTGATGCATAATTATCCGGACTTCTTTTATAAATGATTTTATTTAACAAAAAATAACATAAATAGTTAGAAAAATATGTTTAATTGATTATTCTGGAGCATATTCACCGCCTACATCAATAACTGATTGCCATTTGCTTGGAAGACGATCGATTCCACGAGCGAAGAATAAACGATCTTTGGAGGCAATCCACGCTTTAACATCGTCTATCAAGTCATCCAAATCGTTGTAGATCTTATTTGTTTGCCAATTTTTGAGCGATCGATTGACGTGGTAGTCCGTTGGGGCTTCTCCAGTTCTTTGAGATCGCGAAACGACTCTGCGGCAGACCATCCCTTTTCGAAGTGGTAGAGCATGATATGGCGAAGATGGATATGATTGTCGACACGCATTTTGTTCACTAAAGAATAACGAATATTTAAAAAAAAGAAATAGACAAAAAGCTTTCAAAACAAAAAAGATACAAGCACGCAAAAAGAAGTCCGGATAATTATGCATCAACCCAATATTTTTCTGAATACCGTATTTTCTCTAATAGTAGTGCTGCTTTAGTGTTCAAATAAAAGCTCGCCTTGAGTTCATGCCTTTCCCTGATGAATAACTGGGGTAATAGGCGCTTGGTACTAGTTGTAAATAGTATTATTTCGTACTAGGTCCAGTATACAGTCGCACAGTAGCATTTTGAACCAAATATTAGGTTGTCCAATCAGTAATGCGTGTTACTTATTTCGAAACTATTGCGAAATCGCTTCGAGCAAATATATGCTCTTTTTAATCATCAGCATCTTGTGTTTATTTTTATATATCATTTTATTCATTTGCCTTTGTTTTATAATAGATATGTTGTTTTGCAGATGAAAGACAAAAAGTTTGTTGTCCGCGCATCAATGCTGTATGATTTCAAACGAGGTAAAACTGCAGCGCATTGCCATCGAACTATCTGTGCCGCATTTGGAGAGGATTCAATTTCAATCAGCCAGTGCCAGCGCTGGTTTAAACGATTTGCGGACGGAAACGAGTCGTTAGAGGACGAGGAACGCGCTGGAAGGCTGGAATTTCTTCTCATCGAAACCAGCTTCATTCTATTATGACGGACTTCACTCTTTGCTCGGACGATGGAGAAATGTTGTTGATTGTTGTGGAGAATATATCGATTAATAAAGTTCTCTTTTGTTAATTTTGTGATATTTTGAAAATCGTGTCAAAACACGCATTACTTATTGGACAACCTAATAATATAAGAATTCTAGTCCTTAATTCAACTAAGCAGATAGATGCTCTGGTGAAAAAAATTTACATGGTATAGCCATTTCATCTGCATTGAGCCAATTTGTTTACAAGTTTTGTAGCACGATACAAACTGAACTAAAAAAAACTGACAACTAAACCATAAACCAAACCGAATGTAGCACAATTCAATCCAATCAGGCGCACCGATTGGACTAGGCTGAAAAGCAGAATTTCAGAGCAACGGCTGACCAAAACTCTGTAACGGCTGTAAACTCAAATGTTCCACATGGCCAACCAAAATGTGTAGGCATTTCCCATCGACTATGTCCCAGACTCGGAGTGTTTTATCCCGTGACCCAGTAACAAGACTAAAACGTGATTCAGCTCAACACGAAATCCAGACCACCCACGTCGTGCCATGTAGACTGATGCATTGAATGTAACGAGTATGTCCCCGGAGAACATGGCGCTGGACACCAGTTTGGCCACACCAAATTCGCGCCTTTCGATCCAACCACGAGAAACTAAAACACTGCAATAGGCTTTGCTGTCACAAGTATTTTTGTTAAGAACTTTGTTCGTTTCATCGGCAACATTATGATTGCGCTAGTTGTAGTCTATTAACTAACCTGACAATGTACTTGCCATCATCGCTCATTTCACACTCGGTATCGCCCGACCTATGGCCAGTTAGAGTGAAAGCCAGCTAAATTAGGACGTACAACCATTGTTAAACGAAACAAACTTGAGCATTATCAACATCCCAGACCCGCGTCGTCCTCCCACTAAAAGCAGCAAAGATACGATCAGAGTGAATTTGTAATTTGTAAGAATGACTCCCGATCTAAAAATGATTTTTGTCGCGAAAGCATCCATTCAAACTTTCAGAACGGCGCTTGATTGAATCGCCCGGGATCGCCAATTCGCAGTGATACGCATCTTCCGCAAGTACAGCGACTTCCATGGCGATCGCTCATAACATCTAGAAAAAGTTTCATTCGGCAACGAATCGCGTCACTGACTGTCCATATGCGACCTCGCGTTCTCGTTGATTCTGATGTGCTTCTTGAAGGCTCATATGTGAAAAGACCGTGATCCTCGCTTGCTCATTTGTTCGATACGCTGCCCAACCTCCGAGAAAACGAAAGCTAAAGAAAAACCAGTTTGGGACCAGTCTTTTTCTGATCGATTTCTGGAATCGGAACTAGTCATCTAAACAAACTGCCTCAAGTTTGCTTCCGCTTTGGACGCCTATAGTTCAATGTAAATCTATCAGATAAGTATTTTTACATGATGTATTTTCTGCTCAAATCTAACACACACCTTGGGGTATCAAGTTCCACATATCCCTTTTCCAAACCTATACGCTGCCAAGTCCGATCATCTTCACAAAGCCGCTGCCAAGTCCGATCATCTTCACAAAGCCGCTGCCAAGTCCGATCATCTTCACAAAGCCGCTGCCACGTCCGCGAAACGCCAGCACAAGTCGTCAAATCGCACGGTCTCAAATGCGCGATGATGCGAAGAGCAATCTAAAGATAAACAATCACCCCCCTAAGCTTTGACCAACCTCCGTTGGCAATTGTGACAAAAAATCCCTCTGGATCAGTTCGACTTGGCTATTGCACGATTGTTTTGTGAGCACAGGCGGTGGGTTGGGAGCGGGCTTCAACTTTGCCAACCTTTTCTCTTCCAAAGCTTCGAATCGAGTCTTTCTCTTTCTGCTCCCCGGCTTGTCCGACATCTTCTCTAAATGAAAAAAATCACGAAAGATAACACCATAAAGTAAATAAAACACAAATGATGAAACGAAAACACCCCGAACAAAATACTACTATTGACTACGTTGGGCTCTATAAAGTAGCCTTCCTCTAAAGTAATGATTTTTCCTGTTCCCTTGAGTTACTTTATAGAGAGGTTTCACTGTATCAGAAAAACAATTCCAAAAAAAAATAATTACAAAGAAATAACAATCTTAGAATGAAAACTTCAAACATAAACACTTTTGAGTCGTTCGATTAGATGTTGTAGCAATAATTCCGCCACACGCTGTATCTATAAAATTTCGCTAGACACTGTGTATGATAAAAAATATTTAAGGTTGCTAAATGACGAATTTCATACAGCATTTCTAAATAAAGAAAACACAATTGTGAAATCGAAAATTAAAGAAATAAATGGATCATTTTGAAAGCTTTATGCGTAAAATGGGGGTGGGACAAATGCGACCTTTTTTTTTGCGCACCTGGACATTTGCGCACCTTTTTTTTTTGCTGGAAAAGGCCTTAGGAAAGGTCGTAGAGCTTCAAAAATGTTTTCACAGAAGGGAATCGTATGCGTAGATTCCGAATTTCGACAAATCAGACCTCGCTGACACGTCAAATTTGGCCTAAAAGGCAAACGCAACTTAACGCTTTTCCGCAGTTTTTGCCTTTTCCAACGGTTCCAATACGGTTCCAATACGGTTCTTTTTTTTGATCTAATACGGTTCCAATACGGTTCTTTTTTGATCTAATACGGTTCCAATACGGTTGTGCCGCAGTTTGATCCAAACTGCAAAAACTATACAACTTAACGCTTTTCCGCGGTTTTTGCCTTTTAGCCCAAATTTGACGTGTCAGCGAGGTCTGATTTGTCAAAATTCTGAATCTACGCATACGATTCCCTTATATGGAGCTCTACGGCCTTGCCTAAGGCCTTTTCCAGCAAAACAAAAGGTGCGCAAATGTCCAGGTGCGCAAAAAAAAGGTCGCATTTGTCCCACCCCCCGTAAAATAAGAAAAAGAAGAGATAAATCTGATGAAATCAGAATTCATAAAAAAGATAATCAAATGAAATGATTGAAAAAAAAGAAGGTCACATGCATCAAATGATATCAAAAATATTCAAATTCGACACCTCCAAGAGATTTCAGCTCAAAGTTGGGTTGCTAATGGCAAAAGGGGCGGAGCTATTGTGGAACCTTTTATACACGAAGCTCGGCACCTTATGCTATTGGCAACGGAATGCTTTCTGGAAAAGGATTCGATGTAGATTTATCTAGCAATGGCTTCCGTAATTCTTGTAAACAGTATCCTCCAGTGCTGGTCAACTGGAACAGGTGATCAGGTAATGCGGCCTGTCCGGCTTTATCGGACATTGATACCTTTTTTCTATTAGCAATCTAACTTTGAGCTCAAATTTCTTTGTGTTGAGCTGTCCAATTGTAATACGTTTTGGTATGATTTGGTTCCAATTCCAAATTCCAAATTCCAATGTTTTGGTATGATTAGATACGCCAAGTCTTTCTCTATCGATTAGTCCAAAAACTATTGAGATTGAACAGCTGAAGACGAAGATATTTGAGGTTAAAGTAAGATTGCTGATGGGGAAAAGGTGGGCGTTGGAGAAACTACTGCCAAGAACTACTGCCAAGAACTACTGCCAAGAACTACTGCCAAGAACTACTGCCAAGAACTACTGCCAAGAACTACTGCCAAGAACTACTGCCAAGAACTACTGCCAAAAACTTACTAACAGCTTTACTTTAACCTTTCTTACCGCTCAATCACCTGCTAAACATAAAGTACAACGAGATTAACAAGTTTTTTTATAAATTTCGATAAATTCGATCAAATCCAACTCATCGAATTCCAATTTTTTCCTCACAAAGCATTCCGTTATCTCGATTTTTTGAAAAGCTTTTCCCCTTTTCCGATTGAATAAACTTTGTCACCAATTCTTCTTTTTCCTTTTTTTCACTTATCCCCACTTTTTGGCGGCTTTTCTCCAAGCGAATTTTGATTAGAGCGTCTAATTTTGATTTCTCTTTTGTCTTTCTTTCCTTCTTTCTTTCCTTCCTTCTTTCTTTTGTCTTTCTTCCTCTCTTTCTTTCTTTCCTTCTTTCTTTCCTTCTTTCTTTCCTTCTTTCTTCTGTTTTTCAAGTCTAATTCACACCTTTTAAACATTTCCGGATGTGTTTTCTTTTTGAATTAAATATTTTATTTTTATATTTTATTAAATTTAGTTATTAAAAAAAACTAACTAAAAAAACTGTAATTCAAAAAAAAAATAATAAAATAAAATTTTCCAAAGGAAAGCCGAAAAAATGGGGCAGCTACGCACTTTGACGGAAAAAGCGACGCAAAAAATTGCGTAGTTGCCCCATTTGTTGAATTTTTCTTTAAAAATTAAAAATTTCAAATTTTTTGTTAAATTTTTGTCAAGATATTGATGATATTAAAAGTTATTTAACTTTAAATATGTTTTAGATTTTATTCTGTACTGCCAAAAACTTACTAGCAGCTTTACTGTAACCTTTTTTTACCGCCTACTGCTCAATCACCTGCTAAAACCCATTTTCTACTTTGTGCTCACTTTATGCGCAAACGTACCCCCTCTAGGGCACTCAAAACCTTTCGTTTTCTTTCCTCGAAACTACAATGAACTATGGTTTTAGCTAGTAGAAAGTTTTGCAAAAAAAACCCCGCAAACAGTGGTGCTTGAATTTCTTGATAAAATTTAAGTGCTTTTTTTTGTGCTTTTGGGGGAAAAACACAGAAAATGATCGATAAATGGGTTCAAAGAGTGAGCTGTACTTTGTGCTCAAATTTTCAACCCTATACTGCACTTGATTCATTTCCCTTCAAGCAAAGATCTGATATTTGAAATATTTTTGAAATTTGCAATTGAAATTCTTTGAAATGCAAAACAGAAGTAGAAGGGCGGATTCGAACCAGCGACCCCTACAGACCGTTCGCCTTGTATTCTAGCCCACTACCACTCGGCCACCACTGCTAGCCGAGATCCCTGAGAAATCTGCTTCTAAACACTCGATGAATGGTTTTTACTTGAGTGCTCGAGGAAACTTTGAAAGCTTATAACTTTTGATAGAATGCTCTATAGAAAAAACGGAAAGCATATTCGGATTCAGCGTGAAATTCTGCGTTGGCTCGTCTTGTTAAATTGAAATATTTTTTCAGAATATGCCTCAATTATTACAAATTCCTCGCTTGGAAGTGCAAGATGTTGATGAAGAAAAAGAAGGATTTCAAGAAGAAAATGGGAAAGTTGAAGAAGAGAAACCGCCAAATTCGGGTAAAATCTTTGATCTATTCGATACGTTGATGCACTAGGTGCTGTGCGTTTAAGCATTTCTGGTGTACTTTGTGCTCTAAACGCCTTCTGGCACACTGAATTATTCATTTTTTCACGATTTTTGAATCATGAATCGTGAGAAAATGAAGAATACAGTGCGCCAGAAGAGATGCGTTTAAGTGAGAGCACAAAGTACATCAAAAGATGCCAGAAGAGATGCGTTTAAGTGAGAGCACAAAGTACATCAAAAGATGCCAGAAGAGATGCGTTTAAGTGAGAGCACAAAGTACAGCAAAAGATGCCAGAAGAGATGCGTTTAAGTGAGAGCACAAAGTACATCAAAAGATGCCAGAAGAGAGGCGTTTAAGTGAGAGCACAAAGTACAGCAAGAGTTGGCCAAGAGTTGTTTAAACGCGCTCTCTCTAGTGCACTGAATTCTTCACTTTTCTAGCAATACAAAAGGGAAAAATGAAGGTTTCAGTGCGCCAGAAGAGGTGCGTTTCAATGAGCACAAAGTACACAAATATGAATCGAATTTTCAGCGCTTTTCTCTCCATTCTCTTTCCGTTTACACATTGTTTTTATGATGATGGGAGGGTTTTGTTGTGTACAGTTTATTACGGTGAGTTCTATGGAAATTAAGATTTATATGCTAATTATATGCATTTTATATGCAAATTCTATTCACTTTTGTGCTAATTCAATACTCTTTCCCTTATTTTAAATGCAAATTTCTTCTTTACTTTTGAAATATCCAAAGACCAGCCGAGAAACCTGTTTAAGAGCTAGTTTTTCTGCGATAGCCTCACTGTCACCATAGCGCAGTCAGTAGAGCGCTGACCTACAACCCACACGATCCGGGTTCGACCCCCCGTATCGCCATTCCGTTTTGAATTTTTGAATTTCCGTTTAGATTAGGAAATCCGTTTAGATTAGATTTCAGTTTTTAAATAGATTTCATTTTTTGACTGAAAAACAACTGAGAAAAAAACCCCGTAAAGAGGACGGACAGACGGACAGACATTTCTCTTTTATAAATCGTCGATTTTTCAGATTTCTCTAGCTCTAACGATCACTTGTATGGTCAACTCGACAGCGGTAGCCGAATTGCAGAGAAATGAAAGAATTTCTCATTTTACGGGTATCCATTTCGCCAATTTATCTAGCTTTTAAGCTTATTTTTTCATTCTAAACACATCGAATGCTTTTTTTTGAAATTCTTCGACTCGCTCGAAAACTGTAAACACAACCCGTCTGGTGCACTGAAATCTTCGTTTTCTCTCTGCAGTAACGCCTTAAAACGCAGAATATCAATGCCAGAAGGAATGTGCTTAAAGTTTTAAGCACAAAGTACAAAAGCGACGTTTTCATGTTTCATTTCTTTTCAACCTGCCAATAATTTGCTTTTCTTTTTTTTCAAAATTGAAGAAATGATAAGAAATGAAAAAGAAAATGAGTAATTTATGATTAAAATAAAAAAAAATTTCTTATTTAAATTGAAATTTGAAAAATAAAAAATAAAAAATAAAAAATCAAGTTACCGAATTTTCTCGACTACCGTAATCCTGTCTGTCTGTCTGTCTGTCTGTAATTCTGTCTCTTTTTCCCGTCAAGTTTAATCTACAAATTAATTATTGATTTCTTACTTTATCATTCGCATTTTTTTTACGTAATTCTTTTTAGAAAAGAAAACGTACAGTCGCGTAGTCGCAAAAGAGTTTTTTAGTATTTCATTTTTTTCAAAGCACCCGTACTTTCAAAAAATGCGTGTTTGGTATCAAAAAATAGCTCTGAATTTAATAGTACCGCCCCCCCCTATAATGACGGTGCGGAGCGTTGCGTAGTCTAGCTTTGAAGGAGTTTTTCTCGACACTGGTTTATGCTACAATGCGCATTTAGGTATCAAAAAATAGCCCTGAAATTCAGGGCTATTTTTTGATACCAAAACGAACATTGTAGCATAAACGAGTGTCGAGAAAAACTCGTTCAAAGCTAGACTACGCAACACTCCGCACCGTCATTATCGGGGTGGGGTACTATTACAGTATTTACGGTAGTTAAGAGGCGAAAAATCTATTGTAAGAAGCTGGCTCTTTTACAGGCTTTCGTTGGCCTTTCTACTGTAAAAAGTTGACCTTTTTAGAGTAGCTACAAATCAAACTACCGTATGCAAATCGACTACAGACTAGATAGACTAAATGAAAGATTATGGTAGTTTTTTTTGGACGTTTGAAACGCTTTAGAGAACTTTAGAGAACTTTAGAGAACTTTAGAGAATGGTAGAGCTTTAATCAACTCCATCAACTTTCTAATTTCATAGTTAAACGTTTGAAAATTGGAAATTTTTGAATTCAAATCCAAAATTCTTTCGAAAGCCGAAATGTGATGATAAAAAAAGTCGGTTTCTTTTGATTTCCGCCCTTTTTTTTTGCCGCTTTTGTGTACTTTGACTTCATTTTTTTTACGATTTCTGATTCTGATCGAATCTTGGACTTGAGACTTTTAAAATAAATTAGGCAAAGGTTAAGGTTACTGTAAATGATAGAAATTAATATTTGATTTGATGGATAAACCTACGGTAACTTTACAATACCGTAACCTTTATTGTTAAGAGCACTTTTTATAGGAAAAAAGCTGGCTGAGTGGTGGATAAAGTTACCGTAACTTTACAATACCGTAACCAGTTGTTGTTTAGAATCAATTCCCCATTACAACCTCTCCACAACGTCATTACCGAAAGCCGAGTTCTCGTTGAAATCCGAGCAATGCGAATCGACGCAAACCGGTGATCGAGTGGTTGTTGATTATGGGGTTCGTTTGAAAATTGTCTTACTTATTGCTAATTACCGTAATGCCTAACTGAGCTACAGTAGTCCTATCGTACTACCTAAGACTAAAACCTGGCTTAGCTACCGTACTCCAGGCCATAGGTCCTATCTCCCCTGCCCTTTTCCGTTGATAATCTAACTTTAAGCTCAAATATCTTCGTCTTCAGCTGTTCGATTTCAATAATTTTTGTACCAATCGATAGAGAAAGACTTGGCGTATCTAATGATATCAAAAATATTGACATTCGACAGCCCAACACAAAGATATTTGTGCTCAAAGTTAGATTGCTAATGGGAAAAAAAGGTATCAATGCCCGATAAGCCGGACAGGCCAGATTACCTGATCACCTGTTCCAGTTGGCCAGCACTGGAGGATACTGTTTACAAGAATTACGGTAGCCATTGCTAGATAAATCTACATCGAATCCTTTTCGTTTCCAGGGTTCTCTCATCTGGGATCACCGTGTCCAGAACCTTCTCTTCAAGGGCACTTTCCTCGGCGCTCTTTTCACGGCAATCCCTGCGATTTTCGTGCTCCAAAGATATTCAATCAAGTAGGAAAAGAGTTAGTAACCATTTAACCTTACCCTACACCTGTTTATTAATCCTTTTTCTAAAATAATTAAACATAATTAGACTAAAATTGAAAGAGAATTGGTTAAGCTGAAAGATTTGAAAACAATGAAGTAGAAAGAAGCCAAGAGAAACAAAACAAAACCATTTTAAAATTTTAAACAGAAAACAGGCGGAACAATATAGGAATGTGGGGAGAAAGGGGTACTAACAAGGCAGTTGTAAGACAGTTGGGGGCAAGTTTTTCTAAGATTATTGATGACGCTGATCACAAAAAAAAAATTTTGTTGTTTTCAATTAAAAATCTTATGTATTGCGGTTATATTGGGTAGTTTGTGGCCCTTAAGAGGGCCGTTAGGTTGAGGGTTTAAGTTGTGAGAAGGGAATTACTCGCAAGGGTATAACTGCCGCACTTGGTCTCAGTGCGTCAGTTGTGCAAATTCTCAGTGCAAATTCCAGTATAGGCTCTCAAGAGATCTGATTGTGGAACCAGGTCGCACATGAGTTTAGACGATGAGCAAAAGAGTTGCTGCATCGTGGCGTTGAACAAGTTGAACAAGAACAATCCACGACCCAATCCACATTCGGCGTTGATTGGGAAGCCGACTTCGGGTATATGGACTTTTTGATATGCATGTTTCATCCATCTCAATGCGGACACCTGGTCCCCCGAGTGTTCGTAAATGTGCTTGAAACCATTGACCCACCTGGTCAATGGTGTGATGTGATCCGACTACAAGTTCCTTAGCGATGTCCATACTTTTTATACTCTTTGAGGTAGGTGAATTCCAGTGCTTGCTTGGGGGTAATGTGACAGTTCTCAAAGAAAGTACCAACAAAATAACCGATTCAGTGTTTCTTTCCGGGCGCTCTGCACGTTCTTTTGTTGCACTCCCATTTGGTCTTTTGCCAGTTGTTATCGCTGTAGACTTTCATGTTGTCTTGATTAGAGTTTGGACAAGTTCTTTTTTATGTAGCAAGCCAAGATCAGCTAACCAGTTATGAAAATTCGCATCCGACAGAGCATGTTTTGCAGCAAGCAGCTTGTAGGTCATTCCTCCCAATTGTTAAATTGCTTGTTGAGCCATTTTCACTTGCGTGTTGGAAACAAGATATGTTTTATGCCCAACTTAGCTCCTTATAAAGACCTTGATCTTAAGGGGCGGGACTTATTAAGCTAGTCTTAACAAGTAAAAAAAAAACCAAGTTAAAGGAAAATGCAGTTTTTTCAAAACAAAAAAGAAACTTCAATACATAAGGCTTTGATTGAAAAGATAACTTAAAAATGTTTTTTCATGATCAGCGCTATTAATAACCCTAGAAAAATTACTTTTGGGAAATTTTAGGTGCCCCCCTTCAACTGCTTTAGTACCGAGGAAAGTAAACTTAAAACGAGCTACAAAGGGAACAGATGTCATAAAAAGGAAGAAAAAAACGGGAGTGGGACAAATGCGACCTTTTTTTTGCGCACCCGGACATTTGCGCACCTTTTTTTTCCGCACCTTGCCCATTAGCGCACCTTTTTTCGCGTTTTAAAAAGGCTCTAAAAGCTAATATTAACCAATTTCTATTCCAAAAGTTGTTTTTCTAGGTAATTTTAGGGCGTAGAATCGAAATTTTGACATATCAGAGCTTGTGGAAACAAACGGACGGAGTTATACAAAGAGAAAAATCGACAATTTTCTGTAATTTGATCTAGCCGTTTTGTCTTTCAAATTGGTTCCACAAGCTCTGTTATGTCAAAATTTCGATTCTACGCCCTAAAATTACCTAGAAAAACAACTTTTGGAATAGAAATTGGTTAATGGGCAAGGTGCGGAAAGAAAGGTGCGTAAATGTCCGGGTGCGCAAAAAAAAAAGGTAGCATTTGTCCCACTCCCGAAAAAAACATAAAACTCGGCATAAAAAAATATAAAAACATAAAAAACATTCAAATAAACAAAACAAAATTTTCACTCCATCACGGAATCGAAAAATGAAAAGAATGGCAAAATGTGAATTTTTGTGCGGGGTACGGTAGCGGATCCATGCTTTAAAAAGCGCACCGCGCCGTTTTCACGCCAGTCCTTATATATATATTTTAACCAATTTTAATTTAATTTTAACAATAATCTAACTAAAGAAATGTTTGAACAAATCCATTTCTCAGACGAATCGTCGCCTTTTCTGTAATTCTCTACTCTCTATGCGCACTCATCGTCCCATATTTGGCGCTGAATTATGGGGAGAATTCCGTGTTCGCCAGCCGACTCGTCATGGGTTTAGCTGAGGTTTGTTTGTTTGTTTATGTGCTTGTTGCTTTGTTTCTTTGTTTATTTATTTCGTTGTTTCGTTGTTTGTTTGTTTATTTGTTTATGTGCTTGTTTGTTTCTTTGTTTTTTTATTTATTTGTTTATATGTTTCTTTGTTTGTTTGCTTATGTGTTTGTTTGTTTGTTTGCTTATTTGTTTGTTTCTTTGTTTCTCTTTGTTTCTTTGTTTCTCTTTGTTTGTTTGTTTCTTTGTTTCTCTCTTTGTTTATTTGTTTGTTTCTTTGTTTGTTGCTTATGTGTTTGTTTGTTTGTTTGCTTATTTGTTTGTTTCTTTGTTTCTCTTTGTTTGTTTGTTTGCTTATTTGTTTGTTTCTTTGTTTCTCTCTTTGTTTATTTGTTTGTTTCTTTGTTTGTTGCTTATGTGTTTGTTTGTTTGTTTGCTTATTTGTTTGTTTCTTTGTTTCTCTTTGTTTGTTTGTTTCTTTGTTTCTCTCTTTGTTTATTTGTTTGTTTCTTTGTTTGTTGCTTATGTGTTTGTTTGTTTGCTTATTTGTTTGTTTCTTTGTTTCTCTTTGTTTGTTTGTTTGCTTATTTGTTTGTTTCTTTGTTTCTCTTTGTTTGTTTGTTTGCTTATTTGTTTGTTTCTTTGTTTCTCTTTTTTTATTTGTTTGTTTATTTGTTTCTTTGTTTGTTTGCTTATGTGTTTGTTTGTTTGTTTATTTGTTTATGTGCTTGTTTCTTTGTTTCTCTCTTTGTTTATTTGTTTCTTTGTTCGTTTGCTTATGTGCTTGTTTGTTTCTTTGTTTTTTTATTTATTTCTTTGTTTGTTCAACAATTTCACAATTATTTGTCATTGCTAATTGAAAAGTAAAAGAGTTTCATTTATAAAAACACATTTATTGTCAGTTAGAATCTTTAACTGCGCATTTTGACTTCTGTAAACATGCAGAAGACTCATTTTCAGGGTAATTTCATCCATAGACTTTAAAAATGACATTTTCAACGTTGTCTGGTGCTTATTTTAAATGGTTTTTAAAGATTTACTGTTTTTGTTTATTTTAGAGTTTCGCTCATCCATCATTCAACACATTGATCTCAAATTGGTTTCCGATCACCGAAAGAAGCACCGCAATCGCTTTGTATACAACTGGTAAGTGTATAATTTAAATGTTTATTTTAAAAAACTTAAGGAAATCAACTAGCCACCGCTGGAGGGAATCCGCTGTGCGCGTGGTTTTGTCGGAGCTCTTTTGGATGGCAGGGTGTCTTCTATATGTCAGGTAGAAGGTTCTACTTCAATAATTATCATAATCGCGTCTAGATTCGCATACAAGACTAGCTTTTTGTCGAAATTAGTGCAAAATCGGGTGCGCAGTATTCACGGCGACTTCGTAGATCAACTCTAGATCGTAGATCAGCTCTCAAGCGCCAAGTTCAACCCTAAAGTGTTATTTGTTATATAAAATATTAAAGCCCTTTCTCTTAGCTACATTTATGTCTTAAAAGTTTCTTGATTAGAGATATACAACTCTTTTTACAAGCTCTTAAATGAACTCATTCACGTACGAACGACGGCTCGTTCAAAGGCTTGTAAAATGATTTTTATATGACTAATCAAGAAACTTTTAAGAGAAAAATGTAGTGAAGAATAAGGGCTTTAATATTTTATATAACACAATACGATAACCCAATAAATTTCCATTCGAAAACCCTTCAGGTATCGTCGGTTTCTCCTGGACGGTCATCTGGCTGACATTCTCCTCGAATCAACCCTCGAAATGCAAATTCATGTCGCCAAAGGAAAAAGCGTATTTGAGTTATCATTGTGTCACGAGAAGCCATAAAATGGTTAGAGTTTTGAGAAATTCCCTGAAAATCTATTCAAAGTTTAGGGGCAAAATGCGGCTCCTTACAAGAAAATCCTCACCTCGCGACCTTTTCTCGCTCAACTCCAAGCACATTTCTTTGTCTCGATGATTGCTTCAATGCTTCAATTGTATTTACCATCATACTTTAAAGAAGTACTCTTGCTAGGGATTATGGAGGTTTGTAATGTTTGAAAATTTAGAAGAGTTTTCCTTGAAAAACACCTAAATTCTGTTGTAAGGTGAGACGGTAATCGTGACGCAGTCTTTAGAGTACGTTAAAGTCCACCTTGCAACGATAAATCTTTCTAGAACGGCGTCTACACGGCGATCCCAAACGTCGCGATGTTTGTGTGGAAACTCTGCTGGTCAATGATTATGGATAAGTTAGAAAAGAGAATTTGAAGAAAAACTATCAAAATCTTCTAGATGTAAAGCCAAACACATTCTCACTCCGACGCAAGCTGTGAAATTGTCACAAGCAATGGGTAAGTGCAATAGAGCGGGTGTCTTAAAATTTTGAGCAAGCAAACTTTAGCCTGCTTTGGAATGGCTCTCAACATGGTGTCGATCGCTTTCTTTGTCGACTGTTCAACTCCACTCTTAGCGCTGAGTCTTGTCACGTTAACATGGTGCTCAATGGGATGTTCTGTTAGTGGGTAAGTGCTCTAGCTCTAGGGAAACGAATTAGAAAATCAGCTTCAAATCTTCAGCTTCATCACCTCAATGTTATCGATCGCTCCCCGGTACACGGCCACAATCTCAGCAATCTCGACTTTTGTAGCGCTTCTAGGGCGACTCTGCGCCCCACAAGGAGTCGGACTCATCAAAAAGACTGTACGTGAATCAGTGCACGAGAAAGACATGTGTTTACACAGAAACAAAGTAAACTCGAATATTTTCAGGGTACTCTAGCTGAATGGAAATCAATTTTTCTGTATGGCGGCGCGATGGTGGCCTTTTCCGGGATTTTGTTCTTGATATTTGGTTCAGGTTAGACAGAAAAGAAAGGCTTAGCTCTAATGGCTCTAAATGTTTGCTTTATCCGTAGCCCATCACTTAAAGCATTTCACAGTTGATTTCTGTAATCAAAAGGCATCAAAATCATCAAAAAAATCATCAAAAAGGCCCTCAAAAACTTTGTAGCCGAAGTGCAACCATGGGGTGAAGAGGATTCAATAACCGAAGACAATAAAGAAGAACGAGAAATCGAATACGAAATGATGATAAAGGAAAGGAGACACACAGCGAGTATCAGCATTCAATAATGAGCACAACTTTAAAGTTAAGTGTTTTCAAAGAAAAATTCAATTCTAAAGCTTTTGCCTCATTCCACTATTTGTATATAAAGTTATCTTTTTTCAAATTCTTTTTGAAATTCTTTTCAAAATCTTAAGCTTAAAATTTGCTCATCGATTTCATCGCGTTCCCCATATTCTCTATGATTTTAACCTATAATAAAGAGTGAAATACCCGAAACTCTCTAAAGCGCTAGTTTCCAATATTCACTTGATAGCACTCCATTTATCGTATGCCTTCTCACATTTTGTCATATTTTTAATATGACAAAATGTGAGAAGGCATACGATAAATGGAGTGCTATCAAGTCTATTTCCTATCTTTAAGCCAATTGCTACTCATATTATTGTTATGAACATTAAAGAATAAAATCCTATTTCGTAAACAAAATAGAATTTTATTAAAAGATGAAAATAAAAGAAAGTTGTATAAAATTGAAACAAAAATAAAAATGAAATCAATGAAATGAAAAGGAAGTAGAGATGACGAAAAAGTTCATGAGGTATCAGCCAACCTAATGCTTCATCAACAAAAGAAATATCACATCTAAAGTATTAGGTTGGCTGATAAGTCTTTGAACACTTCATAAAAGCTATTTAGAAAGAGCCAATTCACCGATTGACTTAAGGTTCGCTCCATTAACGCTCCATTAGAAAGGTTCTATTATTTTTCTATAAAACATCGTTGTTTCTGGCTTTTTGCTCGGAGTGCGAACTCGGGCAATCAAAAGAGCAAAAGCCCGATGACGCGATTTAGACATTTTGGTCTAAAGAAACCTATTTCGGTATCAATAGAAAAAAAGAAAAAGCGCAAAAAGTTATACATATAGCAAAACTTGCAGGACAATCTGTTTAGCCAAATTTCTTTGTATCGCCTTTTATCGAATTTTACGCAAAACAAGTTTTGCGCTCAGATTTTCTTGGAAACGGGTTCAGATTAACGTAAAAAAAAAATAGAAAAGCGTATGATAAACATCTTCGATTTCGACAGACTATTTGGTCAATTGGTGAACTTTTCATTTCTAAACAGCTTTATAAAAAAGTGTCCAAAGAATTATCGGCCAACTACGGCCAACTTTACACGTAAAACTGAATTTATTTTCAGTCCAGAAATCCGATATTTTCCGAGGAATCCGATGATTTTCGTTTACGGTTAGGCTTTGGGACGATCGGGACAATCGTTCCGTTTTCCATGCGGAGATCAGGGCAATCCTGAAAATCAAAATTAAATTTTTGAGATACCGTATTTCTTCGAATAGAAGACCGGGTAAAGAGTATCATCGCGTACTCCTGCGTAGCAGCCCTTTTTAAAATTGCTTTTCTGCATAAAAGCTTTCAATCAAGTGCTATAGAGCTGGAAAATGGTTCAAAAATCTGTTAGCTCATGTGGTATTTTTGAGCAATTTTCCAGCTCTATAGCACTCGATTGAAAGCTTTTATGCAGAAAAGAAATTTTAAAAAGGGCTGCTACGCAGGAGTACGCGATCATACTCTTTACCCGGTCTTCTATTCGAAGAAATACGGTAATACTATTAGATAAACAAAAAAAGTATCCGGTAAGATAAATTAGGTACTTTTCACAAACTTTTTACAACACAAAAGTTATTTCCAGTTATTTTGATTATGAAAATTCACCTCAATGTCAATCGGAGAAATCGTTTTCACTGTGTTTGTAGCTTTCTAAAAACGGAATTCTTTTTTTGAAAAATGGCACAATAAACCTTATTCGCTGATGGACACAAATGACTGCAAGCACACGCATCACAGTCGGGCTTCGGCGCCTTGCAAATCTTTTGGCCAAAACCAACGAGCACACGATTGATCCCTGGCCATAGGTCTCTGAAAAGTATACAATGATGTTGTTTGATGTCAAACGGTTTACCTCGAGAAAATATCCTGCACTTTTATCGCAACATCTGTCGCTTTGTCAGTCTCGTTAGCCCATCCGAGTCTGAAGGAACGAATGAGTGAATGAGCTTTGAGCAAATATTTTAAGAAAAAGCTGTCCTATATACATATACATAGCTACATAGTTTCCTATAGACATAATTCTCTACTACTTGAGTACTAGATACAAAGTATTTAGCAAATCAGTATTGTAAACCATTTACCTTTTCGATATCCTCTCAACATGTGTATCAACAACGACGCCTTCCGTATTATCGTAAGCGATTTGCACAACCTAGAAGTGAGCGTAGTAAAATAGCCATTCAAACACTCACCATATTTGCAATCTTCGGGCCAACACCAGGAAATTTGCACAGCTCCTTTACCGAGTTTGGCAACACGTAGTTGTAGTCGCTTTTGAGGAGCTCGGCCGCCTTTTTGACGAAGACAGCTTTTCGCTAAAAATTTGCTATGAGAAAAGCTATGGAAACATTCATTACCTTATAGAATCCGACTGGCTTGATCAACTCTTCGATCTCATCAGTTGTTTGATTGCAAACATCCTTTATCGTACATCCTTTGCTTACAAATCTCTAAATTTTGGATAAAATAGGGGATTTTCGACAATATTACTTTCATGGCCGCTGCTGTGATCTCATCTTTTGTTTGCGGTGACAGCACTCCGCCGACAAGCGTTTGAAAGTGTTGATCCTGAAAAAACTGATCATAAACAAGGTTTTCGATTAGATTTTCCGCTCATTCTAAGATACATTCTGAGTAATAAAAAGTCACGAGTGCTGTACGTTATTAATACAAAGAACATAGAACAAAGATAAACCTGAATATCGGCGTTCGAATCGTGCAAGCAATGACATCCCATCGTATCAACTGGTGCCTCGAACGATTGTCGCATCTCGGCTATCTGCGCAAGCTAAATTAAAGGCGTTTTTTTTAAAAATATCTACACCAAACCTGTTTATGCGCGAGTTTTGATAACGATTCGGAATCTCCGGCGATTTCCATTCTTTTACAAAACTCCTTCAAATTTTGGGCAAATTTCTCGCCAGACTTCATGGCTTACCCTAAATATTGCTTTCTATTTGACCGACACTAATTCCACTAAAACAAGTCTATTTACTGTATGTATAAAGTATATTTCAACGCAATTCACCTACAATGTAATTAAAACGTTTTTAATTAAATGTTTATCTGAAATAACCTCGTATCAGGGCACAATTTAGCAAAAAAAATGACATTTTGTATATTGAATCAAATCGAACTCCGTTGAGAAAATGTAAGACGAACGATCATCAGATATGAGCGAGTGAATAGAAGTTAATCTTTCGCAGAACATGAAATATCACAAAAAAACCTATCAAGAGCACAAGGAAATGACTGTTTTTGAAATAAATTATTTTTTGGGAGGAAAACTACACTAATAAATATTGACAACTAGCCTAGTGGAGGACAAAATTTAAAGGCCAAAAAAGAAAAATTCGAAAAGCCTAACAATACATCGACTCGGCCAACGCAGACATTTTCGACTCGACACAAACGAAACAACCAAAGTACTCGGCCAGCTCATCAACCTAAAAAATAAAGATGATTGATAACTTCGAAAAGTACCATTTTAAACTTTACTAATCACTAGCAATTCAAATGTTAGCCCAAAGAGTATTTCTTACCTCGTGATCTTGTTGAACTACAGAGGCGATACGGGATGCCTCAACAGAACATGGTATTGGGACGAGTAATTTATTTCGAAGTTCGTCCACATCAACCTAAAAGCTTCATAAATCTAGTGTTCACTCAAACAATAAACCTCTTCTCTCCATTTTATCCTTTCTAACGTTTTGATCACATCCATATCGTTTCGCGACGCTTTGAATCGTTTCGGCAAACAGTACGGACGCCATCGCCATCGAACCCGGAGTTGATAGGCAAAGGGGCGAGTCTAAATAATTTGCAATTTGCTAGAAATAAGTTATATGGAAACTATTTAGCATAGATATTGCAGAGAGTTGGCTTTAAAAACTTGAAAATCTTCATTATCTAAAATCTCACGTCAACATCGGCGGCTCCTTGCGTCTTTTTCATGTTATCCCTTTTCTCGAGTGGTTTCTTCACATCTTTTTGTGGTATTCCTTGTGTAATGTGCAGTCGCTCAAAGATCGTCGTCGCATCGTCAATGGAACAAACTAAAAAAAACCAAACATTTAATGAAAAGGTATATCAATAGACTTTGCAATGAGAATTATCAATACAACTCTGATACAAAATACAGCTTATTGTTGTGACGGAATTTAATTTAATTCTACACAACATAATTCTATCCAACAGCAAGTAAAGGCAGGCAACAAAACGTGCATATCTCTTGATCACCTAATCAATTCTAATCAATACGAAATAGAGCTTTTATTTATTGCTATGCTCAAATTTACACAACATAACTGTCACAAAGAGCTGAGTAAAAATTCTAAAACATTCACGTACCCTGATCAGCTGTAGAAGTTGATGGTTCCCTTGAAGAATTCTTCTCCTTTTCTTCCTCGTCTTCTCGTTTATTGCTCGATTTGGGCTCGTTTTTTTTAGGCAGCATCCTCTCGCATCTAAAATTAACAATTTAATGGAGGAAAAAAAATGTGCACAAAAAAGCTAGGCAAGAATTTTACTTGAAAAAAAAATAGTGTTATATAGGTGTTTGAAATTGGATCAAATACGAATTATAAATGGTTCATATGGTTGGTTGGTTCGTATGGTTTCACAGTTTTTGATCATAAGAAAAATCAATTTCATCATTCTCTTTAAAAAGTCTCATTTTTTCAGTGAAAAGTGGATTAAAATCGGATAAATCGGAAAATTTCACCAAAACAAGTACTCTATTTTGGTTTTTCGCAAAAATACACAGTTTATTGTGGAAATTTTGAAAAAAAACGGGGGACAAAGAGGGAGAAAGAGAAGCACAAAAAGGGGGATTGCATATTAGTTCAACTTCTTTTCCGCGCATGTGTGTATTTATGCGGTAAAAGAAGCAGGAAGCTGGGTGAGTGAGTGAATGAATGAAATGTGGAGGTGTTAGAGAAAGGGGATCGATCAATAACAAGCCCCCTCTCACATACACATTTTGGGCTCACGGCCAAAGTTCCGAGAGAACGAGTGGGGGGAAAAGGGGTGACGTGCTCAGCTGACAGCGCTCTTTTCCCTTCTCGACGCGCTATTTTCAACGAAATAGCGTTTTAAAAGTGGAGACTAATAAAGCAGAGAGCTTCCGCACAATGAAAATAGACGCGTGTGTTAACGATTTGAACAATGAACCAAGCACAAAAACTTTGTTGACCACTTTCAACGAAACAATTGCCAGAAATTTTTGAGGCAATAAAAAGACCAAATTAAATAGCTCTGTGTCAAGAACGTCCCGCTTTTTTAAATCACGAATGCTGAAAATTTATTCAATAACAAGCTCAAAAAGTATAACGAACTAGCACAATATGGACAATCACAATAAGCTTTTTAATTATCACAAAATACAAGCGAAAAATTAAAAAGATTGAAAATAAGATCATCAAATGGTAGTAATGGTAAAAGAATCACAAATTTTAAAATCTATTCGACAGTGGGCAGGCCTCGTGGCAAGAAATCTCGATCGGGCCAGAATTTGGTGAAAAGTTCACGACTCTGAAACAAATCGATTTGCAAAAGCAAAACCTATGATACTCACCGAAATAATCACATCCGAGTAGTCAAGTTTCACATTTGGTGGAGGTAAAACTGCAAAATTTGTCGGCGATTCTTCGGAATACTGAAAACTCCCAGCGGCACTTGCGAATCGCAGTCTCATCAGAACTCGTGGAGAGTCTAGAGCTTTTGATGATTACAGTAAGACAAAAACCCACTAACCTTCGCTATCGTAGAGTTTTTCCTCAACTTCTTTCAAGTAATTCTTGTCATCTCTGCGAGCGCCCGTGAGCTGACTGAGATCTAAAACGAATAATAGTTAAATAATGCAAATTAAGGTCTACAATATCCACGTGGTGCCAAACAGCTTTCATAACCGGCTTCAAATAATCGTGCTGCACATTGAGGTGGGGAAATTGAGGCAAGTGAAAGGATCGAGATCTAGATGTGAAATTTGGTGAATGTGAAAAACAAAAATACCTGTTCTTTTTCTTCTTTTAAAATCGTGTCATCTGTGACCAAAATTGCTCGATCTACTAATTCACCAGAAAGGGTGCCAAACTTCTTTGGGGCGTAGCGTGGCGATGTGATAATATGATCACAGTTTACTCTCTGCCCTCCAGCAACCACAGCGACCACTCTGAATCAAAATGAAATGTCTATATTATCTAAATTTAGGAAAAACTCACTTATTTTCTTTTAAGATGATTCCATCGACTTGTAAATGAAGAGCGTACAATCCCCCAAAGACGGCGCACAATCGGCAAAAGCATTGTGGTAGCTCTCCGCAGCTAAAATTATAAAAATAATCATTTAAAAAATTGAAATACAAACCCATAAAGCGGATAAAGGAATGGCGATGGTCCGAAGACGCCAACACTATCGATGAATCGACACACGGCTTGGAGACCCTAAAAACACAATTTAGGCAAAAGAAAATAGTCATAATGAACTTTGATAAAATTATGTACCGTTAACGTTGTCGGATTTGGTTCGAGAATCGCAATTGCATCGGTGATAAATCGTTGCGTTGAACCTTCCAAATTGTGAACCGTTGCCAAAAATTCGCTAAACGATTTGTCCGCAAATTCTAAAAAAAAAAGGTAATAAGTTTCTGAAAAAAAAACACAACCTTTCCAATCCTTCATCTCATCTTGATTTTTGCTCCATTCAAGGCAAAATTGCATAAACTTCATGATGCGGCGTTTGTCCACAAAACTAAAAGATGTAGGTAACAGGCTTGTTTTTTTCCACTTTTCACTTAAGGAAAAAATAGTGTACTAAATGGGCAAAAGGGGGTGCCATCAACTTCCATCAAACCATCAACTTTCGGGGAACAAAACTCAACTTTCGTTGAATATTTTACTGGATATTATATTAAATTTCCGTTTTTATTAAGTAATTAAATAATTCCATGACCGTGATTTCAAATGTGGAAGCCATTTTTGATAGCTCTACGGTTTTTGAAGCTAATGACCCTGATTTTTTGGGGAGTGAATATTTCAAAGATACTGCTTTGTTTTTAGAAGCTATATGAAATTTACAAGATTCCTTCTTAGGGTGCTTAAGGGGTGAAACTTTCGTTCGTTGGCCGTGGATCGATTTTGAGTACAACTTGCATTGAAAAGGGACTGGGTTCGACTCTCTTAGCGGACTTCAAATCATAAAACTTATCGAAATGCATTTATCGAAAAATATATAAACATAACATAGCTATCCAGAATTCGGATGATTATCTACTTGAAATGCTTAAAATAACAAGGAAAAGCCAAGAATTTTGAAATTTACCGCTTTTCAGCTTTTTTGGTGGCAAATTTTCTGCTTTCCGCTTTTGTTTTTCCACTTATAAGCCTTGTAGGTAAGTAGATTTTGATATTAAAAGTCGAACCTAAGTTGATCGGTTTCAAATATTTCACTTCTGTTGTAGGGCACGCGACAAATCTTCTTGTCGCCATCGCAGAAACATAGAAGTCGATTCACACACTAAATTTTTAAAGGTCTACTGGTAAATGCCAATGAGCTACCTTGAATTCCGCGTATTTTGAAACTTCCGAGTCGCAAAGCGTTTGCACCATGGTTCCACGGGAAAGTAAAATCTATAAATTATTGATTATTGATTATTTACATTCATAAAACTATAAACCTTTGGTGTAATGTCAATGCTGAAACGTCTCCATTCCTTCTCGATGATTGCGCGATAAGTGCTCGTCGTTTCTTCACCATCTTTATTTTTCACAACTTTCTCAGTAGCACTAAAAAGAAAATTCAATTAAAAATATTCAATTAAAACTAAAAATCACACCTGTCCTCAGTCCATTGCTTTTCAAGGTCGAAAATTTGTCGATTATCCCCAAAAGAGATGTAACTCTCATCAGCTTGAATCTAAATATAACAGAGTTATCAAAAATTTACTCAAAGATACCTTTTCCTTTATGCTTTCACTGACAGTCGTTTCTGAGAGCTCCTTTTTGTTTTCCCCAATCCACTCATCTAACGTGTTCAGGTTGAACGAGGCCCAATTTTCGCCATAGAAAGGATTCCTGAAAAATCAAACAATTTTTTACTACTGCCAATGCGATGTTTTATTAAAATTTGTTATCAATAAAATTAGCATCAAATTAAAATCGCTGAAGCATTCACCACTTGTATTCTCACACACCAAACATTTTTACCTAACTTACCTAGCAATGTGAAGCAATGTGCAGCAATGTGAAGCAATTTTACCTAGCAATGTGAAGCAATTTTACCTAGCAATGTGAAGCAATTTTACCTAGCAATGTGAAGCTAGTTCGATTGCAGCTTTTCAAGAACTGTACTGACTATACCATTTATAAATTACCCAACCTGTCAAGATGTAGAACGGAGAGACCGGATCTCGAACAAGCTGCTGCCAAGATTGCCTCCGGTAATCCGGTGCCCACAATCACCACATCGACGTGATCCGGTAAACTATCATCCATTCTAAACAAATCCTTTATAACAATCGGAAAACAATATTTACAAGAGAAAACACTAAGAAATCCTAACAAAATAAAAGCACAAATTCTAAATGATAAACGATGAGATCGATAGTTCATTCGAGGAAACACGTGTGGACCGATTTTCTGTAATCCCCTGTCACTCGTTGATTGAATTCCTCGGCGCATAGCCAGCCAAAGTCGGCGATTTCACTCTTGTTCACTTGAAAATCGCTTTTCGGACTCATTACCGCATTGTAGAAGAAAATCTTTGCCCCATTCTTGTTCTTCTTTTGTGCAACCGGTTTTGGGTATCGAAAAGTGTAGATGGATACTGGAGCATTACCCTGAATTTGCACCGCCAAATCACCGCTCACCACTTCGCCTAAACATCGCTCGGCGGTTTGTCGAAGTGTTTCTCCCTGTCGATGCTCAATCTCCGGTAACTTCCACGGGCTTGCGTACTGTTTTTGCCCAAACTTTTGCCGAACCACGAGCACCAGTTGTCGATCGAGTAATCGTTGAAGACTTTTCTCGTCTTTTTCTCCATCGTTTCTCTCGTTCAACTTGTAGTTCTTAACCAATCGATCAGCTCGCGCATTCCACTCTTGTTCTTTCATCAAATTCGTCACTTCTAATTCGCCCTCCAATTCGGATAAATCCTTTCCGGAAGCCTCCAATTCGGCTTTCTTCGCCAGCAGTAATTGATCCTTTTTCGATTTCAACTCGTGGTCATTGAGAAGAGAAGATTCTTTCTCGACTTTCAGCAACATATCTTGATATCGTCGTTCAATGGGGCTCATTGGTGACGCGATGATGGGTGCACGTTGGAGAACGACTGAGGCCACGATGTCCCAAGAGGTCCGCGTTAACATCGAGACTCGCATTTCTAAAAAGAAAAGGTTTCATGAAGAAAATAAACCACCTCGTTAACTACCCTAGTCTTTGAATTTTGAAAGTTCGGCAAATAGGCAGTTACGAGCTTTACCAGTAAATAGGCAGTTATAAGCTTTACCAGTAAATAGGCAGTTACAAGCTTTACCAGTAAAGCTTTACCATACTTTACCAGTACCTCTTATTCTAATGGTTTATTTTTATTAACCCATCTATTACAAAAATTAAGAAGTTTAGCTAATGGTTACGCAAATTCTAAATTTGTTTCGCAAATTTCGCAATTCTAAACTAAATTTAAATGATTTACTTGAGTTTATCCGTTCCTTTTGTTAATTTGTAGGCGCCAAAGTTGAATCTTTGATGATGAGATTATCTGAAAAAAAAAAACTAGAGATCAATGACTGAAAAATCGAAAAAAGAAAATGCAAAAACAGAAAGGCTTTCAAAAATTGAAATTTTAAAAGTTACACTGTATTTCAATTCTTTAAATCTTCAAATACCGCTTACTTTTGGTGTTATTACATACAATTTCTGCGAAAGAGATGAATCATTTCGAAAACTTTATTTTCATGAATATTTTTTACATTGTAAATGACAATTTCATTACTAACCAAACTAGGGAAAGGGATTTGTTTAAAATCAAGGCAACATTATGCAGCTCTCTCTATTGCAATAGTGTATAGCACCGAACACCGAAAAATGTGCACGTGTTGGAGATTTTCTTGACAAAAATATTATGACAGGTGGGGGGTGAGGGTATTTTTAAGTAAGGCGAGACCCGGCGATGACTACAATTGCATGCGGAGAAATAGATTTACACGGGAAAGTTCCCTCAAAATAAGGCTTCAGCTCTAAAAAGTCGTACTTCATCCATATGTCGTAGCCGATGAAGGATTTCAGCCGAAGAAGTCTCAGACTTCTTCGGCTAGCCGATGAAGTCTCAAAATATTTCCATTAGATGATCGACAACTTTAAATTGTGTTTTCCTTTGCAATGCCCGCAAAACGACGAACTTTGTGAAATGATCCTGGTAGACCATCAAAAACTTGAATTCTCTATCGGAAACGGATTGAAGATCGATTAAATCCGTGCCTTTGATGAATGACGAAAAAAGCCCTTTTATAGCCTTTGATGAATGACGAAAAGGGCCATTTTATAGCCTTTGGTTATAATATGATAAAATGCGCACTCTTTAGAATGCGTTTTTAGCTTTTAAGCGCCTTTTAGAGAGCTTGAGTTTGTGGTATTGACTTGAGTCAATACATAACTCAAGATTTCATTTTTGAGACTTCTTCGGCTAACCATATTGGAATGATATTGGAACCATATTGGAACTATTTTGGAACCGTATTGGAACCACATTGGAACCCGAAGAAGTCTGAGACGGCTGAAATCCTTCATCGGCTACGACATATATAAAGAAACAAACAAAAATTGTTTCTGAAGGATTAAAGGAGAGCATTACCTTTTACGGAGAGAATACGTTACGGTAGCTTTCCAAATTATCCATCTTTTGGAAAACTCGAACTTTATCGGCTAATGCGTTTTCTAAAAGATCTATTTTAGAAAGCTACCGTCACCAAATGCCATTTTCATTCCATCCAAGTTAAAGCACTCGAATTCGTTTTGAAAATGACAAGGAATTATACAAGGGTTTTACTAAAATCACAAGTCATGAATTAAAAAGTCATGAACTAATCAATGTTCATCCACGGTAGTGAATAGGGTACGCTGTGGTTGAGTTGTATCGGTAAGTTGAGCTGCATTTGGATCACATGCAGGCGGTGAGCCGATGACTCCATTGGCCACTCCGACCTGGAAATGATTTGCCTGGTGAATGAACCATGAACCAATCAGGATTCATTTTCCCAAATCACTCACATTGGTGGTCGGCTCCGAGTTTCCCAAAACCACTTTCGAGTCCCGGGTTTCGGCTCTTCTAAATTATCTAAATTTTTTCAATCTTTCAACTTCCATTTACGCTATTCCCGGCGATTTGAAGCTCAAGCACGTGAATTTGCTTCTTTGACAGATATTGACGACAACGACTGACTGATTCGAGCATCATTCCTTGAAAAGCGATCAAGACTCCGTAAAAGATAAGGGCGAAAATGAAGACCTAAACTTTTTTTTTGCTCTAACGATTCTTTTTGGCTTTACATTTGTGGTTGCCTGGACTCCATCAATTTGCATAGTTGTGGCACCAGTGAGAAGGTGGATTCTGAAAGTTTGATCTAATATTCGACGAGTTTTCATGCTTTAAACTAACATCATGAACATGCACATAAGCGCTTCCGATGAAACGAGCATTAGGTAGACGATGAGAAAAGGAATCAGCAGTTTCGCGGATCCATTTCTGACTCCAACGATCACCTTTAATTGCTCAATCGATCAGCTATTCCTGTGTGCTTACCTGATAGTGTATCAGCATTCCCATCAAAAAGAATATCACAAGAAATCCTGCAAAGTGTTTAACTTGAACTTGTAGTCCACCTTACCCAATGTAGCTACATCAACACCCTTTTCGTGGTGATACCAGTCGAATTCGAAGAAAATCGAAACAAAGACGAAAAGTGTCATGGCCATTCCAACGCCTGACGACATCTGTAAATTGAGTTTTACCATAATTTGTGGTTGGCTGACAAACCAACCAAATTTATGCAAAATCACAACTATTAGGGTCCTCTCGTGTTCGTTTCAACTTACCAAAGCCATTCGCTGAGAATGGACGCCACAGAGCATAAACTCTTTGGCCGTCTCATCGAACGGAGCCACATGGATCTCAGATGGCGGTGGTCGATCATCGGTTTCCTCTCCTAAAACCGTATGCTGCGTTTTTTATATAACTTTTAGAAGAGTAGTCTTGTCAGTCACTCATTGTCACTCCCTTACTATAAAACTAGTTTAGTACTAGTTTATGACTTGATAGTGACTTCATTAAAATTCAAAAACCTGTTCTTTAAAACCGACCTGGCAATCCGAATCGCGAATAGGAGACGGCATTGTGGTCTGCTTGCCGCTTCAGCCATCTCACCAATCGAGACATCTAAAATACTCGATTTATTGAAAGCATAAATTCTGAAAATAAAAAACAAAGAAAAAAATTTTTGAACCCGGATGACATGAAAGTAAAAATCATGGATAACAAAAAAAAATCAACGTACTACTCAATCTCTAAACAACTAGTCGGTTTTCAATTAAAAACAACTTCAAAACGACAAATTTTTCTTCTCTTTAGCCGCATCATCGTCGTCAATTTTATCGTATCGATTGGGATGAAGGGCATGTCTTTCCCAAGTCATCTTTCGATTCAACGCGTAATCAATCTCGGGCACTTTGATCTCTCCCAAAACCAAGCCACTTTTCTCCAAGGCATCATAGAACGCTTCTTGATGTTTGCTATTTTCTCCCTTCTTCGTTTTCCCCGAAGCTACTCGTAGAATCCCGGACTGAAGAGCTTTCATTGCCAAAACCTGTCCCAAATTTAACGCAGCAGCCGTATCCGAAGTACTATAGAGTTGATTGGCAATTGAACGATCCTTAGTTGATGCCCGCAAAACGATTCCATCTTTGAAATGCGTGATCGTCGCTTCTTGGTGTGTTCCACGTTGTGTTAACTCGGCTTTGTAAAGGAAATTCTTTTTTTCCGCGTTCGTCTCAAATTCAAAGCCCTTTGGCGCCGGTTGCAATCCGCAAAGTTGATGATTGAGGGGGTTTCGGTTGATAAATTTCTTCACAAATTGCACACCCCGTCGATTCATTCTAAAAAGTAACGATCAATATAGCCAAAACATGTATCTATGGGTGCTATAGTCGTTCGGGGTGGCGGGGCAATTTGTAAACACCGTTTTTTTCGGACTTTCAACTAGTTTTAAAAACTTTTTCTGGGGTAATCAATTGTGCTGAATCTATTGGGATCATTCTGAACAACTTTTATGCCGGTTTGAGCAACATTTCCGAGCCTTCAATGGTACGGGACTGAATTAAGAGAATTAAAACCTCAGTAAATGCTTGAAATAACTAGAAAACAGTTACTAAAGAATAAATAAATAGATCAATATAGCGTAAAAGGTAAATTAAGAATCTACGCCTTTAAAAACCATAGAAGCAAAAATTATTAGTGCGCTCTGGTTCAATAGAGACGAATGTACACTGTCCCCCCAAACTACGATAGCACCGAATCTATGTAAAAGGTAAATTTAAGTCTTAAAAATTTGTAAAAAGATCAACATATAATTTTCGAAACCAATTTCTATAACTAGTAAGAGTTTTTATAAAGTTTACATAAAGAGATCACTAAAAATAACCTGTACGAGGAACTTCAAAGTTGAATGGGGCGAGGAGCGCAAAATAGCACAGAGGAAAGTAGAGCGGCACCGAAAAGTTTAAAAATTATGCCGCACAATCTTCTCGACTATCCAAAATCAGAAAAACGAATGAAAAAATTCTGGAAATTTTTATAATACTTTTGTTAGATTTAAGTAGACTAGAGCCTTCGAAACAAGAAAATCTTCCGCATTACTTTGCTTAAAGATAACCGTTTATTTTTATACAATCATAATTTTAAAAAATCAAATGTTTACAAAAGAATTCACAACAAAACGAGATCTGAAATTTTTATCTGATAGACGAAATCCGATAATAAAGCAAGTCCTAACTTCAAAATATGCAATGCTTGGAAAAATAACAATCTTCAAACAAAAACAAAGAAAATAAATCTAGAACAAACCACAATTGGAGTGACAATCAAAGAAAAAAGCAAATTTGGTAAGATTTTTAAAGGTAAGGCCCGCCGCCGATCTTGAAAGAAGCATTTCATCTGTGGCCATCTCGATTAAGTGATCCGCTTGGTTCTGTGTCATCTGTCGTCATCTGTCGCCATCTCGTTTAAGTGATCCAAGTTCCAGCTCTTTGCAAATCTTCTAAATTTAATCATTATGTGCTAAACAAATTACCCTAGAAATAGAAATTGTTACCCTAGAATTCCGCAAGAAGAGATTGAGTCGATCTCTTTTCATGTTCCGCTCGGCCTTGTATCATTCGAATTGCCAGATCATCAATTGCTGAATGAATATAACAAATAACAAAACTATATTGTTTTATACCTTTGTCTCCATCGAGTCTTCGTCGAGTCACATCCATCAGAAAACGAATAAAACAAAATTGAACCAACGACTTGTTTTGAGAAATATTGCGCCAGTTTGAAGAAGGAGAGACAAATTTGAAGGAGAAGACACGGCTTGGCCCTAAAAATTTGAATGAAATTAGCATACCAATTACAAAAAATGCTTAATGTCTTGCCTAACCGTTGGGTCTCCAATTTCATCAAATTGGTCATCACTTTTGTCCCTAGTACGTAGCTCTCGCTCTTATTCTCATCGTCTCGCGATTCATCTCCCCTTAAAGTTAAATTTAGTGTAAAACAAGTGATTTTTCACAAGTAAAAGTATTAAAAAATCACTCGTTTTGGCTCGCTTTGAAAGATGATTTTAGAAGTCCTCAGATACGGCTAGCCTCATTTACTAAAACAAATTTCGTAAAAAAGTGCTAAAAAATTTGAATTTTGAGCGAATCGTTCTTGAAAAATCAAAGCTTTTGAATGAATCGAAAACTAGTTGTTTACGCGAGCTCAAGTACTCAAGCTCTTGGACCCTTTAAGCCAATGCCCAAATTTCATTATTTAACCCGTAATTTTTAACTTTTTGCTCTTTCAAAGCACATGTATCATATAAAAATGAAGAAATTTCCCAGTTTTCACAAGCCATTTTTAAAAGTTTATTGCACAAATATTCACAAGAAAAGGATTGTCTATAAAAGCACTCCCTCACATACGAGCGATTGACTACAAGTTGAAGCAACTCAAAACAAGTAAAGTTATGGGACTTACAATAACAATTACAAAATAAACCTATTTGAGAAAAAGTCTGGAATCACAGTATTATTAAATCACGATAGTACTACATTAAACACCTCTGAAAACAAAGTGCAAAGTCAAATGGGAGATAGTGGTACAAATAGTGGTACAATATGACACAATGTAAAAGTTTTAAGGCCGCAAATTTTATTCATTAAGTAGTTGAGCCATCGCTTGCCTCGTGCCCTTCAAAGCCTTTAGTTCCATTGTTAAACCGAGAAAGCCATACCTAAAAGTTGTGAATTTTCAGTGAAAAAATATTCAACCTACCAAACACAGAATGCAATTAGAAGAGTGATTACGAATCGAAGAATTGAAAGAGGCAGAGACATGAATGGAATGATGTAATCGAGAACTAATGAGCCGATGAGAATTACAACCAGAAAGACGAACAAACCTAAATTCAATTTACAAGTTGTTTCGAAAAGAAAACTACCGATGAAAATTGAACGATCTCGATGTGCCCGTTTCTGGCCGTCTCTAACGATGTTGATCACTTCTTTTAACAACGGTAGTTCATGTTCCCAAATCATCGACGGCTAAGTGTTTTAAAGTTAATTAAGATAAATGCAACCAACATGTCTGTTCTCCGTATGAATATGAAAGACAGAGTACACACCAACATGATCCGAATAATTGAGTTCTTCATTAGGAATCTAAAGCAAATTACAGAGTAATAGGAAACTTTTAATTACCTTGTTGAAACAAATCCCAGAGTCTTCCAGATGACCATGCATGCGACCGCTTTTGTAGAACATGTAGTCAATTCGTTTACCGTCGGGGCACTAAAAAAAGTTCACTTCAGAACACAATTACTTTTCTTACCTCTCTTCGCATAAGTGGTGATGTATAATAGTTATCCGGTCGATCACACGTCATTCCTGTGCGTCTCACCAAAGATGTGCGTTCGCTGGTCGGTGTGTCTAGAAAATTGAAAATTAACCATCAATGGAAAATGATATGTTCCTACCGACTTGGCCGTGACCTTCATTAAAAATTCTCCATGCATCATGAAGCTTTGTGTTGGACATCAAAAGTCTGAAAGCTTGATTAAAAAGTATCCAAAATTTCCCGATACCGTAAGCCCAAATCGTCTGGTTCCATGTTCATGTCACCGCATAGTATCACAAAATCGGCGCCACGAGACTAAATTTATCTTTAAAATGTGTCGTTAAAGTAAGACTACTCTTTAATCTATATTAAAGATAGATTAAACCTCACCGTGTGCCGAACAAACTGCGACAGTTCGAAAGATTGCGCAAGTCTAAAGAAAAAAAATTGTTTGAGTCGATTTTTAATAGAACAATTGCAACAAGTTCTTTTAGACGGAAATGTGTAAGAGGGAGCAGAGCGGATACGGTCGAGACAAAAGCCCCATTGTCATGTTTCGGACGTATCCAATTTCTCACGCTAGAGGCGCTAAACGAAGAGTGGTCTATTCCATTGCCACAATAATCAGCCACTATGCAGTGCTACTTGCATTCATTTTTGTTGTTCATGCAAGGATTCATCGTAAACGTAAGTAATACTGTTTTTTAGCTTAGTTAGTGACCTTTTTAAGATTAATGGGTTCAATATTGTCGATCCAATTTCACTCTCGTTGCTGTCAAGCCCAACGAATAAGGTTGAAAATGCAACTGTGTGCCCGATGAAGGATTGCACTGTATTCGATTGTTTTAATGGTACTCTACTCAAATCACAACCAATTCTATTTAAAGTTATTCAAATTTAGATCATGTGCAGTGTGATGAAACACATTATTTGATTGCGAGTAGTCGAGCATCGTGTGAAAGAATGTCTAATCCAGGTTTGCCGAAAAACAAGCCTGTTCAAACGAAGTTCAAGAAAACCTCCTACGGTTCAATCGGGCTGGACAGACATGGACATTATGCACTAAACAATGTCAACAAGACTACCTGCGGAATTATATTCAGGTTTTTGCTAGAGAGAAACTTCTTTTACTTCCTTTTAGCGCTATACACCTGTTCATTGTGCATATCTTGCCGCAGCTCTATCAGAGTCAGCAATAGATTGTCACATTGAATGCGGATTTTGTTCAATTTGTAAAGACTCGAGAATTGCTTTGTTAAAAATGCTAAAACATCGCTCTCTGTCCTTGCTCAAACGGGTTTGCTATCAATTTCTAAGATTTAAAAATGTTTTACAGGATACCGAGTTTCGTGGAACTATAAAACGTTGTGGTGGACCGGCGGCATGTGCTCTCCCCCTTACTTGAACCAATATATCAGACTAGCTTTTAACTAACCTATGTGGAAGATAAAGATCGTTGAGACGGTTGTACTCGGCATGCAAATGAGTGGCATAAAAGTTGACTCTAAGTTCTCCAATCTCCAGCTCTACCATACCGACGACCTAAAATTTGACTAGAATCATTCACCAGTAACTTTATCTACCTTGCCCCCAAACCAATCTCCACGATGTATATGATGCGCAAACCCATTCAATGAATATCTGAAGAAAATATTTGTAAGATTAGACAAAAATCTTGACCTGTGCATTAGCGTTGACACAATTGGATATTTCGAAATGACAGCGACTCCGCTTCCAGTGAATCTAAACAAAAGTCTTGTAACATAATAAAAATTTGGCTACCCACCCAGAATGAAAGTAGTGAGAAAATGGATAAGCTGCCTGGACCCTCTCGGCCAAATCCAAGTAGTCGTATTCTGACCATAGTTCCTTTAAAAGATTTAAAAATGTATTTATATTTAAAGGAATACCTGCAATCCGATGACATCATATTCACCTTTGAGTAGAGCGTCAGCAAGTTTTTCGAGACGAAATCTGCGATCTGCGCTCCCAATAGGCCTGAATTTAGTGTTATATAACACATCACGAACCATATTTAAGCTTAAATTTTTAAACTGAGCAAAGTTACTACTTTAACAAACAGACATGTACCTACCAAGGCTGTGGCAGAGCCCAACAATTCAAACTCGCTGCTCGTAGCTCGAGTCCGGGCTGGGCCATTCCCCAGCCTGTAATGATCGAGTAAGCAAGTTGAATTGTTTGAAATTCAAAATACCTAATTTGATTCAACATTTTAAAGATATACAAATAGCCATAAAGTATGCTTTATTAGCGCACAATTCTCAAAACAAAAAGAAAAAATCAACGACAACCAAAATAACAAACCTAATAACTAAAAACCAAACAATTTAAGAAAAAATCAAAAACTAAATCGAATCAAATGTCTCAAGTCTTTGAATTACTTCTGCTAGAGATGCTTCTTTGGATAAACAAGTGAGTTCTTCTTTCAACGGTTCACCTACATAAAGCTCCATTGTTGGCTCCTGAAATTAAGTGAGTCGCCTTTTTAAGAAATAAAAACTTACATTCTTTTCAATGGTTTTCACTGTGTTTCCACCGAGTATTACGTATCGTGGAATTCCCGTCAATGATAAAGACTAAACGTTTGCATATTACAGTCATGGACAAAAGTCTTTTAACGTTGATTTTTAGAAGTTTGTTTTTCGTATATCTTGGTTAAAATTCAACCAATTTGCAAACGGTTGAAAGATTTAAAGAGCTTATTATCACTAGTTTTAGCATTAGCGATGGATTTAGTGATTTATAATATGTCATGAGCTTTTTAAAAAACAAAAATTTAGGCAAAAATCGATGGACAAAAGTAACGTCACAGTTTTTTCGAGAAATTTCCTCTTTTTCTGTCTTTTTCCTTTTGATTTCTGGTTGTTAACTGTAATCTTTTAGATGCCCGACGCCTACTTATCAATTTCGGGCAAAGAGAAAATTGTCGAAGCTCGAAAAACGGAATGTCTAGAAAAGCGGTTGCTGAGCTCTTCCGTTGTACCGAAAGAACTGTGTCGTTTGTTGTCTCCCGGGGCAAACTCGCGGGAAACGTTCATCGTGCATCAAAAAGTGAACGTCCACCAGTTACAACTTTACGAGAACACTCGTTCTGGCTCGTTCTGGCCCACAAGAAGAACCCAAATCTGAATGCCTCTAATGGCGTGGCTATGGTGAAGCAACAATTTAACAAAGAAATTTCTCGAAAAACAGTGAGTCGACGCCTGATTCACGGTGGATTGATGACTAGAAGGGCCGCCAAGAAACCTCTGATGGTAGCTAAGCACCGGAAGCTTCGTCTCGAGCTTGCTAAGAAGTATCAAAGTTGGACGTCGCACGATTGGGCCAATGTTGTGTTCACCGACGAATCGAAAGTCAATCTTTTCGCCCCTGATGGCAATCATCATTTGATACGGAGACCAGTCGGACAACGTTATAACATTAAATACTTGCGTCCTACAGTTAAATTTGGTGGTGGATCGATCATGCTATGGGGTAGGAACCTTTGTATTTTGTGCCACGAAAAACAAACTTCTAAAAACCAAAGTTAAAAGACTTTTGTCCATGACTGTAATAGCTGCGGAGAAGTGATCTTACCCGTATTCGGTTTCCCAGGGTTTCATTTCGATCATCGAGCAAAATTTGTTGATATCGTTTTGTAAGCTCCGATAACACAGAACCAAGAAATTGTGAGTCTTTTAATTTCTGTAAATTAAAAAGTTACAAACGTAGATAATGAAAACCAACTCCATGAACAATAAGTGCAACATCGAATGGGGCAACAATTGGTGGCAAACGTAAAGCTTGCCCACTAGGCGGAGATAAAAGTTCAACCATTCCGTGCATCAAACGAGTGACACCAATCCCAAAGCAGCACATTTCCAGTGGGTGTGACTAAAATTTTAAATATTGACAGTGATATTAATATTTACGCATTTTTAAACAAAAAGCAAAATAAAAAAATTCTTACATCTAATTGCAGCCCAAAAGCAGTCGAATATTTTGTACCAAGTTGAAAAGTATGCGCTATCTAAAACTTTCCTATCTAAAAGTTTGACTTAAATTAACTCACTTCAATCGTCGACATTTTTTCGCTGCCATGCAGAGGACATGGAGCCTCAACCTTTGCACTACCGCCATCTTGACAACTGTAAAATTATTTATATGAGGTGCAAAATTTCGACTTACGTATGACAATAAACAATTTCATCTTGATTTAATGGATTTTTGATGTGGTATTCGTGCGACAATTTACCACCGTGAACACCAGAGTCTGCTCGGATCTAAAAAGATTAATTAGAAAGCACATTAAAAACAAAATCACCTTGTAAACTTTCAGTTTCAAATACTTTTTGAAGATCTTATCGTAAGCGTTTGAAACTTTTTCATAGGTGTTGACTGCTTGTTCACTGTTGAGATCAAATGAGTAGAGATCGTTCATCAAAAATTGCTTGGCTCGAACAACACCATAACTAAAATTGTCAAATGAAGATCCGAACAGCTGCAAATACCGAGCATGTGCCTCATCCCTGAATTTTTCCGTTGATTGATAAATCAGAATAGGTAGCGCATCTTTGCGTATAATTCCGAGCTGATTGAGAGTATCTACACACATCTCTTCGGCAGTTGGCTAAACTAAAATTCATCATAATTCAGCCAAAAATATTCTTCCTACCTGTAAACAAAAGGACTCGGCTTGCCTATCTTGCATCGTCATTAGTTCTGGACCCATGCTGTCCCATCGCTTTGTTTTATCCCACAGCTTTTTCGGAGCAAGAATTGGAAATGTGACTTTCTGAGCTCCAATCGCGTTTAGTTCGTTTTCAATGAGTGAAAGTAGGCGGTCGACAACTCGTTGACCGTTTGGTAACAATCTAAATAGCACAACTGTATTACTTTTGAGCAGAGAAAGACCAATAAACCGTTTGGTAACAATCTAAATAGCACAACTGTATTACTTTTAAGCAGAGAAAGACCAATAAACCCTGTTTCTTTTTCTTTTTGCACATTACTCAAACATTCTTTTATTTGCAAGCATTGCCAACTCATTAGTTTGTTTAAAATACAAAATCCAACCCGAAAAGTCCGTTGTCGATTTTGCTGATGAAGCCGCCTTGTCGAAGTAAACGATAGGCAATACTCTTCGACGGCCCGGGACTGGCAGCTGAACGTAGAGTCCATTGAGACGCTCGAGTTATCGGCATCTAAAGTATAAAATTGACATAACAGCTCATAGAGGAACAAATTGACATAATAGCTCATAAAGGAACAAAATTAAATAATATAGTAAGCAAAGCCTAAGGTTCTCCCAAATGTTATTGTTCAAAGCTTTCAAAGCATGGGATCATGGGGATTATCCGATTGCCAGCAGAATCAACAGCTATAGAAATTTTTAGCTTTTAATTTTTCGCACCAATGATTGAACTATTCGTTGTCTTTTCACTATCTCTCAAAGCTTAAACCCAAACAGTCATAGTCTAAAAGATGCCCTTCTGCGTGTACCCGATTGCAAACTACAAATAGTTTGGAGGCCAATTCTGGCAGTGGAGGGAAATGCCCGTATTCTGCGGGTCATTTAGCCTCGCTTACTCCCTTTTTCTTCAAATCGATGCGCATTTCATTTTAGGCGTCGCTATGCTATTGATTAGAAAGTTTTAACATTTTAAGGGAAAAAATGAGGAATCCTTTTACTGTTTTGCCAGTTGCACAGACAGAGAGGATTTTCGAAAATGCCTTTCGGAATTATCGAAAGAAATCGAAATTATTTAGTTTTTTTTTATGAAGTTTTAGACTTGTAGTTTCTTTAGCTTCTTTAACTATTTACAGTCGTCAAAAAAGTCTTGGCCGGTTAGTGTTCACTTGGTCCATAGATCACATCCAAATCTATTGACCACAAATAGTTTTATGTAGCATTTTCAAAGGTTGTGAAAACGAAACATTTAGCTTTTCGATATCCTTTAAACTAAGAGTTTTATGATCAAAAAATCTTATTTGAGCATGGTTTTTAAAACTTTATTTCAAGAATGAATGGATCCCATTGAAAACGGTTATTATAATGGCATTGGACGGTCCAATTATAATGGCATTGGATCGTCTATTACTTATTTATTAATTTTGTTCTGGTGAAAATGAAAAGCTACTGGCAGTTTTGAAGCCTTGAAAAAGTTTGAGGAAAAGGACCTTACCCTCTTATGCAAGAGTAGCTTGAGAAATTTTATTTAGAGCGACATCGGTACTAATGCACCTATGGGGGCCACTTTTTTTGCTCGAAAACCACTTTATTAGAGGTTTTTGCTGCTAGATTAGAGCTGCGCCGATTCCAAATTTGCAGAAAACTTTTATAGGTTTTGAATTGAGCTCCTAGTTTTTAGAATAAACGAGTATATTTACTTACATTGGCGCTGCTATCCAAATTTTTCATTTTTCACGTACAGCAGCCCCATAATTATAAAATTGACTTCATTAAAATTTCAAGTAACAAAGATGACTAGAATTTGTAAAGTGACAACGATAACTAGAATTGAAATGTTGAAACGATGATAACTTTTAGATGCACGCGTAAAGTTGGTGCACATTATGCCTACATGAGAAGAATCAAAATTCAACTAAAAACCTACAAAAATTTTCTGCAAATTTAGAATCGGCGCAGTCAAAAAGCTCTAATAAAGTGGTTTTCGAGCAAAAAAAAGTGGCCCCCATAGGTGCATTAGTACCGATGTCGCTCTAAATAGAATTTTTCAAGCTATTCTTGCATAAGTCCTTTTCCTCAAACTTTTCCCCATAGGTGCATTAGTATCGCGACATCAAAAATCTAAGAATATCATCTGAAAGCTTTCACTAAATATTACAAAAAACTAATTGGGATCGATTTATTTGAATGCTATCTAACGGGGGAAAGATGAGAAAACATTGGCCGGCCAAGACTTTTTTGATGACTAATAATACGCCTGGCCCACAAAATTCACCAACTTTTTTTGTCTCTTCATTGCTTTGTTTTTTTGAGCCATGCTAACACTTGTATCAACTTTTAAAATTTAGGTAGTCGAATCCGCGACAATGAGTCGAGATAACACGCATCTATCTGGTGCCGAGTATCTAGCTTCGATTTATGGAACGGAAAAAGACAAGGTAATAATGCGTTTATGTCGAACTTACTATATGATTTTGCTTTTAGGTAAATTGTTCGTTCTTCTTCAAAATTGGTGCTTGTCGACATGGGGATAACTGCTCTCGAACACATATCAAGCCGACGTTCTCGCAATCGGTCATCATCAAGAACTTTTATCACAATCCTGTCATTGATATGCGCCAGGCTGATGCTTTCTCAAAGGTGAGTGATTTTTTTAGTTTTAAGTCTTTGCTTCTTTAGGTTGGACAAAAGAATCGTCTCGAGCAGGATTTTTTTGAAGAGTTCTTTGAGGAAGTTTTTAGCGAAATCAACGAAAAGTGAGTTTTTGGTTTATGAATTGCAAATGGTGTTTTGCAGGTATGGCGAAATTGAAGAGATGAACGTTTGCGATAACATTGGAGAGCACATGATTGGCAACGTTTACATCAAGTTTTATCGAGAAGAAGATGCGGAAAAGTGTGTTCGCGGGCTCGAAGATAGATGGTAAGTTGTTTTTCCAAGACATGAACTAGATTACTTAAGGTTCAATGGTGATGCTATCTACTGTGATCTTAGTCCTGTTACGGACTTTAGAGAGGCCAGCTGCAGGCAATATGAGCTTGGAGGTTGTACCAAGGTTGGTATATTTACAATTACAAATGGAAAAATCGATTTTAGGGAGCTTTTTGCAACTTTATGCACTTGAAGCCAATTTCTCAAGAACTACGCAGAAAGCTTTATGGTCGAAGAGCCCCACGAACTCGCCCACCACCAAGAGGACGAGAACGGGATGACGGTGGTATGTTTTGCTTTTCGGGATATTTTATGCGTGTTAATATGCATCTAATAATTACTGATTATTAGATGCATCGGCACTATGGCTTAGTCTGATCATTATATTTAACGTTTTTAGGATACAACGATCGCGGTTATGGAGGAGGAGGAGGAGGAGGAGGCGGCGGCGGAGGCTATGGTGGTGGTGGCGGAGGTGGCGGAGGTTACGGTGGTGGTGGTGGAGGTGGACGTCGTCGAGAGCGCTCTCCTTATCGCTAAAGAAAACTTGCTTTTGGTAAATAATCTTTTTTTACAATGTCTATCAATCCGTTTTTCATTTGGGAAATTTCTTCTGAATTTTTCACGAACTCCTTTGTTCAGTATTTGGTCACTGTTGTTATTCTTTAAAAAGTCGTTCTATTTATTCAAGTAAATTTTTTGGGATTTGTTTATTTTCTAGTAAAAGGCAATACCACTATTATCTACAAGATTGGAAAACGTATGTTTTCAGCTTAGACAGAGATAAAAAATCTAGATACATGATGAAACTCGATAAAATAGCCCAGGTGACGGGTCTGATTAAGAATGGAGCTCGTTTGGTGGTAGGAATTTGTGGGGAAAATAAAACAATACAAAAATTTAGCTCATAGCCGATTTTGATCACACACTCTCGCAACCCGATAGCCCGATAGGGCATAAAGTTTTCCCACTCAGCGCCCATTCTGGCAACAAGACGCTTGGAGAACAAGTTGGATAATGAATTTTAAAAACTAAACAGACAAGTAGTTTGCTGAGATGAATAAAAGAATGAGTTCTCCCCTCGCAACGACCAATTCAAGAGAGGAAAAAGTGACGATTTGCTCCGATTGGTAAGTGAAACACAATTATCACTTTCAGAAATCACTTTCAGGTGGAATGAGTCACATAAACACATCATCAATGCCGAGTTCTCGATCAACAATCTTCCAGTTTATGTAGAAAAATCGAATTTGAATTTGAGGAAAAACTTCTCGAGTTTTATTGATGTTGTAAATGCCAAGCAAATCCCATTTATAATTTCTTCAGCGGGGATTGAAGAGGTTCAAAGATTGGCAAAGCAAATATAAATCCTCATTTAGGTAATCCAAATCTCTATTGCCGACTACAAGATTCCGAAATTGCAAATTTTGGCTAACAAGATGGTCACGGATGAAAAGGTTTCCATCGAAAATCATACGAAAGCAACAAATTTTTAGGGAAAGATAACGGATTTTCGAGAGCCGATCGTTCATTCATACAATAAAAATGGATTCTTGATGAAGTAAGGACGAATATTTCATGAAAACAATCAGCTTTTTTCAGACAAATGCTCCAAGATTCGAACGTTTTACTTGGGGATTTCGTGGTGGTTCTGGTTGGAGACGCGTTGTCGGATTTGTTGATGTTAGAGGGAATAGAGCCACGGCTCGCCTATACGATTGGTTTTTGTAACTTTGAGGTAAATAGCGAAATGAGCTGGATTTCTTTTTGCGTTCTGAGTTACTTGCCATTAATTTCAATATTGCCATTAATTTCAGAAAAATCTCCAAACTTTTGAGGCGAATTTTGACACGGTTTTGGAGAGGAATGCGAGCATGGATGCGGTCACGGAAACTCTCATTCAAATACTTGGAAGTCCGACTGGTGAGCAGAATTATTCAGCAAACTAGTTTATTATTAAATTATTAAATAAATTGTGGTTTTCTATAACGAAATTTCATAAGGAACATTTTAAGACCAACTATCGGTCATCGGGTTGATCGGTCAATTGAAATTTGAGATATGGAGGGAAAGAGAAGAGTCGTCAAACTCTGACTCTCTACCCTCTAAGGTTTCAGTACTGAAAAGGTTTGAATACTGAAAAGGTTTGAATACTGAAAAGGTTTCAGTACTAAAAAGGTTTCAGTACTGAATGTAAATCAGTAAGTATTTTTGGAAAAATCTAACTCTTGAATAGACTGGTCGAGCAATAAAGCTTTGGAAATTTGGAAAAATTAAGTGCAAAATAGAAAAGGAATAAATTTGAGAGCTGGTAAAAACAAACACAGTACAAACAGTGGCGGCCAAAATAATGCGTTTGCGATTTGTGTTTCTTATTTTCATTAGATGTAGAAAAACAAAAGCTATCTGCTTTTTTTTGTTTTGGACTCGTTTAGAACTAATCTAGGATGAGAAGATGCCAAAAAAAAAACGAAAAAAGGGCTGAAAAAGAAGTTAACTGAGCTTTTCTCGACACCAATTCTGTTTTAAGTGATCAGTTTCAGTGATAAGTGATCAATTCTGTTCTGTTTTAAGTGATGTTTTAAGTTTTCTCGAAGCCAAAGTATGCAAAATGTAAATAACCTGTAATAATTTGACTCAGACATTGTTGAGATTCGAGGTAAATTCTTTATTCTCCATCCAATAAGAATAAGAAACAGATAAAAATTAATTACGGGAGGGGGGGCTGCGGGAGGGGGGCTTTGGTTGTGGCGCTGTTTATAAACGGCTCTGTTTTGATCAACTCCCATAAATTTCCTGTCGCTCTGGCTTTTTTGCGATACTATTTTCTATTGGACACCAAAGCTTACTGTATAAATTTCTCGCGAGGAAGAGACTCTAGAAAATACGGTAAACTTCTGCTGCTTTGAACCCCACTGCTTTGAACTTTTTCCACCGTACTCTTTTCTATATTGAACTATCAATTTTTATATTCACTAAAATTTACATGCTTCCCCCGCTTCCCCCGGCGATATTTTTTTTTACGATTAGTACAATTGTCCATGATTTTATCGACTTCTCTTTATCAAGCGGTGAGTTTCTTTGATCATTTTCTTTTTACCATTTCTTTTTACCATTTCGTATCTTTTCGCTTATCTATTTGAAACAAAGAACAATTTCTCTCTTTAAACAATTTTTCCCACGAGCTTTTCTTTGAAATGTTTTTTTTTTGTGATCTGTCTAGCGGTCAAATAGATAAGCCCAATATAACCAGTTTCACTTTCGCCTCTTTTTCTAGTCAATGCAAGCTTGCATTGACTAGAAAAAGCTTGCATTGACTTGCAGCTTGCACGCCGACATTTCCCTCGAGTAAAATCGTTTTGGCGAAACTAGAGTTTTCAATTGCTAGAGTTTTCAATTCATACATTTCTCTATTTGGTTTTCACATCGTTTTCCCGTTTTCCCCTCATTTCTCCAGACGACTCTTTGTTCACAAATACAATCTTTGCGGTTAAAACACACAATCAAACAGTTCTCCTCGAGAAACTCTTTTCAAAAATTTAGTCACTCTTGAATTTTGAAAGTATCCAAATATCTTTTGGACTTAAAGCTTTTGCTTTGAGCTCAAAGCTTCTTTTTTTTAAGCTTTGCTAGCTTTGCTAGCTTTGCTAGCTTTGCTTTGCAATTCTTAATAGTTTCTTCGAATTTTTAACCTCAACTTATCACCTTTTTTTTTAGCCACCGAACAACTCTCGCTTTCACCGATTAGAACTATGCCGCCAGCTGCAGAAAAGGTAGATTTTTTTGTAAAATTGCCTTATTAATTTTCAATTTTTAGGAAATTGTAACGAAAATTCTTCAAGCTGAATCAATTCTCTCGCTACCTTATGTTAAATGCAGGTTGTTTATATTTAAAGCTAATGATTTGTTGTTAAATGTACTATTATTGCATTTTCTTGAAAAATTCATCGTTGTTATTACATTTTTCTTGAAAAATTCATCGTTGCTATTGCATTTTCTTGAAAAATTCATTTAGCAAAGCAAAACTTGCTTTAGGGATCGATCTGTTGTGGAAAAGAAAATTGAAAAGATTATCGCCGATGGGATCGATCAACTTGTCGTCAGTTTTATTATCATCTTTTTTTAAAAATTGTTTAAAGTACCGTATTTCTTCGAATAGAAGACCGGGTAAAGAGTATCATCGCGTGCTCCTGCGTAGCAGCCCTTTTTAAAATTGCTTTTCTGCATAAAAGCTTTTAATCAAGTGCTATAGAGCTGGAAAATGGTTCAAAAATCTGTTAGCTCATGTGGTATTTTTGAGCAATTTTCCAGCTCTATAGCACTTGATTGAAAGCTTTTATGCAGAAAAGAAATTTTAAAAAGGGCTGCTACGCAGGAGTACGCGATCATACTCTTTACCCGGTCTTCTATTCGAAGAAATACGGTAGTTTAAAGCGTTTAAAGCGCATAGTTTAAAAATCGAAGATGCGTTTTTAATTTTGAGATGAAGTAGATAAAAGTTAAAATACTTTAATGTAAGAATTTTTAGGTGATTTCGGATTTCGACTACACACTCTCGAGGGCAATCGACGATAATGGAGAGCGTTGTCACACTACGTATGGAGTTTTTGATGTTTTCGTTGACGAAATTCGCCCAGGTCTTAGCCAAACGGTGAGTATTAATTAAATCTAAAGAATTATCACTTATTCCAGCTTTAAAACTTTCATTAAAACTTTAAACTTTTATTAAAACTTTAAACTTTCATTAAAGCTTTAAACTTTCATTAAAGCTTTAAACTTTTATTAAAGCTTTAAACTTTCATTAACGCTTTAAACTTTCATTAACGCTTTAAACTTTCATTAAAGCTTTCATTAAAACTTTAAGTTTTCATTAAAGCTTTAAGTTTTCATTAAAACTTTAAACTTTCATTAAAGCTTTAAACTTTCATTTAGCTCAAAGACCTCAAGAATCTCTATTACCCAATCGAGTTCGATCCTCACATGACAATCGAAGAGAAGTGCCCGCATATGGAAGAATGGTATATTTGATTTAATTAAAGCCTTTTAAACAATTGGATACTTTAGGTGGCGATGTTCTCATTCACACATTGTGTCGGCGGGTTTCACGAAGACAAACATTGAACGATTTGTGGAAAGATCGAATGTTCTATTGAGGTTATATTGGACATTACATTAAATTGAAGTTGTTAAAATGTTTTTTTTTAGAAAAGGAGCCGAACAATGGCTGCGAGAGTTGGCCAATGCTGATGTGCCGCTTATCGTTTTCTCGGCCGGAGTTGGCGACATCATTGAGACGAAATTGCGACAACAGTGTGGAAAGGTAATTTTTTCAATAAACTCGCAAGATCAAAAGGATTTTGATGACAATTTTTTGTCTTTAGATTCCAGACAACTTGCACATTCTCGCGAATTTGATGAAATACGATGAGAATGTAAGAAAATGCTTTGTTTTCTAATTTCTTTTAAATTTAATTGTTTTAGGAAGTTGTCTACGACTTCTCTGAGCCACTCATTCACACTTTCTGCAAGAATTCTTCTGTTATCGACAAGGTTTCAGTGTTTTTCGGATTTTGTGAAGAGATTTCTCTTTAGGCGGCTTCTTTCTACCCGTCAGTCTCGAGTCGGCCGAATGTTTTGCTTATGGGTGATAGCTTGGGAGATGTGCATATGGATGTTGGAGTTAATCATCAGGGGCATACGTTACGAATCGGATTTCTCAACTTTTACGTAAGTAAATTTTAATAGACTTTTGGCTATTAAAATAGCCTTTTAGCTTTTGGCTAAATTAACTTTTATTTTTTATGGCTAATCTTGAGCTCAATTTTTGGCAAAAAAACTGACGCAATTGTTGGAGATTCTTATGATTTTTAAAAAAATTCTTCTTTTAGTCGGACGATTTACTGGAGAAATTCCTGCATGGCTACGATTTAGTGATTATCAACGATCAGACGATCAATATCCCGGAGACGATTACGAGGGTAAGAAGCTACTGTAATTAAGATACTATCCATCTGAATAGATATTCAAATGGATGCATAGGTTCTCAGGTTCTCATAGGTTTGTGGTTCTCATAGGTTCTCATAGGTTTGTGGTTCTCATAGGTTCTCATAGTTTTGTGGTTCTCATAGTTTTGTGGTTCTCATAGGTTCTCTTAGGTTTGTGATTCTCATAGGTTCTGTATATTGCTTCCCTTCTTACTACTTTAAGAATCGAATAACAACATCTATAGTACTGTAGTAGAAGGGTTACTGTAGGACACTGTAGGAAACTATAGGACACTTTAGGAAACTGTAGGAAACTGTAGAAAACTGTAGAAAACTGTAGAAAACTGTAGAATGGTTGTTCTTCACAAAGCAAATATCGTATTTTTATTTAGATGGCCACCGCTGCATCATTGAAACCGTACGACGCTTGAGCGCTCTAAAAAAAAGTTGTCTACGCTCTTTGTAATATTGTTTTGTTCCGCTCTAAGCAACTGCTCCTAAAAAGAAAGCTATCTACGCTCTTTATAATATTGTTTTTTTCTCTGTAACTCAAATGATCTTTCCTCATAGTTTGTACTTGACCAGCTCCTATTGATTGTCGTTTTCTGTACTCGCTTTTTTTTTGTACTTTTTCTATGCCCAAATAGTTTTACGGGTCTACTATAACCTTTTTTTTTTGATGAATACGAATACTAACCAAATTCCTAGCACCGTTTTGCCAATTCTTGCTTTTGATCTTTCTTGTTGATAGTGTATGATATGAGTGTTTGTAAATTTATGCGAGTACAAAAAAAAAGATAGACATTTATCAATCTCTGAAACGTATATAGTTTAAAAATGACACTTTTAACTAACTTCTAATTGGTAAGGCATCAAATTATTATTGCAAGAAATAGACTTTAAACATTTTCATTTAGGCTTTCATTCGGTTAAACGATTACGCCGAGAGCGCTGACGAGACGCTGAGCGGATTTGCGAATCACTCTGGAAATCGAGGTTTTGAATATTCTAAGGATTAATGTAGAAAAAGCGATAAAGGTTAGAGTATTCAAATCCTATTTGACACGGCCGATAGACAAATCTACTGTACTTACATTTGTCCTGTCTGGTACTCGACTTCGTCTTTGCTTGAAGCCACTCGGGCCACCACTTGCCATTCGACATCCTGAATTTAAATTTACATTTATTTGCTGTTTTTCGTCTCCATTACCGTATCCGCCTCATACCATAATTCGATTGATTCAAGCGGACCTAGATCGACAGCCTCGATCTCGTAGTTTTCCGTCTGAAATGGTGAGATTGTTTCATTTTGTAACCGTTCAGAAGATGAGCCTTGCTTTCGTTGTTTCCATTCAACTCCGCAAATCATCTTACAGTTAGTCTTGGCCTTTTGGCTTTGGTTTTGGCCCCCTTTGTGGTTCGGCTACGAAAAGTTCCGGCTTTCTCCACTCGACTCCCAAATGGAAATACCGTAATTATTCTAATAGAAGCACTCCCCTATAATGACGGCCGGAGCGTCACGTAGTCTAACTTTAAGCGTCTCGTTCTCAACTCTGTTTTATACTACAGTGTGCGCTTAGGGATCAAACGATAGCCCCGAATCTCAGCTATATTTTGACTTACAGGAAACCTAGTGAGTTTGGACTTGCAGAAAACCTAGTGAGGGTGTAGAGGTCTACCCCTAGAGAGACAACATGCATTTTAAGAAAATATGGGTGCTTAGAAAAAAAATGAATTACTGAAAAAATTTTGCGATTACGCGACTGTACGGAGGGGGTGCTTCTATTGGAATATTAGAATACTATTAGAATATTATTAGAATACTATTAGAATATTATTAGAATACTATTAGAATACTATTAGAATAGTATTAGAATAGTATTAGAATAGTATTAGAATAGTATTAGAATAGTATTAGAATAGTATATAAGTACTTTAAAGTCCGTACCGTAATCCGATACTTTAAAGTACCGTAACCCATCTAAATAGCTACAATAATATTTAGTAAACATTCTACAAATTTAAAAAACCTAGAGAGAAAAAAATGTTTTTTGAGACGTTTGAGACGTAAATTTAAATTTCTGTCGTAAATTTTAAATGTTAATTTTCGCACGACGTCGGATTCCAATTAACGTCGCCGCCATTTCGAGGTAGTCGATGGGAGCGCCGCGTCGTCGTTTATTTTTCATTTTCAAATCATTTCTTTTTGTCGGAGTTGTTGAAAGTATTGTTTTACGCGTTCTATTTACCGTCATGCTTTGTGGAATGGTTGACGCGTGAAGAGCCCGTCGCCCACTTCCGCCATCTCGTCCGATCACGGTGGCACACGGCTGAATCGTTCCACCAACCGACATCGTCTCCAATTGAACAGTGTAAACGATATCTAAAATATTTTCTTTACTTCAAGCAGTCAGTTAGCAGTTAGCAGTCAAATAGCGAATGAATTACGGTAGATAACTAGAAAATTTGAATACCCAACTCGTTTTTTTGGCTTCTATTGGCTTCTATTGGCTTCTATTGGCGTCTATTGGCGTCTATTGGCGTCTATTGGCTTCTATTGGCGTCTATTGGCGTCTATTGGCTTCTATTGGCTTCTATTGGCTTCTATTGGCGTCTATTGGCTTCTATTGGCGTCTATTGGCGTCTATTGGCTTCTATTGGCTTCTATTGGCGTCTATTGGCGTCTATTGGCTTCTATTGGCGTCTATTGGCGTCTATTGGCGTCTATTGGCGTCTATTGGCTTCTATTGGCGTCTATTGGGTTCTATTGGCTTCTATTGGCTTCTATTGGCTTCTATTGGCGTCTATTGGCGTCTATTGGCTTCTATTGGCTTCTATTGGCTTCTATTGGCGTCTATTGGCTTCTATTGGCTTCTATTGGCTTCTATTGGCTTCTATTGGCGTCTATTGGCTTCTATTGGCTTCTATTGGCTTCTATTGGCTTCTATTGGCGTCTATTGGCGTCTATTGGCTTCTATTGGCGTCTATTGGCTTCTATTGGCGTCTATTGGCTTCTATTGGCTTCTATTGGCTTCTATTCGGCGCTAATTTGATTGGTAAACTAATTTGACGGTGCTACGACTCAAGTTGAACTCTTTGTCAACTCACTTTGTCTTGGCGGTACATCTGGGTAGACGGTTGGGTACTCGTAAACAGCATCATCGTGGAATATTGTGTCAACTGACGGGAAACGCATCTCTTCTCCAGTCAAAGCGTTCGACAAACGCATCTAGAAACATTTCTCCAGCTTTTGACCCATTCAGACGATGGGGTTTTGAGCGTACACTCGCGTAGTTGTTAAATGTTTTACTGATAATTTGAAAATTTAAAGAAAAACAAGCAAAATTATTGAAAAGTGCGAAAAAAAGCGTCGATTTTTCATCATTTTTCAATCATTTTTTCTAAGCGCTGGTTAATGCCAAAAATCTGTTTTATATCTCAAAAAATCACCCATTTTCTCTACTTTAATTTGATATCTAAACGAGTAGAAACAAAAGTGCTAATGTCGAGATATGAGCGTTTGTTTCAGAGTAAACTTTGACTACGCGACGCTCCTATCGGGACTTCTATTAGTGTATTCTATAGGCTACAACTCTTCTATAGAGATCTTATTATAGTCATTCGATAGCTATGAATCTCCTCTTGAAAACTAGAATCAAGTTTTTGAGAACTTTCTGCAAAATAAGTAAGAAAATTCCTTAAAGTTGACACCAAACCCCAAAAAAAATAATCGTCATTAGTATCGTCGTGAATGGACGTGAATATACTCAATTTCATGAAGTGAGTGCTCCAGAAAGCGTGTGTTTTGTTTAAGCTTAAAGTACGACTAAGATACCCTTTTGACGTGTAGTCGACCGCCGCGCAATTGCCCTCGCACACCCAGACGCACTTTGTCCACTGTACCCAAAGCTCGGCCTCTCATCTAAATGGTTTCTTATCTTTATACTGTATGGCTTAGGCTTAGGTCTAGGATTAGGCTTAGGCTTGAGGCTTAGGCTTAGGCTTAGGCTTAGGCTTGGCTTGGGCTGAGGCTTAGGCTCAGGCTTAGGCTTAGGATTAAGCTTGGCTTGAGCTTAGGCTTAGGCTTAGGCTTAGGCTTAGGCTTAGCCTTGGCTAGAGCTGAGGCTTGAGCTTAGGCTTGGACTTAGTGCGAAGGCTAGCCGCTAGCGCCTCGCACTAAGTCTATTTGGGTTTGTTAGGCTTGGGCTTAGGCTTGGCTTAGGCTTAGGCTTAGGCTTAGACTCAGGCTTGGCTTTATCTTAGGCTTAAGCTCAGGCTCAGGCTCAGGCTTAGGCTTATCCAATCTCCAAAATCTTACTTGATAGTTGATCTCGTTGTTCTTTGGTGTCTCTTGGACAGGATTCATCTCGTATGTCGACGGACCAGCACAAATTTCAGCATACGGAATCACGTCAGAGTCATCCTAGAAGACATAGACTTTAAACTTTAGAGCTGGCTTTAGAACTGGCTTTAGAAAGATCAAAAGATTACCGTAATCGAGAGAATTACGAGAAATTTCTTACCTTTACACTCATACTCAACGTCCAACTGTCTTGCTCGCTTTCGCGTTTGTCTTTCTTGTTTCGAGTGGGTAGACCCTCCATTTCTGAATATTTTTTTTGGATAAGTGCTTCAGGTAGAACTATAAAGATGTTCAAAGAGTCAGCTTTAGACCTAGGTCAGCCAGCCCAGTCAACTCAACTCTGACAATCAACTCTGACCCTCCTCTACCTCCTCTGCCTCTGTGGAAAATAAAAATAGTTACATATTTGCTGTATTTTTTGTCGCTGATAGTTCAATAGTAGAATCTAGCCTCGAAACTGTTTTATCTACACAAAGAGATCTTCTAGAGAAAGTGAAAGAGATTCTAGATAAATAAGCTAGCTATTGGGTTGGGGAGAATGAGTCGGCGCCGAAAATCAAAAAAATGTCTAAAACTTCTATTCGACTTCGTCAATTTGGGTTGATGTAATTATCCGGACTTCTTTTGCGTGCTGTATCTTTTTGTTTTGAAAGCTTTTGTCTATTTCTTTAAAATATTCGTTATTCTTTAGTGAACAAAATGCGTGTCGACAATCATATCCATCTTCGCCATATCATGCTCTACCACTTCGAAAAGGGATGGTCTGCCGCAGAGTCGTTTCGCGATCTCAAAGAACTGGAGAAGCCCCAACGGACTACCACGTCAATCGATCGCTCAAAAATTGGCAAACAAATAAGATCTACAACGATTTGGATGACTTGATAGACGATGTTAAAGCGTGGATTGCCTCCAAAGATCGTTTATTCTTCGCTCGTGGAATCGATCGTCTTCCAAGCAAATGGCAATCAGTTATTGATGTAGGCGGTGAATATGCTCCAGAATAATCAATTAAACATATTTTTCTAACTATTTATGTTATTTTTTGTTAAATAAAATCATTTATAAAAGAAGTCCGGATAATTATGCATCAACCCAATAATATGCGTTTGATATCAGTAGAATGGTTAACTAATTCTCTACAAAATGACATTTAAAAGAAAATTCAAACAGCGCCTCCCCGCTCAAGAAAAAGCCATTTTTTCACAAAAACTACAAACTGTGATCTAGAAAAAAACCATTGGTGGGATCTTCCTGCAAATTTGGCAACTTAAGTAATTGAATGTGCTCTATCTTTTTTATATAAACACCAAAGAAGGTTTATGTGAAAGAAACTGTTCAAATGATGAGTCGGACTCTTTGCCATTTTAACCAGCTGCGTTTGGAAGTTCATAAACTCCGCGAAAGAAAAGCTTTGTGGAATCTCTCAAAAGTCATTTTGTAGAGAAATAGTGGATCGTTTTGATGAAACCAAACGTATGTTTAAAGAAGGCTTTATGTGTGCAAAAAGTCCCTTTAAAGTTGGGCGCCGACTCATTCTCCCCAACCCAATATTATAAACGAATAAAAACGAATAAAACCTGTCAACGTGAGCTGTTTATGGTAGAGACCGGCTTCTTCGGGTAAATCCTGGACTCGTCCATTCGCAAGCACATAGCGATACGGGCAATGCGTTGATTCTCGCACGAAAGCCGACATCGAAAGCAGCTGGAAAGTGGATTGTTTTTGTTCAATTTCTATTCAATTTCTATTCAATTTCTATTCAATTTCCATTCAATTTCCATTTCAAATCTTTTATGCATAGATATTTCTTTAAGGATTTCCAAGAATACTTTCAATTCTAGCTCTAAGCTCTAGTTGAAGATATTAATTGTAAAAATATAAACAAATAGGACAGCTATGAAAGCTATGAAGCTACGAAGCTACGAAGCTACGATGGTATGAAGCTATGAAGCTACGATGCTATGAAAGCTATGAAAGCTATGAAGCTATGAAGCTATGAAGCTATGAAGCTACGAAGCTAGGAAGCTACGAAGCTACGAAGCTATGAAGCTTTACCCCATTTTCTGTGTAGATTTTTCGTAGCTACCCTTTAATCCAAGGAAACTAGGAGATAATTCAGCTGAGTGGGCAAGCGCGGAGGGAAACTTTGAAAGTCTATTACTCACCGATGGTGCCATGTTGATCCCCTGCACTCCACGGCGATCCCAAATGTCTTGAATGACGGCCAAACCCTCGAAAATGGCTTCTCCTAGATGGGTACTGTATTTGGAAATTTGCATTTAAATCTAGAAACATTTAATCTAGAGATTAATCTAGAAATTTAAACCTTTTTCTTTAAAATCGCCGATCACTCGAATTCCCTGAATGCGACCCAAATAAACGCATTCGGCTTTGAAAGAGTACTCCTGAAGATTTGTAGAGATTTAGAGTAGAGTAAACTTTAGATTTGTAGAGTTTTAGAGGAGAGTAAACTTTAGATTTGTAGAGTAAACTTTAGATTACTATATGCCTTTAGATATGAGCTTTAGATTACTGTATAAGCTTTTTTGAAGTACATTGAAACGTTTTGTTGCAGTAGATCAATTGAATATCTCTAACATTTCCCCTTTTTTTGCAAATTTTCTCGAAATCGAACTTTCCAATACCTTTACTTCTAGCAACTGCAGTTCTAGCTTGTACAGAGTACAGTAATCACTGTATTGTACTCTACTTCACTGTACTTTACTTCATTGTACTCTACTTGACTGTACTCTACTTGATTGTACTCTACTTAACTGTACTCTACTTGACTGTACTCTACTTGACTGTACTCTACTTGATTGTGCTCTACTTGATTGTACTCTACTTGACTGTACTCTACTTGACTGTACTCTACTTGATTGTACTCTACTTCGATCGTACTCTACTTGATTGTACTTTACTTAACTGTACCTTTTTATCCGCTCCAGTAATTAGCGGGAAAATGCCACTGTCGCTGAATTCGCCGATAAGTTGTGCGCGGAGTGAGTCATTTGAGAGAAGTGATGTCTCACCCGATAGCACTTTTCCCTCGTATGTGTTTACTGGAAAATATTAGGCTTAGGCTTAGGAAAGTACTCCTACTGTCTAGCTACAGCTACAGTACTCCTGTCTAGCTACAGTACTCCTGTCTAGCTACAGTACTCCTGTCTATCTACAGCTATAGTACTTCTACTGTAGCTGTAGTACTGCTATACTGGAATAGTACTGTACTTCTAGAATCTTTCCAGCACCAGCTACTATCGAATACTATTGGCTACAACTTTGCGATCCTATTACGATAACCTTTTCCACCTTAGCTTTAAATCACAAAAGCCTTCAAGTACCATTTGACGCTTTTAGCTACAGATTAGCTACAGATTAGCTCAGATTTATTACTGTAGTGTTGCTTTTGTCCACTCACGTGACAATGGCTGCATTCCAGCGCGGAACACTGAGATCTCTCGATACGGTTGCGGCTTTTTGTGCGCTCCGGTCACGTCCAACCATTTGCCAACTCTGAAATTAGCTACGTCTAGTCAATCGAATTATCGAGAATGCTCTAATTCCCCATCACCTCACAGCCAATCTCTCCTCCGTATCCAAATCTCTCAACTCGACATATTCCAGAAAATAATCCGGTCTCTCTCCACTTCCATCGATCTCGAAACGAACCTTCAACAAATCCCCAATCTCACCGAAATCCACCTGAAGTTCTTTTTTCATTTAAAAGCACATCAATTCTACTTGTATAAGTGATGTTGATGGGACTTGTTGGAGACTTTTATCGGTCGTGATCGTTGTCACTGAGCTTCCTTCAGTGCCGTAGCCGACAATGTTTAGATTCGAAGTGGTCCCTCCTTGTCCATCCGGGGTCCCGTTGTGCAGGATGAACTCCCAGCGACCATCTGAAGAGGTCTGTCTGTTTAAAGCCAGAACTACAGTAGAACTACAGTACTCCTACAGTCTAACTACAGCCACAGTACTCCAGCTACAGTCTAACTATAGCTACAGTACCCCAGCTGTTGTCTAACTTTAGCTACTGTCTATCTACAGCTACAGACTAACTACAGCTACTGTCTAGCTATAGCTACAGTAGTCCAGCTACTGTCTATCTACAGCTATAGTACTCCAGTTGATGTCTAACTATAGCTACAGTACTCCAGCTACTGTCTAACTACAGCTACAGTACTCCTACTGTCTAACTCTAGCTACAGTACTCCAGCTACAGTCTAACTATAGCTACAGTACTCCAGTTATTGTCTAACTGCAGCTACAGTACTCCAGCTACTGTCAAACTACAGCTACAGTACTCCAACTACAGTCTAACTACAGCTACAGTACTCCAACTACAGTCTAACTTTAGCTACCGTCTAGCTATAGCTACAGTACTCCAGCTACTGTCTAACTACAGCTACAGTACTCCTACAGTCTAACTATAGCCACAGTACTCCAACTACAGTCTAACTACGGCTACAGCACCCCAGCTACAGTCTAACTATAGCCACAGTACTCCAGCTACTGTCTATCTCCAGCTACAGTACTCTTACAGTCTATCTCCAGCGACAGCAACGCAGCTGCCTTCCGATAGCGCCCTATCCAGTACTTGAACTTACTTACTAGGATTACGGTGTGTACAAAAAGATTACAGGATTACGGTAAGCCTCTAAAAAGTGCTGGAGTACAGTATTTTTATCTTTTCACTCACGAGAAGTGATCCCATCCTCGGGAATCGAGCTGATATAGTAAAAAGCTGACACGGGCAGCGAGCGCTCGATTTTCCCGTCAACCTGAAGTTTTATTTGGATACTGGCGTAGTCCTAAAGTCATAACTTTGCCCAAGAGCCAGCTTTGCATAGTTTTAGCATCTCAAATCAAACCTGTCCACTGTCCAGCCATTTCGAGCAGAAGAAGACGAATTGTCGGCCATCCACAACGTTCTCCGTTACGAGGATGTGCTCGATGAAGATCCCAGCGCCTAGAATCGGTCTTTATCTTACTCTAGATCTTCCTCTAGCTCTTCCTCTAGCTCTTCCTCTATCTCTTCCTCTACATCTTCACTATCGATTTCAATAGACAATTCGAATCCTCACCATATCCCCTTTTCTCATGTCCGATCAGCACTTTGTTCAACGTGCCCAATGGAGCGCTCTCGACATGAAATGAGTCGAGTTGATTGTTCTTGAATTTCCCTGTCTCACTTTTCAACCAAAGCACCTAAAAGTCAATTGAATCTCTTTTTCAGGCAAAGCAAAACCTCAGGCTTCAGCCAGAATTGAACACTTGTCCCATCGTCTCCTTGCAAAGTGATATAGAGATCAGTTTCCGAGTCAGCTCCCCAGCGATTTCCCGTTAAAACGCTTATCGTGTAACCGATAGCTGAAAAGAAATATTCATTACAAAAGAAAGTCAAGAATGCTAGAAAGCAAAGAATGCTAGAAAGCCAAGAATGCCAGAATGCCAGAAAGCCAAGAATGCCAGAAAACCAAGAATGCCAGAAAGTCAAGAATGCCAGAAAGCAAAGAATGCTAGAAAGCCAAGAATGCCAGAATGCCAGAAAGCCAAGAATGCCAGAAAGTCAAGAATGCCAGAAAGCCAAGAATGCCAGAATGCCAGAAAGCCTAGAATCCCAGAAAGCCAGAATGCCAAGAATGCCAGAATGCCAGAATGCCAGAAAGCAAAGAAATAAACATAAACAATTGGATAAACAAAGTTGAAAGCTTTAAAGAAAACTTTAAAGAAAACTTGCTTTGCCCATTCTTGTTTCCATTTGACGGTTGAGTGGACTTGTGATGAACCTCATTGCTCACCTAGAACTGGTTTCAATGATTTAACATTTACATAATCCACAACTTACCGTAAATACTGTAATAGTGCCCCACCGCCATAATGACGGTGCGGAGTTTTGCGTAGTCTAGCTTTGAACGAGTTTTTCTCGACACTCGTTTATGCTACAATGCTCGTTTTGGTATCAAAAAATAGCTGAGATTCAGGGCTATTTTTTGATACCTAAACGCACATTGTAGCGTAAACCAGTGTCGAGGAAAACTCGTTCAAAGCTGGTTCGATCCCGGTGACCACAAAGTTTTTTTCTTTGCGTAGTCTAGCTTTGAACGAGTTTTTCTCAACACTGGTTTATGCTACAATGCTCGTTTTGGTATCAAAAGATAGCTGAGATTCAGGGCTATTTTTTGATACCAAAAACGCATTTTTTGAAAGTACGGGTGCTGAGAAAAAAATGAAATACTAAAAAAACTTTTGCGACGACGCGACTACGCGACTACGTGACTGTACGAGGCGGCTGGGATACTATTAAAGTATTTACGGTAACTGTTGGCTTAAAAATCTACAACTTACCTCAGTCGCTCCGTCGATCAACTCATTTCCTAGAATCTCCATCTCACCATCAATCATTTCCGGTTCCTCATCAACAAAAGCAACTAAAATTTGACTTTTTACTAATGCCATAATGCAATTCAGTAATGCAATTCTTGATTTAAGTAAAAATCATTCTTGAAAGCTTCTAGAAGATTCTAGAAGCTTCTAGAAGCTTCTAGTAGCTTCTAGAAGAAAAATCAATTAAAGAAATCACAGCAATCTCACACCTTTACCATGTTTTATTTGTTTCCTTGTTCGATAACCACGATAAGCTGCTTGAATCTTTGTAGCTGCTTCGTTTTGTTGTCGCATGAGATCTTCTTCTAAATTGTTAGCAAATAAGCCATCTTATCAATCAAAATCCAAAGCCATTTCTTGAGACAAATGGTTTACTCTACGATTACTCTACGATTACTCTACGGTTACTCTACGATTACTCTACGATTACTCTATGATTACTCTACGATTACTCTATGATTACTCTACGATTACTCTACGATTACTCTACGATAAACTCTACGATTACTCTACGATAAACTCAATGATTTACGATACGATACGTAGATACGATAGATTCTATGAGTCTGAAAACATTAGGCACAAATTTTAAACATTAAATCTCATTTAGGAATCATTGATAGAACAAAAATATCACTGGTATGATGTTGTTTGTGCGATCGCGTAATCGCTCGCTTTCTGGCATAACTTTTTACAATGAAAAGACCCAGCTTTCTGAGAAGAACCACTAATCGAATTGGAGCCAAATTTTTAAGATTTTAAATCTACTGTAGCCTCGCTGTCTTCTAGAACAGTTATCGTAAGCTTGCATGAATCAAAAGGCTTATGCAGCTCAAGCTTTAGTTGATAGCTGATAGCTGATAGCTGAGCTGATAGCTGAGCTGATAGCTGATAGCTGAGCTGATAGCTTTAGCTGATAGCTGATGGCTGATGGCTGATAGCTGATAGCTTTAGCTGATAGCTGATGGCTGATAGCTGATAGCTTTAGCTGATAGCTGATGGCTGATAGCTGCGCTGATAGCTTTAGCTTATAGCTTCAGCTTATAGCTGTTAGCTGATAGCTGATAGCTTTAGCGGAGCCTTTTATTTTCCCAAGCCTTTTATTTTCCAACGAACCATCAATTTCTTCAATTGCCTCAAAATCTTCTGCATTTCCCGCCATCTGCTGTGTCTTATTCCCCTTTCTTATTCGATGTCCCCGATAAGCGGCTTGGATCGTTGTCGCTGCAGCTGTATGTTCATCCGAGTACTCTGGCACTAAATTTTAACATTTCTTTTTATCTAAAACATTTATTAGATAGATTTTCGAGCTTATTTTAGATTTTCTCCGTACTTTCTTTTTGCTTTTTCAACTCTCTTCTCGTTTTGTATCCACGAAAGCCAGCCTGAATTTTGATAGCCGCCGCCTCGTGCTCAGCGCTGTATTCAGGAAGTGAGGCTAAAAATGGTAGCTTTATTAGATAGATTAAAAAGGGTTATAGTAAACGAGCTTTTTCTAATAAGTTAAGTTAGTTATTAGATTGGAATAGAATGGAATAGAATGGAATAAAACAATACAATAGTTACAGGGTGCACAATCTAAGCTCTGCCTCTTTTTGCTAATGGCTGTGTACAGACGGACAGACGTCTCTTCTGCTTTATGATTGTTTAAGAAGTTGATAACAAAAAGGGGACATAGAAAGTTATTTAGCAAAGTTTTCTGTGGAGAATTAGGGATTGTTAGGGATTGTTAGGGATTGTTAGGGATTGTTAGGGATTGTTAGGGATTGCTAGGGATTGTTAGGGATTGTTAGGGATTGTTAGGGATTGTTAGGGATTGTTAGGGATTGTTAGGGATTGTTAGGGATTGTTAGGGATTGTTAGGGATTGTTAGGGATTGTTAGGGATTGTTAGGGATTGTTAGGGATTGTTAGGGATTGTTAGGGATTGTTAGGGATTGTTAGGGATTGTTAGGGATTGTTAGGGATTGTTGGGGATTGTTGGGGATTGTTAGGGATTGTTAGGGATTGTTAGGGATTGTTAGGGATTGTTAGGGATTGTTAGGGATTGTTAGGGACTGTTAGGGATTGTTAGGGATTGTTAGGGATTGTTAGGGATTGTTAGGGATTGTTAAGGATTGTTAATGATTGTTAGGGATTATTAAAATGAAGTGAAATTAAGATGGAAAGAGTTAAAAAGCTCAAAAGCTAATGCAAGCTTTGAAAAGATTGAAAGATTTGATTTTTTATTATTTCCTTTAGGTCGGATCCGTTTCCTTCCTATTTGCGTTCCTATTTTGCAATTATTCGCGTCGCATTTTTCGTCTTTTTTTTCTCCCTTCCCGAAATGATTTTTTTTAGTCTGCCTTTTTTTTTTTGCCTTTTTTCTTGGGGGATTTTGTTGTTTCATTTTTGATGCGCATGCTGTTTTTATAATGGGTATTGTTGCATTTCGGTTCTGTACTAATAAATAGTAACGTTATAAATTCACTTTACTTTATGCTACCCCTTTAGGTTTCCTGTTTAACTGGTTTAACTAAATAACTGGTTTAACATTGTAGAGAGACTGGTTTTACTAACATTTGTGTCACCATCGACGTAGTATCAATCCGATCTTCTCAAGAGTATTAATTCTCTTCTCAAGAGTATTAATCTATTGTTGGATACTACGTGTTCTTGTTACGTTGTAAGCGCTTTATGGGGAAACCCTTTTAACCTTTTGTGCTGTTCGGTCATTCTTAAGCAGAATCATCCTCGTTGATAAGGTCGCACCCCAAACTTTTATTATTTTCTTTATTATTTTCTTTTCTTTCTTTTCTTTTCTTTCTTTTCTTTCTTTTCTTTTCTTTCTTTTCTTTCTTTTCTTTCTTTCTTTTCTTTCTTTTCTTTCTTTCTTTTCTTTCTTTCTTTTCTTTCTTTTCTTTTCTTTCTTTTCTTTCTTTTCTTTCTTTTCTTTCTTTTCTTTCTTTCTTTTCTTTCTTTTCTTTCTTTTATTTACCTCGTCGTTGAATTGTTTTTTTTCTCATCTTTATCATTTTTCGGGTTCGATACCCACGATAATTCGCTTGGATTTTCGTTGCAGCTTCCACATGAATCTCCATATATTCTGATGGATGAACTGAAAAAGGAAAATGAAAATAAAATAAGGATTAGTAAAGGAAGGGAGAAGTATTGAAAATATTGGAGAGAAGTATTGAAAATATTGAAGAGAAGAAGGATTCTATTAGGTTTTTCGGATATAAACAAGCGTTGCTAAACTTTTTTGTTGTGAGAGAAGCTTTTTAAAAATGTCTTTCTGTATTACAGTACATTACAGTACAAAGTACGTTATCTTGGAATATTTTTAAACGGATAATTTCTTATTTCTAAGATCTTTAAGATCTTAAGAACTTTTTTTCTTGCTTTAGATGACCGACTTCTGTGACCGACGACTTTAGATGACCGACTTCTGTGACCGACGACTTTAGATGACCGACTTCTGTGACCGACGACTTTAGATGACCGACTTCTGTGACCGACGACTTTAGATGACCGACTTCTGTGACCGACACTTTAGATGACCGCTTCTGTGACCGACGACTTTGTGACCGACTTCTGTGACCGACGACTTTAGTGACCGACTTCTGTGACCGACGACTTTAGATGACCGACTTCTGTGACCGACGACTTTAGATGACCGACTTCTGTGACCGACGACTTTAGATGACGAAATATATCAAATTCTGCCTACTTTACGACTTCAAATTGGGCAAAACTGGGCAAAACAGTAGCGGAATCCCATTGACTTTTGGACAAAGCATTTGGGAATGATGCCTTTAGGAATAATGTCCGAAAGCCGATGCCGACCCTGGTTCCAACGCTTTCGGAATGATGATGAAAGTCTCGAGGATGATCTCGTCACTCGTCACTCTCATCGACCTCAAGTGGTAGACAACGATATTTTGAGAGCTGCAATCGAATGGCTGCATGCTGCAATTGAATCGAATCCATGTCAAACGACGCGTCAACTTGCTCAACAGTTTCTATGTTCAAATTCTACTATTGATGAGCATCTTCATGCCATTGGAAAGACGATCAGATGCGGGAAATGACTTCCTCACGAGTTAAGCAGTGTAAACGCTCGTTTATATCCGAAAAACCTAATAATAGAAGCTCCATAATGAAGTATTGCTGCGTAGTTTAACAGTAACGCGTAGTAACGCGTAGTTCTTTGCGTAGTAACGCGTAGTTCTCCGCGTAGTAACCCGTAGTTCTCTGCGTAGTAACGCGTAGTTCCCTGCGTAGTTACGCGTAGTTCTCTGCGTAGTAACCCGTAGTTCTCTGCGTAGTAACCCGTAGTTCTCTGCGTAGTTCTCCGCGCTGATAAAGGCCTGAAGCCCTTTTACAGTACTGAATTGAATCAGATCAGAGCCGAATCCAATTGAGCCATAGCACTAGCACCACCATAGTCATAGACAGGATTACGGTATCGGAAAAGTGGGACAAGTTTTAGTGTAAACTCTTTCACAACAACAAGTTTAAAGGGGATCTCTTTTCTCACCGAGTTCACCTTCATTTCCTAATGAAATTTTGTTTCCCTTTCGCACTCGATATCCCCGATAACCAGCTTGGATTATTGTGGCAGCGCCGTGTTGACGAGCGATATCTAAATGCATTTAAATTCTAATGCAAATTCTAATTCTAATTCTAATTCTAATTCTAATGCAAAATTCTAACTCTAATTCTAATTCTAAGTCCAAGTCCAAGTCCAAGTCCAAGTCCAAGTCCAGGTCTAAGTCCAAGTCCATGCCTAGGTCTATGCCCAAGTCTAAGTCTAAGTCCAAGTCAAGGTCTAAGTCCAAGTCTAAGTCTGTCGGAGTCTAAGTCTAAGTCTGTCGAAGCCTAAGTCAAAGTCTAGGTCTAATTCTAACTCTAATTCTAAGTCTAATTCTAATTCAAATCCAAATCCAAATCCAAATCCAAATCCAAATCCAAATCCAAATTCCAAATTCAAATGTCAATTCAGGTGACTTTTAGAATAAATTTCTATCTCTAAAATGATTCATAAACGATAAAATCTAGCTTTAAATTGAAGATAACAATCCTGCAAATAGTTCTAGCATTTTTTCTCTCCAGCTTTTTCCAAACCTTTCTTCACATCAAGCACTTTTCTTGTTCGATAGCCTCGATAATGAGCCTGAATAGTGATGGCTGCTCTCTCCCGTTTCTCATCATCGTCTTCTGAAAAAAGGATCTCCATTTAAAAAGCTTATTAGCAATGGTATGCAAATTTCTTAATTGCTCTATTCGTTTACTTATTTGAATTTGTCATTTTTTGATTTAAAACCCACCATCATCTGAGCTCAAATAGCCCTCGATGTTATCGGGTGTGTCCGGCTTTATCGTTGTACCATGACGGTTTCCCTGAAGAAAGTAAAAGTTCTAGAAACCCATAGAATACCGTAATCCAGTTTGTTAGATGCTACAGTAATCCTACCGTAGTTAAAGATTGCTGGCGTAAAGTTAAAGATTACGGCAATATCCCGGTTCACTTATTTCCTTCTTTCCGTCGTCGACCCCCTTGTCTTCCCCTTTTTCTCAAGGGCTCTCAAGGTGCAAGATGGCTCAGTGGTTAGAGGTTAATTACCGAGAGGCGAGAGGGCGAGGGTTCAACCCCCTCTTCGGCCTTTAAACTTTTTTCAATTCAATTTTGTCAATTTCTTCTTATATCGATAATCAATTCTTAGATCTTATATCAATTCTTAGATCTTATATCAATTCTTATAAATCTAATATCTTATCTCAATTCTATCAAATAATGTGTCCGGCTTTATCGTTGTACCATGACGGTTTCCCTGAAGAAAGTAAAAGTTATAGAAACCCATAGAATACCGTAATCCAGTTAGTTAGATGCTACAGTAATCCTACCGTAGTTAAAGATTAATGGCGTAAAGTTAAAGATTAGATTACGGCAATATCCCTGTTCACTTATTTCCGTCATCGACCCCCTTGTCTTCCCCTTTTTCTCAAGGGGTCTCAAGGTGCTAGATGGCTCAGTGGTTAGAGGCTAATTACCGAGAGGCGAGAGGTCAAGGGTTCAACCCCCTCTACAGGCCTTTAAACTTTTTTCAATTCAATTTTGTCAATTTCTTCTTATATCGATAATCAATTCTTAGGTCTTATATCAATTCTAATATCTTATATCAATTCTTAGATCTTATATGAATTCTTATCAATACTTATCTCAATTCCATCAAATAATCTTCGCTACTTTGCTCATAACAAGATCAAATCCTCTCCACTCAACTCCAACCTGATGCACTTGTTCCATTTCGTCGACTCGTGAACTCACACTACCCGCCAGGGAATGATGAGCCGATTCAGCTAAAGAAATTTGTAAATAAACATGTGAATTCGATTACGGTAATCGCTGCCACTTGTCTCAATCGATCGATGGCTTTGCGCGTCCACTCCGCCATTACTCGTCCGCACGCTGCTCTCAACTAAATTCACTGAAGCATTGTAGAAATGTTTTTACGAATTTCTAGCTAGATTTTGTTATAGAATTTTGTACTATTGTTTGTACTATTGTTTGTACTATTGTTTGTACTATTGTTTGTACTATTGTTTGTATTGTTTGTACTATTGTTTGTACTATTGTTTGTACTATTGTTTGTACTATTGTTTGTACTACCGTAGTTAAAGATTACTGGCGTAAAGTTAAAGATTAGATTACGGCAATATCCCGGTTCACTTATTTCCTTCGTCGACCCCCTTGTCTTCCCCTTTTTCCTAAGCCGACTCATGGTGCTAGATGGCTCAGTGGTTAGGGGTTAATTACCGAGAGGCGAGGGGTCGAGGGTTCAACCCCCTCTGCAGCATTTCGACTTTTTTTTTGTCAATTTCTTCTTATATCGATAATCAATTCTTAGATCTGATTGTTTGTACTATTGTTTGTACATCGTCTAAAAATCACCTGAAGGAGCTTTGCCTGAGTCGTCGCTTTTTGTGGTGGCTGAATTGGGAGGGTCGAGGGAAGCTGAAAAATTCTCTTTTATTTAATAAATTTGGGAGATTCAACTTGGTTAATTGCATATATCTCTTTCCAGGCAGCCAGAAAGAGAGCGATTATGTGCGCACAAAGAACACACAGGTTTTATTTTTACTTTTGATTTGTTTATGGTTTAAAAAGAAGAGATTTTGCTAGATTTTTGTCTCCTAGGGTTTTCGAGGACGGGGAATCGATTGGAGATATTCATTTTATTGAGTCTATCATTTTATTGAGTCTGGAAGTTGAGATTTAAGGATTTAAATGATCATTGACTCGTTAACTTTTAAAGTTAATGAGTTAATGATCTTTAAATGATCTAACTCACGAATTCGCCGTTGAATCTTTCGTTTCGGCGCTCCTGTCATCTTCCGCGTGTTCTTTCGAGCATTCTAAAGCATGAAACGATTAATGAGCTAAAGAAAATGAAGAACTCAGTGAAGAAGAATCACTAGAAGGGATTCGTCTAACAAAATCTAAACTTTTACAACCACAAAGCACAGCGTAAACAAAACAAACAAACAATTTTCCTTACATTTAGCTGTTTCCTTTGTTTATCGATTCGATTTTCAAGCGAATTCGAGTCGGCAAACGAATTTGAGGAGCCTGTTTGAAGAGTTGTTGGTGGAAGACCGCCACGACCATTTGTTTGAGCTAATTGACCTAAATTTAGTACTCTTGTTTAACAAAAGATAAGTTTAAATCGAGCTAAAGCTTTAAAAATGAACTCTAGATATCTTTGCTTTAAGAGAAAACTCTTCAGATTGTCGCAAAAGTTCTTGTTGTGTCGATGAAGAAAAAGAGAGACGCCAAGTGATTCTCGGACTTGACAAGAGTGGAAATCAAAATGATGAGAGATTTGAGCACTGTTGATGCAAACAGCGGTGAGTGGCCACTTCTTGGACGAGCATCATCATTGCTCATCTCTTTGTAGAGGTGAGCAATGATCATGATCGTCCGAGAAGTGACCACTCACCGCTGTCACTCCGGAAAACAAAAATAAGATTCGGTGCCGCATAAGAAGAACAATAGAACTCAACAATAGAACAGAGAAATGGCCAAGAGTCTGCGAATTAAAAAAGAGAGCGCTTGGAGGATTTTGTTAAGCAAAAAAACTCGAAATACTCGAAGTTCGCACTTTTACGTGTTTGCAAATTAGTTCGGGAACTTTTAGACACCCTGTAGATCTATCTAAACTTTAGATTTATCTAAAAGATAACTCTAGATCTATCTCAGCCTTAAAAATAACTTTTGAGAGCTTAAGATAACTTCAGATATATTTAAAGCTTTAAGAATAACTAGATCTATCTAAAGCTTTAAGAATAACTAGATCTATCTAGGCTTGAAGGATAACTAGATCTATCTAAGCTTTAAAAATAACTAGATCTATCTAGGCTTGAAGAATAACTAGATCTATCTAAAGCTTTAAGAATAACTAGATCAATCTAGGCTTTTAGAATAACTAGATCTATCTAGGCTTTAAGAATAACTAGATCTATCTAAGCTTTTAGAATAACTAGATCTATCTAAGCTTTAAGAATAACTAGATCTATCTAAGCTTTAAGAATAACTAGATCTATCTAGGCTTTAAGAATAACTAGATCTATCTAAGCTTTAAGAATAACTAGATCTATCTAAGCTTTTAGAATAACTAGATCTATCTAGGCTTTAAGAATAACTAGATCTATCTAAGCTTTGAAAGATAGCTCTAGATCAATCTAAGCTTTGAAAGAAAACTAGATCTATCTAAGCTTAAGATAACTTCAGACCTATCTAAGCTTTAAAATCTAACTCTAGATTAATTTAAAGCAATTACCATTTTTCTTGAAATTTGTAGACGCTGTGCGATCACTTCTCGTCGAAAAAAGCGATGGGAGAGTGAATTTCTCGCGCAATTGCAAGCGCTCAGCTCGAGGCACGGCGATGATCTGAATTTGAATGTAAAAGGATGTAAATCTATCTAATATGATCTAATATTATAAATCTAAAGATAGAGACTCTTATAATAGGCAGATAGCCTATTTTGTAGGCTTTTGTAGACTTTTGTAGGCTTTTGTAGGCTTTTGTAGGCTTTTGTAGACTTTTGTAGGCTTTCTGTGATCATATTTGAGCGTAATATTTAAATCAAAATGATGCAATACTAATCATATCTAAAATTGTTTTAAAAGCAATTAAAACTAGGCAAAACCAGACTAGAGACTTTCCTAATCAAAAGTCAAACAGAAAAATGCCTAAACAAATCGCCAATTCAATAGACATGAACATTGAAAGCTACAAACGTAAACTACAAACGTAAACTACAAACTATAAACTATAAACGCTTCTAACTTGCTTCAAACCTATCAGATTGATACGATCTATAGCTCAAAAAATAGAGAAACTTAAGGACTTTCTTTCTTTCTTTAGGACTTAAGGAATATCCCTCGAAATCTCGAGAACTGCTGATCAGAACCTATCGATGTTGGGTCGCAAAATGTAGCTAACGATGAGACATAGTGGGGGATTTGAGTGTTGAGCTTCTGGGGAAACTTTGGAAGCCTTAAATTGTCATCAACTCGGCTAGGCGCTTTGCACTACTATTATGAGAGAGTATTGTATTGTTTACTTGATCGTAGATTCTAATCCTAATCAGAAATTTGACTTTAACTTTTCTCTATCCCTGCAAGCTTTCTCTTTATAAACCTTCCTCGCTCACCGCAAACAGAACGCCCTCTGGCCGAGAGGTAGTGCTCTTCGCTACAAAACTAAAAGCCCTGCTTCGTCTGGGTTCGACCCCGGCGTCGACCGGGGTATTGAATTTTTAATTTTTTTAACTAATCTTATGACTTTTTCTAGTAAGAATAGATTGAATAGAGAGAACAGAAGGACAGAAGGACAGAAGGACAGAAGGACAGAAGGACAGAGGGACAGAAGGACAGAAGGACAGAGAGAACAGAAAATCTCTTACTGTCTTAAACATTTCATCAAAAATCGATTTAAAACTTTCTTTTCCACACTCACTTTTAACAAATGAGTGACAGGCAGAGTGACGAGTTTATCCATTTCATTTTCGTTCATTGATTTTTCAGGGGGTGGGACAAATGCGACAAAAAATGAAAATTTAATAAAATTTAACAAAATTTAATGAAATTTAATGAAATTTAATGAAATTTAACGAAAAATTAATGAAATTTAAATTATAAATAAATTTTAAAAAAATTAAAAAAAATAAAAAAATTTTTTTTAAAAATTAAAAAAAAATTAATGAAATTTAACAAAATTCACAAAATTAATCAAAATTAATCAAAATTAATGAAAGGAAATGAAAGTAAATGAAATAAATGAATGAAAAAATGACAAATGGGGAATTTTGTCTGAAGTACGGTAGCACTCCCCGCCGTTTTCGCGTCAAAGGCAAAAACTGCGGAAAAGCGTTAAGTTGCGTAGTTTTTGCCTTTTAGCCCAAATTTGACGTGTCAGCGAGGTGTGATTTGTCAAAATTCTGAATCTACGCATACGATTCCCTTCTATGAAAACATTTTTGAACCTCTACAACCTTTCCTAAGGCCTTTTAGAGCAAAAAAAGGTGCGCAAATGTCCAGGTGCGCAAAAAAAAGGTCGCATTTATCCCAGCCCCGAAATTTAATGAAATTTAACCAAATTTAATAAACTTTAATAAACTTTAAGAAAATTTAATGAAAACCCTGCTATAGGTTAAAGCAAAAAATTGTAGAAGACGTGGAGCAAATGCTACCTTTTTTGCGCTCCCGGCAATAAGCGCACCTTTTTTGCTGGAAAAGGCTTTAGGAAAGACCGTAGAGCTTCAAAAATGTTTCCACACAAGGGAATCGTATGCGTAGATTCCGAATTTCGACAAATCACACCTCGCTGACACGTCAAATTTGGGCCAAAAGGCAAAAACTGCGGAAAAGCGTTAAGTTGTATAGTTTTTGCAGTTTGGATCAAACTGCGGCACAACCGTATTGGAACCGTATTAGATCAAAAAAGGAACCGTATTGGAACCGTATTGGAACCGTATTAGATCAAAAAAGGAACCGTATTAGATCAAAAAAAGAACCGTATTGGAACCGTATTGGAAACGTTGGAAAAGGCACAAACTGCGGAAAAGCGTTAAGTTGTATAGCTTTTGCAGTTTGGATCAAACTGCGGCACAACCGTATTGGAACCGTATTAGATCAAAGAAAGAACCGTATTGGAACCGTATTAGATCAAAAAAAGAACCGTATTGGAACCGTTGGAAAAGGCACAAACTGCGGAAAAGCGTTAAGTTGCGTAGTTTTTGCCTTTTAGCCCAAATTTGACATGTCAGCGAGGTGTGATTTGTCAAAATTCTGAATCTACGCATACGATTCCCTTCTATGAAAACATTTTTGAAGCTCTACGACTTTTCCTAAGGCCTTTTCCAGCAAAAAAGGTGCGCAAATGTCCAGGTGCGCAAAAAAAAGGTCGCATTTGTCCCAGCCCCATTTTTCGTAATTATTTCGTAATTATTCAGAAAAGCTTATAGAAAATAGCTGAATATCTTATTTTCCGTGAAAAAATCCACGATAATTGAATGGGAATTCGGGGGAAGGGAAAGGGAAAAAGCACAAAAATCGATTCAAAAAAAAAAAATCTTTTCTTTACAATTTGAAGAATTAAGAGAAAATTGATTGTTTTTTTTCCTTAAAACGGATTTATTTTTTCCCATTTTATTTCTCTTTTTTTGAGGTAATCACCCGGAAAAGCTGTTGAGGATTAAAAAAAAAGAAAAATCCTTTTTAGGAAAGCTTTCCTCAGATATTTTTAACCAAATTTCAATCGGAACTTGTAAAATTTGGAAATTTATGGAAATTTGTAGAAAAATTTGTGAAAATATTCGATTTTTTAAAGATAAAGCTGGAAAAAAAGTTGAAAAACTCGGCTTTTAAGCTTTTTGGAGAGGTTTTTGAGAGGTTTTTGAAGCTTTTTAAACATTTTGGCAGCCTTTTAAAGCTGTTTTAAAGCTTTTGACAGCTTTTTGCAGCTTTTTGAAGCTTTTTAGAGCTTTTGGCAGCCTTTTAAAGCTGTTTTAAAGCTTTTGGCAGCTTTTGACAGCTTTTGACAGCTTTTTGTAGCTTTTTAAAGCTTTCTGAAGCTTTTTAAAGATTTTGGCAGCTTTTTGTAGCTTTTGGGAGCATTTTAAAGCTTTTTAGAGCTTTTAAAAGCTTTTTAAAACCTTTTAAAGCTTTTAGCAGCTTTTGGCAGCTTTTTGAAGCTTTCTGAAGCTTTCTGAAGCTTTTTAAAGATTTTGGCAGCTTTCTAAAGATTTTGGCAGCTTTCTAAAGCTTTTGGCAGCCTTTTAAAGCTTTTTAGAGCTTTTAAAGTTCAAAAATTATCAAGATTTTAACTAAAAAAGAGATCAAATACTAGCTTTTAGCTATTAGATTTTCGAATAATATATCTAAAGCTTTAGATAGTTTAGATTTTATATATATTACTCTAATAAAAGCCCCCAACCCATAATTAAGTTTGCGTTTTTGTGACGCAATTACGATGATCGCTTCATTCTCTGCGCTGCTTTATGCTACAATGTTCGTTTGGCGGTCAATCGATAGCCTTTAAATTCAGCTATCTTTTGATACTAATAGGAAACCAAATTTAGAGAGAATGGGTGTTTTAATTGTTCATTTTCGCGCAACTTCGCATTACAATTAACGTCGCCACCATTTGGAGGTAGTCGATGGGAGCGCCGCGTCGTCGCCAAATTTGGAAGGATAAGGAAAGAAATTTAGAGAGATAAGGAACCAAATCTAGAGATCTAAGGAACCAAATTTAGAGAGATAGGGAAAAGCTGAGAAAAGTGTGAGGATTGAGAAAAAGAAATGATTTTGTGAAGAAATTTATCGACTACGCGACTTTACGGGGGGAAAAGGAGGCTTTTATTAGGGTAAATACGATAGATTTTATAGGTTTAAGCTTTGTTTTAAAAGCTTTTATAGCTTTTATAGCTTTTATAGGATTAAATCTATTAAATAGTTAAAGATTGAAGGTTTAGAGAGCTTAAAAGCTTTAGAAAGGTTAAAAGAAAAGTGCTGAAGCTCGCTGAAGCTCGCCAGAAAGCCAAAGTCATTTCGAGTCTTTTTTTTCATTGAAACTTTAAGCTAAATTTGAGTAAAATGATCGAATTAAGAAGCTTTATTATTAGTTAAATGTTTTTAAAAGCAAAAAACAAATATGAATAGGGCTTTTTGAGATTTGAAAAGACTCAAAAATTAACTTGTAAATGCGAAAATTTTCTTTTTTTTTTTCGAAAATTTTTCCCACTCCCGTTAATTGAATTTTTAAAGAGAAAAAAACGATCAAAACCATTTTTTCTTTTACTTTTTTACTTTTTTGTATCCAACAAAAGCCTCTAGACAATTTAAAAATCAAAATTGACATCGAAATGAAGGAATTTGGTTGTTTTAAGGAATTTGGTGCGCTAGATGGGAGGCGTTTAGGGTTTAAAGGGGGGTTTAAAGCTTTGAGAAGAAGAAGAAAACATTAAAGCTTTGAGTTCTTTGTGTTCTTTGTTTTCTTTGTGTTCTTTATCTTCTTTATCTTCTTTATCTTCTTTCTATAATATACGTGACTCTTCCTCTTCCTCTTCTTCTTCTCCTTCTTCTTCTTCTTCTGCTGCATCCTCTTCTTCTCCTCCTTCTCCTTCTTCTTCTCCTTCTTCTTCTCCTTCTTCTCTTCCTCTTCCTCTTCTTCTTCTCCTTCTTCTTCTTCTGTTGCATCCTCTTCTTTTCCTCCTTCTTCCTCTTCTTCTCCTCCTTTTCCCTCTTCTTCTGCTTTTTCTTCTTCTTCTTCTGCTGCTTCCTCTTCTTCCTCTTCTCCTCCTTCTTCCTCTTCTTCCTCTTCTTCCTCTTCTTATTCTTCTTGATCTTCTTTATCTTGTAATAGATGGGATGCGTTTACCGTACCGTTTACCGTACCGTTTACCGTACCGTTTACCGTACCGTTTACCGTACCGTTTACCGTACCGTTTACCGTACCGTTTACCGTACCGTTTACCGTACCGTTTACCGTACCGTTTACCGTACCGTTTACCGTACCGTTTACCGACCGTTTACCGTACCGTTTACCGTACCGTTCCGCCGTTTACCGTACCGTTTACCGTACCGTTTACCGTACCGTTTACCGTACCGTTTACCGTACCGTTTGCTCTACAAAATGACACTAAAAACATTAAAATCGATACACTAGTTTTTGAGATACAAGCAAGCAAAGTGCGGTCAAGGGTTGGCTCGGATTCGGACGTAAGGGACGCATTAAGGATACTGTAGGATACAAAAAGCATACGCAGAATTTCACGCTGATTCCGAATCTGCTTTCCGTTTTCGATATAAAGCACTCTATCAAAAGTTATAGGCACTCAAAGTTTTGTAGGAAATTGCAGAAAATGGGCGCGGAGCTGAGCTTATGAGTCGACTTAGCCGGCCCGCGAAGGGTGTCGTGGTGGCCGAGTGGTAGTGGGTTCGACTATGATGCCAGCCCCCTCGGGTTCGAGTCCGGCCTCGGCCTCCTTTATGCTTCTTTTGGCTTTAAATGCTTTAAGTGTTTTTGGCGGTGTTGATCATTAGTTGGCGATTATTAGTTGTAGATCAAGAGGTGTGCCAGATGGTGTAGTATTGAGCACGCTTAGAGAACACTCAAACTCAAAGCTAAAAGCTAAAAGAAGCAACAAAAGCCGCAGTCTATGGCTGATTTCAATTGACCACCGTACCCCTTGTCAATTAACTTTTTCCACATGTTACTTCAGTTTAAGAATCTATAAGTCTTGCTCTACAAAATGACACTAAAATCATTAAAATCGGTTCACTAGTTTTCGAGATACAAGCAAGCAAAGTGTGGTCAAGGGTTGGTATGAGGATTTTGAGGGAGATGACGTTTGAGACGCATTAAGGATACTGTAGGATACTGTAGGATACTGTAGGATACTGTAGGATACTGTAGGTTTTGTGGATTCTGTAGCTGTATTCTCTGCACAGGTAGCTACCGTAGCTTTACTTGTGGATAAGTATTGTAGGTTTTAAGGGCCCAGTTGGGAATAGGGCAGATCAAAAAAACTCTTGCGCCGCCAGGACTCGAACTCGTGACCTTTCGCTTACCAGGAAAACTCTGCTAAACATTACACCAAAACGCACTTGATCTCCCTTACTCTAGAGGGAGTTAACTGTACTGTAAGCGTCAAGATTACTGTAGATTCTGTAGCTGTACTCTTTGCATAGCGACCGTAGCTACCGTAGCCTACAATACTTATCGATAAGTACAGCTACGGTAGCTACAGTCCCTACGTAAAGAGTACAGCTACAGAATCTATAGTAGACGCCTACAGTACCCGCCTACAGTACCTTAGAAAAGAGATTAAAGGTACTGTAGGCGTCTACTGTAGCTTCTGTAGCTGTACTCTTTACATAGGGACTGTAGGGACCGTAGCTGTACTTATAGATAAGTATTGTAGGCTACGGTAGCTGTACTCTTTACATAGCGACTGTAGCTACCCTTAATATCTTTTCTAAGGTACTGTAGGCGTCTACTGTAGCTTCTGTAGCTGTACTCTTTGCATAGGGACTGTAGGGACCGTAGCCGTACTTATAGATAAGTATTGTAGGCACTAAGGGTACTGTAGACGTCAAGATTACTGTAGACTACTGTAGATTACTGTAGATTACTGTAGATTACTGTAGATTACTGTAGATTACTGTAGATTACTGTAGATTACTGTAGATCTCCTTTTCTAACCTTTGGCGGTGACACGTCCATTATTTCCTCAACACTCTCGATTTTTCGACCCTCAAATGTGTAAAAACGATCGATCGAGACCTAGAAAAAGAGATTTGATTAAAAGAAATGATAGAGAAATAGAAAAGCTAGAGATTTCATTGAGTAAATGTGATGAAATTTAGTGAAATTCCCGTACGATTCCTCACCTCAAGCCCATTGCTCACTTCACTCAACAACAGCTCCAAATTCGGCATCTTTATCGGATTGAGAACCATACGGAAAAGTTTCGTTTTACCATTTAAAACGAAGAAAATCTAGAAGAGTAGAGTTTGATTTTTGGTTTTGCTTGACTTTTGACTGACTTTCTTGGCTTTTACTTGACTTGACTTGACTTTTGACTGACTTTCTTGACTTTTGACTGACTTTCTTGACTTTTGACTGACTTGCTTGGCTTTTACTTGACTTGACTTGACTTTTGACTGACTTTCTTGACTTTTACTTGACTTTCTTAACGAAAATCAAGAAAAAACTCGAACCGCGCCACTTGAATACGCTTAAACTAGCATAGATAGCCAGCATAGATAACATAGATAACAAAGAATTGTCTTCTTAAATTTCAATAAGATTTTAAAAGCATTTTATTAAAAAAAAAATATAAATGATGTATATGATTAGATTGTTTAGAAGCTTAGCTTTTAAAAAGCTCATAAAAAGTTGTTCAATCCGTTTGAAATTCAATCTGAGGGTTAGATGAAGTGCTTGAAGTTGCGTAAATCATTTGTCTTGTTAATTCTCGTTAAGTAAGTTAAGTAAGGATACCAAAAGATAGCCCTTGATTTTCTCTATCTTTTGGTATATAAAACATAAAAATATCTCAAAATGGGGTTGAGAACGAGGGGTTTAAAGTTGGTCGAGGGGTCGAGGATGGGGGTCAACTCTAGACGTCTCGTTCTCAGCTCAATTTTGAGATATTTTTATGTGTAGGATACGAAAAGATAGAGAAAATCAAGGGCTATCTTTTGGTATATAAAACATAAAAATAGCTCCAAATGGGGTTGAGAACGAGGGGGTTAATCAGGGTGCACTACTATTGGGTTGGTGCATTGTAAACTGCGGAACTTTGAACTAAAATTTATTCAACATAAAACCATCAATTCATTTTAAATAATTTCCATTATTATTGACAACTTCTGCCCATTTTACAGGCAATTTGCGGATTCCTCTTTCGTAGTAGGATTCTGCTTTGTGTGTGAGACAAGTGTGAGACTCAAAAATGGAGGACTGGAGATGTCTTGTTGTCCCAGTTTGAGCACTTTCTTCAAAAGAAACCCATTTTGGTGTCAATAGAAAAGTTGTAGAGAATCAAAAATTAGGCTTATAGCTAAATTTCCAAAAAGATACACTCAGTAGTTTCGCTTAAAATGCAAGTTTTGTCAAAAATTCGTAAATTTGGCATTTCTTGAAAACCAGTTTTTGAATCGTTCTGAAAATTTGGATATAAGCTTGATTTTTGATTCTCTACAACTTTTCCATTGACACCAAAATGGGTTTCTTTTGAAGAAAGTGCCCAAACTGGGACATTTCTCCATTTTTGAGTCTCCAGCTATTTCTCTAGCTTTTTCTCTAGCTCTTCCTCCAGCCCCTTCTCTAGCTCTTCCTCCAGCTCTTTCTCTAGCTCTTCCTCTAGTTTCTTTTGAAGAAAGTGTGAGAACTGGGACATATGACAATAGCCGGCAGTTTTCAATTCACCAACCCAATATATTGACTATTTTAACGATCATTTGATGCAGAATGAAATTGCGCATCGAATGACACCAAAAACAACTTAAAATATAATATTCATGCAAAAAATGAAATATTGGTCAAAATGCGGCTGAAAAAATGCCCGTACAGTAAGGCAGACAGAAAGACAGACAGAAAGACAGACAGATACCGTAACCCCCTCCCTCCCCTTCCCTCCCCCTCCTTTTCCGCCATTTCATTTCCCCTTTTTGTGCAGTAATTCTTTTTCTAAAGTTTACGTTTCTTTTGAAGAAAGTGCTCAAACTGTCACATATTACAATAGCCCGCAGTTTTCAATTCACCAATCCAATAGCTTTATTAGCTTTATTAGCTTTATTAGCTTTATTAGCTTTATTAGCTTTATTAGCTTTATTAGCTTCCTATTTGAAGCTCTTGTTTAAGCTGAAATAGAGAAATTTGAGAGCTTTCAAATGGTTTTAAGTAGACTTAACGAGAATTAAAAAGAAAAATGATTCGCGCAACTTCAAAATTGGATTGTTCTGAAATTTTGGGAAACTATCTAATCGATGAAGTGTTTTATTTTAAAAAAAGTATGCAATCACTCAAAAATCTATTAGCTCATGAACGCTAGAAATCAGGATTTTGAACTCTTACATTAAAATGCCTGAAAAAGTTCTAAAATAAAAAATTTTTCAAAAATTCAAAAAAGCCATTTTGTAGATTAAGGATAGGGCTTTTGAATCAAGCAAACCGTTTTTTGATTGGATAAGCCGTTTTTTCAGAAAACACATTACCAAAAAACGATCGTTTATAACTTGCGAACCTAATAAAGCTAAGCTGATAAAGCTAAGCTGATAGCTGATAGCTGATAAAGCTAAGCTAATAAAGCTGATAAAGCTAAGCTAATAAAGCTAAGCTAATAAAGCCTAAGCTGATAAACCTAAGCTGATAAAGCTAAGCTGATAGCTGATAGCTGATAAAGCTAAGCTAATAAAGCTAAGCTAATAAAGCCAATAAAGCTAAAGTTCATTAAAGATTACCTGTTTACTTGGTTGTACATTTATCCCTAATGTTCTTGACATTCGTAACTTTTGACGATAAGATGGTGAAGCGGGAATCTAAAGAAATTGATGAAAAGGGGAAAGATTCTCTCAAAAGATTCTCTCAAATGAATCTCTCAATCAAATCTCTCAATCAAATCTCAATCAGATCTCAATCTTAATTTCATTCTTTTCTTTCTTTTCTTTCTTTCTTTTCTTTCTTTTCTTTCTTTTCTTTTGTCTAAAATCCTTTGTCTTTTTTATCCAAGAAAAAACGAAAAAATCTTTTTTTAATCTCTTTTTAATCCATTCTTCAATTCTTCTATTCTTTTCTAAATTTCCATTGCGTAAACAAGTAAAATAAACTTCATCACTAGATTCTACGACGTTGAAAACCCTAGAATACAAATTTTAAACTCTAAATCTCATTTAGAAATCATTTAAAAAAGAAAAAAATTAAATTGACTGCTGTTCTTTGTGTTGTTGTGTAATCACACACTTTCTGGCACAGCTAATAGATAGATAAGAAAACAAAAACACTTCAAAACAAGGTTTTCTCTTATAGAGCTTTTTAAAGTCCTTTTTGGTCTGCTTATCGATCGAAAGGGTTTGCCAGAAGGCGAGCGATAGCTGCACAAAGAACACTAACCAATCACTCCATTTATATCTAAAGAGTATAGCTACAGAATCTACAGTAGACGCCTACAGTACCTTAGAAAAGACATCAAGGGTACTGTAGACGTCTACTGAAGATTCTGTAGCTGTAGCATAGAGACTGTAGCTACCGTAGCTCAGAATACAATTCCCTTGGCTCAGCTGATGGTGAGCTGAAGCTGACGATTCGCTACGTTAAATCAACCAAATAGAAACTAAAGCTACTCAAGAAAGTCGTTGAAAGATTGAAGATTTATGGAGATTGCTTGCTTTTTAAATTGCAATTACCTCATTGCCTTTCCTTGCAAAACTTTCTTTCTTTTTCCTTACTATTTATTCTTTCCCCACCCAGAAACTCTGTCCACTTTTGCCGACTCGTCTCAACGAGGCAGCAGCGGCTTCTCTTGCCTTTTGCAATCGTTCCACACCGGAAAAATTCAGCCCACGATACGTCTTTCCTGAGGTGGCAACGTATCTAAAAGTTTGCTCAAGTTTTAATTGGATTTTGCTGACTAGCTGGCTCTAGGCTGGCTGGCTGGCTCTAGGCTGGCTGGCTGGCTCTAGGCTGGCTGGCTGTCTCTAGGCTGGCTGGCTGGCTCTAGGCTGGCTGGCTGGCTCTAGGCTGGCTGGCTGGCTCTAGGCTGGCTGGCTGGCTCTAGGCTGGCTGGCTGGCTCAAGGCTGGCTAGCTGGCTCAAGGCTGGCTAGCTAGCTCAAGGTTGGCTAGCTAGCTCAAGGCTGGCTTGGCAGCCTGGCTCGATCTGGCTAGCTCTAGGCTGGCTTGGTAGACTGGCTCGATCTGGCTAGCTCAAGGCTGGCTAACTCAAGGCAGCCAGCCTGGCAGACTGCCCCAATCTGCCTCTGACATTGCCCGGCTTTAGCTCTAGAACCTTGCTCAGGAATGTCTCCCCCTAACCCTCAACTGCCTATCTAAGCTAGATCTAATTTGAAAATGAGACTCTAGCCTAGGCCATAAGCTTATGCTGTGGCTGGGCAATTCTCAAAGAAATCTCCTTTTCCATCCTCACTTTCCCAAGTGCTGTAAATCATCGATTGTTTGGATCTCATTCCTGCCCATCGGTGTCATCAAACGGCGAACCCCATAGGGCATCTGGAATCCAGATTTTACTATTCGTAGTTAGCTTTTTAAACTTTGCTAACAGCTTTGCTAACAAGCCTGAAAAGACAAGCTAACTTTTGGCTTTTGTAGACAGGCTTTTGGTTTAGCTTCTGGCCAGATCAAAAGCCAGACCAAAAGCCGAAGGTTTCAGGGTTTAAGCCTGACTTCTAAGCTTGACTGACTTCATTGGAATAAAACAAGAAAGTGGGCTGGATAAAGCTAACAAGGCCAGGAACTGGCTTATGGCTAAGCCCAGAAAAATCCATTGAACTTGTTAGAATTGAACCTAAAAAGGCTTGAGCTTTGGTCTGGCTTTTGGGCTGGTTTTGGTATGGCTTTTGGTCTGGTTCTGGTCTAGTTTTGGCCTAGTTTTGGCCTGGTTCTGGCTGCTCTACTTGTGGCTGCACTACTTGTGGCTGCTCTACTTGTGGCTGCACTACTTGTGGCTGCTCTACTTGTGGCTGGCCTAGTTTTCCCTGGCCTGGCCTGGCCTAGCTGACAAGTTTACAAGTTTGTTGAACAAATTCACGATCTAGTAGACATACAATGCCCACAATTAAACTCAACTTTAAATAGAAAAGACTAATAACTTTTCTCATTAATTAATAACTCTTTCCTTTTTCTCAAGTTTCTTTGAAATTCTTCAATAAAATGCTAATCTTTTGCTAATCTTTCCAAATAAATCTATCATTTTGTGAATAGAAAAAGATTATCTTAAGCTTTCTTAGGCTTTTGGCAGCTTTTGGCAGCTTTTGACAGCTTTGGGCAGCTTTTTAAAGCTTTCTAGAGCTTTCCTAAGCTATCTAGAGCTTTCTTAAGCTTTCTAGAGCTTTCTAGAGCTTTCTTAAGCTTTCCTAAGCTTTCCTAAGCTCTCTTAAGCTTTCTAGAGCTTTCTAGACCTTTCTTAAGCTTTCTAGAGCTTTCTTAAGCTTTCCTAAACCTTCTAGAGCTCTCCTAAGCTTTCTAGAGCTTTCTAGAGCTTTCTAGAGCTCTTTAAAGCTTTCTAGAGCTTTCTTGAGCCTTTTAAAGCTTTCTAGAGCTTTCTTTAGCCTTCTTAAGCTTTCTAGAGCTTTCTTTAGCTTTCTAGAGCTTTCTTGAGCTTTCTAGAGCTTTCTTTAGCTTTCTAGAGCTTTCTAGAGCTTTCTTTAGCTTTCCTAGAGCTTTCTAGAGCTTTCTTAAGCTTTCTAGAGCTTTCTAGAGCTTTCTTTAGCTTTCTAGAGCTTTTCTAAGCTTTCTAGAGCTTTCTTTAGCTTTCTTTAGCTTAAGAATTAGCATTAGTATTGAATAATTATCGAATTTGAATATATTTAAGCAACAAACCGGTATATTTGTATTCAAATCATCGAGCAAGCTGTCAATCGTTCGATAACGAGATTTCGAGACCGGGATTCGAACACCCTAAAGAAAAAGATATAAAGAAACAAAAGATATAAAGAAAAAAAGATATAAGAAAAAAAAGATATCTTTCAAGGTTCTAAACAATTCTATCGAAATCTATCGAAATTCAAATTCTTCTAAAACAAAGATCTAAATCAATTTCTATCAATTTCTATTATTATATTTAAATATTATTTCATTTGAAAATATTTACCGTAAAATACTCATCGCCTTCTTTATAGAAAAAAACGGTTTTCGCCGAGTAGGGACGGGTGAAAGTACGCGATGCGTTCTCGTAGGTTCTGAAAAAAAAAACGAAATGAAAGCTTTGATTGAAGGATTTGAAATGCTTTAAAGCATTTTTTAGATAGATTTTCTACCAAAAATGCATCAAATACGGTCAAATTTAGGCAAATTCGGTTAAATTCGGTTAAATTCGGTTAAATTCGGTCAAATTCAGTCAAATTTAGGCAAATTTGGTTAAATTCGGTGAAATTCGGTGAAATTCAGTCAAATTTAGGCAAATTTGGTTAAATTCAGGCAAATTTGGTCAAATTCGGTCAAATTCGGTCAAATTTAGGCAAATTTAGGCAAATTCAGGCAAATTCGGTCAAATTCGGTTAAATTCGGTCAAATTCGGTCAAATTCAGGCAAATTTAGGCAAATTCAGTTAAATCCGGTCAAATTCTCGGAAATTCGGTCAAATTTAGGCAAATTCAGGCAAATTCGGCCAAATTTAGGCAAATTTAGTCAAATTCAGTCAAATACAGTCAAATTTAGGCAAATTTAGGCAAATTCAGCCAAATTCAGTCAAATTCAAGCAAATTTAGGCAAATTTGGCCAAATTCAGTCAAATTCGGTTAAATTCAGTCAAATACAGTCAAATTTAGGCAAATTTAGGCAAATTCAGTTTAAATCCGGTCAAATTTAGGCAAATTTAGGCAAATTCAGTTAAATTCGGTCAAATTCAGGCAAATTCGGTTAAATTCGGTCAAATTCGGTCAAATTTAGGCTAATTTAGTCAAATTTAGGCAAAAATTGATCTCAAAAAGTTCCCAGAGCATTTATCATTTAACAAAAAACGTTTATAAACAAAGCATTTACATTTCTATATTATTTCTAACCATTTCTAACCATTTCTAAACATTTCTAATCATTTCTACTCATTTCTAACCATTTCTACTCATTTCTACTCATTTCTAAACATTTCTAAACATTTCTAATCATTTCTAATCATTTCTACTCATTTCTACTCATTTCTACTCATTTCTAACCATTTCTACTCATTTCTACTCATTTCTAAACATTTCTAAACATTTCTAATCATTTCTAACCATTTCTAACCATTTCTAACCATTTCTAACCATTTCTAACCATTTCTAATCATTTCTAAACATTTCTAAACATTTCTAAACATTTCTAACCATTTCTAACCATTTCTAATCATTTCTAACCATTTCTAATCATTTCTATATTATTTCTACTCATTTCTACTCATTTCTAAACATTTCTAATCATTTCTAATCATTTCTACTCATTTCTAACCATTTCTAACCATTTCTACTCATTTCTGATCATTTCTATATTATTTCTACTCATTTCTACTCATTTCTAAACATTCTTCCTTTAAGCAAAAGTCAAAATAAAGCAATTCTCAAGCTATAAACATTTGCTAATCATTTTCTCGAAGAAACAAAAGAAAGTTCGATCAAATCAAATTCGATAGATTTTTCATTTCCACTCACCGTATCATCCCGTTTTTCGGTTGCGGCACATTTGGCAACATTATCCGCTAAAAAAGATTCAATTATTAAAAGAAAATCAATGTTATATTAAGAGAAAAATAACTATAAACCATCATTTATTAACAGCTTTTCGAGTAGGGTAATTTCCGCGATTTTTTTTTGCATATACCCCTATCTCAGAGGTAGATTCATACCTCGGAAATTGCCATCGGCAAGGAAAACCCGACAGAATTGCGACAAATCCCGTGTTTTATACAACTAAAACCGAAAAAGTGCCAAAACCGCCTTGTTGCCAAAATTGGGGGTAATTTCGGCAATTGGGTCGTTTGCGTTTGCATAACTTTCTTCCAAGTCGATCAATCTTTATGATTTTGGTTTCATTTTGTTGCACTTATTGAGATCTACATCGTTTCCATGAGAATTCATTGCACCAAAGGAATGCGTTTACCGTTGAGCACAAAGCACAAGAGGCTGAGGAGTTTACTGCATAAACACAACCTTTCTGGCGCACGGTTGAAGATCGGGAACCAGTTTTTTTTACGTAAAAATATGAAAATAGAGCTCTCTCTCACCTTTTTGGGGTAAGCTAGTTTCCGCAACAGGGCTATTTACGCAACTGGGCTATTTACGCAACTGGGTCGTTTGCGCAATTCGCTATAACTTTCTTCTAAGTAAGCCAATCTTTATTTTGGTTTCATTTTGTTGCACTTATTGAGATCTACAAAATGAAACGAAAATAAAGATTGATCGACTTAGAAGAAAGTTATGGCAAGTTGCGGAAAAAAAAATTTAGCACAAGGTAGCCTATTCCCAAATGTTTAAAGAAAAAAAAGAACGAAAAAGCTGAAAAGCTGCGCCAAAAGGTCAATTATCCCCGCTAAAAACTAGTTATTCAAAAAAAAGTCAATAAAAACTTTTTTCTAATGAATTTTTTGAAAGAAAATGAACAGCAATTTGGGGAGATTTTCCAATTTTCTTTTATAGCTTTCTTTTCTTTTTTTTTTTACGTAAAATCTTTCAATTAAACCTTTAGAAATGAATGATTTAACGAAAATTTAACGAAAATTTAACGAAAATTTAACGAAAATTTAACGAAAATTTAACAAAATTTAACGAAATTTAATGAAATTTAACAAAATTTAATCAAATTTAATCAAATTTAACAAAATTTAATCAAATTTAATCAAATTTAATCAAAATTAATCAAAATTAATCAAAATTAATGAAAGTAAATGAAATAATGAAATAATGAAATAAATGAATGAAAAAAATGACAAATGGGGAATTTTGTCTGGAGTACGGTGGCACTCCCCGCCGTTTTCGCGTCAAAAACCGTACGTAGGAATCAAAAGGAGTCTAACCCAAATCATTTGCATCATTGTTAAGGTCAAAATTTAATGAAATTTAATGAAATTTAACAAAATTTAATGAAATTTAATGAAATTTAATGAAATTTAATGAAAATATTGAAAAATTGCTTAAATTTTGTTAATTTTTGATTAATTTTGATTAAATTTGGTTAAATTTGGTTAAATTTTCTTAAATTTCATTAAATTTCATTAAATTTGGGGGTGGGACAAATGCGACCTTTTTTTTGCGCACCTGGACATTTGCGCACCTTTTTTTTGCTGGAAAAGGCCTTAGGAAAGGTCGTAGAGGTTCGAAAATATTTGCATAGAAGGGAATCGTATGCGTAGATTCAGAATTTTGACAAATCACACCTCGCTGACACGTCAAATTTGGGCTAAAAGGCAAAAACTACGGAAAAGCTTAAGCCTTTGCGTAGTTTTTGCCTTTTAGCCAGGGGGGGGCCAACTAACCCCTTTTTTTCACTCCCAAATTTGACGTGTCAGCGAGGTTCGATTTGTCGAAATTCGGAATCTACGCATACGATTCCCTTTTATGGAAAATTTTCGAAATATTTTCGAAGCTCTACGGCCTTGCCTAAGGCCTTTTCCAGCAAAAAAAAGGTGCGCAAATGTCCAGGTGCGCAAAAAAAAGGTCGCATTTGTCCCACCCCCAGATTTAATGAAATTTAATGAAATTTAAGAAAATTTAACCAAATTTAACCAAATTTAATCAAAATTAATCAAAAATTAACAAAATTTAAGCAATTTTTCAATATTTTCATCAAAAATTCAATATTTTCATCAAAAGAAATCAATTTTTCATTTCCTTCTTTCATTTGAGAATTTAGCGATTTGTAAATGATTTTCCTGTGATTTTCCTTTAATTTTCCTTTAATTTGAAGTCCCAAAGGAGACTTGGAATCGAAAAATAACGAAAAATTGACGAAAATTTGGCCTTCTACGGTCTTTTTTGTAAACTTTATGGCGAAAAAAATTGTAAACAAATCGCTTCACCGCTTCTTCTACCAATGAATTTCATCTTTATCTTCCAAAGCTTTTGGTGACTAGGCTCTGGCTGGCTCTAGCTGGCTCTGGCTGGCTCTGGCTGGCTCTGGCTCTTTTATCTTGCATCCCGAATCTGCTTTCTCTAAATCCTCTAGAGCTTTGTAAATCGTGTGATTAAAGTTTGGAATGCCCTTTCCGACAAGTTGCGTTTGATTTGATTTGAGCGTTTGATCTCCACCGTATCTGATTTTAAAACGGGCTACTTCGTTGCATTTTAAGTGACTGACAAACGTTGGTCTTTTATTTTCTTCATCTTTTATTTTTTTCGTCATCTTTTATCTGCTACATTTTTCATGTCGTTTTCGCACTTTATTTCTTTCTAAATAAAGTATTTACACGGAGCCCACGGAGCCAAAACAACAATTCGCTTTCTCGAAACCAAAATTGGCTCTTTGGCCTGCAATGGATCAATGAAAGGATCAATGGCCTGCAAACAGCCCGGATCTCAATCCGTTGGACTTTTCGGTTTGGGGTTTTATGGAAGAACAATTGAGAAATAGGAAAATCACCAATTTGAATGATTTACGTCGAGAATTGATCAAAATCTGAAACGACTTAGATGCAAATTATCTCCGTCGCATCGTCGATTCTTTTAAAGAAGCGAATTGAAGCCTGGAGGCCACAGATGGCCACAAAGCGGATGGAGGCCACAAGGATGGGGCCACAAAGCGGATGGAGGCCACAGATGGCCACAAAGCGAATGGAGGCCACAAAGCGGATGGAGGCCACTTCGAAAATTTCTTGTAATTATTAAATGCTTTTGTTACAACTATTATATAAATAAATATTTTTACATTTTCTTTCAAAGAAAATGAAATTATGGCGTTTTCCGTAAACTGTGTTTTCTTTGGCGCACGTAATTTTCAGCCACCCTGTATAGATGTGCTTGATAGCTTGTCTAAAACGAACGTCAAGGAACTAACGAATTCAATGCATTAGGGAGATTTGTTTACACGTTTTTTGACTCTAACTCTAACAAGTTATGACTCAGATCTCAAAAATACATTTTTTTTTAAAAATTTTAATAAAGAAGCCTAATTTTTCTCTTTTTTTAATAAACAATCACGGATTTTGAGTTAAAAAAGAATTAAGAAGAAGCCATAAAGTGTGACCTCACAATTCTGAGGAAACAAGGAATTGTGAGAAAATAGGGAATTGTAGGATCACGAAAATAAGAATTGGTCCAACGGGATCGCTCCTTTTTCTTTGTCCAGAGAAAAATTATGAGACAAGTAGATAAAAGAGTATCAAATAAAAGAAAAAAAACGATACAAATACAAATAGATTACATTCATTTCATGTAATTGTATTCAAAAATTAAGAAGAAACACAAGTGCCTTTGAAGGATTGATTGAAACCGTTTAAGGCCTCGCTAGCCGTTTAAAGCCTTAAAGCCTTACCCAAAAATCGCCCAGGTCAACCAGAAAGAAGCTAGACCAGGATTTCGGTTCTGGTCCTTGTCTTGGCTTTGGACCTGATTCTAGTCTTTGTCTTGGACTTAGCCTTGGGCCTGATCTTGTCCTAATCCAGGCTTAGGTGCTAGTCCTGGACCTGATCCTGATCCTGGTCCTAGTCCTGGTCCTGGTCCTGGTCCTGGCCCTGGTCCTAGTCCTGGTCCTGGTCCTAGTCCTGATCCTGGTCCTGGTCCTGGACCTGATCTTGTCCTGATCCTGGTCCTGATCCTTGTCCTGGACCTGGACCTGGTCGTGGTCCTGGTCCTGGACCTGATCTTTTCCTGATCCAGGCTTAAGCCCTAGCCCAGCTCCTTGTCTTTGTCCTAGTCTTGTCTTGCTCCTAGCTCTGGCTTTCTATTAGCTTTTTGGGGCCTTAGAGTTTGAATAAGGCCTCAAAAGTCCCGGCACTGTTAATCAAACGCTAAATGATGATAATCTAGATCAGACTTTCCACCAGGGACCGAAACTAAAGCCAAGTTAAGGTTGGTAATAAAGAAATGAAAGAATTGGAAAGGAAGAGTAGTGTTCCGGAGCGGGGGATTGAACAAAATATTATATTATGCAAAAATCCATCCTAGATTTCCCCTTGACAAAGCTGAACACTCACCTTGTACATAACGTGAGTGAAAGATTTGTAGGGATCTTAGCTGAATAGCTGAATATCTAGAGCACTTGGCTGAATATCTAGAGCGCTTAGCTGAATATCTTTTCAATTTTTAATAAAAGTTGAGTTGAGAATGGGGAAGAAATTGAAGAAATCTTGAAGAAATAGCGGAATTAATGTGATGGGTCTTCCCAATTTCTCCTTGGAAACAAAAATAATTTTCTATGGCTTCTGAAGCCTTTTTCCTCACCGATTCCCGCAAAACTAAAGCTTGGGAATCTTTGAAAATCGTTAATTTAAGAATTAGTCATCCGGCGAAACGTTTTTTCCTAATTTTTATATAGTTTTTGTTTAGATTTAAGCTAAAATTGAAAATCGATTCGGTTTCCGTCCATTTGTACGCGATTTCTAAGTCGATTAAAATCGATTAAAATCATTTTTAGTTTCTTAGACTTAAAATTCTATGTAGCTTTGCATCTAATATTTCCTTTATTTTAAAAAGCAAAAGCATTGGCTGGGCTGGGAGTCGAACCCCGATCGTGTGGCTTGTAGACGACCTCGCTCTCCAC